GTGCTCTACTTATATCTTATCATGACACGCCGCTTTGATGTCTTGCTAACTTACTCACGGGACGAGCAAAGTATGATGGTTGTCCATGTCACAATAGAGGGCGAGAACGTCGTTTTGGATGTGGAATTTAGGGGTATATTCTCAACAATTCCAATAAGCACATTAGATACCTACCTAGGTAGGTTGGTTAATTCGTGGATTTTGGTGATATTGGGGGTTATCCGTTTCCCCTATCTATGTACTGGGAGAAACGCAAAATTAGTTCTTCGCTCTCTACGGAGTATGTGATGTCTTCAGACAATTTGTAAGCCCTGTAATATTCCTTCTCGCATCATGATCAATGATGCTTATCTCATCTGAGGGGTTCCATGATTAGCTATTCCAGGCTCATAGAAGGGAGGGTGATACATGGCTACCGGCTTCCTGTCTTCTCGTCTTCAATTCATCCTTTAAGAGATATCATTATCGCTAGTACCCGAGTCGAAGGAGTTATGTCTCTCTTGTGTTATTATTACTGTTGTGGTTTTCATCTCGTTGGCCCTCCCGTCGTGACATCCACTATCGCTGGATCGCGATGGTGTGAATAAGATGGCGCACTGTTGGCACCGAGGAAGCGTACGATGAGGGCAATCCGGCCTGTCTGGGTTTGAGCATATGCTACCGCTACTGCGGAATCTACAGTGACAACATACGAAGCCGATAGGTTGATGATATTCCGTACTGAACATTCTGTCGGATTGGTATCGAAGTATGAGCTTGTGATTGCTCAAGACTTGCTATGATAACTGAAGATGCTGGGGAAACCTCGCTTAATATTATTAATGAAGTTAGGACCCGAATCTAGGCTTTTATGCGTTCCGTATACAGTCGAAATATGTTTAGGGAATAGTTTACGTATGTTAGGGCAATGAATTTGTATTTATCTGGACAGGTAGGCAATGAATCAAGTGGATGATTGCGCCGTCCTTTATATACTATGACTGAGTGTATCTCCATTCATAATCTAAGAGTAGACCTCCTTTCTCTACGTGAAGAAATGTCTTTCATACCATCATGAAGTGGCAATTTATTTCTGATGGTCCTGATTAGAATCACCAAATACTTGTCTCGGATGTAACGATAACCCACTGGAATAGCACCTAGACACCTGGACATCTAGATAAAAGGGAATTCTCGAAAGAGCGGAATAAAAATTCTAGGATGATTCATTAACATCTGTCACTCCCCTATTGACTCATCGGACAATCTAAATACGAAGCCATATGGACTACCTAAGTAATTTTGGTCGGTGAGGATCTGAGCCGTCCATTTCTTATGACTGATCATGGAAATTGGCAGTAGACTTCTTTTTGTCGATTTTCGATAAACCTCCCACTCCCTTGGCGGCTAATTTAGAGGCACTTTTGTAGTTTCCCTTGATGGTCTATGGGGGCTCTCATACAGCAGATGTCGCATGCATCATTAAAAAGGACAATCGGAGGCTCAGTCAAGGATCAATATCTTTTAGACCTTATGGTTTCCCCTTCGTGTATGCGTTTATGAATGACTTAAATCGAATGCTTCGTGAAATGGTTCCAAGGGCCTTGTTGAGACGCTCACATTGTCCAGGAATAGTGCCCTATATATGAATGGATGGCTTAACGGGGGAAAAGCGCTTCAATATGTCTCCACGACGGATGCCTGACATCAGAAATCAGATGTATTGGGTTGAAAGGGCTCCAATGGAATCACACAAGCCTCTTACTGATCTAGAAAACCCTAGGGCTCGCCAGTATGGGCCATGGTTCGGAGTTCTTTATCCATCTAACACACTAGGTCATTGGGTTTCTTAATCCTTAAACGCCTCGTTGGCATTGGGGTAGTGTGTATGATTACATCGACAGTAAACATCGCGCGTTGCGACTTTCGATGAGTGGCGCTGTATTTTCCGAGCTTGATTTCGTGGTCTCCGACCGTGGAAATTACCATAAATTACCTTGATAAAGAATTGAGTACATCATATATGCCAATGGGCCTGGCCTAGGGAAGGGAGCTACACTATGGAAGATATTGAGCATCTACTATTGCCATCTACTTGGTCTGAGACACGAAGTGGTTATCACGACAAAGAATATATCGATATACATCTACTTGGACATCCGTTGCGCAACAGCATTGCTACACACTCAATGGCTGGCGCCGTTTAAACGCGGAATGAGAAGGCGGCGACTGGCCAAACACAGTAACTTTTAGAAACATCTAGAATGCTTCACCGTTAGGACCTACTTAATGACGAATCGCCGGATACCTACACTCGGCGGATGCGAATCCCTCAACGGAGTTCAAAGCATCATCGTGGCAGGAAACCACGGTGAAAACAGTACGGCAGGCATTATTGACGGAAATTTGACCTAGGGAACCTAGATCTCGCGATCCAGCCGACCAATACCGAAACTGAATACCGGTAGACCGGCGGACCCGGTTGGCTAAGGAAACTAGCCGCAGTAGTCAAGACCGTCAGGCGGCGCTGGACCCACGGCTCCGAGAAAAGACCATCATCCACATGCACTACTTGCGCCTTATGAAAAGTCTGCCTTCTGGATTGAATATTTTTCTTTTCTCGGTCTTGCACGTGGCATGGTTGGACGCCAAAACCCTAGGGCCGGGAGGAAGCGCTGGCGAGTCCGTACTGGACCTCTCAACGGTCGCTCATGATTCATGTCTTGCTGGTTCCTGAACTAGGTGGTTGGGCTGGCAATTTCAGAAAGATTTGATAAAAAAACAAAGTCCAGGTCGACTGTTAGGTTGTTATCTGCCAACATGCTCCATTTTGAGCGGGTCCTGCTGGCCAGGGCTTTTTTTGCGGTGAGAGCCGCAACAAATCGAGCTATTGAATTGCCCATGTCACGATAGTGACGTGTACGATCATTTGGCCTTGGGCTGCAGTTTAATGAAACCAGGTGCCAAGGGTCGGACGAATAGCGGTAGCCACCCGATGTAAGGTATTCCAGTAAACAGATGCAGTGGCTGGTTGACTGTTCGTCTCTGGAATTGCTCGCCGCCTCGATTAGGTTCTGACTGCTAATATGTCAAAGATATGAATGTGCGAAATGAAACAGTCTAGAGAGTGCGAAGACTGTGTTTGCGTTCTCCAAGACGATATATTTGCCAAGACATTGTAAATATGGATCCTCGAACAATACCAGTCATCAACAAGCATTGCCTCGTCCATTTGGAAGGCTGCCGATGCCGGAAAATCCTAGAATGTTGAGCATTGAGCAAACCTAACCCTCTCCACACTTGAAGTCCCTGATCATGGCTTGCCTCATTTTGAAGTCATGAGTGTTGTTACTTTAGGCGGTGTGTGCGTTGGGTTGGGTACGTGGAGACAGCTAAATGACCGAAGTGCTGTACATCTTGTAACAATGGCGATGGAGCATCGGCCCTTTCCGTATTGACGAAGACTCTTTTTGACCGAGGTCTAACGCCAAGCGGTCAAATTCTTTGACGAACTATTCGGGCGCTCATGATATGCTCGTTTCATTAGACCCTGATTCACTAGGGTCCATCCGAAAAATCAGATTTAGATACAATTGAAGGTCATTGTTGGCTTCTGAAATAACCCTTTGTCTACACTTACTGTTAGCGACACGCTCAACTAGGGCAACATACGCCATTGTCTAGTCTAGAGTCGGGAAGAAATTGAAGCAAATAGGCGTACGCGAGTCAAGTAGCATGGAGTTATGCGAAATGAGATGCTGCGGAACGGGCGATGATATCGAATAACCGACCCAGCCGAGTCTACGTATACACACTAGCTGGTGTGAATTTACCACATCGAACGAGACTGCTTGGGAAATTAGTATCCCGCGTGACCTCAAACTAGTCTCGGATGTCTTCAGTAGTGTCTGCTAATTTTACTAGAGATTAGGAAATTCAGGGTCCAGGCTTTATCAGCCCTATGGTCAAAGAATCCATCGCGGATGGGGACAAATTCTTCTAGAATTATTCAACTTAGTCCGCTAAGCGCAGGAAAAAGAAGAAGACGGATATTCGTAAAGGATAGTTCCTTCGTATAATCTATTTGGTGTTGACTAAGAGCGATGCTCGTCCCCGCGATCGGTCTCTTAGTCGAACCTGGGGAACGACCTCTAGCGCCTCATGGCGACCGGGGAGAAGAAGCTGGTATCCAATAGTCTGGAGATGCCGCTCTTTAAGTCGTTATCGAATTGATCAGCAGGGTCTCGAATTCGAAAATCCCATGAAATAGCTTTGCACTTTCGCTTGGCAGGTGGGGTTTTGTTGAGATTTCTCACGTTTAGGTAAAATGATAGTCACAAGATACCTATGGGATTTGATGGTATATGGGCAGTTGAGGCAGGGAAACTCGTGGAAGAAATATCCCGAATTTTGACGAGCCAATCAATGCCAGTCAGAGATCGGAGTCATTCGTGGGGAAAAGTGAAGGGTTCACTCGAAAAGGGAAAGTCGTATTGGGCACTACCACCAGGGTCTTCTCGAGGGGACCCTTTGAACATGGTGGATATGGTGGTACCTGAGAAATAAATTGAGGATAATCAAATCAGGTTAGGAGCAAACGCCTCCGGACAATTAAAGGGGCCTCGATTGATATAAGTCGTAGCCACCTGTACACAACAGCATAATCAACGGGCGCGGGAGTCCCGGCAAAAGCAGAAACACTCTAACGATGAGCCGTAAGAGGAAGTGAGTAGTAAAAAAGAAGAGCTTGTAGGGTTGCAAAAGAGAGGGGTGTATGTACATGGTGTATACATGGTGTACATGGTGAGAAGCTGAAGGCATGTCAGCAACCACTCTGCGAGTAAGAAATCGGTGTTGGGAATATTCTGATTGGCGCGTTGAGGTTGTTTCGCATCTGAGGAATTCTATTCGAAGCTCCAGCGGGCCGTCCCCCTGCAGCCAGGAAGATTGCTCATTGGCACGTCAGAGCAGTCGGTGGATTGATGACAGTTTGCCGCGTTGGCACAGGGCAATTGGGTAGAGCCATTGCCAGCAGTGCGGATTCACTATATTGTGCCGTAGGCAAGACATAGGAGAACTAAGGTAATCGTGCTTTTTTACCGACTGGGTGGCTAGCTGAAGGCTGTGATATCCGCTGGGATGGCAGACGGATTGCAACAGCAGGAATAGGAAAGTACAGACGCGTACAGTCAGATATTGAAATGCGACGTAATATTCTTTGTTAAGGAGGGTATAGGGTGTAGGGAGTATCAAACGCACTCAAGACGGGGATCCCAAATTCCCGCAGCTGTGTACAGTTTGGTTTGATTTTCATGATGTACATAAAAAAAAAAAAGTAGGTAGGTTGGTATGCTGGTATGTGGGTAAGATTATCGGATACATGTCCCACTCCAAGAATCGAAGTGATGTATTGTTCATAAGAGGCGGTAGAGAGAAATAATAGACCAGGACAAAGAAAAAAGAATATCAGATGGGAAAAGGATCTGAGAGAGATGGGAATTGGCATTGGGAAGGAAACAGGGGATTTGGTTGGTGAATACTTATGGGTATTTATGGATTAAATGGACTAAATAGGGCCAATTACGCTAGTTAGACTCTATCTAAGTGGATGTGTGGAGAAGAAGAGCCAGGACGTGGCAGTCGTAGAAGGAAGTTCCCACTTTATTGTCCCCTGGCGGTGGAAACAGCCCTTGGGAAAGAAGCCTGGCAGATCCGCTCCAACAGGCCAGTGCTTTTCCCATCTTTCCCATGTGATGTACCTACAATGTCAAAGTATCAAAGTACTCTTGTACCCATTAAAGGCCCAAAAAGGGTTCTAAAGCAGGTACAGGGTACGTATCTTTACTGGGTCGGAGGGAGACGAGCCTGCTTCTATTCAATTCGGGCTCCCCCTGTCAGACCCGCATTAAATTGATTCATCTCTTCCCAAAGCCATTCATATCATTAATGTACTACGTACGCTACCTTACACTACCTTACACTACCTTACGCTACGTACACTATTCTTGCTATTCTTAACCTACCCGAGTCCGTCCTCCTTATGCCCCATTCGCTTTTCACCTTTTAACAATACACCCGACTTCTTTTTGTCCCTACGAACCCGCACACGCACACACAACTGGCATTGTATATGCAAATGCAGATGCAAATACTATGTGAGTTGGGTGCGAAAAAAAAAAAGAACTCGAATAGCAAACAATCTACGTCAGTATCTACATAAAGTGGAAATGATATAGATGCCGCCCGCAGTCAAGTAGCTTTGTTATAATGTACTATACATAAAAAACTTGGCTTACCTCGGCATATGTTCAAGCACAGTCACCTACATACAGACGCATACATACGACATAACTGTACCTACATATCCACCTACCTCCCTATCTAACCTACCTACTCGCCTACCTATCAACCTAAGTCTACTCGCCAGATTGTTGAACGTATCATCTGTGTAAAACGACCTATCGAGTTTGGAATAACACGAACCCGAAAGTACGAATCATAGCTTCCGGTTAGGTTACTACACGTCGCATTAGCGTATAAACGAGCGAGTGTCGAGGTATTGCAAGGTGGTCGCACACTATAGGTTTACTGGGTGAACCTATTATATCTCGATATATTTCCCCTCCTTGAACTCGACTCGATACGATATTTGAGTTGGTGCCCACCAGACTACCGTTTGTCGCAGGTCGCAGACAGTTGAATGAATGATTGTTCTGTAGCTTGATGCTCGTACCTTCACAATATCGAAGCTTGGCAATTACCAACAGACGGACATTTCGGGCAATTCAATCACGACGTAGAGGGGAAACTTCGACTTCTTGATATCTCGGATTGTACCCGCCCAATCAAGATCTTGCGTCGCGCAACCTCCACCTCGCCAGCACTTCTGTACTCGTTCGGTCCTTCATCTACGATTCGCTCGCAGCTGTCTCAACAACGACCATGCTCACCATGACAAGGTTGCCGTCCGATTCCTTCCTGCCGTCGGGCGCTGTGCTTGATCCAAGCCAACGTTCGATGCACTTCACCTCTCATCTCAACGGCCATTCTTCAACATCGGTTATATCACCACTATCTCTACCACGTGCTCTTAACCAACTTTCATACTTCGACGACTCGCATCTGACGAATCTACCACCTCCCAATTATTCGCATTCGCCTTTAGTTTCTGTAGTCCCACGATCTCATCAACAGCAGCTTTCACCACGCCCGAGTCCACCAGGTGTTCGTGACCAGAGATCAGCGACCGTATCCCCAACCAAATACGGACCTGGGTCTGGCGTAACATCTCCATCTACGGAACCAAGTTTAACCTCCCCGCTCGACATGAGCAATCTTTCCGCTGCGGACTTGCTACGGCGTAGGGAAGAACAGAACCGAAAGCTACTCGAAAGCTGGCGTGCTGAGCGAGCCAGTATCGAGGCCAGCCGCGCTCGAGCCGAAGAGCTTTATCAAGAGGAGCGAGCGATAATGGATGGCGAACGAGCATTATGGATTGATGAAAGAGTAAGGCTCGAGAAGGACTTGTCGGAATGGAAGACGAGAGCTGAAGCAGCTGAAAGGGAAAGGGATCGGCTGTCCGACCTGCTCCGTAAAATGGGTAGCAAAGCTTCCCCAACGGGAACAGTGGGTGAAGCGTCTCTTGACGGTGTTGTTGATGCGGCATCTGCTTCGCAGCCCACCAGCAGGTTTCAAAGCCCCTCGGATGTCAAGTCCCCAACCTCTCTACCTAGTAACATACATAGGTCTACCATGCCAGAGTCGAAGCCTTTCATACCCTTAGATCCTCGTATGCAGGGTCCATCGCCGAAGGCGGGATCTCCAAAAGTTCAACCGGAACGAATTCCGTCCATTGACATTCAGGAGGTCATTCCTGAGCTCGAAGGAATTCGCTTAAGGTCAAATGCTGTTCAGAAAACAACGTTCACCGATGGAAAGTCGTCTTCGCCCCCAACTGTACCGCAGAAGTTGTCTCCATCTAAGGACCCGGCTCGCTCGCGCACGATACCCGGCGAATTGACAAAGGAAGCGCTCCAAGCTCCCGAGTCCGACAGGCTTACCATGCATGCTGGACATACGCCAAACCACTCCATGTCTTTATCTCGGCTTCACACCGTTGACTCTACTGGAGTGACAAATACAGCTGATAGTTCTGGTGCCCCAACCCCTAAATATCAACCGGCACAGATAAACGCACTAGGAGAATTGTCCAATAGTCAAACAACAGGTCTCTCTGACAGACCCCATGCTCAGGATCAAACTGGAGCTGTCGACCCCGAAGTTGACCAAGACCCAGAATTGAAAGGGCCATTGCACCTTAAGAATCTCCCGGCAGCTGATGAACCATTCCTCAAGGCTCTATCTGATAAGCTTGAGCACGCAAAACTCAACAATATTCGCCCACGCGTGCTTAAGCACGAATCCCCCACTGACTCAGATGAGTCGACTAAGGAACGCGAGACATCAAAGGTCGGTGGTGATGGAGCACACGATATTCAGGATCCCTTGGAAGCTGAAGCTGAACCTGAGGAAGATATCCCTCTTAAGCTCAGGACATCTAGCAACTTTGGCGCACCTCTCGGGCAGCTCCGAAAGCCGTCGGGATTTTAAGTGCGCTTTAAGCATGCACTTCATTCATATTTCACATTCTCTGCTGATAGCACATTTTTCTCCTTTGTCTACTGCATGATTTTCAACGCGGACGGTGGATATTTTTTATGGACTTCGGGACTGACCGCTGGCAACCCGTAATAGTCCCTTGCTTGCATCGATTTTTGAAATACCCCAATACCCATTCATACTTTTTATTCTACTTTCTGTGCATAGGAAATTAAGGGCTTGGCTTGACTCATGGTGTTTGGGAATCCGAAGGACGAACGAAATTGGCATCGAAAAGGGGCGCGTGGTTTGGAGGGCGGAATACTATCCCTGTGTTTTCTAAGGGATAAGCATTACTTGTTTTTCTTGCATTGAAGGGGGTTTTGGTTTGATTGGAGAAGCATTATAGAAACGGCGGGTGGTATGATAGGCATTATGGACGGAGAAGACAAAAAAAAAATTGTGTCAGACAGGAGGTCCGCACCTTGCACTTTAGATGGATTATACCTGGGGATTGTAACCCTGTCTTTGACGAGCGAAATGAAGAGTGTGTTCTACCCGTGAGAACGGGTTTAGTGGTCAGCGGAGGTACGCCACAAAATATAGCTTTCGACACCAGGCAACTGGTCCATTGAATCAATACAGATACTAGTAGTTTCTCTGTACTTGTCACCTTGTGAGATTCCCATGATTATGTGATTCTAATGTTGTCGATAGAAAAGCCCTCATAGTGTGCTCCAAGCGAATCACATTTGATGATGAGATAACTTCAGTCTATCGCTATATTCGCTATCGAAAATAGTAAGGTCTATCCATTCCCATACCAGATAATATGTGATGCTTTAAAATCCCAATGCTAATTTTCTATAATCATTTAATGCCCACGTAAAAACAAGCCGTCTATTATGATTAACCACAACACAATATGTTTTCTTACACCCCAATACATATGTAGTTCAGGCAAGTAATTCATATACATCCCTAACGCCAGACATGCCCCCCAAACATTAAATTAAACATATTTTTAAGCCCTTTTCAATCTGTCCTCGTCCCGTACCTACGTAACAGATTATTTCCTCCATTTTGTCATCGATGTCATGTATTATGTATCATGATTTAGTCAGTCAGTTAATTAATTCAACTCAACTTCTTCCCCATAAAATCGGCCAACTCATCCAACAACTCGACCGTCTCAGCCGGGCTCGCGATCCAAGCCGTAGTAGATACACTACGGGCCTTGAAATCGTTACTTCCAGCACTGAGGAACTGATCGCCGACATGTAACGTCTGCTCGGGACGAATGCGACCGGCGCCAGCACCGGTACCGTTACTATCGTCGGATCCGAACCACGCTTGACAGACGGAGACACCCCAGCTCTTGTCCCCGATGTCGACGAAGACGTCCCGCCCGCCGTTGAAGGCGCAGAAGGGTACGACTTGGTTCTCGAAGTCGCGCCCGCGGGTGCTGAGTTCGAGGGTCTTTTGGACTACTAGGACTGTTTCTTCGAGGGATTCGCGGGGGACTTAAGGGTATTGGGTTAGTCATTTGGGTTGTTTAAGACGTTGATGAATGAGTACTACTTACTCCGTAAGCTGGGGTCCCGAGGAACCACACCGACGGCACGGTCCTTGCGCATGATCGTCGCGGGTAAGTTCAAGTTCTTGACACAATCGCGCAATGCAGCCTCGGCAATGTCAAGTAATGCAGCGATACCAGCGTCGGACCAAGCCGCCATCTCAGGCGTCAGCCAGCGTTCCCGTGGGACAGAGGCCAAGAGGTGCGGCGACGATGGGCTGAACTCAAATAAGTAATTGGCCTCACCACCCATGATGATAATGCCCTGGCGCTGCTGAGGAGTGAGGGCGGTGGAGCTAGCAATGGCATCCAAGAGCCCATGCAAGCGGGCATAGTACCGATCGGCAGTTGTGTAACCAGCAGCCGTCACAATTCCGACTTTCACATTCTTGCGTAAGAGGTCAATGATGCGAGGGACGACAGGGCTGGAGGGTTCCAGGCTCTCGCCGTCATCATATAAGGTGACATCTCCATCGAAGGTAGCGAGGCGTAAGGTACCGTGGGTGGTCACGGCCATAAGCTGAGCCGTATTGAGAATAAGGCGGACATCGTTGAAAGATGGTGAGACGAAGCGACGTGAGGATATGTACCGCTTGCGATCTTGGAACTTGAAAGCAGCTTCAAGAGGAAGCCGTGTAAAGAAATTGCCAATGGTCGGTACCAACAACTTGAGCTTAGAAGGGACTCTAGAGGCGTCTAATTGGTGCGTGACTGCAAGGCATACGTCAACGACCGGTCGTGGGACCTGGTTCCGAGCGCGCGGGGAAGAGGAAAGGGGTTGGGGAAGGTAAGGGGATGATGGAGAAAGAGGGCACACGGTCGAAGAAGGGACAGAGACAGGGACGTACTATGATCATCGACCATGACCTCGATGTCCCTCATTATTTCGGCATAACGCCTGTGTGCCTCCTCGGAGCTCTGAGAGATATTGAAGCCGTTTGTCTCGTCGAATATTCCTGTTGGTTGGGAATATAAGACGAATGGCACGGCTAGGAGTCCTTTGATCCATTCTAAAAAGCGTGTTAGTTATTGGTAAATTTCAATGGGATATTTAGTGGCGGTGGTGGTAGTTATAAGAGTGAGGTGAGAATAAGTATGAGTGAGCCTGCGCCGTGTCCGCTGTACTTAATTGGGGTTATCCGGTGAGTAACTGGAGGCCCGTTTTTTTCCAATAACGACGGTGAAGATGACCGGTAAAGATAAGAATGAGTAAATGGAAATAAGAACTATATAAAATTGAGGTTATACCTATGAATTGATCTCTTCTGTGCGTCTTCAATGCATCTATATATTCAACACCCGTGTTAGTCACCGGATTGGTACATTATCGGGGAAGAAGAGGTCGGAAACGGAAATGGAGCTCACATTCTACTCTGTATCTTGAGGTCATTTTGCTAAAATATTACAACAATTTCCCTATTGAATATCCCACCCACGAGAAAAGAAGTTTAAAAAATAGTAGAATAAAAAAGTAAAGAAGAGACGAAGTGAATCGGAACGGTCTAAGTTTCTAAAGTTAAGGGGTACATATCATTGATCACGAGGTTCGTTGAGGTCTGGGATAAGTTGTGGGGCACATTTATACCGCCGGAGTGGGACATCCAATGCGCTGGTGAGGCCGGAATGTACCTACGCTGCCTATACGCCACAGTGACATTGGCGCTACGAACATATTCGTCATAGCGTCATTCCAGTGGTCCATTAGCGCATGAGGCGGTGTCTGGATTCGGTATTTTATTCTCAACCATTTATCACGAGTCTTTAAGCTTCTTTTCTATTCGTTTCAACTTTACAACATCAGAACATCATTCCCGAAAGGAGGAATCAATTCCATCAGTTCCATCAATTGATACTATACTTCAACGTAACATACAACAATACAACCTTTGAATATGGAGATACGAAGATAAATTTTTTATGTCTTAGCATTTTATGTCCAATCGCTCAACACTCTTTATGCTATGAATGGAACTGGAGTTGCCGTTGCGCAAGCTGCCGTGACTGTTCTGAGTCGGGTTATGCATCCCTCAGGGCAAGCAGTTTGACACCCGTCCACGAACAAAGCTGTCTTAACTCCCTTGCAGCCACATGGAATGAACAGCTCCTCCTCCAATGTGCAGCCTGGAACTGGACACAAAAATGGCTCGCACTCACTTGGCCGCGTCGTGTGCGTAACCGTCGGGCAAGCGGCACTGACGGACGTAGTAGGATGACCTGGCAATGTGGTGATGGTAATGATAAATGATGTAGTAGTTTCCGATGAGCTTGCTGCAGTTGTGCTGGATGGGTGTGGCCAGTGAGGTGGTCGACGGGTTTCCGAAGGCTCCGAATTCACAACGGCTTCCGCCTCCACGGCTGCGGTAGCGCTGACGACGCTATGTTATCATTAGCGCTAATTCTCACGATCTTAATATCGCTCGAGCTCTCACCTAGCTAGTGCCGCGACAAAACCAACGATGAAGAACTTCATGATTGAGTTTGGTGATTTCTTCTATCAGTCAGCTGGCTTCGTTCAACCTTCAAGGATGTGGAATGCTGCTAACCAATATTTAGAAGGATATTTTATATAATCGTGATGCTAACTTTTACTAATGGGAAATGAGCTGATAATATAAGACAGGAATTATGTGGTTAACTTCAACACAGTCGCGGATAGAGAGCCCATTTATATATGCGCGTCTTTCATTTATCACCATCTTCGATCTTAGTCGCATTTAAAATAACATTTGGCCTGCATGGTTGGAGACCTCACCACCATCACCCGTTCAAGGAATTATGCCCCGGCTGAGTTACCATTGCCTCTCCCGCCCTTCCTATCCTACCAGAGATTTTCGTATGCTCTCAAGTGTACTAGTGGCTAGAGATAATGAGATGACGGTCTCCGAGACGCATTTTCAAGAGTCAATCTTACGGTACGGGTATATTGCAGAATGGCTCGGGCTCCCACATTGTGATGGGTTCTCGGTTATTTTAGGAACAACCTACCTCGATATTAAATCTAGGCCAGAGTCCTCCCCGCCTTCCATCTCACTCACATATTACTAAGTATATCGGCCTACTCGAACAACGAGAAGGACATGCCAACTTAGCGATGTTCCTCGGGCTCTTCGTTGCTGAGCGAGGCTTTACTTCTAAGTCAACTATACTATCCTTCAGATACGCAATGCTTATCGGATCTAAATATCGATCATATGGACTTTCATTTCACTCCATCGTAAGGTCAGTGTCATCTATGGTGGCATAGCTACTCCGAAGAAATCTGGCAACTCTATCATCGAGTCCTTTGCCAACTTTAGAAGGATTTCAAGAAAAACCACCTTCCTCTTAAAGTACGTTCCGAGGAGCATCTTTATTGACATCAAGCACTATTTGAGATCATGGTTTTCGGCGACGGCACCTATCTCCCCTAGAGTTTACAGGTTCTAGGCTTCAGAATTTGATACTATGCATATTGGCATAGCCGAGACACGACAGGACAACTCCAAGGAAAATCGAAAGCTGAAACCGACTACAATATGCGATTTGGAGAATCTGGTCGGGTTATACGCCTCATGATTGGCAGGTATTATTCAACTTGGTGATCACATCGCCCCACAAAAAGTGACGAGGCTATTCAGCCTCTTTAGCCTGGATGACGGGACAATATCCGATAGCAGAGAGCTTCATATAACTTCATCTCGCCGACCCAAAAATCTCCAGTTTGGGCTACCACTTCGATGTCACTAATTTATCTTTGATGAAGGCGAAGTTCTCGTATCGAAGGCCTGGATGATCGGCTCCACGACGAATGCGAGATAACAACGCGGCCAAGACGGTTTCTCAACACGAGGCATATCTATCATACGCCCGATCTGTCCTGCAGCTTATGCAGCCCGAAACATTCTGCCTGGAATCCTGATCGTCGGATGATCTTCGTGTGTTTGACCCGAGACCTTGGGCTATGTCCTGTCAGGCATGCATGAAGAATCTTGCCTATTTACCAAAGAATTTTTCACCTAAGCTACTAGAGAAGACCGATACCCTGGTCCTAGATGTCTTTGACGATCATTTGTAGATCGCTCAGCTTTCGAGAGCATTAAACCCCCGCCGAAGAGTAACTCCGCTGCTCAATCCGAAGGGTTTGAATGAGCGATACCGTTTTAATAGGCCCATACTGATAAGAAACACTGCATTTTCGCCATATTTGCTATGTTTTTATTATTATTATTACTACTTTAATCATAGAGCCATCTTATTATATGCTACCCATCCTTCAATATAAGTTGCGCACTCATACTCTATACGATTGTAAAATTGCGTCTACTGATGTGTTGGAAATCATAAATCGAATGGAGTTAGTCAAATTCGATTACCCATTTAAAGCATCCATGTAGTGCTTTTACCACTGATTTAACGACGATTTACTTTTTCCTAGACAGCTAGTCCACTGGTTAGGAAAACCAGGGAAGGTCTTCTTAGCGAACCCAGCATCCAAATGGCGTAATGTTCCCGGAAACCTGGTTCACCATATGAGGTCCAATCTATTAGATTGTCTGTATTTTCGAAAACCGACGTCCTGCTCTTAATACCACCAAAGCATAACTGGTAACAATATACCTAGGCGTACTCTATCCGAGTCTTCCTAAATCCATATTGTCGGAACAGAATTGCCCCAGGAGAAAGGTTCCAATGGTATTAAGAAATCAAAGCTTTTCTGATTATGTTGCTACATAACATGGAGTACCTACCTAGGTGGGCAGGTACTACTACTCATCGGCCTGCTATGTATAATCTCAGTGGGGGTCCCCCATTAACAATTAAAAGATGTACACAGAATAATTTTAATCCATCACTGTCCTCCCAGGCGTTCAGTCTCGAGAGACGCGAAAACGTAGGCGGCGGAACCGAGCACGCTGTTGAAGAGGATAGGCTGGTGGATGTAGTACTATCACATAGGGTTAGTCTCTTATAACCGATCAAAATTAACAAGGACGAATCATAGATATATATCACTTACGTCGTAGGAAGCCGTCGAGTTCAAACTGCACACCGCAACCGTCCCGTTCCACTCCAACGTGCCGTTGGCTTGGTGTATCACAAACGTATCTGTAATGTACTTGTGCGCACGCACACCAGTCTCCACCGCCTTCGACGCGAGCGTAGCATTGCTACCCAAGTATCCCAGACGCGCGCTCTTGAGCAGAGCGTAGGTGAACATGGAGCTGCCACTCGACTCGATGTAATTGCCCTCGCGCCCGGGTTGGTCGAGCAATTGCCACCATCCACCGGTTGTTGGGTCAACGTGATCAATTAGAGCGCCGGCTAGGGAACGCCACTTCTTGAGAAGATACTCGCGGTACTTAGTCGGGATTTGGGGCGAGGTGGGGAGGACTTCGAGGGTTTCGACGAGTGCGATGGAGTACCATCCTAGACTGCGGCCCCAGACGTGCGGGCTGGCGCCGGTTACCGGGTCGGCCCATGATGCGGCCTTAGAGGCGTCGTAGCCGTGGACCAAGAGGCCGGAGTCGGCCTTGTAGGTGTGGTTCCAGAGTAGCTCGATCTGGTGCAGCATATCATCCAAGGAAGCGGTGTTGTTGCTCGTGGCAGCGTAGTGGGTCGCGTAGATAGTGTAGAACGGGGCCAACGAGAACATGCCGTCCAAGTAGCTCTGCTGTGGGTAGTGGTAATACCAGAGACCATCCTCGTAGGTGCGCGGGTTCAAGTTAATACTCTCACGTAGCGTGTCAGCCGCGGTGCGGAACGAGGCCGCCTCGCTATCGCTGCTGTCGGATAGTATGAGGAGCGCGTTTCCGTTAGAAAGACGGTCCATCGGCCATGATACCGCATCGTAGCTGGCGTTGCTAACCGAGGGGATCACGGATAAGGCGCTGTTGCGGATGTAATCGCGTGCGCGGGGCACGAATTCCGTGTCTTCCGGGTACTGCGCCGTGGCTGCCAAGAGAGCGCGTTGCGTGAAACCGCACTGCAAGAGCTCCGAAACACCTCCATTGCCGGTCCTGATGCCCTGGCTGCGAGCCATGATACTTGAGGCCATCCATGTTGAGTACTTAGATTGCACTCCCGTTGTTCTTCCTACTACTACTCCAGCTGCCTGACCAGCGAGGACAAAGGCGGTGACCGCCCCGGTGGCGTAAGCTTGTATTCCGACCATTTTTAATTTTTATTTTATTTTATTTTCAAAAGAGTGAATATTGGTTTCTGTTCCAATGCAGCCCTTCTCACAAATCGATTAGGATTCGTGGTTTTATACTAGACGACCGTAATTTGAGGACTCGGTGAGGTTCGACTAGGCGGGATTGCATTGGTGTATCCAAAGATGTGTCAGAAAGAACGTGGAAGATGGGTAACTTTTTAAAAGAAAACGTGGAGTTTCCTTTTAGAAGCTTTAGATTACGCGTTGGATCCCATTAGTCCCAGTCGTTTAGGAGATTGCTTAGACGGGACTAGGGATGAATCAATTACCTAGATGCAGTACCAATGCGGCGGTGTCGTCGTTGAAGCTTTTACGACAAGGATTTCGCACAAAGAAAACGGACATCCCGCCCTGCCGCATTCCGCAATCGGTTCCGAAGTTTGCTTTATAATCACAGTTTACATGTATTATTTTATTCTATAATGTAGTACAATGTCCAGACATCTCCAGGTTTACCCCTATTTCGGTATAATTATCGTCGCTTAAGGTAAAGAAATGGAGTATATCGCGAGTTGTCAATTGAAAGTGCCTGTAAAATGATGCTCCCCTTGTGCTTATCCAACTATTAGCTAAGTATATTTTTGTGCGTTCGTCTGGGGTATATAACTGCTGTGCCTCTCAACCCCATCTTTGTTCCAATGTAAATCCCAATCTCGAGTGGGCATGCTTACGACCACTGTAAACCAGCGGACCAGCTTGGATGTCGCCAAACGATTATAATGTTTGATCTTACAAAGCAAAAGCGCGAGACAAAGAGCGAGGCGAGAGCGGGTTCTTATTATTCCGTCGTATGAGGTTTTGGAAAGCGACAGTCTTGAGGATTGAGAATATCAAGGAATCTTCCAAGTGCGCGATTGGTTTCTTCTCACTTACCCCTCACTATAAACTCGTGGAAGCCGACGAATTAAAGATGAAACAGGTCCGGCAAGAAATTCGAATACAGTCCGCCCTTTGTACAGGTACAATCACAATATCCAGGTGTGTTTGCTCGCTCTTCTACCGCCAGCGACGCCGATTCGTTTACTGCGGCGTAGTGGGCGAAGAAAAAGCAAAATGTCTTAGACATGGCGTAGCACTACCGCAAAACGGCACAGAATAGGAGGTAGGTACCGCGACAATCTTAGACCTAAATGATGTGATACTTCCACAAATAGCTCTACTATTTTGCGCCACAGCACTATAAGGTGCGCCATAACTGCAATTTGTTGAAATCGGCTATACCCCCGGGCGTACAGACAGCCAGTGAGTGATTTATTGAACGATGCCGTCGGTGGCTGCATGAGGAAGTCCAGCCACAACTGCCTGGCCAATGTGTATATATTGTCCTATCAATTCTACCTAGGCCGCCTACTATGATGTGTCACAACTCTCCTGTTCGATCGAGAGTCAAGTGTTACCTTACTGTACGAAAGAGGTGGGTTGCAGAAAAAGAGTGTTACATTGCGCCTTCAGCTCCCGCATTACAGCCCTGCCGTCGGCCTGTCCTACCAGCACACAACATACCCTAATCGCCGCTGCTGACACCCGATCTGCGCTCATCATGCAAATAATAGGTCGAATTTATGGAGTTTTGGTCACACTGCTGACAGACCTATTCGGGATATTTCCGCCCCGGACTTCTGTTTCCCATATATTTCACCCTCCATATACCCCTACTTTTATAGACAATCATGTGTACCATGGTAGAATACACACACCCATTCGTCCATGATGACTTTCGGTTTACGTATAGGGTTGTGCTCCCCGGAATGTATATTATTTCTAGAAAATGTCAATCTCAGGATCCGGATCAGGTATGACTAGTACTACCACGTATCAAACCCTGTCTTCTATCTCAGCTCTTCTGCCAGTCACATAGTTACATAGAATGTGACAAGGCATTCGTCGCCCTTCAGTGCCTTTCAATGTCCTTCGGTGTCGACTGGACGTAATAAGCTGGAGGGTTCCCCCACTCTCCTGTGCTTATCCTAATGGTGTAAATCTTGTTTCGCGCCGTCTAAGCAACTAAGGCCTTAGTCGCTCATGTGGTTACGGGGTCACTCGTTCGTCGTCGACTTCAATCCGGAAATATGGGACATCGGGAAGATTTGATAGCGGCTATGGTGGTGTTTCTCGTGGTGGATACTATCGCTATAGCCGCTCGACTCTATGTTCGAATAAAAATGCTCACCCGGGGGTTTGGGTGGGATGATGTTGTGCTTCTCTTGACATACGTAAATTCCCCTTTCAATGAATAGATGTATTCGAACATCACACTGATATTATCATGTCGCTAGATCGGCTTCGTTATCTCGTGTGCGATGGGCTTCGCTTCTATTCGCTACGGATACGCTGCCATAGACGAACAACCATATTATGACAAGACTAAAGCAACAGAGGTAGGTTGAAGATACGATGTCTTCATTCGACTGTTTTGAGTCAAAAGACTAATATGGCTCCAGTTCCTATTCGGTAACCAGTTAGGACTCTACATCAGTGCCGGCTTGGTGAAAATAGCAGTGGCCTTGGTTCTCTACCGTCTTGCATCGACGAAGCGGATGCATTGGATCTTGATCGGGTCTATGGTAGTGGTGACTATCTGGACCGTGGTAATGACGCTGTTCGCATCGTGGCCGTGCGCCCAAAGCGGTGCGAGCAACTGGGCTGGGAGCAAAACGTGTCAGCAAGTTGGTTACTTTCGCACCATCACCAATATCTTCATCGACTACTTCTATGCGATATTTCCGGTGTTCATTCTGAGAAATGTACACATGAACACAAGACTGAAACTATCAGTCATACTGCTGTTAGGATTAGGTGCATTGTAAGTCTTCATTTCATATATCTCCTTTTCATCTCGGTCCGACAGCGCTTATTTCCCATTTATAGTGCGAGTTCCGCAACAATTGTTAAACTCGTCGTCATTGTCAAGTTATCAACAGCAAAAGGCGCGGTCGCCGATGGCTTACATCACGACTTACTACTTTGGGCCGATATCGAGCTAGGAATGGCTACCTTCGCGGCCTCCGCTGCTGCGCTACGGCCCTTACTAAGGCACATACCATCAATCTGGGGCAAGTCACAGACGGCCAATAGTCATGGCACGAGCGAGGCCGTCGGGCCTTATCGAGCGCTTGGTCCTAGTAATGAAATGCACCCACTGAATCGGCACGAGAGCAAGGGAATTAGTGGGAGTGATGACGAGAGGCATATATCTGTCGTATGAATGTATGAACTAAGGTATCTTTTAGTGTACGCATACAAATGTACTAGTAGGGTTAACTACGGTGTACGGCTCAACCTGTTCGCTGCGATATTCGTCCTCATTGCCCCATACCAGTGATCCTGCAGTTCGATGTTCATTGGAAAACTATCGCTACTCCTATCTACACCTGCTAGAGAATACCCCTTCATTGGGCCTTTAAGACAACCCCAAGTAGATATCTCACAAGCAGCAAAAGCCTGCCTTCACCCCAAATCAACGCAAGACAAATGATCCAACTTTCACCACTCAAATAAACTAAAACCACCACTCCTACTCCAAGTCAGAACCATCCTAATCCACAGCCTGCCCCGCCGTCCGAGCCGGCGAGTTAATAACTGCATACGGGCCAATACATCCAACCAACGACTCCCCCTCCACCACACGAGGCTTACGGGGCCGCCCCCTCCCCCGCTTCGGGCTATCATTATCTCTCTGCTTAGGTGGACGACCGCGCGGCGAATTTCCATACCCGGGACTGCCGTATTTGCGTACTCCACCTGCGGGCGGCGAATCATGTTCGGCGATCTTACGACGCTTGATCTTAGCGTCCCGCATATATGAGGGTGCGGGTGTTGGTGTTCGTCGGAGATCGTAGCGATTGTCCCTTTCGCCGCTGCGTTGATTAGATCTTCTATTAATGCTGAGTCTCTCCACACCCGGGCGTAAGGAGTCGACTAAGGGCGAATTACTGGATCGCGGTGTCCGACGGTAGGGGCGGGTTTCCATGAGCATGATGTCTGAGTCTTCGCGAGGAGACGGGGGTGGAAGGGAAGGGGAGTATTGCATGGGAGAGAAATGCGGAGATGTGTCACGGACTCGCGATACGTTGTTTAAGGCTTTCTTTTTGATTTTCTTCGCCTCGCCCTCGGCCTTACTGACGAGGAGGTAGGGCGTGCCCTTGTGGTCATTATGGATGAAGCGGTAACAGAGCTCTAACCAGAGCCGTATCGCGACTGAGATGGTCTCGTCGGCAATTCCCTCGAGTGTCAGCCCCGGCTTCATGACCTTGCTTCGGATATCCTTGACGTTTGATTCATATCGCAATTGCGTTTCCCCCTCGGGCCCGATGCCGGTTGGCTTATGGGTGTCCAGCATGTGGTGCCAGGCTTTTTGGAGGCTTCGGACCATGTTGTCAAACACATATTCTCGTTGTAACTCTAAAATATGTGCAGCGTGAGTCTCGGGGCTAGATGAGGGTGAAGGGGTTCGAGGTCGCTTAGGGGCGGTGGTGGCCCCTATATCTTGTTGTTCTTGGCACATAGTGGACGCCACCACCACGACTGAGCTGGTCTTCTGTTGCACTTCCATGCCCGATTGGAGATTAGTTGAATTGATCGGCTCTGAGGCCCGCCGAGGCTTGGACTTCTGTGGAATGGTCTGTTCTCCTTCAGTCTTCTCTTTCGCTGTTGCGGTAGATTCGCCGATCTCTGGCGATTTGATGGGGTCTTGAACATCTACGCCCTTTTTAGGGGGAACCTCAGTAAGCACCAGGGTATCATCATCCTTCTTCAGTCCATCTTGAAGTTTGGTAGCGTTGTCTACTGCCAGATCTTCCTGGCATTTATTACAGCCTTCCATGGTCGATTTATTGGCGGGCTTAGGTCCCTGGTGTACTGAGGTTGAAGCTATCTTGCCTGGTGAATCAACTTAAGGAGTACCTATGAAATCTTAATACAGATGAACTACTCACTGATTCTGGTTCTGCACCTATGAAATATGCCGCGATGGCCAGGCCTAAATAGGGGGTTCAATGTTGTTTGATGCTAACAATACGGCTTGCCATAACCTATGGCAAAAATGCTAGTGAGGGAATCATGAGTTGATACTTGCTAGAATGCGCTTTAAAGCAACATGTTATTAGAATAATTTATATAAGCAACCACCAAGATCCGCAACGCCGGCTTGGCCCCCTAAACAACAAATCGTTGGCGATCTAAATACGAACAAACGGTTTCTGAAGAGTGTTTGACTGGTACAAAGATCTTGTTCAAAATGGGCATCACGTTAAGTCAGCTCAAAGGCATTGTTATCCGTATATACAACGGGGGGGGGGGGGGGGCTAAATACATGCTGAATGATTCTTGGCGTCCAAACTGACGCACACACATTGATGATATTTCATTTCCTTCATTCAGTCATACAGACCCAAAATCTCGCCAATAATGCTCTTGAATATGCCATTGGGATCGAACTTTTCGCGTACGACCTTGAATCTGGCAATGTGGTCTGGGTCTAGGTTCTTGGTAGCGTTGGTGAATACGTCGCGCGTGTTCTTGGTCCAGTGAGGTCTAGCTGGGAACTCGTCGATGAGGGTCTTGGCAAGTCTAGGGTCTGTCGTCCTTTTCGTTAGCTCTAATTCACATTTCTAGGGGGTAGGAGGGAGTCGAAGTAAGACTTACAGAAATCCTCGTTGAAGCGCTTTCCGTCGCCAATAGTCGGCTTAAACGTAGGGAAGTCGAACATAATAGCGCCCTTGCTCCAGTCGGCACCATCGGATGTGTTGTACGTAACCTGGCCTAAGAAGTTGTAGAATGGCTTGCCGAATTTGATGTTGATGCCACTGCGGTATGTGCTCGTCATGATAATGCCCTTCGCCGCCTCATCATCGAACGCTTTCCGCACGCGCTTAAGCATATCATTGGCTTGCGTAATTGGGAACGCGAGCTCGAGAGTGGCGCCGTGCAGGCCTTCCTCCCACTCGGGTTTTTGGTCCGGGTACAAACCACCAATTAGGACATCGTAGTTCCAACCGTAGACGGGCCACTCTGTGATGGCTTCTTGAGTCGTCTTCTCACGGAAGTTAGGTGCCGTCCATAGTGTAAAGGCAGTAGTCTCGAAGAACATGTTGGAAGTCGCGAGATATTTTCCACTCTCAAGAGTCGACTTTGCGACGGCAGCTTCGGTGTCCGAGATGGAGAATGTGTTCTGGAATCCCTCTTGGTCGCTAAGTGTAAGAGGTACTTTGTCGTAGTATCGCCAATGGAACTTCTTCATGTATGGCCACCACTACAAAACGTTAGATTTTGACACGATATATGGTAAAGAGGCATTGCTCACCCAAAAGTTTGCAGTTGCATAGGGCGCAATCAAGCCATAGATGTCGCCATTCAAAACGTCGTCCTCATCCAGACTAAGACTCTATTAGACCACGAAGGGAGGTGCTAGAGGTTGCAATACTCACGTCTCTTGCTTTGCGAACACCTTGAAATCGGGGTAAATCTTGAACTTCATGCGGACAATGATGCCCAACAGCCCTAAGGAGGTTGAAGCGGCGAGCCAATCGTCATTGGTCTCGTCGCGCTCGACAGTTACGATGTCTCCGTTCGCATTAACAATGTCTAGCGATAGCACACCGGCAGCGACCATCGAGTCTTCGCGAATAGCGGACCGATGTCCTCCCATAGCTACTGCACCGGCCATGGTGATATTCCAATTAACCAATGTATATCCCATGGAAGCATTGTTGTCGTGGAGATACTCGGCGAATTGGAGGAACGTAACACCGGCCTCGATGTCGACTGTTCCGGACTCGGCGCCCTCCTCAAGGTTGAAATTTGAAATTCCGTTGACGAATTCTGTGCGGACGATGATCGTCTCCGGGTTGTCTGAACACATAGTGTCGTACCTTCGAGTATCACAAATTAGAATCAGTCTTAATAAGTTTTTGTAAAGACTCCAGAATACAATAGACTTGAGCTTGACTTACCACATGTGGCCCTTGCCTGAGGCTCGCACGGGCGTGCCATTGGCGGAGGCATTCTTCACAATGCTCACGATGTCATCGACACTCGTAGCATTGTGTACGAGAGCGACATCGTTACAAGCAGGAAATCCATCGCCGTCGAACGTATTATACGGTTCAGCCGCGACACTAGCGGCGCCAGCAAGGGCGAGAATAGGGACGAGGACGCGATGCATCGTAGAATAAACCGTGCTATCGTGCTCACACGTCACGAACTTAACAACGGTCAGAACAAGCTCGAGTTAAGTCGGCTAGGGCAGTTACTTGAACTCCTAGTGGTTGGGGCTGAGCAGCTAGAACCTGCCCAAACTGGTAGGACCTGGGGAAACCATGATCTTTGTATTCACGCGCCAGGAAGCGTACACCGCTCCACAAGTCGATTTCGATTTCCTCGTGATCCCGACTAGCTGCCATTTCCTTCCAACCTGAACTCCAACAATTTTCCCCATTTCCAACCTCGTGGATACTAGGACACCCCCCTGGCTAAGACCTCAAGGTTGACGTATAACGATCAGGGGACAGCTCGGTGTGCACCTGCATTATAGGCAAGGCAAAGGGCAGGTAAGGCTTTCCAAGGTAGTGTTATGCCTCGGATGTGACGTGCAGGAAACACAAGCACCGGCAGTACGAAGGCGCGCCCGTGATGCGATCATCATAAGCATAGCTCTAAAACCTAACGGGAATGCGCTTCCCGGACCATGACCGCGTCACAACGGTTGAGTTTATCTCGGCGAGACTATGAGCGAAGTGTCAGGGGTGGTAACCGCCTAGCTAACCTGTTAACCCTTCTTACTATCGCACTTCTATAGCTAGTTGGTCGGATACCCCAATCCCTAAATCTCCCCTAAGACGGCTCTCCCGACTACAAAGGGACAAGGACGTCTGCGCCGATGTAACACCCCGCCAATTACGGCAAGAGGTGACATAAGAGTTTTTCGCGGGGGGGGAGCCCCGTAGGGTTGCACTGGAGTTTTCCGCCTTGTCGATCATCAGGAGACGCTGCATGTAGACTGGCGGGCGTAATGAAGAGGTAAACTGAGCGTATGCTGGCGCATGAGAAACATACATAGCATATGTACATACTTACATACGCGAAAAGGAGCCTGATGTATCATCTGCAAGGCCGTATCGTACGAGAATATAAAATAATCGATACTACATCGCAACCGGTGAAAGTGTCCAATAGTTAATAATCATACCACCAATCTTTGGTGATGGTCGATGGCTTTCTATATAATGTCTCAAGTCAAGTTCATGCGGCAGTGTATAGACATCTCGTTGGTGGAAGCGGCAGCAATACGGGGATACACCACCTATCCGGTAATTTGCTCGCCGGCCAATTTTTAGAGGATGCGAGGTAACGACGGATCGAGAAATAAAAACAAACATAATACCTGTCATTTGATATAGTAGATTATCGGGTTATATAGATGGGACGCTATGATACAGGGGATAGGACTAGGGTGACGACTCACCTGCCGAGCGAGGTAAACTGGTATCCACATGTGAAGTTCAAGATGGCCTCCTCATTTGCTGTTATACTACTCAAGGGAGGGATATTTATTCGACGCCGAGTCAATACCTGCTGCCCTATAAAATGAGACTTTAAGGGATGGCGGTCCTGTTTGTTTTTCCATTTTAGACTGTCCAAATTAACAAGACAGGAAGTACCGTATGTTAATCCGAATTAATAAAGAATTATTGGGATTTAAGGTCTTGGCTCGATCTGGGTATCATTATGGACGGTTTTCTGCTGTGTCTAAATTAACTCCCACTTCCCAAGCCAGCCAATGTTCTGGCCCGCGTCTCTGACAACGCAAAGTCTTGCGGCGGGGTCGTTTTTATATCGCTTCAGCTCTTCAAGAGTTTTGGTAGCTGATAAATTTCCTATCGCCTCACCTCTTCCATCTCTCAAGTTGAAACAGCCAGTCGTGACAAATCCAATCAGGTCCTCCTTATCAGGACATAGAGGATGGCCTTGGATGTTCTCGGAATTGGGAGGTGGTGGTGGAAAGGCTCCTGGTGGACCAATGAGTTGTTGCGCGAGTAACCGTTGTCGTGTCTCCTGATCCATATCTTGCTTCACAACGACTTTTTTAGTTGTCTTACCCCCGGATGGCTTCCGCGCCAGCCACTGGTCGCGCAGGTTGGCTGGCAGCCTGTATTCCCCCTTCGGATGAGGAGGGTCTGTGGCTGGTACTTCCGCTTGTGTCGACTCAGCGATGCGCTTTATATCTGGAAGTCGATAGATCCTAGCACATGTAGTTACTCCTCCACGCCCAAGGACTTTTATTCTTACTGTTACTAAGGAGGCCGGCGGAGGTGGTTTTGATGTAGGTAATTGGTAAGTGCCAAAGGTGGATTTTGTAAGCTGCGTAATGCTTTCTAGTGAGTCTGCTGGTAACGGCGGCTTCTTATCTCTGTCTTCCTTCTCGTCAACTGACATATCGTTGGAATCGCTTGTGTTCCTGAGATCAAAAAGTGTTTCATAGTCGCAATTCCACCCTACACCAATTTCGCCTTTTCGTCCTGCACCTAGATCAAGCGAGTCCCAATTGACTCGTTTTGCTTTGGGCATTCGATCCCATGCTCGATGTCTTACTTTTCGTTCTTCTAATTCCCAAGTTTTACCCGCGTCTGTAGCGAGTAGATCGCCAGGGAACCAGGGAAGGCCTCGTTCGAATGCAACATGCCTGATCTCATCTAAACCTCCAAACCAAGGGTTGCCACCAGTTGAGAGGGGATAATGCATTAGACTGTACCAGATAGGGGGAACGCATTTCCACGGAAGCATTAATGTCCACGTACCAGATGATTCGGAATCAGTGGAGTGGCGAGAAGCAAGTAGTATGATAGGAATAGAGGGGTCAACTGCAGTTGGTTCAAGGACTATACCTGGAGCACCTTTAGTACGCCGACGATTTAGAGATCGCTGCGATGGAAGTTTAGAGGCTTTAAATCGCATATCTCTGTTGAATAACTGATACGGTGTAATGGCTTCTTCTTTGCGGAATGATGAGACGGCTTCTAAAAGTGCTATTTGTGCATTTTGGTCGCTTGCTTTTGGAAGAGCTACCCGTCGTGGAGGGTAGCACAGGCGGGGGTCTGCAACGGAAAATGCAAGTAGAGTCCCGAGGGGTAAGGCGCCTGGGTCTTTTAATCCAGCGAGGGTTTCAAATTTTGAAGCGTGCTGTTCCTTTGACTCAGGTTTCGAGAAGTATGGCTTTAGCACTCCAAGTAATGCTTCCGTTGAATCGGGACCGGTGATATCGATGCTTCCGATCTCAAACCTCAAGTCTTCTACGTAAGGTCGGGGGTTCTGCCCTTTTGCGAGCCGCAAAATCTCGTTGAATGCTTCTAAAAATGCAGAAGGATGGATACGGATGTAGAGTTGCCTGAACCCTTTTCGTTGTTCGGTGTTATCAGCATTGCCTTCAGGGTTCCAGATAATGGTTGCAGGTCCGATAGTCTGCACGCCACCTTCAATTTTTCTGCTTATTATCCCGGTCCAATGCATGCTGCCTGATCTCCAACGCCTGGCCTTATCATTCCATAGAGCTTCTTGAGCCAATCCTAATGCCTTGAGTACGTTCTGGACACTATTCTGGGCCCCTGATAAGCTAATTGTACTCATATAACTCATGTCCCAAGCCATTGCACCCTTCTCCCATTGAATCCGATGGGTTGGTCGATATACCTTTTGTGTCGGCGTAAGGGGAATTGCAAACCTCCATAATGGCTCTGTAGGAGGGGTCATTCTCGCTCTTTTCGCATGCCATAGGTGGGTCGGAAGCCATGTCTTAGAGACTTGGCGTTTTCTGAACTTTCTAGCAGTGATAATGGGGTTGTTGAGTACGTTCCTTCGTATTTTCGGCCTAGATGTCTTTATGGAGATGGCTTGTTTATCAGCGCCGGAATTTTTCAATTTTTGTAATTTCTTTCGCTTTGCAAGAATTCCCAGTTTCTGGGCTGTTTCGGCTCGTAACCTAGCTTTTGTAGTTTTTGGTTTTCTCGTGCTAGAATTGACGGTTGGGGTATTATCTTCTACCATCTCTCGCTTAGCCCTCTTCCGTAAACGCTTTGGGACTTTTTTGTAGTTATGGGCTGCAGCCCTGCGCCTCATTCTGAAGGGCACTCGCTGAAATGCCCGACTAGTCTGGGAGGTCCTAGTACGCCTCATGCTCTCGTCTAGAGCATTAATCTCAAACGAAAGGGAACCGACGAATGATTGAACATTGAGTTCACCATCTTTCAATGCGGCGTGGGATTTTTGAGCGGCAATGCTCCTAATTTCATGAACCTTCGGGCGTTTAGCACCTCGGGTGCCTGTATCTGAGTTTTTCTCTCCATTCTTAGATCCCGCATCCGGTTGGGGAGGATCCTTTCTCTTATTAGACTTGGATTGTGATGTGTTTTTAGAAGTCTCGGTACTAGGTTTTGGCTTGTTCTTTGCAGTAAATTTCGCTCCAGGTCCCCCAAACGGTTTGGACTGCGATGCCAGTTTAGGAGGCATTTTGTCTGCGCAAGAATTCTAAACAGGCCATATAAACCAACACCTGTCCTAAGAAAATTTAGAGGCGTAGGTAGATCGTCGCCGGTCTTGGGGTGTTGTTATCAGCCATCCAATTGGCCTAGACTTCGAGTTTGGTGAGTATGCTGAAACTGTTTATCCTGGTGGATCCGATGATTTTCACTCATCTCAATATTCTTGATAAGTAATAGTGATGCATTGAGTTGAGTTTCTTCGGTCACTTAAACGCGTATAAAATCAGGCGCGTATGGTTGTTCGTAGTTGCAATTTTTTAAGGTTAGCTTCCAAGGGTTCCTACCAGTAGCCATCCTAGTGGGTCTTAGTAGCTTAACAGCCCTGGATAGAGGTGCTTAGATCTCAGGCAGGCACGTTAGCGTCTTAATCTAGCTCCAATTTAGCACTTTTACGCATATAAAGCTGTTAAATTTAAGGTTAGTCATGGGCTATCTATCTTACGAAACCTTCATTCAAGGTACCTGATACTTCCGCACAGGCTTGCTACAGCTAAAGTATGGTTAGTTTTGGCGGGCATACAATGACGTCTACGAGTCTTCGCTACTTATAACGGGAGTACTTTCTGCTATCCGTGCTGGGGAAAGTTCATTGGCAATTGCTGTGATTCCAAACGACAGAAAGAGCTCAGCTTTAAATTTTAATAATACCTGACAGAAACCTTGATGTCGCCCTATCCATATCACCCAATTTCCAACATAATGGACTAGGGTACCCCCCTTCCTAATTCTTCATCCCCCTTCTCTCTATTAAAATTTGCCTTACTTTGTACTCCTCTGTCCTTGCTTTTTTCCCATCACACATCACATCATTCTCGACCCGTTTCGTTCCGGTGCAGCCGAGAATAGTAATTCATTCCTACCCTATTTACTTGTATGGAATAGTACATACATCCTAGAACATCCCAGAGAGCTAAACAGAGACTATCTTGCTTACCTAGACCGGGCTATCTTCCAACAATCCTGCCCCGAACCATGACTGCGTCTTATCAGTCCACCACCGTCGCTGTCCGCAATTGCTGTTAAGACAGCAGGTAGCTAGGTAGTAGCTAGCTAGATAAGCTAGCTGCTAGCATGTGCAGCCTTCTATTCTCTGCCGCAACGCTGGGGTGACTGTGGCTTTAATAATATTATGGCGTCCTTGAGTATGTAAGCCCGCATCTCACTATCACCCTCCCTTTCCCTTTACCCCCTTCCGCCGCCACCATTTGCTCGTTTTCCTTCCAATCCGAGCTCGTTCCTTGTTTCTTATCAATGTATTGTTGTGTTTCTTGAGCCGCATCTCTAGTTTCGTTCCTCTGCCGTATCTGTTTAATTCCTCCTTCATATTCATCCAATAAGCGAGGATGTAACTTTACCTCTTTTCGACAACTTGTTATTGTCATGTGTCAGCATACTATTATTATTGTTGTCTACCTTTAATTATATTCTTTGCAAATTGCGATCCTTTGTTCTAATTGTCTCTCGTTTTCTTCCATTCATTCGACTGTCTTGCGGTTCGGTGTTAGAAGAAGCGAATCACTCACTACATAATGTCTTTTGCTTCTATTACGATACCTATTGCTATGTGCGACCGTCGTAACTTGCTCAAGCTAACATGCGCAACTTTCCCATAGTGAACAAGGCCCGAAAGGTATATTTACATTGATCAACATTTACTTATATTTCACGATACTAATACGAATATTTCCCTATATAGCCGAAATTCGAGCTACACCTCACTATCTACGACCTGAATAATGTCCCTCTAGTCGCCGGTACCTCTTTGGTGAAATGGCACCTTCCAAATTCCATCTCCGGCGAGCACCGCGGCCGTACCTCCAAATGTTCGATCGACAAGATCAACCATCGCGTTCTCTTCAATTACTCGAAGATCATACCCTTGCGCATATCCATCGACCGCAATGATAACCTTACCGATTGCCCGATCGAATTCGAAGTACTGCAGGAGTTTCCTATGGTTCCTGGTGGTCGCGACGAGAAGATGACCCTTGGTAACATAAGGCTAAACCTCAGCGAATATGTCTTGGAGAGCGAGAACTTCCCGCGCCGTAGTATGGGCGCTCGGCCGACCAGCATGAGTCTAGATCATAAAATCGGGCAGGGTCTATCGCACCGACGACAGAGTAGTAGCAAGTCGACGGGCGGTGCATCCGGTCTCGCGGGCTCTAGTCCGACAAGCGCCACGGCACTACAGGGCCCAAACCTCCAGATGCTCCATCCGGAGGAAAATGACGTTGTGGACGAAGAAGCCGAAGAAGGCATCGTGCGGCGGTACCTCATGCAGGACAGCAAGATCAACAGTACCCTCAAGGTAGGAGTATTGATGGTGCAGATCGACGGTGAACGTAATTACGTCGCGCCTGCCTTAAAGACAGCGCCTATGTTCGGCGGTATCGCCGGTGTAATGACGAGTAACGGCGAAGCCCAAGCCGAGCAACCACCTGACGAGCGACCATCCACCGCGGGATTCGCGAGTATAAGCAACAGTTTTAATAAATCCCGCGACGCCTACGAGTTACAAGATATGTATCGCCGCGCCCTTGCTGCGAGCTGGGCCTGCCAACCGGGCGAATTACCAGCGGACGAATGCGTCGAAGACATATTTGCCGGCGGCGACGGATGGAGCGATAGCACACGGCCGAAAGGCGCTGTTTCGCATAAGAATCGCGGTAGCAGCCGACGGTCTATTGATAGCAGCAATAGCGGCAGCGCAAGTGTTAGCGGCGATGAAGCGGCTGCCGGCACACTCCGACCTAGTGATATACGGCGGATGCGACAGCACACACGCACGCGAAGTAACGGCAGCGATCGTAGTGCCCAGACCCTCCTCGGACCCGGTGTCAGCGGAAGGCGGCATAGCGGCAGCGGTCGGCATATTAGGTATCGCGGCGACATCGCCGGCGCTAGAGTGCATAAAGAGCACGACGACGACGGGATTGCAGGTGATACCGAAACAGGGGTCGGCGGACTCCGTAGCCGCAGCGGGAGTTTAGCTAGTCTTGCTACTACAATCGGTAGCGATCGCGGTCGCGAAGGATTCCGCCGTCCCAAAGAAGTCGACGAGTTCGAGGAACGCGAAGACCTAATTGCGTGGAAGTTACCTGGGACGCCTCCGTAGGAGGAGGATCCGCGGTATAAGTAACGGGCGAGCGCATGTCGACGTTTGTATATGGAGATACCTATAAGGAACTCTGCATGCGGGGTATGTGTTTGTGCTAGTGTTCCCTCGCTAGGGAGATAAATAGATAGATAGAGGGATGTGGATAGATAACGGAATGGGAATGGGGAGGGAGCGTATATAGAAAAGCGATTTGCATGCATTATATTGCACTTGGATTAGCTAAAAATGATAATTACTTGTTTGCTCAATTTTACTACATCAGATTACCGAGCACTAAAGCGACACAGAAGAGGAACGAATAACCAGCCAACTCGAAGATGGATGCCTAAAGTATTATGTAAATACGTAAATACGTAAATACGTTTCTTTTTTTTTTCATCTAACTGTTCTATACCCTATGCCCTATTCCGCCCAAAGGGGAGTGGAACATCATCGCTTTCATGCATCATGTATTACGCATCACGAATTATCCGTCCACTCCGCATGAAGTCCCTTCTATATCGTATCGTATCGAATAGTTAGCCGCCTACCGCGCAGTGGTCCATCCGCATCCGGCTTCAATTAAACCATTTTTTTGAGAATAAGGGAAGGTAAGGTAAGGTAAGGGTAAGTAAGGGGTGGCATCATTAAATAAATTGATGTACTTAAGGAGCCTTCAAGTTGCCCCTAACACCACCCTTACCGCCGACTTCCCTCGTCGCGATAGTGACTGCGAGATCGCCTGCCACGTTAATGGTGACTTCGACCTTGCTTCCCTTCTTGACATCTCGGATGGCGGCTTCAGCCAGGGTGTTGCCGATTTTCCACACCTTTTCTCGGTGCTCCTCTTCTTCCTCATCAGATTCATCGAAATCGCTGTCATCCTCATCGTCGTCTTCCTTGTCGCCGTTCTCCTTTGGCTTGGGCTCGGACTTGGTCACCTTGATATGGGTACCACCCTCAACTACCTTCACCAACACATTGCCGCCACTTGCGGGAGCTGCGATGTGGATGGTTCGACGAGCCGGGACAGCTGTCTCCGGCGCGATGATTGGTGTGAATGTCTCCTCGCCTTCATCGGATAACGAGATAACACCAATAGCGTTAGTGATGTGTTTAACAGTTGTGACTGCGGGATGTGTTGATTGTTCGATATCATCCGATTCGTATTCTTGGATCAAAGAAGCTTGGAGAGCAGCGCCGCGGGCTTGAAGTTCGGAGGGGTTGATGGCACTAGCGCTCGTTGCCGGAGCTTGAATTGTAGTACTCTCCGGGAATATCGCTCGGAAATTATTTGCGATTCTGGGCGTGTGCGACGTGCCACCAGATAGAATTACCTCGTCAATATCCAGGACATCCAGACCAGCCTTCTTAATGACACCCTCAACCAAGCGGTTAAAGCCCTCGAAGACCTTGCGCGCGATTGTTTCGTACCTAAGTCGGTTGATGGTGGTCTGAAAGTCAATTCCCTCTGCCAAGCTTTCAACGCTAAAGCTGGCGTTTGTACCAATGCTAAGAGCCTTCTTGGCGGCTTCAGACTCAGCCTTAAGCTTCGCCAAGCTCCTTGCATTTCCTCGAGGGTCAACATTGGCATTCTTCTTCTGGAATTCCTTCGCAAAGTGGTCCATGAGGACAGTGTCTAAGTGGGAACCGGAGAATTCATAGTCGTGCGCCGTTGCAAGAATTGTGTAAAGTCCACCTCTTGAAGCTACTACGGCAACGTCCGAACGTGTACCACCAAGGTCGGCCACCACAATAATCTTGTCTTCCAACTTGGCCTCTGGTCTCGCATCATAAGCAAGAACCGACGCAATTGGCTCGTTGATTAATTGGAGGACCTCAAGCCCAGCATCATTTGCAGATTGAATTAGGGTCGTTCTCTGGGCTTCTGTGAAGTTTGTAGGGACTGATATTACAGCAGAGGTAACCTTCTTTCCTAGGTAGTCCGAGGCTGATTGTACGAGGCGGCGCAGATATCGGGCAGAAACTTCCTTAACGGTGAGGGTTGAAGGTGATTCTCCCTCGACCTTGTCCTGGATTGTGAAAGATACGCTTCCATTTACGTCCTGGGGGTGGGAAGCTGCATGGCAGTGGGTAGGATCAATCGACTTGAATCTATCGTAAAAGTAAGCTCTTAATCCGTGTAATAGCTAAAGAGAAAGACATACTCTTGGCCAAGGAAGTCTTTGAAGGATATAACCGTGTTCTTGGGGTTTCGGATTAGCAAGGCCTTGGCTTGGTTACCAGTGTACTCTTCGCCCTCGACGTATGATAGGATGGTGGGGATTTGTCGGTCTGTTACATAAACCAGTTAGCGAGCTCGGCATCACAAAATCTGGAGGGGTTATTTGATTCTTACCTCCATCTTCATTTGCGATTACAACTGGGCTGTCGTCAATCGTGCAAGCAATGGAACTGTACGAATTACCAAAGGAAATACCAATGGCGCATCGATTTTCTGGCGAAACGCCAGGCTGGCTGGCCTTCGTTTCAGTCATGAGTGCAAAATTTGAAGAAATCGTAAAATTATTAAGTTATTGATTGTGTCGCTGCACAAATTTACCGCAAGTGGAACTCAGGAAATATTATACCAGGAGGCTTGTTTTGATGGTGGGGGTGAGATTGGGATTTCAGCGATTTCCCAAAATTTTTGATGTCGAAGAAAAAAATTAAAGTTACTTGACAGCAAGGATCCCTGCCCACCTTACTTGCATTCGGTACTTAGGTACATTACCGTGGGGTATACACTAGCCACACTGCCCCTCCATCCACTCAGGCTTCGTTACGTGAGCAAACGCTTCACTAGCCACATCTACAGTTAAAAGCAAAAGCTCCATACCCATACCTTGATCCCACTAAAATTTCAGAGCTCGTCCTCTCATCATCACATACAATAACGAAGATGGCGGCAGAAACAAGTGAAAGGATATTCGTCCTTCCCGGCGATCAAATATATCCCTCACAAATCCCATTGCACCCGAAACGAGCATTACGACTTGGTCCGGGCCTTCGTCATATCCCTCCTAATGAGTTGATACCCACGGTAGCTGGTCAGCTTGTCACAGATCACAAGAAGAATTCGATATGGGTGGAATACAACGGAGGACGAGTAAGTCCGTACTTTTCTTGGTTATGATTAGTTTACTAAAAACCTCGATAGTACGTACCAACGGTCGGTGACTTGGTCATTGGAACCGTTCACCACTCCGCCACAGACTACTTCTACGTTATGCTATCAGGCTACACTTCCAACGCCGTGCTCCCACAGCTCGCGTTCGAGATGGCGACGAAGAAGACACGACCCAACTTGAACCCAGGATCTTTAGTCTACGCGCGAGTTAGTCTCGCGAACCGCCACATGGACCCCGAGCTGGAGTGTGTCTCAGCGACCACGGGAAAAGCAGACGGGTTAGGCCCATTGAACGGCGGTATGCTGTTTGACATCTCACTCGGCATGGCCAGACGGCTTCTTATGAGGAAGTCCGTCGAAGAAGGCAAGGTTGTTGTTCTAGAAGAACTCGGAGCCGCGGGCCTCGCGTTTGAGACGGCGGTTGGTAGAAATGGAAAGATATGGGTTAACAGCGAGAAAATCAAGGCTGTGCTCGCCGTTGGACGGGCGGTGAAGGAGACTGACGAGAAGAATCTCAGCGTAGAGCAGCAGAAGAAGTTAGTACGAAAACTGATCAAGGAATTGAGTTAGGTCGGTACTTGATATGGATTACGACTATTTTCTTGATACTTAAATGATACCCATTCAATCACGTCCCATTCACACATGCTTTGAACACTCTAATGATGACCAAATATGTTTCTTATTAAGGTCAATACTATAGATACTTGACTATTCTAATTGTTCCAAGAGACTTAGATACGATACCAGATCATACCCGAAACAGTTAATTTGTAAGAATTAGAAAGCAGAAACAGAAAATGAGAGAATTGCTAGTTGTCGTATGCAATATGCTCTGGGTAGCATATTTATAACTAGCAGTACGTTGGACTCGACTCTAAGCCGAAGACTCACCTTTTTTTGAGATATCCCCCCGAACCTAGAAGCAGATGGGCCAAAAACCAGGAGATGGAACCAGAGAACCAAGAATACTCACCCTCCGTATGTACAAGCATGTCCGTATATACCGCGGTCGTATTTGATGATGATAAGGGGCCATAGTCTCTACTAGAGACGGGATTCCTTTTGCCTCGCCTTCTTCGATTAGGTCTATTTTAGATCCATTTCACTGTGATAGGGGAAAAATCAGTAATTGGTCCAGGAAAGGAAGAAGCCCCGACGAATCCCCAGGGAGGTTGAGTCCAATTGGCTCATCCGGAAACCAACGACAGCTCGGACGAGCTAGAAAGGGTAGACTTACTCTGTAGTCGGCGCTCTAGCCGTCGCCTCGCGCGACAACTAGGACACTTCTTGGCTTCATCAGTCTCGCCGGGTTTGCAAAAGCAAGATTGTACCGCGCACGAGAAGCTAGGCGAAGGTAAGCTAACAGAGACCAGCACGTCGTTAGGCGTTCCGGGGGTCAATGTCATCTCACTGTCGTTATTCTCCTTTTCTAGGAAAGCGGGCGTAGGAATTCCGTGCTCACGGAAGTGCGATGTTCGGGGTGTACGTGGTGGAGGGACAGGCGGGGAACACGGTGAAACTCGACGGTTCGGCGAGCCCTGTAGTGAATCCGCAGACTTTGGAGTCCTTAGGAGGTAAGTGACAGACTTGCTCCGGGGGAGCGACGGGGAAGCCATGGACACGCTTGATACATAAGGAGCAGAAAGGGGGGTTTTTCTTCGAGGTTTCTCACCTTTCTCGATCACTTCATCAGCAAAACGGACTTCGCGCCTCCAAGTAGGGATCTTAGGGGCGGCTAAAATCCGAATACTGGAAGGACGAGCATATCCTGGGATTTTTACAGTCTCAGCCGCCTTGGTAATCCGCGATACAAGTGAACTGGATGATGGCTGCTCATGGATTGGAGGCCTGGTACGGCGAGGCTCTGGCTGGTACAGAGCGCGATCCCCGGTTTTGCCGTGGACGGCCCGGTCATCATTCATGTCATCAGATTCTATAGTCCTTGGGGAATCGATACGGTCTTCTTCTTCTTCTTCTTGCCACCCGGCCATATTTGCTGTACTCCATCCATCATCCAAATACCTATTGCGCAAAACATTCCGACGCGCTGCCTCATCTATCGTGAGGTTGGTTCTGGAATTTCTATTATGTGATCGTGGCCTTTGAATAGGATTTGTCGAGCGGCTGATGGGGTTTGAAACACGATCGCCATGTCGGGAACGAGGAATGACTGGTGCCGGGGGACTTAGCGGAGGCGGGGATGGGTGCAGACGGTTTACGGATGTCGAACTGCTGGACATCCCGGACGTTGCCCGTTGGAGGGCAGCAGCAGCTCGAGGAGCACCCATCTTATATAACTCTTTTGGAGAAACGTATGCCTCGTGGGGGATCGTTGCAGGGTCAATAGTATCCTTGTGTACCCCACTATACTCTTTATACTCGAGGAATTTCTGGCTGACCTTATGAGCGGCTACCTCGCCAAAGTTGGTAACAAAGTACTCGTAGCAAGAGTTACATACCCGGGGTACTTTGACCGCATGGCGCTCTATCTCACAGTCAGAGAAGAGTATGGCGATACAGGAACCCTTCTTCTTATAATAATATCGCCAGCACCTATAGAATTCTCGCTCCTTGTGGCTACAAGCGTAGCGAGAAGTGAGGCGTCTGCAGTCGCACCCCATGATGATTCTCTGATCCACCCAAGTGGATAGACCGAGTGTAGTGAAAAGTGAAAGTGTACGACTACGTACTGGCAAATGCTCTGAAAAGACAAAAAAAGAACAGAAGATAAATATGACAGTTATTATTCCTATATACTAGAATCAGTTGATTGTGAGTACATTGAGGTGACAGGCAGGATAATAGATACAAAGGGTTATTTGTATACATGAGCCATCTAGGGGTTGAAGACGATTGTTCTATAACATGGTCACTGATTCGACACAAAGTCGGACGCTCCTAACAAGTGCATTGTTGCACCCTTAAAAGTTTTGTAGGGTGCTATAGAGAAGAAAGAGGGGGGAGCCATTCTGTCAATGAAGCTGTGTGAGTTGGGTATGATCGCGACTTATCTTTCATGTAATATTGGATGCTCTTTGGCATAGAGAAGGAGACAAAGCTTTATATCAATAATCGTGTTTCGACAAAGAAAATTGTTCAAGTACGGAATCAGTGTTTTCGCATTGCCTCGAGGTTACTTCGCTCGAAGTCTTGTTCTTGACGAAGGACGGAGTCAAGTCGATAAAACTGAAGTTCATGTCAGCAACAGAGGAGGCTGTGTAAAATGATGAGCCTCTTACTCATAACCCGAATGTTCCTATGTCACCAATGAGATACTAATAATAATAATCTTTTATGAAAACAGAGCTAGATATTGCCGGTTGACTCACAACGGGACCCATGGGTCGGGAAAAAAAAAAGATGTCAAGGATAAAGTCATAAGGGGAGGTAGCGCTGTTTATAGGGAACAAACAGCGTATAGATAAGGAAGCTACCCCGCCAAAGCTTTCACCCAAACCACCTTCCTCTAACCCTCTTTCGTCATCGGACCCTTAAGGGCTACATGTACTTATAACTTAAATCTTTTTCCTTTTCTTTCCTTCAATTAATATCTTCGTTAAGATTTAGAGTGAGATAATAAGGATAATACCCCGAACCGAAACCTCAAGCGATGGATTCAAAAACGGATGATTTATTGAAGCGACCTCTCTATGGTAAATTCCCACCCCACTACTCTGACGTCGCCGTAGACCATAGTACACTTTCTAATCGAACTGCTTAGTTTACGATCTACCCGCTCAAGTTCTTGACACCCTCACATTAAAACAAGATGCAACCGACGAAACCCAGGATATAACGAAAGAGACGACAAAATCTACAACCCAAGATGCATCGTCCAATGATTCATCATCCAATACGTTGGTGGGCTCACAGTCCTGCTCGCTTTGCACACTCTCGTTTGCGACCGTGCAGGATCAGCGCAGTCACCTAAAATCCGACCTACACCACTATAATCTCAAGCAAAAGCTGCGCGGGCGAAACCCCGTCTCCGAGCCCGAATTCGAGAAGTTGATTGCCAATCTAGACGAGAGTCTCTCTGGTTCCGATTCGACCGATTCTGAGGAGGAGGAAGACGATGGTGACGCTAAGGAGAGCAACCTCTTAACAACGTTATTGAAGAAGCAAGCAACGTTAGTGGATAAGGGAAGAAATCAGAATACAATTGATGACCAAGAGGGGGACGAAGATGGTAATCCGAGAAAGAAGCAAAGAGGTGGCGGGGGACAACCATTGTTGTGGTTTAGCTCGCCCGTATTGCCTCAAAATACTTATTTTGGCATCTATCGTGCTATTTTCTCGTTGGAAGAATCCAGGGACCAAAATAAGATCGTTGAGACAGTCAAGAGCAAACAGTTAGCACCGATACCTGTACCAAAGACAGGTCCAGATGGAAATTATGCGCCCGCCGTCTACAAAGGGCCACACATCTTCCTCTGCATGATCGGCGGTGGTCATTTCGCCGCCATGGTGGTATCACTAGCACCACGGCAAACGAAGCATGGATCCGTAGGGCCCTTGAATAGGGAAGCGACAGTACTAGCACACAAGACTTTTCACAGATATACCACAAGAAGGAAGCAGGGTGGTTCGCAATCGGCGAACGACAATGCGAAAGGCAATGCGCATTCGGCCGGTTCTAGTATTCGTCGATACAACGAACAAGCTTTAACGGATGAGGTACGGTTACTTTTGCAAGACTGGAAGGGTTTACTAGATACAGCCGAACTCCTGTTCATTCGCGCGACGGGAGCCACGAACCGAAGGACTCTATTCGGTCCTTACGATGGCCAAGTTCTACGAGCAAATGACCCGCGTATACGTGGTTTCCCCTTTAGCACGCGGAGAGCGACGCAAAATGAACTTATGCGATCTTTCATAGAGTTGACTCGATTAAAAGTCCGCGAGATAGACCCGGCGCAATTAACGAAGGCGCAAGAGGAAACGCCCGCAAAGGCAACTTCTAAGCCGTCAAAACCGGCTGCGCCGAAATTAACGGAAGAGGAAGAGACGGCGTTACTACACACATCACAACTGCAAGCTTTCATACGAAGATCCAAACTACCCGCTTTACTATCATATCTAAAGAGCAACGATGTGCCCGCCGACTTCCTCTTCCAACCTATAGACTCGCCACAAAATCACCACGCACCCACCCCTCTTCACTTCGCCGCGAACCAGAACTCAGCGCCGCTCGTATTAGGCCTCCTAGCGAAAGCTGGCGCAGATCCCACACTCAAGAATAAAGAAGGCAAAACGCCCTTTGAGCTTGCAGGCGATCGGCCGACTCGCGACGCCTTCCGCGTAGCCCGCGATGAGCTAGGTGAGGCCGAATGGGACTGGGAAGCCGCGCGCGTGCCGCCAGCTCTCAAGAAAGAAGAAGCAGAAAAACGCGACGAGCGGGAGTGCAAAGAGGATGAGAGAAGAGAAGCAGAGCGTCGCAAAACTGAGGAACAACGGCTTAGAAGCGAGGGCCCTAAAGTCCCGGATGCGAGCAAAGCGCGAGGGAAGAGTCTACTAGAAGCCGGCGCGAAAAAGACAGCACAGGATAAGCGCGAAGAAGAGGCACGTGGATTGACGCCCGAGCAAAGGATGAAACTCGATCGTGAGAGGAGAGCGCGAGCAGCCGAGGAGAGATTACGGCGGATGCGGGCTGGTGGTGGATAGACTAGTGATTAAGGATGAAGATGTACGCTTACTAGATTAATTTCAAGAGAGACGGGAAAGAGCGAAATAGAAGCAAATTAAAGATGAAGCCGTGAGATTTTCTGACTTTGAGATAATTAACTGGTTCGGCGTATTAGGCTAGCTGGTTTCCAACCGCCGAGGTGTGCCTCTGTAGCGCTTTTTCGGTGACTGACGTTTTTGTGTCAGCTGGATTACGGCCCGTTCTACTAGTATCTATAGGGGATATTTAGGTGCAGAGGAACAGGTTGTAAAAGTAGAGAGACACGGCAGAGGACGCCCGCGAGTAAGCTCTAGTAAGCGCCACTAATATCGTGCATGCCCAATGGAGTTGATACTTGGGTTTGATTTCGTTTCGGCGCCTCTTGTTTGAATTCAAGACAAAGTCATGAAAATTATGTGGTTTTGATTTTTGAAGTTGAGTTTGGGTTTGATTCAGAGGGAAGCGGTGTATCTGTTTCGGTACGTCGTCGTCGGGGCCGGTGGAGGCTATACTTAGTCCTTGGTCTTCCAGCCCCCGGCGACCCCAGAGCAAATGAAAGGGGTAGTATGTGTCGTCCATCAGGAGAGCTTATTCATCCTACAAACCCTCATCCGATATTTTCGGTAGGTATGCAGAGAGAAACATCCTGCTACCAACATAGCTTACCCCAGATGCTGAATCCTCTCAGGGCCTAAGGTACCTAGAATGCGACATGGCCAATTCCATCACAAATTCCTAACGCGCGTCTCACCTTACTGTCACTATACCTACCTAGGTACCTACGGTTAGGGGTCTTACGGGGGGCTTACGGGGGGCTTACGGGGGGCTTTTTTTTCTTTTCAGTTGCTTAATCGCGGGCACATAGCCACCTCCTCCTAATAACTATCTAACGTACCTGCTGTTACATATACAAGTAGCTCGGACGACTAGCTCCGGCCATCGATCACGATCACATCAGCCAAATCAATAACTCTGCCGTGTGGCGGCTGATCGAAGTGCGTTGACTGGTCAGTTATGAGCTCAGAGGCGTTTTGGGGTTGTATATGCCGCTTCGTATTGCGGAGTTTGCATGATGGAGGCGTTTATGGAAATTGGTGTGCAGAGGATTCCGGGTAGCGGGCGTTCTGTCATAGTACACAATGATTGGACGGCATGGAGAGTGTCTATACAGTGTTATTTCGAATGCCTACTCGGTGATATTTTCCTCTGAGTTGTCAGTGTTGTTGGCCCAATCGCGCTGGAATGTCTTAAGCATGTCAGGCGCATCTATAAGCAGCCAGCCGTCTCACTGTCGGGATCGTTTATTAATGCCTAGCGTCAAGCGCCTGGGAAGTATATCATAAATTGTCACTTGGTAGGCGATTAGGTAGCTTTTAAACCAGCTGGATGCGATCACATATCTGAGGCTGCTGCGCGAGACTTTCGCAATAGTGGAGTGCAAATTGTTAATCGATTCAATCCGATCTTCCCAGATCGATCATCATTGAAGATTTCTCTGTTGGGACCAATCAGACCTTGCTCCTGCAGGATTGTTGTCGTCAACGATTAGTTCCCGTAGATCAACAGTAGGGGTTTGTAATAGGGATCAGCAGGAAAACAAACCGACAACCGAAAGAATGGGACAACTGCTAATAATAGTCGAAACATATCCAAATGATACCTACCTTTTTACCAAGAAGATTCAAAATCCAACGTCTGATTAATTTAATTAATTTTCAAAGAGCATTCGTAATGTTATACCACGTGGTAGTATCGCGGACGTCATGACGCTGGTTAATTTCGTTTGCTTACCGTGGTGAGCATCCGTAAAGCCCAGAGGAATGGTTTCTTGTTTACCTGTTTAGGTACCTTGGGGAGCCGACTCCTTTTCCTCTCTTCCATATGCCGTGCGTCGTTATTTACAATCGTCCCTTCGGGAATGGAGACTTCCTCTAAACCCCTCAACTAGGTACTAACCTCAATCATTCGATGGATCCTCTAGATCCGAGGCTACGCTGTATTTCTCGCTTCTTCCTCAAGGATCATACGTGGTATCGTTCGAATAATCGGGTAAGTCGGTCATAATCAATTTTCTATCTATTCCATACGTAGATTTCGGAAAGCTCGCCTACTCCGCTTCTCCACTTGCGATTTGTCTTTTTTCTACTAAAGATATGATGAGAGAATACTTCTAGCGCGAGGCTACTTGCGGATAGTGTACTCTCTTCACAATTCTGGGGATTAATCCGTGACATATGGCTACGGTTAGGTAATTGATATCCGATCGCTGGGAAACTATCGGTGGTCAGACCCAGATTGCCTGACAGGAGATCCATAAATTGTTAGTTGCTTTCCTAAAGAGGTAAATGTACCTGGCGATCATTTCTTTGGTTCTAGGCCGTCGCTTAAGCTGATCGCATAGATTGAACCGCACAGCCCTCGATGTGATCATGAACATCATAGCACTCATGCTACTGTGTACTTAGGTAGTGTATTCTTTAACGAGATGAACAGACCGAAAATGTCTAACCAGTCCATCGGAAAAGACGCTTGGACGATCGTATTCCTAATGATCTCATCTCGTGTACGAAATTGGGCTATGTTCTGCTGAAACTTGCACAATGTCGATAGATCGCAGAGAAACTTGATTTAGTTGGATGATTCTCAACTGAGCATGAATATTGGCCGTGCTACGGAAAACTTGGTCAATGAAGATGTTACAGGTGAAGGAACTGGTAGCGATGAGATTTCCAAGAAGAGAAGCCAAGGCCAAGATGGGACGATACCATAATCGTCGATAATGTCGCATTAACCAAGGGTAGGTATCAGGTAATGCATGCGGCTCGTATTCATCCCTTAGTAGACCATTAGTCGTCCAAATCAGGGGTTCCTTTAGGATGGGTGGATGCAAACCAGGTAATGCGGCTCTCGGTATGAAGCGAATGACCGTGGATGTTCCTTGTCTAGATCATGTGTCTAATTCGGAATATCGTGGATATTATCGTATAGATAGCAGCCTAGGTAACTTGAATAAGGGGTCGGGAATATAGTAATCTAGCTAGTTGAATTCGGCTCTTTTCAAGTCAGGTTGCTCCCTCCATAGGTGGACACTTGGGAGTAGAGTAAAAAAGGACAAAATGGTGAAACTATGGGCTTAGAAGTTGTCGGGTGTCGGGATTTCCAAAAAGTGTTACTGGCTACAAGGTGAAACAGAAAGCAGGGCGTGATAAAGGGGTTGGGTAGCTTTACCAGGCGTAGTGAGCTAAGCCGTTAGGAGGCTGATGGGATAGAACCTGCATTGGTCTAGCCCTCTAGTCTAGAGATGGAGTAGACGGCGGCAAGGATACCTTTATTGGCCCTTGTCAGTTGTCTTCTCAGGCCTCCACTGTGCGGGCTAATATTTAGTTGACAGTTGGGTCAATTACTAGTTGTAAAGTACTTACCGATTGAGGACAACTTGAGCGAGGGCTGGCGAACTTAACAAAAGCAACTTCTACAAAGCGCCACCCGCATTTCGGCGGTATCTCTCAAGCCACCTTGGGAGCCTTTTGCGCATCCTTTCCCGTAACATCCGATGTACCTAAGTACTGTGGAATTTCATTGGAGCAGATACCGTTGTGTTAAGCCCCCTAACTCACTTAATGCCTAAATCGTTCACCAAAGTCTTACGGACGTCCGGCGTAACAAAACGAAGTCACTTTTCATTTTCTCAACAAGGAGAAGCTATCTCCTAGTACCTAATTGACAAAGCCTTCGGTCGTCTATTATCTATCTATATGTTTGTTGAACATACGCCTTCCTTAGATTGGGTACCTAGGTCTAGCTAATTCAGGGCTCGACGGGGCGAAATGCAGATCCTATTCAGTGCTGGTGGGTGAGAAGTCGCACTGTGGAGAACGACCTATTACTCGCAGATAAAAATTGATCGTTGCAGGGGATCTAACAGATCTCAAAATCGTCTAAAAGAAACTTCTCTTGTGGTCTAATCGATGGTCCCACGTTGTAACCCTGGTCCGCAGATGCGACTCAGCGATGGTGCCGTACCTGCATTAGAGCCAGCTCCTCAGGATAAAGACCGAGAGTGGCTATGCTTGTTTCAAGATGAACAGAACACCATCATTCTCCTAGTAAAGGGGGTTATAGACTCCTAATCTGGTTTCGCTTTCTTTTTGCTATTCCATGAATTGAATTTCTATGCAAAACTAGGAGGCGGCGGCAACTGCGCGAACTAGTCTGCGCACCAGGGCCGCATCTATTTCACACCGACTTACCTAGGTAGACGATAGTCCAGCCGTGGTACTATTGCCGTTGTGCTTGAATTCCAAATATTAGGGGCTTACTGTGTAGTTTATTTCCGATGGTCTTTATCAGGCGCTGGGAAATCCTGTAGCTAAACGCCAGTAAGAATTATCTGTTTATGGCAGCAACTGACATAGGCATGGGCGCCTCAATGTGATTTGTGCAAAATACAGTCCTATAGCTGAAGATGGTAAGTGTTATTAACCAAATTCATGATAAACAGGGGACATCATTGGTCAAAAAGACATGTTGGGGTTGGTTTGACTGGCCAGGAATAGCGGATAGATTGCAGTTGATCCTTGGTAAACCCCTGAGAATACCACACTAGTATCCAAGACACCCCGGCTCGCAGCCGCGCGCTCTGTGCTTTCAACTCGGTCTAACTGCTGTGGATCTTAAGACATTTCTCGACTTCATTCTAGCCCCTAGCGTCCATTTCACTTGACCTTTGAGTCCTTGCCAAAGCTATGCCATCCTCTTCTCGGCTTTCCTTCTCGCTACAGACCACCCTGCGGGCTTACCTAGGTACTTTATCCGTCCCTGGAACAGGGGCCAAAAGGATACAGCCGCCAAGTAAGAATAATGCTAACGTCGGTACGAGTTATTGTATCCCAATCGTGATATCTTCAGATATCCTGTTCGATTTTTCATAATATTGTGATTCGTAGAATATTTATCATTTACCAGGCCTTTGGGTCTCGTCGTATTTACATATTGTTTTTAACTAGCGAGATACTCTTAGTACGAGAATTTGGGTTCGTGGCGTCGGTCTCGAATAAAGCAGCAATGGAGAACAACAAGTACTAGATTAACAATATTCGCCAAGGAATGCTGTACAGATTCCAACATGGGTTCTTGGAATAAACATCTAATCCTAGACCCTAGTCTAGCAGGGTCTGGTCTCCGTCGGTGCGACAGCTAGGTTCCTCGCCAATGGAGTGGTTGACGGTAACCCGTCGTGAGATGTTATATAAATCTTGTATCTTCTCCGCGTCTATCACTGGTGTTACTCCTTCCCTATCATCACCACTTTCTTTCCTTAAGGGTAGACATCACTGTCGCTTCTTTCTCTTTCTTGGAAGTCAAGGTCATTCGTTTGCTTGCTTCCATCTATAATTTCATTTTCCTGTAATACAGTCGTTATCAAAATAACCACATTCACTCATAACAGGATTTTCACCCACGCCGTCTACCAAGGACTGAATTATTCAAAATGAAGAACTCCCTATCGCTCGTCGCCTTGGCTGCTGGCCTCAGCCAGGTCTCGGCCACAGTAAGTATTATCCTTCGATCTAGATGGTAATGATAGGATCTAATCATAGTAGGGCTTCGGATTTTCCAACGCCCCTAAATTCACCTGCCCGGATAACACCGACAACACCTGTATCCCCGAGATCATCCCCGGTATCAACTGGTCCGATCTACCCCTCGGTGGATTTGATTCCTACAAGGGATTCAAGTGGAGCGGTTTCACTTGCGCCGACAAGTTCAGCAAGCGTGATGAACTCGCTGCCCGAACTTCCTCCTTCCAGAGCAAATGCATCACCGGTACCGCTTCTTCAGATAAGGGCAAGAGCCCCAAGATCAGCTGCGACAAGTCGAAGGGCGTCGATAAGACATCCATCTCCAAGTTCCAAGTTACTCCAGCTTTCGACTGTGATCTCGAATTCCACTATACCATGCCCACTGGTGAGACATGCAAGCACCGATCTCCTTGCAAGGCTTCCGGTACCGTTGTAGAGAACACACAGTGTGGTGGCGCCACGGATGTTACTGTCGTCTACCCCAAGCAGCCCAACAAGCCCAAGGACACCTGCGACTTCGGCATTCACCACATTGAGTTCGACTGCTCAGGCCCCAAGCCCAGCAAGCCTGCCGTTTCCAGCAGCTACGTCGTTAGCACCCCGTCTGCTTCTCCCTCGTCGTCCGTCGTCACCTTCAGCTACTCTGCCAGCATTCCCACCATCAGCGTCAGCAGCAGCAGCCCTGTTTCGCAATCCAGCTACTCTGCCAGCGTCCCTACCCTGTCATTGTCTTACTCCGCCAGCGTTCCCACTCTATCTTCCTACTCCGCTAGCTCTCCCAGCCAGAGCGCCAGCTCCACCGCTAGCACCTCTGCTACCGAGTCTAGCTCCTACGTCGTTTCCTCCAGCAGCGCCACCAGCTCTGCTACCCAGGCTACTAGCTCTTCTTACGCCACTGTCGGTACTTCCAGCAGCGAGTCCGTCTCTTCGTACTCTGTCACCAGCTACTTGAGCACCTCCACTGTCTTCACCACCTCGGTCCAGACTATCACCAGCTGCGGTTCCACCGTCTCTAACTGCCCTGCTGGCTCTACTGCACTTACCACCGTCACTGTCCCCGTCTCGACCACCATCTGCCCTGTCACCGAGACTGTCAGCGTATCGCAGCCCACCAGCTACCCCTCTTCTAAGCCTGTCGATTCTACCTCCGCTCCTATTGGTTCTTCCACCACAGCTCCCGTCTCTTCCAGCAGCACCAGCCCCGCCGGCCCTGTTGAGACTCTTCCCTGCCCCGGTGTCGTTCCCTCTTGCTTGAACACCTGGATGTTCAGCGTTGGCTGCAAGGATAATACCGACTCTGCTTGCTACTGCCCTGACGCCAGCTTCACCAAGAACATCTTCACCTGCCTGTACGCTTACGGTGAGTCCGACGAGGTCATCTCCGAGGCCATCAGCTACTTCCAGGGTATCTGCGCTCCTTTCGTCGGCAGTAACCCCGGCATTGCCACCGGTGCTGAGACCATCACCACCGTCCTCACTGCCACTCCCACCACTGTCCCTGCTGCTGTTACCACCATCGAGGTTGCTACCACTGTTGTTGTTCCTTGCACCAACGAGGCTGGTGAGACCATCCCCAGCTCTTCCAGCACTGTAACCATCAACACTAGCATCACCGTCCCTGGTGTCATTTTCAGCACTGTCACCTCTGGCCCTAGCTCCACTGGTGTCGCCGTTGTCCCCGGCACCTACTCTGCCTCTGTCCCTGTCGCCGTCCCTACTATTGCGCCTGCGACCTCTGCCCCTGCTGGTGGTGCTCCTTACCCCACCGTCGGTGTCTCCACGACTTTCAGCTCTGCCCCCGTCGGCAGCGGCACCGGTGTCTCATACCCGACCTCCACCCCCAACTCGTCGCCGATCGCCACTGCTGGCGCCGCTCACATTGGCGCTGGCTTTGGTATTCTCGGCTTCGCCGGTATGATCGTCGCCGCTGCCCTATAAACCGCTCCCATCTGAGCCAAACCAAATACCAATTAAAACCGAAAACTAGCCTCACAGGCAACCAATATTTTTTTCCTTTTCCGTTTCTCTGTACAACAATGACCGTCGCCGTCGCACAACAAACATAAGATTCTTACGATCCTTACGAAATGATACTTGCATATTTGGGCATTTGGAAAAAGATGGGAGGGGGTTTTTAATATACCAATTCGGCAGACACCAATACAAAGGTCATCCTTTATCGTGGAAAGCTCAGTAGAGGGAACATTCGGCTCCTTCGTCTTCACCTCTCGACGGCAGCGTGAGGGGAAGATGGGAAGTTAGAGTGATTTGAGAAGGAGGGTACTCATACGTATAAACATATGAGCCTCCTGGGGGACGAGGGGAGTGTACAAAACGCGGATGGACCTGTAGTAATAGTAATACCCCAAAATAATAAACTCGCTGAGCTTGAGCAAATCATTTGCCTTCTGTCTACTTCTGTGTGTTTGTCGCAAGGATAATCTGCACTCCTGCTCTGATCCCTTAGAGTACCGGTACCAGGTCCTGATTTATTTTTACATAATATAGAGGTGAGAGAAGGATATCCCCTACGGTGAACAATGTTCTAGTCCGACTCTAGTCCTAAAGTAGGTATGTTCAATATTCAATGATCACTCGGTAGTTAGACAAACCCAGTTCCTACTCATCGATGTTGAAACAACCCCAATCCTTGAACACTGCTTTACCACTATTGCTAGAATTTCTAACTATATATTGAGGTGAGGTTAACTGCATGTGGATATATAGGGTTTTACTGTATTAATTTAGTGACAACACAAGTAATGCGCCCGAATGAGGGCGCTTCTACCTGGGTATGGGGCGTGCACCTCTGTAGAGCTTAGTTAAGGGGCCTGTCACTGAGGTTTATGGAATGCACAGTGCGTTCTCACCTTTTAGGGGGTATCAATGTATCTAGGTACGTAGGATAAGCAGGTAGGTGCTTGTAGGTATGAATTGGGCCAACAAGCTTCACGGACCTTCCTCCGGTTCAAACTCCATGGTCCGTGGTGGGATTCTCCTATTTTCATACCTAAGCAGGGTAGTCACCACTTGAATAGAGTGCAGGATAAACACTTTCAGAAGGAGCCACTCAGGAGTAATTCCCCCGAGAAGCAAGTCCAATCCCTAGCGCCTATTACCGCTACCTAGGAGGTAGAGAAAGAACGATTCTAGGTTACCCGTGCTTTCCCTCCGCTAATAGGAGTGGTCGATGCCCGATAAGTTCCAGGGTAGTCCTAGGATAGTGGCGTAATCCTCTACATTCAACTATAATAATACAGGGCGATCAGGTTCCGTGCCTACCTTCTCTTATAATAGCCTACACACCGAACGCCACTGATCGCGCTACTTCTCTTCTCGTCTGTTGTGTTTTCTTCTCTCTCTACTTCTTTTCTTCTACACCTCTTTTCTTCATCACCCTTCCTCTTCACCTCTCTTCTTCACCTTAAACCTTCATGGCCATTTTCCTTCTTTCTCACATCACCACTCAAGCATCGAGGATGGAGTATTCACTCTTTCTTGACACCTCTTCGTAGTAATATTGGCGACCGTACCCTTTGGTAGCCAGGTAGGGGAAGCACTCTATTTCTATTGTTTCTCAATACCCTGTCGTTGATCGCTCTCCAGATTGACGGGGAATTTTTCAGCATCGGTTGTTTTCATCGGTGCTTTTCTGTACTGCATCGAGTATTTTTCCTTCTACAAGCACTTCATCGTCGACACCTTCATACACCCATTTCCTATTGCCCCTATTAAAATTTCTATTCCTATTTCTATTCTACTCTCGACACGATGGCTCCGGATACGAGCGGCATCGTCAATCTTGAGGATGGTTCTCATCCCAACCTCAACTTATCGAAGTTGAACAACGAGGCACCGTTTTTCAAGCTCTTGTCCAAGGACGTAAGTACCAAAAAATATTATGAATTACAGTTAGCACAAGCAGGTTCTAATTTATGTCTTCTAGATTCGTCTTATGATCTACAAGCTTGCGGTTCGTGAGGAGAACCCGATCAAGCCGCAGCAGGTCAAGGCTCATTCCAACAAGTTCGTTTGGGGAGGCTATGAATTGGATGCCAATAAGGAGAAGAAGCCCACTGGCCAACAGCTTACGACCGTCTCACTCTCACACACCTGTCGTGCGATTTATAGTGAGCTTGAGGGTTGGTGTCCTTTCTACCGCGTGAACGAGTTTCAGTTTGATCAGGATGCACTTGAACTCCTAGCTTTCTTGTCGGCCATCGCACCGCAACGCCGAAGAAACATCCGTTATATCAACATCCACCTCCTGACTCCCGGGTTCGCCTATCGATCTTTTGATGGCATGTGGTGGCCTACCCGCGATTCTTTGTGGCGCATAAAGCAGGAAAGACGTGTAAGCAAGCATATCTATGCTCTACTTGGTCAGTGTGATGAACTCAAGAAGCATGAGTTATCCGTTACCTATGACTTCCGCCAGGTTGAAACCGAGCAGACCGTCTTTGCCCTGCTGAAATGTCTGGCCTGGGCCCGAGAGCCGTTGGATGAGAAATATGTGAGAGTCGTGCATGTACGACGACTCCGACGAAGCGAAGCTCCAAACTCGATGTGGAGCTTGCCTTTCTTCACTCCCCGATTCATCGTCGGCGAGACTGGTCCGAACCCTACTATGGAAGAAGCGGCCATTCCTAAATTGATCTAGAACATCAAGAATGACCGTAAGTCACTTCTATCGACCCGCTCGGCGCATTACGTTTCATTTAAGTGCCTAGTCGCTAACTATTATACGTTTTAGTCAACATCCGCCGACAACGAACCGGTTTGAACGGCCCTCAGTGGTTCGACGACATGGCCAACAATCATGGATTCTACGTAGACGCCGTTGCGGCGGCTCACATCCACTTTCCAGGAGACAGACGTATTCCTTGCGACATCATGAACAGTTCCGGTCCCGTCTCAACTCGTACGAGAAGCATGCGCCGCCTACCAAACTCAGCAGGTATTGCGGGACATCCTACATCCTTGTACAACGCGGAAGGTATTTTGAAGGAGCCAGAAATAGTAAAGGCGAAGGAAGGCCTCTCTATCGTTGGCATTCGCTGGGGTGGGGAGGATGTGCAATGCAGATTTGTGTCCAAGTATCCCGGCGTTCTACCCGCCGATCCCTGGGTGAACCTCAACGCCCTCCGCGCACCTCAATACGAGAAGCGAATCCGTCACTACTACAACGAGAAAGTACTTTCTTACACAGAGATTTACCAGCAACTTGGTACCACGGCCGCGAATGTCGTCCCGGCTCAGATTGCGGCTCTATATCAGGTAGCGAGAGCCATTCCAACCCCGGCGGAGACCCTGAAGGCTGCGGGCGGAATCGAAATGTTCTACACTGACCGTATGTATTCACTACGACACAAGAACGGACCTAACAATGGTTACCAAAGGAGATGGGCGATCCTTGAACGCAAGTGGCAGAATTACCTGTCTCGACTGTATACCGTTTGGTATTGTTCAGTCTGAGCTAACGGCGCTCTGGATACCCCTTAAGGCGATACGTATTTTCTATAAAGAACACCTAGGGATCTGAGAAGGGTACACTTTGTGTTTGAGAAGGTTGCATTCTGTATCCGAGAATGGTACATTGGTTCATCCGAAACATCTTGATGAGTTTTCGCCCTTTGCGCAAGGGCTCTAGCTCTTCACACTCTACCGTCAACGAAACTCTGGCCGTCCTGCGCTGGCACTGAAATTGTATTGTATTGTTAGAAACCATGTAGCTAGTTCGCGGAATGCGTCGCTCGCGAGGCACCGCTATTAATTGACCTTGATGCATCTAATTGGTAATCTTGCTCCCCTCCATTTTCTTCCCGTTGTTCTTCTGGCTCCTTTTGTGATTCTTCTACTGGCCCATCTTCTCCTTCCTCCAATTCTCTTCGTTGTGCCTCTTCTGACTGATTCTCCTCCTCATCCTCCTGTCTCTGAGCCCATCCCCGTCCAAATAATGGCTGGTATACCGGCTGCAGTACAATTGGTTCTGGTTCTGGTATGGGCTCCATTTCCGATCCCCATTCCGTCTCTTGTTCCTGTTGTGCTTCAAAATACTCCTGTTCCTGTCGTTGCTGCTGTGCTCGTTGTTGTTCTTGGAATTCTTGGTGTTGTCGTTCTCGCCGTTGCCGGCGCCGCCATTTTTTAGGCGAGCATATGCGCTCGCATCGACTAGGAATACGAGTCCGAAAACCACGAATCCGTCGTGGAAGACTCGATACATCGACATCGGACCTGAACTTCAAGGCCCAGTGGTCGCGGGTCGTCTGTAGGGGTATTAATTTTGAATTATATAGGAGGAGTATAAAAGGGTATAGTACGCCGAATGAGATGTCGAGTAAAAAAGGGGGGGTGAAGGGTAGAGTACATACACAATCTGGCCGCCGTATAAGCCCAACAATCGCGCCATCCCACCTCGAGGAGCCCCTCCTATCTTCTCTACTTAACGGGATACCACAGAATATATCGCGAAGAGCCTGTGGCCAGCCATAGGGTGCGTAGCTCTCATCATCGCTCGTATCCTCATCGTCATCGTCGTCGTCGTCGCTGTCATGAGCGGGAATATAAAAAACCTGCGATCGTCCAAGTACGTTTCCCATTCTAGCAGCTCGGGTAGGGCATATGTTATTCGTCTTAACGCGTGCGAAGTCGATCTGGTTGCTGTCGGCCCGACTGAAGTCTACCTCTTCCGACAAGCAGAACGGTTGTAAGTAACACCAACAGAGGTACCTACACGACAGGACTTTGAATAAATGCTCGTCAAATACAAACGTCACACTTCGGCTAATTCTAGAAGTCGTGGTACGAAGGGGAAAAGGCATCGTCATCAGAGACACCATTTCACGACTTCGGTCTAGCTGGAATTCGGGAGCGGTTCTAGGTTAAGTGGGTGGTGCCGAAGCGTGGTCGTACGCACGGCGAATGAACATAGGTCGTTTAGGTATGTTTGACATTTGTTCTAGCCTACCTACCTCATCAAAAGGGTAACTGCATGCTTGCCTCATGTTTGCTGTATGCTTATGAATTGCCGAGTAGGATGACGAAATTTATTTCCGATACCTCGTGTTGTGATAGGACAAGGGGAGTAAGCATAAAAGGAGACATTGCGGTTGGCGACAGCAATGTAGGGGACATCAAGGCCACCAACCAACTCATTTCGGCGGCGCGAATGCATGAGAAATATAGTATGCTCGATGTGTTAACATTATTTACTTATCCCGCGTCCTCATTTCGATGCATTATCATAATTAATAGATGTAATTCCAAAAAAAAAAGATACACGTAAACGCCGGGCAGTCGTTGATACATGATTAATGGCCCAAAAGTCTCCTATAACTCCACTTCGTGCCTTATAAAAAGCCCTTGGTCAGACTTGGCTTTCGTCCGAGACTGCTTTTTCGTTTCGGCACCTCAATTCCTGTTCCACTGAGACTACTCGTATCGTCTCCGTCGCCTCCACTCGTTCCAGTTCCGTTCCTCCATGCGCTCAGACGTCTTGTGCCCTCCAAATTAGGTGTGCTAAGTCGTACACTACCGCCATTTACACTACCTTTTTCCATCCTTAAGTGCTTCCAGCCTTCCAGCTCACGCTCTAGGCGTAGGGTTTTCTCCTTTTCTTCCCTCAACTCTCGTTCAGCCCTACGAGCCGACAATTGGACATCGCTCTCACTAGCTTGGAGCTCATCAATTGTCTTCAGCAGCTTCTCGACCCTGTCGCGTAGTCGGGTTACATCATCATTTAATTGTACTGCCTGCTTGTCTTTTCGCTCAATTTGAGACTGAAGATCCTTCACAGTTCGATCCACATTGCGAACAGAGCGTTGAGATTTCGACCGCTCGTTCTCTTGAGCCTCAAGTTGTGTTTCAAGCTATTGTTGCGAGGGAATATTAGTAGTGCGTCTTGTGAGCTTACGAAATAAAGAAGATAAGGGTCTTGTCTGGGACTGCGGTGATGGAACTTCTCTGGGAGGCCTGGGGTTGGCGTCTGTTGGTGTACTAACCTCCTGAATGCGCTTGTGCAAGAACTTAATATCTTGGCTGCCGCTTGAATATCCCTTAGTCTCCAGGTCGACGAGTCGTACTTGCACTTCGTTGAGGCTTTTCTCGAGAGCTGCCTTTTGTTTGGCTAGCTCAGAACTACTTTCACGTTCGGCGGCGATCTCCTTTTGAACTTCTGTGGCAAGAGATTCGGCTCGGCGCATCTTCTCTACTGCTGCAGCAGCTATGTCTTCTTGTTGCGCCAGGCTGGACTTCAGCTCTAATATTTCTTTGTCGGTATTGGCTGCATTACGCAAGGCCGGGCTCTCGCTCTTGGCTAGATCCTCAAGTCCTGCCTTGGCCTCTTTGAGTCTGGCTTCAATGCTGGACTTCTCCCGCATGAGAGAATCACGCTCGGCAGTAATGTCGTCAACTGAACTGCGAAGGGTTCGGACCTGGGAAAGAAGAGATACTACCTTGCCCTGGGCTTCGTTGTGAGCACTAACGGCTTCGTCGCGGGAAGCAACGACGTCGGCGAGCGTGGTCTCGAGACGTGATTTTTCTTTCGACCATGTCGTGCTGTTGAGCACCTCATCGTCCCACTTGGAACGAAGGTCATCAAGTTCTTCGCGTAAACGAGCAATTTCTGATTGCTTGAAGAGCTTCTCCTCTCTTGCAAGATCGAGTTCCTTGGTGAGAGTCGCGAATTCGGCCTGGTACTTCTTGCGTGTTTGCTCCATACTTGCCTCTCTATCTTCAAGATCAATAGCGCGTTGATTCCTGTAGTCTTCTAGCTCATGCTGGAGTCGCTTCTTCGCTTGCAAGGCAGCTTCAAGATCTGTTGAAATATCTTCCATCTTCTCCTCCAGGCGTTGATTTTGGCGTAGTATATCCTCCATACTTCCATCTGACTTGTTACGTTGAGACATAATTTCAGCATAGGCCTCTTCAGCCTCCTTGGCTTGAGACTTAGCGAATTGTTCAGCTCTCGTCGCTTTCAGAACAGCGATTTCGGCTTGCTCAAGTTTACTGAAATACTCATCTGCGCGACTCTTGTACATTTCAAGGCTTGATGCCACATCGGCTAACTGTGAGCTTTCAGCATCGAGTCGAATTTGTAAGTCTGTGAGTTCCTGTAGTAGTTGGCTGCGGTTGGAAGCTTCTTGCTCTCGGGCGACAGACATCTCTTGGAAGTCCGATTTCGCGTCCCGGAGCTCGACTTCCAATCTTGCGCGCTCGTGTCTCATCTTCTCAAAGTGTTCCTTGACATCGGCCAATTCTGCAATAGCATCATTGTGGTTGTGGAGGAGTGCACGCCTAGACTCTTCTTGGCTGTTGAGTAGATCGAAGATTTCTTCATGCGACTTAGTCTGGATATCTCGTACAGACAACTCGCCACTCCTAATTGACTTCTCCAATTGGGAAACCTTCTTACTCGAATCGTCAAGCATGTCGTGCAAACGGCTGTTTGCTTTTTCTAGCTTCTTCATCCGACGAGCTGATGGACTCTCGTCAAGACTCAATTCCCGCGTTGGTGTTGCACGTTCAAGCTGACTTTGGAGGTGGCGGTTTTGCATCTGCGATATTTGAAGCTGGTTTTGTAACTCCTCAACTTCAGTCTTCAGGTCTTGTCGATTGTTGAAGCTGAGAATATCCGCAGTGCGGTCTGATCTACCAGAATCCGGAACCACATCATTCTCGTTTCCACCCCGGCGAGTCGGTGTAGAGGTGTTTGAGTAGCGTCGTCCATTGAGCTTGCCTCGTCTTTGCGTAGGGGAGCCATTGAAAGGAGCCTCGTTAAGGTGCATTTCTTCCAGCCTCGGTCTAACTGGTGAATCTCCCCGATTTGCACGCAGCTCGGTCAATTGGGCTTCCGCGTTGGTCCGTGCAGCCGTCTGTATGCGCAAATTCTGCTGCAATTCTTCGACCTTTCTAAGCATATCGAAGTTCTTACTCATGATCTTATCATGGCTTGCATCGCCCTGCGCAGGAATTGAGACTTCTGGATCGACCGCTTTTAGAACGCGCAGCATTTGAGCTCGAAGCTCTTCCAACTCCTTGTCTCGAGAATCGAGGGTCGCCTGCATTGCACGTACGGTGGTTTGAGCCTGAGTGCGTAATTGACGCTCAGAATCAATGGTTCGGTTTGCCTCGGCAAGTTGAATGGTAAAATTAGATGAGGCCTTTTCAGCATTACGGCTAGATTTGACCTCGCGGGCAACCTCATGGTTCAGATCCTCAACATTGAGTTGTAATTTTTCAACCTTCTTCTCAAGACCGGCAATAGTCAGTGATGCGTCGCCAAGTTGCTTGTTGAGTTTGGCAGCCTGCTCCTCTAATCTTGTTTTCTCGCGCTGAAGGCTCACAATCTGCCCTCTCGAGGCTTCACTAGCCCTCGAGCTGGATCGCGCAATTTCAAGCCCTTTCTGTTGCAGCTTATTGAGCAATGCGCGGTTGTCGTTCTCTGATGCGGTAAGACGACCTTTCACTGTAACTAATTCTCGCTCTAGGCGCTCTTTAGCCTGGTCATTCTTGAGGCCGTATTCTCCGGATGAGATCATGAACTTATTGAGATCCTCTATTTCGTGGTTTAGCTTATCGCACTCAGATTCAAACCATCTGAGTCGTTCTTGGGTTGCGTCGAGGTCTTTTTGAAGGCTGGCTTCCCGTTCTCGAGCTGCACGAGTCGCATTGCGTTCACCTGCTTCTTCCGCGTTCAATCGTGCTTCCTCAGCTTGACTCTTTGCTATACGCAATCGTCGGATTTCGTCTCGCGCCTCATCTCGTTCTTTTTCGGCAGTTGCTCGCGCTTCCATCGTCCGTCGCAATGTGTCTTGTTGTAGATAGAGCTCCTTCTCGATAGTTATTTTCGAGTCCTTGAGTCGATCGTGTTCCTCTTGCAAAGCTTGGAATTTGTGTTCAGAAAGAAGGGCTACGTCATCTCGTGATTGACGTTCCCGGCTCAATTCCATCTGAACATTATATAATTCTCCTTTCAAGTCCTTGATTTGCGATTCTAGAACTTCGCGATTTTGGTTCGCCTGGGCGTCTTCTGAAAGTCTTGCTTGGAGTAGTTGCTTGGCATCTTCAGCTTCGCGTCGGAGCTGAGAGTGCTGGGATTTCATAGCAACCATTTCTGCTTGCACTTCTCGGAGACGATCAGCCATCTTATCCTTTTCAGATGTCAGCATCTTCCTTTGATCCTCGAAATTACGCTGCTCCATCTGAAATTTCTTGTTATCTGAACGAAGAATGGCAAGCTCGCTTTCTTTCTTCATTACGAGCTCTTCGTAATCTGTGGAGGTCTTGGACAATTGAGATAGTTGTTGGTGCGCCTCACGATTTTCCATAGTAAGGCGTTGTTCTCGTGATTTGAGAGCATGCAACTCCTTTTCAGAAGCAGCCAATTTGACAGCTGCATCCTGATCGATCTTGAGCAGTTTTCCTTCAACATCTCGGAGTTTACGGTCCTTTAGCGACAGCTGACTCTGGAGCATCTTAACCTCGTCCCCAAGAGCGGCTTCTTGTGCGCTTCTATCTGCCTGCTTTCGGGCGAGGTTCTCCATTTCCATTTCGAGTTCGGATACACGAGCGTCAAGTTCTGACTTCTCTTCCTCGAGTCGAGCAATTAGAGCAGCGGCTTGATCTAATTGTCCTCGGTATTTCTCAACTTCTTGCTCAGCCCTTTTTTTCGCATCGAGGAGATCATCGAGTTGGTTTTCAAGCTTCTCCTGATCGTCGATGGCGCCTTTAAGCTCTTCCTCGAGCTCAGACTCGCGAAGTTGCAATCGTTTGAAAATTTCCTCCTTATCAAGTGCTAATGCTCGCTCGCTCTCAAGGATTTGCTGTGTCCGCATTAAGTCTGCATAACAGTTTCGTCTTTCTTCCTCGAGTCGAGTGCGGTTCTCCATCTCTAAGCGCATCTTATCATTGAGTAATTTTATCTTTTCATCTCGCCTCTTCACCTCAATCGCGGTACGAGTCGCGCCTAATAATGGTTTCATCTTAATAAGAAGTTGCCACCAAGGGTTCTCGCAAAGGTCAAGATAGACGTTGAAATTCCTTTGAATAACTCTAGTTGCTTCCGTGCGATATAATCGTTTGAAGGCCATGCGTCGTTGAATATAACCGCGAGCAACAGATTGAAACCGAGACATTATCTCGGTAATCAAAGCATCGCGTCGTTCTTCTAGCTCCGCAAGCACACCAGCCCGGAAAAACACTTTCGTAAGACCGACACGGAATAATGACTTATCTATTCCAAGCCTATCAAGCATGAATGCAGCCGCTGCCTGTCCTTCCAAATGTCCCTTTGGTATATCCCTGCAGAGGACTTCATACCGCTGGCGGAACTCTGCAAAGGGGAGTCGATTAGGGAAACCAGTTCGAGCTATTCTTATACCTTCGAGTACACCATTGCATCTCAATTGATCAAGAACAAGCAATGCATTGAATTGCTTAGGGCGCTTCTTGTGATTTGGAAGAATACATCGGACGAAGTGGGGATGAGTAGAATGGAGTTGAGACATGAGGCTAGAGAGCTGTTCCTTGTGTCTCTGCGCGACGGTTCGGAATAGCCCCTTCTTCACTCTACTGCGCGAAGTACTGATATCATCGTCGAAGTCGGCGCAGTCCGAAAACAGGTTCGCGACATGTTTGTCTGTTGAGGCGGCTAGTAATCTAGTGATGTTGTCGTTCAGAGGGTCTTTGTTTTTCTCTAACCAGCCCTCTGTCGAATACTCAACTTCGGCTGCGTAGTGAGTTAAGATAAATCCTTGGCGAGCACCAGGACGCGAAGGGCGGTATTTGTTGGATTTCTTGTCCCACAATGAGTTAAGTTTCTCCGTAAATGATTTATCGGTAGCTTTCGGCATCACGCTGTCTTCGTCAAGACAGGAAAAGATACCAATAGGATTTGATAATTCAATGAGATCGATGGTTGGTTGCAAATCGCGGCCAAAATCAATAAATTGCCATTCAATTTGCTCCCTCGCATACTCCTCTTGTTCTAGAACGAACATATGATGATTGAAGAACTGCTGCAACTTTTCGTTGGTGTAATTGATACATAGCTGTTCAAAGCTATTTTCTTCGAAGATCTCGAAACCTGCGATATCGAGTACTCCAATGAATTTGGAGTCATCAACGCCTAGTCCGGTCCGATCAAGCTGCCGGTTAATTCTCGTAACAAGATCACCAAAACCTCGTTCATAAATACCCTTCGCAAGAGCATCAAGACCAAGTCGTACTTGTTCGGGAGTTTGTACTTTCTCCACCCACTCCCGTCCCGCCTTGACCTTGGGATGAAGCAAGCCTTGCAAGAAGGGCTCTAGTGGGATACCCATAAGTTTACACACCCTGGTGGCTATCTCCTTGGCGTCTGGGGCGAGTCGTGCTTGATCGGCCATTCGGCTTTCTTTGACAACGGTGATGTTGCCTAAATGTAAAACCGCGGCGACGGTGCGTAGAATGGAGGCTTGTTCTTTGTCGGAGAATCCCATTACGTTGAAAGCTTCGAGGAGCGATTCCCACTCATCTAAGTCGGAGACGCCGATTATTGTATCATGACCATCCCGGGTGTAGGCGAAATCTTCAACCTCAAAGTCGTCTAAGAGGAATTCTCGTCTCATCTGTCGGTCAGCACCCTTGAGGAGTTGGTAGAAAACATGATAGTTCCGCTCTTGAGAATTGATGCGAACCACCCTAGATTTCTCCAAAAGGTACCAATCAATGAAGGCGCCGGCGATCGCACCATTTCGAGTAAACTCAATGCGTATGAATTTTCCGAATCGGGAGGAGTTGTTGTTCCGTACGGTCTGCGCATTACCAAATGCTTCAAGTATAGGATTGGCTCGTAATATCTGCTGTGACAGAGTAGAATGCTGCCCTCTACCCTTCACTGGAGATTCTGAGTAGGCCACTGCGGCAAGGTACTGAATAACTTTTTTTGTGTTCTCCGTTTTTCCCGCACCGGATTCACCAGTAACTAGTATACTCTGATTCTCTCCTTCATCAACTAAGTTTCGGAAGGCTTCATCGGCCATAGCGAAGATATGTGGCTTCGTGTCTTCACGACTTCGACCTTTGTATCGGTTGACATATTCGTTCGTGTATATCGGAAGAGGACAATAAGGGTTTACTGTGACTAAGAACAATCCTGAATAAGTATATATCAAGTCGGCTTGGTATCTCATATGAAGGTTATGGACGACGGATGCTTCGTTCAGGTGCGTTAACTCGGCCATATCGTTAGCCTTGTCGAATTTGGCTGGATTGACTCTATCCACGCTTTCGTTATCCACCTCACGTTGCTATTGACTCAGGTTAGCACATGGACTCCTCGCCCGAATTAGGGCGAGACTTACGCTCCCATCGTCACATTGTACTAGTATACGGCCACCCCCAAGTTCCTCGACTATCCAACCTTTGACAAAAGCAGCCTGAGGATCCTTAAGCCATACATATCTCTTGCCGGAGAAATCATTCTCGCCTTCGATTCCCTTAACAGTATCTAAGCTTTTTCTCATTTCTTCAGTTTTGATAAATGACGGGGCAAATGTCGTCGAATTCGGGCCATTGCCTCTCGAATCGACGCGGTGATGCCGCGGACCATTGCTACCAACGGGCAAAAGGTTTGGGATGGCTATTGAGGCTTGCGATTGGGTACGAGTATGGGAGGAGGGCGGCGTTGTTATTCTCGACGACAGAGAAGACTGAGAAAATAGGGCGGATTTTGGTCTACCGACGGCACTCGAACCCGGCGAGGGCGAAGGTGAGCTCTTTCGAGCGAAGGGATTATTGCGTTGAGACATATCGGATGTGCTCAATGCCAAAGTAGGGTATCTGGGGGTATCATGGACCAAATATCCAAATTCATTAGAAAGAATTCCTCCAATTATTTAGCGGCGGTGATTATTCAAAAACTACTACATGGATCGCGTTGATCTGAACCATGAGCCACGATGCCATAGAAAAAAGTAATGCGGGATGTAAGTGTGTAGTTTCTAGACCGAACAAAATTGATTGAGAGCAAATGAAATGAAGTCAAAATCTAAATCTTGTTAGAAGTGACTCCCTGTAGAAGACTCGCTCCTTCTATTATGGTGCGGTGTCTGTTGCAATGACGATATTAGATAAAGTCAATTTGTTGACATGCAAGAGCGCATGGCAACGATAAAGTGGGAAGTAAACAGTGACCCCCAGTCTTGGCAGGACTAGTGCACCTTACCTACTGGTGGGACAAGGTATTTCGGTACCTTCAGCTTAAACTCAAAGTGGTCAGTGCCCTCCATTGAAATCAGGAATCGGATTAAGTACTCCCCTGGTGGAGATCGGAGATCGCTGGAGGGTGCTATGTACTAAGGTACTTACATATGTACTTGAGAAACTCCGGTAGAATATTATGTAATCAACCAATCGACGCCTAAATCTAAATTCTACTGATTGAAGAGTAATCTCAAATTCATTGAATCTTCATAATTTCAATCGGCGACCCGATTGCTAAAGTCACTACTCTTTCGCATTCATCTGAAAGAAATTTGCACTTGACTCGCCACCTTTGATCATAATCATCTAAAATCGCGCACGGCTTCGAGACATTTTACTTATTACTTATTCTTCCTTGTTGCTGATTGATTCGCCGCTTTGAACCTTACGCGTCAATATTCCTTGAGATGCTCATTTCCCTCGGCATCCGACGTATTCATCGATCCATGCTTCTGAGAATCAATTGGTTATAACAAATACACATAGATATAAGTGCTGAGGTCTACGCGACTTTATCTAAGTGATCTAATTAATCCATCGCGTTATACCGAGCCGCCGTTTCACTTCCGCGATATACTCCCTCATGCATCGCGTCTACCTCGATAATGTCGGAACATCCTTACAATTACGGCCAATACCTAGGCCAACAACCTCCTCTACCTTACACCCCACCATCTTCTCATAATTCTCAACAGCCCTTTTATGGAGTTTTCCAACAACCTGTCCCTCTCCCAGCTCTAGGAAATTATGCGACCGTAAATAATTCTTTCCAGTACAACGCGAGCAGCATACCCGGCCTAGGTATGGGCAACCTGCCGCCATCTGTATCCCACCGACCCCAGAGTACCAATACATGGAATTCTCAAAGTCAAGCTTCGCAACAGAACCTTGCTACGCAACCCCGAGAACAGCCTCCTGCCGCCACATCACAGCAGGGTAATTTCCATGAAAACGCGACCAGCCAACAGTCGACGGCTGCATCCAAGGTACAAGCAGACCAAACGCTAGAGGAAGGAGAGTTGAGTGAAGGTGAATTCGACGATCTATACGAACCTCAAGAGACCGTGGATATCGCCCCGCAAGGTCTCCCCTCTAAACCACCTAGCATAACGGAGAATCAAAACGGAAGTGTTGGTGATGCAGACGGATCTTCCATATATGATGGTGTAACACCTCGAGGTGAAGCCATTTCTAATAGCACGACAACCCCACTTCCCGCAGCCGACCAAGAATATTCCCCAGATGAGGATTGGGAACCTACCTATGAAGAGCGCGAGAGATCTGGTTCTTATTCACCTTACCTATCTCCCAGAGAAATTCATCGCAAATTGTCAGTGAGCAAGCCTGCTCTCCAAGGAGCTAAGTGTAAGTTGCGCTATTCAATATTTTCTACTTCAATCATACTAACGATTATTAGCAACTCCGACTACCCAACAACCGATACAATCATTACCGGGCCTCAACATGGCGCCACTACAGCAACCGCCTGCTGCCAACGCCTCGTTATCAGCTGCAAATTCCATTCCTGCTGCTGGCGTTGCTAGCACTTTCCGTTCCGTCACAGAGGCGAAAAAGAAAGCACAAGAGGCCATTCTTGCATTATGGCCTTTGAAAGTTCGATTCCAGGATTACATTGACGAGGGCCTTGACGAAAAGGTGGTCAAGAGTTTGTTTGCGGATTTGGGTCTGGAGGCTTCAATACCTAAAACTACTACTGTGGTCCACAAGGCTCCAGCTGAGTCTGAGATTCGAACAGAACCCTCAGATCCCTCGAAAGCTGCTCCCGATCCACAGAGCATTAAGGGCCAATCTCCAGTTGCATCAAGCACAAAGCCGGCTACGATGGCTCAACCAACGACAGTTAATGGTACTACTGATGCAAAGACTGCCGCAAAAACGGCGGCCGAAGAGCGTAAGGACAAGATTGCTCGAAAACTTGCAGCAAAGGCGCAAAAGCCGCCAGTAGCCGCCCAATCCCCCATTCCTGCTCCGTCTCAGCCAACCCTAGCTAAGGCGAACACAACGGCGACTCCTGCTAGTGCATCGCCAGCAAAAACGAAAACGCGAGCTGAGAACAATGCAATTCTTCATCAAAAGCTTGCTGCGTTGAAGAGGGCACAAGAAAAGGCTCTAGCCGAGAAGAAATTAGCGGAAGACACAACTAAGTCAACCCCATCCCAAACGATGTCCGCAAACAACGCCGTCGCGGTTCCTGGACCTGGGCCTGGGCCTGGGCCTGCAGAATCAGCTCAGAGCTCCACTACAGTTTCAGTGCCTGCGTCGGAGCCGAATAGACGTTCGGTATCTACGGAAAAGAGCCTGCCTAAGGAAGCGGGTATCCCAGGTCTATTCTTGGTTACACCATCAACACAACCACCACCCAATCGCAATTTGAAGCGACCCGTAGCCGCAGATTTCGACAACTATCCCAACCCTATTGGATCCCTCAAACGGACTCGTACTCAGGAAACATTGATAATCGATGTCAGTGACGATGAAGATGTGGAGATGGACATCGGCTCACCAACGGATGAACCGAACTCATCGACTGAAATAGTCGACACGTCTTCCCAGCAGTTCTCCAGAAGCGCATTCCCACCGCTCACCAACTCGAATCGGAATTTCCAAAATTCTAGCCCTAGCTCAGCTACCATACCAACCCCTCCGGTAAATGGGGCTAAGCTTAGTCTACTGCATAAGCGGATCGAAGAGACGAAAAGACGTATTGCTGAAGCTGAAGCTAAGAAGGCTGCTAGAGTTAATGCCTCTCAGTCACCTCAAGCCCCGCCCCCAGCACTGGAGGCTATCGAGTTACCGAAACTTTCCGAACTGTCTCAAGCAGAAAGGGAGGTGAGAGAAGTTAAGGCCGAGAAACGTAATAGAATCATAAGTATTGAATTGCCTGAGATTGAGGCTATCATTAAGGAGAGGCAGGAGAGGTTGAAGCAGATAGTCGCGCAAGCAACCCAACTCGAACTTGAGATTCAAGAGGACGGTGAAAAGCGACAGAGACTATTGGCGGAGGCAGAGGCAGAGGCAGAGGCATCTCCGTATCCTGACGATGTTGAGATAGAGGAGCAAGTTCAACCCGTCCTTTCTGGTGAGTCTATTTTCAAGTTTTCTCTTTACACATCAATCAGTTGTACGAAGTATTAACAAATGTACAGATGCCATGTCCACCACGCCGCAATTAAACAATGTCGTTGAATCGCAGCCTGCAGATATACAGCGATCGAGCTCGGAATCGATAGCCGATGTGTCTATGAGCGATGGGGAAGATTCCGAACCTGAAAATGAACCAATCACAAACGGCGTCCAGCCTAGTCTCGTTACACCCCAGTCCGACAGTCCGGTTAGGGAACAGGCTTTCCCAATTCTTCAACCATCTACCATCGCCGATGAAGATCCACAACCTGAAGTTGAGGATGACAATATTCAGCCTCCAAATATCTCAGCAGATGTTCCTCCCGAAACCAACGAGCCTCATCTTAACATTACCAACACTTCGGTAACTCAAATAGAAGGAGGGCAAGACGAGGCTAGGATAGCCGTTCCACAACAACAACACCGAGATTCGTCTCCAAGCAGTGACGACTCGTACAAACCAGAGCTAGCCTCTCCTACTCACATCGCCCCTCTTTCAGAGCCCGAGAACAATCCTACGAAACCCCAATCCCCCCAAGAACAGAACCACGCAATCACTAATGTGCAACCCGGCTTTGAGGAAACACTAAATAATGCCGGCCCGTCCCAATCGATCGATGAATCGGCTCCGTCGGTGCCGGAAAACCCGAGTGGAGAAGTACAAGACAGCTCATCTCATGAGCACCCCTTACTGACTTCTACGCAGGATGATCCTGAACAGAATCCCCAGGTAGAGGACATATTATCTTATCACAGTCCTCTTGGGTATTTCCGTGCCTATAGGTTCCATCCGAAGTACTTTGATGAGGTGGCAGGTGGCCTGAAGTCGATGACTTACAGCTCCAAGATAGACCCGATGCGGCCAATTTGTCCCCATGTGTTGTCCGGAGAACAGTGTCCGGACGGTAATGCTTGCGAATTCCAGCATTTTGAAAATATGGTTCTTCCTGGTGAGTCTTGAAAGCGAATTTGCTAGATTATTAAAACCCTTTCAGCGCAGCATCCCCCCCTTTGGATAACTGACTCCCTGGCGCTTGCTCTAGATGCCGAGATAATTACGCAGTTGGGCTCAGCCGATATGTTCACCGGAGAAACGAGGAACAAATTCATCGAAGGCCTCAAAAAGGTGCTCAACGAGCTGAAAGCCAACAAAGTTAAGGATTTCGACCGGATCACGAGAGCTATCGTTAAGCACAGACAAGAATTCCTCGAAGACAAGTCCAAAGTGTTACCCCTCGACACTAATACTGGCTAGGCAACCTCGTAGTTTACCCAACCAACAAATACCCTTTGTAGACCTTGCCCAATCCCCTTTACTTCCCTCCGCATTTTCGTATTGCTTTAACTAGGCAGTTATACTTTGGTATGAATTTCAGTCTAGTTACGCGACTACTCGTGAGTCGCATGATAATGTCCACCTTTTCTATAAGGCATTTCAGCAACCTTTATGGACATGGCGCCCACTTAGGGCAGAACGATACTTATAGCCGCTTTGATCGGGAACAAAAGATGCAATATCTACTAGACGAGATAGTCGGTAGAAAATTGAGGAGAGGGACTTCAGGCCATAGCATTGGCCTAGAGTTGGAAGAGCAAGAGAAGGAGAAGAAGAGTATAAGCAGAAGACCGAATCAGCCGCTCGCAGCATCATGAAAAAGTCGACAGGCCGCTGAGCAGAACAGAGCAGAGTATATGCATTCCATTACGTACCTTGGTACTTATCTAGATGCATCTTTCGACCTCATATGGAATAGCCGTGAGAGCATGCGGAACTATGGGGAGTAGTTGCAATCCACCCTAGAAAGTCGCCGACTTGTTGACTTAATAAATACGATGAATTTACAATAATTGAAAGTATTTTCTCCATCTTACTCATATCTTGTTCATTTTGAAGCTTTTGAGTGATTAGTCAAGTATAATAATAATTTAGTATTTTCTGCTCAATTGATACTATTTCCCCATCACCAATGTGTAATAGGATTTTTTAATCCGGGTACTACACAAGAAATCGACCCAACAGAACAACAGATCTAAGATGTACAATTATCTTATACCAGCCAAGACATCCAACATCTAGGTTCCAAACACTCTACCCAAACCTCTTTGACTTAAACCCGTCGGGCAGCATCGCTCATACTAGTAGCAGTACTAGGCTTAGTCTCAGGCAACATCTCAAACTGATCCTGCTGCACCTCCCTCTTCCCCTCATCAGCATCAAACTTGCGATCCATCAAATCACCAAAACATAACGCGGGGTGAAAGATATTCAACACGAAAACCGAAACCGTAATCATAACCCCCTCGAATCCAACAAACAGGTCCTGGCGCGCCATAAGCGGGCCGCCGAACCCCTTCGCTAGTTCGGCGACGCGGAATACGCTTCGCCAGAATATGCATAGTGTGCTTAACGCCAAGGCGATTAGGAAGAGGCGGAACATCCAACTCCCGCGGAGAGCGATGAGGGTTGGATCTTGGGATAGGGCGGAGGAACCTAGGGCGCGCCTGCGGTGGAGGACGTTGATGAAGAAATCGAGGGAGAGGATTATGAATACGAAGAGGGTTATTACTTGGAAGGCTAGACCTGCGATCATGATGTGGTCCCCGTTGTCGCTGGATTTGCTGTTGTGGAAGGCGATGGAGGCGATGGCGCCACCGGCGGCTTGGAGGAGGAGGGATATTACGTCGCAGGGGATGAACTTGGGTGGGTGTTAGTTGGCTCTAAATTCGTCTTCCCTTCTTTTTCTTTGGGCGAGGTTCGACTTACGATTCGTGTGTAGTACTTAGGAGGGATACGGGAGTTCTCAGGACCGAAGGCGAACACGATTCTGCGAATACATAGGTAGAGACCGGCGGCGAGAAAAGCCGGGGCGATGGTAAGGCAGCAGATTTGCATGAGGAAGCCGTTTTCGGACCATTGGTTCTCCCAGCTCATGACGCGGCCGGCGTAGCCCAGGATCTCACAGATCAGACCGAGGACCATGGCGATGGTAAAGGTAGCACCACGTCGTGTAACAGCGAATGTAACGAGGAAACCAAGAAGTGAGATCGAAAACATGGCAAGGAAGACGGCGTTAGGCGCGAGGTCGATCCGGTAGGGATAATAGGATCTTTCGTAGGGACATATGTCCGCGTTGCAGTCCTTGAAAGGGACCTTGGTTATGTTGGCGCTCATTGTGAATATGTAGGTCAATGATACCGGGAGCAAGTGGTTGGTGGCGATTAAGATAGGATAGGGATAAGACGTCGTAAGTTATATAAGGAAGGTAGAGAAGTAGAAAGATGGCCGAAAGACACGGGATAGAATAACAAAAAACAGGATCTCGAATGATTTATAACCGGCTAGATATATATTTCCTATGAGGCTGAGCAATAGAAGGCGATCGGACTTCAAGTCCCTAGCCCTGGTCACTGCTAGCTGCGGGTGTGAAGCAGTGGGCCAGCTAGCCAATATAGACGCCTACCTTGTTAAGATAGCCCCTCGCTATCAGATTTGGGTATCATTAGAAACCGAACAGTATACTTTATGTTTACTCCTTCTCGTTTATGTATTACTAGGCTGATACGAGCCTAGTAGAATACTATAGGTACCTAGGAAGGCTGCAATATTATCGAGCTAGAAGTACTATCGAATATTTAGCAAAAGCTACATGCTGAGGATTTTGCCTTCTAAGTGAAGACTGAATCAGTCAGTCAAAGCCGGACATCGACTAAGGAGTCCCGCTAGTCCATAGTCCTTGATAAAATTACCTAGCCACTTCGGGGTCGCACATATATCTGTCAAGGCAGGCAGATGGGGGCATTGCCTCGCGAGAAACGCCCGAATAGAGCCAGTAATGTTACATGGCATCGCATAGACTGAATCCCGCCCCTTAATGATCCTCTGAAATGGAAATGAGCTCGCTAGCTTACGTATTATAAGCTGTTTATTTCGTCCGGATTGACCATCTCATTTGCTGATGATCTCGTACATGAACAGCATATGCGGATTAGTGAACGAGAGAGGTGGGCTACATATCGCACTGCTATGGCTAGTCCCCACGCGCCGGCATGGATCTGTAAAATCTCAGGCTCGTTCAGGGGTGTTAGATTATCGGGAACGATAAGGTGGTGGAGTCGATGGGGCCCGGACTGGGGGTTACCTCGTAAACCATTCCTATTTGGGACTGGGTGACGTCTCCTTCATCATTGTCTATTCCAACGCCCTGGAACGGTCCGAAATTGTTCAGCATTTCGGCTTGTGCTCTAGAGTCCATGTGCTGACTCAAAATGAAGGAGACTAAATATGCCTTGCCATGGTACGAAGAAATAATTTTAAACGAAGAGATCCCTCTAATTTGGTGTACGTAGTAGAAGAGGGGAAGAATCAAGACAGCCTCGAAAAGCAAAACTAAAGAAAGTACTTGAACTCTAGAGTTAACTCCGATACTAACTACAACAGGAATAGACTAGGCATCCATTAGCTAAGCGCTTAGAGAGTCAATCGGTAAAACTCCGGGGACAATAATATATTAAGCTGTGACTTTGGGTGACTTGGCAATCAGGCTCGAATTCCTCTACACGTAGACGTCATTCATTCGTCAACACTAACTATTTCAACTCCTGTTGCCATGGGCTGCAACGCGTTTCCCTTCTCCTCAGGGAAAATAAAAAGTGGTAGCTGGTTGATTGCCCACAGGACTTCGCTCAAGGTCAGCTAATTACAATGCTGTCCTCTTGTTTCGGATTGCGAAAGAAGAACTCGGATCCCGAGCAAGAACCACTACTCCCTCAATATGAGCAGGACACTCATTTACAGCGCGAGCTGTATCGGAAGCTGCACAGCTACCAGATGCTAAAGGCTCTCACTGAAGGATATATGCCTAGCACTGAGCAGACTGTCATCAATCTACGCACTTTGCTAGCAAGCGACATATTAAATCCCGACAACCCGGATCTCTCCAATAGTGGTCGCCGACTAGTCCGTCTAACCAAGTTATGGCTGCAGCAGTTCATTACTCTTCTTCTACATAAAAACCACCAGGATCAAATCCAAGATCTTGTTTGGTTTTTATCCAAGAGTCAGATAACTGTTGACATCGATGACCTTAGCTGGAGGGCTAAGAAGACCAAAACTAGGGCCGACATAGCTGCTGCGTACCAAAGCGTACGAACTCTTAGCTCGCTACTTATCACAAATCCCGATTTCAGAACCTTCCTTAATGACTTCAACATAGTTGCTAGGGAAGTTTTCAGAGATTCTGCGTTTGCACTGAGTGATGCTGCTAGGGAAGCGGGCCAGGAGCTCGAGCCATCCAATGAGGAGCACCAGGGCGTAGCCAATTCATCCTATGACGGTGCTAGCCAACCACCAACTACCCAAAACTTGGAGGATGAATTTGAGGACGCTGGCAGAATTATTGCTTCTCATAGTTCTGACGTTGCAAGTACCACAGCCGAAAGTATCAAGGACAGACTTTCAAGTGACGAAGGCAAGACGCTTTTGAAGCGACTACAAAAAGTCGTTCTTGGCCTTCGAAACCGCAAAGACTATTCAGAATCAGTGTCCACACTTTCATTGCTCATCAAGAGATACGCCGTAATCTATTCACAAGCCGCGGAGGAAATAGTGGAACTCGCCGAAAGCGACGTGCAGGAGAACCGGGAAACGGATCAGGCCCTGGCCAATCTCTGGGACTTCGTCAAAAGCTTTGGTGATAGAAATGAGTGGGACAAGTCGGAAGAGCTTCTCCAGAAGGTTGTGAGCCATAAAGACAAAGACCCCGAATTTGAGAATTTACTGGAAGACGTCGCAGACAGCTTGCAAAAACTTCTCACAGATCCGGAATTCTTCACCGATGCCGATAAAAAGCTGAGGGAGCTAAGAGAAAGGAGCAGGGAGGTCGGGTCTGACAGCAGTCTCCGAAAAGACATTGATGCGCTACTGCAGCAATTGTCTGTTACTTTCCGTAGTGTGGCAAGGGACGAGGATATCCGCAACCTGACAACCACAACCCTTCGCATTTTAGGAGTTCTCTCCCCACCGGAATCAGCGACCAATCCTGATCTCATTCAGGACGCATTGAATGTTTTCATTCCACTTCTCATATCCGCCATCCAACACGTGCCGATCCCCCGCCTTGAGATTAGCACACCAGCAATCGACCTCTTATTGGAGAATCTCATCATCGAACCTGGTGTTACCGTGAACCAAACTTCATTTTTACCCTACAGGCTAAAGATTGAGAATTACAACGATGTCGAGATCCGAAAAGCCCGTTTCCGAACCAACGCCAAGACCAAGAATCTAATGCTTATCAAAATCGACGGTCTCTCAGCACGTGCAGACGAGGTTGGCTTCTGGCTGCGCGCTCACAGTGGATTATTCCGCTTGGCGGATGAGGGTATAGCAAGTTTTGCGCTAGATGAGCGTGGTATTGACATTCACCTTGAAGTCGAAATATGCCGCGAGCGTCTGGAGCATATCCTAACTTTGCGTCGCGTGAAGGTGAGGGTGCACAAGCTGAATTACAAACTGCGAAAGAGCAAATTTGCTTGGTTGGGTTGGCTTTTCAGGCCAGTTTTACGCCCGATTCTCAAAGCGACGATGGAGGCCCAACTTGCTACTGCTATTGGCGACTTATTACATGCTGCGAATCGCGAACTGATTTTTGCTCGAGAGCGCTTGCGTGCGACAAGAGTTGCAGATCCTAAGGACCTGTGGACCTTCATCAGAGCTGTCGCGGCGAGATTAGTTCCCGAAGAGGACCCCAACCTCTACACTAGGGTAGGTGTCGCACAACCGGGTCAAGGTGTATTCAAAGGTGTTTATGCGCCTGGAAGTGTCGTCAAGATATGGAATGAAGAGGCTAGTAGAGCAGGGGACCGCATTGAGCAATTTGAAGCTGGCGGTTGGAGGAACGATGTTTTTAACACACCAATACGCCCTCTTTCGTGAGTTGCATACGCTCGGACGTGTTCCGGTACTTGATTTAGTGTGGTGGCGTTTTTAGAAGGTTTTAGCAGGCGAACTGCGAAATTGAGATTGGAATCTGTTCATGTGTTCGAGTGCTTTCCTACTTTTTGCAAGCGGGCTTGCTTTTACCTAAGGATGATTCCGAGCAGTAGAATATAAAATATTAAACCATTCTACTCAACTGACATGGAGTTGACTACTATGTTCCATCGCGTGTAAAAACAATCTGTGCAAGGAATGCGAATATCTACAACACCAATGTCCGAGCGAATTACATACAGAGTGACGCGATATTTCAACCGGTCACTTCTATATGAATGCCAATAAATCCTTCTGTTCCCTGTCCACCAACACCCATTCTGCCTCCTTATCTTCAATCTCCTTATCCTTATCCTTGCCTTTCCCAGGCTCAGGGTACTTCCTCAAATGCTCAATAGCCCAGACAATCTCCTGCGTAAGCGCAGGCGGTATCCGCCCCTCCCCTCTCAACGTTCCTAACCCCGCGATATCAAACAGTCCGCCCAACCACTCTAACGTCTGCCCGTTTTCCCAGGGTACATCGTGGAATTTCTTTCCCCGTCGCTTAGTATCCTGTAAGCGATTACGCTCCCACCGTTCTTGCTCGGCGAGGGGAGGGAGGGAAGCAGTGTTACGACCCGAGAAGAGACGGGCTAGAGCTACGGCTTGGTACTCGAAACTTCGGAAGGTTAGGGCCCGGGGTACGCCGACGGCGCCTAGGGTTGGGAAGTCGCGGAAGAAGGTGTGCCAGTATGTTTGGTGCAGTTTGTCGTTGGTGTAGTCCCATAGGGGGCGGCCGTTGACTGATTCGTTCCACTATAAAATGTGAATTAGCAATTACCATTCACGCTGGGTGACGAGGTGAATAAAATGACCACGTACGAATGGAAATGAGGCTTTGTAGCCTGTACAGTAAAATACGGTGTCGACATCATCAAGGTACGTCCCGTCTTCGAATATGATGCGTCCGGTCTCTGGTACGTACTCCGAAATGATAGGTTTCCATGCGATGCCTGCTGGTGGCTCATCCCCATCCCAGCGTGATTTGGAACGCCGCGATTGATATACGGGGAGACTTGCGGTAGAGACCAACTCGGCCGTGAGATCATGACCCGACGCTGAGTTACCGATGATGACGATCTTCTTAGAGATATACGGTAGAGGTGAACGGTAGTACTTAGAATGCAATACGCGACCGGGGAATTTCTTTAAGTATTCCTCTAGGCCTTTTACTTGTGGAACCTAATAGTGTTAGAGTAACGGGTACGGAGGTACCTACTTCAAGTGTAGTAATAGGGGCTTAGGGGCATACATAAGGGACGGAATAATGGCCGTTAGCTAAGATCAATGCGTCGAACTCCTCTTCCCACCAAACGTCGACGTGACGCGCCGAGTCGTATTTCCGAAGGGTCAATTTCCATCTATCGTGGGGTAACTTAGACACGTCCTCGACGGTCGTACTGAGGCTTAATAGCGGATCCGTCTTATGATGCGCGAAGTAGCTCTCAACGTACTGACGCGGAACCCAATGCGGTGCGAAGGGTCCATACGCGAACCGCTGGTCAGAGAAACACATAGCGACGTCGGGAACGTTGGTCCTGTTGTCTGGTGTTAGTTACTAACACCGACGTGGCTTTCACATCCCAAGCCCGCTATTTTAAGAAGAGGGATCTCACGTTAAAGATGCATATATAGGCGTCTTAGAGAACCGCTCTTGTTGATTAGGAGCCGTGATCCGGGGTAATTGATCAGGAATCCTTAACGGCGGATCGACATCCGGAGGAAACCTTCCCGGCCGAAGTTCAAGATTTGGCTGCGGATCCGGGTCGAATATCCTGTATACCGTGAGTTAGATGTTGACTCAGAGTAGTAATTGGATAAGTACCATGTTCCACCAGGTGCCTCCCGTCTTTCAAAGACTCGGATTGTCTCAAAGTAGTTTTCAGCATGTAGTGCTGCCGCCGTGATAGCTCCTATAGTTTGTGACGTTAGCCCAGGTCCATGTATTATTAATACAGTATCTGTGTAGTGAAGCTCCAATTGAGGTATACCTGCAGCGCCCGCACCAACCACGGCTACGGATTTTATTTTTGCTTTATCGCCCATGATATTCTCCATGTATTTTAAGTACAAGAATTGTCGTAACCGATCGGTTCTACTTGCAAGTAGACGTTCGAGTGAGTATGGCTAGTACCGATCGTCGGGGTAGAGGGGCCTAGGGATCCGTATGACATCGTGGCGGCACTGTATCGTGGTTAACGACTAATGGGATAAAGGGTCGATTCGCCATAGCAATCAAATATGTCGCCATCGTCACGTGCGACTTCGGTTTGGTCCTAATTTGAGTCTATATCGACGATAGTTCTTCAATAAACTAGCTGCTAATACAGGAAGTGCACCTAGATTGACGAGGTGAGAACTACATCACCCGGACATGTTAGACATGGCTTTATTGGCGTTGTCGAAGATTGTGAAAGTGCTGATCCTCCTCGCGCCACTCCGAATTGTAACCCCGGTTTCCGAGATGATCTCCGAGCCGCCTATCAGTACTTACAACGCATAATCCTTCTAGTAATGCTACTCCGAGATCACTACCCAAGTACTCTTGTAAGATAATGGTCAGTGTTGTCTTAGAAATGTGAACATTTAGCCTAGTACCTATATTTCTAAGATTGATTGAGTGCCTACATGAGTATCTCTAGTATCAACGTAAGCGCTAAACGACCGTCCTATAGGTGATCATGTCGCCAAATCCACTGGGGGCCAGGGCCGCGCCCGCTGTCCGCACAGCTGAACCCCCAATAACTGAGGGGGTTGGTAATCCCCGCTGGACATTGTAGAACACCAGCCTTTCCATCACGGGCAATACCTAGGTAGCCAGAAAAATGGTCGCGACGACTTACGAATACCAATCTCTCAAACCAGACTCTCATGAGATTCGTGTATTACAGATTCATCCGACATGGCGAAGGTTTTCGACAATTAAATGTAGTCTTGTCATTGTGAACCTCGACGAACTTGGCAATGATTCGCTACCTTTCAGCTTCTATGAAGCCTTATCGTACACATGGGGTGACCCAACGGGCAAAGTCGAAATTAAATTAGATGGTCGTCCATTTGAGGTGACCCGAAATTTAGCAGCAGCACTTCGACGTCTAAGAGCTAAAAGGGGATTTCGATTCCTTTGGGTTGATGCGGTATGCATCAATCAAGCCGATGAACAAGAGCGAAACAGTCAAGTCGCTTTAATGGGTCTCATTTATCGGAGAGCTGAACAAGTACTTATTTGGCTTGGCCAAGAAGCAGATGGGAGCAGAAAGGCGATGAAGTTGATTGATAGTATATCTGATATCGGCGTCGAGGAAAGCGATATAGAGGCCTCACTACTCAACGACGCACATTACGCAAGATGGCAGGACGTCGTTCGACTATTTGATAGATCATATTGGCGACGGGTATGGGTTAGACAAGAAGTCGCTCTCGCTAAAGGGATCGTTGTTCTCTGCGGCGACTATATGATGAGCTGGGACGCACTTATCGAAGCAGCTGTCTTTCTCAATGAACATGCGACAGATTTCGAGCCGATTGTAGCAGAACTCACTCGGTATTCGAGTGGGTATGGAGATGCTATTGGGATGGATATTCTACGGGAGATGATACTGAAAGATAATGAAATCCCCCTAGAAGATGTCGTTCTGCATCTTCGCCAATGTGAGTGTACTGATCAACGCGACAAGGTTTATGGCGCTCTCGGTTTAGTTGGTCCTAAATCCCACGTCCCAATTGACTATGGACTGGATAAGGTCACGATATACACGAAAGCAGCAATCGCCGCAATCGAATCCAGCGGTTCCCTAAACATCATATGCGCATGTCAAGATCCAGCTCGCAGTTCCGGGCTTTCGTCATGGGTACCTAACTTGGAAGTCGATTGGATAGCCCGTAAGCTTAGGAGGACTGAGAATCTCGATTCCTTGGGCTCAGCTGGTGGGTTTGCGGCTCCTAAATTTTCATTCCATTGTTGGGATGAAGGAGCATTTACACTAAAGGCCCGCGGAGTCATTGTCGATGTGGTGTCGGAAATATGCTCTGAATTCGATCATAGTGATACCATCTTCGACGTAATGGAAGAATGGCGCACTTTAGCTATGAAAACACTATCGACGCTTCGTCCTCCCCCATCAGCTGAAGAAATGCGTTCACACTTTTGGCGGACTATCACTACAAATGAAGAGCTACGTGGACTAGAGGCCTCTGATAGCTTCATAGCTCAAGCTGCTAGTCATATCGTTAAAAGTTCGTCAGATGCGATACCTCCTATCGACTTGCGATACGAACCTAGTTCTTTCAATGAACGGTTTCGGGCGGATGCCATGAATCGCCGCTTCTATGCGACGAAGAAGGGTTATATAGGACTTGGGCCGTCAGACGCGAAGACAGGCGACCACGTCGTGGTACTCCTAGGTAGTGCATTACCGGTAATCCTCAGGGAAGAGGGAGACCACCATGTCCTGGTCGGAGAAACTTGTAAGATGGATCCCTTTTACTTGGCAAAATACCCACTGAATTTTCAAAATTAGACACACACGGGATCATGAGGGGTGAAATAGCTTCGGATCTGAGCGATGGCTCTCTTCGCACCGTTGATTTCGCGATTCACTAAAACGGTGGGTGTTTCAATAACCCTCCTAAGATCATATGAATGACCTACCATCACCGAACTGTAGGGCGATGATAGGTTACTGGGTTACCACTTACGTGGCCGCCCAGCTCGACCATGTGCGATGTCTAACACCAAAAAGCCTCAGCTCCCCCATGACGCGTACACCTTCGCCAAGCATATTTTAGCAACGGATACCATAATGCTCTGCAACCATGACTATTATAGCTAATATCTAGTCGGATAAGAAATCTTATACCTTTACTGCGACAGAATCAGCAGTCTAATCCCAGATGCTTTTTTTTCCCGAAAGGGTGTAAGATTTCAGCCTCTTACTGTACTCTGCATGGGCCGTAACCCTCAGAACATCCCTTTCAAAAAAGAAAGTATTCAGCATCTGACAAGACGCGGATAGTACATGAACCCAAGCGGGGACTTGCATGGAGGTGGCTGCTTGTGTGACTGTAGGTAGGTACTCGAGTACATATAAAAGCAGAACTCAGCACCGTATCTGCTAACTATGTTATATCTCTGGCGTAGGGATAGTAGTTGCTTTCGAAGCATGATCCTCTTGCAGTCGTAAGGATCACTTGCGGTATTTATGAAGAGCTCACCTAGGATCTAGACTGAATCCTCATAATTATCATCAGATTCATCACGTAAGAGAGGACAGTTTAATCGGTAAAAGACTGGCTCCAGTAATGGTGCGCGATCCAAATAAATGAATCAACTCAGCTGGAGATTGTGGCTTGCAGCACCTGGTATATCATTCGCCTAACCGTCGGCTCCGAGAAACAGGATGGTCTCCGCCGACTAATTAATACCCAATACCGCCTCATCCGCATTGGTAAATGACGGCAATCAGGCTACCAATAGCCCCTCGGAAATTATCAATATACAAAGGCGAAAAAAGTGACAAGTCGATTAACACATAGGTATCGTTACAATATTTGTGTACCTGAGCCAGTGGGTTTATTACCTTGCATATGACCGTGACGAAATGCTGCTACCCGTGTTCGCCCCATGCGACTCCCCTTCCCCATGGTGGCGTTATTGTACTTCACATCGGCTTAACATAGTCACAAATTCTTTCTGGTGTGTTACACTATCAGAACTCGGCTTGGCAATTCTTACCTTGGGCAGCCTATCTACTAGCCAGCCGTGGATGATTCTGGGAACGATGAAGCCTTCAACCGAAAGCTGCATCGGTAGGAATCAGAAGGATGGAGATAGATACACCTAAGAAGACGAATCCTTCGCGGGCGCTTTATAAATGGACTAGAGACTTGGTCTCTGCCTGGGTATTGCCAGCCCCTCGAGATGTAGCCCAAGACGATACCGCAACCATGCCTTCAAAGTTCGCTCAAGCTCTTCAGGTTCTATCCAGAGCCCTTGGCCCTATGCCAAAGTATCAGTTCACTCCAGGGAACGATGATACTTCCAAGGAAACTGGCTTACTCCAGGACTTAGAGCACTTGGGTATTGACGACTACAAAACACTCAAAGACGTATTGGACGCCACCGTTTCAGGTGAACAGGACGATGACACGCTCTTGCAAGAGCGCATTGTCACATTGTTAGCAAAACTTCCTCCGAATTCCCGCGAGGGTAGAGAAGCAACCGATGCTTTCATCAACAACCTCTGGGACGCACTGGAGCATCCTCCCGCTCAGCTGAAAACTGAAAAGTCTCGCTATCGCGAAGCAGATGGCTCATACAACAATCTCAACAACCCTTCTATGGGAGCTTCCAACACGCGTTATGCTCGAACCACACCTGCAAAGGTCTTCCAAGGGCCAAACCTGCCAGACGCGGGGCTCATTTTTGATAGCCTCATGGATAGAGGAGATGGAACCAAGTTTCGTGAACACCCAAATAAAATCTCGAGCATGTTGTTCTACGTGGCGACAATTATTACTCATGACATAATGCAGACTGTAAGTTGTGTGGCCTTATTCACCATTAATTTTATCCATTATCTTAACGTTGGAAAAGGATACGCGAGATCAAAACATCGACTTGACTTCGTCATATCTTGACCTATCGCCTCTGTATGGGAGAAACGCCGAAGAGCAGAAAGCCATGCGCACATTCAAGAATGGACTACTTAAGTCAGATTGCTTCTCGTCTAGAAACCTACTTGGCTTCCCCCCGGGAGTAGGGGTATTCTTGATTGTAAGTGACAAATTTTCATTTGAAGGACGTGTTCTCAGCATGGTTTTGAGATAATATGAAGTACAATCCGCAAGAAATAACCCAATTTATATCAAAACTCATACTAAGCCGATATTAACTCAAGTTGCTCACAGATGTTCAATCGCTTCCACAATTATGTTGTAACTCAACTTGCGCTGTGAGAAATTCCCTGCCATGAAAATGCGATTTCAATTGATGCTTACATCGCAACCAGGATCAACGAAGCAGGCCGCTTCACCAAGCCAGCACCCGCACATGATGGCGGTGACCTCGAGGCCTGGGAGAAATACGACAACGACCTGTTCCAAACCGGACGACTCATTACATGCGGTTTGTACGTCAACATAATCCTTAAGGACTACGTGCGAACAATCCTAAACGTGAACCGCTCCAATTCAACCTGGGATCTCGACCCTCGGACACAGGAAACCCAAAGTTTATTCAATAGTAAACCAGCTCCCGAGGCTACTGGGAACCAAGTTTCTGTTGAGTTCAATCTCATATATCGATGGCATAGCGCGCTGTCGAGACGCGATGAGAAATGGCTAGACGAAGAGTTTCGGAAACAGCTCGGAGGCATCGATCCCGCGAAATCCGGCGTTGGCGAAGTATTAGGAGCTTTGGCGAGATACCGGCGCGGTATTCCTGATGATCCGGTAAAACGAGACTTCAACGACCTGCATAGGGGCGACGATGGTACCTACTCCGATGACGACCTTGTCGACATCCTGACAACTTCGATTGAAGATGTCGCGGGCGCATTTGGAGCCAATCAAGTTCCAAGTGCTCTGCGAGTGATCGAAATTCTCGGGATCACACAGGCGAGAGAATGGCACGTAGCCACGCTAAATGAATTCCGTCATCATTTTGGATTGAAGAAGCACGATACTTTCGAGGATATCAATCCAGACCCTACGGTCGCTAAGAAGTTGATGACGCTTTATGACTCGCCTGACTCCGTTGAGCTATATCCGGGTCTTGTGTCTGAAAAGCCTAAGCCGCCGATGCCCGGTAGTGGACTCTGTGTCAATGTCACAACTAGTCGGGCTATTCTTTCTGATGCCGTAGCTCTAGTTCGTGGTGATCGCTTCTATACTACTGACTATACGCCGACGAACTTGACCAATTGGGGATATAACGAGGCCAATTTCGATTTAAAAGTCGACCAAGGGCAGGTTATGCACAAGCTCATATTCCGGGCATTTCCATTCCACTTCGCAAACAACAGCATCCAAGCACACTTCCCTTTCGTCGTCCCCTCAGAGAACAAAACCATCCACGATGGTTTGGGTACATCTGAGTTATATTCAGTAAGCAGCCTTTACCTCCTTATCATAAAGTTGAATCAAGACTACAGAAAATACCCATACTAATCCTAATCGCTATAGTGGGAGAAACCAACCAGACAGCTAGACCCCGTGGTTATCAAATCTCACAAAGCCGTCAGTCAAGTCCTAAGTAATAACAAAGACTTCTACGTCCCCTGGGGCGAGAGTATTTCTTACCTCGTCAGCCCACCAGGAAAAACTTTCGCAAAGGACTTCTGTCTAGCAGGCGACGGCACCGCTAATCACGAGAGCCGCAGCCATGTCGACAGATGTCTCTACCAACCCCAGGACTGGGAAGTGGAAATCAAGAATTTCTTCCATGAGACTACGAAGAATCTATTGAAAAAAGCTAGTTGTGAATTACCTCCTGACCCGACCGCCACACCAAAAGCAGCGAAAGAATTCGAAGTTGATATCGTTCGCGATGTCATAGTACCTCTGAACACACGCTTCGTCGCTGAATTCTTCGGCCTACCAATCAAAACCGCGGAAACTTCGCCTCACGGTGTATACATGGAGCAAGAGCTATACGGACTACTAACCGCCATGTTCTCGGCCGTCTTTTTCGATAGTGATCCTGCCAATTCCTTTAAGCTAAGAACTTTGTCGCGCGAGGGTGCTTTAGGTCTGGAGAACCTCGTCCGACTTGAAGCCGAGGCCAATGCGAAACTTGGTTGGGTTACTAGTGTTGCCGCTCGCCTAGGTTTCGGAAAAGGCAAATCTCATGACATTACGAAAGAGGGTGAGCAGTATTGGCCGACACTTCCACATTACGGGCGGCAACTGCTTTCGCGGATGATAGAGAAGGGGAGGACGATTGAAGATTGCATTGCTGGAACTGTTATGCCGATTTGGTGAGTTACTCAAACGCATACTGCCTCCCTGCTTCAATCGCATACTAACACAGTATTTCACAGTGCTGCTGGAGCGACAATCATGTCCGGCCTACTCTCGCAATGCCTAGACTACTTCCTAGGGACCGGAAGTCAACATCTTCCCGAGCTATACCGACTAGCCCAAGAGAACACCCCCGAAGCCGACGAAATCCTAATGCACTAGTACGTCCCCCCCCTCCACCCCCCCTCCAAGATATCAACTCACCACTCCATATAGTATGCTAGAAGGCATCCGCCTCCGCGGCACCGTCGTCGTCGCACGCACCATATCCCCTACCAGCCCCGCGCAAAAAATCACCGACGACACCCCGTGCCTCGCAAACCCATCCGACCCAACCAACCCCTCCCCAATCCCCAACCCATCCCCCTCCCGCGAAGCCTCAGCCCGCACGTACACCCTAACCCCCAATCAACGCGCAATAATCGACCTAGTAACCGCCTCCCATGACTTCCTTTCCTTTCCCGACCCCGAAGTTCTCCGTCTCGATCGTCCGTTATCCACATACCTAGCCTGGGGTCTCGGCCCGCATAAATGCCTCGGGGAGAACATTACACGAGTTGCCCTACTTGCCTCTTTTAAAATAATAATTGGGTTGTCTGGGCTCAAAAGAGCGCCTGGACCACGAGGCGAGTGTAAAAGTCTAGAATTTAAAGAATGGCGCGGCCAAGCCGGTCGTAGCGCGGTGAAGGGAGGCGGGGAGGAATGGACTGGTTTAAGGGCTTATATGACGCCGGACCAGAGCGCTTTTGCGCCTGTGCCGACGACTATGCGGGTTAGATGGGATAAGGAGATTAAGGGAAGACGAGATGGGGGTTGGGTTAAAATTGGTAATAAGTAACCTGTTGTGAGTGAAATGTGAGTTTTACGTGTTGGAAGGCCATTTTTACTCAACTCTCGTTTACCTTAGCGTATTGAGTATTAGGAGGTGTTTAGACATTTGATCCAAGACGCTCTTTTGAAACTGATACGAAACTACCGGTCTATCTTCAATGAGGCACATGAAAAATCTCATAGAAAAAATTATATTAGAAATCTAAAACTGAATATAGCAATTGCTTAACATTGTAGTTTGTAATAAAAAAAACTATATACACCGTTTTGCACTCCAACAATCTTTGTGCAAGTTCCCTGACTTGCAGGATCTCCGATGGGTAAATATGTACTGCGACTAATACTTCTAATATGTACGTAGGTAAAGGACAAAGTCTATCCGCCATCCATATCCTTTTGTTGACAAACGCCGATTTATCCAGTGCGCCAATTTTATGTACACCTAGTCTAATGGCTTGGGAAAGCTATTGGCGATCAAATTTAGAATGCCTCCGACCCTCATCGCTGCTGCTGCCTGTCGTGGGCTTCGCAGTGCCGATCTTGATGCCGCGTCCTCCTTTCATTGAATCTAAACTGAGATTGCTGGCGGCGCTCCCGCGCCTGCGATATCGGTTCTGTGTCGATGGACTGGGAGTCGGAGGACCGGGTGAATCGCTTCCGCCGTCCTGGCCTCTTGAGCTGGGTCTCTCCGGCGTCGGACTCTGCATGTCTTCGACGATCGTATTGATGGGATGGACCTGGCGATGAGCTTTCACTGCGCTCGTTGGCTTTTTGGCTTCCGGCGTGAGTTCGAAATAGTTCATGGGATCCTCTTGCGCTTTGTGTTGCACGCTCGCTATCGACTCGACATTGTTCTCCTGTTGCCCATTAGACAAAACAGATGCCGAGTCGGATTCGAGCGCATCACTATTACGGTGCGTACTACCACCATTTAGTTCTCTTGGTCTAATAGTAGTACATGTAAGAATAAAACTTGAACGTTAACATCATAGTGGACTTACTGTTTAAAGGAATTTGAAGTTGATAAGCTAATATTACGTGCTTGCTGATAGCTTTCGAATTCTTCTAACGAATGTTCGGCGTCGCGGAAATTTTCTAAGGCGTCGAAAACGTGAGGGAAAACTTGAACGTCTACATCACGAGCCCAGAGAAAGTCGAGATGCTCATAATGGGGTATTTCGGTAGCCACGGTTCGGTTAGGCAACTCTTTCATCATGACCTTAATATCGACTAGGGAGTCACTACCTCCATAGACTAGAACAACAGGCGTCCTGATATTGCGAGTTGGATACTTGGCGACTTTCGTGTACTTGCTCGATGTGTTAAGCGGCAAGGGTGTCTGCACATCGTCGTCGTACATCTGAAATGCCTGGTTCCTGATGATCTGGAACCAGTGAACCACCGATTTGGTGCTAGTAAATGAATATAAGTGCGGATAAGCAGCGAGTTTCTGGCTGACTGAGATATTTTTACTCTTCCAGCCAAAGAGAAAGTCATTGCCCATATCAATGACTTTTATGAAAATAGGCGGATACAAAATAGACTGCCACATTGTAGCGGAGCTAAGAATTGAGCGCCTACCAAAAAGAAGGAAGAGTACTTGAGGCGAAGCTTTGATGAGAGCATCCACAATGCCATTATTAAGACCCGCGGGTGCCATAGCCGGAGCTAAAGCAATGAAAACGTTGACCTGCTCATTTAACTTAGGGTGTATGGCCAAGCTAGCGAAAGCTTGCGCAGTCCCTTGAGAGAAACCAATGTAGGATAAAGATGGCTGCTTCGTGGTTTCCAGAATGTAGTTGATAGAATCCGGAATGTCGTGAAAAGCGAATTCATCGATCGAGAAGTTCCAAAATTCGATAGAAGTTGGCGAATATTTAATCGACTTCTTTGAGTATTTGTTCCCACGGTTATTGCCCAGCTAGTATTCAGAATTAGTATATATCCCGTATTTTCGTTGTCGCGTTGAAACTAGTAAACATACCCAAACATCGAAGCCCCTTTCGACTAATACGAAAGGCAAGGTTCTCTGTGCATCAGTAAGGCAAACCCAAACTTCGCTATTCATGAGAAGACCATGATGAAGATAGACGACTCGTTTCTTAACGCTGTTGGGTCCATCATTTACTTTCACGTCCTCTTCACCTTTTCTCCATGCTAAACGATGTATTCCAAGTAGATAACCATCTTTGGTTTGCAGTACGTGTTCCTCGGCCGTGTAGCCAAATGTGGCACAGAGATCTACGAAATCGGAGGCATTTCGAATCGACGTCGATATCGCTAGGTTTACGGGTTAGTTTTGGCGAATGACTGGAGGATAAACGAGTCGTACATTTCCTTCTCTGCTCAGCTCTTTTTTGCGCCGGCGATGTTAGTCGGTTAAATAATTGTCGCGAAGCTCGGTAAAAGAGATTTATTAAAGACGAGGCTGTATTTGGGAGGTTAGCGCTATTGAGTTGAGATCGGAATGGTTTTCGCATACGTAAAGCTAGTGTCAATACGCGGATGATCGCTTCGAGGCCGACAAGCAGAAACGAACCCACGAGGGCGACATATTCAACGCTATATTACTTATTAGTCTAATCGGCACTATAACAACCTCTCATGTTATTGACTATACGAACATATCCAATCGGCCGAGAAATGGTAGCGGCATCTTGATCTCGTTATGTTTGTCCACCGCTTAGCTCAAGTAGGGATAGGAGAAGTTCGATACAAGCTTAGCGCAGCGCTATCGCGACGAGGCGGTCATCTTCTATTTAAACTAATCTTGCGAGTTCTTCGTCTAAAAGGTACCAAGTGGTAAAGTGGTAAATATCGAAATCGGGGTCCCGAGTAAGATTTGAATATTCGCGATCGAAGGAATTAGCTCTAGACGTAGGTAGTATTTATGGTGATGTCACATGGGAATAAGGATCGGAGCAAGCTAAGCTTAACAGAGACAAAAACAGATATAGAGAGAAAATGGGTGTTTCTTCAACACCCCTTGAAGAAAATTGACGATTAGGAGATAAGGAGAGCGAAAAAGAGGTTAAGGAGAAAAGTTGGGAGAGTTAATGATCGTCATATTATTAGAGTTTAAAAGAGCATAATGCTGAAATCATTAAGGTTTGGCTTCATTTCAATTTCAAACAGCAGTAAGAAGCTTCAACTTCTTTCACTTACCTGTGCCCTTATATTGTACTCCACTTTGATAGCCTGGGAGGTGGAAAGAATGATCTCGACTAGCTACCCCTGCATTAAAGCATGTGTTCGGGGTCAGCTATCTCCGTCCGCCAATCGGCTTTGACCTAATTTTGAGCTTGGACCAAGCGACTTTTCGTAACTTTCGTGATACCAGCATGATCTGATCTTGATCCGATCCGATATGAATTGGCGGGATTGAATTCTTTGCAGCATCACTCGCAGATTCCAACCAGCTAGTCAATATGCCAAGCTCATGTAAAGAGATAAGTATGTCCCCAATCCATTTGAACCATCAATTCTGTTTCCGACTCGTCTAGAACCTTTGCTGACATATAATCCACTTCCTACAGGAGCCGCACTAGCGGAATGCCTACAGGAATCCGAGTGCGTGATGGTACAACGACATACTGCGGCTGAATGTCTACGATCACCTCTATCCGAGACGCTCCCGACGAAATGCCAACAATTAAAGAAAGGTTTTGGTGAATGTAGGAGGGGTATGATCGATATGCGCAAACGATTCCGCGGAAACCAACCTATCACTTTCAAGAGTCTCGAGACGACCGAAAAATCGGGTGAGGGGTACCAATTATACGCTGGCAAATCCGCCTTCGCCGGTGCCGTCCGGAAGACGGATGGAAACGAACCGGAGCCTCAAGATTGGCGAGAACTAGAAAATGAAAAATACCGGAAAGAACAGGAAGCGCAAAAGAAATGACCCGGACGAGACCTAATCGTGTTACATAAGAAAAAACTTACCATCCATGAACATATCACACAATAAGCATTGGGCGGCGTTGAGGGTTAGATAGGCATTTTCAAGCGTCTCTTCCCACGTAGAGCTAATTTCTCGGATGATTCTTAGGCATGGCTGGCAATAGTCGACTCTACTCAAACACAAATATTATACCCTATAGAACACTCTGTCACAACCTCTGTTGAACTACCGCCGATTTCGAGACCCGGTATCCCCACCTCAATACAAAGATGTCAAGTGCAGTGTCTCAATCAAAAACGTCACATCAAGAATTCGTTAATTCAATTATCCACATATGGAACCCATTGCCGTGGATAAGGGTCCCTCTAAATTTCTAGATGGGGTCTTGGCAAAAATTTAAGTATAACGTGCCTTACATCATTCAATCAAGTCTATGTGAAATAGTTCATTTTTGAACTATATCGATCCAGCTCCTTTAGGAACATCATTATAGCAGATATTGCAACTCATACACCAAAACATCTCATCATATAGTTTACAATATGTTTATATAATACCGGTAGCGAAACCCGACGCCATACCCATTTAAGATTAAACACCCAGGTCGATGGGCCATCAAGACTCTGCACTGCCCCAAAGGCAAAGGCAAGGGCATAGACGAGAACACCAGCAGAGGCGACAACAGAAGAACTCTCGCCGTTACTATACACTTATCATCATCGCCATACTAAGCATCATATTCCTCTGCTACACACGCTCCTCCTCACACCAACCCTCTCCCTCCGTATCCCCAACATCACCACCAGTCAACATGGCATCCACCCTAACAACCCCAACCCTCATATTCCCCTTCCCTAAATCCCACCTCCCCAAACCCCACGGCGGCCACTCCGCGCCGCTAATAATAATAATAGGCGACGTCCACGGACAATCCACCGCCCTAGACGCCCTCCTATCCGCCACAAGCTACTCCAAGGACCGCGGCGACGTCGTGATATTCGCAGGTGACATGGTGAATAAAGGACCCGACAGCCCCGGCGTAGTCTCACGCGCGATGGAAATGGGTGCATGGGGTGTACGTGGGAATAACGAAGACCGCGTATTAAGTGCTTGGGCGCGGTATTTATCTTCGAGTCCTGGGTCTAAGACTAGGGCGGAGAAAGAAGCTGCGGAAGTAGGTGTGGAAGGGAAAGGTGAAATCAAGGATACGCCGAAGGAAGATAAGAGTGAAGAGGGGACAGGGGAAACAGAAATCGACGAAGCAAAAGCAAAAGCAAAAGCCGAAAAAGAAAAACGCTCCAAAGCCGCCGACCTAGCCACCGCAACAAGTCTCACCGCCGCGCAGATATCTTGGCTCGCCAACCTCCCCGTGATCCTGCATCTCGGGCATATATCGCCGTATTACGGCGATGTACTCGTCGCCCACGCTGGTTTGGTACCTAACGTCCCACTCGAAGAGCAGGATGCCTGGGCTGTGATGAATATGCGAACGCTCGTTCCCTACTCCCACTCTTCGCCAAATCAGCCTTTGAAACCGCTAGAAGGCCGCGACGGCCGGCCGTGGTCTGAGGCTTGGGATGAACTACAGCGGGAGAAAAGGGGCAACAAAACGACGATAGTATATGGCCATGATGCGATGATGGGTCTTACCATACGGCGATATACATTTGGCCTCGATAGCAATTGCGCGCGTGGCTTCTCTTTATCAGCGCTTGTCTTCGAGCCGACGTCACCTTCTACCTCCTTCTCTTCTACTCCGCCCTCAGCTGATGGTAGGGCGTTAGATATCAGTGAAGAGGAGAAGCGGAAAGCGGCAGAGTACGGTATAGTACATAAGGTTGTTAGTGTACCTTGCGGAAGCGGCGATAGTGAGAAAGAGGGTAAGAAGGATAAGAAAAAAGATAAGGCGAAGAACGAGGAAGAGAAATAGAAGTGAAGGACATTTTATAGATTCTAAGTAACTACGTGGGTATATTTAGATAGAACGGGGAGACGATGCATAGTAAACGTTTTCTATATCGGATTCGATTGTATATATTCATAGCATATAGCGACGGCGTTCCTATATTTTTTTCCCTCATACGCCTTTATATAAGAACATACTAGCCACAACATTAGATTCTACACCGTCACATTATATGTTTCGCCAAATAAGACAATTGCAGTCACTTGTTAACCTTCTAAATTTGATTTTTAACTATGGACACCAAGTAGAACCTGCCAGCCAGCTTTTTTTGTTCTACCCAGCAGATCCTCTAAAATGATGCCCCGTGCTATAACATCCCGAAATAACGAGAGGCCAAATACTCATAAGGCATTCTGGAAACTCCCAGACAACTAAATCATCAATTCACAATTACTCCCAACCCCAGTTTATTTCGATGGTATAATTTACGCCGAGATCTTCTTCTTGATAATGTCCTTTAGAGTGACGGCGTCAGCAGCGAATTTGCTAATACCCTCACGTAGCTTCTCGACGGCCATTTGCTCTTCGTTGAAGTCGAAGCGGAATAGCGCCTCGTCGTTGATGTATGTCTTCTTGGCGATGTCAAGGGAGGTAGCGGCGGAGGCATCGAGCTTCTTGGGGACAGCAGCGGAAGAGTTTAGAAGCTCCTCAAGTAGGTTGGGCTACAAAATGGTCGGTTAGCTTCGGTCAATTTCAACGAAGTCGCCGCAAAAAGGAGTAAACTTACGGAGATTGTTAGGTAATCACAGCCAGCCAGTTCGGTGATTTCACCAGTGTTACGGAAAGAGGCACCCATAACAATGGTCTTGTAGCCGTACTTCTTGTAGTAGTTGAAGATAGCCTGGACGGACTTGACACCGGGGTCATCCTCCTTGGCGTACTCCTTCTTTGTTGCGGCCTTGTACCAGTCAAGAATACGGCCGACGAAGGGAGAAATGAGGAAAGCACCGGCCTCGGCGGCGGCAATGGCCTGGACAGTCGAGAACATGAGAGTCAAGTTACAGTTGATACCGTGGTCACGCTGCAGGATCTCAGCAGCCTTGATACCCTCCCATGTCGAGGCAACCTTAATTAGGATGCGGTCCTTGGAGATGCCTTGCTCCTTGTATAGCTGTATAACGTTCAATTTAGTATAATTGTTTCAATTGCCCCTTTAACATCTGAATGAGACATACGTCAATAATGTGTAGGGCCTTCTCGACCGAAGCCTTGGTGTCGAAGGAAAATCGGGCGTCGACCTCAGTGGAGACCTTGCCGGGAATGATCTTTAGAATTTCCTTGCCGAACTCAACCAGGAGTCGGTCAAGAGCAGCATCAACTTGGTTGTCGATGTCACCACCCTTTCCCTTGGCGTATTCGACAGCAGCGTCAATTAGCTTGGCGTATTCGGCCTTCTTGGAAGCGGCAAGGATGAGGGAGGGGTTTGTGGTAGCATCTTGAGGCTTGTACTTTCCGATGGCTAGAATTCATATTAGTAATTACTCTCTGTTATGTGTTATGAGACGTGGTTATAAGCCAAGCGGGTCGGGCTAATTGTTATCGTCGTCTCGAAGTTGGATCTATGTGCGGGATATACTGACTTGCGAAATCACCTAAGAAATGACTTGGTTAGTACAATCGTTCAATTGCGTCTTTATTATTTGACATAGCTATGGCTTACCGGAGTCGCACACAACGACCTAATTCGCAAAGAAAAGTTAGCAGTTGCAAATTGTTGAGGAATAGAGTACGTGATGGAAGCTCAGAGGATTAATTGAGCGGTATAGGAAATGGCCGATCATTTTCCTTCAGCTCAAAAATCTCACGATGGAGGGGCAAATCCGGGTTGAGGGGTAAACGGGACTCACCGTGCCAGAGGCCTTTAGCTGGTCGAGAGAGTTGGACATTTTGTCTGTGTGATGTGAAAGTACTCTGAAATAATTTGCAAATGGATAATGTATCACAGGTTGAGACAATGGATAGATTGATTGTGCAAGATGTAAGTTGCAGAGTTCTAAAGCAACGAGTTGTTGGGGGAGAAGACGGGATGTCCCCTATTATTATTAGAATGCACTACTAAGGTATTCGCCTACGATGGCGATGGCGGGGCAATAATGAATGGGACAGGTTCGTCATATATCCACAGTTACTATGCAAGTACCTGCTAATCAGCCCACTTATACGCTGGAGTGTATGTAGTCTTCCGTACCGGACACACTAGTGAAGCACCTGATTTTCCGTCGTCGATTTTTCTTTCCTCTTCGACCTAAAGCTCTGACATACGGTCACATACCCCTCCATGACATCGGCCGAATCATCCTATTGGTATTTATGCTTCCGTTAGTCAGCCCCTCCAAAAACTTACACATAAAGAGAGACCCGTTGACCTTTCCATCAAGGTGGCGTTACAATCTATTACTACTCTAAGTGCTAATATTAGTGATGGTTAAACATAAAGCCGATTATTATGTTTTTCCCTTCTGAATTACCTAGGAACACATAATACTGAGAAGACGCTTGGTAATTGCTGGTTGTTACTAAGAACAAGCAAACAAATCCATCCTAACTTCCCCGACAATCCCATTCCTTCATCGCTTCCAGGTTTGCCCCCGTCCGTCAAGTAACACTGCAACTCACGATAACTCAAACCGAATATAAACGTACAGTTTACGTATGTATTACTGTGAGCCTCACATTAAGGTAGCACAGCATGTAAGGCCCTTACTCAGCCAACCAAATCAAAGCCTCGAACTTTTCCGTCCCCTCCACGTGGGGTCTTCATTGACCAGTAGCACGCCAGTCCTTATTAGTTTTCTTCCGTTTGATACGCTCCGCCAAGACGAGCTTCACGACAGAAAGTGCCTCAGAATTGTAAGGAGTCAGCGGAAATGTCAAATATCTAATACAGGTATTTGCAGATTATAGCCCTATATCGGCCATCCCGTTAAATTACTTTTTACAAGCTCGAATTTCTAGCGTTCAGCTAATTCCAACCATTCCCCATTACCCCTGTTGACCCCTGCCTTGGCGATGATCGGCGACCCGCTATCGCTTCCAAGGTCTGCGTATATTTCTCACCTCCAAATCTCTACACCTACGTATAGCTTCGGCAATGCCTGTACATATAAGCTACTACGCTTTTGAAATACGTCTAGGCATATCCATAAAAACACCAAGATGAGGTATTTTCATTCATGTCCAAATCTACCTACTCATACATCCACTACTTCACTCATTTTGTATATACTTCGTTAAATTTCCACCTTTTCAGCGCTACTCCTTGCCAAATCTACTAGGGCACTTACAGCTAGGTAAGAAGGATTGAAAACGTAGAAGTTATCGAAACCGCTATTATACACACCTTACTGGAACATATAGGGATTAGGAAGTTAATACGCTGTATTCCCCAGTAGGTATGCGGGCTAAAAAAATGACCAAGTAGGTGTTTTGCTTTTTGACATTTGATATTGGTCGCACCAAAACGCCCAAACAATTCCTATCAGGAAGTTCCGAGGGCCTCATCCGAACGCCACTATTCTACAATCCCCGACTATCGCTCGCTCATTGGATAGCTGGGCTGCACGAGGCCGGCTCGGATATGAGAAGACGATGTGGCTTGCACTAGATAGATTAAACGATCACCTGGTAGATTTATGATACGTTGCAGAAGATGTGTTACCTATACAGTGTCTACGTCCAGGCATCATTCACATAAATACGATCGAAGCGTGGGTCTTGAAGAGGAGCGCAGTATTTTGAAATCCTCGCCTCATGTTTATTTCGCATAAAAGATTGCTATATATCGACTAATAATTTTTTCACATAACGCAATGTAGATCTTTTGTCTTCCCCATGCCATGCAGATAAATGCAAACGAATTTCGGGAGGTCTAAGAAAACACAATTCGTCAAAGCAAAAGGATAACATCCAGAGAAAGCGTTTAGTCCTCGGTGATATCACCGTACTCCCACATACCCAAACGATCGGCCTTCGCCTGGGATTCAATCTCGCGCAACTTCTTCAAAACCTCCTCCGAAGCTCGACCTCGTTCCCATGCCTTCAGTTTCTTGGGGACCAATGCGTGACCATTAGCCACGACATCCTTGTTGATAGAGTCGGCGAAGGTACTGCCTGACTTCTTCTCATCGAATAGCGTTATGTAGCTGACGCCCTCCTTGGGGTCTACGAAGTCGAAGCTAGCGACTAGTCGTTTACTGTCTGTGGCCTCGGCAATAAAGTCAAGCGCATCAGCGAAGTAGTCGGGGGCAGTAGGCAGCTGGATAAATGATAGTACGGCATCCGTAGCCTGCGCCTTTAGCTTTTGTGTGGTGAACTGCGGTTGGTCTAGCGCTCGTAAGCTGGACCATGGGATCTTCTCGGTATTGCCGTAGTCAATGTAGACAACTTCGGCAACCTTAGCTGTCCTGTCGTTTGACCGCACTCGAGCACGGTACCATTGGCCATCAGCAGAGAACTTAGCAGCCACGAATTCACCCGTCTTAGGAGGGTTGGCAAGAGGTTTGTTATTCTTGAAATCAATGTGGAATCTCTTGAATTCGTTCATCAAAGACTCAAGAGCAGCAGTTCCCTTACCAACCTCCTGGATCTTGAGCTTCCCATTCGAATCGATATTGGTGACAACAATCTCTCGGTAATCGGCAGCCTGTTTGTCTAGAGGAGCAGCCTCTTTGGAGGGCTCAAAATCGGCGACTTCTTCTTCGGCACCCTCTTCTTGTGATGGGTCCCAGTCTTGCCAAAGACCTTTACGTCCTTCCTTAGCACGCTTCTCAGCTGCTAGAAGCTCATTGGAATTGCCAGCCTTCTCCGCGGAGTATTGGTGAACAGATGCGAGACCTTCCTCGACCAGAATTTTGGCAAAACTTTCACGGTTGATATAGAGGTCGCCAATGAATCCACCCACCTTATCAATATCGTGGATATCAATTTCGCAATCGCGCTGGTTGCACCGACGGTTGGCGAGATCAAGAGCTTCTTGTCCAAAAGGTTCACCCTTTTCCTGAGGTAGTCGAGGGGCTCGAGGAGCACGAACACCAGCAAGGACCATAGTGAGTTTGACTCCTTCTCGGGGGACCAGTACAGTAAATCGCGAACCGGCCTTGCAGAAATCAACTACAGCGGGTACCTTCTTCTGACGCGAGAAAATAGAAAGCTGCATCTTAGCCTTCTGTGCCGACTCCGAGACATCCACCAAGGCTTTACCCTTCGGGGGCTTTCCGGACCACATGCCCTTCTTCTCATCTTTGGCCTTCTCTTGAGCTGCAAGAAGCTCGTCGTAGTTCGGGGCTCTATCAGTGTCATCCTTGCGATGTCGAATAACAGAGCACCACCCATCTTGAACTAGGAGCAGGTTGATATTTTTGCCCTTCTCGGTTACAGTGGCCACATCGCGAGCCTCGAAATCGTCGGTGGCGGGTCGGTGGCCGTCGATAGAAACCTTGACGTGTTTACCGATAAGCTTCTTCCGGAGGTATTCTTTTGATTCATCTCTGAAAGGAGCTTCGGAAGGCTCATTTGTTCGAGGACCCCGCACACTGCTAAGATTGATCCTCTTTTCGGCACCGTTCTTGGTTCGGACGAAAATTGCATCGGCTCCCTGAATTTTCGAGACGATCATGTCAGACGAACTGCCACCCTCAGCTTTAGCCACATGGTCTTTGTGGAGGCGTAATTTAGCCGCCTGGGCCTTCTTCTCGGCCGCCCTGAGAGGAGCCATCTTGGGTCCAAGTAAAGTGGAATGGAAGTCGTTGCACCTAGCCAATCCATCGGCAAGCAAAAATTCCGCGATGCTTCCTCGAGGGTGTAAGATAGCGGCAATGAGTTGTCCCTGTGGGCTAGTGCCAACGATCTCGGCCTTAACATCGCGCTGAAGTAGTCTTTGCTCGACAAATTGTCGCGCCTCATTACCGAATTCCTCCGCAGGCTGGGTTTGACCAGTTGATTGATTGACCCTCTCTGTGGTGGGGGCGCGAATGCCGGCAACAAGTGTCATCACCTGCAAGTGCTTCTTGTCGGACAGCTTAAGGCGCAGAAGTAGGCGATCACCACTCAGAATACGCTCGACGACGGCATCAATAGCTTTGCCCTTCCATTCATTGATGTCAAGGGCACTGGTGTCGTTCTGGACCTCGATAATCCCACCAACGCCTTCCCAAAGGCCCTTTCCCTCGTTCTTAGCTTGGGTCTCGAGGGAGCGGAGAGTCTCAAGTCGTTGTAAGACCTCTTCGGACTCCTCTTTTCGACCGGCATCTTCCCTAACCTTAAGCCAACCAGCCTTGACTAATTCGTCGGGTAGTTGGGTTCCATCCTTCAATTGAGCAGTACCATAATCCCTTCCAGAGGTAGGAATGGTGTAAAGAATAGAACATTGGACGACTTTGCCAACCACCAATTTCCGCAGGTAGTCCCGTGACTGAAAAGCGAATGGTTCATCGCCCTCTCTCTTGAGGTGAGGACCAGTAACAAAAGCCAACGAGAAAACACGCTCGGCATTCGGATTGTTCTGGCTGGTCAGCACCAAGGTGTCGCCGCTTAGGACCGACTTCACGTTAGCAAAGAATTGTTTTGCCATGTTGGTAATGACAGACGGGCCAAGCTAGCAAAAGTAAGGAGTGAACGGAAGGGGAGTCTAAAAGATCCTAAGAATCTGATCTAATAGTTAGTAAAGGGCCAAATATCTGGGTATCCGATGATGATATCGTTTAGGTTAGGAGGATGATCAGCAGTGCGTAATATCGATATCTTGAAGTAGAAGCATTTATATATAATAATGTTCCAAAATAAGACACCATATAACGCAGAATAGTCCTGGATCGCATATGACGGAATAAGGGAAGGTGATAAGTAGTAACCAATGGGTTTTATAGTGATACAATTCCAGGGGTTTGATTGTCAATCATCATACAAAGAGGCACGCATATATGTGTGACATCGGACTAACAAGAATAAATCAATGACCTTGTCACTGCTTCTTGCCCTTTTTTTCTGTACTAACAAATTCATTGCCATAGTCAACTGAGTTGGGATGAGGTGTTTGGGCAAAAAGTGAGCTATCTCAAGCTCGTAAGGTAGTAGATATCAGGGCATATACTGATAACACTCATAGCTCTACCCACATGTTCATGCATGCGAACGATTTTGATAGCTCGAGATAAAGCGGGAAGTGACATTTGATATCAGTAGGATCTAGGATTATGCATTACTCGGCCAGTATAATTGTAGGAACTAAGGGGTAAAGGGAAGCTTAGGGATGGGGAGAAAATGTCGGAGTTTGGTTTAATGAAAATATATATAAGTGAAAATGGACTTACCAAAGCAGGGTTGACAGACGAAGATGCTTGCTTCGACGTCAATATGGAAAAGGGTGCTAGAGCATTCGTATTTTTATAAATTTGAAAGGTAGAGGAAGTAGGCGAAGGTTACTGGGTAGCCCAATGCTGTAGAAAGAGTCGACCTCTAGCTGCTGAAATTGTTCGTTGTAGTGTCGTGTGCGCTTTCGATTTTGACAGCTTTCACCAATTTGTGGGGAAGGCCAAGCCTTGACTCGTGGGGAGCTGGAGGCAAGTAAAGTTCGAGGCTTGTGTCCAGGGGGGTAGCCCCTAAGCGAGGAGTTGCAGTGGCAGCTGCCAGCACCTAGGTACTTTGAAACCACCTATTTACCACCCGCCGCCGTTAAGTACCCAAAGGAACAGAACAACCAGACCATAACCCCTCCTTTTTAAAGCCTCGAGCGGGGTTCTCAACAATCTGACGTACTTACTACGGGAATCCATCTTTATAGGCAAGGCAGATAAGAAAAAAGTGTTCTATGATCAGCAAAAGGGGCTCACAAGAATAGCAAGTATCATAGGTATATATATATATATAATTCCAGTATACTAAAGACTTCAATGGTAGGAACTTAAACTAGAGGCTCATGAGTTAGCTATACTATAAATGGCATGAAGCTTCATGGCTATTGGAGGGATATCAGATGGAGACCTCAGACCTGGCTAAATTTAGCATTATAGCAAGGTCAAAGTAGAAAGTCAGTTCAATCGCAAGGCACAGTTTTATACTATTAAATTTTAAAATACCACTTGCTTTGATGGAAGATTTATTTGAATTGAAATGGCTTCAATAGCTACCAAGTAAGGTTTATACCAAAGAAGAGCTAGGTACGATCAACTACAATGTTATGCGGCGTTTAAACTCGTCTAACTAGGTCAATTCTTATCCCTAGCTTCATCCCATTCGTCATAAATTTAGTTGGAGATACCAATGACACCTAAGCAATTAATTTGATTAGCTATTATCTTGATTATTCAATCTACATTTGAAGTAGCTTACCGCAGGCGGGTCGAGCACCAGCATTGCCGGTCTTGAGAGACTCCTCGTTACCACCCTTTCCAAGGTCATCGGTGCCAGCGTGGCTGACGACAGTTCGCTTTATCCTACGTTAACATATATTATAATAACTCGAAGGTAATAGGATTTCTTACGCCGATGATGCTCTCAGGTCCGATCAGTTTGATAAGAGAGTCTTGGACGGATCCCTTAGCGTTTCCTTGGCCATCAGTGACGATGTTGCCGAGGTCACCAACGTGGCGGGTGTCGTCGGTTCGGTCACCGTGAGTCTTTCCGTGGGGGTTGACTATTGTCCGGATTAGCCACTTCGCTCCTATTGAAGCGAATTGTGTCCAATTGCGTACAGTGAGGACCAGCAGAGGTGCAGCCGTTGGTGTTGTCACCGAAGGTGTGAATGTGGAAGCCACGCTTGGCGTTAGGGTCGTGTCCGGTAATATCCCACGAGACGGTAGTAGGGGCGGACTCGGAGGCCTGCTCGAAGGTGACCGTTCCGGCGACCTTGGAGTCACCACGGATGACAGCAACTAAAGGGAGACATTATCTCGTCAGCAATGACTCGGTCTTGTCTCGAGCGATGGAACTAAAAGTAGGTACACAGTAGGGATTTCTACAAGGGAGATCTAGCACCGAAGCTTCCTCAATGGGTAGATGCAATCCCAATGGTGCGGTTTGGGCTGATTAGACCGTTCTCCGTGTGTCCAACAAGGTGTCCATCCTGTCGCGACTTTGGTGTACAACAGGGACCACTAGTTGACGAAATGCGCTCAATCGTGCTCATGCAGCCATGCTTAATGCGGAAGGGATGGAATTGACAGTAGTTTAAATAACGGAGACTTTCCTACATACCTGCTTTGACCATTTTGACTAGTTTTGTTTGGTTTTTCGAGTTGATAAAGCTAGAATTCCGGTGAAAAAAAGTTGGTTGTTCTAGGTGGTAGGATTACTCTTAATTTTTTTGGAAGAGGGGAGAAGAAGAGGGGAGCTTTCTTCCTATCTAACTAATTTGTACTAAAGGACGAGAGGGGATCTCGGGAAAGCGATGCCTGCCCGGGTCGGTTGTCCTTACCTTTTCATCACCCACTAACAAGGGAGACCCGACAGTCCTTACATAACCCGTTTCACCACATAGGAAGGCGCCCTTTCCCATTCAGCGCCATTCTACCCTGTGTGTACGCAAGCACGCTATCTCAAGAGCTACTTAGGTTTACTTAGTGAGAGGGCAAGTGGTACCTATTGCTAAGGTGGGGGTTTCCAGGTTCCATCTTGTGCTATAGAAAGCTGCCCCGCTTTCATCGTTGGCGTCATAATTGGTTTGTTGGTGCTTACAAATGATATCATATTTTCGTCGGAAGCTCGGGTCTATTCATTGGCTTCGGACTTTACCCAGCTGCAGCTTGTGGAGCGAAGACGGAGTCGATCCCAGGCTAAGAGTGGCTAGCAAGAAGCGAGTTGCTATGGAATTGCTTTTCGATTTCCGAGGCCCTTAAAGAAAAAAGACGATTGGTATATCCTCTTTTCAATTGCGTTATAAAGGCTCCGGCTTAACTAATAGCTTGGTGGCCTAGAAAAACGGTATAAAATAGAGGGTCGTAGGGATAGCCATGAGCATGGCGTCGAGTAGCGAGAACACGGAATTGAATCAAGGTCTCCGGTAACCGTTGTGCTACTAACATGTAACAAGAGAATTTCCCCGAGTCGTTTAGTTTCACACACCACGACAAATGCTTCAAAGATATAATAGGCTAGGAATGGTCGAATGGTCATATATCGTACGTGCAGACACTGAAACACTAATGAGGTGCTGGATTATGTGCTGAGCTGATATAATGCTGGTACCTAGGCAGTTCGGAAAGCTTCGTATGTTATAAATATGTGGCCAATTAACGTCAAATTCGCAATGGAAACAAGATCATGTAACTTGAATGTTACGTCTTTTTAAATGTGACATGGCAAGCAAATATTTCGCTTCGACAAAACTCCGGGCAATGAAATAATATAGTGAAATAAACCTGTGGGTCTACTTACGTATACAAATTGTAGGACTGCAAATGGTCATAAGAGGCGCTCGCTTATACCTGTATGATATAACGCTGATGGTAGTCTTGATATGCTTGACACAACTGAACCGAGAGTAAGGTTACGGTATTGAAGATCGCCGCGTAATGGAACCAGGATAGCTCAAGAGAGCTTCAGACCGAGAGTACCTAAAGCGGTAAAAAAAAATCTTATCAATTTCAATCTGCCTTATTGCGGCTCAGGCTTTGCGTTGACAACCAGACAACCTAGCGCACACGTGTGATGTGGCGATGGAGAAAAGAGGGAACCACCAGAAAAGATACATGCAATATATAGTTGGGTATGTATCTTTTAACTGATGTGATACACAAGAACGACGTTCTAGATCGTAGGGGTCTTGGAGGGCATTGCACAACTTAGTCGCATACCTGACAGGATTGAGATGATCACCGACCGCCCATTTTGGTAGCGCGCGATGCTGAGATTTTATTGGGAAGCTTCTTCATGACGACATCCACAAATTGTTTTACTGCCGTCGAAAGTTCTCTGCGGTGGAACATTATGGTTGTCATGCGCTTTTGCGGCGAGGGAAACTTTATGGTTGAGGGCAGCTGATAGTTACCGAGATTGCAACGTTGGAAATTCGTTTTCTCTTAATCAAATGTTCTTAATGTTCGGAATACGCATACGCGGATAAGAGGAGAGGGTTTAAGTTAGGCTTTAAGTTTAGGAAGCTTTCCAAATAAGGTGATGCGGGCCACTTGGCACTTCCCATGTTTCAACTGATTGATCATCCGGCTGCTAGGGGAACCTAAATTGGACTGGAGCGTATTCTTAAATTTAGATCACAAGTTCAGCCCTATGATAAATGGTGATGGAGTTTCAAGGGATGATCTACAATTTTATCACCCTAGATCCGACACTGACCGACATTTCTGTTATATCTGTCTTTATTTTCAAAATATCAATATCATATAATATACCTAGGTGTACATACATCAGTGGAAGCAACTTGGCAACGGTCCGGATGTGGTAGGTGAAATGTGGTTGGGTGTTACTGGCGCTACTGCCGATATAACCGGTTGTGCTCAAGTCCGACTTGAATATCGAAATGATATTAAGAACTTGGCGTGAGGGACGCCTGACTGAGAATTGAGATGAAATATCTAGTGGATTTAAATCTTGGCCTTTGATGAGCAACTTGAGTTCCAATGTAATAGCTGCTAACTTACCCACCTTATGCACCTACTTGGTGATACTACATATTCGTATGGCAGCCAATGGTTAGACAAGGATGAGACATAAGTCTCACGACACTTTTTTAAGTCTTTTGAAGCCGATAGAATAAAATCCAAACAAATTTCTTCATAGCTGAGAGAAATTTACGAGCAATTTGCGAGTTATGGTGATATTTGGAAAGATATTTACGAGATAATTAAATTGTTGAGCACTTGCTCTTATAGATAAGACAGGGCGACGATCTTACCTTCTAGTGGTTTGATGTAGCGACAAGTCATTTTGCGACAATCCAGCTGTAAGCACTACAGAACCCGTATAGCGCCGTATTTTCTGTTTCATCTCTATGTCATGAAGTATGTTTATCATGGGTCGTATTCCACGTGGATAGATCGTGGAGTTGCTGCTAGCATTATTAAATTAGGTACTTTGGCTATCTCAATAAGTACCAATTGAATGAATAATCTTTGGTATGATTGAAGGCGACTTATTTCGTGGGATATTCTATCACTAATTAGAATTGAATTGACTGAGATTATTTGCTGAAATCGGCGACCTTGTTCATTAAAGTACCTATGTAAGTACCTAAGTAGTTGAAATAGTTCTTGTGAGGTTGGAAGGATTTTGGTGCCCAAAACTTGACAAAGAAGCGAGCGCACTGTGACAAGGTATGTTGTGCCTTGACGGTGACAGCGTATTGCGCTTCGAAGAACGGTTTGCGCATCATTCTTTATACAAGCAGAGCCACATGGTAATTCTCGAAATTCTAGAAAACAAGGAAAAATCAGGAAATCATATACTCGCGATGCTGCACAGCCTTCAAAAAGGCCTCGATGATGAGATGGAAAGATGTGGCTTGGATTGGCCTCTTTTATGGGGTTTCCTTTAAAGGTAGAAGGATGATAGGTAGGGTGATCCTTGGAGGGGTGGGAAACCTATTCGAGTTTTAAGGTTAGGTGCCGTTTATCCCACCGCATAGGCTGCGTGTAGGTACATACAGTCACACAGACATCCCTAATAACGTACCTTAGCATCGGCCCACGTTCTTACCGGACCCTACCTACCTAAGGTACCTGGGTATGTACCAAAAGAAAACCTAGGCCCGCCAACAAGCTAGTAGAGAAGTAGAGAGGAGGAGCGACGGAACAGCCCCCAAGTCTTCAATTCAGCCCAGCCAGCAACCCACTTTCATAGTAAACCCCAATGTTTCTTCCATCAAACGTCCACCATCCATTCAGTTTCCTATCATCGCGCACAGAATGGGTCATGTTCTTCTTGATCACTCTTAATATTCTGGTTTCGCAAACCTGAGTCCTATCTACTTTTTTATTGCAAATTACAAATATTGCTCATTTTGTATGATTATAATTATTATTTCCTTCCTCCATATACGTCTCGGCACATTATCGATTCCGACTTCGATTACCTACATAACATATTGATTACTTGCATTCGTACCTTATTCCTACGGACGGACTAAAAGGTTTAACGACATCAACGGTTTGACGATTTGACTTTTCACCATCGAGTTGGACGCGTGCGACCAAGCCGCTTGGATCTACCAGTTCAGGAAGATTAACCCGTTTCGTTCAGAGAACGCTTTTGCGCCGTACAAATGCTTCCCGTCTGCATCATCTAGTGTCCTCAAAATTCCCCGAAGACGAACTTAATCCCGAACTTGTTCTGGAACTAGAGCCTATGAGAATGTTCTCTATCTAATTTCGGCCACATCAAAGTTCCAATCTGTCGACAGCCATCAATGCGACAGCACCGTTAATTCAACTGTTGATACCCGAGCTCCCCACCCTAGACTCGGTTATCGCGCGACACCCTCGTTGCGCCGTTAAACATGTCGTTCCGAGATAACGACCAGCGCCGATATGGCCATGTCCCTCCTGTACAATATCCCGTAGCGAACCGATCTTCCCAAAGCCAGTCGCCCTTCCCGAATCGGCGGCCAAGCTTTAACAACGGTGACGATTCTGGCGCTTTTGCCTCGTCCCTATCTCGCCCAAGCTATCCGCCTACCTTGAACACGACTGCCGCAGGTCTCAGTAATGGTGATGAGCTGTTCCTAGCAAGCCCGACCGACCCTAATAGGCCCAACTATGGCAATTCAAGTGTCGCCATGGCTGGATACCAACATCAATATCAACCTCAGACGCCACCCACGCCATCTACGTACAACCCACAAGCATTTGCCCGTTCTCAGTCTACCTCGCTACCTTATCATCCACACCCTTCGAATAATAACAGGTGGGGTCAACAAGCCGCCGCGCCTGCTCCATATAGTCCTACCACCGCGACTCCTAATAACTTCACACCCGCCCCGTATAATCCGGCCGCATATTCTGGCGCGGCGGTACCTCAACGTCAGTCAACCTATGCTGGTTACACTAACTACAGCAATCAGTCTTATGGTTCGCCGCCCGTGAACCAGTCACCTTATTTCCAGGCCCAACCTACTTATGCTTCTACTACCGCGCAATCGAGACAATCTCCTCCCACAACCTACACCGCCGGATACGACCAACCCACCTACAACTCAGCCGCCTATCCACCTACCACAAGTACAGCAGCACCAGCCCAGACCACTAGTTATGATCCTTCACAATCACAGTATACAAGCTATTCGACCGATTCCACGACCCCGCCGGTTACATTCTACGCATCTGACTCGTCCTCGTCTGACCAGATACCATATCCAACTACTTCACAAATACCTGTAGGCCCTAACTACTCTGCTAGCGATCCGCATTCATTCTTGAATCGTAACTCTAGGTCCAATTCAGCGGCATCGCCCTTACCATCGCCTCCGGCTCATTCGCAACTAGTAACCGGCTTAACACGGCATCCGACTAATAGACCACTCCCAAGTCGGCCTGTTGATGAAACTGCTGCGGGGCGATATGGTACCAATGGCACTGTTTCACAGGATTTATCTGAGGAATACACTGCACAGGACAGTATTATGCAGGATATCGAGGCAGAGCTTCGGGGACAGAACGGATCGTTACGGGGCCGACCGTCAGCTTTTGACCAACGGAATGGCGCGTTACCAGATGGTGATCTGCAAAACCTTCGTCGCTTGACTTCGAACGCTAGTTATCATTCGACAGCTACGACACTGAACAACCAAGAGGAGTCGTCCGGCGTGAACCGGTATTCATCTAATGCGTCGACCTTAAACAGAAATCATTCTACCAATCCTTACGCATACGAAGATTACGACGGAGATGAAAGTGATCCTGAAGGTGCTGCTGGTGCTTGGGCTATGCAACAAGCGGAAGAGGACGACCGCCGATTTAGTTCGGTTGGAGGGACGTTTCCTTATTTCAGTCAACCAGAAGCGCCCGCGCAACCTACTCTCGCAACCCACAAAGAAGAGCCGAGTAGCGACAGTGACTACGCTGGAATGGATCTTGGGCTCATGGGTGGTGGCTACGCAGGCAACTTAGTGTACGATAATAACCTTGGCTCGCCTCCTGCTACCGAGCCGACTCCTGGTGAATTCCAGGCGCTGCCGTCTCGCAGTAATCACACCTCTCAAAGGAGTCACGGAAGCAACAGATATCCAGCCTTCGAGCAAGCCGATGTAGATTACGAGGGCACTGGAGGCCTCCAACAGCCAACAGCACACCGCTTAAGCTTTGACGAGGGCGAAGAGCGCGTTTCTCTCCACTCGAGGCAGAGTGGCAGCGAATCTCCTGCCAAGGAGGACTACCCTGATATGTTTTATCATCCTGGCCTGTCGAACCGACCTCTCCCTGCCATTCCTGCAGGCTCGGATAGTAGTTCGATGCTGTCTGTTCAATCACCGAGCCGAGCGGCGGCTCAACATGGATATTCCCTCAGCGTGGATTCACGTCCTTACTCAGGCCCAGATGCTCAATATGGGCAGAATGCACAACAGCTTCAGGTGGAAAGGTCAATTTCTCTGTCTAGCCATAGCACTTCGCCCTTAGTTCAGCCACCGGGCCGGTCGAAGACGGACGCCGCCGAAGAACGAAATGCACGGGTAAGACATATGAGGCAACAACAACAATTAGCAGCTCAACAGAATATACCATACGAAGGCTACGAAACTGGAACGGCCTCCTCAATCAATTACGACGTGATAACCTTACCGAGCGGCCGGCGACGAAAATTCCAACCCGAAAAACTTACTATTGTCGATGTTCGGTCTTGCACGGAGCCGTGGGCGTTAAGCGGTATTGCCAAATGGATTCGTGAAATGGCTGAAGGAGAACCTGATCTGAAGAGGAAGACGCTCGAGGACGGATTGGTTAGACTATTCTGTCTCAAAGTTCCCACAATGAACGTTGCGGACGCCGAAGCCCTCGGCGCTCAAGTCGCTGATTCGATGCTTGAAGCTGGTATCCTTGTCGTGGAGGAGGAATGGCTTAAGTTTGGTCCCGGCTCCATTACTGGTGTACTTTGGCAATTAACTGGCTCTGGCTGTTACGCACCAAAGCTGCACGAATACGACGACGATATATCAAGCCATGAAGTCCCAGGACGATGTTACTCTCATCATTGCACTAGGACACTCAAGAAAGCCAACCTAGACGATCTTATGTCCAACGGAGTTAAGACGGTTGACTGGGCCACGTTCTACGATATGACGAAAGAAAGCACAGAGGGCAAGGCGAAGAAGGAAATCTCGCGACAGAATGTTCTTCACGAGATCATCACTTCGGAAGAAGTGTACATGGACCGCCTTGACGTTCTTAGGGTTTTATACCGAGACCGACTCCTTCATTCACAACCTAGGATTATTGCTGAAGGCAGAGTCGAAAAATTCGTCAGCAATGTTTTCGGAAAAGTAGATGCTGTCCAACAGGTCAACATGGATCATTTGTTGGCTCAATTGAAGTATCGACAAAAGGAGCAAGGTCCCTGGATTGTGGGTTTTAGTGACATTTTCAGAGAATGGGTTCGAAAGGCCAGGACCGCGTATGTCGACTACGCCTCCGCATTCCCCTACGCCCATTATCAAGTTAAAAAGGAAGCGGAGAGAAACTTCTTGTTCAGACAGTTCCTCGAAGATAACCGAACGCATCCTCGTTCGCAGCGTCTTGACTGGACCAGTTACCTGAAAGATCCCATCACACGTTTGCAAAGATATTCTCTGCTTTTAGAGACTGTATTAAAGCATATGGTACATGATAGCGAGGAAAAAGCAAATCTGAAGCGGGCTATCGACGAAGTTAAATCGATGACTCTCGAGTGCGATGCTAAAGTCGACGAGATGCAGAAGAAGGTGACGATGATTGAGTTAGACCAGATGCTCGTATTAAGGCCAGGCTTCCATGCTGATCTTCACCTGGAACACCTTGGCCGAGAACTCATACTCCAAGGTGATCTCCAGAGGATGGGTTCAAAGGGTGTGCGATGGGTTGATACGCATGCTTTACTATTCGATCATTATTTGATCCTCGCCAAATTGGTTGTGTCAAGAGATGGAAGGCAAGACAGGAAATATGACGTCTCAAAAGAAGTGAGTTTCACACCACCACAATAGTTAACATTCGCTAACCTTCTTAGCCCATTCCTATGCCTTTATTGTTCCTTGAGAGTAGCCAGGATGACCCGGTTTCTAAACAAAAAGGTATTGCCGCCCCTCTGACTCGGGCGGCAAATTCGGCGTCGGACACCAAGCTGAACAAAGTGACGTCTAACGGCTCGGAACGGCCTGGTCTTGACCATGCAGCTACTAGCTCATCGGTCACATCGGGAGCTGTTACGAGGTTAGCCACCGCAAATTCGGCGGACAGCGAAGGGAGAATTTTATATCCCTTCCGTGTCAAGCATCTAGGGCATGAAGTATACACTTTATTCGCCTTATCGGCGCAAACCCGACAGGATTGGTGTGATAGGATTATTGAGGCCAAGACACGCCATGCTAAAGCATTGCATGCTCAAAACGCCGAACCATTCCGTTTACGGGTAATGGCCGACAGCGCGTTTGCCTATGACGCAGTAGCTGCCGTCGGCAAATATGTTGGTGGTGTGCATATCCGTGGGACTCCCCTTGATAGAGCCATTCGGGAGGTAGAAAAGACCTACGGAGCAGGCCGCGGTCCTGCTCCAATCTCTCGAGCAGGAGTGAACTGTGCTACTGGATTTTCGGCATTCGGTAAAAATATGGTCGCGGTCGGTACTGACGCTGGTGTTTGCGTGTCGGAGGCCAGCGACCAGAAGGGTTGGAATAAGGTAAGATATATCTGTACTCACCAAAGTTATGTGTATTTGCTCACCTATTCGATAGACTGTCACAGCCAACCGAGTTACGCAAATCGCAGTGCTTGAGGAATTTTCTGTGGTCCTCGTATTGTCCGAGAGGAATCTCATTTCCTATCCTCTCGACGTTGTGTCGCCGCCTTCTAACTTCCCCGCGCCAGCAAACGATAACCCTCGCCGATCTCCCCAAAGACTGGCAAAAGATGTATCATTTTTCGCAACCGCTCGTATGAAGGACAGGATGCTAGTATTTTACAAAAAGAAGGAAAACCTTCACAGTACCTTCAAAGTGCTGGAGCCTGTTTTCCAAAAGGCGACCGAGAAGAAATCTCGCCTGTTTGGAGGTAGCCGAAAGGCTGGCGTTGGTGTAACGGAAAGCTTCCGAGACTATGACGAGTTTTTCTTCCCGACTGAATGTTACTCACTCAACATTTTCCACACATATATCGCCGTCTCAACGGCCAGAGGTTTCGAGCTACTGACTCTCGACAAGAAAATACCAATGTCCATTCCTGATGTTAAGCAACCTGCTATTGCCAACATTGCGAACCGCATTAAGGAACAGCGACCTCTAGGTATGTTCCGCCTCAATGACCAGGAATTCCTGCTGGCGTATGAAGATTGCGCTGTATATGTGGACAAATATGGCGACGTTAGCCGTAGTGTCATTATGGAGTACTCTGGAAAGCAGAAGAAGGCAAGAGGTGCGACAATGTATGGGCAATATCTACTGCTCTTTAACGAAGATTACGTCGAAGTGCGCAACGCCGAAAATGGCCGATTGCGCCAGATCATCGCCGGAAGGGATGTGAGGGTTCTGGACTATGGCGTTCGTGGACCGACGGGAGGCTCATCGAGCGCGAACGGACAGAGTCCATCGCCGAGCCCCGCTGATAACGGGCTTGACTCGAAAGGCACTGTTAAAATCTGCATGGCGCATCCGGAAGTTCCGGGCCAGCAGATCGTCCTGGAAATGCTGCTCAATTCCGGACACATGGAGAAATGAGAGATCACGATTGGTTATGATATGGTAATGACCAGATGACGGCCGACTCACGCGACATTTCGAAGTTGAATCATCCAGGGTCGGCATGGCAAAGGGGGATTGCATATTCATTTCTATAACACGTGCCACTGCACGCAAGCGTTTTTTTCTCAAATGGATATCCGGCTAGACTAGCCAAATTCCTTTTTATATCCCCACCACTAGAAGGAAATTCTGAAGGATAGGAGTTCATGACGATGAAATGGACGTTCTAGGGAATGGCGTTGAATCTGACCCGCAGGTTTTATAGGGTTACTTTGAGTCTTGGATTGGTCTTTTTTCGTTGTATGATCGAGATGGACCGGATACTACTGCTTATAGCGGTAGGTTTACCATATAGGCGCGATTGATATCAATTCATTACATACCCCCTTTTTGGATGACATATTTTGCAATCTATTTGCAGTTTGATCATGAATACTTGGTGGTTTGTAAGGACCAATTCGCAAGCATAAAGGATAACACAAGATTACGACAGAATCGAAGGGAAAACAAACCAACACGCAAAAAATTGGCAGTGAGAACTTTTCCCTCTTCTCAGTTCGCAATTCAAGCACGGTACTTATCACTTATTGACTTCGACAGGTTATCTGCGTATCGTACCTAATGTGTATTACGTTGAACACGAAACTGCCCGTTTTCCAAACATGCGACGACGATACGAGCACTAGAATGGTATACATCCATCACTTTCATTACCCCCTCTTAACTCATAACGACTCCCCTAAAGCATGCAACAGAACACACTAATCCTCACATGTATGCTTATCTTCCACATTACCACTCCTTCATTCCGTTTAGAGATCTTCCTCATCGGCCGCCGTCTTCTCCACGATGAAGTATTTGTCGCGCCCGGTCTTGGCGTCTGGCTCGTGCTCGACTAGAAGTGAAGATATTAGTTAGCCAAGCCATTCCGAGTTAAAATATGGATATAAAAGGGTTGAACTTACTAGCAAGCTTGTTGATGTGCCCGATGATATTCTCGATCTGCGTATCCTTCTTATTGCGGTCCTTGCGACCCAAGTTATTGATCCAAGAGAAGCTGTTGAGCGCGAGGTACACGATGGCGATGAAGATAAGCACGCCGATTGAGTACGCCCATACGACGACCACAGTGACGATATCGGTCCATCCATTGTGCGAGTTGACAAATGACGTATGTGGCGTAGTCTCCATGACGCCGCCACCACTACCCGACAGCCAGCCGAACAGTGCGAAAATAGTAGCGAGTGCATCAACACCCAAAATGGCGAACACGAGCTGCCACGAGGGCCAAGTCTGACCACCACGCGTCACGAAAATGAGCCAATTCTCCGTCAACGCGACTTCAAGGAACAGTACTTCCTGGATAGAACCGAAGTTCTGGACAACACCGCCGTTGACTAAGAACATGGTACCCCGGATAATCCAAGTACCAGCGGCTAACAATGTGCCAAGTATTACACTGATAACCCAGATTTTCTTTAATTGCCATTCGACGGGGCGTGGTTCCACGTGTGCGTTATCGTAGGCTACGGCGACGGTCGCTAAGTCGGCGAAAAGCGCGATGAAGACGATTAGGTCCGGGCGGATGGTTTCGTTGATGATTACCATGGAGGTTGTGAGGTAGATCTCGAGGTGGAGGCACAGGGCGATACGGTATTGGACGTAGGCTTTCATGCGTTGGAAGATCTGGTGCGGCCGTTAGAATATCCATACAGGATTTACAAGGGAAGTGACTACTGGGATAGGCATACCTGACGAGAGGTCTTGATTGATAGAATAATGGTGCTCAGACCTGGGGCCAGGAAGACGATATCAGCGGCTGCTTGGGCGGCTTCGGATGATCCTTCGACGGCGATACCGCAATCGGCCTTTTTGAGGGATGGCGCATCGTTCACACCTATCATGGAATTCAATTGTTAGCAATTGGTCGGAATGATTTCGTTCGTCAAAAAGGGATCAGTCGAAAATGTCTTACCGTCACCCGTCATAGCAGTCAAAGAGCCACGCTGTTGTAACATTTCAACCACCTGGTACTTGTGTTCCGGAAAGACTTCAGCGAACCCATCAGCGCGCTGGACTAGATCGTGTTGAACCGTTCCCGTAAGGCCACTATGGATCAACTTCTCAGAGTTATAGACCTTAGTACCGAGACCCAGCATCTTGCAGGTTTCCTTAGCGATAGCAATGGCGTCACCCGTAAGCATCTTCACCGGTACACCTAGGTGTGCAGCTTCAATGATTGTCTGTGCGGTATCTTCACGTGGCGGATCGAACATAGACAGCAATCCTAGGAGTACCCATGGCTCGTCGTTTTTCTTGTATGCCACACCCAAAGATCGGAAACCTCGCAGAGCGAATTCCCTAGCTTTTTGATTGTACATAGTACGAACCTCTTCGCTGACATTTGCAAGATTCACGATTGCGCGCGGCGCTCCTTTCGCACAGATGTAGCGATCATTTCCGCGGTGGCACTCAGTTGTAATACGCTTGGAAACCGGGTCGAAAGGTGTGAATTTGTCCGTTATCCAACCTTCCCGCAGGATCTCGCGAGCTTTCGGGTAGCGTTTCAGCGTCGTGATAGTCACCTTATCTATAGGATCCAGCGATGCGATATTATGAGAACTTGCAAGGGCTGCGACAGCCATCATCCAATTCACATCTTGCCCTTCTGCGACGAAGGGTTCGCGGATACTAAGTTTATTTGCTGTTAATGTGCCTGTCTTATCCGAACAGAGGACATTAACACCCTAAATGATATTTTAGTAAGCTTTTCAACCCAATCGTGGATTTCGCAAGTCACTTACTGCTAAGGATTCGATAGCCGTCAACTTTTGGACGATGGCCTTTTGCTTGGCTAGATAAGCTGCACCGACTGCGAGTGTTGTCGTTGTCACCACAGGCAGACCGACCGGAACTCCGATGATAAGTAGTACCAAAGTGTAATGAAGCAGGTTTTGAACGTTCGGCGTCGCAATCCTGAGATGGTGGAAGAAGCCTCCAATCCATGCGACAAGAATCCAGAACATGACCAGTACTAGCAATGATGTTCCAATACTGTCCATCACGGCTTTGAAGTGACCTTGATCCTTGGCGCCTTGGACTAGAGATGCAGTTCGACCGACGAAAGAGTACTTGGCAGAAGTGGTAATAAGCGCGAAAGCCTTTCCTCGCTTACAACCAGTGGTGTAGTATAAAACGTCGCCCATATACTTATCCACAGCGAGCGATTCACCAGTAATGGCAGATTGATCACAAGCCACGAGGGGTTCACCGAAATGGATTGACTCGTCGTAATCGTCGTCTTGTTCTTTCTCCTGTTCCTTATTCTTGTTGTTGGCTTTGCCATTTTTGCCGTTCTTCTCATTTCGGGCTTCTTCCTCGTCCCCGAACTTGTCTTCGTTTCTCAATTCCTTGAATTGCTCGAAGTCATGAGGTCTGGTGTAGTCGCAAATCAATTGAGCGTCACCTGGGACGGTTTGACCTTCTTGGATTATGACCTACGTGCGCACGGTAAGCATGGGTCTCGATTGATTGAGGTTCGGGTGATTTGATAAATGAGCAATGAAATAGATGAGCCCAGCGGTCGCACTTACAATATCACCTGGGACCAATTCCCTGGCCAATATTTGCTCTTCAGCGCCATTACGTACGACATGAGCTTTCATAGCGATGTCACCTTTCAAGCTCGCGACAACGTCTGCTGCTTGTTTCTCCTGGTAGAACCCGACGAATGCGTTCAGGCAAAGAATACCAATGATGACACCGAAGTCAATCCAGTCACCCAAACCCACAGCCAATAGCGCCGCGATTTCCATAACTATTCAATTGTTAGATCTTATATCAAATATGCATAGGTTCAATCAACATCGTGAGTGAGGAGGGGGTTTACCGACCATAGAGAATGGGTCCTTGGAAATAACTGAGCACCTTAGCGAACATATTCTCCTTTTCGGCCATCAATTCGTTCCAGCCAAATCGTCTTCGGCGCTCCTCCACTTGAGCGGTAGTCAGGCCATGTTGAATATCTGTTTCGAGCCATGACTCTGGCGGCTTGCCAATCTCGCCAGGTTCACGCTCAGGTTCCACTATCTCCCCTTCACTGGATTTCCAGAATTGCCACCACTTCGGCTTCTTACGCTGCTTGCTAATGCCACTTGCAAGACTCGCTCGGCGCTCGGCATCAAAATTTGTGATAAACCGATCAAGAGCTTCATATTCGTTTAAATCTGAGCTCTTTGGAGGTTCTTTCAGGCGGTAGTCTCCAAATTTAATATGCTCGCCGGTGTGCCCAGGCGGCTGTTCGGTACCCTGCTGCTCTCCACCCTCATACCCAGCGCCGTTCGAATGGCGGGCTCCCTGAGCCTCGACATCGTCAGCGGCAGGGCCAGCTTGTTGCCTTTGCTGAGATAGAAAGTCCATGACTCGCGATTGAATGGACTTTTCTTAGGAATCGCTTACACTCCTCCTCTTTCCTTCCCACTAACGGGATGTGCCTGACAGATATCTCAAGTCCGAGCGAGGCGCTGTATTATTTCCTTGCACCACACCCACTCGAGAGAAGAAAATCCCGCAGCGAAAAGTACGAAGAAAGTCTTTCACGGGTTCACGTCTACACCATAGGCCGACTTTATAAGATTTAATCGATTCAACCGTAATGTAGCTGGCCTCCTGACTAGTCCACTTAGTGAGCACATATAGACTTTTGAAACCGGGCAAACACCTAGTTGAGAGCAACGGTGCTAACTGTCTAACGGTCTAATGCACTTGTTCTGCTAGGAAGAGACATGCGAAGCCAAAGCGCTAAGTAGATAGTTGCTGCTTTGTTTTGCGACTGTAGCGGGAGAAATTCTTACGTCTCGCAGGAGGACAAAGGAAGTAGAGAAAGAATCCGGCTTCCCATAGCGGCAGACGACGTCAAGGTCGCGAAAGCTCGTGGTGGTAATGCTGAAGATCTTGACCATTATTGGTCGACGGATAGTCCGGGCCATCCTGGAAGCTTTACGCATTATTACGTGTGAGGCTAGCTTTGAGTTCATCGGGGTTGGCTCGCAGTCCCCTCCATCGATGTAGTCTTGAAGCCGGGAAGACGCAATGATTGCGATTTTCTTAAAACGGCCCCTTATCCCCGCACGGCTCTAGCAAATCAGAGAAGGCAATTGGACTATTCGTCAGCTCCTTGTCTCCGGTACCTAGCGATCCCTTATTACCTGGGCAAACATCCTACGCCCTGGTACTTGGTAAAGCTACGGAACGCACGGGATTCTTTTCACCCAGTTGCGTTGAGCCGCAGGATACACTGCATCATGTAGGCCACAATCGGAAACCCGAGGTTGAATCGATCGGATACTGCATCCTGCATGCATATTCGAGGGACCTGGTGACATTAATTGTTCATTATTCCCATTGTTAACCGAGGGTATATTTCTGTGGCAGGTAAAAATGAGGGATATACTTTCACAATTGGCATTCCGTGTCGAGTTTCCCGTCTTTGATGCCCTCGTGATGGATTTCCTTTTTATGACCCAAATAAAAGCCACCAAGTCACATGATATCATACGGATGGAGTACGGGAGAGATCGGATGTGGGCATTGTCGTACATAGCTTGATACGCATATTTATTATCAGAGATGTCTCATAAGAGTCCGATTTCCCCCTCTACTTTTAATTCTCAAGTCCTACTGGGATTCACGGTGATATTCTTTATCCAATCCCCTATATCTACTACCCAACAGGCTCTTTCTGCTAGTTACCATGAAGCTTCTTCCTAGTTTGAAAAACGTCAATTAGTGTATACCTACAGCATGACAACCTGTTTACGCGCAGACTCAACTGGACTATTACCTAGGTGCTACTTAGGTACACACCCCTGAACTACATATAATCGTCAGCTACTAGGTCTGAACGTAGCAAACAAAGTACAACGATAAACCCGAGAAAGATAATTGGGTATTGCTCTTACTCACTATTCGCACATTTTTGCGTCCTATATAGGACCTATACTTGAGTCCGGCCGAGTTTTGCGGTTATATTTCAAAAGCAGTTGTGCATGCGGAACATACTTTTGACACCAAGGACGCCGCAACAGCAGGACAGGTAGATCACAAGAAAATATTCACCCAACGACTGTGCCAACCAACTATTTATGCTTGTAAGTGTATTCCAGTAAACAATTCCTTTATGTATTCTTTATTGATAGACTACCTGTCTATGTGATGCCAATTTCATACCCTTTGTCCTCGAAAACAAGAAAGCAATGCGCCAAACATATCCTCTAATTACATAAACCTGGAAATCCCGCCTCATTCATTTCTTCTCACCTTCATCATTTCCCATCTCTATCACTTTGCCTTATCTTTACTACTTACCATCCTCACTTAGACCCACCTTCACTAGAGCTGCTGCCACCTCCACTACTACCATCACCATTGGTGTCGTATCCGCTTCGTGGCATGGTTACGGTAATAGTCTGAGTCGTGAAGTTAGTGAAGCTAAGAATGGTACCTAGGTAAGTTAGTAGAAATAGGTCTGATCGAGCGTAAGAAGTCTTGATGTTAGTACGAATGGGGAATAAGAGAATATGACTATGTGTTGATGCTATATCAGATGTGTCTGGCAAGAATCGAGAGTCCATATTACCAAATTTTGGGAAATATTTATATTCCAATCCCTAAAGCAGAACTTTAGTGACCGTTTACGTACAGACCCCGAGTTATGACACTCCCTATGGGTATCAAAACCTAGAGGTAGCTAGCAAACAAAGAAACGATTGAAATACATAGTTTTTCGTTAAGTTGTTCATATATGTTATTGCTGTTAATATAGGTAGTGTTACCCCCCACTCTCCTACATCCAAGTCAATAGAACCGATATTATTACCTCCGAATGTAAGGTACGCCGGATCGGATATCAGATCCACATGGCTTTAGCCGCCAGCGGTCCGTAATCTGTCATTAGCACCACAATTTTAACCTTCCGACCTCATGGTGAAGAAACGGAACCGTTGAGCTCCAAATTACCCCCGCTCATTTTACCCCGGACAATGCCGTCTCCGGCCGCCTCTATCCTCCCCCCGAGCTTCCCATTCCACTTTTTATTTGAACAAAACGAACCATTGCCTTACTCAAGCCATGGAATTATTTATTTTGATTTGTAACAGATTCACGCTGTCGGAACCCACCTGAGGTATCCGCCTATACGCGCACCTGTGGGGACAAACCACCTACTTGTTCGGGGCTAGTACAGGTTGGCCGTGTGGAGAGCGACTCAAAGGACGTGGAATAGTATACCTGTGCGAGAAACTGGGGTGATTGGAGGCGAAGGAAGTGAGATCCGTCTAAGGTAAGCCGTGCGCAATGTTGAACCATCACTAAAATCTGTCTTCCAGACGTATTGAAGATTTCAAGCCATATCGACCCAATTCGCATGATGCGCCTCAATTTCAATGGTAACCCGAACTCATACGACGGGTGGTGAATCGAAAGATACTCGTTGGACTCTGTCTCGTAATGACCGAGCGACAGAATCGTTACCAGGATTTCGGCGGTTGAGAGGTCTAAGCTTGCAGTAGTCCGCCGAGCAGAACTCAGGGGCAATCCGCACACGTGTTCGGCCGGCGCGTCCGTGGTTGGAATTCGAAGTCGGGACCTGGATTCTCTTTCTAATACCAATCCCTTAATTTATCTAGTCCAATGCTACCAATTTGCGATATCCTCCAAATCTGAAATGTCAGCGCTTAAGTGACAATTATTTTGCAGCCCCGGCGTAATCGCCGGCCCACCTGAAGATCCTTTTTCCTCCACACTCCCCCAATTTATACCTTGTCGCGGGGAAATGCAACCATACTTAGTATCCGCGCAGGAAAGGGGGAATCTAAATCCGCCACGGAGAAATCTGGACGCTAAGACGGCGACGACGGTGCACCCCGGCCGCATCTGAAACCATCATGATTTGGTAGCATTGAATGTCGATCACCCAGCGGAGGACCTCCGAGAGATGGCGCGGTGATCCTGATCTAAATCTATGAGAACCTCATTCTATAGCGAGTCGACGACAGTATAAGAATATGCGTAAGGGATGGCGAATACTAGATCCAGAATGACAAGCTTCAAGCGACATTCGTTCTTCACTTGAGACTCGATCATCAATTCTCTCTCCATCCTTCTCTTCAACATGCAGATGACCACCTTCGTCAACCTGGCCTTGGGCCTGCTTTCTTGCGCCGCCGCATCGCCGCTCGAGCCCCGAAGCACCACATTCACCCACCGCGCCGAAACCAGCGAGGTCAAGGCCACTGGCGGTACCTACGAAGACTTCAAGCCCGGCTACCTCGCTGGTACCTGGGAGGTGTTCAAGCGCGGAGAGTACGTCGATCTCGAGGGAACGGGATATATCCGCGTCCGCTGGGAGATTGAGTACTGGAAGGGCGTCGGCCCGATGTACGAGCCCACTTTCGACGGTATCTCCGGTACTTTCCTCTTCGTTGCCGGAGGTGGTGGATACCAGATCACCGATACTCCCCAGGGCTGCCCGCAGGGGACTGGATGCAAGAACTTCACCGGCTCTAATGAATATGGATACACTTACCCGGTCGACGGTTACAACCCATGGCACAACATGTATTACTACCTTGACGGAAAGGTGACCATCACGAACCACGAGGCTGGTGGTCTCTACAACGTCGGTGTTCAGGCCTACAGTAAGAACTGCCCTCCAATTTTACTCGTCCACTTCCTTTTTCTAACATTATATAGGCTACGACAACATCCTGTCCGATATCAACACGGCGCCAGCTAGCTCAGGAAATCTGATCAAGTACGGATACTCGTACGACCCGAAGGAAGGCTCTTGCCCCTGCTCGTCATAGAGGATGCTGTTCAACCAACCCATTTGGCAAGAAGAGGGACCGGGTGTATATATATGTAAAGGATAGACATCCTTTGCTTCCACTTCTTGTATTCTTGTATATTCTTCTTGATGGCGCGGGGCAAAACTTCTTGTGCTACTCCAAATTCAACATTTGGTGGCATTTGGAGATTTGATAGCCAGCTGAGATGAGGCGAATGAAAACTGTTGTTAAAAAAAGGCAAGAATGTGTCCAATGTGCATGTTAACAGCGTGACGTCGTACTTCAACCTAGACTACCTTTGGTAAAATGACATTCTCCTAGCTGACTGCCAAAAGTCAACGGCTTCTGGGCCTCTCAATCGGGACCTAACGACGGGGCTGTCAATGCGTTGCTGTACCGAGCAGACCCGGCAGATACCCCCCTGATATGCTTGGGATAAGCACTAGCAAGTGATGATGCGTCAGGCCATTGCTCCCGGTACTTATTTGCTTATTTACTTAAAATCGATGGGGGTTCGTTAATATGGGATTTTATCCTTAGGTACTTATCAATAAAAAATTTAACGGTTAACGAACGAATCACGTAATGCACTTGACCAAAAGGGCAGAAAAGCAGGAGGGCAGTGCATCAAGTCCCAATAAGACCGCGCACTGTCTTATCGATAACGATCTCGCCCTGTGATTGGTTTCCTAACTTATTCATTGCCACCATGGCATTATATATTGCCTCCAAGGTAGTCATGCACCGCCGCTGCCAGTTGAAAGCCGCAAGGCTAATTTATACTTAATTCGCTAGACCTTGGACCTACCTATCTTCGCTTCGTTGTATTTAAGATCTCGGACATCTCTTTTTGCGACAATTGAAACAATCATGGCGGTTATAGACCTCTTTGTTTTAGCATCGCCTTATTACCTTATATCATTTGTAACTTACAAACGATTTATATTGCTGTCACCGAGACCCTAGCAATTTCTACCCAAACCTTATTGAAGAATCCTTGTTACGCCGAAACATGGCGTTAACCACCGATAATATCCTCAGTATTCTAGCCCTGGTAGTTATGTGCATTCCTGGACTGTGGCTATTGTTCAAGTTTGTCCGACACAGCTATGTGGTTAGACGAGGTGTATTGTTACCTACCGCAAATCCGGAACCCCGATCGACATACACTTGGCATAGGGAACATCCCGCTGCCCCACATTCATCCCGTTCCCTTATAGTCAATTACTCGGATCCTGCTCAAGCGAATAACGCCGCCTTTGAGTTCAGCGATATTCCCTCTCGCTATGTAAGCGGATGATGATAAACCGATACTACGAAACTACATGCTAAGTTTCGAAAAAATCAGAGGATGGACGAACGTCAGATGACCGTATCATGGTCGACTAGAACCTATGAGCTAGAACGAGCGGGTTGAAGTTGGGGCCTGGGAGTGTTCAGGGCAATTCTGTATAACGATTCTACATTATCCCGAATTTTGTGATATAATTATAAAAATAGTGTTTACCAAGTCGGGTCAATCAACTCTTCAATGCAGACTATGATTACCTAGGTACTTCCCCGCGCCCGGAAACGAACCTTCAGAAGTCAATCATGAAAGCTTATCTAGCTAGCCACGCGAAATGTCCGAGCGTCGAAATTACCCGATTGGGTAATTAGCTAATTAAAGCGCCCTATAGAATAAGTTCGCCTAATCCTTGCATGTTATCTCATTTAAATACTAAATGAATAGGCGAATCCGCACTATTTTCACTCAAAATCCCTCCTCATCTGCATTTCATTCTCACTTCATTAGCAACGAACTCCCAACACAGTGGGCGGGATACATCATTGCCCACAGTAAAACCAAAAAAACATATCACCTCATTAGTCCACACTAGATAGACGACGAGAACGCCCATACAGTCAGATGGACGGACTGGTGAAGGGGTCAGATAGGTACCTACTCAATATTATTCTCCATTTTTCCAGACTATTTTCTACATATAAAGAGTCGACAATGCGGAGCACTGTCATCTGACCTTTACCAATACAACTTTATTATAATCATCGCCTTATCTAACAGATTCTATCTCTGGTCGTCTTTTAAGACCTCGAGACTCCCGCTATCTCCCAGTTAGTCGAACCATCACTTCGACATTAACGCTTCTTCCTTTCCTATTCTATCGTCACCTATAACACGGTAGTATTGACACTGTTTTGAAATATACCTACCATTTGCGACCCGGGATTCTATCTAGGTCCCTCCGAACCAAGTGCCTCGCTACATAGTAATATGGCGCTAACAACCTATAATGATATCAATATTGTGGGACTCTCAATTAGTTTGCCATATCGCCAGGGAAGACCAATTAGTACCTACAACTACCCTAGGATGTTGCGACCTCTGTGTATAAAACGTCCGCCTTCAGCTTCTTCTTCTTTTCAGATACTCGAGATCTATCAAGAGACCTTCAAAAGCAATCTATTTTGGTTGAAGGACATAAACTCCTACTGCATAAGTTTACGACGACTGGCTGCTCTTGAAAACTATATGCTGACCTTAAGAGAAGTAGGGCCACCGGATACTATACGCCGGGTTGACATCTCTATCCAAGGCCTCAGGTTGAACCATGATACAAGAATTGTCTTCCACAGATGATCTGACCGAAATACTTATCGTACTAGTCTCATAAAGGCGTCCTTCGGAATACTTCTTTCGCGACTACTTAGGCAGTCGGGTAGCTAGAATTCAACCAAGGGGCTAACTCGCAGACTGGAACCGTGGTCACATTTGCGATTGATCAAGGGAGAAAAACTTCCAGAAGCTCTAAGTGATGAGATGCTACAGAAAATCGGCGGAGACCTTCACAAGGAGACATCGGTTCGAGGAGCCGCCGATGAGCACCTTCAAGGTCAATTGGTCGTATTCCAGTCTTTGGCAGAGGGCTTAAGGTCTGTAGTTTATCATTGATATAGCTCTATGTATCCCGCACTATAATCTATGAGATTAGCGGTTCCTACGGGGACGGCTAATAAGTTGGACATTGCGTTAGTTACAAAGTAGACGTCCTTTCTGATGCCACCGGGACGGCAAGTGCAACTATCGAAAGTGAAAAAGGGGGAGGGGGGAAAGCAACTCACGACGCTGTGGGTCTACCGCTCGTCGTCGTTCTAACTATTAACTTTGCGGTATATGGATTATCTATGGGAGAGCGGTCATGACCATTCACAAGGCCTTAAAAAACACCGCCTTTTCCCACCCGCTCGGGCAGCCATGTTGGCTTTTCCAGTTCTTCATTTATTTTTTTCAGCTTAAGCATCCGTTCCCATCTGAGTATATTGACAACATTATTGGCTCGCCATTATCGCAACAAGCCTCACAACTAAGACCCTTCAAATCAGCCAAATTGTTTTCATTACACCAAACTATGGCGCTAACTACGGATAACATTCTCAGTATCTTGGCCTTGATAGTTATGTGCATCCCTGGGTTATGGTTCATATTCAAATTCATTCGATGGTAATGGCGTCGCTGTGTAACGAGGCGAGATGCATTATTACCGACGGCAAACCCCGGGCGCCAATTGATACGCTCTCCATCCACAGAACCTTCTGCTACCCAATATGTGAGCTTAATGAAATAGCTAACCTTTAAGATTTATGTGCTAAATGCTTTCAAAATCAGATGATCAATGGACTTGAAATGAATATTATATTGTCGGTTAGGGCTGTCTCTGCTTAACTCAAGTCAAGTACTTTTTGGATTGATCTAATGGCATCAGCTCAGATTGGCGGGACAGTGGGTAAAGGTGGGTTCTCTTTGTAAAGGCATAACAGGTTGGTTTAATTGGATTGTTGATTTGGGGCGGGGGAAAGAGGTTTAGCAAGTTAGGAATTGGAGGATATCGAGGTATAATCCTTATGACTTAAAGGGAAGACCCGTTTAGTGCATATGCATAAGTCTGGACAATGTTAGGTAGTACAGCATGCAGCTAACCCCTTCAATAACCCGCTTGGAAAATATTCAAAATATATAGATAGTATGGGATACAGTGATGATATTCAATAATCAGAGGGTCATGGAACATACCCTTACTAGCGCGGCACCGTACGCTCATCGGACACCCATAGATTAGTGCCTTTTATTCTTGACACTGCCTTCATGTGAGGTATACTTACGATACTTTAGATGTCAGTTCGTCGTTCATATAAACCACCAAAAACCCCCGAGTCTCTCAATCGCTCGAATAGACCCGTCGAAACCGATATTTCCTCTTTTACTACTTTACTCCAGCCATTTGGCTTTTCTTCTAATATATTAAATAGCGTTTACAATTTGCTACTGTAAAAGTAGTTTCGTCATTTCATGCAACAAGGATAAACCTTTATACCAACCAATCAAACCTCGGCGGATTTTAATGGCGCTAACAACCGATAACATTATCAACATTGTGGCTTTAGTAATTATGAGTGTTCCTGGGTTGTGGCTCATACTCAAATTCATCCAGCGGCAATGGGATCGGATTCGTCATGTAGCTAGGGCAGATACATTATTACCTATAACTAGCCCCCAGCGCCAGTCAATTCATTTCCCAGATGCGGAACATCCCGCATCTGCCAGCTCACCCACAATCTACTCTTCTATGGCTAGACGTTCGACGCCTACCCAGGCTAACGACAATACATTCGAATTGAGGGACATACCCCCCCAATACGTGAGTTCACGATCGTCAAAATGTCCACTCATGGCCATATGCTAAAATTCCTGGAAAGCAGATGATGGGCGGACATGAAGTAGTTATCTCATTGTCGGCCAGAGCTGTCTTTATGGGTCAGGTTTGAGCCTCAATTCGCAATTGGATAGATGTATTATATAGAACCATATAGAACCTGTGAAGGTTTTTCTACAGGAATCCGTTTTGTATGATTGGTTGGTATTGGATAGAGGCCCATGATTTATGGCTGGACATGATACGCTACGATGCGCTATAAAAGGTCTTTTAAGTGTTCGGTCTAAGGGTAAAAGGAATGGTTTTATACGGAGGTTAGGCCGGTTAGCGTATGCGGTAGGCATGATAGCGTCTGAGTAGTCGATTTTAAGCAAAGCGAATGAATTATTTCATGCGATGCGACGCATCGTTTGATTCGACTCACCTTTATATGAAGGTAGACGGTGGTTGAAGCTCATCGGAGTTAGGTGGGGTTGGCGACTATCGGAATCGAATAAGGGCAAACTACTATCCTGCATGAACGGGAAGGGGCATTCGGGCCCCGCCCTTAAAAAGAAATGATATTTCCTTTTAAGGTTTATACCATTATCCTAGTACAAGACGAAGTTAAAATTTCGCGCGGTGTAGAAAAGCCTTCTTTCTTATCAATCGCATCTTTTTATATCCGGCTAATTCCTGCTGCATTACCTAACCGATGCACTGGCTCCGGGGAGCCTGCAGTCGGGTTGTGATGTTATCAGAGGTATGAGTAGAGAGTGAAAATGTATCCAGTCTTGAGCTGTGAGGATCTGGTCTTTAGGGGGATGAATAGGTAACAGTTAGCGATTCATAGTGAGTGCGGGGTCAGGCACAGCCATCGGATAAGCGCACTACCAAGCGCCTATCGAGCAGCGGTTACTTTTAGGTAGGTATACACTTACCTAGATGAAACACTACACAACCCTTTGACTTCGTTCTAGGAAGGACACCAACTGTTAGTCATGCATCGTTTGCATAGCTTTTCTATACGATGTACACCTATTTCCGATTTGTTGCAGTGCCAAGGCAAAGGAGAAAGTCGCAAAGGGATGGGGGTCCGACTGAGCGGGAAATCTATGGCGGTACGAAAAACACAGAAACAATCGAATGAGCCAGCATTGATGGAAACAGGCTGGCAGAGTAAGGGTGCGTTGCGCGTATATCTTTCTATGAGGGAGTGAAACGATTACGATAGCTCGCGATGCTCCGTAAGGCTAAATCGCATAAGTTCCGTTATGACATCATCACCAATCTCAACCGAGTCTTGAATCCTACCTAATCAGCTTACATATATACGATGGTCTAGATTCCTATGTTTCAAGTCTCTGACAAGGCTTTTCATATCCGGTACCTGCCGTAAAGGGATGACGTAGGTTTATCTCCATTGGATAGACAAGCCGTATCGAGGATTCCTGTGGCTGTAAGCCGCAAGTACACATGTAACTTCCCCCGACCCGAATACGCGAAGGGCCTAGATCTATGTTGGCATCGCGAAGCTCGTCGTTCGTTTCTTTCAGAACCTTGGACGCGGGGCGGTGGTTACGCGGTACGATTCTCTTAAATGCTTTGATTTTTCTAGAATAAGTGAAGTAGCCTTGACAGTCGTTTCCTTTAAAGATCCCAGAGCCTCCAGTGTTTACCGATTGATCGAACAATTATACCTAGTTATTCATATTATCGCCACCTCCTTTACTATTATACTTATCTCGAAGTACCTACGTAGAATTTACATTCCTTAATATATTAATGAGGCCTGCGACTTGCTATTGTTGTTTCCCGTTTTATGAATGCTCGTGAGGGACCGAACTCGCGTTACACTAGAGCATGGCACTAACAATCGACAATATCCTCAATCTCATGGCGCTGATAATCATGTGCATCCCTGGGCTGTGGTCCGCATTCAAATTTGCTCGGCGACAATGGGTCCGCGGGAGAGAGGCATTACTACCCGTAGCGAGTCCGAGACGTCTACCCGCACATATGGGACACTCCGCCGACCCCCCAACTCATTCCCCTGTGGTTAAGTGTTCGACGCCTGCCCAAGCTTATGACAATACATTCGAATTAAGAAACATGCCCTCCCAATATGTGAGTCCACGATAATTGACAAGTTTTAAATATTCGAATACTAAAACATCCGGGAAGCAGAGGATGGATGGACATGAGGTGATTATCTCATTATCGACTAGAGCCATCTCTGTAAGACGTGCTTGAGTTTATTTAACTCGTGAGAGTCTTTTCAGTGGATAGAGGTTTGGGTAAAGGAATGATTTTATATAGTGGTTTAGGTCGATTGTTAATATCGTACATGGCATAGTGGCGTTCGAGAAATGATCGGTTTCAGCGAAGCGGATATATGGTTTGATGCAGCTCAGCCCGCTATTTGGTTTGGGTCGCGTTTATGAATTGGTGAACAGCAATTGAAGCAGGTCGGAGTTAGGTCTTGGGTATGTAGGTCTGGTCATAGTAATCGGATAAGGTTAAACGATGATTTGTTGGTTTCCTAATTAGGTACCTAGGTACACAGCCTTCTACGGGTTCTCCTGCGAACGTCCCTCTCATTCGGTTCATATTATATTCAGAGGACTGATAATTTATGCGTGATTCATGCGCTTCTGTGGAATATATAGCTTTTAAGTAGCGAAGTTCGAAGGAAAATGAAAAAGGGAACTGACGTAATAATCATCTTATCGGCATATGCTCTAGCTATTCTAGGATTAGCGTCTATATCTCTGCGGATACGGGGTGGCTGATTTGCAGATACGGCGGAGTTGGGCTGACTTTGGTCCATAGAGCTTTCGAATTACAGTATGGTAGTGGCAGTGTAGTAGCTATGGCGGCTGTGCCTGTCTCATGGCGCTGCATATCATTTCCACCTGGAAAGCAGATATCTATATATTTTATAAAGTTCAGCGATGATCCATCTTTCAATTGAATTGAATCATCGTAACTTCCACAGAATTGAGCTCAATTGAAGCAACGATCCAAACCAGCAAAATGGGCAACCCCAACGAAGCAGGACAATACTCACACCACAGTAATGAAGCACCACCACCATACTCCGCAAACGCCACCCTAGCGCCACGAGCGTCATTCTCCTCATCCACATCCTCCCTCGCACCACCCTACCAAGCAATCCCCAGCTCCAGCATATCCGGCGTGCAAAACCGGTTCCCGCAATCACTAAACGGATACTGGGAAATGAAAATGCTATCCAAAAACATCCTCCTCGGCGAACACGCCGATAAACCGCTTTTCGCCGTCAGTCTGCATAGCGGATTAACCAAGAACAAGATGGTAGAACTGCATTCTGGACCAAATGATTCGGATCCGATAATCGCCACTGCGGACCATGAGAGTAGGTGGGGTTCGGGCAGAACTACGATTATCCAAATCATACCGGATGGTGCACCCCGCGCCGCCGTTGCCGGGTCCTCAACGGGAAGTTCCGCGTCCGGGTCGGGATCCACATCGGAGGGGAATACGACTGTTATTATGAAGCAACCGCATGATTGGAGACACACTACGCATAAATTCACGGTGCAAGTTGGTTTAGGAAAAGATACTCACGAGGAAGAATTTGAATGGAGGGGGAGTCGAGGTGGCGAAGTGAAAGAGTTGGACAAATGGTCGCGGGGTTGGAAATTAGTTCGATTAAACGGTGTGTCGCACAGTCATGGCGGAGAACGGGCGACACGGTCAGCTGGTGTAACGAGTGACGGCAAAGAGGTTGTTGCAGTCTATGCGCAGAACACGAAGGCCAGCAAAAATAAGATTTTCAAGTTCCAGTTTCTCGAGGGCGGCGCGACGGGAGTGCTGGGCGAAACATTTGCTACGGCTGCCCTTATGTCTGCACTTAAAATCTGGTACATTGCATATGTACAGCAGAGCGCAGCGAATGCTGGTGCTGGTGCTTGATTCTTAGTCAGAGGTCCATGGGAGTTTGTGGAATATATTCGGGGGTCGGATATTTGGGCTTTTTATTGGTTATTTATACCCTGGAGATTGGTCGTACTTTATAGAAAAAATCTGAATATCATTCGTTATCAAATTGGCCTATGAAACTAAACGTTGGATTTTGTAACGAGAATGACAGCTGACAGTTACACCATCACAATATCTTGTGTTGAGTAGATTCGGCTTATGTTGGACAACTTAGCAAAATATGTAACGGCTTTCAAGCCTCATAACTATCTTTCTCCCAAGATAGTAAACCGACGGTTATACATCATGTCATACCGAATCCGGATTGGTTATTTGATTGAAGACGTGATGTTAGGGTTTCTGATTGGTTGGCCCTTGTCGTGGCTTGTCAGCAACGGTCAGCTAATTAAACTACTTGTGGGATGAATCTTCGACAGTAGTACACAACTTATGTAAGTCAACGACTTCATTCAAGAGTATTGGAGGTTTGGGGAAATGCGCGAAGAAAGTTTTATATATGTAGCTCATAACCTTATCTATTCAGGAAGCAACTGCGGGTAAGCCCGTTGAATATTAATCTATTTGATGATTGGGTGGTAGCTCCTGTGGGACTCTCGCAATTTATGGCCATGTCTATAAAGAAATCGATGTTGAAATGCGGCATGGGATTCGTTGTGGTTACGAGTACCCGCAAAGACCACGTCGGTTTTTGCTCAGGGTAGTATTCTGTTGCCTGGAGCTCCTTGCATAAAACCTCACTTAGCCTGACGTCATGTTGAACCAACAAGAGATGCAATTGCCGGCGAAGGACCGATGTTATGACAATCACTTGGCGAATATTTGCTATTCTTTGGATGGAGAATAGATATATTTGAAGGCAAACAAAACAAGAAACTCAACGGTCGTCTGAAGTGTTTTGAGCACAAGCGGTCGAAAAAGGCAAAGTATGGAAATAGAAATAGCTGTTAAAGAAAGTTCATTCCTGGTGTGTGGGAATGAAGGTGCATCCAATGGTACCTAAGTAACATTTTAGGAGTGTCGCGTGCGCTTATATTTAATTAACATTAACAGTTTAGCTGCTTGTCTGCAGTAGCTTTGGAGGGTGTATGAAACTTGCAGTCGCTAACGTCCGTTCGGTAATTAAGTATTTAGCTCGGCCTTTAATTAGGTTATTGGGTACCAGTACTTATTTGCTACCCCTGACTCACCCTGGCCAATTACCAGTATTGTATACGCGTAAGTAGGTGTTCTTGTATCGGTACTCGTTCGCCCAGCAAGCCAATACAAACCGTGACTAACAGAAGAAGAAAAAAATAAAATAAAAGATTGGCAGGAAAAGGGGGCTATGAGAATTGAATTCAAGAGGCTGAAGCATAACTCTGCATTCATTTCATCCATTCCGACGACAATCAGTCACCTATTCAGTAAATGTGCCAAGCCGCAAGCAATCCAATCCCTCGCCTCAGCTCCTTTTCCAGGCTCTCTCACTTTCCTCTCATTCTTTATTACTCCGCTAGTACCCTCTAGCCCTAAAAAAAGGATGCCCGTGCCGTTTCCCAATCTTTAATCTCTCTTTCGAGATTTCTTAATTTTTTTCCTCTTTTTTCTTTTCTCTTTTCGAGGACTGATCATGGCGAGATGGCAAGCCGCATAAGATTCGCTCCTAACCGATTGGTCCTGACTAGTATCGCGTCATTCCTCGTACTTTTTGTCCTTTTCCACTCTTTCGAGCCTAGGAAACGCGCTTGGTCATGTAAGACGCTTTCTTCCTGTCTGGGGGGCAACCATCCTCCCACATACAAGCATTGGGATGGCGTACCACTAGACATGGTCATTGGCCAAACTGAGAAGACCTTGAACGACGGAACGATACTATATACCCAACACATCATGAACACGAACCCGGATATATTATTCCTAGTACTAGCAAGAGACGAACATTCATGGAGCCAGGATTTCCGATCTACGCGCCGCACCGTATACGATTTCCTCGATTTGGTCGTGTCTACGAATTTGGACTTGACGCGCGTAACGCTAGGGTTTATGACGTCGTCGCGCGATGAATTCGAGACTATGAAAAAGGCCCTAGTCCCGTTACCTTTTGGTCGAGTAGCGCTATACTATCGCGAGAATGATGGCGGTGGGGCCGCGTCGCAGATTGCGTACGAGGACCGGCACTTACCCGAAGTTCAGCGCAAACGCCGCGCCCTTATCGCTAGCGCTCGGAATTACTTGATGTTGCGCAGTTTGCAGGATGAATCCCATGTTATCTGGGTCGATGCCGATATTGTCGAATTTTCGCCGGGTGTGTTGCAGGCTATGATAGCTCAATCGGAGAAACGTGTCGACGCTGGAATTATCACGGCGCTCTGCAAGCAGACCATCACGCCTAATTACGATAAGAACGCATGGACGGTGAATAGAAAAGTTCCCCTATTAATGAACCCTGTCGCGGATGCGGATATGGAGAAAGCTGCGGATCAACTTGTCGAGACCCGAACGTACTTGGACGAAATTGTCAAGGGAACGACGAACGATGACCTTTTACCCGTCGACAGTGTAGGAGGAACGATATTATATATGAAGGCGGGCCTAATACGGCAAGGAATCGATTTCCCCACAAACTACGTTGTTGGTACCACATGGTCGCACGAAGGTTGGGTTGGCATCGAGTCCGAAGGAATATGTTACGTCGCATCGCATCTCGACGGCGGAGGGTGCTTTGTGTTAGGTGGAAGTCATCATGTGAGACATGCCGACTGGAGTTGAAAGAAAATACGGGATACGAAGTGTTATTTTGTCGCATAAGCAACGGATTTTTTGATGTGATACCCCGAGTTGATCCCAAGGATCTTCATGCATCATGTTGAACTTTATCGAAGATAGAGTTTCATACCTCATCTAGCTGGGAATCCCATTCCTGGACTCTCCATGCATATATAACCCGAAGGAAGGTTTATTACATGCTGTCAAGGGCTAGGATGGGTGGAATGGAATCAGATATAGAACTTAGAGCATTCAATAAGAATATCAACCAACAATATGGGATTTGCGCAAGTCTTCTCAAACGTGATGTTGAAATGGGGTGCATGTATCGTCAACTTTCCCCCGTTGAACATTGAGACGGACAAACGTCATATTAGCCGCTTCGCATATAGATCGGCGCAAGTCCACCTCGCCGTCTCCGACACTATCCTTAACTACCGATATTTATTAGTCTTCCAGCTAGTAACTTCCCAATGCCACCCCCGATAATTCCGAACCAATCGCTAATGAATTTACCCGTCTTCTGGATTTTATATTTAGAATTGCCCTGAATATCACGGGCCCCCTCGTCTATTGGTAACAGACGATTTAGAGTTTCCAGGTTCCCGGCCCCGGGATAGATTCAGTAATTGGGCATTGAACCAGTATACCCTAGGTAGGTATCTATACCAATAATAAGCAGTATACTACCACTTCTCTCACATCACGATTTCTACCAATATAATTAATCTCAAGACATAACCCCGCCGGATGAGCGAGTACTTGCCCCCACAGCAAATATTTTGCATTCGAGGGCTCGACAAACGGAGCTAAAGTATCGCTTGACACACCAAGTCCCATTCACACCTTTATAGTCCGCAAAAATACTGATTCTAGATCTACTAGCCCACTTTATTCACACGCTAACCACCGCGCTATACAGCAAAAAAAGGGACGACAAAAAAGATGAGATGAGAGCTGCAGGATTCGAACCTGCGCGGTTTCCCATTGCGGGCTTCCGTTCAATCGTCAGGGACAAGACAATCAAGGATAGACCTAAACACAACGCCTTAACCACTCGGCCAAACTCCCTGTTATTCTCTGTTCCGTCAAGAGGAACCGCGGGATGGTGGTTTGGGTTGTTATGGTGGTATATATGAGCGGGTCCGGAGGTGTGGCGGTAGAAATCGTCGACCCCTGACTGGAATATTGATGGAGCCAATTATTTAATTTGGATTACGAGCATTTTACTGTCTACATAGTCTCATTGAATAATTTAGAATATTTTAGGTAGTAATAGTTTTATTGTGTGAGGAATGCCATGTCGCACGACTCTGGAAAGGGGGCGACAGCGTAAGCCACGAGAACGCGTATTTCAAATGGCAACCCAAAACTACAATAAAAACAAGCTACTTCCTTAATACTTCGTTCATGTATATAATTCATCATAATAATATCCATATTCAAATACTGATATACCCATACCTAGGTAGTTATGACCTTTAAACAACCTCAACCCTGCATTTATCCTGCTAAGATTGTTATGGCATCATCCCTTTTAGAAATCCATTGCGTTCGATGTCTAATATCACAAGAATAGAACCGAAGTAGTAGCGTCTCCAAATTTTCTATTTTCCGCTTCAAAAAGCTTTATCCGGCCCACTTAGTATTCGTGCCCTCCGGTGTCCACAAACGACCGAATATCTCCACCAGCGATTCGCTTCAAGATGGATCACCGAGCAAACAACCCTAAGCTCCCACCTAAATTAATTCGAGAACGAGAACATAAGAAAAAAAAAGGAAGTTTCAATAGGAAATAGAATATAATAGGCCAAGTATCATTTTATATACACTCTAGGAGCAAGCAGAGACCAAAAATGAAAAGAATCAAAAAGGAAAAATGATATAGCTTCACTCCGTTTCGATCGGAGGTCCTCCGGGTTATGAGCCCGGCGCGCTTCCACTGCGCCATGAAGCTCTATTCATCTTGTCGTCGTATATATGTTGTGTAAGAGGAGAGAAAACTATTTGTCACTATATGCTCTGTTTGCAAGCTTATGACTCATAATCAACTTACCCACTCGATAATCCGATGGGGTTGGATTTATATTAATCTTTTCATCCAATGTTAGGTTCCTTCTATTTATCTTCATTCCCTAGGTACTTTTAAGGTAATATTTCATGATGTTCAAAATATCTAAGTTATATGTTAGTAACCGGGTGTCTATTATCGACTAATTATACACTCAATCCATCGAACTTATATAACTCCTTGTCTGGTGATTGGTTTGTATCTACCTCATATCTTATATTATTTACGATGAATACTTGTCTTAGTAGTTCGTGAAATTATCCGGTGTGCTGCCTGGCTTCACGAAGCAGCTATAGCTAATGCGAAGTGTTCTCTTACCTACATCTCGGTTCTCGATCTAATAATATCTTTGTTTGGGATTATTTTATATACACACGTGCGTACACACTTTTATGTCTTTGAACCACGTTTTCTTTTTGCTTATACAGGCAGAGGAATTTTCCATCGTTTCAATCTCGGAATGAGGTAGCTACTATTATAAGGATTCCTTGTTTGTAAAGTATCATGATGCATTGACTTGTTTTAACTTGTTCGGTATATGTCGTTGAAATGTGCTGTGCTCTTTCTATAGGCTATCAGTCATTTGCTTAGGTGTATAGTAATAGCCCATGAAATATTCTAAACAATATGAAATGATTTGTGAACAATGTTTGTGGTAAAACCGCCCTGTAGCCTTTTAAAAAAGCTACTATTGTCTTAATCTTTTAAGGTAGCTTCATGTCATCGTATAGTTCTATACGATCAGACACCAAGTATAGCACCATGACAAACTATATGAGTAGCATTGAGGAAAACCAAACGTATAAATTACAGAAAGAAAAAGGGCAGCAGACAAAATAAACACCAAATGACCAAACACTACCCCATTCTCAATTCAAACTGACGTATATATGCAGTATGTCGTACCTACCATCTACGTCGTACCGCACCCATCCACCAGCATCACCCCTCCCCTCCTCCGCAACCCGGTCCTCAATAAACCCGTACCTGACTAGCAACCCAACTACCGGCATACCACAATCTAAAAAACGTGTTAACCTACCAAACTAAACCCTCCCTATTCAAAATGAAACAAGGGAAAACGGGTTAGATAAATGGGATGGTTGGCAACCCAAATATGAATTACCGAGCGATCGGGATTCCGGGTAAGTGTTAAGCGAAGAGAACTCGAGACGCACGAAAAAGGGCCGGAACCAAGGGCCAAATTTTTTGGATTGATAGGTTCGGAAGAACAACGAACATAACCCATAACCATCATCAACACCGCCTCCCCTTTTTCTAAAATTTAAATTCTTAACTTTTATTTTGTTTTCGAAATTTGAACGATTAAAATGGGTTATGAAGTTTCGCGATGTTTGCACGATTGAATCCGACTCCACAAAAACATCACCACCAACAATAATAAAGACAGCAACATGATGGGATAATAAATTTCTTTTATTTGTATTAGCAAAAACACAAGTATGCGCATGGAAACCGTAGTTTCCACTACGCAGTTTTGCCCTATTCCGTCCTGATCTGTTTCTGACCAAGTCATCATCAATCATCCAGCGAGGACACCACCAACCAACCATCACCTACGATGGACTTCTTTCTTTTTGGAAGAAGAGGGGTATGGGTATGATGGGCCGCCCCATCCAGTTTTTCGTAATTTTATCTTTGCCAAATCAATCATCATCAAAGGGTGTGCCTTGCCTTTCTCTATTATCGAAGAACAATCGAGAAGAAAAAAAATGGGAAGAGAAAGAAATTCCAGCCAACTCCCAGAAAATTCGATAGTCTAATTTCTTTTTTCCGTCCTCCCCCAATTACAATGTGTTCCCCCGTGAAGTCACGGGAAAACCGATTACCTGGGTATCAGTTTCCACCTCTTAAGTGAGAGTGTAACCACCGTCGACACGGAGATCGGCACCGGTGACGTATTGGCTGGCATCCGACAGCAGGAAGGTGACGGGACCCATTAGGTCGTCGGGTTGACCCATCTTACCCTGAGGAATGAGGGAAGTCCATTGTCGCTTCAGGTCTGGCTTCTCATCGAGGATCTTCTCGGTACTGTGTGTGGGATTTCTGTTAGCTGCAGATATTTGTGGATTATGAACGGGGGTACTCACAGAGCTGTTAGCATGTAACCGGGAGAAATGCAGTTGACACGGATACCGGCGTGCGCCCATTCGACGGCAAGCGATGCAGCCATATGCCTGACCGCAGCCTTGGCGGTGTTGTACGGTCTGAGAGGACGCTCGTTAGTTTCGTCTATTGATGTGGCTTGCGCCACCGGCGCATAGATTTGGGGGTCATCGGAGATAACTTACGCTTGGGGTTGGGGTACGTTGACGATAGCACCACTCATACTTCCGATGAAGACCATGCTACCGATAGCCTTCCGCTCCATCAAGTGCTTGGCAACGGTGATAGCAAAAAGGTATGTACCGTCGACATTGACGCTCCACAGCTTTCGCATACGGTCGATGGGGTAATCGACGGCATTGTAGTTTTCGGTGAAACCGGCGCTGGTAACGAGATTGTCGATCTTTCCGTGCTGCTGGATGATCTCGTCGATGCAGCTTTGAACGGAGTCGGCGTCCGACACGTCAGCGTAATGGGCGGTGACCTTGGGCACTCTGGTTGCGCCGGGGTTCTCCTTGCGGAACACCTCGACTAACTCGATGGCTTGGCGCTCAGCCTCTTCCTCTGTTCGGTTGATGAGTTGTTAGTATTTGTTTTTCGGATCCACCATTGGTACACCGCAAATCGGCCCAGATATGTGGGAATGGACGAGGGATTTAATAAGCGAAGTGGGTAAAGGGGGAGAAGAGTTAAGAAAAATTGAAGGGACTATGGAAAATTGGTGGAGCGAGAATTGGGAACAGACTGAGAACGAAGCTTTGGGAAACATGTGAAGAATGATTGGAAAAAAGAAAGTCAATGGCAGAGAGCAAGACTTACTGTTCATGTCAACAATTGCCAAGTTGGCACCGCTAATAACCATGCCTTGACCCATAACGAGACCGAGACCTCGAGCACCACCGGTAACAACACCGACCTTGCCTTCGAGCGAGAAAGAAGCGAGAGTTCGCTTCATGTGGAAGCCACCGCGGCCTTGGACGGGAGCAGAGGAGGGTAGAGCATCTTCGTCGGGGTACTCGACGGTAATGCTATCATCTGTACGGGCGAAAGCACCGGGAGGGGGCGGCGAGTGCTTCTTGTCCTTGTTGTCGGCGTTGTTTAGAGGGTTATTGTTGTTGTGGATGAACGCAGCACCGGCGGGAATGGTAGCTCGAGGAGCAGCAGCTCTGCTAGCGGAACCGACAGCTCGCGCCGACGCGCGTAGTAGATTTCGGGACAACATGGTATGTGAAAAGAGGTTTGTTGTTGTGAGGTGAGGTGGTTTAGGTAAAGAGGGATATTAAGGATCCTATGGTTAATATAAGAAGAGTAGAGGGGAGCAAGAGGGATAAAAATATGAATCAATATCAGCGGTGAATGCGAAATTGATGATAAGGTACGATGAGGTGTAAAGAGGTATAGATTGGTTATGTATATGTGGAGAGGATATGTATATGTATATGTGTACGTGTGGTGTACGTGTGTTATGTGGTATTTGTGGTTATGAGTAGAGCTTCAAGTTTGTAAATGGGTCCTTCAGAGTGAAAATAAGTGAGGTAGATTGGACAATGGCTGAAAATGACGTATGTGCCTTGTCTATCGTGAGAAAAAAAACTATGGAGCTCTCTGTGCCGTTTTTAGACTGTACACAGAAGAGTAAGATTAATCGTCTTTTTAAAAAACTGTCAATTGGAATCCCAAGAGGTTTTTGTAGTAAAAAGAGGAAGAAAAATAGGAACGAGGAAGAAGGTTCGTGACTTTCGTAGGAAGAGACAGAGAGATAAAAAAAAGGTATTGGCAGTGGGAGACACGAAGAGACGAAGAGGGAAAAACTAAACCACCGCCTAAGAAATTTGGTCAGGGGACCAAAAAAACTCACGATCTTTTTCCTTGGATGGGCTTGTAGGGGCTTGTAGGGGTTCACTAACAATTTATTTTATCGTCTATTTTACCTTCCCATGTACCATTTTTTTTTTTCCCTTCTTCGCCTTCTCCAGCCTTTGACGATCCATTACCTCTCTAAGTACATTAGCCCTGTACCTAAAGTTCGGCACTGGGTCCAAGCTCCTTCACGCTAGTGGCTTTTTAACCCTCCAAGGACCCCTCCATTTTCAATGTTCTTAGCAAGCAACCTACAGGTACAACTCTCCGGGCTATCCTTCCCCTCGGCGTCCCCCTATGTACCTAGGTAGTGGGTTGTAGTAGGTGGTAGTTAGACGGTAGTGGGGTGGTAGTTGGAGGGTTACAGGACGTATTGGAGGGGTAGTACGGGTAGTACGATTAAGCTTAGGTGACTTTTAGGTGCTTTTCGGGTGGGGACTAGTCTCTACAAGGCCCATTCCAGACCTTTAGAACCTTTAGTTGACCTTTAGACTGCGCAAGCTAAACTCGTCTAGAACCAGGTCTATCCTTATTTCTCTCTTCTAAAAGGTACCAGAAACATTCAAAATTATTCCCTCTTATTTTTTATTATTATCTGGCGACATATGAGGCTGGTACGGTATCTGCCCATTATCACCACGCAGGATACATACATCATGTGTACTATAGCCCATGTACGTTATTAATTGTATGAATAATACCATATTACCATACCGTATGTGGATATTCATCTTCTTACTGTATCCGTTGTATTGTGGTACTTTACATCCATTGATCCTAACATCCTCGTACACCGACGCACAACAACAAAGCAAAAGACCAAGAGAGAATAAAAACGACGAGGAATAGAAGAGCCACCGCCAGACAAATCGGAAACAAGCTCAACAGCCAATGTAGAGCCTCCAACTGCAACATGTGGGTGGGAAGCCCAGACCATTCCGTGTTCCAAGTTCCCTCTACGTTCCCTCATAATTCCCATTTCTCTCTATTTCCTCCATACAGCTTTTTTTTTTTTTTTTTTCTTACCAGGGTACCACAGGAACTAGAGCTACGAAGCCCCGCAAATGAAACATCCACTGGTAATCTGTATGAGGTACACGAACGAATTCGCGAACATGCTTGGTGCTTCCCACTTCCACGATAGCTCAATAGCTGGATGCGTGGTGGTTAGTTGGAACTCACCCCGGAAATGAGGAGCCAACTGGAAATCTTGCTCTTGCGGTCTTGTTCATGCCGTACACGTAGCTTGTTCCTTTATTTTTCTTTTCTTTTCTCTCGCTAACCTACTTCCATGTACCTACATATATTACATACATGTATGATGTAGCTAGGTAGGCAAGGTTCCCTTCCGGTGTGTATCTAATGTAAATGCTTGCAGGTATACGTATTCTATATGTATAGTACGGTAATATATCATGTACATATATGTACGTGCTATAGATATGTAGCCGCTTGTTCCATGACCTATTTGTACGTACGACTTTTATTTTCTCTTTCCCTTCCCTCCCCCTTCTCCATATATCGGAAGCGGGAGAGCCATGTTCGTGGGATTTGCTGTCGCTCACTCCGTTGTCCGCTGTCAGCACCCCCCCAGCAAGCAAGCCATCCGCGCCAACTAAGCCTGCTTTTTTGCCCACCTTACGACACCGGGAAGTGGTCCCCATCCCATTTTGCCATCCCGTCACCGCCGGACCCTTGTCAGTTTTCCGTTGATCAATGTCTATTCGAGTTTAGTTTCTACATCAATTCTGAAAAATTTAGGGAAACGGAACAATATAACATGTCCACAATAGCATCATCGTCATCCATTAAAACCCACCTTACTTACTCACTTACCTACATACACATACACCTACATACATAATGTACATACTCACATACCACATACCACTTTTGTTTCCACACTTTCCCACGCTTCCCACTTCCACGTTGGAACTACTGCTCGACCTCAATTAACTGACTTACTCGATCAGCGCAGCTAATTTGTTTGCCCGTTCCCATTAGTGTCCCCACGGACGGCCAAGCTGCATGCATTACTCAGCTCCAGCTCTTTCAATCCCAAACCAAGAAAAAAAAAAAAGTGAATGAAAAAAAAAGGGGGTGCCACTTACGACTCTCTTACTGTAGCACGCACCATTATCACGGTAAGTCCTCCACCTCCGACGTTCCGAGCGGTCACGATGGTCACGATGCCATATCCTCGCCCAATTGGTGGACGTGGGGGTTTTTTTTGGTCATTTTTCCCTTGCCCTACCCCAACCTCCTACTCCTCCTACCTAATAAAATAGAAAATAGGGAATTTCGTTTCGTCTTACACAAACACTAAATCTAATCTCACGATAGCTTCCCCTCCCCCCATCAAAATCATGAACCGTTCGTTTATTTCCCCATTGTTTTAAATAGATTAGGGTTTTGGATCATTAGCCGATTTATATTTCTTCATTGATCTCTGCCCGTCAAAATCGAACGAACGATACGTAATACTAAAGCTAAGCGAGTTCCATTCGTATTACATTATCTTTGCTAAAGGTATACTTGGAATTGGAATTCCGTCCTTCGTTCTCGTAGCTCCATTTCGCGTTCCTCCTAGCCAACTTGCGCATATTTGCAATTGTATATTTTCCTCCCCCATGCAAAAGTAGCTCAGGTGGACAATTCGTATCACACTCTTAAAACATGTGTGCAATTGAAAAGAAAAATAAATCCCGCGACAAGCAAAAAGTATCAACCCCGCCAGCAACGCGTGATTTCTTCCAAGACTCTGCATACATGATACGTACGTATACGTTTTCCTTAATTATCCTAGGGTAGACAAAAGGGAAGGGGAAAATCATTCGCCCTGTTGTGTTGGTGGTATCGTGGGCCTGGGGGGCAAAATCTAGCTGCATGATATGTGCTTACCCCCAGTCACACCAGAAATGGGTATCAACTCCAAAATTAGACTGTATCTTTGAGGCTCCCGAGCCTCTTTGCCATTGCCGGGACTCCCGCAGCTCCGGTAAACAAAAAAACTACAAAATAAATCCAGCTCATGACGATAATGGCCAATAAAACATAATAATTATTTAACTTCATGACTCTTTTTCACCAATACTCTACGTTGCCTCTTTCCAGGATTGGATGTTTGCTACTCATCCAGTCCGAACATCCGGCGCAACGCCCCGAACTTCTTTTTCTTCCTATGACCTAGTCCGTCCATAGTCACGTTGTCTCGCGTGTCTTCATATGCAATTGCTGGAATACCCAGGCTCGTGCTTCGCCTACTGCTGAAATCCGGCCGTTGAACAGCTCCGCCCATAGCAGTTTGACTGATCAGATTGCCGGCTGAATTGGATCGCTTCATGTGTTCTATATCACCAGGTTCGCTTAGGGGCCAACTGTCATTTCTTTTCACAGAATTCCGCTTTTGAAGTTTGGGGCTGGATGGTTCACTCGATCGGATATCCCTCAACTGCTCATTACTCCGTTCTAACCTGGTGTCGCGTCTAGCTGCGCTTTCTGTGAGCTCTGATCGTTGAATTTTACCCGACGAGTCGGTCCTCTTGTTGCGTTTTAAGATGCCCATCAGAGAAGTTCGCCTCTGTTTAGTTGGGCTGGTGGGTATCGACACAGTCGTGTTAAAACCACCTCTACCGGATCGAGAGCGCGTTAATGTAGCGGTTCCAAGGGCTTCTGAATTCGAACGTGATATCCCTGCACGACTCGTAGAAGCTCGATTCTGGGGGCTCTGCAGGGGGCTAGGCATATTATCGTCGCTGTCAGGCAGCTCTGGTGATTCCTCATCTACTTCCGGTACAGGGGTAGACTTCCTAAACCCGCCAGCGCCTGCAGTGGAGGGGCGAAGAGTACCTTTCGCGAGCGGACCCGAACGCGATGAAGAACTAGGACGAGCAACGTCTTCATCACTCGAGTCATCAAAGCGACTACGAAAACCAGAAATTCCGCCTTCATCTTCGTCACTTGAGCCGTCACCAAAACGACTGGATCTCTTGGATCGCTTCGTAGTTGGTGCTTTATTCGATCGGCCAAACGACGGGAAATGAAGGGACGGAAGAATCCGATCTTGGCTGGAAATGCTACTGGATCTTAATGTGTGACGCATATTGGGTACTGGAGCCCCATCTCCTGTGCTATGTCGGAATGAAGAACCAGTTGGAGAAAGCGACCGTAAACTGAAGCGCCCGGAGCCTTTGGTAACTTCCTGGGGTCCACCGGCGGATTGTGGGCGCATTGAATGGCGAAAGTTGAAACCTCCATTGCGTGTAGCACGAGTGCGTTTGAAGCTACTATCGCTGGCATCAGAGCCGCGACGTTGTAAAGTGGGTTTCTCACTAGGTAAGGAACCTCCCGCTGCTTTAGACAACTTTTGGCTAGGAACGGTAGTATTTTGCTGGTGATTCGACTTCGATAAGACTGGCGTTGGCTTTTCGCGTTGCGCAGATCGGCGTGCGGAAGATTGAACTGCCTGCCCTGCACTAGTTTGGGGTCTCATTGTTTTTCGCATGCCATCGGATAACTGTCCAGGTTTGTCCGCGCGTAAAGATGTTCGCATTCGTGACGATGTTGACGGTTGGTGAGCGTGTTCTTGGGTGGATTTTGGCAGAGGTTGAACCACTGGAGCTCGCTCTAAATTGACTGCTGAGGTAGGTTCGGGCACTGGCTTCGGGGCTGGTTTGGAGGGTTGTGGCTGGACTTTATCCGTCTCCTTCTTTTGTGAAGCCTTCTTCCTGCTACTATTTCTCCGAACAGGGTGCACAACCTCTTCCTCATCGCCTTCAGCGCCGGCATCCTCCAGAGCTTCTCGTTCAAGTTGCTGCCGTTTCTCAGCTGTCAAACTTCGCCAAAATGCCTTCGCCTGCTCCCAGTCGTCTTTGTCGTCTACTGCCTTTGGAGGCTCAATAATAACGTCAAGCCGTTTATTGGCTTGAGGTTCAGGTGTTGTATCGGCTTCTTTTTGTGCGTCTCCGGGTAACTCCGCCAATTTGGGAGGCGGGGTCCGGTCAATTGGCTTCTCAACAACGGCGTTCAACGATAGGAACCCGTCTCCTTCAGCATCAGAAATTTCTTCATAAGCATCACTGTATATACTGGCAGAGTCGTCTGTAGCTTTATCATCCACTTCTTCTAGCGGTGCCGTTGTTGCGAGTGTAGTTTGAGGTAATGTTTCAGGTTGAACAGGATGAATCGCTGCTTTGGGTTCAAAGATGGGAGGGGTGGAAGAAGTACCGACGGGGGCATCGCCCTCCGTTCTAGATGAAGTTTGACTATTACGGGTTGTATCTGATCCGTCCTCTGGAAACCCACCTGGAACTTCGAAATAGTTAATTTTCGACGAGCTTGCAGTCGCATCGACTGCATTCGTCTTTTCCGGAAGCCTTGGGCTGGGTTGTATGACAGTGATATCTGGAACCTCCTGTGGGAGATTAATCATACTTGGCTCTTCCGCTTCCGAGTCATTCTGCTTAGTTCCTTCTAGAATGGCCGAGTTGCTTTGTGAGTTGTCCTGTGTCTCTGGCTGGGTGATCTGCGTGTTGGGGAATTCTTCAGTATCACTTCCGCCCCCAACACTATTAAGGAGGTCGTCATCGGAATCGGAGCTCCTGAGACTATCTGAGATATATCCACTTCCTTCGACAGATGTCACAACTGGCGGCAACGGTTCCCTAAATCTTGAGATATTTGGTGCATTCCGTGATGTCTGTGCTTGAGCAAATATAGAACCTATGCCACGGTCGCTCGATGCTCCTAGAGGTTGCTCATCGGGTGTTTCGTTCTCACTATATACGCTGGGACTAGAAGGGTGGAGTTCTGGAGATGATGGAGCGACTGGCGAATGAGATGGTTCCTGAGGTCGTACGAGAGGTCGTTCTTCGGGTTCCCTTATTTTCTTCTCCCTAATACTGCCAAAGCTCGGAAGTGCCGGTCGAGGTTTCATAATTTCATCATCATCAAGAGTAAACTCCCTTCTTTTGCTTCTCCCAATATTACTATACCAGGGTCGCTTGGCTTGCTGCGGACTCAGTGGGACAGGTGAGTCTATATCTCCAGGAGATGCGGATTCTCCTACTACGGTGGCCATAGTTCGGTCATCGAAACTAACGCGGACCGACTTCTTACGAGGAGCCGCAGTTTCTTCTTGCTGATGCGGCGAAGCACCACGAGATCCCGAGATATCCGAACTCTTATCTGATGGTGATACTTCTCCACGTGTTGGGCTGGTGCGTTTAAGGGCTGACTTAATGGGTGATGCGGATCTCGGCAATGGAGTATGTCGAACCCCTAGCTTATCTGAAGGGGTTACCGAAAAATGTGCTTGGCGAGCTGGGCTGTTCGAAGCCGATCGGTGTGAACGGATCCCTTCCTTGACAAGCTCGGCAACTGGTTTATTTTCTGCGAAGGATGCTCTTTTATCTGTTGTGGTTTCGATAGGGGATACAGCAAATCCTTGATTTTCGTCATGAACAGGATACTGTGTACTCGTCTCGCCGCCATCCTGGCCCAAATGTCTGGGATCTTCGGGTTGCTCGTAAACAGACTGTCTCGTCGGCACAGCGTCGAGGGCGTCTAGCACTTTCTGGGACGGCCGGTCCGCCGTATCTTCCTGGGGGATCCTCTCGGGTTCTTCTATAAAAGCTGACTTCTTTTCTGATGCGCGACTAGCGGGGGGTTTTGTGTTTGGTTCGTTGGAAGTACTCTGAGGCTTCGATGAAACCCCAGATGATTTCTGGTTCTCTTTCAGCTGTAACGATTGACCCCCTTCGGATTCTTGAGGCCGTCCCGATTTCGCCGACGTTGTGATAATAGCCTTGACGGAAGGTTCCTCCAATATGCGTAACTCCTCCGCCGTGGGTGTTGTTTCGACAACTGGTTGTTCTCGTTTTGGTAGAGTGCGCTCACCCGCACCAGCATCAACTGCAGTACCTTTGACCCTGGCGACAGTTCCTTTGGCCAAATGACTGCCCTCCCTCTGCAGGCCACCATACTTTTTCTTTTTTGGCTGCTTCTCTGCTGCTTGGTTCACGTAGAACCCAACATTATCCACTGTTACCTTTGGTATCATCCTTCTAGAATTTGGGTCGTATACCATTGGTTGCTCGGATTTTCCACTCGCCATTGATGAAATAGAAGCACGATTCGATGTCGGTGGTGAGGCAGGCTTTCGAGGAGGTGGGCTGGCAAATTGTGGTGCCTGGCCGGAAGTAGGGGATGCGGGTGGCGACTGGGCCCTGTAAGCAGTTGGATAAGAGAAATTCACCGACGAGCTTCTACTATCTGGTCTCTGGGGTGTCGTAGTGATGTTTTGAGATTTCAATGGTTGAAGTTTACTCGATTTCATCGGCGCATCAGATGTCCTGACGTTACGAGGATCACCTGACGGTTCGGTATACCACGATGAATGCCCAGATTTAATCTTCTGAGATGCAGTTCGAAAAGTCTGCATTCCTACCCCAGCCGAAGTATGACTCGCGGATTTTTTATGACCGGCCGGTATTTGAGGTACAGGTGGGTGTTGTTCTGTCGCTTGTATCGAAGAATTTCGGCGAGGCGAAGGGCTCCGAAAAGTACGTTCCGTCATGCTACCCGAGCTCCCCTTCCTTTGAAGTTGCGCGGTTGGACGCGATCCAGTCGCGGACTTGGCAGAACTACCAGCCGAGGATACCGAAGCGCTTCGACGTAACGTTCGTTTCGTCTGAACCTCGCCTACATTTGTAGGTGTATGCGGACGAGCCCGCAGTGCTGCGGCGGCAGCAGCTGACGAGAGCGATCTGTTGGGCTTCTGATTCGAGGCAGACATAAAGGCGGTTGCAGCGGCCGATGCAGCATTGGGGTTTGCGGTGGCAGAATTCAAAGGCTGTGAGAATTTTGGGTTACTTATTAGCACTTTGACATATACATTAGGGCAGAAACAAAAAGCATGATGGCATGAGCTAAACTGGGATCGTCGTCATTATGAGAGAATAGTCGGTCCAACCCGATGGAAACAGGCCCTCCCATGCCAGCCAACCACGATACAGCCTGAAAGACATTGACACTAGCGCCAACGATGTACAAAGAAGCACGACTCGCGTACTCATATCATTGCGATACGGTAGTCCAAGACAATGGAATGCGACGAGTCGAGATAAGCGAGAAACAGCTTCAGGAGAGGATCTGCTTACAGGGTTAGGAGGACGATGCCTTCGCGCGCCGCCAAACATCTTGACAAGGCGATTCGCAGGCTCAAGGCCTGGTCAGTATTGACTATAATGAAGACTGCATGGAATATAAATTTAATGTATTGTACAACATAAGTGTGATAGGTGTTTGTAGTCGCGACTGTGAAGGTGTATAACGAATCTTTGTAGGGAAAGACGCGGCAAAAATTAGGCGAAACTCGAAATGAAATGAGATTTTTTTCCCGGCACGATGAGCATAAAAAAAGACTTTGGAGCTCAGGAACGGGAATCCTGGGAAAGTCAAGGTATGATGATGACACCCGAATAAAATGACTAAGCCACATACTTATGCAATTTCCAGGTAGCCACTACCATGTACCCACTTTCATCCATGAATCTAACCTTATTCACCCATTTTTAGTGGCCTGCATTAGTTATAGTGGAGCTATTTCCTGACTTAGCAATGTTAAAGTCCCTCTCTCGTGGGGTTGCCGCTATATTCTCCACTCTGCTGCTTCTAATGGACATTGTGCATATTTCATATCTACAAGATCACCACAGGCACTGGAAAAGCCTTGTACATATGCGCTGTAAGATGTGCGCGGCGCATCTGGACAACTGATCTCATGGCTTGATTTGGGGCCATTGAGAGCTTGAATTGGTACTGACTTGCCACGGACTTGATACCCAATGAACTACTATAATCAGGTCATGTCTTTTAATACGTGGACACGTCTCTAATTGTTGGCCAATCTATATGCGACGAAATAAGCTTAGGTTACCTCCCTTTTCCAATCGCCAACTTAATCTTTGAATAGAGTTAAAAAGGGAAGGAAAAGGAATTAGACACATACATTGATTTAGATGATATGCGATCAACTTTAATTATAAGTGCGTATGAATGCGCCTACCTAGGTACATGAGATAAATCCCACCATCAAAGGTTCAAATCTCTGTTGGGTATAAAATGCATAATGCTATAACTGGACCCTCTGTGACGTCATTTGACTAGACAACGCGGATCTACGTACGTACCTACGTCGAATATGTGCCTCACCTACGTACTAGGAAATACGTATGCTTCCTCACATATTTAAAGATCTGTATTATAATTGATAGGTATCGCTCTAATCCTCAGCTGTCAAATGGCTGGGCTGATTCTGACATAAGTGAAGGATATACATGTGTGGGTACCCACGTATTAAGGCACCTATCATAAAAGTGACGTAGAGAATAGGAGTTTGTAGTAGTTTTATAAGTTGGTTTTGGGGCTGGGGTTATTTCGTGGCTGCTGTAGAGTTAGTTACTTTCGCGCATGAACACAACCAGGGCTCATTAAGGATGATGCACTACTGGGAATCAAATGGGTTGTGTAGGGTACAATAGCACGTGGTGGAAGAGAAAGTCTACATATGTAGTTTTGTTCAATCGATGAACTCTATGATCTATCTTCTCTATAGGCTTCAAGCAACTTCAAGAGTGCTCAAGGAAGTACCGATCATACTGGTACCCGGGATGTAGCTGACTTGGGTCTCTGACTACATGAATTGATGTCCATTTTAAGCAGTGCACGCAAACTTCCAACTTCATTAGCGACCGTCCAAACGACCAGATTTCTCTTCCCACTCAGTATTAATAGAAGTGAGCTGGGTAGGACGAATAAGCCGGAATGTTGTAAGACTAGTAGATTAGATCTTGATCTGCTAAACGATCTGTGCGCATAGGTTGGAAGACTCATGAAGGCGAGAACGGATCCTGATAACCTAGGCCGGGTTGGTGGACATATTGGGTTTTCGAGATTACCGACGGACTCAATGCGAACGAATGATTCCGGAAATGCAAAAGGACGAGAGAGGCGATACTGGTATGCGATACCAAGACTCCATGATGTAGGGTGATTCGAATAGGTCGTATGATAGGCCAGGCATCGATCAATTACCGACAAAATTTTCTTTGATACGAGTGGTATCCCCTCCGGCGCCTGTTGTACCTCTGCGTGCACGTGCGGGTGCAGGCCCTACACTGGGTAGCTCGACCTCTGGACCATGATCTTGATAGTGATCTTCAGACTCGTATCCGTTCTCTTCATCTTCCTCATGAACTTGGCGTTGGTGTAGCGCCTGGTCCTCATCATGATCATGCGAGTGAGGCGGGGGCGCGGGAGCTTGTTGTCCAGCTGAGGATGCGCCGTGACGATCATTATTAGAATTATTCTTTGCTGACGTCTTGCCAGCCTTCTTACCCTTGCGCGACTTCATCTTTGCCTTCTCTAGTAATCTGCGTCGCTCAGCTTCTTCTCGACGTCGGCGACGGTCCTTGATCTCGTATTGTCGGATCAATGCTTCGGGAGCACGCCCGAAGATTCGCTCATACTCACAGAACTCGCAAATCCAAATATCATCCGGTGCTGGCGGATGGTGGAAATTCTGATATTCGGTTTCTCGGCGACGCTGCTTGGCTGCTTGTATGAGCGAGTTGCCCCGACGTTTCGATTTCTTCGGCGGCGCGTTCGGTTGGGCTGTGCTCCTTCCCACTTCGTTGTCCGTCGTATTAGTTCCTTGTTGCATACTTCCAGACACAACTGCGGTTGGCGCCGTACCGTTTTGAGTTAAAGGACCTCTAGCACCAACACTGTTATACTGGGTTCTGTAGTCCGCAGAAAGGGGAGATCGGCTCATATGATTCGAGGGCCCCATGCTAGAGGGCGCTGGATCGGAGCCAGGCCAAGAGACGGGATTCTGTGAATCGAATGTGAAGGTAAACTGTGCTGACGTTGGACTAGATTTTGTTGAGGTTTCTTGATGCAGGAGACTAATATTTTCTTGGCCTGCTGGCACCTGGAGCTTCTCGGCACTAGCGATTGCGCTGGAGATAATACCAGAATTCTCTCCTAAAATGCGGCAAAACAAAGATTAGCAACTTAATCTTCTAAATAGCCCGTTATTGTGCGGGCACTACTCGTCAAAGATATATAAGACTACTGTGGAATTGGGGAAAAAAGTAGAATAAAGTCAAACGATAGAGTGGAGGGAGGGTTAAAAATGTGTAGTTTAACTTACCGGCAGGCGGCGATGGATAAGGTACACCACCTGGCCTAAGTTTGTTATTAGAGGTCCGACTTCCCCAGTTGCTATTTGGATCAGAAAGTGCTCTTAATGGGCTCCTGCCGTTGCGCACTCGGCCGTACCTGCCTCTACCCGGACCGGATATACCCTGTCCACCTGCCGCGGCACCACCAGCTTGATAATACGGAGTAGATGTTACCCCTGACGAATCTAATGACCCCTCCTCACCTGCCGCTGTCGGTGATGATACTCCTAGCGCTCCGAGATCATTCAGCACGTGCGTCCCGTTCAATATCGTTTCTCCAGCAGTCGGAATTTTCCTTTTCTTCTTATTGTTGCTATTTTCAAAGGAATCATATCCGTCCGCGGAGGAAGCAGTTGACGGGGGTGGTTGCGGGTTTGGTTGCCGGGGTTGATTTTGTCGTTGAGGAGGCCGGGTTGCGGTTGCTGATGAATCATGTAGAGGTCGCGAGAGAAACGCTCTGCGAGTTTGTCCAATAGACGGTTGTCCATCGTGCTCTACACCCAAGCCATTCCTGCGTTGACTTGCTTCTTGACCTAGTTCAGCTGCGTTCTCGCGGTGCGCTACGTTTGGCGGATCCACTCCCAATGACGCTAATTCCTCTTTTGAATTATACGGGTAAACGAACAGAGGGGCAGTCGTTTGAGGTGCGGGCGGGTATTGTATGCTGTCGGCAACATCTGGAGATAATCGTTCGCGTAGTCGGCGTTTCGGGAGGGGTCGAATGGGACGGTCAGGGAACAACGGTGATGAAGAATCGGGAGACATGTTCTCTGAGTAACCTGCTCGGCGGAAAAATCGCGAGAGTGTTAGCCAAATTGTGGCAAGTGAAGGTAAGGAACGGAAACACATAGAAACAAATGAAAGAAGCAACAAATGTAGGGTCCGGCGGCGTTTGTAAATAAAGGTTCAGGTAACCCTAGAGACGGAATCTCGTTTTCATTCGTTGCCCCAATGGTAATGCGAAAAGAAATAATAGGAAGTGGAAGCTAGAATGATCGGAATTAGAAACCCCAGACCAACCTACTCCTCATCCAGTGGACAAGCACATTGGTTTGGCAAATAAATCCTAATCCCTCCTATTCTAGCAAGTGTGGTGTTGTTTTACACCAGGGAAACGACATACCCATCACATCCCGCAATCACAATCGTAGCACTGACAGCCAGCTGCCTTCTCTCAGAAGATAAATCTCGTTCGTCTCGTCTACGTTGGAACGAATGTATGTATTCTTGTATTTGCGCAGTGAGCTATCGTATGGATAATCGAAATGGGCTCGAATACAACGGAGACACGGATTCGCGGGTTGAGCTCGTCGAAGCAGTCTTCTCCCTTTCTACAGACTTTGTGGCCACATTAATACAGTCCTCCTAAGTATAGATTTGTAGATGATCCTATTGGAACTATTGCTTAAACCCGAACCCGGAGAGAAGGACCACTAAGTCCCTCGCGAGCAAAACACCACTCGAATGAGGACGGAAGACGTGGTGAGTGTGGTCTGAACCTACGGAGACAGATATGCTAGACCCCCTTGAAGCAGGTGGCTGAGGCTTGCGGGCTTGGATGACCAATGCAACCCGCGACAGTCCGAGAGGTTACGTATTCAAGATGGGCTTTTCTCCCACCGGAAGCTTGGAAATAATGCTATACGAGAACGAGTGTATGATGCAAAGTAAAGAAGAAAATCCCGATGGCGGGGAAGATAGTATGCAAAGACGTTCCAGAAACAGAGGCGCGAATATGCAATAAATAGTTTGATTTTTGGTGTTGTTGTTCGTGGGTTTGGTGACTTGAAGATGTAGGTAGTAGAAGAATCGGATGGGTTGTTCCCTAATAAGTTCTCGGCAACGTTGAGTAAAGTGGCAGGTACTTACAAGGGACGATCAGTTGTGCTGGCGATATGTAATTGACTGAGTGATGGAAAGCCCACTGTGTCACAAGAAAGGGTACAGCAATGTACTGTACCGAAATACCAGGGCATACCAGGGCACACCAGGGCCAATCAACCCTGAATTTCCCCCTTTAGTAATCTAAATAGGGTACAGAGGTACCATAGATACTTACGTAGAAGAACCCACAGGGACATGCCACAAGCAGCTTCTCCAACAAGATTGGTTGAGGTTGTGGGTTCCTGTAGTACTAATGTACATATATATGTACCGTACCCCTCCAATATGCATACCAGACACTGTATTATTCTTTCTTATTCAGTATTTTGTGCAGATTTACAACAATCCCACCTGTATTTGCCCTGCCCCATACATGTATTCCATTCCGCATCTCCCCATTTCCTTCCTTGATTCCTAATCCAATTATTCCTTCCACAGCTTGTGCACTTCATACAATTTCCAATTTCCCTACGAATAGTTTTCTTTCCTTAATAACTATGGCACTAATAAGTTTGTATTGGATTGACACCTATTACAACTCCTATATATACCAAGATAATATGTTATATCCTAACTGATACTATTTTGAACATTGTTGCACATGTGTGGCCGATACCGATGCCTACTTCGTCATCTCTATATCGTTACCTAACCCTTTCAGGTTATCCCTGTTCCTTAGATGAATTAGATAATCAGGCAAAATACAGTGCGAATAGTATAAAAACGATGACGGTGCCCCGCGTTCGTTCTGCCACCTGCTCTGGGTTAAAAACAAGTGATAAAAATGGATAGGACGGACCGATGGAACCCCCGACAGAAAGCCCGGATCAATTGGATCCTAGCTTGCAAGAATTTAACCCCCAAAAAAGAAAAAAAAGAGCTAAAAGAAAAAAAAAAGAGCAACTGGTAGCTGCCGGGGTCCCTTGCTAAATTGAGTTTGGACCGGTCGCTGGTCGCGCGAGTCTCTTGCCCGCGCCGAGCGAGGCCCCAGCTAAAGGAACAATACCTAAATACATTTTACCTATACCTACCACTACCAGACCTACCTACAATGTTGCTCTTCTCTCCAAAAAGTGACCCTCTTGTTCGCCTTCACCAACACACACATTCTCTTCCCCCTCTATTATTTCTACCTCGGGAAGCTACTGAATCCTTTACGATTATCGAATTCAGTCATGATAGTCTACACGGTGCACTTGCAAGGTTCTTATCCTCTATCCTATGACTTCGCGTAGCAAGAATTCCTTCGAATAGCTCGCTTCCGGTCGCCCTAGAGCATCTCTTCATCTTCACGCCTTGTTCCAACCACCTCCGCTCTTCATATTCTTTGTCGCGACCAATCACCTATAACCTACCTTGCTCTTCGATCAAGTCCAAGAGATTTCCTCCCAATTTCCTTCCGTATCCTCACTGTCGCCAACTTAACTCTTTCCCTCGTATTCAAAACCCCTCTTCGATCCTATTCCAACAAGTCGCCTACACTCCAAGTGATGGCCGGCATCTCCCCCACGAGACGCTCTTCTCGCGCGCGAACTACCCAATCACAATCACATAATACCTCCAGTGCTTCCAGCGCATCTGGCCGTGCCGAGCGAAGCACAAGAGCGTTTACCAAGACCGGCTCGCCCCAAAAATCCACCGGCAGCGGCTCTCTGTCTTCAGAACCGCCCGAGGACTCGATTATAGCGAACGACGATCCAATACTCCGCCGACGCAGCACGCGCGGGAAAGAAGACGAGCGCGAAAAGCATAATAAAATAGAATTACTCGATATGGTACCTACTGGCGACGAAGTCCAGGAAGAGGACGAAGCCGTCCGGTGCATTTGTGGTCATGACGAGTACCCAGGGCCACCACCGTTCGATGATGATTCGAAGCACAGCATAAAAGAAGCAATTGATCATGACCGCATCTTCCCCTTCGAGATTACAGACGAACTGGCTGGTTTTTTCGTACAATGCGAGCTTTGCAATACATGGCAGCACGGTGCCTGTGTCGGCTTCGCCGAAGAGTCGAATCTAGACGACATCCAATATTTTTGCGAAAAATGCCGAAAAGACCTACATAGAATACACACTGCCAGCAATGGGTAAGTCTCATCATCTAAGCCCTAGGAACATGTTGAGGCCGGTCGCATTGGACGGCCCCTTCAGCTGCGGCGGAGTGCTGACGGTCGCGCCATTGCCGATCCTGCCTCTCCAACTGTTCTCTTCCCTCTTCGGCACCCAACTTTCCCTCCCCAACTCGATTGCAATTCTACTATTAAGTATCATGTTATTAATACTATGACGGCCAGACAAAAATTCTCGATTTTCCTCCCCATCCACCGGCCCTCGCGGGCTGCCTCGCGGGCTACTTCCTTAGTTAAGGATGGTGCGCAATCTCCCAAAGGCACTTCTACCAAAAGCTCACGCTCCGCAGCCGCCGCGCATACGTCGAAACGACGTTCTACCATGAACAGCCGCGATGCTGCTTATGACGAAGAGGAGCAACTGCGTCGGGCAATTGAAGCCAGCAAGGAAGATGCGATTCCCGAGGTTGCGGAGCCTCCTTTGAGACGTCCCAAGCGAGGCAGAGATGACAGTGAAGAGTATGTTCCCAATAAAATCCACCATAAAACCTCTGCAACTTTGACTCATTAGCCCTTAGGAAAGTCGAAGGTATCAAGCGACAACGAACAAATTCCAAATCTCCTTCACCTAAAACCGAACGACTTCAATCAGCGCCCCCAGAGGAGTCCGAGGACGAATCAGCCATTCGAAACGGTTCCTCAAAAAAATCTCGGAACGCAGCGCGGAACCAACGCGAAAAGGCCGAAAGAGACGAGCGTCGTGAAGAACAAGAACGAAAGAGGGCTGAAGCTGCTAATAAACGGAAAGGTCGCGCTGAGCGTCGACGAGCCGACGGTATTGTTTCAAAACTATCATGGCAAAAGTCACAATAAGCTAACACAAGTACAGATTCCGATCCATCGGAAGAAATGCCTTTGGCGGTTCGTGCAGCAGCAAATAGGACAACAGAATCAGCGCAGCCACCTGATCCCCCTCTATCGTCACAGCCTGCTCCGGACACACCTCCAGCAGTTCCACCTCCAACCAATTCACATAAGAAAAAGGCGACCAACCAGAAGAAGAAAGGCCGAAACCAGTATACGAAGGACCGTGATAATCGTGACCATGACGAATCACCTGCGAGGTCCGTCTCCCGAGACATTTCAAGAAACGACGAAAACGGTACTTCGCATACGAAGTCTACAGGTCATGAAACCACCGGCAAGCAAAGCAAGTCGAAAGGTGGGATGAACTCGAGGATTACGATGACAGACATGAAGAGACGCGCCAATAATATATTGGAATACATCACTAGAACACAGGTCGAATTAGCGAACGAACCATTATCGGATCCCGAAACGGGATCCCAACGGAATGGTGCCGGAAACAACTCAGCCAACACAATACCTTCAATAAAAGTAAACGGCGACAGCAACAAGAAAGCCGACAACAACAGCTCTATATCAAATGGCCTCACGAGCAACGGCACCAAGAACATTGTCCTACCCCTCAAAGAATTCAAAGAAATGTCTTGTATCGAAATGATGGACGCACTGACTCGAGATTTGGTAAAGTGGCAGCAAGAATTCACGCCTTCTTAACGCATGTAATTCTTATCACTTTTATCCAAGGGTCTGTCTTGTCTAGTTACTTGGCGTTTCTATGGTTGGCTTGCTGCCGGTACATACAATGGACGGGTCTATATCCGCATTACTTGGCGTTTTACGTATTTATCTTGTACAGATGGGAGAATCAGGAGTTTTTTTCTTTTTTTCTTTTATTATCTCCTTTTTCTATTCCAAGGACAAAAATTACCCTGGGGTCTGGAGTCTAGGGTTTCATGTGTTTTCTTTTTTTTTTTACTTAGAAATGGCTGTGCTAACAAAAACAAAAAAGTCGAATGGGTTGCAACATGTGGGCGAGTTTCATCGATTTTTCACGGGACATGAATGGCGGGGAGGTCTCAGGGGAGATCGCTGGCTGGCTATTCATGGAGTGAGTATGGATCTTTTTGTTATTTACAGATGCGCTATTGTATCTACAATATACCCCAATAGCTATATCGCATGGCGCTGCGTCGCCGTAGATATAAAATACAATATGTACAATTCCAATGATATATCGCTATACGGATAGTATAGGTGTGTGCTTCTATGTGTCTTTGACACTGAGCATAGGGCAGTCTATGCTTGGACGGCTTGACTGCGCTTCTGTATCTGTAAGCTCTATGTTCTCTTCGGAACACTCAAGCTGCTTCTGCTGCCTGTCTCTTCGCAGCATGTCTGGCTTTCCTAGCCTCTTTCTCCTTTTTGCGAGCCTGATTCATACTCAAGGGCTGCTCCTCAGCGCCCGCCAACTTCTTCTCGGCCAAAGCGCGCAAGTTCTCCTCACTAACATCATCTAGACCAAATTGCCCTAGGAAACCCTTCCGCCACTGCCAAATAATCCAATCAGCAGCCACTTCACGGTTCGGCTCACCAAATTTCAACAGTTTGCCCGTGCGTCTGGCGACGCCATCTAGGAACACGAGTACATCGTTCGTTGGCGGACTGTATTCGCTATATAACTCGGGATCTCGTAGATTCAATTGGAAGAGGAGATAATCGGCTATGATCTCCGTGGGAACGACACCAGTTTTCACACACCCGACAAGCGAGAGTTTGAGCATAGCCTCGACGTTAGACACATACGGGACGAATACTCCAGGTGTATCGATGACATATACCCCCTGCTCAATACCCGCCGCCTCATCGGCCGGAATCACACGTACAGGTGCACTCATCTTGCGCGTGATGCCAGGTTGCGAACCCACGCGCGCTGCACCCGGGAGTTGCATACCGTTCCGCCGCAGTGCGTTCAAAAGTGTAGATTTGCCCACATTCGGCATACCCACGATAAGCGCGCGCAATCCCGTTAGAGAATCTGCCGCGATCGCGCGCTCGCGGATTGTGGATATGAGTTTTTGTATCGATTTCGGTTTTTGGTTGTCGGTGAATACTACTCGTGTCCATCCTGGTCCTCCTTCGCTTTCGCCGAGCTTGCTGCTGTGCGCGGAGTGGTAGTTTGTGAAGAGCTGGTGTTGCTTTTCGAGCCACCGGCTTGAGGTGATGGGCGCGCAGAGACTGGATTTCGTGTATACGATTATGCGGTCACGCCCGGCGAGGGCGGCTTCGAGGAGGGGGTTTGTTGATGTTATGGGTACGCGGCTGTCGCGGCATTCGAGGACTAGGCTGGTGTTTTGGAGGTCCTTGCGTATGGATGATAGGGTGCCGGCGTGGTGACCTAGGAAGTAGGAGCGAGTGATCTGGGAAGATACCTCGAAGGTGGCTCGCGGGACGAAGCCGCTGCTACCAGCTACAGCGGTCTTGAGGGGCGCAGCCATCGTTATCTGCTGTTGACGGCGAATCGTGATGTAGAATACCCTTTCGAGTGATTATCATCGTAAATCCATACCCATTATCGTGGAATTGGGGGGGGTTGAAGTTGGATTGCGCTCCATTGAGCTCACTGTCGATAGTATTGAGGAGGGAAGAATAACTCAGCCTTACTGAGAAAATTCAATCAGCCTTGGTTTGAGTGGGGCACGAAGCTCAAGCGTCAGGGACTGGAGGGGCGATGACGTAAATTAACCCCCCTGGCACCTGGGGTATTGTGGGGACGATATCGGACCCGCCAAAATTGTGGCGTCACCCAGTGCGGCTGAAATAATGGCCCGCTTCATCTCCACGATGCGGCATTTCTTCCCCATTTATTCCACTTAAACTTCCCATATCGATGTCTACCCCCAAACGCCAACCCGCTATACATTCATAATAGGGTGAATTTTCCGTCCAAGGATCCATTCGTTGACGATCGCCCCATACTCTATATCGAATTCAGAGTCCCGTCTAAGTCTTTTAAGTTTTATAGGCAACGGGAAAGCGTGCTTTGCCAACTCCTTAAGATCGAATCGCCGATGACTCTCGTCCAGCCAAATCATTTAATTATGCGCGATACCGACTTTACAGATGTGGTTTCAAAATCTAGACAGATATCAGTCCAATTAGATAGCCCGGCCCGGCGCCTTTCAAGAGGAAAGTTGAGAAGGTTACGACGCATGGAATTTTTGATCTTTTTGTCACGGTAAATCAGTTTTAGCGGTATAGTCCCCGTCATCGCTCCATTTGTTGCGGCTTATATCATCTCGAGGGAAGCAGCGTTTTATCATTCTTGTTGAAAAGCACAGTGCGACCTCGCTAAAATCGGTCGGAGGCAGCTTCGGGTCAAAGAACTAAGTTACACCGTGAGTTTCTAAGAAGGCCCAGCTTTGCTATCCTCGAAAGATCCACAGTCATGACGCCCCTTCCAACTTTCAACATGTAAAAACGTCAGTCCCCTGTAAACCAATATTTCTATATACACCCGTCCAACCCATCGCCGGTTCGACTGGACTGGTCTCATTCAACACTTAAATCAAAAGGCCATACTCGAAGCCGTGGTCGCTCAAAAGCCTCGGTGGAACAAGCTGAGTGTCCTTACATCAACTCATCGTGAAGGACGGAATAGATGTAGCCCCTGCTGGCCCCTCACCTATTACCTTCCTGAACAAGGAAAGAGAAACCCTAGTACTAGCTATAGCTGATGGATATCTTAGAAGTGGGAATCTAAGTAAGTGAAATTTCACGTTTGAGGGCGCAAGCCATATTTTATCGTTCCCCTTATTACCCGGGCACATAAAGGCGCGTAGGAATGGTCTATATGGACATTATGATTAGCTCAAGCCAAAATAAAGTCACAGGCGGTTCGTTCCCTAAAGTGAAGAGCCTCTTAGGGGACCATAGTTACGGCGATTAGGTCGACGCTAGTGTTTGTGCTAGAGTCACAACGTAAAGTTGGGAGCTTCACAAACAAGAAAGCTATGCCTTTGCTTTACGGCGGAGTAGTATTTGTAGATAGAATAGACAAGGCACCGTTTGGCCGCCCGTAAGTAGTCCCCATGCGCATCTTAAAGAGATGTTGCGCATTTCCCGCCGTTTATCAATAAGTCACTTTCACAATCAAAGATAGTTACCACTAGGACTCGCCGTGTTACTTGCGTAGGCCATCGTGAGGTAGGTGCCATCTGCCACGAGACTAACTCCGCCGTTACATAAAGAGAGCGCCGGTAACTGTCATGAGTGCCCTCGTGAGTATACACAACTAGTCCTTTAATCCTAATAGTTTCTTTACACTCATAATTTATTCCTAGGCACTTTTCTATGGCGTGGAAATAAGTAACCATTTAAAATCTAAACAAGCTCATAAGTTGAGCAGGTACCTGCCTAAGTTGCTAGAGTAGTTGAGACGTCGTACTCTGACGTGGCGCATCATATGTCGAGGATATGCGGCAAGTTCCAGACGGCGAAAAGGGGAACACGCATATAGGTTTCACGCCGTAAAGACATTATTGATTCGTGCTAGTTCCTCGACGATGATAATCCTGTCGATATTCGTAGCATTTCCAAGAAAATTTTGTTATCGCTAATATACCTAGGTATACGTAGATATCTTGATAGGTCTTTGTCATAATACCAATTACAAGGTAGTAGTAGATTCAATGTTGTGGGACGAGTTCATGAATAGCCACATGGATAAGGAAGCCCAAAAATACATACATCAGCAGTTACCTCATGACGAAAGCCTCGTTTTCTTTTATTTCTTAGGTCAAAACCCTCCCCTAGAGCGATAGGGGGTGGCACCCATGCCTTCCATATATTGTAATATAACTCTTTCCAAGGCTAGATTACTGACGAGTTGTGGGTGGCTCACGCATGTCTCACGCATGGCTCACGTCAGGCTCATCTCTTTGGGTGTCCACTCAGGTAAAGGAAGGTACACCTTACCACGTAGAGCGAGGGGTCGCCAGCAAACTTGACGAACACTAGGCGAGCACTCCACACTCTGCTATTGATACTGCCTACATAGAACACCCCCGCCAAAAGCTAGTTGTCTCGCATGTGACTGCCTCCCTATGTTATGAACCGCCCTGTGCTCTCGTTTCATGTGTTGCCAGGTTGCTGTCGCTTTTGTCCAGTCTCGTGAAGAAATAGACATCGTTGTTACTGCCCTAACTGCCTAAGTATCTGTCTCGGCACAGACCAGATAAATGCGGCACCTTCTATTGTAATTTACTCCTATGCCCCGTATGCGCGAAGGGCGTTGCCTGTTTTGTTCGTGAGTACATACCTAGTCACATAAACTTGTTGTGCTCCCCCCCCGAACTTCTTCTCCCACACAACCAACCCTACACAAAACAAATTTTTTCAGCTCTCGACACCTTGAGCGCTGACAACTTGGTCATTCAAACCAAAACATTGGCTTTGTGCATCTTCGTCTTCACTACTTTCATCCTAGAAATTTATTTTCTTCATCAACCACTCTTCTCGACTTCAAGATATTTTCTGCTCCACCAACCAAGCACTTCAAGATGGCTATGACACTTGAGGACGGAGGAAAGAAGTAAGTAAAAATCCCCCAAGGATTAAATGCCTCGCACTGACAAAATATTCTCATCACATAGGCTCCTCGAGAGCGGCTATCTCGCTGATGTTACTGTTGAGTGTGGCAACCGTGTCTGGAAGCTCCACAAGGTTGTTCTCGTCACTCGCTCGGAGTGGTTCAAGGCTGCCCTCTCTGGCGACACCCAGGTAAATCCCTTGCTTATCCATTGATAAATAAAAGCAATACTAATTATTACTACCCATCAACAGGAGGCCAAGGACAACAAGATCGTCATCCGCGGCCAAGACCCTGAGCACGTCGACTGGATCATCATTTGGATCTACACCCATCGTAAGTCAATCCCAATAAACAACAATCCCTTTTAATCGTGACTAATAATTCCCCATAGGCCTCGAGGCTCCCGTCCTCAGCAACCGCGAGACCATGCACCAAGCATGCCTCCAGCTCTACCTCACCGCGGACGTCTTCGCTCTCGCCGGCCTCCAGAAGTCCCTCAAGACACGCATCAAGCACCAAATGCTTCTCGAGCTCTCGATGACCATGGACAAGTTCGTCCCGGGCAAGTACTACGCCCACGCCGCCGACGAGACCAAGGCCGCGTACATCGGTTTCTTCCGCGGAGTCCACGAAGCCTTCCTTGAGGACATCGACTGGGCCAAGCGTCAGTACGTCAAGTTCGTCGCTGCGACTAACTACGGCCTCTTCTGCAACAACACTTTCCGCGATTGCTGCAAGGAGATTCCTGAGTACTTCGACAGCTTGGTTGACGGTTTTGTTATCACCGCCACCAACCCCCACTGGAACGCCTTCGTTCCCCTGGATAACTCTCACGATGCTCTTCTCGAGCTCTTCAACGCTGTTAACGGCGTTCAGAACCATCGCTTGATGCGTGAGGATTAAGTTCCCCTACCATGGCTCATCATCTAAGGCGTTCAGCTTGACAATTCGGCCTAGTGGATGAATACCTCTTGAGTGACGGAGGGTGGAATCTGGCTCGCGGGCTGCTTTTGCGAGTGGTAGTTACCTAATAGGTTCGGGAGGACAGAGGCAGCCAGGCTTGCGAAGCTAAGGCATCCACATTTGCGTTTATGATTGTTTAATAATTAGCACAAAAAAGCATCTCCGGCTTCCACGCTGATAGTTGCACGCAATAGAGGAAATTATGATCTAATAATGATGCACAACAATAGTGACACTAACAAATGTTCTATCCGTGTAACACTCGCTAGGGCGAGACCTGTAAACGCCGCTAACGCCGATGTCCCAGAGAATATACAAATAGGTCACCCATCACTTGATATCAAACAACGCTGGAACTTTAAGGGAGGGGATTCAACGAAAAGGGAAATCCTCACCACCCAACTAAGAGGTCGCCTTGTTAACACCCCCCTTGACAGTGTCGACCAGACCATTTACCTTATCCTTCACCCAATCCCACGTATCCTGCCACCATGACGAGCCGCCGCTCTCATTCTTGTCCTCACCATCTTCATTATTAGGAGGTGGCGGGCTTTCCTCCGTTGGCTCGTCAACAACAGGATCTACACCAACCGTTGAGGAAGGCTCGGCGGCCTCGGAGTTCGTTCCCACTGGAAGAATAGACATAGCTTGTGTCGCCGTGCCTTCCTTGGACGCCGTTTCAGTTGGCTCGGGCTCACTCGGCACGGGATCTGCTGGCTCTTCGAAGACCGTGTCAGAGTCATGTTGACCGATGATCTTGAGAGGTAGATGTAACGTTCCGTTGTTTGGCATGGCCTTCATACCAACAGAATCGCAGAGGATATTGTAGACGTTGATATTTTCTATGGAAAGTTAGTGTGCCATCAGGAACATGAAGGGTGGAAATACGTACGGAATACCTCCACCTTGCTGTGAGGTTGGTGGGGGAAAGCGGGGCCACGAGCTACGAAAATAGCTCTCATCAAGGGATGTTCATGATCATACCCGTGGAGTCCTCGTGGATGATAGACAAGATTCTTGGCCTTGCCTTCTTTGATATCGAATTCTTCCCGTTTAACGATCGCCCAGCCAGTCTTTGGAACGATCCATAGCGGCGCAATGCGCTTGTTGTTGCTAAAATGATATCGCTCAGGCATATCCTTGTCCGTTAGATACACATCGAAGTTCGGGTTTCTCTTTCCCTTTTCGGCGGCCTGCTCGTACAAGAGTTGTAGATCATCGGGATTCTTTGGCCGAATGCCAACTAGTGGCCAGCCATCGAGGTGTTCAACCTTGTCGATATCTACTAGGTCTTCAATTTGAATCATTCGGCTGACATCTGTAGTAGCCATACCATGGTCGGAAACGATAATGACGTTGACAATATTGGTAAGATTCCTTTCTTCTAAACCATGGAAGATCTGGTCGAGCATCTTATCAACCTCACTGATCGTCGAGCGGATCTCAGTACTGTTGGGACCATAGGTGTGCCCATCGGAGTCGACGTTAGGGACATAAGCTGCTATGACTTGCGGCCTCGTATCTTTCGGGTCTGCATCCGGATTCTCTAGTCCAGGCTTATCGAGGAACTCAAGAATTCGGTCAACCTTCTTGGTTAACTTCTCCTTTCCATTGTATTTATCTAGAAAGCTGGGGTCCTTTCCCATGACATGTGCTTCACTTCCTGGCCACATGTGGACGGCTGTTCGGACGCCTTGTTCTTCGGCAGTGATCCAAAACGGTTCGCCACCCCACCATTTTGGGTCGAGACTCCTATTAGGATCGGTGTAATAGAACTCAGCCTCCAAGTCCGGATCCCAAAATGTGTTCCCTACTACACCGTGGCTTTCCGGGTATAGACCAGTCGCAAGCGTGTAGTGATTGGGGAACGTCACGGATGGGAACGACGGGGTCATGTAGAGCGGCGAGACACCTTCTTTGATGAAAGCACTCAGCCTCGGTGTGAGGCCTCGGTTAAGAAAGTCCGCTCGGAACCCATCAAGACTGATAATGAGCGTAGTGGGTAAGAATAGAGCAGTACCATTGCTGACCAGCTGAGGAGGACCCGCCTGTTTGCGCGAGGACAGCTTCCAGATAAGAAGACCAACGAAGGCAAGGCCAACGATGATAGTAGCATGTATAAGTAACCATTTCTTCCATTTTCGCTTCTTTGCCGTCTTCGCATCGGATACTTCTATTAATCGCTTACGATCGAGTTCGTCACTATCGTCTCGGTCGCTACTGTCGCCAGTAGAACTTCCATCCTTCATTCCACCTCGTTCCATTTCATACATCAGTTCTCCATCCTCACCATCGCGAGCTTCCTTCAGCAAGCGATCCTTCTTTTCTTTACGTCGCATTCGTCTATTCCTTCGTTTCTCATCACTTAGATCTTCAACTGAACTCCCAGCATCATCTATCGCGCTCGACGATTTCGCGAGGTTATAGCCTCTTAGCATACGTATAGGATTTGGCAGTGCAAGATTGCTCCCTCGTCTCTGAAGGTTACTACCTCTTCTTTCGCGCTCTTGTCGTGCCCTCGAATCAATTATTAGTTGGTCCAACTCTTCCTCTTCCATTAACACCATGCGATCGCGCGCGCGTAACTCTCTACTATTCCGCGCGGCAGCTATCAACTCGTCATCTTCGCTATCGGTGTCTTGATCGCTTCGACTATGAAGGGATATGGCATCGTCGTCGTAACGGACGGGGGACAGGAGGGAACCGTCCCTCTCGACGTTGGTATTTAATGGTAAGAGAGGCATTTCGGTCGGCGACTCGTGCGTGTAGAGATATGTAGAGACGCGTTCATTGCTAGAAATGCTTTAGATGTTGATAAGCACTCATCAGTCGTAAGATGGATTATTGGAATCAAGGGTTAAGTTTCTGAGTGTTAAGCTTAGCAATTCAATTCCAGATCGTACCGGCGCTACAGGAAGATCAAGCCACTATCGCTTTAGTACGGCCACTATAATCAACCAATCACAGTGTGTGGGGGTATCAAAGTAGCCACAAATACTGTATCATCTGGCTCCTGCATGCGACCCTGTTCCCTGACCATGTGGCTGCACTTCTATTTTTGACTCGTTCGTCTCTTCCTCCACAACTCCGTCCGCTCCATTAATTAAGACACTTCCCCATGGAGTTAGTTAGTACTGTAGTCATACCACAGTGGACTAGAATGACTCTACCAAATTCTATGCTAAGGTGCATAAACGGTAACAACTATACAAGCTAGACGTGTATATAATAGTAAACGTTAGATGATCAAACTAACGGGTAGTACCTCATTTAAGAAGACAGGAAACTGTGAAATAGTAATCATCGTGCCAAATAAATTCCGTTAGTGATTTACCAAATTGGGCGATAACTATATGAGTCCATGCCAAGAGTCTTGACAGCCAATCACGTCAACTCCGATCATTTATAAGCCGATCTATTAAGTCAGTGGCTGCGATGGACTCGTGAAGATCGGATATTATAAATTGACCCAGCAGCCCAGAAGGTAATTGTATAACTTCAGCCTATCTTGTCCTAGCTCATTCGTTCCAGACATAGTCTTTCGAATCGTACGTCCATGAAGCCACTCAATGGATCGAGTCTTATCAGCGAGTTCAAGCAAGCCGCTCGCACGTCATTCACGTGATGGTTGACGCTATAGGTGCTGCTTGGTCAGGCTTTATAATTATCTTTCTCGATAATTTAATTCGGAGAGTGAAATTAATGGTATGAGATATATGAGTTTGATTTTCTTGTTATGGTAACTGGTCACTTACTTCGAGATGACAGTGAACGCTCCCACCCCTCATTTGCGCGTGGCCATCATCGGCGGTGGACCCGGCGGGCTCGGAACAGCCATTGCCCTTTCCAAAATCCCAAATGTTACAGTCACTATCTACGAGCAGGCGAGTTTATTAAGGGAAGTAGGCGCTGGTATTAGTATTGCTTCGAATACGTGGAATGTATTGGAGTTACTAGGCGTTGCCGACACGCTGACTAGCGGCCATCCAACATGGACAATTTTAAACATGTAAGCCAATGTGAAGCTGTTCGGGATTGAAACTAAATAATATCAAGGAATGGACGTTCTGGGGAAGAACTTGATCGCCGTGAGAAAGTAAGGGACACAACCAAACGTCCTCCGGTTCGCACCCAGCGGACCAAGCTTCAATCGGCCCTCTTGGCACACGTGAAGCCCGGTGTGATACAACTCTCTAAAAGACTGGCTCGAATGATTGATAAAGGTAGTGAAGGCATTGAGTTACATTTCGAGGATGGTAGTACTGCGACGGCTGATTTACTGGTTGGCGCCGACGGCATTAGATCGGTAAGAATATCCTGTGTTACCCGACTTGAAAGAAATGGCTTCTCATAGGTGTCAAAATAGGTTGTCCGAGATACGGCTTGGCCAGATTACGAAATCAAGTTTACCGGCACAACCATATGGAGGACCCTTTTGCCATGGGATGACGTGAAGGACCTAGACCCTCGTTTTGAGACCACTGGATGGTGGCACACTCCAACCACACATGTCTACTTTTCTCCGGTCGGAGAAGGACTTTGGGAGATAGCCTCCAGGGCGTGGCAAGATCCAGCAATTCATAGTGCGAATAAGAAGAGTTGGGGTGTTCCGGTAGAGAATGCTCACGTCGAGTCGCATTTCACAGTATTACTCATACTGTCCATTGACTGTGCATAGCTAACAAAACGTAGGAATATCTTCCTCAAATTAGGGAAGCACTCGCGCGAGTACCTCCCGGCGGCTGGCGAGAGTTCGCTGCCTTCGCAGGACCTGAGCTTGCTAAACTCACAGCATGGGATAATAAAGTCGCACTGGTAGGGGACTCGTCGCATGCCTTATCGGGGGCTTTCGGTTCGGGAGCGGGGTTCGCGATGGAGGACGGTTTCATTTTGGCGCAAAGTCTCGCGTACTGGAAGAATGATCTCAATAAGGCATTGCCTTTGTTCGATGCCATTCGATTGCCTTATTACTCGCGGATGTATGCACATCTTGCTTCCGAGGCTGACCGACGTGCTGTAAAGCTAAAGTCCTTGGGGAACCCATCATTTGACGAGCGTGTCAAAAATAAGATTATTACAGATGGTGGGAAAGACATGTCATGGATCTACACGCATGATATTGGTGCCGTTTGGAAGGAATGGGTTAAGCGTCTTGAAGAAGCTCACTAAGGCAGGAAGATCCCCTTAACTAATTGGTACCATGCGGCAGTTATCATCCTATCTAGCATAGAAAAACGATAATTTTACCTAGGATACCACAGCCCTTTGGTGAGGATAGTGTGCTGCACTTCCGATCGCTCCTGGACTCCAAGATAGGGAAGTTCATATAAAAGAACGGCCGCGAAAATGTGCCACCTACATTCATTCATCAAATTCAAGCAACACTTATAACCGGAAGTCATATACAACCCAAGTTTGATGGCCCAGAATTTTATTACCGCTAACATGCTTCTCAGCATTATTTTCTCCTTCTCTGCTCTCGCAGTTATATGTAACATGATCGTGCTTCTTCAAAGCTCTAACAATACGCCTTATAACAACCTTGCTCTTCCGAACCTCAAACCTCGGGACGATAATGATTATGATTGCAGCGGAAGCATCATGTGCCCTACCTTGAAAGTCCAAGCTTGCGACGTGGCCATCAACACATTTCTCATTCGAGATGATAATCTTACATACGGGGCAACTGGGTACGTCAATTCACAATAGATACATAAGGACTCATATGGAGTCCTGTTTATTGACGTGTCCACAGAAGCGGTAAACCACACAAAGGAGTATGCCACGGCATCGGTACCGACTTCGGCTGCGCCATCTTCGTGCAAGGACGAGCCAACTGTACTAGATCTGGCAACGATATGTGGTGGGACTACCAGGAAATTCGCGACCATCATTGTCATCACTGCGGACATAAGCACTGGAGCAGCGGATGCACGACGACAATTGATTATAAACCGCAGTGCGATTTGGTTCAATGAGAAATGGGTCTGGTGTTTATTTTAATTTGTATAGAACGAGAGTTGGGTGTCATGGGTGCAATGTTTTGAGGCTCGTGCTTGGGCGATTCGCTGAGAATTGGCTGGAGTTTGATACGTGGGTATTCGAGTACAAGTCTTCTTACGAAGTAGCATGAGTTGTTTAGATTAAATTCAAACATAACTCTCTCTGCTGTAGCTTTTTTTTCCTTTTCTACGCGATATCGACGACATATCGCGCGTCAATAACGCCCAACTCACGGGAGTAATCGAGTGTGGGTCGCGTTTGACCAATCAGGAGCAACACTCTGATGAAAGCTCTCAGGGGTATCACGTGACCCAACACTGATATGTTGTTCGTCGCCCCCTATATAATATAATATATAGGACTGATTACTTACGATGTATCGGCACAAGTATCGCTAGTACCGCGTCATTGCCGCTTTTCAAAGGAATGGCTTATATTATTTGAATAATCCCACTTACCCCTTTCAGTATTCGTATCGTCATTGTGATGTAAGTTCCCAAAAACCGGAAGTGACATCATTCAGGAACTTGATTGTTAGCCCTGTAAATAGTGCTTCGCTTCCTAAACTCAATTTCGTATTTCGAAGGTAATTCTATTCTATTAGGACTTGACTATCATAAAATGGTAACGACTCGTTCACAAAACAAAGGCCAGGGGCCAGCCTTGGGCGAAAAACGGTCTCATAGCGAAGCAAGGTCCACTAAAACCCAGAAGCCGAATGCGAAACAGCAAAAGATGGAATCTTTAAATAATAAAGAAGCAAGTGGAAAGAATGATGCCGACGAGAAACCCACCAGTGCCAAAACAAAACAACCAGGATCCAAAATTGAACAACTCATATCTCAATATGGAGAGCTGCCACTTAGCCAGACGGATTTATCCGAACCAGATAAACCAACACCTGATACAGCCTTAGCGTTACTTTTGAACGCCATGTTATCGTCATCGAGAATTTCGCATGCGTTAGCTGCGAAGACTGTGTCGTTAGTAATCAAAGCGGGCTATCATAAACTCGATGGTTTAAAGAAAAGTAGCTGGGAGGAAAAGACGGAGGTTCTCACCGAGGGCGGATATACGCACTATAGGTATATGTTATGAAGAAATGTGCAATAGAATTAACACTAACTATTGACGTAGGGAAAAGACGGCAACTATGATGGGTGACCTCGCTCAATTGATTGAAGATAAGTACGGTGAGTCTCAGAATCCTGGAATTTAGCCCATCTCAATCCTAATGAGCAACATGTGGTGATATAGAGGGCGACCTAAACACGATTCCTCAACTTGCTTCCGAGAACCCGACGAAAATCCGGGCTGAGCTCAAAAATATCAAGGGCTTAGGGGACATCGGCATTAATATTTTCTTTGATACTGCGCAACATATCTGGCCTTGCCTAGCGCCATTCATAGACCCAAGGAGCTTGAAGACGGCGGAAGCGATTGGGATTGGGGCGGATGTGGATACCTTGTGGCAAGAGGTTTCCGAAGACCCTGAGCTGTTGTGCAGATTAGCTGCTGCACTGACGAAGTTGAGACTAGATGGGAGGACGAACGAATTTCAAGGATGAAAGAGAGCTTTGATTAGTTTCCCCCCTGAGCTTTGATTTTACCTAGGTAATTCAATATCTCTGTCTATCGAGCTTCCTTCACCAAACATCTCAATCAATTAATCCACCAAAATAAAGGATCTAGTTTGTTTAGGCCCTAATGAATGCCCACCGGGATGGTAGGTCTCTATTCACTATACATGGGGTATCACTGTAGGTTATGTTAGTAGTGTTGAAAGGTAAAGTAGAAAATTACTTACTCTGAACCCACCCAGGAGACCAGTAGACTCCGATTGGTACATTTCGTAAGCTAATGAAGGCTTCGATAACAATATACGCTCGTGCAGCAAGGGCACAGATCGAAGAAGCCGTAAGAATCAGTACGAAAGTCACATTATCTAGCTCATTAAACGAATATTCTTCTCCACGTGATTTCGTCGCGATCTTGTCAAACCCAGCAATAACGTGGTAGATGAGCTCCATAAACGGATACGTCCCAGCGATTATGAAGCAGGAGATCATCCATACCAATCGCTCAGGATTGGAAGGGAAGCGGTAGTTCCATGCCGTTAAATGGATCCCACCATATAATAGGGGGAATAGGAGGCCCAATGAGCGCATAAGCCATGTGAACGAGCTGACACGGAGCGCTTTTGAGACATCGCGCCGAAGAAAATAAACAAAGCCGTCAGTGGACATATCTCTTTGCTCTTGAAATACCGGGTTACTCGCCGTCTCTTCCTTTGGATCGAAATCGTCGTTCGATTTGATTAACAGCCCTAAAGGAAATGATTCGTCGGCTGATATGGGTCCACGAATTTCATTTATCGCAGCTACGACCCTCTGAAGCATCAAGTACTCCCCGCGATACAATTGGCGAGTTTGGTAGAAACAGATCCCGCAAGATACGACCTCAGCTGGCTGTAATTGTACTGGAAGAGCTTCTTCTCGTAGAGGGACGATCGGAAGAATATATCCATCAGGTATATCTATTGATGAGTGGCTACGAAAAGCTTCATCTAGAGAGGCGATAGAAATATGCTTATCTGTTGGTGCTTGATGGGGTGTTAATAGTTTGGGCTTAGTCTCTTCGGACATGGTCGGGAAATCGTATTCAAACAGGAGAAGGCTTAGAAAGTTACGGAGACTATCGTTCTTAGAGAGGTCTAAGAACTCGGGGGTTTGCACTTCTAGTGGTTTCTAGGCCGTGACCAGTTATTAGCGCTCTCTTATAAAGACAGGTAATGTAAGGCTTACCTCAAACCAACAAATATACAATATCAATGCGCAGACAACGTGTATCATAGTATGAACTTCCAATAGTGCTAGAGGGAGACCATATAGTTTTCTAGCAATACACTGCGTAACCATCCATGTAACTTGTAGAAGAACTAAGGCCTTCTGTATGGCGTCAGCTTTGCTTCTATCTTCGATATCTTTGCGAGCTATGTCGATGAAGACGCCTTCCCTAGCAAGAGCAGCCACAGCTTCGACTGATAAGATTCTGATATAGTTGGACGCATAAGGTGTATCAACCCATGGGCCATCCTCTTCAATATCTTCGTATGAAACTCTCAAACCTCCCATAACGACAAAAAACGCATAATACATATCGAATTTTGTGTCATCCTGTTCCCTATTAATTTATGATGCAAAATCACTTCGTGTGCAATGCGTTACCTCGTCTTCACCATAGCTCCTCTTTTTACTCTTAGACTCGTTTAGCTCTCTGACAAGCCATCGTGCCTCGAGATATTGGGAAAATGCCATGCATATGACAACTTCTGGGGCAATGAGCGCAAGCATGACCCATTTGACTTTAAGAATTATACGTTGCCCGCGGTTAGTTTCTACTTTAATATTCAAATGGAGAGCTGTATAAATGCAAGCTGTAAGAGTCACAATACAACTCCATAGAATGTCCGATGTGCTTCGGATGTTCTGAGAAGAAACCCAAGCCGGGGCGATCGCCGTCTGTAAGGCCGTCAAATTATTCTTGTGATCCTCAATTTCAATGCGGATTACTTCCGCAGAATTTGTCGCCATAGCTATCTGGTATCGAAAAAATAAAGAAAGGAGACAAAGGCCGGGATAAGGCGTAACCCAATTAAAGGTATGAATCGACATCGTGCAACAACACAGGGTTGAATTGATTAGGCGGGTATTTGGTAAGGTAAGAAATATGGCCTTAATTGATATTGCAGCGGCCAACACAGGAGGGAGTCTTATAAAGCACGTTTTAGATAGGGAAGGAAACATTATATCGAACCCGACCACTTACATTTATTTAATTTTTTACTTCTGCTGGCCTCCCAGTTTTGTTCCTAGGAAGGCTTGAGACGTGTCTTCAGCTCGCCAACTAAGTCCCCATGGGGACCAATCACCACTCCCCACTGTATGTGCCTTTATATCTTGCGTTGCTGCCCAACATCTAAATCGATGGAATAGGGGGATACACTTACTTAAAATTCTCCACATTGCCATATCATAAATATGATAAGCTTAGGTACACATGTCATTATGAAAAATCCGGGCCAAAGCCCCCCTGAAATCCCGTGATCAGGTATTGGATATTATGAACTGTAAAGAACAAGGTACATGCTTCGCCTACTCAAGCAATGCGATCGGCATCCCTGGTGACACCCAGTCCCCTTTTTGTCGGAATTAAATCTCGTCGACGAGTACGCACATCGCCATCACCGCTGGGACAAAATAAGAGTCCACACGTCTCGTTCTGTCTTCTGGGTCTCTCGCCATGCTGCTTTTTGCGCCGTAGTGGGGCAGAGGAGTCTATTCTAGTTGGAACTCCTCTGTTATCATCGGTCTATTCGTTGGGTTTGCAGTTAGTATCATCGTATTTGTGTACTAGCAACTATACTTTCAATAAAACGCACTCATATCGCCCCGACTATTTCGAGGGTGCATCAACTCCTTTTTCGTTAACGGGCCTTCTAAAATCATCGTCTATTGGCTGCCGATCTGGTTTCAAGCTTTTCTTGGATCTACCCCGACCTAGAGTGGTATTAACTACCTGCCTACTATGATATCTGACGTTCTCGCCTCTTTCATAGGGTCGGCTATTACCATGCAACTGGGATGTTGGAATCCCCTTTTGCTACTGGCAGAAGCTTTTGTGTGTATTGGAGGGGGGCTTCTTAGCACCATCTACCCGGGGATATCTAGTAGGCTCTGGATCAGGTGTCAGATGTTTGGAGGGATTGACTATTCCCCAGCAGGTAATTTGGTGAGTCGCATCGTGCATTTGAGCCTAGATTGCGCGGATCTGCTAGTTCCAACATGAACCTGGGGCTGGGCACATTTAGGGATGCAAGCACCGCTGCCAAAAGAGCTTGTTCCTACAGGAGCCGCAACACTCCTGATATATGCACCAGCTGTTCCATATTTCTTGCAGTAGGGCAAGTTGATTTTAAGTCATTGCTCAGGGCTAATCTTGCCCCTGTTTTATCGTCTGATATCATCGATGCCGTCATATCGGTTGGTGCAACCGATGTTGCGTCGGTTGTTGATAGCGAGGAGCTCTCTCGTCATTCAAGCATACAGAAAAGCCATGACACAGGTGCTTGTGAATTTTGATATCCATTGAAAACACATATTTTGCAAAGCTAATAGCTTTAAATAGTATGTTACCGATGGCGCGCCCGCTATCTCGTTCATTTTAGTAGCTTGCTGTAGATGGACGTGATGGCTAGGGATCTGAAAATGGTATCCCCTATGCACATGCGACCCATAAATTGGGCTGTCCTAATTCCTATTCTTTGAAACTACATAGTATGGTTAGATTACGCGATAATATGCGATTCTGAAAATACTAATATTACTAGATGGCTTTTGTTCAATATGCTATGGATTCACACTTACAATTAGCAATCCAGACGACATGACGACATTCTGTAAATTCGGTGTACAAAATAACCCCCGGAAAAAATCACGTGTCGATCAAATAACTGTTATGTAAGAGGGTCGGCAATAGTGAAGCCAAGATTTTAAGCCGTTTCGAGGATGCTCCGGGCGGCGAAATCGAGAAGAGAGCGGAGACGGATTGAGAATCCCCGCATGGCATAAAGAAGAAAAAGATGAGTTTAATAATGTATATATTGATGCCCAGAAAATTACAGCATAAGACCCGGTCTTGGCGTCGGTAGTCATCGTCATAGGGAAAACGTCGTGCTAGATTGGGGTAGGAATGCCATGCCGGACTTTTGCTAAATTTGTCGAGTCGACGTATGGAGATTGACGGTATAGGGGGGTAGGTGACAGGGACAAGAGATTGCTCGAGTCCTCCCGTTTCTTATATACCTACCTACCCCGGGGGACCAAGAGTTTCTATACGATGTGAGTTACTTAACTTTTGATCGTCTAGGAACATAATACACTGGGAAGCAAAGGCTGCCCCCAAAATGAGACTTTCTATCACCTGCGCTCTGGCGTTGGCGGCCGGTGCTTTGGCCGTCCCATCGCAACAGCTAGAGACTCGCCAGCAACCATTCAAGTCGGAACCCATCACCGACTTTGCCGAGCCGTGGGCGTTCGCTTTCCTGCCCGATGACAAGATCCTCGTCACTGAGAGACGAGGCAACCTGCGTCTCCTCGACCCGACCACCAAGGCCAAGGGTTCCATCACCGGTGTGCCCACCGTCGCCTACGGTGGTCAGGGTGGTCTACACGATGTCGCCTTGCACCCCAACTACACCGAGAACAGTATTATATATCTCAGCTACGCTGAAAGCGGCTCTGGAGGTGCAGGTGGCGCAGTCGCGCGGGCCAAGTTAACGTTAGACACCAACGGCGGCGGTGCGCTGTCCGGCCTCGAGGTCATTTGGCGCCACTCGTCGAAAGCCTCTGGTGGACTCCAGTTCGCCTGCCGCCTGCTCTTCGGCCCGGACGGTGCTCTGTGGATCTCGTCCGGTGAGATCAACCAGATGACCCCGGCCCAGGACATGACCAGCAACCTCGGCAAGGTGATCAGGCTATACGACAACGGCACCGCCTACGCAGGCAACCCATTCGCTAGCCAAGGCGCTATCCAGTCGCAGATCTGGTCGCTGGGCCACCGCAACCCACTGGGCATTGACTGGGACGCCCAAGGACGTCTCTGGGAAGTCGAGATGGGACCTATGGGCGGCGACGAGCTTAACCTGATCAAGTCAGGCGCCAACTACGGCTGGCCAGTTGTATGCGAAGGCCGCCACTACGACGGACGAACGATTCCCAAGCACAGCACACGCCCCGACATTGAGGCGCCCAAGGCTTTCTGGGTCCCCGTTATCTCCCCGGCCGGCTTGATCATCTACAAGGGCAGCCTATTTTCCAGCTGGACGGGCAATGCCATCATCACTGGTCTCAGCTCACAATCAATTGTGCGCGCGGAGATCACTGGTGACACAGCGAAGGAAGCTCAGCGTATCTCAATGGGTAAGCGCATGCGTGGTATCCGAGAGGGCAAGGACGGCGCCATCTGGGTGATCGAGGATGGTCAAGGCGGTCGGCTCTTGAAGCTTACCCCGAACTAAACTTGCGTTAGAGGGTTGGGACCGAATGTATATAGGGTAGATTACACTGTCGTTCTTACGCGTTATAAAATTGGCGCATTTTACCTTGCAACCTGTCGGTAGATAGCAACTCATCCTCTTTATCAAGCTTGCCAACTGTTCCAAGTGCCTTAGTTTCAGCAAAAGAAAATAATCTAGGGCGTGCGAAAGACGAGCCAGACAACCCCACACACCTTTCCAATAGCGGTACCAACGTGGTACTTAAGTTGGGATAGGTGAACATGTACGTATACCTTTTGTATTCAGGTACAAAAGTATTGGTAAAGAGTACATCGTATCCTGCAGCCTTCTTCCTTCCAGACACTCCCCGTGCGTGCATGAGGCACCACAGGAGATATCCTGAAGGTCCCGCTTGAGTGTGGTTGCACGACGTTTTGTGTTGCCTGGTTTAAAAAGCAATCCCCAGGTCCGCTTCCAAAGCTCTCACAAAGCCACAAAGCCACCACATCAACATAGCGCTACCTATTTGTTCCCTCGACTATTGATCGATGTACCAAACAAGTCCTTCGCGTCCTTGGCATTTTGGAAGGTTGGCTTGACGGCTTGTGGGCAATAGATGACCGTTCCCTAGAACGACAAGGTAGATACCCCACCTCACTCGATGTGCTCAAGCCGAACCAGCTCGATGGCTTTCCCAATGAGCCCCCTACTTCACGTAACAGGCACTATGCTCATACTCTACGGTATCAGATACCGACGACTCGCCTCGGTAGGCAGTTATCCAAAGAGGCCTGTATTACGTTCGTGACGCTTGCGTAGGGGTTGCTTGAAAGCATGGTCGAGGACGGAGTTTTAACAGCTGCGGGGATGCGGTATCATGCCTCTCTAAAAAGAAAAACTGCTGACTGTGTAAAGAATTACAAACCATACTGTACGGATTTCCCTCTTATAGCACAGTATTCAATTATGATACTGTATAGCCTCGCACGGTAGGCACTAATCTTGGCATCTGTCTAAAATGTACCTAGGTACCCAGGTACTTCGAGAATTATCCTATCCCGACTCTCATTGTGAAGAGAATGTGGCTGGCTTATCGAATATTTACTTGAGAGCATCATGATACATTTCCATCCTGACCAGCAGCACCAGCTGAGGCGGGCCTGCGACAGGTGTCATCGATCTAAATTAAAATGCTTCAGGGATCATGATGAACCATGTCAGCGCTGTCTTCGCGCCAACGTTCGCTGCGTTTCTAGTCCCCCAGTTACATCACGACGCCAGACCCAGGATGTGATATCCGAATTAGACCGCCAACCACCAACACAGCCTATTGCCACCACTTCCCATTTACCAACGGAAACGCTTAATCTCAATGAGACTGATATAGATGCCAATGTCGCAAGTTGGTGGAGAGGTCGCAATACGGGCGATATAGCCAATTTCTCCTCGGGGACGGCTGTTACATCTATTCCAATTGATCGACCATCTTTATCAGTGATCGCAACTCATATGGATGTCGATTCCGGCCTATTTCAGACCAATGACGGCACTTCACGTTCAAGAGATATATACGAGCCACTGCCGCCTACGAGTTCGATAACAGGAAATTCCGGGCCGGGTCCACCAATTGTTACTGAGAGAATATCAGCCACCTCGGGGTCCAATTGCAATGTCATAGACTTACTCCAGAAGCTGTCGGAGTTGAGTATTGACTTGATGCGCCATTTGGATATGATTCCCAATGTTGCAATAATTGACCGACCTCAACCGGAAGATGAGAAACTATTCGACATAGACCAGACTCTCCATATGTCTCAACTATTTATAGACCTAACGAATGACATTTGTTCAAGATTACCGCCTTCAAGTAAGGCTACTTCTAGGCAAATAGTCGAGGCGGAACAATCAACCTTTTCTCTAGACCCGGCCTCAGAACTACTCGTCTTTTCATGTTATCTTCGCTTATTAGAAACTTACGACAAGATCCTCCGACAAATGCGAGTTTCCATCACCCATAAAACTCCGAACGGCGATATCCAGTACCCGTTTCGGATGCCGGACTTTACTATCGGCTCATTCTCCCTACCTTCAACAACTGAAACTCAATCGATTCTCCTGATCAACCTTATGGATAGGATGGTGACAAGAGCAAGGGAACTTGTCGCGGAGATGTCGTCGCCGAAACATACCTCCGGATATCGGGGTGATTTTGAATCATATGGGGGTGTAACCTTAGTCATTGTACCTGATCTGGCTCTTAAAGCAATTCGTGTTAGGGAAGACGCGATATCGCGCTTAGTCGAGGACCTGAAGAAGTCTATTCTAAGACCTGGGCCATCATGAGGAAAAATTCTGTGTTTTGTACAAGTTTAGGTATCTAGTTCATACAGCATTATGAGCGATTCATAAATCATCTCACATAGAATTTCAATGGGCTCAACTTGGGCATTCATCATGAAGATGCTTCATCTCCTATACCTCCTGCAGACATACGCCTCAAGCTTCAGCACTTGAATTCTAGCTTATCTATGAATCTATCCCCTATTTCGTTCGTTACGTAGGGATAGGATATTTGTCAGCGGCGGTGATTAATGCGGGCCACTATCGGCGAGTTTCCTTAATAGGAAAGCTGTCGGCGCGCCGATAGGTGGGCCTGATGAGTAACATTCACTGTGCCTTTCTTTCTATCAGTACCTGTAGGGGAATAGAATAAAAATGGGTTTGGGATGATATATATACTTGTACCTAGGTAGGTATAGATTCGGTGGGTTTTGCTTTGGATAGTGGCCTTATTCATTCGAAGTAAATTCAGGTTATATGCTATAAGACCTGGTTTGAATTGGTTGTTGTACTGGCCGGTTCGCACAAAACCCCTTGCCATCTAACGATACCTCGAAAATGAGTAACGACGCGCAGGGCGACGAAAATTCAGAGGGGCAGGCTATGCCTACTCATAATCATAATAGCCCATCGCATGCTACACCTAAAGGATGGAGGTTCTGGACGGTGTTCTCGGCCATCTGCTTCACAACCATCCTAGCAGCCATCGAATCAACCGTAACATCCACAGCTCTCCCATTCATCGTACACGAATTAGACGCTGGAGATTTATATGTTTGGTTCGTGAACGCGTATTTTTTGACGAGGTATGGACTCTACCCCTATCCGACTACCTTCTTGAGTACCTACTTATGGTACCAATGAACCCACTCTAACGTCTCCACTTTTCAGCACTGCGTTCCTCCCGCTACTCGGACAAATGTGCGATTTATTCGGCCGACGATGGATGATGATAACGGTTGTGAGCCTCTTTGCACTCGGTAGCGGTATTAGTGGTGGGGCAAGAAACGCCACCATGATGATTGCTGGACGAGCAGTGCAAGGCATAGGGGGCGGTGGAATTAACCTCCTCATCGAATTAATCGTTTCCGATATTACCAATCTACGCCAACGTGGTGCATACATGGGCATCGTATTTGGTGTATTTTCATTGGGGACTGCTATTGGACCTTTGGTCGGCGGCGCAATTGTCGATGGCACCACATGGAGATGGGTAGGCGTTCGAATTATTATCTATGCCAATTTTGAACACGATCGCTAATATGACGGTAAATTACAGGTGTTTTATATCAATCTTCCAGTCTCCGGCGTAGCCTTGCTGTTGCACATATTATTCCTTCGAGTCAATTACGACAGGAAAACTCCGATACTTGAAAGACTGAAAAGAATCGATTACGTGGGAACCGCTATTCTCGTCGCTAGTGTTGTTGCCGTCCTCATAGCCCTGTCGTGGGGAGGGACGCGGTACGAATGGTCGTCATACCAAATCCTTGTACCCCTATTTCTAGGCGCCTTTGGGTTGGTTCTTTTCCACCTGTATGAAGGAGCGCCGTGGGTTAGGGACTATCCAACGTTACCGGAACGAGTCTTCAAGCGTCGTGCACCCGCTGCGGCTTTAATAATTGCTTTTATCAATTTTGTGTGCCTATTTTGGGTCATATACTTTCTCCCCGTATACTTCCAGGCCGTCGTCGGTGTTTCTCCGACCATATCGGGTGTCGCACTGTTACCCACTGTTCTGTTATCCGTCGTTACAGGTGCTATAGCCGGCGTTGTCTTAACGAAAACCGGGATATACCGACCGTTACACATTGTCGCATTCGCGTTAATCGTGTTAGGCTTCGGGCTTTTTTCTCGCTTCAATCAAAATACTTCCCGAGCAGAATGGGTTGCTATTCAAATCATTCCGGCTGTTGGTTTGGGTATCATGATGTCTACCAATCTCCCTGCGGTACAGGCTGATCTTCCGGAGTCCGATACCGCGGCAGCCACTGCCGCTTTCGCATTCATGCGTGCATATGGTTCTATATGGGGTGTCTCGATTCCGGCTGCTATCTTCAACGCCAAGTTCGAGGCGGAATCCTGGCGCATTAACGATACACAGATACAAAGTCAGCTATCCAGCGGGAATGCATACTCATATGCTAACGCCGACTTTGTCCGAAGCTTCCCGGAACCTCAACGCCACCGCGTCATCGATGTCTACTCTCGCAGTTTGCAGTTGGCATGGCTAGTAGGTCTTGGGTTTGCGTTATTGGGCTTTCTGCTCTGTTTCTTGGAGAAGGAAATTGTGCTAAGAACAGATCTGGAGACGAAGTTCGGGTTAGAAGAGAAAAAGAGTAGCAGTGGCTTGGAAAGTGGCCATAATAATCAGCCCACGGCAAAGGCTTGATAGCCATTGAATCATATTTTTGTATCTCAAATTTTACCTTCCTGATGTTAACGGGCGACGATCTCCGAGCCAAAGTGTCTGGTTTAGATTAGGATTGCTTTTCTTTCTTTTCTTGAGATAAAGGGGCGCGAAAATAATGGACGTAACCCCAACCACCTAAATAAATACCTAGGTACCTCATGTATACCTAATGCACCCTGCCGAATCGCGTTCTCCTTGAGCAAATATTCCGTTCTCTCTCTTTTTCTCTCTCGGTGTAGAAAGGTGACCACCGAGATTTCTTACTTAATAAGTCAACCGACGCGGTAGGTAATGTTATTACGATCCTCCTGTGGGATTAAAACAAGAATGTTCGGCAGGCGACTTCGTATAAGTCGTATCCGGGGTACCTCAGGTAAGACTACATGGTTGGAGATCCGTTCACTACCCGTTAATTCTAACACCATTGCTTTTTTTATTCTTGATTTTTAGGGGCTTCGGATACCTACAGTTGCCTAGCGCCATGAACCATCCAATCGGATTTTCTGTTGATTGCGTAACGTACGGACTCGACGGGCTATGTTAACGAGTGATGACTGAATGTCGACAGAAGATCCAACAGAACGCACTTTTCGTATCCAAATGGAAAAGAACTTTTGTACGAGAGAGCGGCTAGTATAGTAAGACGGAGGTGATTGTTAAATAATCAATCGCGAAATGAGATCATGAAGCGATCGCATTCAGACCCTTGTTAGCTGAGGCTGAGCTGATCCTTTACTCCTCAGGTACCATCCTTCATTACTTAAGCGAGAGTAAGAATCAAATCCGAAAACCCGAGGAGAAACTCCGTGGAGGAAATTGATGCGAATGCGAGCCTAGCCTGGACATTCAGCTGAGGCCCCAGAGCGTTGGCCATGGCGTCTACCCCACCGAGCTCTGTCATTCCACTCCATTTCCTTCACCATTTGGGACAAACCACATCATCGTCTGGGGCTCTGGGCTAAAAGCGAGCAATGCGAGGATAGCTCACTACCTATCTCAGCTATAGCGCAGGGGTCTTTTCCTGAAAAGAGACAGAGCTTAGCTTCTCTGGTGCCAACAGACGTGGCTCAGTCTTCTGCTTTCGTCGTTTTCATCGTATTTTCGGTCCCATCACGCGTGCGGCACAGCAAACCTTGTCTTCTTCAACAACATCATGATGGGAAGTTGATATATGAATCCTAGAGAATCCCCTGCAGATACCTGGTGTGAGTTCTCCATGATAACCTAATTAGCCCAGATCCTTACTGACAGCACCATGCCAGTTTCACTGAGATCTTTTCTTATTCTCGCAAGCGTCTTCGTTTGCGGAGACGCCTTCTCTAAGCCTTCGAGGAGAGACAATGGGCCAGGGACATGCAAAACCGATCCTAGCTCTGCTGAATGGCCATCCGATGATGAGTGGGCCAAGTTGAATGAGACTACCGGTGGGCAGCTTCTTAAGGCGGTTGCCCCAGGATCCGTTTGCCATCCTGAACAGCCCGACTACAACCCCGACCAATGTGCGACTGTGACTACAGGATGGACTACATACGATTTCCATCAAAATGATCCTATCTCCAATATGTGGGAGCAGTATAATAATGATACGTGCCTTCCCGACCCGAATACTCCATGCAGTCCTGATGGATATCCTGCCTATGTCGTGAATGCAACAAGCGCAGATATCGTCAAATTGGGTATCGATTTCGGTAAGTTTTCGTTAAATCTTCCGATTCAGCGCGGCGAAGCTAGTTGGCTAATGATACATCATAGCACGTACGCATAATATCCGAGTTGTGATAAAAAGCACGGGCCATGATTATCAGGGCAGGTCACAAGCCCCCGGCGCTTTGTCCATATGGGTTCGTCACCTGCAAAGCATAGAAGCTCATACCGGATTTCAGCCCCAGGGATGCGACTTCATGATTGATGGTCCGGCCGTAACGGTAGGAGGCGGTTCACAACTTATCGACATATATAGAGAATTGGACAAGATTAATCAAACAGTAGTCGGCGGAAATGGAGCATCTGTTAGCGTCGGCGGCTATGTAACTGGTGGTGGCCATTCTATTCTTGCCCCTCGGTATGGGCTCGCTGCGGATCAAGTCCTAGAAGTGGAAGTTGTGACACCTTCGGGAGACATTGTTGTGGCGAATGAATGTCAAAATCAGGACCTGTTCTGGGCCACGCGAGGAGTAAGTTAACACGGTTGATGATAAAGAGCAGATAAACTTACAATGAATAATTTAGGGCGGCGGATCAACTTTTGGAGTCATGACTTCAGTCACGATGACCACACATCCCTCACCACAAGTGGTAGGGTTGGCCATAGGTTTACTTGCATCCGACCTCAACGCTCCGTACGTATGGGACATGGTAGCATATCTGCTTTCGCAATTCCCCTATCTCGATTCCAAAGGAGTGTCGGGATACAGTTACTTAACGGGCAATTTTACCTACCCTGGTGCCCCGTTCAGCGGAGCCGGGATGGGAGCCGCGTTCGTCATCCAAGACACACAAAACACGGATGATATGGTTTCTATATGGGCCCCGATTCTAGACCACGTTAACAAGACATGGCCGGATGTAACACAGACTTTTATTCCTCAGGCCTATCCATCTTTCTATGCGTGGTTTGAAGAAAATTACGATAAGCTCAGCGCAGGAAGCGATATCTGGGTCGGATCTCATCTTTTGAGCGCTGATGCTTTGACTAGCAATCAAACTGCTGTGGCCGAGGCTTTCAAGATTTTTGATGGTACTGCTTATCTGGTAGCTGGTGAGGGTGTCAAGAACGCGAAGCCGAGAGGTGGCAGCAATGCCGTAAATCCATCATGGAGAAACACTCTTGTCCACACTAGTGAGTATACGTAATACCTTTATTCAATTTGAATTGTGACTGACTTTATATCCCTACCTAAAGCTACCGCGGTGGTATTCTCACCACTCAATCACACCGCCAAGGAAGAAGCTCTTGTCCAGGTCAATGCCATAACAGAGCCACTAAGGCAATTGGATCCTGGAATGGGAGCTTATGTGAATGAGGTATTTGGCAAAACTTTTCAACCTTTAGGCAAGATATATCAACTAACGATAGATACAGAACAACCCCGGCGAACCAGACTGGCAACACAGCTTTTGGGGAGAAAATTATGAGCGCCTACTTCAGATCAAGCGAACAATAGATCCGGACGACGTGCTTTGGTGTAATCCCTGCGTGGGCAATGACCGTTGGAAGGAAAACGGGTACCAACTGTGCCGCGTTGACTCCACCGAGGGGTAGATTCCAATTCAGGGGTAACGAATTGATCGAAATAATGCCAGTGCACAATACCGCTAATAATGCAATTCATTCAACAAACTAGAGCTACTTTTTTTCCTCATCATATACAGTTTATTTCTCGGCCAGTTACTTAGACTTGGGCGGCAGCTTTTCTAGCACTACATTGTCACCCGTGATCTCAAAATCCCACGCAGCACGGTCGTCAATGTCTAATACTAGCTTATACTTCGCCGGCCAAAGCGTCAAGGCACCATCTGCATCACTGCGCGAAATCGCACCGAGCTTAAGGTCAATTGTTGCCGTTGCCGTATCACCAGGCTTGATGTCGTGAATCCGGGTGAACCCTACCAGGCTCTTAAGAGGGTATGGCTCAGGACCATACTCGCCTTTAAGAAATGCTAGAACGACATAGTCGGACGTGACATTACCCGTGTTCGCGACGGAAACAGGTAGTGACGTGAAAGGTGCCAAATCAGGGTAATTGCTTGAAGCAACAGGGCCAGTCTTCGTAAATGAGACATTTGCCGTAAGATCCGCAGCCGAGAATGTGGTAGGGAGGTCCGCCGGTAATGAGACTTTGAAGTCAGTATAGTGAAGGCCATGGCCGAATGGAAACACCGGCTCTTTCGAGTACCATTTGTAAGTTCGCCTAAGTGGTGCTGTCAGCCGAACCCTAGGCAATACCACAGTCACAATATGAAGGAACAGGTTTCACTTACCCAGGATTTCCAGTACCAGAGCGCAAGTTCATATCCGTCATCTGGACCTGATTGACATAATCACCAGGGTACTGCGTCACCGGCAATCTACCCGCTGGCGCTTTCTCTCCAGTCAGAATGCTCACTATAGCCGCACCTCCATCTTGTCCCGGATACCCAGCCCACAATAGCGCATCAGCACCCGTTGGAGCAGCAATGTCCGTACTATCAAGCATAGTACCCATATGCACTACGATAAACGGCTTTATACCTTTCGCCGCCGCCAGCTGCTTAATCAAGGGGATCTGCTGTCCCGGCCAAGTAATTTGCTCTCTATCGCGATCTTCTGCCTCGACGCTTGTATCAATACCACCAACAAATACCACAGCATCCGCAGCCTTAGCTGCGCTTAGCGCTGCTGAGAATCCCGAATTCGATGACCCTGTAATAGCGCACCCTTGCGAATTGGTAACAGTGTAACCCGCAGCCTTGAACGCCGACACCACTGTCGATATGCTCTGTGCAATACCATAATAGTTCCCCTGCATCTGTGTCGTCGCCGTTCCAAGTGGTCCAATTACAGCAATATTTTTAATCGATTTAGCGAGCGGCAAAGCGCTACCATTGTTCTTCAAGAGGACAAGTCCTTCCTGCGCAGCAAGTAATGCAAGAGCTTTAGCCTCGGGCTTAGCGACCGCATCCCATCCAAGTTGACGGTACGGCTGCTGAGCTGGCGGGTCGAACCAGCCTAGGCGAACCATCGAAGCGTATCGTCGGATAAGCGAGCGATCGAGTACGGTGTCGTTGAAAAGCTTTGAGTTATACGCCGAGGGCAAGTTCTGGGGCCAGAACTGACCACAGTCGAGGTCGGTGCCAGCGTTCAGACTAGCGGCCGCGGCTCCAGCTGCTGAGGAGCCATATCGATGGTCCGTCCATACATTCTGCAGCGCGTCGCAGTCGGCTGTGACCCAACGGTCCTCGCTGGTGAAGCCATATGATCCACGTAGCACGTCTTGTAATAGCCAAGGGTCGGCGCAGGTCGGGACGCCGTTGACGGCGTTGTAGCTGCACATGGCCGATTGCGCGTTGGCGTCACGGATACATGCGCGGAAAGGTTGTAGGTAGTAATCCTGCAGGTCCTGGTTGGTGATTTTAGCATCGAAGGCATACCGCTTGTTTCCCTTCCAGTTCTCCATATCGTAACCGGCATAATGTTTACACGTCGCAGCTAGCTTATAGTAAGGATCCGCCTTAAGACCACCTTGCAAGCCTGGAATCAACTGCATCACATACTGGCTCATGTGATAAGGGTCTTCCGAAGGCACCTCCTGACCTCTACCCCAACGTGGATCACGGAATGGGTTAATGTTAGGAGTCCAGAAGTTAAGGCCGCAGCGTCCAGCATTGCTAAATGCGCGAGCTTCTGTACTCGTAGTCTCGGCGACGGAGTGGATTAGAGGCATATCAAACGCCGCGCCCATGGTAATGGGTTGCGGAAACGAAGTCGCATAGCTGAAGTTACCCGAATTCGCAAATTGTACGCCCCGAGATCGGGCCACGCCGTGAAGAGCTTCATTCCACCACTCGTATTGGGGCACACCTAAGCGAGAGACGCCAGGAGAATTATCCCAGGAATTTGATATCTTCTCATCGTGACTAAATTCTGCCACAAGCTAGAACGATCGTGAGCCAATGCGACGTATTAATTCAGGTTGCCATTAATAAGTCTTACCGCTGCCGCTCTGGACCATGGGTCTAGTGTAGTATTACACACTTGGTTGGATGCGAGCTATCTTCGTATGAGCCATTATTTCAGAATGTTATCATCGAAGTCCACTTACAGCCCCAGATTGACAGTTTGGGAAGTCTCTAGCAGAAGCACCCCTCGCCGCTAGGAGCACGACGATACCTATCACACCCCTAAATTCCATTTTCGCTTATCAGTGAGAAGCTGTTGTTTCAATGTCATGATAAATAAGCTCGAGAAAAATTCCCACGTGGTTATATATAGGCTACTGGTATAACCCGGCACGAGATCTAGAATTTCACGGTTAAGATGGGAAATAGTCGATACAACCCTAGATACGGCTCCAACGTGCAGATAATATTAACATTGCGGGGAGAGGCTATTTCTGTCACGAAGAATTTGGGGTTAAAGCCAACAAAGCGTCGAGTTGAGGCTGCACTATTTAGCCTGAACAGTTTCTCGGATTTGACGTGAATGTATATGATCGTTCAAAACTGATGTTGAAAGCGCTAGAGACTGTTTATAATCACTACTTATTTATATACGAAGAAAGGGAGTGGTGAAGACTTTAGGAACCCATCATCAATTCATTGCGAGCCCCTGAATTATGTACCTAAGTACCGATTATGTAATATCAACCCCTTTTCTTGTTGGCTCAGACTTACCTACCTGGTACCTACCCCTAGGAGGTATCTAATATTAGTAGGATGAGGCTCCCAAAAGACAAGTACGGGCAGCGCATTACTCTCTTTTTATAGTACGCCTCGTTCTAACATGGTTTTCTGCGATTTCAATTTGAAGATAGTGTTGGGATGACTGAGAGCCGTCAAGACATCGTCCACCACAAGTAGAAAACGTAGGTCGTCTAGAGATACACATTCGAACTCATATCTTTCCTGTTGGCTAGCAATCATATTCTATTTGCACAATTTATGAATACTCAACAGTCTCCATATACGTCATTCCCCTCGTTTGTAACTCTTCCATGAAGTAGTCTGTGACGTCACTTACGTAGATCTATTATCCACACCACAAATGTCGATTTCGACTGGAGTAACACATTAAACAACGATACTCGACTTCAGTCATTGGATTGACTCTCAGAAACTCATTCTAAAAACACATAGAAAAACTATGACTTCAAATAAGTCATACCCGCAGCTGAGATGGAGGTATGTCCGGTTCGATCTACCCACTACTGCAGGAACAAACGATCAAGAGCAAATCCATGAAGTCAATAACAGGGGTGATTGCTCCTACACGGTAGTCAAACCGTCATAGATTATAAAACACAGCTCTATTCCATTCCTTTCCAATTTTGAGCCGCCTTAAGCTAGATTAGTTAGATCTTGACATTTCGCCATCGAACCCATAAGACTAAACTGACAAGTTTCTCCTTTAATTCCCAAAGGTAAGCCTTTCCCGCTATCATCGCCTCAAACAAGAACATACACCAAATTCGAAATCATGTCTCGATCCGTACTTACCAGAGCTTTCAGACTATCCAACATCAGCCCACGTGTCATAGCACATCGGCCAACTCTTCATAATTCTTCAATCGCCATGGTTAGCGAACAAACCATCAAGTCGGATACCATCTCCAACATTACAGGCAAGGAGAAGGAACTCACAGGCAAGGACCGACCTGTCGCAGGCGGCCCCACAGCCCAGGCTCAGAAGCACTCCAATAAACCCGTTACATCGAACGTCATCTCCGACATCACTCAAGGCGAGAAGAAGATAACAGGCCAAGACGATCCCGTACCCGGAGGCCCTACAGCTTTCGCGCAAAGCGTTGCATCGTTCGTAAGTCTCACGCCCCGACTGGTGACTTCTGACCGACATATTTGCTAACCAACCTCACAGAAGACTAATCCGGTTCCTGATCACTCAGGCCGACTAGACTCTCACACCATTTCTGAGATCACGAGTGTGGAGAAGGAGTTGACGGGCCAAGATGAGCCGGTGAGAGGCGGACCCACGGCCAAAGCGCAGAGCCACGCCGGCGAGCCTATCAACAGTCAGAACCTCCACGACATTACTGAGGGCGAGAAGAAGATTACGGGTGGCGAGCGCGTTAAGGGTGGTCCGACGGCCACGGCGCAGAGTGAGCTCGGCAAGAGCCGATCTTAAATCTAAGGGGAGATAGGTGAGCGGCGGTTTGTACGATAGGACAATTGAGAATGGCGTCCGGTATGGAAAAGGTTCAATTGTCTCACAATATTGATAAGTCAATTGGTTGGCAGGGATAGAACAAAAGCCGCGATGGCTGGTGACATATTATCAGACGACCTGTATCAATAGCTGTCAACATCAAAGTTGGGCATGAATAAAATGTCAAATCAATCTGCGGTCGGGTTTTTGCCTTTTGATGACTAGGATGATGCTGATTTAATATGACGTGCTATGTCAGCTTCCAATTGAAAAATTTCACCCGCGCTACTCAAGAAGTCACCGAATTAACATTACAAAGCTCTATAAACAAGGTTCCAACCATTTGAAGTGTACTAATCTGTTCGCAATTCATCGCTTCAGAATCACCTCTAAGACGATGTATCAGGTATTTTGGTAAGTAGCACAGCGCTCGAATACGTATCCGGCTGTCCCATGGTATCATTAGTAGTCGTACCATTCTTCAAGTAACAGAATCCCGCGTCAACCTTCACGATCGACACAGCCATGCAATATCCACCTCCTACCCCTGTGCCATTCTGCAGATTCGCGTGGTACGCTGAGTTGTACTATAGTAGCGAGTCAGTGTCACAAGACGTTTCTTTAAGTATAAGGAGTTTCGCAACTCACTTCCGCACAAGCCATCATACAATTCTCCAACGTCGGCATGAAGATTCTCAGGATATCGTGGGTATTTGACTCCTTCGACGAAACATAATTCGTATAACACTGTTGCTTAAACTCCTGTGGATCACCTCCTTGAACGAACGGGATCGCCTTCGCATCCACGGCGTATGGCATATAAACCAACTGGTCGATAGTCGGACACCCGCCGTCCGAAGGTAGGGGGCCACTTGTCGCTGCTGGTGTTCCACTTTGCGAAGATGTCGGTGATGATGTGGTTGTCGGATTATGCTCCACACTTTATTATAATGATTAGTATGTGTCATTTTATATGCATTACGCATGACAAACCTCTTCTGCACTGTAAGGCCGCCGCCAATACCACCTCCAATACCCCCCGCCAGAATGACGACTATAACCACGAGCAAGGTCCAAAATACCGGGACAGTAAGCCCTAATATTCGCTTCCTATCGTCTTCTTTAGGCTTTTCCGAAGAGACAGCCGTCGATGGGAATGTGTCAGTCCACACCCCGGAAGCCGTGTTTGGTTTTATCCCCTCAGCATAGTCTCTCGCGTACGTCGGGGTATGCGGGGGTATGGGATACAGAGGTGAGTTATTGGGGACAACTTCTAGACTTTCCTGATTTGAAGCTGGGTATTTCGGCGCTACATTCTCGCTATAGTCGACCCGTTGACGGTGGTTATTTGGATCCATCAGAAGGGTTGGTGAGTGGTAAACCTTCTACTAGCTTGTCATATGATAATCGTGTCGCACAGGCTATAATCCATGATATCCCATACTAGGAAAGAGCACAAAAATATTTAAAATACAATCCCAGATCCAAGTTCCTGGAACGCGGGAGGCAGGCATCCTCATTATGTAGCGACCCAGTTCCTTACCTACCTGTGTATTCATGCAAGGAAGAGGCCGTATCTGCAAACCATTTGAATCAGCCCTGGACGCTATCGACGCCACTCATCTCCATGTTTCCTGAAGGTGACACCATGAAAAAACAAAACTCCGGCCATGATGACATAACCTAGCCGAAAGGGGTTAAAAACCACGACCAGTACGACATTGGGGTTGAGACTGAGATATACCAATGGATGGGCATCGCTATGTCAGCTTACGCATCAAGCAAATAAATCTCAACAGTCCGGCTGCGCCCCTTTTAGCTAAGTTCGACAGCGTTACACAGCATTCACCATTCACCGTATCGATCGTCGCATCGGTCCGTCTACCGGGGAACATCCACTTTCCAGATTTTAGGCGCTTAACTTGAATTCGCTCTCGCATCTGCATTTCACACGACAAGTCAGATATATCTCATCGATGTAACCCAATCCCCCTCTGAAATAACAATATAACTAAGTACTAGGCCAATAAAACCAAGTCCACCTCAAATGCTGCCGCTAGAGGATTCAAGCACCGACATCTCCTGAAACACACACCACGCAGCAGCATCATCGGAAATAACGGCAATTGGTCGACCATATCAAGATAAGAAGCACGTCAATACGACGTATTAGGTACCTAGTACATAAGAAGCAAAAGAAAATCAAGGATACGAGGTTTCACAAGGACTTGAACCGGGTTTGGCCGGCAAGCCACAAACGCCACCACCCCCCTTTTTCTAACGCAAAAGGGGGAGTTGGTTCCACATCTTCCACCAACGAGATTGGGGTTGATCATGTAGGAGCAATTAGCTCTGCTGGGAATTTTGTGATGGAAAATTTAGTGTCTAAGATCTCATCCCCAGATAATCGTCGCCCTACAAGGCTTAGCTGAAACAAGACCAAAATGGTATCAAGGGGGTCAAGATTCTTCCCTTCGTATCAATCCACTACTAGCACCGCCTCAGACAAGTCGAGACATACTGATTCATCTGTTTTTATTACGATTATATGCCTGCCCAGACCTAGAGCTTTAGGCAGTCGTTTTTCTCTATTCAGGATAAGCGATAGTCCTGTAATATTCCTATTCAACTTTTTCCTTCTTCGGACACTCACGTCATGACGATATCAGTAAATACTCATCCTCCCCTCCTGCCCATAATATTTTCTCCCCATCATGGCGATTCGGGCGTTAATACCAATATTCAATTATCATCTCCTATTAAAACCGATCCAATGCAGTGTGTCGGACCCTTATGAGAAATTGTCATAATCACATGAACACACCACCATCCTCACCACTTGCAATACGCCTGCGCCTGCTGCTCAGAAAGAGGTCAACCATCCTCTTGCTCCCCATAGACTGCGACGTAAGAGCACTTTCTGGGCCGAGAATACCCGAACCTTGAGTATCGTAAGGGTCCCTATCAGCATCGAGCCCAATTATCGGGCTCACGTTCTCGGTCTTTTGAGATGCACCCGCACCGAATTTGTATCCAGAGCTAGCTGAACCACCAGCACGTGCGGATTGCTTATCGGCTACCGCCTTGGGTCCCGGACTCGATGTTGGCGTGACATAGTTCCTAAGTCCCGGCTGTTTCCTGACGAGCTTCCTGGTCGATGTTGGATTGCCTCCAAGTGTGTTAAGTGACGGCTTATTTATTTGAGATTTCCGACCAATGGAGTCAAATACTCCTTTCTTTGTCGGTTCTGTTGACGCCTTCGCTTCCTGGAAAGACTTCATACTTGATAATGACGGCGTAGCCCGTAGTACGCCTCCAGGTGAGACCTCAGGCCTTTCGGGAACTTCATTCTCTTTGTCGCGTGGAGGAGCAGGTGACGAAGTCTTCAGAACGGGCCGTAGAATATTTGGGGATCCTCGTGTGTTGTGCTCGATTGTTGCTAATGCGCTATCTGGTCTTGTAGGTTTGTATACTTCTATTGGCTGCTCATCGTCATCATTAATCTGGGCTTTTTCACGGACATGACCCGACGGCCGCGTTGATGGTATGGTATACTCAAGAATGCCCGTGTCTGCGTGTGCGGATGTACCCTCCAGTTTCGAAACATTAGCAGATAGCCAAGTTTTCCATTCCACGGAGCTGGTAGTAGAAGTAACTCTCTGTATAGGTATAGGGGGCGGAGTGGGCCGGTAAACAGGAGGAGTCACAAATATAGTGGCATCTCCATGAACGCTTGGTGGTTTCGGGAAGTTATCTACTGTGACTGAAGCATCGATTGAGAACCCGTTGAATGGTTCTTCCGTTGTACTTGAGTATATGCTTTCAGCGTAGTGCATTTTCTTATCAACCTCAGACTCGCAAGTGCTTGGACATCGAATAGGCAGGTTCGTCAACGAACGCATCCAGGGGTTATACTTAGGGGACCTTAACCGAGTATCTTGCGATTCTGCTTTCATCGAATCCTGAAGTGCGCGTCTATACGGGCTCTGAGTACGGAATAGGTGACATGTCGGGCTCGCAAAGAAAGCCGAACTACGAGTCGACAATGTTCTAGCTGAAGGTATGGGCTCTTCGACACGTGGTGTAGACGACAATTTATTGCCTTCATCCGCAGGTTCGCCGGATCCATTAACAGTAGGTGCTGACACGGACGTTGCAATTCCTCGTCCTTCAGAAACCAATTCGACATTGGAACCTGAGGGGGACCTAACTCCTCTAAAGCGTGTAGCTGGCTTCCTTTCAGTGGTCCTGACCGACGATGAATCAGACACCTCGTCGGGGATGACGTGTCGAATAGTCGCCGGAGAGTTAGGTCCTCGTCCGCGGTGATTACGGGAGCTACCTCTCGTGGGCACAGTACCTGTATTGATAAAATCATCAACACTCCTTTGTCTCTGCAACTCCTTATTCGTTTCGTTAAGCCTCTTCATTAGAGCCGAGTAGATTCTTTGGCTGTTTACTGTAGCTGGCTGTGGTGGCTTCGGCGGTGGCAAGGAGCAAGCACTGGTGTTTATGTTCATGGCGCGGGCAGTAATATCATGCGGTCTCGCCGACGATGAAGAGATATGCATCCCATGTTCCTTTATGACAGATAGGCGCTGCCGATCCCACTCCCCTTTACGACTATTCAAAGTATTGATCGTATTAGTGTCCGAATTCGACCAGCTTGTTACCCGAGACCTTTCATCTGAAGTTCTGTAATCGCTTCTCAGGCTTTCGAGGCTACCTTGCCGCGAGCGTAGTTGTTGATGCGAAGGGACGGCATGTAAGGATGGAATGCCGGAGGTAACACGAGATAGGGCAGCTTGGTCATACATAGGCTCAAGTCGGAGCCCGTCGTCGTTCATGTAATCAGGAACATCTAGGTCTGTGATGTGCGACTTCGAGGCTTCAATTTGTTGAGGGGGGAAGGCTTCTTCATCAGTATCCCCTTTGCCCAATCCGAATAGATTTTTCAGCTTATGTTTGAAGTTAAGCGAAACCTTTCGAGCTCGATTTCTCAAGCTTCCATTTTTGGGTACTTTTATGTCCAAATGAAGAGTATCGTTACTGCTATCCCTCATGCTCCTCCTGAGTATCTTGTCGGCGTTGGGGCGAAGGAAAGTCGACGGTTGCGATTTAATGGGCTTCTCCTTATTATTTGTGGTTCCGGTACCTTCACCACTGGATAATCTGATAGGGACGCTCCCGCGACGCTTGGAAAATAGCAATGACTGTTCACGACGACCCCTTAGGAAAGACATAGACTTCGGTGCCTTAAGGCCTGCAGCTGGCGTAGTATTAACCGTAACTGATTGGGGTGAGTTAGTGGAGGGCATTGGAAGTTGATCCATCGTTGATGAAGCTGGGGCCTGAGCGTAGTCCCGAGAGGTCATACTGGCTTCCGATGTGGTGAACATCGACCTGGACTTGCGAATCTTCCGGTATGATGAGGGGGCAGATGCGATGTCATCCTCGGGTGTATAATACTCCTCGCCGGTAAAGAGTGCATTGATATAGTCGCCTGCTGCACCTTTAGCTGCAAATGCCATTCCTGATGCGGAAGCATTACTTGTCGGTCGAGATTCGATACTACTTATAGAAACTTTGGGAGTCGTAGTACCAACGTTACAAGCCAGTGTCGCGTCTTCGACCACCATATGCTTCGGTGTACTTTGTAGGACTCCCCCGCGCACAAAACGAACACTTTGCTGGCGTCTGAGGGCCGGATGATTGTTACATCGACTTGGGGTACCGTTCGAAACACCAGTTCCGCTCAGATCATTGTTCCGGGGTGGCGGCCATAAAGTTCCCTCTGCAGCAGAGCGTTCCTTGGCCATCGCAAAGGCTTGCGCGGCAGCAGCCTGGGCATCACGCTCGGCCGTTTCGGGGTGAATATGTTCCAAGTGGACGCTTTTCGCGGAGGATGTCGATTTGTGACGGTCAAGATGGCGAGTTTTGGTGCTATTTCGACGATACATGCCGATCGGGGTTTGGTAATCCGTCTAGATATGGTGCAAACGGAAGTCAGGAGATGAAAGTATGAAGCATACAAGTGAAAACCAAGAAGTCTTGGTGACCCAACACCAGATGTGTTTGAATCACCTCCCAAAAGTCTCGTTCCAAATTCGAGCTAACCAAAAGCCACCGTTTTCGATGTGGAAGATTCTGGTTGGTGATGATAGAGCTGAATCTTGATGAATGTATGTGCTAAGATGAGAATATGTGAAGGTTGAATAAGAATTGAAGACGTGGAACCTGACCAGCGTTTTTAAAATGTTCTTGGTATGCACCAGTGATAGAACGCACCTTCCTTACGTTCTACGATTTCTCCATCTTCGATAGGAAGCTACATGTAAGACAGTAAGTGGATGTAGCTACTACTTCGTCGTTTCTCCAATATAGTAATAGCACTTACCGGCCGGACATGCACTTGCATACCGGGACGATCAAGCAGGGTGGTAAGAACAATTCACATGATATCGAAAACCTACATCATACACAAGCACTGCATTCAACTATAAATGTCACAAAGCAACGACGACATCAAAATATTGACGGCAATGAGATATCTGATATTCGACCATAACCGGACAGGCCTAATGAAACGTTACCATGCTACCAAAACAAAAACCATTCCTGCGTGTACAAGTATAGATTGGCCAGCTGACCGAATGCCCAATAACTGCCATTCAATGAGTCTATGCTCCAATGGAAACTTACCAGACGCCTAATTATCATCACGTCTGGAAAATCTACTAGTTACAAGTGTAGACCTTTACGTCTCGCGATAATTTATGCGCGGATCTCGTCGAAGAATTCTCGGAGTTCTTCCTCAACGACCTCGTGGATCTTGTTAGAAAGCTCCTCGGCCTTACCGGAGAGCGAAGAAACACCCTTAACAACAGTGCCAGAGACAACGTTCAAGTCGTGCTCGATGGCCTTCTCAAGCTCATCGATGGACAAGGAAGCATCGGCGGGGGCTTCAGCTACGTAGCCACCCTCCTCGACGATCTGGGAGTAGTTGTGGAAACCACCACCGTTCCAGGCCAGCAGGTTGGGGGTGTCCTTGGGGATGTCGGAGAGAGCATCCTTGGTGGCGATGGTGACAATGTTGGACTTCAACTTCTCAGGAGTGATATCGGCAAGACCGTACTCGGAGTCCTTGCTGGGTTGGAGAGAAAGGAAGTAGGCAGTTAGACCGCAGATGTGGGGGGAGGCCATAGAGGTACCGGAGATGGTGTTGATGGCAGTCTTGCTACCAATCCAGGTCGACTGGATGCTAAGACCAGGGCCGAAGATGTCAACACACTTGCCCCAGTTGGAGAAGTAAGCACGGCTATCATCCAGAGCGCTGGCACCGACAGTGATGGCTTTCTCAGCAGCAGCGGGCGAGTACTTGCACGCATCAGCGTTATCGTTACCAGCAGCAACAGCGAAGTGGAGACCAGCGGAGACGGCAGCGTTAACAGCCTGATCCAAAGATGGAGACTTGCCACCACCTAGAGACATGTTGGCGGTTGAGCCCTTGAAGCCCTTGCGGGAGCCCTTCTTAGCCTTGGCAACCTGCTCAATGTGCTGCTCGGCAGCCCACTCAACACCCTTCATAACATCGGACATAGAACCAGATCCGTTAGATCGGAGAACCTTAACAGCGTATACATTGGCCTTCTTGGCAACACCATACTTCTTACCAGCAATAGTGCCAGAGCAGTGGGTACCGTGACCGTTGCCGTCAACATCCTCGTCTCCCTGGGGAATGGTCTTGCCCCAAGAAGCACGTCCCTCAAAGTCAACGTGCTCGATGTTGGTACCAGTGTCAATGACGTAGACGTCAACACCCTCACCACCGTCGGCGGCATATAGATATTTGTTGTATGTACCGAAAGAGAGTTGTTTACGGTGGGAGATTCGGGCCAAACCCCAAGGGGCGTTCTTCTCTAGGTCCGGTTCGTCCTCAGCCATGGTGTGGACAACGGAGTCTTTTTCGATGAATTCAACCTGGAAATGATAATGTTAGTAAATGCGAATTTAAAATGAGTCACACGGGACCAAAAACGTAGAAATTATGTAAGGCTTAAATGCGTAGTACTTACATCAGGATGTCTTCGAACCTCCTCGATGGTGTTGTCATCAAAATGACCAGAGTATCCAAGGAACTCGGTACCGATCTTCAAGGTGTGCTTCAATCCCCTAAAGGAGTCAACAACCTCGCCGACCAGAGGAATTTGACCTCGCTTTCGGAGCTCTAATCGCTCATCTTCGCGGTCGCTGTGAAGCTTCTGAACCCACGAGTGGTGATCAGAGGCTGAGGAATCGGTCACATGCTTCTTGAACTTGATGATGTAAGAGTTGGGAACCTCTTCAGCAGTAGAGGACGAGATGACGGGAGCGGCTCCATCGTGGATGGTCTCGTAGCTAAACGAGGGCGCCGCAGAAGCAGCGTAGGCTAGAGCGAGGACGAAAATGCCCCCCCTCATATTGATGGTTTAGGATGGATAATGGATGGAAGCAGTCTGATAACGAGGCAATACTGAGGATTGCGCTAGGGAACGATAAGTCTACCTGCGACTCAAAAAGGAACCGAGAAACACAATTAGAAGAAACGGAAAACACGGCGAGAGATCAAGTAAATGATGCCTCGGAGGTAATTGCCGCAAAGATGATATTACTTTGTGATTGATGATAGATGGGATGATCAAGAGATGAGGGAGGAAGGAAGAGGAAGAGGAAGAAGAGAAGGAAGCTCTGTTGAGCGAAAGCGGGCAGAGATAAAAGGCAGCAGCCACTGACCAGTAATCCCCCAGTAATGCAGTAACGGCACTAAGCTAACAAGGTACCTACTGACTGACTAAACACAATGGTTGCCTTCCCCAGCGTGGAGTTGCGCAGGTGACGCACACAGCCGCTGGACCAACCAGATAAGAACGGAAATGCTAAATCGCAAGTAGACTAGCGTGATTAACCTTCCCCTTTGACGCCAAGCTTAGGTGGGTTAGATCGGCTTTGTTGGTGGAAACCTCTCGTGTCGCGTGTACCTTACATAACCTTTGTATCTTCGAGTTGTCTCTATTTTGATTTATGTCGCTCAGCATCTGTATGCATCTAATAAAATACCTATAATTTGAACTTAATTCCCTCTATTCAACACAAAGCTTCCGAAATATGATAACAACAGTAGGTAAATAATGCCCGGAATTGATGACGAGATATGTTAGGTACTTGAGGAATTGAAACTATCCTAATCGGATCCGGTTCACGCGGTTGCCGATGAACACCTAAAGAGGTATAGATCGGTTTGAATCTGTTGAGTCCCGAGGCAATTGGCTGTTGATAACGATGCCATCCTTGGTTGGTGTCTTATCAGCATACGTGTATGTACCTAGCTATGAGCTGCGTATGCAAGTCCTTGGACCCTTAGAATGCTACCAATTTGCCACCAACATAATGAGCTCAAAAGCTAAGAAGTTCAGGTAAATTTCCTTATTAAATGAATCAATTCATCTGAATTTTTAAATATGTGTATATGATCGAGATGGGATAATTGTAGCCAACTCTACAATGAATTGCGTTTGTGAGACTTGCTTGTTCGGATGTTTGTGAAACTCACCTCAGATAACGATGGTATGACACAATTGAGCTAGGGTCGAGGGAGATAGGAGCTTGATTGGATGGGAATTTACCTTCCAGCATCGGAGCTCTGTTGCCCACTCAACCTTTAGCCCTGCAGCTTTCAATTTATGGTTTATGACCCTGATCAGCTGCGCTAACTTGGCTAACTTGACTCAAGGCTTGTTTCTTGGCAAAATGACACGTGCTCTCCTGCTTTACTTAATCGCCCCTTGTTCTTCTCTTATTTCTATCCCTTCTTATCCCCTATCTCCATAGCCACGTCAAGAGCGCATCACGTTGGCATTTATTACATATATCCAGTGGGCTCAACACATCTCATTGCCGAATTATAAAGCTCTAAAATAGAATATACATTTAAATTCTCATGTCAGCCACCATAGACCAGGATCGTTTATCATCTAGATACGGTGTAACACAACTCACGAAATGACCAAGAGCACGAGCCGTACCGCACGGTGCCGCCCATCCACAATATTTGCTCACTCGACCAAACATTGTCGTATTTGTTTCACTCTTCATTAAATGAGCTATCCGCCACCACGGATACTATACTTTGAAGCTATCGGTGCCATGCTGGTGCATGCTTTACTCTCAGTTATGTCAAGAACATTCAGGAACGAAAAGTTATCGCTTTTGGATACTATTAATAACTCGATATATGCACTGGTATTCGGCGGTACCTTCTTCATCAATGATCTCCAACAATCATTTTAATTCTCTTGCGGTGAGTTGCGCTCCACCAACCTCCTCTATCACGTCAATAAAAAGGGAGGTGGCGAGAGTCACGCTCAATACCGACCCACCCAACGGGCACATAAATACGCATCATAAGTGACAGGATTCAACACTCCGGAAGGCCTTCGAATTCTCAATTATGAGCATGGTTTGAATGAGCGTATTCGTATCCGAATTGACGAAATCCCGTGTCGCTGGTCCGATAATCATTTTGTGTTTCCACCTACGCTCCATGTTAAGTACAGCGACAAGATTTGTATGTCGAAACTCGGAGCCCTTACAATTCACATACAGTGAAATCTATATGAACGGCTAGATACTCGACAGCAAAGCCAGGAACCCGACATGTTACCCACCTAATGTTTCTTCAGAAGAGAAATATCAGCGAACCCCGTAACCCTATCCAGTACCTAGGTGGGTTGATATAATCGACGACGTTTCGTAGGAGCATACCTAGATTATCACTGACAGGTTGATACCATGTCTTTTGTTCTGGTCGGAAGTATGGTGGTTTTAGGAAAGCCTATTAGAAAACTCGTATAAGCAAGCCCGTGTTTCTGATGCTTTTCCTATCCTTTGATGCATTTGACAACCGCCTATGCCCAGGCAATCGTCGGGTTATCGACGGGTTTAATCATGACTTTATAAAACTATATTGGCACAAAATCTGGAATAGCGGCCGCCGCGTTAGTCCTACCTAGAAGCTTCGGCCTCCTGGGACGTCATTGCACTTCCCGAGAGAATTGATTACCTTGCTGCGAACAGTAGATGTAGCGTCGTCGAGGAAACAAGACATGTTCCATATACTTTACTCCACAAGCTCCTTGCTTTCTTCGCTCGCTTTTGAACTGCAGTCTGCGAACTCCTTCGCCCGCGTAGATAGGATAGCCTTTGGCATTTAACTCGCTGCTGGTAATAGTGATAATAACACGACAGCATACCTTTCGTGTTATGAGATGTATTAATAACCCTGCTTAGTCTCGACTCATGATGATCGCTATGTGCGTCACGTATAGCACCCATGTTGTTGAACCAAACCTAAACACTAAGCGGAAAACCGAAGATCATCTCAAAAAGACTATGCCATCGGCCAAAGAGTATCATCACGCCCGAACACGACTTGCGAGTGGAAAATGAGAGGGGAGTGCGGTACCGTCGCCGGTAGTCGAGAGGAATTTCGAGGACGGTACTCTGGTGTACACCTGTAGAGGTGCTCGCCCATTCGAACAGTCCGATCCATTCTAAGGTGAACCCGACGGTGATGCCCAAGTCCTGGAAGGGGACGTAATTATATCTCTCAGATATCTACCTAGTTACTGCGTATTCCACGAGACAGTTGAGCTTCAGCGAATTACCTAAATACCCGGGGTGAGCATGTACTGGATTGATCTTATAGAAGTCAAGCTTCACCAGCTTAGCCCGAACCTTGCTAGCCGTGGACCATATCGCATTCCAGTGGCTTTCTAGTCATCGTTTTCAATATTTTGAAGGTCTTGGTTGTTGTGGAATCGATAATCTGGGATCAGAGTGCCTCCTTTTCAAATGAAGACACACTCTCCCTGTACTTGATAAGTGATAGAACCGTTCGGTTAAGGGAGGCTTCACCACGTAGTAGACTTCCTACCCGTTTGGCCGCGCTCGTGATACACTTCTGTACCTATGGCTCTATCGTCAAGTCAACCCATGGTTGAGATATCTTTGTCATATCCACTACAAAGGCCACGCAAACCTTAACGACGCGCGCGAGTGCCATTGTAAGCTGTATTCTAGGACAAAACAACAGGTATACAACGTCGTAGGCAGAATGCAAAATGGATATCAACTATCCAGACGCGCTCCGCTATTCTCTCGTAGCCGTCACCCCCGAAGTAAATGACATCGACAGACGTCGGAGTCACTAGGAGGAATTCATTGTGTTATGTACAAGTCCGAATGATGAATCGGTGGGCAGGGAGTCATGGGAGAGGAACGTAGGCAGAGGCAGCAGAGAAGCGATCATTCCAGTTGTGCCTAGGCTAGGATGACGCGGACTTGTCCTCGACGTATTGATCGATACTAGTCTGTCGTGCCTTGATTCCCTCGTTCCTCCACAGCGTCAAGAATGAGAGTTCAGCAGTATGAGAACTAGTCTTGTTGTGCCCCAGCTATGCTAGAGCCCTATTTGGGAAGACTGCGCTCTCATGATCCTATAAGTAGTCGACGGTGCAATGGAAGACTACACGTCGTTTACTAATACTCAGAAACACCATACAACACCCAGCCACGCGCTTTAGAGGTCTCCGTAGGATTAAACTCCACCGCATCTTAAGGCCATACCAGCTACCGCTTCCTCGGCAAGAATAACTTCAGAGTAAGCTCGCTGGTGTTGGGGTTAAAGTATGCCACCGCCGAAATCACTCCAGCTGAAGAATTCTGCTCCACCTTGTTGCCTAGGTAAGTTTATGGTAAGAAACCATGGCCGGTTTTCTTTACCGACTACTAGTCACTGCCTGGGCCTGTTATAGGACCAAAGATGATAAAGGTAGAGGGAGGGCAGTAAGCTCGCTATCTCGCGCAACTGCTATAGGAATCTTCGTATACATACGCAGATACCCTGTGCCTTCGTTTCTATACGTGGGATCTTCCTCTATAGCAATGGGGTCTCTTACGGTGATATGGGGGATCCTCCGGCACCTCTCATGATGCAAGTCTCCCGTTCAGTAGTATTGTGGCTGCTTTGGGGGCATATTCATGTCTCAGACGACCGGGCTTTAGACCCTAACACGGAGCCCGAGACGTAGGCCCCGGCGCCGAATATTCATGATATGGATGCACTAGGGGGTGGGAATAGGTTTGAGGGTTGGCCATTTGGTCACTGTGGCGTTAAAGCACAATTCTCATTAGAGGAAAAGAAAAAACATCAGGTTGGGTACATTCTCGAAGAAAATACTAGTATAGGTATCATCCTTCGGGGCCTGCGGTTACCCGAAAGGTTCATCTGATATCGGTACATAAAATCTACCCTCTTTTGAAATTATGCACAAGCCAAAGCGCCCCCCGCCCCCAGAGTGAGAAGTATAGCATTGGATAGGACCAAACGCGTGCAATCACCGCCGATACCTATAATAAATAGCACCAGCCCCTACTGTGAGTGTAGTTAACCCAACTAAAGTCTGGACTGCTTGTAATGCGAACTTCTTCGCAATTGCCGCTTCCTTGCCTTGCCAACCCGCCGCTGCATTTGCGTGGGGGAAGGGTTCGTCAGGTACTGGCTTATCCAGGAACTCGCACAGTGGCTTCCATCCGTCCTCGGGAACCCACTCCAGCAGACGCTCTTTAGGCACTAGCCCGCGGACCATATTGTTGTGTTCTAGGGTTTATAAGTTATTAGAAGGCGTTCATAAGTGACTAGCGAGACAGGATGGTGAGCTAGATAGGGGTTGACTCACCTCGATAAGCCCACTTCCCATTTCTCATAACACCCGTCTGAATATTACCGTCAATAGCTCGGAATAAACCCGGCCACATGAAATTCACAAAGCACTCCCAGCTCCAGAAGCAATCCGGACTAAGACGGGAGAGTATCCAGAGGGACCAGTGACTATTAGCTCGGGCGATAGTATGTGTTACGCTATGGTGCCACTCGTCGATGTCCTTACGTTGGTTGAGGACTACCTTGGCCTCGGGATACGCGGCAATGAGGTCGGCCGCGAAAATCGAGCCAGCGGCATCCGATACAGCTACCGCATGACCGATCACGGCGTCAAACTCGGCAGCCGTGATAGAACATTCCCCGTTGAGTGGGCCGAACCATCTATGAAGTCCGCGGGGTAAGTCCGTGCATAGTGTATTCTGTCAATCGGCACATGCAACTCACTTCTTGCGGCATAACTCGACCCACTGCGGAGTATAGTTAGGTTCCTCAAATATGATATCCCATCCGTGGTATGTGTGGTCATATCCCAGCTTTAGGAGGGCATGTTGTAGAGATTCGGTTCCGCAACGTGGAAAGCCGACACACAGCACTTGCATCGGCTTCTCCCGTTTTCTCGGCGGGGGTACCGGCCTAGCGTAGACATAATTCTCGAGGAATAAACAGAACCAGCTGTTTAGGTATGGCATGACTGTCAGGTCTTGTGTTTTGGGTGTTTACCAGTATAGTGGATAATTGTCACGTTAATCGGAAATGCTTGGTTTAGAAACCTTTGCAGGAATAAGGGATTAATTGATTATGAAGTATCAAGGTATTCGGATCGTAAGGAAATGCTGTGTAACAAGTTGGTCCAATCCGAGCAAAGCAAATAGATTGCGGCTGAATGTTACCTTTGGGTGCTTATTTGCGAGCCAAATTCAAGTAATTGGCGCGCCATCTAGCTAACACTGTACGATACCTACCTAGGTACGTACCGTTTTAGATGGTGATGTTTCCGTTTTCTATGTGTTACACCGCATCGGATGGATTGCGATATAATGTTATGTAATCCAACAATTAAGCTTATTCGTCCTGTTAGTGAACATTGAGCTATCAATTAACAACCTGGAAGGTACTGAGTACGAAGAACAAACGGAATACGGGATAATTATCTACTTACGTACACATCTCCACCCTCATGCAGTAGCTCCCGCCACCCAACTTTCTTAAATACTCCTTTGTACCTGATACGAAAGGTACGAAGGGGAGCGTAAATACACGTGTGGGCGCTACAGATTGGATCAGGCGACGTCATTGGACAGACGGACTACGAGTTTATAACCCCGAACCTTGCCAGCCTGTAACATAGACAATCCTTCTACAACACCATCCCACCGTCCTGGAATCTCCTGAATCGGGTGGGTTTCTACTAACCCGCGGTCCAATAATCTCTGCATCTCACCCGCCCATCGTGTACCTATTGCGAACGCATCGGGGCTTGACTCGCGAGTGTACACCGATTCTGCACCTCCAAGATCAACATCGTAGCCGAGCACCTCGTACCCCATTACTTCCTTGACCTTGACTACTCGCCGTCTCGGCCACGTGTTGCGGAATTGTTCAAGACAAGCGTAGCGTCCACCCGTTCGAGCAATTGTTCCAAGGCAGAAAGCTGCGGACTCCGCATCTGTAATGCAATCCAACGCATGACGAATTAGCTTACCATCTCCGACTTTTAGGATTGTATCGCCGCTGTTGGTGGGAGTGGGAGTATAGGGCAACAAGCTAGCCGCTCCATAGCGGAGAGCTAATTCTGCTGACATGGACGAATGTGTTACAGCGATTGGTCTATATCCAGACCTGGTGGAATTTGCTTTTTTGTTAGAATACAGCCGTAACGATATTACTGCGATACGAATTTTTAGAGAATTAAATCATTGGACGGTAATACGTACAGCTTCAACAATTGGCAGGTCATCGTCCCTGTAGCCGTGCCACCACCATACACTAAAATTGGCATTATTTCGTCATTTTCCACTGGATGAGAGGGGAGTCCCGGCAGTGCTAGCGCTTCTGGATGCGAAAGCGCGAGGGCTACTGTTAGCCAGCCGACACCCCCGAGGGCCGCACCCTGCAGGTCAGTCCAACCCTCTGGAATTCTGAGTAAGAGTCGAGCGTCGGCCACAACATATTCCGCGAATGCACCGAGACGACGGAAATCTTCATTAGCCGGAGCGTACGGAAAAACAGTGCCGCAAACTCTAGTTCCTACCCTGATGTCCACGTTCAGGGGTTCGGAGCCGACTCCTTCGTCTATCATCTCTACCACGCCGCAGAAATCACATCCCCCGCCATTGCCAGGCAGGGGAAAGTGAGCCACCATCTTGTGGTCATTGTGGTTAAGGCCCACTGCCTTGACGCGTACGAGAACATGATGAGGTGAGGGTAAGCTCGGGATAGGCTCAGAATTAGATGTAACCAGCTGTTGCGAGCTAGACTGTACGAGAGCTGTCTGTGTCTGTGGTGGCATTTTAAAAAAGAACCCGGCTTATTTTAAAACAGGGTTCCAGAAAGGTTCGAATGTCCGAGTTCATATGGTGCTCTAATAAGACCATAAGCCCGATTCGTATCTAAAGTGCCTGGGTGGTTCGACCTGGGTGAGATGCGATCGGTTGGGGGCTAAAGGTGTATGGATATAGTGGATATGAGCTTCCCCTGTTCTCACGCGGTGAAGAGGAAGCAGTTAGGATTATTAAACTAACCTAGCCGAAAGATGCACGATACTGTGCCTCGCCCCAATACAACACAAAGTGCATATTACCCCTGCTAACAAGAACAGATACAGCCAAATTCATACCCCCCACTACGTAAGAACCTACCAAATACGTATTATTACAGTTACAGTTAGAGGTATTGCTTGACCTGGTCTTCACTCCAATCCCAGAATTTTTGCGTGGTTCCATTGCCGCCCTCGGCTTCCGACTTCGCCGCACCATCTTCCAAATCTTTGCGAAAGTAGTGCAACCGCCCAAATGGAATCACATAGCTCCCAGCCTTGTCTACTGTGACATCAGGGGAGAGCCCTGCAAATAGCTGTGTGTAAACTCCGTTGATGATCGGATACATGAAAGGGCTGGTGAAGAAATGGTATAGCCGAGTTTGCTCGCGGAATAGTCCTGTGCGCACATTCCCTGGGTTCAACGAGACGCTGATGAGGCCATCTGACTTATATCGCTTGGAGAACTCGACAGCATATGCCCAATCTCCAGCCTTGCTGACGCCATAGCGGTAACTATTCGGTTTTTCGATATGGAAGTCCAAATTACTTATGTCGATACCGACGTTCTTGTCTGCGAACATCTCAGCTGCACTCGAAGTCATAAATACCACCCGCACCGTATTGGGTGGCGTCGCTTCATCTTTAGCTGTCGAGACAAGTAGCGGGGTCAATAATTTCGTGAGCAAGAAGGGACCAAGGCAGTTGACACCAAAATGCTTCTCGTATCCTTGAGCCGTTCTCTCCGTCACTCCCTCGGGCCCCATGATGCCGGCATTATTGAATAGCACATGGAGCTTGGTTTCGGCTGCTAGAAATTTCTCCGCGGTCGCTTTAACTGATGCTAAGTCGTTGAGATCTAGAGGTAGGAATATTAAATCGCCCGTGGAGCCCTGAGCTGCGCTCTTGATTTCCTCAATCGCTTTATTGCCCTTCTCTTCGCTCCGAGCCGTTATATATACTTTCGCATTTTTCGAGTACAGAACGCGCGATAGCTCTTTGCCAAGTCCGGAGTTTGCACCGGTTACGAGGTAAACCTAAAGCCGTGAGTAAAACATTTTGAATGACTTTGAAGAAATGCATCACCTACATGGCCACTTAGATCCGGTATATTGGCCTCTGTGAAGCTCGGCTTTGGTGGAAAGAATTGCGTCCACGTACTAGAGAAAGCTGCCCCCATTGTGGATTAGACTAGAGCGTCGGTATTACTCCTGGGCGGGAGGAACACGGCAGTGCGCTGCGGAGGGTCAGCAACGAAGGAATACTAAGCTTAGTGGGTAGAAGCTAGGATGAAATCGGGCGTGAGTAGATAGCTTAAAGAAGAGGTCTTGGAAATGAGTTAATTCAGTGGCGTAGGACTATCCTGAGAGCCGACGCAAGGGCTGGTTGGTGCCGGGGAGATCCAATCACTAACTGGCTTACAGAACCCCGCCAACCTGTAAAAAGCTTAGGCTTCATTGGGTGGTATTGATACTACTCTAGGCGAATCGACCCATACAACTAACTTAAGTGTGCCACGTATCGTACCCAGGTATGTAGACACATGTAGACTTATGTAGACGAAGGTATACTAACATAGAATAGTTGCACCTGCATAGAAGCCGTTTTGTTTCAGACAAGTAGGGTAGCAGTTACGACATCGCGTGGTACAAAGGCGAAGCTGAATGCAGAGATAGTTCACTTACCAATTCACATGCCTAACGACATTTATATCGTCAAATGAGGATCGTCCCTCTAGAACGCCTGGTGGTAAGGTAAGCGGTCTACCTAACTTCATGCGCTACGTTCGGATAATCTATTGCTATCCCGCCGTACAACATCCAAGACCTACATAAGGCTGACACATGCTTTATCGTCCCAAATCCTACGTAATCACGACGATCTAAGACATACCCCCCAGCTATAACACACAGACTCGGCCCACATTGTGGACTTGTGGATATACTCATCGCGTTTTGTTGCCAAGAATGGCATTGCCCAATATAGTAAGTACGTAGCTTGTAGAAAGGACATGTTCCAACCGAATCGAGAAAACATCCCCGATCTTAGCACACGTTATAAGTCATGATGTTAATTTAGTGAGGGCTATGCTTGGGTATGCGCTGTACTATGTAGGCGGAAAGCTCCGGTACTTCATATATATGTTATTCCATTTATTCCGAAACCCGGGAACATATGTAGGGTCTTAGCAAGTATCGTCAATCACATCACTTCTACGAAGTTTGTTGATAGCCGGCGAAGACATGTGGCCTAGTACTACCATGAAGCATGTCACAACTGCAGCCCTCTTGTTAGGGCTCACAAGAGGGGAATATGCCACCAATTCCACGTGCAAATACATCCCTGGTGATCTTGGCTGGCCCTCCTCGAAGACATGGGCTCGACTCAACCAGACAGTCGAAGGTCGGTTGATCAAAACAGTTCCTCAAGCAAGCATCTGTCATACGGAACCGTACCATGACTTAGATGAGACGGGATGTGAACAGTTAAGAGAGAATTGGGATTATGCACAAACTTTGTAAGAAATCCTACTCCAAAATTTTAGTCTATTTTCTAACATATTTGTAGTGAGTTGAAACCAGCTGAAATAATAAATCCAGCATTCCAAAACCAGTCTTGTGATCCTTATACTCCATTAGACCGGCCATGTGAGCTTGGCAACTATGCTGTTTATTCGATCAATGTCACTGGGGCTCCGGACATCGTCGCCGGTTTGAATTTTGCTAGGGACAACAACGTCCGGCTTGTGATCAAGAACACCGGACATGAGTAAGTTGCTATCCTTGTATTTACGTAGTAGTTTAGCTAACACTCTGAAGTTACATGGGAAAGTCTACTGGTTTGGGATCACTTTCATTATGGACTCACAATCTCAAATCAACGGATGTGTTACCCAAGTACGAAAGTGACCACTACACCGGCCCGGCCGTGAAGATCGGCGCCGGCGTTATTGCTGGTGAACTGTATGCTGCTGTTGCCGATCAAGGATACCGTGCCGTTGGTGGAACATGCCCCAGTGTCGGCATTGCTGGCGGATACACTGCTGGTGGGGGCCATTCGGTTCTCTCCGGTGCCTACGGCTTGGCGGCCGACAATGTGCTAGAATGGGAACTTGTAACGGCCAATGGAGAACACATTATAGCTACCCCGACAAATGAGCACTCAGACCTTTATTGGGCTATGAGTGGTGGTGGGGGTGGCGTTTGGGGAGTAGTCCTCAGCGTTACCAGCAAAATCTATCCCGACGGCAAGGTCACTGGAGGTCAATTGGCCTTTAATGCTACAGAAGGGGATCCGGAAGGCTACTGGAAAGCAATTGAGTCCTGGTTTGCGTTTATGCCGAACTATACTGACGGTCTCGGTGGCGGTAATACGTGCGAGTATGAGATCTTTTACAATCAGTTCAACGCTATCAGCTTCACTGTTCCGGATAAGGACTCCACCGCACTTGATGAGCTACTTGCGCCATATATCAAGATACTGGAAGGTTTGAACATAACTTACACCTATAGTTCGCACACCTCGGATACATTTTACCAGCACTTCGACCGTGATTTTGGCCCGTTGCCTTATGGTCCGTTCCCCGCCAACACACTATTTAGCAATCGACTTTTCCCTCGCGAAGTAGTCGAAGATACGGCCAAGAACCTGGCTCTGGTGAACACAATTCGCAATTACACAGAATTCCAAGATGGGTACTGGTGGCTTGGTTGCGAATCTCTTCGCGTCAATAGTACCAGCCACCCGGATAACTCGCTCCACCCCGCATGGAGGGAAGTTATCGGGATCTGCACTGTTGAGGGGTACTGGAACTGGACCATACCGCGATCCGAAATGTATGATCGCAAGAGACACATGGTGACCGAGATTATCCCATCAATCGAGGCCGTGACCCCGGGCTCTGGTTCATACCTTAATGAAGTGGATTCTTGGTACCTTGGCGATTGGAAGGATAACTTCTATGGGATCAATTATCCCCGCCTTCTGGATGTCAAGGGCAAGTATGATCCTGGTCATTTATTTTACGCCTACACGGGCGTTGGAAGTGATTATTATACTACGGATGGTAGTGGGAGGTTATGTAAGGCTTGATTGGTATTTAATATTGTATATATTGAAAGTATTCACCGAATTTAATGAAGAAATGAAATAAGCTATAGTCCTAATTGGTGTGCTAAGTGGGGGTTATAGTAGACCTCCTATTCGGGAAGTTGTAGCGAATCAGCATCTAGGATAGAATTACACGTTTTTGGCGGAACGCTATCTTGACCAATGATGTCTCAGAGAATTTGACAGAATCGGCAAGTGGCTTTTTAGTACTTCACGTACCAAGATACCGACTTAAGTACCTACTTTAAGTAGTGAAGTCCCCAATCATCACATCGTCTTCAAATTGAGCTAACCCGAAGAGAAGCACAATTTTCAATTTGCTAGGTTGGGCTTACGATGTAAAGATTGAGAAGTCGTATTAAGGCTCACGGACACCGCACATCAATATGATACCGTTTGATCCGGCGCGTATTAGCATAAATGGTTTGATGAGATTGAGTAATTCCATTTTATCAGAAATGACCAAATTCCAGCCTTGCGGTCGGACTCCTTTTTCTAATAATACTTCAGAGGGGTTTAGTCATGCGATTCAGGGCCACTGCCGTTTGCAAGGTTGCATCTACCGGCAGGGTTACCCTGTATCGTCTAAGGCACCCCCAGAATTACAAGGCAGCCAAGCAACCAGAATTGCCAGACTCGTTTGACGCCACGATAAACTGGGAATACTATGACGGACCCATTACCTTTATCAGAACAAGGCACAGCCGATGGGCAGGCAATGGGAGGCCGATTAGACGGGAATCCTACGGATTTAGTGCTACCCTATTGCTGCAAATTCGATCCTGAAGACTCCACCCAAATTGTCCAAAATGCCTCGAATAAGCATAGTACGGATCGTCATTCCCAATCGCTTTACTAATAGTGTACCAACCAACAGTGATAGGATTATCATGCAGTTTTAAAAGATCCCTCTACAAGACTACGCAAATCGCAGCAATAGTTTATCCTCCCGTCCTTGCGCGGAGCGTAGTAAATGCGTACGTCATGTTGTCGTCCTCATATCACGATAGTCTAGGCCCTTCGTTGTTAACGAATGGTAGGTAAATGATGACACCGAAAGTTGTGTAACGAGATCTAACCAGGCTTTCCTGTATCCGAAGTATCCAGTGCGACATGCATATGAAGTATAATACATCTGTAGTATATGTAATACGGTGTACGAAATGTCCCTGGTACCTAGGTACTTTTAGCACAATTCCTATTATGTATGTAAGCCCGAGCTGAATCAGTGATGGTGGTGTTGCGATCATCCTGCGGGGGGTCGACGCACATATGTAAGAAGGCCGATACCACCACCACGGAACACATGCCGCACTCTTCTGTCCCAAAAAGTAACCTCTTCTCATTGGGTCTCTTATCTGATACCACCGGGTCAGACATACATAGTGTGTGGGGCCACTCGTCCAACCAGTTTAAGGTCCGATGCCATCCAACTATAGAGCAGCGTAGATTTTTGCGGCTGCGGCTTGGTTGGTAAGACAGACACTCCTTCGAATTTTTCCTTCCCGATTACTGTCTCACCTTCCCTAAGACAACACCAAGAGGCGAGAGTGCGTAAAAAGAAAAGATGGCTTTCGAAGTCTTCAAGGACTCTCAACAGGGTGCCGCCTTTGTAATTTGTGTGGTAACGACTCCAGTATGTATCTTGGCGACTTATTTGCGATTCGTCGCTACGAAGCGCGCCCATCGCAAAATCGGCATTGAAGATTGGTTTTCACTGGTGGCTCTGATCTTCTTCGTACCATATACACTTATCTTCATCTATCGTGAGTAACTTTCCAACCTAAGTTGAAGAGATGATCGGCTTCTAATGAGCTCTTTCTCTCCAGTTTTGACAAGACTAAATGGAAAATCGCTGCAAGAACTCGCGAAGCTTCCTCCTGAGGAAGGAATGCACATCTTGAAGGTAATAACCTCATGATTACTCATAACTTGCGGCGCAGCCATACTGAGTAACGACCCCTCTTCTAGGTCGGATGGGCTATGTCACCACAGTTCTGCGGAAACCAGCTCTTCTCCAAACTCAGTCTATTCGCCCTCTACTATCGCATATTCTCGGTGAACGAGACATTCCTACGATGGATATACTCCCTTGTCGGCCTTCAGATCGCCTGGTTCATCTCGGCGTACGTGGTCAAATGGAATTTGTGTTCGCCCGCGCCTTTCGCTTGGGATAAGACAATAGAGGGTGGCACTTGCATTGATATAGGGGCCTTCCTTGCTGCGAGCGAGACTATTAACTCCTTGGTCGACTTCGCTATGATTGGACTTGCGGTTTGGATTGTGCAGTCGCTGCAAGTGGACACATCTACGAAATGGAGGCTTTGCATTCTATTCTCATTGGGAGGCTTGTATGTTGGTGTCGCCCCGAAGGATAATCTTACAGACACTAATTGTGTATAGGTCCGGAGTCATTGGTTTCATCAAGATCGGAGAAGCATACAGTGCCGCATGTGAGTAAACTTTTGTGTAACTCCAGATAGGGGATCCCTGGAGCATATTGCTGACCCGACATATCTAGACACAAATATCCTTGACCCAATTTGGGATATTGTTCAGATGGCTACCAGTATCATATGCTGCTGCGCGCCTATCTACAGATCCTTGGTGATCGAATTAGGCTCCGTCAGGAGGCTAAGCTCGAAATTAAGTTCTCAGCTTGGTCTCACTTGGCTTAGGACGAGGTCATCTCAGACAAGGAAGTCAAGTTGGACAGATTCCAATACCAACAAAAGCAAATCACGGACGCGCGACGAGAATTGGATGCCAATTGATGGCTCTAGTCAAAGAGAATTAGCATGGGAAGTTTCCGCGGCACCTTACAACCATGCAGCACACGCAGAAGATGGGCGAAGCCACCATTCAGATAACCCTGTTTATCCGATGAAGACCTTGGAGGTACGACAGAATATTGAGTTTGTTTAACGACCGGGATTGTTATGATTATGGGATCAAGATACCTAGGTAGTTTAGGAGTTTAGGGATTCAATTAAGGAAAGACATGATAACGCGTTATGCCTCTTGTAGTTTCATAAAGGAGTGACTTGCCCAAAGTAGGAGATAAAGGCCTTTTCCAACCCCTCTTGGATCGTCAACCTTAACAGCCCCGCCTCCTTGGAGTCTGGGGACCTTGGGAGCGTCAAGGATAGTGGGGACTATCGTGGGGGCCGCCATGTGGACTTAGCCCTGGCGATCGTAGCACATGATAGTATAGTATCAAGAACCCTGAATTATTATCGGACCGAGGAATATGTATCGATAACAGATTCTTGCAATAAACCCAGATGATTCCTAATGTTTTACAAGGAGATAGGATTATGCCATTAGTAGGGGTGGTTGGTTAGGAATACGACCTCAGAGGCATATCTTCCTCGTGACTTACATTATACCCATTGCAGCAGTTATGAATACACCTATACTGGTAGCTATCCACACTAAATGCAACGTCATCAAAGACATAAGCACCGATTCTGCAAGTTACAAGACAGGGAGTATAACTGGTTCGATTTCAAAAACGTGTACATATTGGTGCTTCGAACTAAGCTGCATGGGATGCTGGGTAGCCAACGAACATCTTGGCGCTTAGGACTCTTAAGTACCAAGTACGCACCAAAAGTTCCCAGCACGTTGTTCTCAGCCTTAAGTGTCTTGATAGTACCCCAAATGTAGAGGGATGTATCGTTTTACCAAGCGGCCTACTTTAGGTAAGAATTTAGAAATTACGAATTTCTTGGTTGGGAAACAGTACCATGTAGCGACCGGTTTGCCTTATCTCTTCTTAGTAAGTGAATACATAGACTCAATGGCTTCCTACCGGAAGAGAAGGAGAAAATGTCTCGAGAGCTATAAGCTCCGCCTCTATTTTTAACCACACCTCAGACGCCCATAATGTCTAATCCGGCCAATGAGCCAATCGCCATCGTTGGAAGTGCCTGCCACTTTGCCGGAAACGTTAGCTCCCCATCAACACTATGGGACCTACTCAGCGATCCCAAGGATGTTCGTCAGGAGATTCCAAACAGTCGGTTCAATACCGATAGCTTCTATCACCGACGTCATGATCAACCTGGCCATTCGAGCGTCAAGCACTCGTACTTACTGGATGAGGATGTGAGCGCTTTTGACGCTGAATTTTTTAACATCAAGCCCGTGGAGGCCAAGGCCATTGATCCACAGCAAAGATGGCTGTTGGAAACAGTCTACGAGGTAAGTGCTTTCCATGTCTATAAAACCCATCAGAACCGGACCGCTCACGTAAATATTGCGTAAAAGGGCCTTGAGGCTGCGGGCTTACCCGTCGAAAAGCTCAGGGGTAGCGACACAAGTGTGTACGTAGGAGTTATGTGTAGCGATTACGAATCGATAAATCTCAGAGATCTCCAAGCCATACCCACATATTTGGCAACGGGGACGTCGAGGAGCATCTTGGCAAATCGTATTTCGTATGTCTTTGACTGGCATGGCCCATCAGTCACTGTCGAAACAGCGTGCTCTTCGAGTTTAGTCGGCCTTCATATGGCCGTACAAACTCTCCGAACAGGCGATTCCAAAGTAGCAGTCGTGTGCGGATCGAACCTCATTCTTGGACCCGAAAATTATGTTGTCGAGAGTCAACTTAACATGTTATCGCCAGATGGCGTGTGTAGAATGTGGGATCAGGATGCTAATGGATACGCGTGAGTGGATGGCCTGATCCTTTTAACAGTTAAATGCTGATCCTGAGAATCTAAAGGCGAGGAGATGGGGTTGCTGCCCTTGTTCTTAAAACCCTTAGTAGAGCAATTGCTGACGGGGACCACATCGAATGTATAATCCGGGAAACCGGAGTGAACCAAGATGGCGCTACACCTGGTATTACGGTCCCTAGCGTGTCAGCCCAACGCGCCTTGATCCGTCATACATATGCCAAGGCAGGCCTCGATCCTCTGAATAAGCCGGAAGACAGGCCACAGTATTTTGAAGCACATGGGACCGGAACACCAGCAGGCGATCCTATAGAAGCTGAGGCAATCTATCGGGCTTTCTTCGCGGATGAAAACCATGAAAACGAACACCAAACCACTTCCCATCCTCTACTCGTGGGCTCCATAAAGACAGTATTAGGACATACCGAAGCAACAGCTGGACTGGCTGGTATCCTCAAAGCGTCACTGGCGCTACAACACTCCTCTATTCCACCAAATCTTCAATTCCGAAACCTTAGTCACCGTGTGGCCCCATTCTACCACAATATTGAGATAGTGCACGATGCTGCGAAGGCCTGGCCCGTCCTTCGGGATGCTGCACAGTGGCACAGACGGGCTAGTGTGAACAGCTTCGGGTTTGGCGGAACCAATGCGCATGCCATCCTAGAGAATTTTGTCGACTCGCAGAGGGTGGCTGCAGGTGGCGTTCTCTATACCCCATTCGTATTCTCCGCCAGCTCCGAGTATTCCTTGCGTGCTAGTCTTTCAGCTTATAAAGACTTCTTGAATCTCAATCCAACGCTGAATCCACATGATCTTGCTTGGACTCTCCGTTCGCGTAGGTCTGTCTTGGCACATCGCGCGTGTTTTGCTGCGTCGTCTATACATGAGTTGAAAGACCAGCTGAATGCCGCCTCGCAAGACAAAAACAATACTAGTATCGGAGTTAGGGTTAGTGGCAACTTCAGCAGTGATCATGTCCCGAACAGGCTTCTGGGCGTATTTACAGGTCAGGGTGCACAATTCGCACGGCTCGGAGCGGAGTTATTAGAGCAGTCCATAGCGGCAAGGCGCATCCTAAAGGGGCTCGAGGCGCACCTTGCCGCCCTACCCGAAGAAGATCGCCCCTCATGGTCCTTATCCGATGAGTTACTCGCCTCTAGTGATTCCTCCAGGATAAACGAGGCTACCATTTCACAACCACTATGCACGGCAATACAGATCTTGCTAGTGGATTTGCTGGCTCTCGCCGGCGTGCGGTTCGACGCCGTGGTCGGCCACTCGTCCGGCGAAATCGGCGCAGCCTACGCTGCTGGTATACTGTCGGCACGGGACGCTTTGCTGATAGCCTACTTTCGAGGGGTGTACGCAGAGCGTGCCGCAAGTCCGAACGGTGACCAGATCCGCGGTGCTATGCTGGCCGTAGAAACCTCACTTGAAGATGCAGAAGAATTATGTCGCGATGCCCTGTTCGCTGGACGACTGGGTATTGCAGCGTACAATTCTCCTACGGGAGTAACTTTCTCGGGAGATGAAGACGCTATTGATGAATTGCAAGACTTGTTAGAGGACGAAAACAAATTCCATCGACGATTGCGAGTCGACAAAGCCTACCATTCCCGCCACATGACCCCCTGTTGCGAGCCCTATGTCGAATCGCTACGACGGAATGGCGTAAAAGCCCTGAAGCCGTTGCGACAGTCAGGATCGCAACAGTGTCAATGGTTTTCGAGCGTCTACAATCGAGTCATCGATCCTGAAAAGGATGACGAGCTTAGCGATACATACTGGATCGAGAATATGACCCGACCAGTTTTATTCACCCAAGCGCTCGAGACGGCGCTCCTCTCCGCGAAGCCTACCCAATTTGACCTCATTGTCGAAGTCGGTCCCCATCCAGCACTACAAGGGCCAGCCGCCGCAACAATCCAGAAGGCTTTGGGGAAGAATATTCCATACCATGGGACTTTATCTCGAAAGGCTAGCGCCGTAACTGCCATGTCCAGTTGCCTAGGTTTCTTATGGCAATACAGTCGTCGCTCTTCATTCACCAATCTTGACCTAGACAATTACGAGCGGGCCATGTCAACCTCCGATGACACGCAACAATTAATACAAACAACCGGTGAGCCTAACTTCAAGCTCATCGAAGGTCTACCACCGTACCGATGGAACCACACGACCAAACACTGGGCCGAGTCGCGGATCTCTCGAAGAATGAGACTCCATCAGGGACCTTTCCACCTATTACTAGGCCATGCGACACCCGACAGTAGCCCGCATCACCTTCGTTGGCGCAATATTCTAAGCGCGGCTATGGCCGGCAAAGAAGATGACGATGAGAATGATGAGCTCGCCTGGATGGCAGGCCATAGCGTCCAGGATCAAACAGTCTTCCCGGCGGCGGGATACGTGACGACTGCGGTAGAGGCGGCGAGAGCCTTGTCTTCGACCCCAGCCGGCATTTCTATCGTCGCCGCCCTGAAGAAGAAAGTAGGGGAAGCGAAGTATCTTATCGAGATACGTGATCTCGAAATTCGTCAAGCCATCGCCCTCAAGTCCAACAGCAGTGAAGACGGTATCGAGGTGCTCATCGAATTGGCCGACATTGCCCCTATCCCTTCGCGAAATAGTATTCGCGCGCGATTCACGTACTCGGCGGGTCTAGGGAATAATGACGATTCGTTAACGCTGACTGCAAGCGCCAATGTCGAGGTTGTATTCACAGGAAATAAACTGGGCGCCGAGCAATTGCCAATACGACCACCTATCGCACCGCACATGATTGACGTCGACTCCGATCGGTTTTATACATCGCTGGCGAAGTTAGGATACAACTATGCTGGAAAGTATCGGTCGATGAAAGAGCTGAAACGAAAACACGGTAGATCGTCTTGCCAGATTAAATCAAACAACAGGAGGGGTGAAAATGACGGAAGCACGTCCCTACTTGTGCACCCCGCTGACCTTGACGCTGCGTTCCAATCTGTCTTGTTGGCTTACAGCTATCCTGGAGATGGACAGTTGGGTACACTGTATTTCCCTTTGCGTATCGAGTCGGTACGAGTAGATCCAACAGTTTGCACACGCGATGCGAATACCACGAGCGAATGCGACAGCCTCAGTTCTATCGATGCGGTTTTACATCTTCCAAATGCAAGAAAGAAAATAAGAACTTCAGTACCCGTCCCGCGAGGTGGGTTCGTCGGCGATGTCTCAATCTTCCCCAATGCTGCTTCCAATGCAGCCATCCAAGTCCAAGGCCTGCAAGTCGTGCCGTTCCGTGATCGACCAGGCGAAGATAAAGACCGCAAGATCTTCACCAAGATGCATTGGGTCGATACGACACCTGATGGATTGGCTGCCGCGGCCCGCGATCACGAACTCGTTATGTCTCTAGAAAAACGAGCCACGCTTACGGCGCTGAAGCGTCTCGCTCGATTCTACTTACGTCAATTCGATGCCCAAGTACCTATCTCGTCCCCTCAACGATCGTTCTCCGAAAGCGGACACAACGCGTATTATCTAGAATATGCGCACCAAGTAGCAACATCGCTCACAGATGAGGAACTACGAGATACAGAAGAGGATGTTCAAAAGGCGGTCGAGACAATAAAGGAGATGCCTGATGCGCGAGTAATACATCTCGTGGGTCAAACAATGCCGCGCGTTTTCCGGGGTGAAACTACCATGTTAGAGGCGTTGCGACAGACGGGTGTGCTGGATGAGTACTATCTGAACAGCTTTGCAAACGCGCCGTCTGGCCATTGGCAGGCGAACATAATATCTCAGATTGCAAATCGGAATCCACACTTGAATATGCTTGAAGTTGGTAAGTACTTCCTACTTATTAGTTCTGGGTGAGTTGAGGCTAATGGTGTCCAAGGTGCCGGCACGGGTGGAACTACGAAGCCGATCCTTCGTCTCCTTGGCAATCGCTTCAAGAGTTATACGTTCACTGATGTGTCGGCTGGTTTCTTTGGTTCTGCGGCCGAAACTCTTTCTACATATAAAGATCGGCTTATTTTCAAGACACTAGATGTAGAAAGCGACCCAACCATTCAAGGGTTTTGTCCTGGTGGCTACGATGTCATCATCGCCTCGTTTGTGCTACATGCCACGGCCTCGCTATCGCGAACATTGGCACACGTGCGCTCGCTTCTCCGACCTGGTGGCTACCTTATTGTTGGTGAAGGCACCGTTGATAATACAGTATCGAGTTTCATCTTCGGCCCGTTGACAGGTTGGTGGCTTGGACGCGGTGACGAAGGACGCACGATGACACCGCACGTTTCGACAGAGCAATGGGACCGGTTGCTTCGGAAAGCAGGTTTCTCAGGGATTGACGCTACGCCTCCTGCTACCTGGGAGGACGCCTTGAACGTCAGCCTCTTTATGTCGCAAGCTGTTGATAACCAAATAAGTTTCTTACGAGAACCCCTCACCTCCTCGGTGCCACCACCAATGCCAATGATACAACTAGTGATCGTTGGCGGCCAAACGCCTCAAGTCGCAGGTCTTGTCAAGGATATTAGAAGACTCCTCGAGCCATTCTTCAGCAGAGTACATCACTTCCCGTCGCTGGTGGATGTGGACTATGATGGCGTTCTCGGCGACGAAACACGCCAACCCGCCGTGCTCAGCTTGACTGACCTTGATAAGCCCGTATTCCAAGACATAACAGAAACAGAGTTCGTCGCTTTTCAGCGTATGTTTCAGACTGGAAAAGCGCTTCTTTGGGTAACTAGCGGGAGGCGGCATGATGAACCGTACAGCAACATGGTGGTAGGCTTCGGCCGGACGGCCGTGCACGAAATCAAGGGCCTATGCCTCCAACATCTCGATATAAGAGATCCCGCGAAAGATGATACAGCGCGTAAAATTGCAGAGACACTTTTGCGCCTTGGATCAAGGCCGATTCCTGTCGAAGAAGAGCCAGATGACAGTATTTTGTGGACAGTTGAGCCTGAAATCGTTGTAGATGAAGACGGGCGTTATCGTGTCGCACGCTTACAACCCCTTCGCGAGCCAAACGACCGATATAATTCCGGTCGGCGAACAATTACGCGAGAGGTGAACGTAACTGAGCGTGCTGTCGCGATACAACGTGATGACAAAGACAATATTACTATCGAACGGCTTCCTCCTACGGTCACTAACCGAAGCGAAGATTCCAGCAGTCTCGAGGGAACCCGTATCAAATTGTATACAAGTTATGCGACTCTGTCTGCATTATGGACTCCTCTTGGTCATAAGTTCTTGGTTCAGGGAGTAGACGCCACGGGAGCAAAATACTTGGCTCTTGCGCCTTCCCTGACGTCGATTATCAACCTCTCGGTGAAGAGTACTATTCCGTTACCAGACACTGGACATTCTGGAGCGAAGGCTTTATCCTCGGTTGCTGCCCACTTGATAGCAACGACTATTATTGATTCTCTTTTCCAGGGCCAGACTATATTAGTACACAATGCAGCAGAGAGTATCGCCCATGGGATTACCTCTCACGCTGCCGAAAAGGGAGTAACGGTAGTATTCGTCGCCGACGAGTATATCCCACAGCATACAACAGACATAACCGGCGCGAGTCCCCTCATTCTACCCCCATACCTCACTAGAGCCGAACTTTGGGAACTTCTTCCAAGCATGGCCGAGACCTCCAGCTTTATTAGTTTTACTCCAGATGGTCAGCACTCCGAAACCCGTGGCGCAATTATCGCAGCCCTGCCACCTCGATGTCGCAAAGGAACCCCCGAGAGCCTCTTTTCGAGCATAGGATACGATAGCAACCTCACATCAGACGGTGTATTAACCAAACTTCTCAACGAAGCGGTAAGCTATGCTCAAAGAGAAAGCGATACTTACGTACACGAACCGAATATCATAAGCCTAGGGGATCTCGTTGAGAGAGAAGCCACAGCGAATGAAGCTTCTATTGAAAATAGCGAAGAAAAGAAACAATTTGACGCTCTGGCAGTTGTCGCCTTAACAGTTCCGGCTCCCCTTCCGGCCCGCATTACGAGACTCGATGCCGGGAGAACGATGTTCAAGGCCAACAAGACCTACTGGATGGTTGGTTTAACTGGCGCCTTAGGCGTCTCGCTCTGTGACTGGATGATTGGGGCGGGCGCTCGCCATATCGTATTGAGTAGTCGAAGCCCTCAAATCGAGTCGGCGTGGGTAGAGTCGCATCGTCGTAGTGGCATAGACGTGACCGTAATCCCATGGTGAGTCCCTCAATTCCTACGCCCAAGTTGCATTGTACTAATTACGGGCTTCCAAGTGACATAACGAACTACGACAACCTAGCCGCCGTCCACGCAAGCCTACGCACCACCCATCCACCGATTGCCGGCGTCCTCAACGGCGCCATGGTATTACGCGACACATCGGTCCATACCATGACATATACCCATCTTGTCGAAGTCGTGCGCCCGAAAGTGCTGGGAAGTTTAAACCTCGACCGATTATTTTCCTCCGACAAACCGCCCCTCGATTTCTTCATACTCTTCTCTTCAATCAATTGCATTATTGGAAACCAAGGTCAAGCCAATTATGCAGCAGCTAATGCATTCCAATGTGCACTAGCTGCAGCGCGAAGGCGCCGTGGACTCCCAGGAGTAGCAGTCAATATTGGTGCAATTATAGGGGCAGGCTATATCCAGCGGTCCTCTACACGCATCCTGGACTTAACTGTCACACGAGGTGCTATGATGCATCTGTCCGAGGAGGACTTCCATCAACTTATTGCTGAGGGAATCGCGGCAGGGTACCCCAGCGAAGGCGATGAGGATGTTGGGGATGACGATGATAGGACGCCCGAGCTCACGACAGGATTGTTAGAAGTGCCTTACGACACGGCCGAAAGACCATTTTGGTTTACAGATCCGAAGTTTGCACACCTCATCGTAGAGAAGAGTCAAAATGCCGGCAAAGAATTGGGCCTTACATCAAGCAATGGCGGTAATGTGGATGGAAATGCAACATCAGCACCATTGTCAGTCAAGGAGCAACTTCAATCGTGCCAGACAAAGCAAGATGCAGAACGGATTGTAGGACAATCATTTGCTGCCCAGCTACGCTCTCAATTACAAATGACAATCGACGATGAAGAATTGATGGGAATGCGTAGTAACGAGATCGGACTTGACTCTCTGGTCTCGGTCGATATTAGGAGTTGGTTCATCAAGACAATCGCCGTGAGCATTCCTGTGCTTCGCATTATGAGCAACGATACCATGACGAACCTCGTACAACACGCTGTAGAGCTACTACCCCAAGAAGCATTACCGCAAGCTTCCGTTTCCAATGAAACGAATGACGCTGCGCAAGATGAATCGACATCAACTAGCCCCACGGACCCCTCCGCGAATTCCACGTTAGAATCGTCGACCAGCGCTTTGACTACCTCTGATACTAGTCCCGTCTTAATTGACTGGGACGCCGAAACAGCGCCTCCCGATACTCCCGATGATGACAACTATAGCAAAGTACTATCAGACCTAACCCAATCCCAAACCGCAATTCATCCGCCGCAGACTATCGTCCTGACTGGCGTAACTGGCTTCCTTGGTCGACACATCCTACAACATGTCCTTCAAACCACACCTACCATTACCAAGATAATATGCATAGCTGTACGCCATCTCCCAGAACAACCAGCCGACCCCAATGCCGACTCAAACCGCATCACCTACTTCACCGGCGACCTCACGCTCCCCCGTCTAGGCCTCTCTCTCTCCGACAGCGTCTCCATCTTCAGCACTGCAGACGCCGTAATTCACGCCGGCGCCAGCACCTCGCACTTAAGCACATACGCTTCCCTCCGAGCCGCTAACGTCGGCGCAACCTCCGAGCTCGCGCGTCTATGTGTACCCCGGAAGATCCCAATACACTTCATCTCAAGCGCGGGCGTAGGCCTAATTCCCGGTAGTGAACCCGCGCTCCGACCCGCCAGAGCGCCTGGTACACCATTAGCAGCTGTAAACGAAGCGGGCGAACGTGCGGGTGATGTGCTAACGCATGGTGGGTATATCGTAAGTAAATGGGCATGTGAACGACTCCTAGAACGTACAAACGAGGCGTACGGACTACCAGTTACAATTTATAGGCCAAGTACTATTATCCGCGAGGGCCGTGATGCGGAAGGTGGGCGCGCGAGTTTGGATTGGATGACGGGTTTGGCGCGGTATGTGCATGTGCTAAAGGCTCTACCGGAGATTAGGTATGTGAAGGGTGTGTTGGATATGGTGTATACGCGTAGTGTATGTGAAGATATAATACGCGGTGTGGCGAGGGAAGAGGCTGGGGTGTTGTATGTGCACTCTGTGGGCGATATCGTGGTCCCGCTTGATCGTATGCAGGACTTGTTGAAGTTGGATCCGAAGGCGTTTGCGGGTGAGCAAACTTCTGCGAATCTGAATGAGGTTGGTCAAGGAGGGGTTGCTGATGATAGTTGCGAAGTTCTACCTATGGCTGAGTGGACCGCTAGGGCGATTGCTAAGGGGCTTCATCCCGCTGTCGCGGCGCTGATTGAAGAGATGGATGGGCCGGGGAAGCCCAGCTTTCCGAAGCTATTGAAATCTTCTACGGTCGAATAACCGGACGCATAGGTGCCCCAGAGTAATCGAATTCATTCTGAATCAAATACATATCTACGCTAACACAATAGCTAAGCAGACACATATTAAGTACATCAGAATTTTCAAGACATGACCAACTCGGATTCATGGACTTAGTTAAAGTCGGCTTTCTCCTTTAAAATGGACATGATTTCACCACACGTCTGACGATATAATTCATTACTGCGTTCAGTTGCGAAAAACATGGCTGGCCTGAAAATTGTTAGCAAGAACCAGTCTACTATGCAACTAAACTACTCACGGTGGTAACTCGTCATTTAGCCAGAGCTTTCCATGACTTTCGCGCCCTAAGCCAGTAGCACTAACCAATGTTCGAGCTCCTTGCTCAGCAGTCCTTGCGCACAAAAGTTTGTATGGGTACAACATTATATTCGTGAATAGGCCATAATGTCGGTGAAGATTCGTCCAGCTCAAAGCCGGACAGCAACAATTGATCACGACAGTTTCGTCATCCTTGGATGAATTCGATATTCCTTGTATAAAATATCTCGCTGCCAGCTTAACCAAGTAGTATTGAGAAACATGATCGAATTTGGACGAATCGCCGATGCGGTCAATTAAAGATTCTCCAGGTTCTATCCACTTCTCGTCGAACTCTTGTGTGGCCATACTATTGAGAATGCAGAGATGCGCAGGGTCCTGACTTCCCGATCGACGCCCTGTATCTCGAATTTTGGGAAGTAGGAGAAGTGCCATGAGAGCCGTTGACAGCACATTAACTTGCAAATTTATTTCGTAACCCTCAGGCCCAAGGGCAAATTCCGGTATCATCACCCCAGCGCAGAGAAGGGCGACGTGTAGGTCGTCAACCTGCTCGTAGACTTGACGAGAAAACTCCTTCACAGACGCGAACCTCTCTAAGTCCACTGCCATCACAGTAATATCGGCTTTAGTTTTCGTTTTATCGATGATCGACGCCTTAGCCGCTTCGCCCTTTTCTTTCGACCGCGCGACCAATATCAATTTCGACGCCCCCAATTGCGCGTACTTAATTGCGGCGTGGAAGCCCATTCCCGAGTTAGCCCCAGTGACTAACACAGTCTTCCCCTCAAAGGAGAGATGCGTAGGGTCAGCAGGAGGGTTTCTGGCGTCCCAGAACTGCTGTATAAGCGACGGCATCTTGGAGTTGAGTAACGACTGGAGCAAGAAAGATTCAAGGGTGAAGTTGAGCTTCGTCTTTTGTGAATGAAACCTTGGAGAATAAAGTACCGGCCTTCGGGGGTCAATCTTATTACTAACAGTTTTACTGATAATATGCTGTGCCGCAGTTGAACAATTACCTAGGTAGGTACCTAGGTAGGTAGTTAGGTAAAGTTATATCGCACGAGCCATAAATCTGTTCCGTTGGTGGTTAAGGCTTTGTATCGAAGAATTGACTGAGAGCGTAAACATAAGGTGTGTTATAGGGAAGCAGGGCATGCTACGATATTCAAACCACTATAATACCTAGTATTGTTGGTTGGGCGACGGAAAACTTTGGTACCCATGCTTGAGATATCTATTTTAAACTGAACACGTAAGAGGACGTATGGGTTTCTCACGCTCAAAGTAATACATTGTAATCGTGGTTTTTCGGTCGACGCGATTGCGCGAGATAGTGACAGAGTGCATAATTATGGCATAGAACTATATGGTTTCAACGCCTAGTTGTTACATTTTTCTGCTTAGCTCGAGCAAGAAATCCCCCCATTCTTAGATCGGTAGTAGCGAATCTAATTAGGAAACGAGTACTATGATCTGGAAAAACTAAGATGACTTTTCACGGGTGGAATGAACCGAAACTCCAACGTACCACTCATCTTGGAACATGTCCAGTCTTCCGTATGATTGCAGGCAGAATTACGAAATTCGACAACTAGCCAAAGTGGCTTGCTGCCGAAGAGGTAGTCCCGGTTTTTTGTGTTACAAAAGCATATGTGTGTCGGTTTCGCAAAGCTCCGTTCGTTGTCTATCAGGACTCGGCACTGACCTAGTGCTCTTTGGCTACCATTTTCGTAGTATAGCAGTATACCAGAACAGTAATTCGTATAATTACTATAAAAAACTCGAGCTTTCCTCACGTTTTCCAAGGGTGCTGATGAGAAAAAGTCGCCTCCATATATAGGATCAACGGGAACTCGATGCTGCTCGGCACCATCAATCGTCATGAAGTTACGATCGGCTTGTTTGGGAAAGACTGTGAAAGGCGGAATTATGGAACCCATGCTGCTATTATATATGAGACTCGCCGCCGGCGGAATCTCATTGAGCGAAAATTCATGAAGAAAGGGAAATCCAACGAGAACATCGCCTGCTAACAAAAATCGAAACTGTGATCTTTAGAAATTAAACCTAGAATTGCTTATCGTCGACTTACTAGAAAGCTAAGAGGAGCTATTTGGTCGAGATTGGCTATTTCTGCTTTTATTTGCTGAGAGGCGAACCCAACTAATTTGTCTTGAGGGGGAATGGGAACATAGATACATGCTAAAAATGGTGGACGCTCGATGGTGGGGTTGATGAATCGAGCACGCGGTGCAGTTCTCGTGTGATTGTGAATATAATGAAGAAATCCCCGAGAATAGAAGAATGTGATACCTGTGCTTTCCTCCAAGTCAATGGTTTGGAGACGCAGATTTTGTGTACATTGAGGGTCCGCATCGGATGGTATGGAGAACCCAGGGGGCGTTGGCGTATCCCAAGTTGCGAAGGGTATATTGGTTACTGGGAGGGTGAGGCGCAAGAGGCCGTTCTAAGATCGTCAGCTTTAACCTTTCAAATTTCAACTAAGTACTAGAGAGAATTATTACCGTAGATTGAACCGTTGTATTACTAAATTCGCTCTCATTTTCGACAACAAACACAAGATCATACCGTCTAAGACTGGAAAAGGGTGGTCGACAGGCCAATCGTTCGACCTTTTGTAACCCGTGGACATCGATAGACAATCGAACAATAGGCAAGTTGAGGTCTGGTTCGGACATTATACAGGTATCTCCACGTTCCCATTTGGATATTCGGTTTAAAGGTATAGTTGTCGAAGACCTCGTTCTTGGCATTGAAAGATCCTTAGCGAGTGCTCGTGAGAGAGCATACCGGAACACTACATGGTGCTCTGGAATATATTCTTGAATTACTAGTTGAAGTTCCCGGGGGAGGCGAGAAAAGCCTTTTAAACCGCAACTTTCAACAATGTATGAGAAGGCTGCGAGGTCCATCTGATATTTAAGTCAGGTGGGGGGAGCTTGTCGCCATGGGTATCGCCAAGTGGAAATGCGCCAGAGATCCTCAATTTTATTTTTCGACTCACATTCTCGTAGGAAAAGCTGTAGGCAGTCTATATGTAGTGTAGCGGCATCGGAAGACGCTGTACAATAGGAGCACCTTAAAAACTCATCCTCGCAGAAAAACCGCTCGGGAGACATCTTCGGGGACCATGTGAGTGGCTGGTAGTATGACCCAGGGATAGATCTATAGAGGATGGTGAACGGTTCGGCTGGTAGTTTATGAGTGGTAGAGATTGAGTTGCAGACCACTGTTAGGCCGTTAGATTGAAACACGCCTGAGGTGGATATAGCGTGGACATCAGACACCACTTACCGACACTACATGGTTCCCGGCCGTGAATATAATGGTCACAGATATCGCAGCAGGGCCGGACTCTAACATGGCTGAACTGTCTGATTGGACTACACGTGTCTGAGGTATTGGACATGATTGAGATGGGAAGTTTCTACTTAGTAGAAGTAGAGGGCAGGCTTATGAGAGAATAGATGATATAGCTGATGTTGAATCGAGAGAACTGTTCATAAATAGGCCAAAACATCGTAAGATACCTTCTCAGATTGACGCCATTTGCCTGGTTGTCTCTGCCGTGTCTACTTTGGTTGGCCACCTATCGTCACCCTCTAGATCAGTTTTCTACATGGGATATAAAAATTACCTATTTAATAGTATACTGTTATGTATTTCTTTAGCTTATATATATGTTCTGGAGGGTTGAGTTACCTGATATAATTGAGGTAGGTTCTAAGGTTGTATAGGTGTGTGTAAAGATTACATCCATTATAACTACCTAGGTAGGCATTCTCTTGTTTGGCTTGTTGGTACCCGTGGGTTCCCCACTTTTCCCCAACCAATTAATTTAACAGTACATCCGCCATGTACATGTACTTCTGTATATAACGTACGTGCATATAATGTGCAGAGCTCGTAGAATTATGTACGTTATGCATGTGTATTGATAAGATAAGGAGATAAGCTGACCTGCACCTATGTATGTATGTACCTAGGTACAGTATCTACTGTGCTACTTTAGTGACTTTGGTGACTTTAGTGCGGACCTTCTAAGGCTGACAACTTCCTACAACCGACAACTGACGTCGATCTAATTGTAGACGCATTGGATCTGTAGAACAACTATCACTGGTCTTAAGGCCTGAACGAGTTTGTCTCGAATCTCCTGCTTATAGCCAGTAATTCAATTCAACATCTTCCTCACAACTTATGCTAGGACACAACCACCGCGCATCGTGCTCTGCTTATCCCGAATTGTCGCGAGAGCTGACCCTCCAGATCTTCGATGCCCTCTCGTCTAAACGGCAGCCTAGACCCCAACAGGGTGCTAGCACGTTCAGTTTCTATAATATGAAGAAAGCATGACTTTCTTTCCTTACGAAACCTTAGTCCTCTACCTCCGTCATCATGTCTTTACGTCCGGGTCGTTATCGGTCCTCAACATCCGCATCGACACCGCTAGCGACGTCTAAAGCTACCGAAGTCCTCCAGTCCCTCCTCGATGCTGTCTCCTCAACCATCTCCACATCTCTAAGTGATGGGTATCCACGATTCGAACCATTAATAGGTCAGATCCGCCGGATCCAACAACACTTATCTGCGACAGCCCCACCCAGCTCCGTCCAAGACGATTTCAGACATCTTCGCGGATTTAAACGATTGTTCGACGTGCTCAAGTCCTTCTCCGGTTTCTATAATATCCAGAAAAGAGAAGATGGCGAGAAGAAGAGTTTCTTCGATCTCCTCAATGCTATTTTTGGTGTCTTAGCCGCAGCTTTCTGTGGTCATCCCGGTAACCGACGCTATTTTCGTACACGAGTCGAGGATGGCGGATGGGAAGCTTTGGAGCAAATCATAGCAAGCATTGGCCTCGGCGGGAGTGATTCAGATCTCTGGACAAGCTGTCAGCTGTTCGGGAAGCTTTTTACTTTAGCCCTCAACGATGCTGCACTCGATCAACTATGTTGCTCTGCGATACTGGATGATATTACCCCTTGGGTACTGGTTGGCCCGTCTGAATCTGGGTTGGGTGAAGACGGTACAAAGAGTGAGGACCACGAAATTGCCCGGATAGGTGATCATATGACATCAATTGAAGCAGCAATAAACAAGACCATCGGTCCAAAGTCGACTTTACAAAACGCCGAGGCTATTCGCACGATTGTAGATTTTTGGGGATCACTTCCACGAGATAACAAAACCCCAGAAAATACGGCGTCTTTGCTTGTGCTGAAGCTCTTATCATCCATTATAGCTGTTTCGAACATCAATCTGTGCTTGGTTCATGAGACTGGTGTCTTGTCTCGGTTCTTGGAACTCGCCTTCAAGCAGGATTCAGTTCTTAATGATACCGAGCGCGATACGGTTCTAGTCATTTGTCGATCTCTTATGCCATTTGGCGTAAATCGGCTTGCAGACGCACAAGGACTTCTACTTAACCCTTCTTTAGACTCGTCGGATTTCTGCTTAGAAGTAACGCACAAGTACTGCAGCCCTCCATTCATCCAATTCGACTTGTCTCAACATGGTCATTCCTCTATTGAACTACCAAGCATAGGACGTCCATTTCCCCCTCAGTCGTCTGCTGGATATACTTTTGCTGCTTGGATTCGAGTCGATCGATTCGACCCAAGATCCCATACTACCATTTTTGGCGCTTTCGACTCAACTCAGACCTGTTTTGTCCTCGCCTATCTTGAAAAAGATACCCACAATTTTATTTTACAAACTTCAGTTACTTCACAGCGACCCAGTGTCAGATTTAGAACCTTCACCTTTAAGGAAGGAAGATGGTATCATGTTGTCGTAGTCCATCGAAGACCTAAGACAATGTCACCCAGCAAAGCTTCCTTATATGTGAACGGTGAATTTGTTGAACAAATACGAGCCTCCTACCCCGCCGCTCCCCCTCTATCAAATGGTAGCACAGAAAGTTTTGCATCATTCACCTCTTCCAGCAACAAGACGATGCCTGTCCAGGCGTTCCTAGGCACGCCGCGGGAGCTATCTTCTCACATAGGGACGGGATTAATACATTCTAAATGGTCCCTTGGGACAGCCCATCTCTTTGATGATGTATTGAGTGACGATTTTCTCTCGGTGCCTAGTCGATTAGGAAATCAGTATCAAGGGAACTTTCAGGATTGTCTCGGCGGATTCCAAACTTACACGGCATCTGCCGCCTTAGGTCTCCGTAACGACCTTGTCAGCACGGGAAAAGACGACTCCGATATCATGAAAGTAATTAGAGATAAAGCAAGCCATGTGCTACCGGAGTCCAAAATTCTCCTTAGTGTGTTACCGTCTTCGATCTTCCGGGAAAAGGAGTATTTCGGGGAGTCGCAACTATTCCGTGCCCTGTCTCGTGGGCCCGCCCATACTCTTGTGCAGATGGTTCTGAAAAATGGGACGGGTATAGCTATTAATGCGGCGTTACCGTCCATTAATGATGCGCTACTCCGTTCTAACGGCGTGGCAGTGCTTACTGGGAATCCTATCGTTGCGACCCCTCAATTCTTTGATGATGCTCTCTGGCAACTTGCAGGCTTCACTCCTCTTGCGTTAAAGTTGATTGAGCGAGCTTCTTCGGCTGAGATGTTAGTCCGCGCCGTTGAAATGGTGTTTTTATGCATCAATTCAAGTTGGCGAAATAGCGAGGCCATGGAGAAGGATGGAGGCTACGCGATTTTGGGAATTTTATTAAAAGCAAAGCTCGGGTTTGGCGGCCCTATGAGTGAAGCTTTGACCGAAAAGCTGACACTTCAGAATTCCGAAAAAGATAAATTATGTCTCCAGCTTCTCAGCCTTGTGTTGGGCTTCGTTGGATACAAACATAAAGATCCTCTCGAATCGGTCATAATAAATCCTTTAGCCTATCGAATTCTCCTTGTCGATTTTGATGGCTGGAGGAAATGTGGCCCCCTCGTTCAAGAACTGTATTACAAACAGTTCGTGAGTTTCGCAGTGATGAGCAAATATCACCAATATAATAATCGCAGATTACTTCGAATGCGTGAGTCTCTTGAGACCTTGGTGAGTATTCTAGCCTCCACTAACGTTGTCCTGATTTAGGAATTGTAAAAAGACTCCTCGATGCCGTAAAATCCGAGCCTCTATTAGAAACCGTACTACCATTTTTTATAAGCACCATAAAAAATCTTGTCAAGTGTAATTACAACACAGAAGTGCATCAGTCACTCGCCCTATTTATTACTTATGCCTTCCACCCTCCATCGAGGTCTCTTCCACGTACTCCAAAACCACCAAATCGGCGGGCCTCCCACAGCGTCTTATCCCGGCCACTTGTCGACGTAAACGGAGCCAGCGGAAACGATATAAAATCGCTTACGAAAAAGGAAGTCGGCATACGTCTTTTAGAGATGTATAGCCAACTATTATGTGAAAGGGGCAATCTAGCAATTATTCGGAAATTCGCTAAGACGGTGACAAATAAGGTACTTGACGCACGGCCATTGCGAGACAATTCCAAGCTGATGATGGTCCAGTGGCTTCTGTATCTTCTTACAGAAAACGACCCAGAAATCGTAGTTTACGGTTGTAAAATACTCGCCAGGCTTCTAGTCACTCATGGCACAGCTTATATCAACAAATTCTCGGGAAAAACCGGTGGTTTCTGTATTATGGCTCACCGACTTAAGAGATGGTGGGATATGCCGACTTTATGGCCTATCTGCTTTAGTATTCTCTTTGGGTACGACGTTGCAGAAATAGACTTCGAGAAGAATTTCGACTTCTTCAGTTTACTCGAGACGTTTGGGAAATGCAAAATCGCCAATCCAGATGCGCTGCCAATCATCATAGCCATGATTCAGCATGCCCTGAAGGATATCCTTAAGGCTCAAGAAGATCCAGCTTCACCTCCGCCCGATTTAAGTCCTGCAGATTCTTTAGTAGCCAGTTTTGACACATCAGTGATAAGGCCTCGGGCACGGTCAATGTCGCTCCGTAAAGAGCTAGATTCGCGCCGTGAGTTTGTTTGATATGTACTATGAATACCAACTAATTGTCATGCCAGAAACGTCTCAACCACGAGTTGAACGCAATTCTTGCAATGCTGCAGTACTTCAGACCGTTATCCGATTTATTGCGGATCTTCATGCTCGATCTACCGATTTCCGAGACTTTGCGTTGTCCTCTGACTACGTGAGGTTGCTTCTGTCTGCTCTATACCCCGCTCTTGTAAGCGCAGATCCAGTCAGTCCTGAGACAGAACTCAATTCCAGAGACTCGACTCTCACTTTTGAGGGTGGCGATGTAATGATTCGTCCAGTTGGCGGGACTTCGAGTGCTGCTCCGGTTATTCGAACTTCTAGTGCAACGGACACGTCGCTACCAACCCGTGCACACCGCGGTACTCAGTTACGAAAAGCCTCGTCTTTCATACTGCTAGTATCTCAAAAGTCTACTCAATCTAGCCCTGCTCGTCTCGTCCACGCTGTATCGCCGAAGAAGACAGTCGCGGATCAAAATGTTGGTCACGGACTGGTGGAAGGCATTCTTGAACTTATTATAAACGTCTTTATGGATCAACTCTTGGTCCGGAAAGAGTTTCCAGGATTCGGGCTGTTCCTCAAGGTGCCTCCCGGATTCCAAGAGCACCAGGCATACTTCGAGTCATACGTGTTGAAGAGTACTATTGTCCACATATCCACAGCGATCAAATTGGATTGGAAAACTCTCAACGAGCCCAAAGTGCTTACCAATATGGCTAGATTCAGTCTTCATATGGTAGAGGCAATCTTCGAGGGATGGTTTATGAATGGTACTGAGTCGATGCTGGATTTTGCCGGGCTTCTACTTGAATACCTCCAGAAACCAGAAGTTGCGAAGATGAAGACCGTAAGGCTTTGTAGCCAGGCAGTCTCGACTATTCGAGGCTCGTTCCTCAAACTGGTTCTCTTACGGCTTTCTGAGATGGATGACCCACAGACTACTGAGTTGGAAGCGAATTTCTCCATGGAGAAAATTCTCTACTGGCAGATGGTCGTATTGGAATCTTTGTCCCCTGATGATGAGTATATGAAACTTTTCTGGTATCAACTTTATACCAAGTTGATGGATACGAGGCGGGATGTTCGCCTTGCTTCTGTCAATATCTGGCGTATTATGCTCGTCCAGAAACCAGAAGAATGCTCATCATTGTTTCGATTATTTATGACCTCAGATCAAACTTCGCTGGCGACAGATTTTCAAAAGCTAACTGAACTTGATACCGACACTTTTATTGAATGGGTCGATGAGCATCGACCTGGACTAGATGCACTATTTTATGGGGGAATATCGCGGGCCTGGGAAGAGTTTGTCGGAATAGAAAACCAACGGACGTCGGAAACAGCTAGATCGCGATTGATGAAACGAAAAGAAACCCTGAAGCGATGGCATCACGAGATGGCCGAGCGAGACAATATACTCCTCCGCCACGACATGGCTAATTCCGCTTGGATGAAGTCGATATATGCTTCTGAACATTTCAAGCATCAACGTCTGATGCAGGATCAACAAGATGACGTTATTTATTTTTCGTCCGCGTGTTCTAAAATGCAACGAGATCTTAACCGACCAGGTGCTGTATTATATGAACCGACAACTATCAAATGGAAACTTGATAGGACAGAAGGCCGTAACCGTATGCGGTTGCGGCTTTTGCCGGACTTTTCTACCGACCACGACCAATATCAACCAAAACGTAAGACAATAGATCAACTACCAGCTTCTGCTCTGAAGGCGGAATCAGAAATCCCACCTGCTACTACTACTGCATCAATTAAGCCCACTCCGTCTACCATTCCTCAGGGACAGATAAGCAGCCAAGGCGAAGGCGTCGAGGATGACCCTGACGCCGCTCCGGCTGACGCGCAAGACGGCACTAAAGCCGCTCAATCGGTCGTTCCTGAAGATGACTTCGAAATAGTTGATGACCCGAATGATCCGAATGAAGCCGATGATGGATTCGAGGATAAGAACAGGAGGGTAATGAGACGTCTGCAACAAGGTGATTCCGTGCAGCAAGTTTATAACGTCTCGCGCGTAATCGGTCTTGAAGCATTTGAAGGCATCCTTCTAGTTGGGAAGAATGCTCTTTATATGATGGACAATTTCTTTCAATGCGCAGACGGAGAAATTGTCAACGTCTGGGAGGCACCACCTGAGGAGCGCGATCCTTTCTCTCAAATTATCACAGGAACCAAGTCCAGCGAAAAGCGTCCACCCACAAGCCGTAGCGGTCAGGATTCTCGCAGTTGGAAGTGGCAAGATGTTATAAGTATATCGAAACGTCGGTTCTTATTCCGAGATGTGGCGATTGAAATATTCTTCACAGATGGCCGGAGTTACCTCTTGACTGCTAGAAATCCAGCGATGAGAGATGAAGTCTTTTCGAGACTTACCAACAAAACCCCTCATACCGCAGGAGCCAATTCACTGCCGAATCCGGAAGACGCATGGCGATTGGAGTCCATCAAAGTGTTCGAAGAGTCGCCCCAATCATTCGGATCAAAGTTCGGCAGCATCTTCAATTCTTCGCCTTGGAACCCTCTTATGAGGCGATGGCAGCGAGGCGAGATTTCCAATTTCCATTACTTAATGCTTGTCAATACGATGGCAGGTCGGACGTTCAATGACCTTACTCAGTATCCCGTGTTCCCATGGGTCCTAGCGGATTACACGAGTGAAGAGTTGGATTTAGATAATCCCGCCACATTCCGAGATTTGTCGAAACCTATGGGTGCGCAAACAACACGACGCCAATTTGACTACCAGTCGAGATATACCAGCCTAGCTGAAATTGGCGAGACTCCATTTCACTATGGAACACATTATTCATCCGCCATGATCGTCGCCTCGTATTTGATCCGATTACCTCCATTTGTGCAATCATTTATCCTTCTGCAGGGTGGCGCTTTCGACCATGCAGATCGCCTGTTCTTCTCGATTGAGGGGTCTTGGAAATCAGCTTCTCAAGACAACGGGTCGGATGTGCGAGAATTGATTCCCGAGTTTTTCTATCTTCCAGATTTCTTGACGAATGTCAATGGATACAATTTCGGTGACCGCCAGGGTTCAGGAGGGCGCGTTAATCACGTTGAATTGCCTCCATGGGCGAAAGGTGATCCGAAAATATTCGTTGCAAAGCACCGCGAGGCGTTGGAGAGTCCATATGTCAGTCAAAATCTCCATCTGTGGATTGACTTAATTTTCGGCCACAAGCAACGTGGTGAAGCCGCGGTGGAGAATTTAAATGTATTCCATTATCTTTCGTACTATGGTGCTAAAGATCTTGACAACATCACGGATTCAAATGAAAGACACGCCACCACAAGTATTATCCACAACTTCGGACAAACGCCACATCAAGTCTTTACCAAACCTCATCCGGCTCGCGAAAGCGTCTCATATCCAATAAAGAGGCTGGATACGGCTAGCCATTTCCTTTCGCGAATACCTCATCCGCTCCTCGAAAGTCGCGAACGAGTGGCTTCATTGGTCTATTCACCCAAACTAGATCGCCTCTTATGTTCATCTCCATTCCGCCTCAATCTTCCCCCTTTCTTTGACAAATCCCTTGAGTGGGGCTACGCAGATAACAGCGTGCGTTTCTACTACACCGAAAACCGAAAGAGCGCAGGCGTCAGCGAAAACTTGCATATCGGCCAAATATCCTGCATCGTGGTGGCTGATTCCAAGACGCTGATTACTGCCGGCGAGGACTGTGTTGTATCGGTATTTACTATACAAACGGCTTCCGGTAAGCCCGTGGAGCTGTTGCATCGTTCTTCGCTTTTCGGACATAAGACACCTGTTACTACAATTGCGGTATCTAAGGCTTTTAGCACTCTGGTTACAATATCAGCGGATGGACATGCGTTCCTGTGGGATTTGAATCGTCTCGAATTCGTACGAAAGTTGCCGGGTAACCGACCCGTTGAATGCGCTCGCATCAATGATGTATCAGGCGAAATCATGCTGTGCTCTGGTCCTAATGTTATACTGTACACGATTAACGGCGACCTAATGCTGGACCAGAACGTGTGTATCGAGCACGACGACTACGTGCATTCGTGTTCTTTCTACGAGGGCTCGGGAAGCGAGTGGCTAGAGAATTATCTCGTCTTTACAGGACATAAGAGGGGGAGAGTCAATATTTGGAAAAGGGTTGTTAAAGATGGGAAGTGGGCGTTGGAGTTGGTGCGGAGGTTGGATCATATTGATACGCGCAACGACACGGGGACAAATACTGAGGCTGCGATTACGTGTATCACGCCGATGCCGCAGTTGGTGTATACTGGGGATGACGATGGTCGGGTGGTAAGTTTTTACGTTTCCTACACTCTTACACTACTACCTAATGCTAATGATAAACTAGTACGAGTGGAACTTGATCCAAAGGGAGAGATAGAGTCTGTCCCAGAAGACTCAAGCGTCGGCGGTTTTCTGGAAGGCGCGGTCGAAAAGCATGGGCGCATAGACCGGCGTTTGCTTACGATTTTAAAGGGGGTGGCGAGCTCGTCTTATCTGGTGTGGTGGTTGCCTTCCTACCTCTTAGCTAAGTGGTCATGACCAGGCGATGGATGATGTGGTGTGGCGCTGGTCGTGCAGATGATTAGAAAAATTAAATGAATTGATCGATCAGGTATGACTGTTTTTACGTGGACTTTCGATTGTTTTTTGGTGATGATTCTACATCCTTGGGCGCTTATTGCCTTCCTCGTGCCATTGGATGTTCTTCTAACTCTTGGCTCGAAGTTCGTTGAGCGTGCCCTGCCATATATACATTTGTAGATCTTCCGATCTGCGATTGTGTCTATTCCCTCATCCTAGTAGTATTCGTGGTTTAATCGTCGTATCCGGATAGCTGTTTTCTCGGGCCGGTAGGGACTATTCATTATAACATTAGCACTTCTCTGCCCACACAAACATCTCATATAGCTCTTTTCCCCTCCAACACCAGGTCCACCTCCAAGAACCACGGGTAGATATGACGTACTGGGATATGTCATAGGAATAGGCGGCGCCCTTTCGTATCCGAGAGCTTTCAATGCGGGAGGAACAGTGAGGAGAGCGACGGGACCGGCACCACCGATGATGACGGAGTAGAAGTAGGCGGGCTTCTCGCGGGCGGCCCAGCGCCAATATCGTAGGGGCCCGGCCCAGAATTGAGGGGATTTGGAGAAGGCGACCATTTCTATCTTTTCTGTAGGGTTCAAGAGTTAGATCTCATGGGGATACTCGGGTTGGATTGGTGGATTAGACGTACGGGAGTCAATTGATTGACTTCGTTCTGCATATGACGGCGGAGTGGAATCTCGAAATTGGTAGAGCGAACCGTGATGATGGTGAGGTGAAATGATTAGCTTGGAAATGATTGGAGGAATTGGGTGGTCTGTGCTTGCTTAGCTATAATGTATCGAAGTACAGAATTACGTAACTGCCCACCCGGAAAATCGGCGTACTATTCCCCGTTTTAGCTAAGCTGGTGTAGCGTGGCTGATAGGGCGATGTACCCAAGTACCAGTACCCATTTAAAAGACTTGGCAGGTACGGGCTACGTATGCCAGACTCCAAAAGTTCGGCGGCTTCGTAAGTGTTGGAGACAACTGGTCCCATCTCAAAGACCTTGGACTTAGAAAGCTACAACTATAAAATAAAAAAGGGAATTTAACGTCGCCGAACAACAACAACCGTTTGTTATTCACGACGCAATTACAGGTCCCATGCGCGGCGAGTCTCTTGCTGTCGCGACCCTTTTCTTCTTTCTTTAATTCCCAATTGACCACTAAGACATCCCCCCAATATGAAGTCCTTAGTGTCCTTCCTCGTCCTGCTCTTCGCAGCTATCGTGCATGCGATCAGCTCTAGCGGGGACAGGTTGTTGGTTGTTCTGGAGGATGTCGCCGAGAAAGATGCCTACTCTGAATTCTTAGGCGACCTAGAAGGTACATCGAAGCTTCATAAGGCAATTCGTTTATTTTTGTTGCCGTCATCGTCGGTGCGGATACTAACAGTTGGCCAATAGGTCGTGGATTTCAGATTAACTACGAAACACCTAAAAGCGAGGGCCTACGATTGTTCCACCTAGGAGAAAAGTCCTATGACCACGTTCTATTTCTACCAACCAAATCAAAGGGTACGTGGATTATTGATTTTTTGAATTGGACGTGCAAATCATTAACACAGCTCAGGTCTTGGTCCCAACTTAACACCCCAGATTTTACTCGACTTTATCAACGCCAACGGCAACATCCTCCTCGCTCTTTCAGCCTCCCAACCCGCACCCACCTCCATTGTTTCTCTACTTCTCGAGCTCGACATTCACCTCCCTCCTGACCGACAAGGCCTTGTTGTTGACCACTTCAACTACGACGTTTTGTCCGCCTCGGAAAAGCATGATGTGTTGCTTCTCCCGCCCCCGGGCCCGCTTCGAGCGGACGTCAATGATTTCTTCAGTCCTGAGTCATCTAGTGGGGAGCTCATTGCATTCCCAGCAGGCATGCCCCAGACCCTTGGCTCAGGTGCCCTACTCGCCCCGATCCTGCGCGCTCCCGACACATCTTACAGTTACAATCCGAAAGAACAAGCCGAAATCGTCGACGAGCTCTTCGCAAGTGGAGCTCAGCTCTCCTTAGTTAGCACTCTACAGGCGCGCAACTCGGCCCGCTTCACTGTTCTCGGCTCTGCGGACTTATTGAGCGACAAGTGGTTCGATGCTAAGGTTAAGAAGGCTGGGGAGAAGAAGGAGGTTGCTACTGCTAACCGCGACTTTGCTAAGAGAATTTCTGCCTGGACTTTCAAGGAAACTGGTGTTTTGAGAGTCAATTGGATTGAGCACCACCTCAACGAGGCTGGCCAGAGTAACGCAAGCAACCCTAAGATTTACCGTATTAAGAACGATGTCGTATGTTTCCCCCTTCCCAGTATCACATACCTTTGCACTGAGCTAACATTAAACTAGACATATTCCATTTCCCTCTCCGAATATTCCTGGGATAAATACATCCCCTTCACCGTCCCCGAATCCGACGACCTACAACTCGAGTTCAGCATGCTTTCGCCTTTCCACCGTCTTCACCTAGAACCTACCATTTCCTCCGAAGATAGCACAACCTACTCTGTTTCTTTCAAGCTCCCCGATCAACACGGTATCTTCAACTTCAAGGTCAATTACAAGAGACCTTTCTACACCAATGTCGAGGAGAAGAACACCGTTTCTGTCCGTCATTTCGCTCACGACGAATGGCCCCGCAGTTTTGTGATTTCCGGTGCGTACCCCTGGATCGCGGGTATTGCGAGCACGGTTGTGGGGTGGATTGCGTTTTGTGGTATTTGGTTGTATAGTAAACCCACTGCTACTAAGGAGAGCAAGAAGACGCAGTAAGGAGGAATATAAAATGAAGGGGGGATGAATACGGATAATGGACAAAATGGACACGATCATGTGGCTGCTACGATAAGGAAAAAGGATAGAGAAATTATCCCATTGATGTAATTACGCCAGGTGTTACTGTATTCCCCGTCTTATGATTGCTAAGTGTGGAATGTATAAAAATGGGACTAAGCCATGATACCTATTGAGAGGTGACCGGTGGGGATAGCCGTGATGACAGGCTAGTGGTGAAATTTCATAAGGCTTACGAATTGAGCAGAAATCAAAGAAATGTTTCTACGTAGACAATGCTTTGACGCCATACAATACGTGACGTGTATCGAACTTCCGACAATGTTATCGTCGTTCTCGGTGCCATAAACGATTCCTTCCATTATGCTTGAATCCCCAAAGACAATGTCGCAAGACGACAACACACCCGAACAATTGGTTTATATCTAGCTCGATGACAATAAAGATGATACAATACCCTGTTAAGATGAACAATTTGGTATTAGGTCGCGTGAATCAATGCCTTTCAATTCAAAACAAAAGAACTAAGACGAGTCGATAACAAACGATACAATGGATTGACGTCGCCGTCGTAAAGTATATAAGAACGGAGCTCGGACCGAAGTCCATCGAAGAGAAGATTGGATAAACAAGTTCAACAGTAAAACTATTAGGTATACATCCTCAGGTAGGTTGTCATCGCTAATAATCACAGTCAAACTCCCCTTCTTCCAAGTATATATAAAGCATACTCGCCACAAGCCAAAGATGTGTTGGTCGTACATTCTCGTCTACGTCTGCGGGCACTGCTCGGAGAACAACCTTCCCCTGGACGAAGCGACTAAAGTCGTTCTGCCAGGCGAGCTAGATACTGTTACGGGGCTCCTCAACCTTGAAGGTTCGATTTGTCCCCTGCGCGGCGTCCCGCCAGATGAGAACGGTGTACGCCCACAGGTCTCGCCCCTGAGTTGCACGGCTCACTGCGCAAGGGTGCCGCTTCTACGACCCGTTGACGAGACGCTCAGCGCGCTCCTCGCACCATACGTTGAGCAGAGCGGCGGCTATTTATATAGCCCACCGGTCCTCCGTCAATGGGTATGCCCCAAGCATCGACAGTATTACAAGGTGCTTGGGTCCGATTTAGAGGGTGCCCACATGGTAAAACAGTGCGAGTTTTTCGACCAGCCAGCAGATATTGACGCAAACTGCAACGTGGCGAAGACTCCTACTGGCTATAACCCGGAGATTGACCTTGACATTAATCGCTACCCGTGGAATTTTCCGCTTGATGATCTCGAGATGCAAGAGCTACGACGGCAAGTGTTGGAAGAGGGAGAGATTGAGGAGGGAGAAGTAGAGGAGGCTTAAGAGATGGTAGAGGATGTTGGACAGGGAGTGCTTGATCAACTGAAACCTGAAGATATGGATGACGATGATTTTGACTACATGAACTAAGGCACAGGCCTGAAGCGTAATGAATATTGAATATCGACAAGTTAGGCCTCCCCTAGGGGTATAATATTGTAGACTAGGAATACTTCAAATATTGAAATACCACGATCGTTTGATAACTGAGTGAATAAAAAGTAACCAACTCGACTACTGGCTTGCGGGGTCCATTCCGGTGTGTACCTAGGTAGATATACCGCTATGAGAATCATCGTAGCTTGTAATGCAATGCCAACTTGTTGGGTTCGATGCCCACATCACAATAATGCGACAACCTGGCTATGAGGCTAATATATGCCATCAACACGAAAAGGATTAAGGGGTAGGTAGATAACTTCAAGATAATAGATACACCCTCAGATTAGCTCTCAGGTTCTCATTGACAACCATATCGTCACCCACATCTCGCTGGAAAACGAGGGAAGGGTTCATGGAGGCTGCCTGCAAATTTGGCTTTTTGGACACATTGGTCATCACCGGGCGATCTTGTATTGTATGGTCACCAGTATTGGCAGCCAAACAAAAAATAAGATAAAAAAAGGAGAGGAAAACCAGCTAGCACTAGCAACTGTAGACTCCCAATCACCGGACCACATAGTCTCGTAGGCAATCCAGCAAGGCTCCGATTGAAAACTATTATAAGTAACATCATCGAATGAGCGTCATTCTTCGTTGTCTACTAAGATTTGTCGTCATTGCCCGTGCTTGATGCCTGTCGAAACCGGAAGGTCTGGGAATGGGTATCAATACTACCTAGGTACCGGGTAGGCACCTAGATACGCTATGAGGTATGCTAGGGTACGTCTCTCCTAGCTCAGATTTCTGTTCTTGAGTGTTGTCATATGCCACTAACCCTAGAAAGGATCGTTAGGCTCCAACAGTCTCTGCGAGAGTTCTCTTCACTGCTAGGATGAGATGTATGTGAGATTTGTATGTAAGACATGAATGTATAAGCAGGCGACGTTGGCCGTTTATAGATTTGAGTTGGAGATGTTGGTATTAGAATTAGACGAAAATTCCAGGATGATGTTGAACATTTGACCACTTGGTGGTGCTTTTGAAAAATGATATATTGTTTTTTAGAAAGGTTGTGAAATAGTGAAGGTGCTGTTTGCACGCAGTACCGTGTATGAATTGGTTTGCATCAGAGGCAGTTTATAAGAAGCTCATCTTGAAGCATATATGGGTATATAGCTTGTATTCGTCGGTTTTCGCTTTCGGCGAGTGAAAATCGAAAAGAATTTCAAGCTAGAAGTTGTGAAACTATAATAGTAAGAGAGATGAGTAGTTGAAGAAAGTTGAAGAATGAACGATGCGTGCACAGTAGCTTATATATGAGACAGGTGGTACCTGCTCGGAAGTAGTACGCGATATGTCATATCTCGATATGTCGTGTCACCCATAAAAGACGCGTGATTGGTGGATACTAGCCACTAGCTCCCCACCCATCTAGTTCCTAAGTATTTCCACACCACACCACCATCAGCCGCAGTAGAAACGAGGCTGATGAACTTTATTTTCCTCAATACCCAACACTGAAAATACCCGATTTCCTTCTTTTTAAACAATCAATTATTATTCCTTGATTCAATCTTACCCAGATCTTAGCACCCCAAAATCAAGGTATCAATATGGTAAGAAAAGCCCATTCCGAACTCACTACCATATATATAACAGACCCCGGTACTAACCATCAAACAGGCGCGTAATTCGGAGAAAGCTCAGTCGATGCTCTTTCGCTTTCGCGAAGCACAAGCCGCGGATTTAGGAATTATCGATGCAGGACGTACACGAAGACCCAAGATAATTACCGAAGTCGACTCGATTCCAGCCTGCGAAAAATGGAGAGGCCAAACACTCAAAGAAATCAGCCGAAAAGTATCCCGCATCCAGGACTCTGCCCTTAGCGACTACCAGATTCGAGATCTCAATGACGAAATCAACAAGCTTATGCGTGAGAAGCACATGTGGGAGGTACAAATACGTAACTTAGGTGGTCCTAATTACATGCGAGGTGGTGGTAAAATATATGACGAAACGGGTAGGGAAATACCAGGAGGAGGGAAAGGATACAGGTATTTTGGACGAGCGAAAGAGCTTCCCGGTGTCAAGGAGCTATTTGAGGCGGCTGCACAGAAGAAGATACAAGATTCTGAGAAACCATTAGAGACTCGCGAAGATCTTAGGAAAGCAGTCGACGCCAAATATTACGGATACGCACCTAACGAAGAGGACGAGGCACTGCTACAATATGAGGCTGAGAAGGAACGGGAAGCTTTCGAGGCGCTATTAAAGCAAGGGAAGTCGGAACCTCCTCCAGGATGGGAACCACTACCGGGTGATGCAGGAGATGGCAGGGGCTGGGAGTTACCTACTCTAGAAGAGGTACAGCAGGAGCTCCTGGAAAGGAGAAGGCGCAAATTACTCGATCAGATCCAATAGGGCCATACTTGATTCCTCCCCTCTCATATTCTTCAGACTAATATCCCACCCATACGATCCATACCATGGAGAACAGCTATAAAAAACAGCATCACCAGCCACATTCTTTCATATCTTTTTTGGGTCTTTCGTTACGACTTCCGACATATCCTTCGGTATTTTACTGCGTGCCCTTCAAATATTTCATTGGCGGAGTTCCATCCTAGAGGGAATGGCCTTTTCCTCTACGCTCTAAGACAAAAGTCAGATACACGGCTCGGCAACGAGCTGAGCAGTTTGACAACATACCAATAGCGGAATTGTACGATTTAACTTGCCCCCCCGACGATATGCCTACAGTTACCGAGGGTTGCAAGATGCCCCAACAGGGTTCCTCAGGTGCTCAAATTATCCACGATATCCGCAACGACTCTATGACCTCTGAGTCTTCGTATGGGTCCGCCAATGGAGCGCCTCCTGACGAAGATTCGTCATCCGATCGGGGAGGCCCTCCTGATCCCGATAGGTTAGACAGGTTCCACGACTTTATAGAACTGGGGGATGAATACCGCAAAAGGCTGAGTGCAGCAGTTTATCTAAGAGCCCAAGACATCGAGGCTTCATCAGGGGGACCCCCACTTGTATCCAAGGGTAAAGGAGTAGAAGGACGAAATCCCAATCCTGGGGCAAGCAGATTTGAGCAAGAGCTTGAACGGTTAGTTCAATGCCTCTGTCTCAATCGTTCAATGCAAACGTTCCCCTCGCTAACAACGATTATCATCATAGCGGGAAGGTTGAGCTGGAGTTGCTTAACTCTGTGAACAAGTTCTTAGACCGACATTCCGCTCCTGCTGGGTTGGATCTTCCCAGCACCCGGGACGTCAAGCCGGATGAAGCGAGCCGCGATAAAGCTCAGTCTTCGCGAACATCTCATATTGATTCCGAAAGAGTGCACAGCTTGATATCTGGTCGCAGTCCTGCGCTGTCTCCTACATTAACCAAAGTCACCGCCAATGGAGTTGTTAGCACCGCAGACGCTAAGATTTCTGGTGATGGTCGATCGTCCCCTGCCTTTAAATACCTCAGTACTCTCGCTAGCACTCCTGAGATTGACCCTCAAGGCAGCAGCGATATGAATGGGGAGGAAACAGATAGTACATCTGAATATGTCCAATTTCCCGATCCAGAAATATATACAAGCGAAAATTCACCTACGGGTTTTGACGGAAATGGTGAACCGCCTTCTCACAACCATTTCTCAGTTCAGAATGCTTCTGACTATACCAGGGCCGGTAGATTACTAACTCCCGAAACTTCGGATGCAAACCAGCCAAATAAGGGAGTGCGGCACAATAACACAGCGTCGCTAACCACTCATGCGCCTATCGACCATGATCAGCAGTCTTTTAGCAGCGTCCCGGAGATTATCATAACCCCGGCCGACGGCCCTTCACACTTTGTTCACTTCCCCTCTTTCGAGTCTCACAGTCGTGTTCCATCTTCGGTTCAAATCGAAGCGGTCCAGGACGACCAAGGTGGCCCTAATCGTACTATTCCCGACAATTCCGAGGATATCTTTCCAGAAGAAAATCCAGATAAGCCAAAACACCGTTCCCCGTTCCATTTTTTCACAAGATGGCAAGCAAAGACCTCCGCCCGTAACGTTGACCTTGAGGCCCAAATAAACAATCAACAGGAAGAGCAGGAGCAAGATCAATATCAACAAAGCGATGTAACGACAGCATCCCAGTGGATAAACCGGCGACAAACTCTAGAAGAAACTCCAGAAGAGGCCGCGCTGGCTCGGGAGATAGCTCGACGACTTACCCTAGAGTTATACGAGCAGAATTATCATGAGCATCAACGGCAAAAGGAATTTGAACGTCTGCGGAAGAAATTCAGCAGTCCAGCAAAAGCCAGAGCTTATAGAAAATATTTGCATCGACAAGCGAGCCGGGCGCCACCACCGATGCCAACCCTGGAGTCGATCCCGGAGTTAGTCCAGGAGGCAGCCCTGCAGCCGATCCAACAGCCGCCACAAGAGCCGCGTACGCGTTGGCAGTCTGTCATAAAAGCAATCAAGCGGAATAGTAAAGATACATTTTGCATGCCTCTGCCCTTCCATCAAAGGGTCCTCTTTATAACTGGTATACTGGTATTCTTTGGTGTTCTTATTGTGCTCTGCTTCGTCCTGGCTCCTTACTGGACTGGTGAAAAGAAGTTCGGTGGGTCGGGGTAGACTTGTTTCCCTAAGGTTGTCGAGAGGTAGGAGAGGGAGGATAAAAACATAGCGATTGATTAAAATTAATGTGTATATCATTCGTTTGAATTTTATCAAGCGGGAAATACAAAAAGGAATAGCTTTGCTTGGAAATTATATCGCATTCACAGCGTCAGGAGTATGGAGCAGAGTCAAGTTCAAAGCTTCATATTTGTCAAGTAGCCTACGCTAGATAATTCTAATGCGTATCTCGGTCCGTTCTTCTAAACCACTTAGTGGTTGATAATCATATTTGTTCGATTCGAACTTTCGCTACCGTGTAATAATCCAATCCCAGTCCGTACCCAAACCCCATAATCAATACATATTGAACCGAGCCATGTCATTGTCAATTCAATTCAAGTTTACAATTTAGAGCGCTTCATTTCATTTCTCATACATCCACACCAACTTAACAATCCTTGCCCCAATGTCCTTTAGTCCAACCGGCGATAATATCCGTCAGTGTGCTATTCGAGTATACTTTGATATCATCGGTTCCATAATCACCACCGCTGAATTTCAACGCTGTGATTATCCAGGGTTGGACATAGTCCACAAATACCAAGTCCACGGTTTCAGGGTCTTGGGCTTGTCCGGATGAGGGGTCGGCAGCGGGGAATTTGATCTTGGATTGGATACAATTGGGGACAGCGTAGAATTTGATGGGGGAGTGTACGGCGTCGTCGCCGTCATCGCCTAGGTCGTCGCGGGTTGTGTAGCCGCCGACGAGTTCGGGTTCGTCGCCGCCTTTGGGTCCAAAGGTGCCTTGGTTCTTATTTGTACTACCACCTAGAGGCTTCTGGGCCACATTGCCGCTTTCTACGAACATTGACGTCTCATCATCATCTGCGGTCGAGACGTTACCAGCGATCTCCGCCTCAAGAAACTCGCTCGGCGCCATCTGTTCGGGGATTGTGAGGTATCTCGTATCCAGCGCTCCACCACCAAAGACTTGGCCTCCGTTATTCAATAAGTCAATGACTTTCGCCGCAACACCATAAGGCACATCGGCGATATAATTGAACTTGCTAACGAAAGGCGAGATCAGATAAGTTGAATCCTTGGTAAACGCGCCCTTGAAGATATCGAAGCGGATAGCTCCAGTATTCACGATCGCGAGTCGCGGCACATCCTTGCGTTCCTCGTTGGTAACCGAGTCGGGTAGGACTTGTGTCTCGAGCCAGCTGAATATGCTGCCGTCGCTTGGGTACGGGGCTCGGCTCATCCATAGATCCTGCGGGGCACAGCCGAAAGAATCGTCCAAGTTGAGAGCCTTGCGGCTCTCGGTGATGAGCTTAGTGACGTTGCGGCCGTGTTTAGTGGGGAAAGTAGTCTCGTTGAGGCCGGTGTGGTAGTGTAGCCCGAACAAGTTATTATCGATATACCTTCGTCGAAACGTAACCGCAGCCTGTGTCGAAGGGTCGCTACCAGCCTTCTTCTTGATGCCATCGACCGACATCCAACCAATCGTCTCGAAGTATCGTCCACTCGCAATCGCAAACGCATTATCATCGAACTTCCTCGCGTCGCGCACATGCGCATGTCCGCCCAGGAACGCAATTGGGGTGTACCAATTCTGGTCACGGATAACCTTGAAGATCTGCTCGAACTCCTTCATGCGCAGGCCCACATGCCCGATTACCAGGAACAGATCCGCCTTCTCCCGGATCGCAGCCTGGAACCAGTCTTCCTTCATAGCATCCTCGACTTTTTGTACGACGCTGTTGTTCGCATTGCGGTCGAAGTCGAATAGGAAACCCAGCGCCACGACATTGTATCCGAGGTTCTTGGTCGTGAATTTGATGTACCGCTGCGCTTGTGGGATTTGGTTCCCGGTTTCGGGTTCGATGTAGTCGAGGTTGGATGCGATGTAGGAGTGTTTGAAGTGAGGGACTGTCGTGTTGTGCTCTCGATCGACGGATGATTCTTGGTATAGCTCGTGGTTACCGGTGCAGAGGGCGTCGATGATTTGCGAGCCGAAGATGTCGGAAGTGTATTTGCCTTTCGGATCCGATGCATCGTAGAGCCCATTTCCTTCTATCCGGTCACCGGTGTCGATGACTAGGAGGTCGACGCCCTTTTCGTCGGCTTTCTTTCGCATGTGGCTCGTGAAAGAGATGTAGTCACCCCAGTCGGCAGAATACTGTGGTCTATCAAACAAGCAAACTACGTTAGCGACAGTCGAATATTGAGTGTGTATTTAATGATAGTCTTACTCTTGTAAGTGTCCCCCAAGCCAGCCGTGTATATCCGTGGTGTGTATGAAGTTTAGTTGTCCCCATTCCAGGTCTCGCATCGGAGCAGCGACCGGCGCGGGAGCTCCAGGCTGAGAGGCCCTGGCGACCGTCGCCAGTGACGAAAGAAGGATAATCCTTGGTATCATTTTGGATTTATGAAATATTTTAAATTGAAATCAAATAATAAATTTAATGTTCATGGCCCCATAATCCATCAAACAATGAAGGACTCGGGCATATGTAAGAGGTAACCTTATAGCTAGGCACCTATTTAAAGTAAAGTGAGGTAGAGATGTATTGTACAAGGTGTGAGTTGTCAGCGTTTCATACGGCAGAAACCCATCTATTAGCTGTTGACCGTCCGGGTACCTGCCGAGACCTTATTACGCCTGCGTCACAGCGTTGTCACGACAGCTATTCCGCGCCCGATAAAGCTGTTATAGTGGGTCAACCCGCTATGATAACAGAAAGTTAGCGTACCTAGGTACCTAGGTACATGTAAGTACCTGACGTTACGTAATTAAAGCTACTTATCGATAAGTTACCGAGGTACGCATCTCAGACATTCAAATGTAAGCGCCGATTCGGAAAAAAAGTAGACTCATAAATATCTCCCATGTCGAATGCTTCTGGGACCACATGTCTACATATGTCAGGCATTCCCAAATTAGAGCCGCCCGTAGGGTGATCTCTGCCCAATGGAGGGGCAGAATTGTGTCGCACCGCTCTCTTCACCAAGAAGCCACAGACTCAATTAAGCCCGGAGTACCCGTCGAAACCACTCGCCTAGCAGTAAAAGACAACATATCAGCCGCAGGCTTCACGACGACATGTGCGTCCAATATTCTCACCGGGAATAAGATTCCCTTCGATGCCACCATCGTCAAGCAATTGAGGAAGGAGGGCTCAGTAGTGACTGGGAAGAGTGGTATGGATGAGTTTGGCATGGGTACACACTCCACCACGTCTGCTTTTGAAGACATACATAATGTACTCGGGCTAGAGAAATACTCAGCGGGAGGGAGTTCGGGAGGGAGTGCTGTCGCAGTAAGAAGAGGGGAAGCAGAACTAGCTCTTGGAACGGATACAGGAGGGTCTGTTCGGATGCCAGCCGCATACACTGGCACAGTAGGGTTCAAGCCGTCGTACGGTATGCTGTCCCGTTGGGGTGTTGTTCCCTATGCAAACTCGCTAGATACGGTCGGGCTGTTAGCCAGAACCGTAGGGCCCATAGTCACAGCCATCGTAGGACAAGGCCTATATAAAGAGCACGACCATAATGACCCAACCTCTCTTCCAGCCAGCGTACGGAGTAAATGTACAGCCGAGCGAAACGGGTACGAGTCCTGGAATCCAGCCCAGAAGGGCACGATCCGAGGCTTGACCTTCGGAATCCCGATAGAGTACAATATCGAGGAACTCGATTCGCGCATACGCCAAGGATGGCTAGCAGCTGCACAGAAAATAGAGGAACTAGGCGGGCGGGTGGTTCCTGTGTCACTGCCCACTACGAAAAACGCGCTTTCAGCCTACTACGTCATAGCACCAGCTGAGGCGGCTTCCAACCTCGCTAAATATGACGGTATACGCTACGGAAAGCGAAACGACGAGGAAGGTAGTGATTCATTCGAAGGCATATTATACGCAAAAACAAGGGATACAGGTCTTGGAAGCGAAGTCAAACGTCGCATTCTACTCGGCTCATATACCCTTAGTTCCGAGGCTATAGACAACTACTTCATCCAAGCCCAAAAAGTCCGCCGTCTCGTCAAGAGAGACTTCGATCGAGTCTTCAAGCTATCGAACCCGCTCGAAGACCAACAACCTTTCGATCTCAGCGGTATGGAAGATACAATCCAATTAGAAAGTAAACTTGGGCCGACGCAAGTTGATTTCCTTCTTTGCCCCACCGCACCGACGACTCCGCCTCTACTTGAGAATGTCAGGAAACAAACACCTCTGTATTCTTATATGAACGATGTTTTTACCGTTCCAGCTAGTCTTGCAGGACTTCCGGCGATTAGCATTCCTATGGATATACCCATTGATCCGGCCGAGGAAGAGCAGAAATTGCTAAACTTCGGAGGTTTGCAGCTCATTGGACAATATTGGGATGATGCACGGTTGCTTTCGGTAGCCGATACTTTGTCGCCCCATGTTTTGACGCGGAAACTCTTCCAGTCTTAAAGCCATATCAGTTAGATATATTATACCCAAAATAGAATTGTAAAAGAGAATACCATTTGACTCTTACCATATGTCCTCATGCTGAACAATTGGTGTGACCTCGGTTTCTGATTAGTTTCGTAGGGCGTCGTAGTGATACTAGGATCCTTAATAGTCGCTTGCTATCTTCCATCACTGACTTCGCCATCACTTCGATCGACATCCATAGTATCTCGTGGACGTCTATCCCGATCTCTCGATCCGGATTCACTTCTTCCGCTTGATGCCGAAGACGATCTCCTACGCCCTCTATCCGGCAACTCCTCCACCAACCCTTCATCATCGCTATCCTCCCTTGCATCACCATTCGCATCGTCTCCATTCATATCCACATCCTCCTCCAGTAGATCCTCAATATCACCAAGCGGGCTTATCCTCGGCTCCAGCAGCTCCAGATCCTCAAGTATCTCGCGTTTCGGCATCTGCCACAAACTCGTAGCACAAACACGATCCTTCGTCAATAAATCATCCACGAACTGATCCACAAACGACAAACTCATCCCCGCGCGTCCCTTCCGTCTCAATTTCCTCCTATCCTCTAAAAACGGCTCAAGTGTTTTATACACATTCTCCGCCCTCCTCGTCAACCTAACATAAAAACAAGCCAAAGCGCGCAGGTACTTAAACTTATCCCCTCCAAAACTCAAATATTCCTCTAGCACGGAATCATCGGGTGCGAGTTGGAGGAGTTTAAACGCGAGGCACAGGAAGGGAGTCGGTTTTTGGGTTACGCCGTAGGTACCGCCGATAAAGGATACGTGGTCGACGACTCGGTCTACGATGTCGGCTTCGTTGACGCCGAAACATTGCTCTTTCCAGAAGTAGCTCTCGATGATGCGCTCGCGTACGGCTTTTTCCATTATTGTTGCTGGGTTCAATCCGTTTGGGGCTAGGGCTGCGGAGGACCCGCGCTCGTCGAGGAAGCGCCGCTCGTCGGCGCGGTGGGTGTTGGATGCCATGGTTGTTCGTGTGCGTGTAGGAGGTGGAAGGAAAGGGAAGGGAGTCGGAAAGGTGAAAGGTAGACGCGGTTGGCGACGGGAAGCTTGTTGAAGCTATGTACCTAGATAGGAAATACAGAAGGTTTTGTACCCCGCCAAGCAAGCTAGCCTAATATAGTAAGAAGTAGCCGCTAGCGTCGGTTTAGGCTAAGCGTCAGCGGTACGAGCCGAGACTTTAAAACGTGAGACCCGCCTCAAACAAAACATCATCAATTCAATCCAAATGCACGACATTACCTTTTGACAATAGAGAGTGCGTTATTCTATCTATGAGAACTAGTTGACATTGTCGATCTTAGAGTGCGATCATCCTAGGACTAATACACTTTAATTCCTCCAAGTTCCGCGTTTTAATGGAGCTGTCACTCCGCTTCAGCGCCTTCGCACAACTTGAATCTGGTTTCAAACCTGTTCGCGAAATCGGCAATTCCAATCTCATCCCAATAAGCATGAGTATGCTGTTTGCTCACAATTTCTTCCACATCATCCCAACTTGAAATTTCCTCGGGAAGTGTTGGGCCAGTGAACTTTTGACCTGGAAGAGGTGTATACTGTATTTTCGACCATAGTGATAGCTTTTTGGCTATTCCCACGAACGCATCGGCCCAAGGCTTCAAGCTCGGTGTTAACCGAAGTATCCTACTCAAAATATTTCCTAGGTTTCGGTCGTCATCTAGGTTTATGGACCAAGCTTGGGGGACGATGTCAAACTCGTTGTAGTAGTCCGTATTGTATACCTGGTAGTTTTCGGCCGACTCCGGGGTTTTTGAGAAACTTGCAGCGTAGTTCGCAGCAAGCTTGTCGTTTCCGGGTGAAACGCCGGCAGATGCTAGGACTTTGACGTCGTGGGGACCGACCATGTCCGCCGTACGTAACCCTAAAGCGACGGTTGGAGCCAGAACTCCACCAAGACTGTGGCCGGTGAAAACGATGGAATAGGATTCATCCAAACGACTCAGGTACTGGTCAATGCGCATAACTTCGCCGTCTACCGTGCTAGAGTTGCTCAAGATGTTCCATGCGCCGATACAGGTTCCTTTAGCACAATAGGCAACTGTAGAACCATCGATTCCGTCTGGATCGGAAGTCTGAGGCTTAGGAATTCCATCAGAAGACCATTGGTCGACCCAAGCATTGAAATCGACAACCTCTTGGATAGCAAGGTTTTGGAGCCAGTCTACCCATGACTTATGTGCTGTACCTGCAATGGCAACAACGCAAATCTTTTGGGTCTCATCGGTGGCTGCATACCATACGTTGTCTGGGCCACCCTTGGGCGAATCGGGCTTGTTCTGTTCTTTGATGACTCTGGGTCCCCAGGTAACTTCCCATTTTCCTGGTAAAGTTGGAAGGGTCTGATTCAAGGTTTGTTTCATTTCATTCTCTAGGGTTTCTTCTGTGCCTTCATGATGTGAAGCAATATTTGCGGCCACAGAAAGGCAGTAGCTCTGCTGGAAGAGATTATAATTCAACTGGCTGTCCATGTTTTCATCAAAGGCGAGGGAGCAGAAGGTATGATAGCAGACTCTGAATGCTTGAAATAGGAGAAAAGTTTGGAATGCAGAATGGCAATCGTACCTAGTAAGGTAGAAAGACTAAACGGTCTGGAACAGTGGGATGGGCTGGATGTCCTTGCCTATTGTTTCTATGTGAAGGGAAACAACAGTATCACACAGGCTATTATCGCTCGGAATGGCATACCCCTCTCTGGTGTCCCCTTGGTCTACCCAAGCTTCATCAACCTGCGATATCGCTTCACATACATCCCGTGTAAGCCACCGAGTATTCCTTGTTATCCTTTTCAGCTGCGTCGATCCAGCCTCTTAATCATTAACCCCCCAAAAGACGGGATGTCATATGGTTATCTTGTTGTAGATCCCTTATATGTGGCCCTACGCCACCAATTTCTTGGCACTTACTTCCCGTTCGACAAACCCCAGAGTTCACGGCACAAGGCGTCAATCTGAGATGAAGAGGCAGTGGCGATGTTGGCAAGATCGATCGGGTAGGCTATAGAACTTTCACCACTAATTCTTCTGGGATGTTATCACGGGTTAAGCGGATCTAAGTACAGACTCAGACAAACAAACTCCCATTATGTAACTAGATAAAGCCCACAAAAGAAAGCTTTGAAAGCTTCGTGCAACAGGTGTTCACTCCATAGTTGCCTACGTAGTCAAAGTATACGATCCTTAACGGATGAAATTACAAATCATGTCAGCTTGTATGTATTTTGTCTAATTCTGACACCTTATGCTTGACGTTCTCTTCCCAGTAGGTTCTGCTTTTATTTCTGCAAAATGAACACATTATATTGGATTATCTATTCTCTTTACGGCAGCTAGTTCCTCCTGTCACTCTGCATATGAGCTGAAACATTTTGTATAATCCATCGCCCTAAACCAATCAGGTTGTCTAATAGGATTTTCTTTGTATCTCTGCAAAGTGAATGCGTTATATTGGATCAGCAGCTCCCTTCCCCCTTGTATACCTAACCTTATATGAGCAGACGCAGTATGTAATCCACTACCGTCAAGCAGCCACATCCTTCCAATAGACCTTACATGGCGGTCCACCTGTAGATCTCCCATTTTCACCAGTTTCTCGCTCGTATGATCGCCGGAGATTATCTTCACACGATACAAAGCGTAGGTTCCTCACTTAGCATCACTTGAAGTCCAACATATTTCTCGAGTATAAATCAAGGCCTGCCTCCCTGTGAGAATGTCTAAGAGCAAGACTTGCAACATAACACTCCCAGTTGTTATATCATAGTTCCGAGTTTTAACATATACACCCCAAATCACTTTACACCCGATCGAGCCAATTCACAGCAGGCAACATGGCTACCAGCGGCAACGAAATCTCTGCTTCTGGTGAGTTGGCGTTGCCTACACTCCTATCAAATTTATTAACGATGACTTAGACGTCGCCATCCTTAATCGGCTTGGTATCAACCCTGATTCTCCCGAAGTGCCCAAATTCCCCTCAGAAGAATATGTAGCCGCAACATTCCCAAGCGAGGATGAGATCAAACTATCTTTGCAACAGTGGTACTATGCAAACGACGAAAGTTCCAAAGAGCTCCTAAACGGTGCAAAGCCCCTTCACCTGATTGAAGTATACGATCTAGCAAGGGCTTATTGGCTTCCAAGACTTCCCTCTCTGAAGGATTTAGTGCTGGTGATTTGGAAACTCATCCCGAGTGCCCTACGCAAGACTATCAAGGAAAAAGCCAAAAACGCAACTACGGATGATAAGGCAAGCATCGCCAGCATCATCGTTTCGTTTGTTGCGACGGCGTTGGCTGCTTACGGATTCCCTCCCATTATCGTTCGAACGCTTCTTGGACCGATTGCGAGGCAGGTTGTGGACTGGATCGTGGACAATGTGAACGAACTTCCCGACTAAGCTTTTACACTGCATTAGTCGTAGTTCATCGAAAGAAACATGGCTATTGGATTTGGAAGTTTTCAGAGCATTCCACAACTTTCTTCCTACCGAAGCTATTGGATATAAGGCTCAGATATCTTGTATTGGTCACATTTGTGGGTATACAACCTATTGAACCACTCATTCAGTCAATTAGGTTTACCCTATACACTCCTTCTCAAGTCATCTAGGTACCTAGGTAGTGTTACTCGCTCTATACACTCCTTCTATATCAAACCATCATACCACATGGTTTTTTAAAAATTATGCATGTACGAGCTGAAGTGACAAGGTACCTCAGCAGCTTAGTAGATTTAGGGCTCATTGAACAGAATAATCGGCCGACGCCTCAGGTCGAAATGGAGAGGTTGACAAGAACTTGTGCGGCTCTTAGCATATTCGACCGAATGGCGTGCCCGTCCTCATTGTCGATCAAGCCGACTCCGTGCGGATAAGGTGGCTCATCGTAGTATGAATTGTTTTTGCAGTATTCAGGAAGGATAGGGGCTACCTACAGAAAGCTGGGGGTAAAGGATGTTGTATTTTTTAGGTGTAAAAGGTGTAAAAGCTCCAGTGGAGTATAGGTTTAATTACTTAGTACTGTGCGCCGATAACGGTAGAAAGTTGTACCTACCCATCTCCTACATGTACCTACAGTACCTAGGTAGAGATGGGAAGGTACAATTCTCTACCGTTATCGGCACACGGTGCCAAGTATTTAAGCACAGACCTTACAGGTCAATTCTGACCTCTTTACACCTAAAAAATACAACATCTTCTACGGCCAACATCGCCATCCCCGCTCGTTAATGCTTGTACGAAACTTCGCACTTGGATGACTGAGAAGATGCAGCAGCTCTCAGATATAAGCAACGCAATGCCAACATTAACCCCATTTTCTTCGATTTGGACATGAAATCCAGCCTTGATATAAGCACGAGGGTTGGCGTGATTCTGAGATGTATGTTTACCATACAACATCTATATATGCGATGAGGGGTCTAGATCTTCGTAATATCGCTAGTTTGAATCAACATGACACACGATAATGAAGAACAAAAAGCATGAGGACTCATCCAAAAGAAGAAGCAGGGGGATTCTTCTCAAAACAACTAGATTCAGCCATTAATCTCCCCAAGTCTTCCCAACGCAAAACGCGGATTAAGATCCGTCTGAAAATTTTGGTAATAAATTTTCAATCGATGGGGAAAACATCCATAGTAGCGCACGAGAACCTCACTTTTTACCAGCTGAACCATGAAGTTTTCTAGGTAGCGGGAATAGGATGACCAATATTCTTTATCGGCTTTATTACTGGTCCGCCAGGTGTCCTCCCTCATCTCCACCAGAGTAACACAGAAATTGTATGGAGCTCCTGCAATCTCCTGTCGCCCTATCGTGTTACCAAGATTGCACCTCTTTGACCATAAGCCCACCTTATTTTGATTGTAAGAGGGGCTCAGTCAACAGATTCAAGCAGGAATCCACACCGGAAAAAGAAAGGAAAAACATTGTCCATCAGAGGGCATGAGAGACTGCAATATTTTACTCAACTTAGGTAGAGCCACTTCTGTGAATACATATTGTGGCTTGAATGAGCTCGTTCGCGATGTATACGAATGTATATACCCTGAGAAAACCCGGGCATACACGTTTGAGCCCGCAGGAAATAATATTGTCAAGAGAACATAATCAAGATGTGAAACCCGGAAAAGGTATATAATAATCCAACCATTCCAGCAAGTGGGTATAATGACATCAACTAAAGACTTCTTTATTCATTAGGGAAAAATATAAGTTTGCTAACGAATAAATTTCTTTGTAGTAGTTGATGGGTACCAAGTTTCGGTTGCTACCGTTTATCTTGAAGGAAGTGCCGAGTATACCTAGGTTAGGTACACCTAATGTATCAAATCTCTGACTTTAGAATGCATCTTCGTTATTAAAAAGCTTGGGGGAACCCACGACGGTAATTATAGCGGGACTGACGTTGAAAGAGATTATTTAAAACCTAGACAATCGTTCTCCGCTGAGTAGCGGAACCCTGACTTGAATTATGATACCGGATACTATCCCGGAGGTTATCGGTACCTATGGAATGCCGGGACTACCCTCCGTAGAGTAGTTACCACCATTCCGGGTGCGGTTAAGTTACCAATTGCTAGACCTGGGTCTCGAATGTCAATGATTAACTTCCGAAATATCTCCTATTCGATGCGTACCGCCCGTGTTTCTCGCTTCCCTTGCCTTGGGACATCATCAAGTCCCGTCATTGAAAGATCCAACACAATGGCTGACACGTCAAACGTGTAGCCTCCCTAGACGTAGTAAGCACGTTGTCATAAGGAACTTGCCAGACGGTGGACCACCGGGCAGCTTTCGCGCTGCGCCGAACGGACGTATTTACCAGCTTAAACCTTGCCACATCCTCTGCCTTAAGACCAAATGACTCTCGCTGACCTTCTAAGCAAACAAAGACAACATACCAGGGCCATGGTATGGCGTCACCGGGTAATAAAATCCGCTACACCCGCCATCCCGATCCGGACTCTTGCCTGCATAATCTTACACATATGCATGTACAGACGATATTCTAGCCGCTTCCTGGTACTGCGCCGACATAGCTCCTACGAGGCTCATGGTCTCGATATTTGCTATACCTCTGATCTACTCTGGGGTTTGTGGTACTTGAAAAGAGTACAGGAAAAAAGTCCATGGACCTGGGTGTATGTAAGTCACCTCCGTCTTCGCTTACAATACGCCGGCAAGATCGTCCGGACTAGATGCCGTGATATAACAGGCGACGAAACGGAGTTCGACATAGCAGGGTTATCATGGGTTATTCATGATCGCCGGATCCTAAAGGGATAATCAAACTCGTTCAAATAAAAATTCCGGGCATAACTAGGGTTGCCAAGCGATAGAACTGTGCTCTATATAGGGAACTTGCAGACCTCCCCCTTGATTCATAGATGCCATCGACTTCAATTTCTTTATCTTGGATCCAAGAAAATAAAGAGTCATGGCGAACTCTGTCCCGATCGACCTGTCGGGAGGCCTCGGACCTGACGTACTCGCGTGTACTATTATTCATTGCGTCTTCGCTATCGTTGCTGTTGCCCTGCGGGCTTGGGTCAGAATTAAGAGCGGTGCGATCGGGAAAGATGACTACTTGATGTTCATCGCTCTCGTAAGTAAACGGAAACCCCCGTCCTAAAAGCGACTATTGCGTATTAACAAACTGTTCCGCTACAGATAGTCTACATTGCGTGCTGTATCTTCACATTTGGCGGGTGTTTTTCGGGCCTAGGCTCAACCGACCAAATCGTAACGGCGTTCGATCCCACGGGAAAGACATATAATAACGGATTAAAATGTACGTCTAATATCGTATTGGACTTTTTTATCGCAGCGATGCTTTCGGGGAAAAAACACTTACACGTTTTTCATGTTTAGGGTTCTTCCTCTTCCTAGCAACGTATATGGTGTGTCATCCATTTATCAAACTCAGCATCTGCGTCGCTCTCTTGCGCATCTCTAGGGCTAAGCGCTTCGTCATCCCCTTATGGATTATCATATTCCTCAGCATCTTCACATCCCTCTTGGGGTTGGGAGCTGTATTGGATCAATGTCATCCCATTGCCGCTAACTGGGAGCCGTCTGTCGGCGAGTGCACTAAAGGCGTACAGTCTAGCAAAATAGTTGTTGCGGTTTCGGCAATATCCATCATTATTGACTGGTCTTGCGCTATCCTTCCGGCACTCCTCCTTTGGAATCTGAATATGAGGTTGAAGACTAAGGTCTCCCTTGCCTTCATCCTCGCCCTTGGTGCATTGTACGTCATGACCCCCTCTGAGCACATCCTCTGACTATAATATCCCTTGACTAACCAACACCTCACTATAGAGCTAGCATTTCTACTTGTATTCGGTTTCCTTATATACGAAATTTTTCAAGCCCCTATGATCACGGCGATAACCTCCGTAAGTGAATTCACAATATGCCCTATACTTACAAACTACATCCTAACACCAAAATAGGTCGAGCCGCAAATATCACTATCTGGTCCATCGTCGAGTGCGGCATAGGTATCATCGCCGGCTCTCTTCCGCCCCTCCAACCACTATTCAGAAGATTTGGGTTCGGAATCGGTGCCACAAGGGTAAAACTAACCGATGGGAATATGCCGAGGGACCACGTAATGAGCAGCTTCCATCGCAGAAATTTCACTCCCACCACCCCTGAGGCCACCGCTCAACGCACCCGTCATAGTAGCGTGGATAGGGGTAACTGGTTGGTAACAACGAAATGCGAGGGAGGTCGACCGCGAGAGGAGTGGTGGGATCAATACACAATGGTCGATGACGATGCTACGAGCCAAAAACTCATTATTTTAAAGAATACCCAAATAGATATCGAGTACGGTGCGGCGGATCCGGCGCCGGCGATCGGGTCGGAGAGGTAGAGGAATCGGGTATGGATGTTTATTGGCCGCCGGATATAAATTATAATGTGCATAGACAGGCTTCGCGATGTACCTATTGGTCTGGGCATAAATCAGGGTCCGGACACGCGATTGGTTACGTGCTTACTGATGATATATGCATGCTGGAGTTATGAACAGGTTTCAGTCTTTTGGTTACCATTTAATTCTAGTGATCGCTTGCTCAAACGGGTAGAGAGCATGTGTATAATTCCAGCCTCGGTACCTTTTTTGATTACAAATTCGAAAATCTCCCCTTGCATCACCTGTTCTCCAACATTAGCACCCGTCCCGCTGCCCGTCAGGGGCCAATCTCGGGATCTTACATACCATTATGAGCCAATTATAAAATGCTTCGAGTTCTTGATCGGGAAATTTGTGGCTTGGCGCGAGTCGGGTTCCCGTATGCTATGCGTCGGGGCGCTGACACATCTAAGCGCGCGAGGGCGACGATGTATAAGGAACCAATAGGGTGGCGATGAATTATAGATTCCGTCTGGTGTATTTTGACATATTATTCAGCACGCAACAGGGCGCGATGATCGACATGACGGGTGAGCGCGGAGTATTACTTCATGGAGATAGACTCAGCTTACATACACGTAAATGCGACCTCAATGCTCGGCGTATAGGGCGTCTAAGTCGGAGACTTCACCTATCGCCGAAGATGTTTCGGTATCGAATATTTGATTATCATCGTAGTCGGCTTAAGGATATTCGGGCAAGATGAAATATTTAAGATGGTCTTTCCTCTATGCTATGGCTCTAATCCATTCTCATTATCAGAAACTCATTTGAAACTGTAGATAAATTTTAACTTACTCAGAAGACGCAGAACCCGAGAAACCATGAAGGCACTTATCCTCCGCCCCGAAACCAAGACCGCCAAAGTCGAGGATATCGACAAGCCCATACCAAGCTCGAATGAGCTACTTATTCGTGTTGACGCCGTGGCACTTAACCCCGTTGATTGGCTCTTCGTCACGCACCCTATTGCTGAGCAAGAGAAGCGCGTAGTGGGCACCGACTTCGCGGGTACCGTCGTCGGAAAAGGCGACGCTGTCGATGATAGCAAGGTCGCCATTGGAGCGCGAGTCGCGGGTTTCATGCAAGGCGGTGAGTACTCACCAAGGCCCTGCTCCCTCAACTACCCCTATTCGTGATATTAAGAATGAATATTAATGAAACCTACAGCATGCTCAACCAACGACCGCCCCGGCGCTTTCGCCGAACACGTGACTATAGACCACGACCTAATCTGGACCGTCCCCTCCTCACTATCCCTCGAGCAAGCCGCCGCAATCAGCATGTGCGGACTAACCGCGGCCCAAGCCGTTTTCGGGCGGTTAGGCATGCCATGTCCGTTCCACCCGACCCCCAGCGCCATCGCTCCAAACGATGCCTTCACTGGTCGGACCCCAGCGGACGGGCCCGTAAACGTGCTTATCTACGGCTCCAGTACATCCTTAGGTCTATACGTAGCCCAACTAATCCGACTAGTAGAACGTCTAAGCGGGCAAGAAATCCGATTAATCGGGACAGCCAGCGCGTCCAAACACGCAGCACTTAAAGCTGCTCCGTATGGATACGATGTACTAGTAGATTACCGCGATCAGGAGTGGCCGGAGAAAGTACGCGCTGCGGCGGATGGGAAAGGTGTTGAGTTCGCGATGGATTGCTTGTCGGAGAATGAGACGGTGGGGAAAGTTGAGAGTACGTTTCGCGCTGAGGGGGGACGGTTTGCGGTTATTCGGGCTCCTGGGGGTGGGAGGTATGAGCCGGAGAGGATGAGGGTGAAGCCGATGTATGGTGCTGTGTGGGATGGTTTGGGTGTGGAGATTGGGTTTGGTGGTATGTGTTTCTTCTGCCTTTTCACTTTGAGTGGTTTTGCTAACGCGAATTGATGTATAGGTCACATTTTCCGGGCGAAACCGGATGCTCGCAAGTTCGCCGTTGAGTTTTATCGCTACTTGGAGTCGAGCGCTGCGCGTGGTGAGATTATGTTGGAACCTAATCCTATTCGCGAGATGCCTGGCGGCCTTGAGAGGATTGTTCCGGATGGGTTTACATTGATGGGGTCTGTGTTTATTGACAATCGGAAGGCGAGTGGTCGGAGTGAGGCGTATATGAAGCCTGTTAGTATGGAGAAGCTTGTGTATTCTCTCACTGATTAAGGACATGGTGATAAGGGGGCTTGGATGAGGGCTGTCGCATTTCTTTGAGGCGAGGGAGAATGCACTTCAATCATTAGTAGCTCATAATTTTGCGGATTTTATACTCTCGATTACGCTAAAAATACCACCTGTTGTCGTAGTATGTATATTGGGACAGCAGAGAGATACTCTTATTCTTGTTGTGGAAGTTGGCCGAGGAGCTAGAAAACCTCTAGCAACTCAGCCTGCGACGTGCTCCTCATCTACCAGGACTATAATATCTTACCGTTAGATGCTGCTTCGATATGGAAGAGCTCAACTTTGAACCCTATTAAACCCAATAATTCATGGACACCTTGTCGGATCTTTCAAAGCCTCACTTTCATAGCCCCTCTTGAGTTTATAAGCGAACCCTGAATGCTAAGAAAGCTGACAGGGGCCTGGTATTCAAATTCAGATAGATTCGGACTCGTACAATTAAGAAGGAGACCGCGTCTTCTATAACTCCGGAGGCGCCTCCACGAATATTTCGCGGGCGATTTGCGGGCTAAGGCAGCCACTTCTTTATCGTGTACCTTGTAGGTGACGTCTCTATGCGGTGTTCGGTGTGCTGTGGCTGCATGGACGATCTTATAGTATGGCCTGATAGTGCCAATAACTGACCTGAAAGCCGGCCACGTTTCTGGTCAACATGGCCGGATATTCGGCATCTTAGAAGATTGTGCAATTTATGAAATGATCAGCCATATGTGACCGAGCTGCTGTTAAATGTAATACAGGGAGATCGAGCGGTGTGTAGCTCATAAGTGCTCTCACATTGTAGAGTAAAGACCAGATTGCGAAATGTATAGGTGTGAATAAATTGTTGGCGCAACATACAGATGTTCAGCTTGCGAGGTAGTACAAGAACGTCCGAGCGGAGATCCCAGCAGAGTGTTGAATTTATCACCATTTGCATCAAAATAGAAATAAATCTGGCGAGATAAGACACGAGTATAACATTCTACTTTAATTGAAAAAGTTAAGGGATAATTATCATTTAAAAAGGAGGTCGGCAGGGTTTCACGATAGGGATCTGAGATTAGATCGGATCAGATCGCCAAGCCGGAAACCGGCCGAGGGCGCTTACGTTGGGTTGCCGGGGAGACACGAGGTTCGGGGGTAAAACAGGAAATTCGATATTATTGTCTGGCTTAACACCATCGTATTCAAGATGTCAGCTATTATATAACATTATCTTGAAGCTATTATTTTCGTTTAATGTGTATTTTCTGAGTTTTTGTCTCTATATCTATCAATATCTTGCTATTTAAAAAGAGGATGTTATTGACATCGTCACAAGTCTCGGTGCTAATCTCGTCGGGAATAGGTATGGCAGATCCCCATAAAAGGCAAACACATGGATGCAACATACCTAACTATAACGGCTAAACTAACGACTATTTACATTCTTCAGTTGTCTTATGTACGGCAGCGTTATTTTTCAGCGGCTATGCCATCCAACAACGAACACTCCGTGATTTAAGATCGGCCATTCAAATCAACAGAGCACCTCGACCGAGTCCCAAAATCTACCTCCCAGACCGATTCAAGCGCTCTACGACCGAACTGGAAGATGGAACAGTAGTCGACGTAGATGACCCACGGCTAGGGAATCGTCGGAGGAAACTTCGTATTGAACAAGAAGATAATGATGATATCATCGTCGTGCGGCCCACATTCCCGGACGAAAAGCCGAAACAGCGAAAACCGCATAACCAAGAGAAGAATGACGTTGATGTGGAAACACCAAAGAACGGAGAAGATATGAACAATCAAAAACCAATAAGCAGAGCTGAGAGGAGGCAGAAGATTAAAGAAGAGATCCGACGCTTGTCGGAAGGCAAGGAACGGGTTTATTACCAACGACGATTATGGTAATCAGTCCGTGTTAGCGTTTCGCATTTATTGTTTTGGGTTGTTCTATATAAGATTGGCATTATCTACTTGGTCAAGTTGGCATATATACTGGGATTGGTGGGGATAGGGCATTTGGTAAACAACGGGAAGTTGGAGGCTGGTTACTAGACCTGGCTTATTAAATTTTGGGCAACGACGTATAATGACAACGGTCGGCTATTGCGGGATTGGATTGTATGATTACTTAGGCACCTACTTCATGGGATGGCGGTTAATGTTGCTTGGCTGAGAATGGTACACGAATCTTTTCTATCATATAAGTAAAGACTGCCTCAAGAAGAGAAGACATATCGGGATTGTGGTATCAAAACATTCAACTTTATCTTAACTTGTTAATATCACGCCCCACGAGGTTGCAGTGGAACGGTGTCATCTGAACCCCATTAAGCAGTTGAAGGGCTGTAGAGGCTGCCAGGCAAGTCTTAAATGGAGATTGCAGGTGACTTATTACCTGATAAGGATCGCAATCACGTAAAAAAGTAGGGACATTTGACATGAACCGGAGAAATTTGTATGGTCAATAGACAGGTACATGTAAATGAGTGGTTATTTGGGTTACTGCCGAGCCGTGGGAGTTATCTACCTAGGTACTCAGGAACAAGGCAAACCGAACTCTCACTAACCTCTCTTCGTGTCTTGATCTAGACCCCGCCGACATACAGTAGTGGGATTTCTGAGGCTGTGCTATTTTGTGGGATCGACAAAGACGATTCGGCTTCACGGGAAGACGGACGACTTTTGGCCCAAAAAATAAGTCTCACTGCGGACCGCACATCAGATCCGAAGCGGAAATATCGTTAGATAGTAATCCAACAAGATGAATATGGTGATATTCATATTGTAAGTGATGTAATCACTAGTTGATACGAGGCCCATCTAAGTCTCTTTCGTGTTCGTGTTTTTATTATACACATATGTATAATATATAAATACTGCATGTATACCTGCATAGACAAGTTGTCATCTCCAAGCCTTCCTTGTTCAACCAAGTTATACCAATCATCAATTATTAATAGCTTCCCTATTGTGCTAGGAAGTTGAAGGAATATGACATATTAAACCCCCGGGGGTTTTATTACACCGACTTCTTATAGGGGACGGAACAGTGATCACGGAGCATTTGCGGCTGGCTGAGAAGGATGCTACGCTCGTCAATCAAGCCTGAACAGGTTTCTTAGCGGGCCGTGGTGCATCGCTAGGATATGCAGGTAGAATATCTAACCAGGAACACTCGAGGCTCCCAATCATTATGACTTCGGAGTTGACAGCATAAATTTATGCCAAATAAATAAACATGCTCAAAAGAACAAGTACATTTTTGATCCAACGAAAAAGGATATTAATACACCAAATCATTGGTCTATGTCGTCATTTTGAGCCCTGAAGAGAAAATGAGGTATTATTGACACTCTCATCCCACTAATAAGACGAAAGTTGGCTGTTAGACATGCATAAGTGTTTACATATGATATGTACCCCTGGTAAAATACTCAAAGTACCTAAGATACCCCGCTATGTTTCGTAACAATCTATGACCGATAAACCCCGCGGGAGAACGAATGCGGATTGCGGTCAGCTTCTTCTCCAATCATGTCTTGTGGCTTGAGTTAATGGGTCTGATAAGATAAACACAAGCCAATGAGAAGAGCTATACTCTTCCCAAATAGGATACAGTGGAGCTTCTGAGCTGTCGTAATTCTTAGACTTTCTTAGACTGTATGATTAACAATTAACGCTTGGACTTAGACAATTCCGCTCCTCTTTCTCCGCCCAAACCACTTACAGTATTTCCGAGGTCCCCTCTTAGCTTCCATTCGAGGACATACAATACTCATAAACTTGAGTCGGTTATCGGCAAAAATAATTGCTTCTAGATATCCCTTTCGTCCACAAACTACTACTTTAGTCTGTATGACCCGTGCCACGAGAAAAGGAATGGAGAAGATGGAGAGGCTGCTCGGGGCTCACGGGTCTGAAGAACGGGAGGCCTATCGTGACGCAGGTCGGACCCTGGAAAGAAGAAGGTAGCACGACAGCAAGACCAGTCTGGACCAGTAGAATCTCGCATACTACGTATACTATAGGTATACATATGTAAACCCCATTCCCGCCGTAGTGGATGGTGGATAGTTTACGTTGTATGTGTGTTTCCCCCCCTCCGTTTCCCGTTCTTGTCCTTCCATACCATCCCTATCCTAGCCTGTATTGCCTGCAACCCTCACGTGTGCATAGTATACATACATCTCATCTACCTTTTTTTCTCTCTTTCCGTAAGGTTTATCTTAAGTAGTTTGGAGCCAACCTACCTCCCCCTACCTACAACAACCCTAAATAACCTACATACATAAATTGGAGGGTGTTGTTGATGAAGTGGTGGTGTGCTCGTCCTTTCACCGTGACCACCGTAACTATAGTGCTCGTCATTGTGAACCCTATCTACCTATACATACGTACTCACTCACGTACACCACCAGCCCTTTATTTGAATCAGGCTATCCATTCCAGACGTACCAGGCTACCTATTCTAGTACACCCATTTCTTACCTTACCTACCTCCCTGGGGAAGCTCTTTAACGCCGATCTGTTATCGTACTTGATTCCGTGATTACGATATTCTGATTACCTCTCACTTGACACCTTTCCTACCTAGGTTGGCTGGTTCTCCCTTTAGGTGAAAGGGTTTGAATGATAAGGAAGCTGTTGGACTGGATGTGCGAAGTGTTATCACCGAACCTCCCTCCTCAATTTTTACAGCCTCACCCTGTGAATTGCGATATTTACTCTTTCCTCACCCCGAGTTTACACAATGGCCACCGAGACAGTTATTCAGAATGGCCCAACCCGCCTGGACCGTCTAAGCGCGGAGGACTTTGAAACGGCATCGATACGATCAGCCGCACCTTCATACAGTAAGGCGCCTCCACGACTCCAATTTCACAAACACGATAGAGAGCAGAAGCGCTAACAAAGAGCCTCACTCTAGTATCCGAAGCGCCATCCTACCACTCCACAATCCCAACCAACGAAAGCGCACCCGCATACACACCACGGGAATCGCATCCCACGCCTCCCTCTCGACCCCCAGGCTATGCCTCCTCATCTATGCTCAACATATCCCCCCCCTCCCCCTCATCTTCAACACCAACACCTATGACATCCACCTTCGCCCCCGGCGCCGGCCTCCCACGCATCCCATCCCCACGACGGCGCACAAACGACGTCCCGCAGCTAGCAGCCTTCTCCATTCCATCCTGGTCCTCTATGCACAGTAACCCGACCGCGCGACACTACCAACGAGTCGCGCACCGGCGTGTCTCGGCTGCGAATGGGCGGAGCTGGGGTGGTGTTGAGACTGCCCTAAGGTCCGCGGTCGAACGCATGAATGCTGCTGCTGCGGCGGATGATGCCGATCCGTATAAAGTGCGTCCGCTGGAAGATCCGTATTTAGTGGGTGAGGAGGCGGCTGCCACTGCTAGACGGGAGAGGTTGGCGAGGCAGAATGGGGATGATATTTTGTATCGTGAGGAGAGACGGTGGGATTGGTTTTTGGGTGAGTCTGAATTGTCACACCTGGTTTTTTTTTTTTTTTTTTTTTTCTCTGAGCGCTGACTTTCTCGATTTATAGGCCAGACGAAAGACTGGGATGAGCGTGATCGAAGCTGGAACGCTTTCCGAAACAACTTTGAGAGTCAGGGAAGACTCGCTCGCCGCTTTGGTCGATAATCAGCTGTGGCCTCAAACATATTTGAGAATCTTGACACTCGAGACTGGAACTGTTAATGGGCGCTGTATCTCATTTCTTTTCACTCATTTAGAGGGCTTCATTTTGGATTATTTCTTCCTTCTCACGCATTGGGCGGCGCTACCTTCATGGCGTCAAATTGGGCGGGCGGGCTGGCTAGATCGGCTCGGATGACACATCTCTTTTTTCCTTTTGGATTCAACGTATTGATGGGATGTTCACATTTAGAATGGACGGATGAAGCCATGAGATTATGTTGAGTAGGGGAGTAAGGGGATAATCCATTTCTTCACCATTCCTTTTGGCTTCGCTGTACTGTAGCTAGCCGACTCTTGTTTAGCATTATGAATTTAACACAATTTCAATGAACTTAGTTATAATGGATTTTGATTTGAAGATGATTCCATAATTCGATCTCTTGAGTTGTCTCATACACCAACAGAGGTCCTGGCCAACTCATCTGGCCGGACATTAACCTGCCAACCGTCAACGGTTCTAATAGTTTACCCTTAGTTCTACATACCCATAAAACGCCGTTGATCATGCAGCTATGGATTACAGTATGCCCTTACAGATCGGGCTTATGTTATGCTCCTTCATATGAACATTTAATGGCCATTGTGAGTGATCGTAGTATCCGTATTCGAGTGATCTAGCCCTTGCTCTTGGTGTTGAGGATAAGTGCGACAATAAGACTATATGTAATTAGCAACTACTCTTTGCATCATTGTAGTGATTGAACTTACCCGTAGAGACCCAAGACTTCTCCGAAAATGAGGATTAGAACCATGCCGACGAATATCCTGGACTGTTCCATGTACGCGCGAACACCTTTGTCACCAACGACACCAATACAGTATCCAGCCGCAAGTCCTGTGAATCCGACAGCTAGACCACATCCCAAGTGCAGAAAGCCACTATTCATAAGCATTAGTTTCCGCCATTTTGTTTACTCTATTCCGTTCAAATATCAGGCACGTACCTGAACAAACTATAACTCGATTGCGATGGAGGGTTCAAGTCTTCGGCGATCAGGACGGATACGACGAGCGAGTAAACGGCGATAATTCCGGACATGACGACGGGGATCAGACACTAGTTCATCTTCGCGTTAAAATACAGGACATCATTAGGATAGAAAGAAATAGCTTGGGAAAAGCTAGATCTGTACTATCACGAACCTTCATGATCAGGTCTGGCCTGAATGTGCCCACACCTGCGATACCGATTCCTGATTTCGCGGTTCCGTATGCTGCTCCAATGCCTAAATGTATCGTCTCAGTACGCGTCACGATCGAAGGAATAAATCGGAATTAGGGGTTCGTACAGCCAAAGATCATGGCAGCCGCAATGCCGGCCTATCGCATCAGATTATGATTAGCATAGTCACTCAAAATGCTTCGATGGACGGAGCTGAAGGGACTCGGAGCTTGAGCTTACCATGCCGACAAAGGGCGCGAACTTGGGCGCGATTTCTGATTCAACCATGGTAGTTGAGTATGCTCTATATTGAGCCGTATGTTGGATAAATGTATTTTCGATGGATTCTCAAGCTATAACAAGTTGGCGTCGTCGAACCTGTCGAACCTCGAAAGAATAGGTATAATGAAGCTTAGCTTAGCTGTCTTGGCTTCAAGGCTCTCGAATAACCTTCCTTACAGAAGAATCAGGGGCACGTGATTAGCGAATTACATAACATTCATTATATTAAGTTCGAACCAATCAATACCTGTTCACCGTTCTGCCCCACAAATCCGTTACGTATTTGGCTGCATCACCCGTCCCATTGTGCATGAGCTATTCCGTTGAACCTAGAAAACCTAGAAAACAAGCTTTACATCTACGTAACGGCTACAATTACAGTTCATCGCAGAATGCGTCCGAAAGTAGTTTTCGAAATCGCATATAAAAGTTTGTAATGTACCTAGGTATGGGCCGATGTAAGACCCAAAAATATTCACTTATGAAGTTGTTGTGTTCCTCCTAACGTATAAGGAAAAGAGCTTCAATGTTGGTCATGGGTAAATGTTTCTGTTCCCACGAGATACACAGGTACAGAAACTGAAATCGCCATTGAACGGCTACTAATCTAATCCACGTCTATAAGTAGAAGTCTGAGCATATAAAATGAGCGTATAAAAATTGACTTTCCGCTAATGCCGCAACGTTGATCTTTATCTCGAATTGAATTTTTGATCGTTTTCTCGTTTCGAAGGCCTCCAAGGTTATCTTGAACACTATCGCGCCTTCCGCACCCGCGAAAACGTAAGTACTGTATTGGGTGGTACAAGAACCGTTACAATGGTACAGAAATGTAATGACTTATCCATCTTGCGTGGAAATTTGGTGGTGAATAAGATAAAGGGATACACCTAAGAATCCCGAGCCGATGATAACCCGGGTACCCCCTAAGGCCAGAATTGGTTTAGATCGGGTCCAATCCCAAGCAAATGTAGTGTAAAGATTAGCAGATTAACAGTAGCAGACGCCAATGCCAATGTGCCAATGTCTCCTTCTAGTCCTTCTAACCTTCTAAAGCCAAGTTCCTTCAGGGCCTTGCACCTTGCACTTAGCACTTGGCCTTGCACTTCTAATCCTTGATCATATCAATCAGTGTACAGATTGATTACCTACTGAGTTATACCGTACAGCACCCATTCAAATCCTACCTACAGAACCTACCAGCCTACCCGACCTCTCTCCCTTCTTTAGGTATCCTAAAAAACCCACTCCATTCGATTCGATGCCGACGTCGTGCTCGTTGCTCCCCTCCAAATCAACTTCTCATCCCGTATCATAGGCGATTTGCATCCAATTATTCAACTTTGCGGGAATCCTCGACGATCTCGGCGAAGGAGGTAAAAAAAAAAATAAAAAAATAATAAAAAAATTAATACAAGTCGAATCCAAATCTAGGAGGAAACATCAGAAAAAAGAAAGACAAGGAATTCGAGGGAAAACAGGATATTGCTCGCAAACACCTTTTTTCGGCCGTCCACCCACGGCGGTGAGTCCGTCGTCAGTGTCGGCAATCACCCCTTTATCTTCTTCTGCGGACGATCCTGGTCTCTTGTCTAGGCTTCCGGCCGCCTAGGCTCTTGTGAGAGTAAGTGCCGTCACACACCACATACCCCTGGATCTCTATAACCTATTCACCTATATAATTGATACGAAGCTGGCTACTGCTATTGCTGTACCCGCGCTCGCCTGTGTTGGTGCGTAGTGTATGCTTGTGCAACATCACCCCGGCACCGCCGTGTAAATCGATATTTAGTCTCCTATCGCTTATAACATTTTAGCGACCTAACTCCTGCTGACCACGTCATCTGTTTCCCTTTTCTTAGGACCTCGAGAATGGCTGATTACCAGTACGATCAACGCCGATATGGCCCTTCGTCCGGCAATCAGCGAGATGCCGCCTTCTCCAACATTTTCGGTTCCCATCCCCCTCCGGGTCGAACTGGTACAATGACCTCGGCGTCGCCAGCCGGTATCTCCTCGCCGCACATGCCACCACAAGAGGGTAGAACCCAGACCATGTCGTCCATGTCGAGCATGTCCTCCGATATGCAACGAAGGGCCCCTCCACGACCCCAGCGAGCAGGAGGCTACGAAGAAGCGATAGCACCTCGGACTAGAACAATGGACACAAGTATGGCAAATGGTTATTATCAGAGCCAGCGAAACCCTTCTGGAGGTTATCCTCAGGGCCAAGGACAATATGGCGGGCAATACGGTGGGAGGCCGCCAATGCCTACTGGACCGAACCAAAGGCCTTATCCCGGTCCTCCACCGCAAGGTCCTCCTCGATTCGACTCTAGGGGACCTCCTCAACCGGGATATCCTCCACGAAATCCCGTCCCTAGACCTTACCAAGGCGGCCCGGGGCCTGGTCCTGCTATGCGGGATGACCCCTTTCGCTCCCAGTCGCTTGCTAGTGTGCCGCGACCACAGATGTATCAACAGCAGCCTGGTTCATACCAGACACCTCAGAATAATTTTAGACAGGCTCCTAACGCTTCTCCTATGTCTCGAACAACGGCGCAAGGCCGAGTAGTCCCCGAACGCCACGACGATCGATCAATGTCTATGACCGGCTATCCTCCCGAACGCGACGCACACCAGATGATGAGCGGCCGTGTAATTCCCAACCGTATGAGGGCTCCATCGAACGAAATGCCTATGATGAATGGGAATACAGGTGGATATAACGGATTCACCCCTGCGCCTGGAACTGCTACAAGGACAATGAGCATGGCATCATCGACCGTCGCTGGCGACCACAGCCGCACAATGTCAATGGCCAGTACCATTGTCCCTGAGACTTCTGAGCAGGCCCGTCAGCAACTATCGCAGCAATCGCAGCAAACTCAGCAGCTGGTACACCGACCTTCAATATCTTCGAGGTCAATCGAGGGCGAACGACCCCCTACTGCTAAGATCCGTCCACCTCTGGTTTATCCCGCCCTCCTCTCGAGGGTCGCCGAGTGCTTCCGACAGAAGATCATCACGGGCGAACGAACGAAGAACGAGCTGACATACAAAAATGCTTTTAGCGGCTCAGAGGCTGTCGATGTCCTGTCGTACATCATTAGGACTACAGATAGGAATCTGGCTTTGCTCCTAGGTCGAGCTCTCGACGCGCAGAAGTTTTTTCACGATGTTACCTACGAACACCGGTTGCGAGATTCGACGGCCGAAATGTACCAATTCAGAGAGACACTAATGGATGAGCCGGAAGAGAAACACCCCGTCAACGGTGTATTTGTCTTGCTTTCGGAGTGTTATTCGCCGACGTGTACTAGAGACCAACTTTGCTATTCTATCGCATGTCCTCGAAGGCTGGAACAGGTTTCTCGCTTGAACCTCAAGCCACAGGTAGGATTGAGGAAGGACCAAGACGCCACTATCAACGACGACGCGGACCAGACGGACGAACAGAAGCTCTGGATTAACACCGTTCCTAAGGAAATTGCTGAAAGTGTCGGCGATAGGGAGAAGAAGAGACAAGAAGTTATTTCCGAAATTTGCTACACTGAAAGAGACTTCGTTAAGGATCTTGAATATCTTAGAGATTTCTGGATTTTGCCCCTGCGCTCGAAGGGCTCGCCGATTCCTGCTCCGAGAAAAGAACGAGTTGTTCAGAACATTTTTAGCAACATCATTGACCATCCTAGCATCCATTCGGTCAGTTCTAGATTCGCCAAGGCTTTGACGGAGAGGCAACAAAAGCACCCCGTGGTTAGAAATCTCGGGGATATCTTCTTAGAGATTGTCCCCCAGTTTGAGCCATTCATCTTGTATGGTTCTAAGCAACTGGAAGCTAAATTCGAATTCGAAAACGAGCGATCTAGCAACCCTTATTTTGCGAAATTCGTTGAGGAAATCGAAAGGAGAAAAGAGTCAAGGAAGCTAGAATTGAACGGTTACTTGACGAAACCCACGACGAGATTGGCGCGTTATCCTTTGCTACTAGAGAACGTTTTGAAATACACAGAAGATGGTAACCCTGATAAGGAAGACATTCCTAAGGTCCTTACCATGATCCGCGACTTGCTAAGCAGAGTCAACGCCGAGTCTGGTAAAGCCGAAAACCGCTTCAACCTACGCCGCTTACACGAGCAACTGAAATTCCGCCCTGCTGATCGTATGGATCTTAAGTTGACGGAGGAAGGGCGTGAATTAGTTTTCAAGACTACATTCAAGAAAACGCCTACAGACCCCACAGATATTACAGCCTTCCTATTTGATCATGCCGTTTTGCTTGTGCGCATAAAACAAGTTGGCAAAGGAGAAGAAGTAAAGGCTTATAGGAGAGTAAGTTATATACTATTGCTGATTAACCGTGGACCAATAGCTAACTTTAAATCCCCAGCCCATTCCGCTAGAGCTCCTCTCCATCAAAGAAATGGACGAGGTCATTCCTCAAGCAGGCGTTAAACGCGCATCTTCGAATTTACCTTTCCGTGGCAAAGACTCTGATAAAAAATCCACCGAAGGCTGGCCCATAACCTTCCGACATTTAGGCAAGAATTATTACGAGCAAGTTTTATATGCTTCCAATCAGACGGCTAGGAAAAAGTGGCTTGAGTTTATTGATTCAGCCCAGCAACGCCTTCGAGCACGAGCCGACTTCTTCAATGTTAATACCCTATCTTCTAATTTCTTCCAGGCTGGCAATCTTGTCAACACTGTTACGCCGTTCGGTACGTCTCTTCTTATGCTCCGCGTACTTGTCTTTTACTAATTTGACAATAGATGGTGGCCGTAAACTCATATATGGTACTGACCATGGTATCTATGTCTCAGACCGAAAGGTCAAAGACCAGGTGCCTAAGCGTGTCATCGAAACACAGCATGTTACTCAGGTCGATGTTCTAGAAGAATATGGTCTCTTGCTGGTGCTATCGAACAAGACACTATCATCATACTCACTCGCAGCATTAGATCCTAATGAGCCAGCGCTCGCGAAACGACCAAAGAAGATCCAGAGCAACTGTAATTTCTTCAAGACGGGTATTTGTCTAGGTAGACATTTAGTCTGTTGCGTCAAGTCTAGCGCGCTTTCAACGACAATCAAGGTTTACGAACCCAATGACTCGATGAGCAAGGGAAAGAAACAAAAAGGATTTGGCAAGATGTTTAACGCTGGTCAAGATGAGCTGAAGGCATTTAAGGAATTCTATATTCCCACTGAATCCTCGTCGGTTCACTTCCTCAAGAGCAAGCTCTGCGTGGCATGCGCTAGAGGTTTCGAGGTCGTCTCCCTTGAAACCCTTGAAACACAGTCGTTGCTAGACCAAGCCGACACATCGCTAGACTTCGTCGCAAGGAAAGAAGGCGTCAAGCCAATCCACATCGAGCGACTCAATGGAGAATTCCTTCTCAACTACTCGGAATTTTCATTCTTTGTTAACCGAAACGGTTGGAGGGCGAGACCAGAGTGGCGCATTGACTGGGAGGGAACACCGCAAGCATTTGCGCTGTCTTACCCGTGGATCCTCGCGTTTGAGCCCAACTTCATCGAACTTAGGAATATTGAAAGCGGCGCAGTTCATATTGTTCCACACAAGAATATCCGGATGCTACACAGCAGTACGCATGAGGTGAGTTACTCCAAATCTTATCTGAAGACACAAAGTTCGTATAATTGCTAACAACAATCTAGATTTTATTCGCATACGAAGACGAAGCTGGTGGCGATGTGATTGCTGCCCTTGACTTCTGGAAGAACACCCGAAAGTCCGAGATGCCGATGCAATGATCCCTTCCTATTACCGTTTTCTATTGATGATCAGGACCTATGGCGGACATTTCACTCTTAAGCTATACCCAGCTTTTCATTTGGTCGTTTGGGGATTTCAAGCTCAAGCCAAATAATTCGTGTAGGACCAGGGGATCCTGGATAAGCATGCAAATCCATTATATGCGGCCTGGACGTCTGTTCTCTTCGTCTAAATACCTTAGGTAATCTGGCCGGCATATTTCTTTTTCCTTTTCTACCCTCATTTTTTTGAGAATGTCTTCAGTAGCGAGGAAACTCCATTTTTAATCGTCTTAAGCTTCCGGATTTGAAAGGTCGGCTGCGGACTTTGGATTTTGCTGGAGCATCCGAGCGACTCTTTCCGAAAGACTTATTTGTAACCTTCAAAGTGAGTGAGTGAGAAGAGGGGTGGTTTAGTTGAAGAGAAGGTAGTGGAGAAAGATCCGTTAATGATGCCCAATAGTCTGCGCTGTGGCGAGATAAGATAAGCTGGAGCTGGAATGAGAGGTGTGAGTTGTGTTACGACAAGCAAATAGCAAGCGGCTTAGTCGTACATTCGTTCGAGATGAGAAGAGAGAGAGAGAGAAAACAGTGGGGATATTTTTGAGGAGGAAAGAGAGGAGACGAATCGAATCGGGAACAGAGACGTTAAGTCGAAACTTCGGAAGATGGGAAGGGAGGATGTGCCTAGAAACTACCTAACTAGTAGGAAATCCCTACCGTAATCATCACCAAACTAAAGAGACCCGAAGACTATGAATATTCTTTTGGAGATGTTTGGCTATCTGTGCCTTTGACTCGTCATAGAAGAATGAATAAGTGAGGTGTGTTCATGAGAGCTACCCGAGTGCTTGGTTCAAGCTTGGCTTCTTGGGCTACTTGATGGGTATGTTTTTTACTTGAGGTAGGTGTGGCCTAGTTAGGTATGCTTCGCCCCTATCCGAGGAGATCTTGGGGATTTAGTACGTTAGCTATCATCGACCCAGCTGCCAGGTGCTCGGTTTCTATCAGGGAATTGTAAGGTTCAGAGAGCTTAGCTTAGCTAATGATCTACCTTAGCTACAGAGCTGCCTTATTATTCTAGTAAGGTAATATGGATAGAGCAACTTGAGCCTTAGGTACCTAAGGATTTAAACGCCTTGGGTTTAGTGGAAGTGGACGGGTTACCGTGTGTGGCTATAGTACGTGGTTGATGCCTAAGCTTGAGTTAACTAGAGGCGTGTTTAGAGCTTATGAGTAGGCGGCCAAATTGTCGGTATATTGATAGTCAGTTGCCTGCATGTCGTATAAAGGTGGTTGAGATGGTGTGTATGCGGCTCGCTGACTCGAGGTGATACCCGTCAGCTGGGAATCGATCCAGTTGTTTGAATTTGTGTCTTGTGGGACATGGCTATGTCCAGGACTCAGGGTTAGGGATTGAGGTGATGATAGATAGATAGATAGATAGATAGATAGATAGATGTCGCTGTTTAACTAGCAGCCCTAAAATTGCTGCTGTCCTTGTGTTGTTGAGAGACGGTTCCAGCCGTGTCCTTTTTTAGAGGTCTCGATGATGTTTTTAGTTTCGATTCGTATTTAGTGGGTTTTGGTACTCTAGTGCTCCCCTTTTCGGTTGTTTCTATTCGTTATTTGTTGTCCCATGGCGAATTTTAGAGTTTAGTCTGGCCTCCCCCTCGTATGGCATTGATGGGAGTTAGTTGAGCTACGGTACACGCGGCATTCGCATGACTTGTGTCACGGAAACTGCGTGGGTGTTAGGTCTGCGTGGCATGGAATCGTTCAAACTCTGTTTTTTTTTAACATTTTTAATACGCATCCGTTGCGTTGGGTCTACTACTTTACCATGCATACCTGGGTACCTATTTATGATAGGAGATTGTAAGAAGACACGCAAGGAGCTATCTCGGTGTGGGAAGAGCAGCATTAGGTATCCTTGACATCACGACTACTGGTAGGTCGACGGGAGATAATCCTCCTAAAAGATACGCTAACAAAACGAAGATCCAGAACGTTATTTTGGGGATTTTATGTTCCCAAGATGAATAATAGAAATATACACATGTGTCCCCTAAACTCTTTTTTTTCCTCCTTCAACGGGACTTGGCCACGGTTAGTGGAAGTACACAGAGTAGTGGACGTGAGTAGTGCAGATCATGCGACGGGAGATGGGATGCTGCTTTTTTGGGTCTCCGTCAAGAATACTCCGAAAAGCTCGCGTGGTGAAACGGCAAGGGGCGAAACGCGGGTGCTTGCACGTCAACGATTTAGTTATCTCCTTTGTTCGTTCGGAGGTGTTATTCCATCGAGGTATTGTACCTATCAGAATATTAAATGTCTATTTCAAGTGAGACAGGTAAGCTCAACTCAACTCCATAGTACACCGATATAGGCATGCGTACCTTTTACTCCTCATCACATAGCTGCGAACTTCCATATTAATTCTACGCCCCTTGCGTAGGGGATTAAATATCAACGGCATAAGAGCGAGTAGCGAGGGGACGAGTCTTGGCAAACATGAGGTACCAAGCTGTCGGTGCCCTTACTTACTTACTTTATTAGTAGCACGTACCTAGGTAGCTTACGATCGTAGTAATGGGTAGTTAAGAGGCGTTTGTGCGAGCCCAGAAAACCGGGAACGGCGGACTGATGGAGCCGCGTCTCCCACATCCCACTCCCTCCACCCCCCAGGTTTTTGAGTTTCGACGGGATAGGGTCCGTTTGGATCGCGGCTTACCCTGGTCTTACCTAACTGTTGTGGAATGCTCCATATATTGTCTAGATGGAGGGTAGATACCTGGTATGCATGTGCCATGTGATGTGCATGTATGTAGGAGACAAGAGCTGGGTGTGCTGAGCAAGCCGATTACGACCGGGTTCATCGGGTTGTTGAGCTAAATTATCCCCATCCCAATTGTATTTTACGTACACCATACACGGAGTGCATGTGAGTCCCCGGTGTTCTGTATCTATTATTCATGATTGCTCGGACGGTATATAAAAAGGGGCTTTTCTTCCCTCGCCTCGTCTCTTGTTCCTAGATTCTTCGTTAAAGAACTTCAAGTTGATACGTCAATTATCAATTCTTCAGATCTCGACTGTACCTTACCTAGACGGTTTTATATATAATATTGCCGAACTCCTTGCATTGAAGTTTATTCAAACCTAGTTCTTTCTGAATATATCGGACACTTTCGCCAAAATGCATTGCTACTGTGCCAACTACTATGTTAGTGAAACCCGACGCTCTTCTCAATGAAAGCAGCATACTGATAGCGAGAAATAGGGAGCAGTTAACTGCCAAAACAAAGTCTCTAACTTTGGCCAGCGGTGTAAACTGTGTATAGTATGTCTTAATTACCCATTCAAATTTCTTCTTAATTGAGTATTGACCGAGGAAATTTGTAGGCTCTAAATGAGGGTAGGTCGGCAAAAGACCCATCTGATCCCTTCAAAATCACATCCAACGACTACGCGTACGACAGCGATGTTATCGAAGATGACGACTCAAGTCAAGACGACGAGGAAAGCCAGCGCGGTCGGTCGAGGGAGCGAAGCAAGAGCTCTTCAAAGTAAATACTGAATCGGGTTGTATGATACTCGAGGGTGCTACAATTATCTGGAGCCGCCATTCGTGGCTTTCTTACAAATACGCGGGATGTAATCAGGCGAACGGGGAGAATGGTCCCGGTTTCGATAAAAAGGGATATTAGATGGAGAGATTGGTAGTAGGCTTCGATCACATGCTCGATGGAATGGGCACTAAGGCTTCGAGACTCGGAGTGGCTTTCGCCTAAGGAGTCAGCGAGGTAGGCTGCGCCCAGGAAACACAACTATTCCCGAATGATGTCTTAAATCCTTCTCTTTCTCCGTAGAATTACCACCGGCGTTAGGTTGTACGGATAGGGAACTAGGTACAGATCGGGGTCGATCTTTCGGAACTAAAAGATAGCGGAGGTCGAAAACTTGGCTTCTGGGGATGGGGGGATATCGAAAAGGAAGGAGTTTCGGTGTACAGAATTAATAATATTTATCATTACCACCTTGTTTTCTATAAGTGTTGACGTTAAGTACGACTGTTGACAGTGACCTGAGAGACGTTGTGCTGGGTGAGATTGAAATGGGGACGTTACAGAATACATTGAGGAAAAAGGGAATGCACTAGAATGTGCGACGATGAGGCGTGTTACACAGAGGGCATTGTGCGAGCAAGCAACAGTAAGCGTTGGGAGTACCGTGTAAAGTGTCTCGGTTCTTACGAATGGGGTATTTCACAAGGACAATTGTTTATGTCTCGAGCATCGCAAGGCAATATCTGGCGATTGGATTTATACAATCTCGTATGAATATACACTGGTATCATGCCCGATCTATTCCGATTATCCTCTCTACATCGATCTGTGGACGGTATAAGGGCACGGTGAGCCTAGCCGCCGACCTAATCAAGCCACCACCGTAATATCCCATCACACACATGCACGGCTCGCTCTCAACAGTCTCACACTCACTTATGACCCTGCAAATGCCACTCGAATACCTTCCTAAACAACTCTTTCCCATTTCCCTCAATCGTCTCCCCGTGGCACGGAATAATCGTTTCGAAATCCCAGCTCTCGATCCTCTTCACGCTCTCATTGAACCCCGCGCGGTTCTTATTCGCATTGCTCAGCACATACCACAAGAACCTCTTCAACCCCTTCGCCTCGCCCGCGGTACTATTAATCGACTCAAAAATCCGATTCACAAAACCATGCGCGTTCTTCTCCGCCTCCGGCACACGAGAATACTGCTCCACCGCCGGTAAATTAAACAACAAATCCGCCTGTATGAGCACCTTATCTGGTTTATACAACAACACAACCTCCTGATTCGGATGCGCGTCCACGAATTCCACCTCGAAATCGGCCGCGAACTCGTCGCTTACAGCCCGTACTTCGCGTTTGTTACTCGCGTCCCAGATGAAAGCGAACGGCTCGTCGCCGATCTTGGGGTCGTCATGCGTCTTCGCGCGTTTCTCCTGTAGACCCTTGGGCCCGAGGATTTTAGCTTGGGGGTACGCGCGTGACCATTCTGAGAGGAAGATGTGGTGCTCGATGTCGCCGGCTATGATGTACCCCACGTTCCCGCCTAGTTCGCTGACTTTGGCTTGGGTTTCCGGTGTTAGGGCTACGGGGGAGAATACTGCTAGGGTGCCGGATGTGAGACGTACTGGGTGAGTGAGGGTTAGTGGGTATGGTTATAATGTGGAGGTTGGGATTGGTTTACTTATGGTGCCGCGCCCGCCGACTCGGATTAGGCCGAATCGCGCGAATGGCACGGATACGGTGACGATGTTGGGTGTGATATGCCGTATTACGGCTACGTCGGAGGGATTGGAGGGGATGAGTTTGGATGACATGGTGGAATAATAGTGTTGTTGTTTGAGTGAAATATTATGAGCTCTCGAATGAAAGGTACTATTATATACAAGAATTGATCTATTATGGTGGGATAGAATTTGTGAAACAAAGGAGGTATGTTTCGAATGTTTGCTCGTGATGACGGAATATAATAATAATGTGTTTTTTAATGATGATGACTTCTTAAATGAAGGTCGGTATATATTCATTCTTATAAGGGTTTAAAGAGTCTGAGTTATTGGAGTCGGCGTCACATCCTCTACCAAGTTTATAATGAACATTTGGAATTAAACCCGGGATGGAAATTTGGAATTTGGAATTTCTCTTAATACTATTTCCGATTATACAGGCCCCCCTGTCGACGATGAGGCCGTATCCGTTTCCCCTGAGAATTTATGGTCGCTAACATTTAGAATAATGACATCATGTAGTTCTGACAAATACCTCTATACCTACCTAGATACCTACCTAGGTAGTGATTGCGGGGCTGGAATCGGCCGTATATTGTGGAGACCTTAACAAGTTACCTAGGTCCAAATCTCAATCTCTCATTTACAACTTCACAACTTCACAACTCAAAGTCCTAATTTCCATCATCTACCAACTACTCCTCTTATTGCTATCATGTATCATGTAACTTTCATCATAGGGTTATATATGAAAAATGAAATTCATTATTATATTTGATACACTCTATATGAATAATTGCGACCACGTATCCCTAACTACCTAGCCCATATATATCTCGATGCCTATCCTGCTTCTGACGCTATATAAAAATGAAAGTACAAATGCGTATCGAAACACTCCTAGAACCACTAACTTATGTAGCCCTTTAGTTCCTGATGAAATGGTACGCCCCCAAAAAGAGAAACAATTCCCAAAAATAATGGAATGATGGGATAAAAAGACTGAGGAAATTGGTGGTATCCTGCGAATTGACGTACATCGCCCTCCTCACTTTTGCGTTTGCATTCATCATGAGTGATCTTTCACGAGCTGATGCTATCATCGTCGCTACCATCATCAGGAATGCGATTATGTTAAGCCAGATCCATCTATCGCTCCGTAGGATGTTCGTTATTCTTTGGCCTATTCCTGACCCACCTGGGGCACCACCACCCCCAGCACCAGGGCCACCGGCACCTGCACCACCACCACCACCAGGAACGCCAGGAACGCCAGGACCACCTACTCCAGGACCTCCACCGGGGCCACCTAAACCTCCAGTACCGACACCAGGACCACCAGCGCCGCCGACACCTCCTAAACCAGAACCACCAGCACCAGGGCCACCGGTACTAGGACCACCAGTACCAACACCAGGACCGCCGAGACCTCCACTGGGGCCACCTAACCCTCCACCACCACCTCCAACACCAAGACCACCGGCACCGGGGCCGCCACCAACGCCACCTCCAGTGCCGACACCAGGACCGCCAGCACCACCAGCTCCAATGCCAGGGCCACCGATACCACCAGAGCCAACGCCAGCGCCGACAGGACCAGGGCCACCAGCACCGCCTGCTCCAACTCCAGCGCCGACAGGACCGGGACCACCGAGACCACCGAGACCACCAGCGCCAACACCAGTGCCAACTCCTCCAGCACCCGCAGGTCCTGCTGGTGCACCTCCTGCTCCTAGATCTCTTGCCCTTTCCATTGCTGGTTTCTCCCCTGGTGTAAATGTTTTAATTATGTCGTCTAAGAACTGGTTTTGGTTCCGGAGGTGTCGGAGCGTGCGTGATAACCTGCTGATCTCCTGTTCCGCCCTACCCACCTTTCTGCGGTCAAAGTTACCGCGCTCGAAGGGGCGTCTCTCTATTTCCGTTTTGAGAGATTCTAACCTCTGAATATATGTGTTATACGTGTCTTCGTTGATCTTGAGCTGTTCTAGGAGCTCGGCTTTGTTCTCTTCAGCTCGCAACCTTAGGTCTTCATACATTTTATTGAAGAATTCTGTGAGCTCTTCTTTTGCTTGTTCTGAGTATTCTTCCCCAATCTTTCGGAGTCTTTCGGCTTCTTCGGCGTCGCGCTTCGCCGCGGCTGCCTCTAGATCCCTTATTCTTTGCTCTAGGTTTCGTATTGTTTCCTCGAGTCCGGCTCGCGCAGCTCGCTCTGCCGCCAAATCATCATCCGCTTGCCTGAGTTGCTGTCTTAATCGCTGGAGTTCAGCATCGGGCGGGTTTCCTGAGGCATCGTCGGCCCTTTGACGTTCCTCATCTAGTTGACGCGTAATCTCGACAATCCTCCTGTTGAGCTCGGATTTCTCTGCCTCGCACTTTGAGGTTTGGCTTCCAAGGTCCGCCTTAGCCTTCGCAAGTTCATCCTCTGTCCTCCTGAACTCTGCATTCATGGCCTTAACTTGAGACTGAAGTTCTCTTTCGCGTGATTGAAGAGTGTCGTTTAATTTCTGGAGGGATTTGAGCTTCTGTAGTTCAGCATTGGCCTCCTTATACTGTTTTTGTAGCCTCTCAATCCGCGCCTGGAGTTCCTTTTCCTTCGCGTTACCACTGGATTTAGCTTTTCCATCGAGATCCTTCAACTGCTGTTCTAGTGTCTCTCTGGCCTCTTCTGCCTCTTCGAGACTGTTCTTCAACCCCTCGATTTCTAGTTCGAGGGCTAGGTTTCCAGTCTGTTGTGGACCAGATGAAATCGAAGTGGGCGCACCACCCGAGGTTGTTGTAGTTGGTGATTTAGCAAGCTCCTGCTCCAACCTAATTACCTCTTGCTGCAATGCATCTACAGCTGCCTTCCCAATATTTATCTTTTCTTCAAGTTCTTCCTGTTTCACTTTAGCTAGAAACCTTTCTTCTTTCATTTTCTGTATTGTTTGTTTATTGTCATTATTTTCCTTTTCGAGAGCTTTCTGGGCTGCCTTGGCACCGGGTACAGGTAGAGGTAACGATTTCAGATAATCCTCCTGTTCAGTAATGGTCTTCTCCGCTTTCGCAAGCTTCGTTTCCGCCTCGTCCCTTGCCTTATCGACTTTTTCATAATTATTTTGCAAGTCTGAGATATACGATGCATTATCTCTCTTCGACTTGGCTAAATCGCGTTTGAGCTCCCTAACCTCATTTTCAAGGTCTTCCACTTGAGTCCCCTTTTCTCTAACCTCGTCGTCGATTGCATTGAGTTCATCCCTATGTGTTTGTTTCAAATCCTTGATTTGTGCCTCACATCTGTCCTCGGCGTCCTTCAAATCATGCGATCGGGCAGTGAGCCTTTTATCGAGGCTTTCATTTCTTTCCTTTATGCTCTGAAGCTCCGTCACGGCGTTTCTCAGATTTGTTTCGAGACCGTTTTCCCTAACATTTGCAAAAGGGATGCACATTCTCCTCAACAAGTCCACTAGGACATCGTGGAGGTTGGTTTTATCAAAAGATTTGTTTAACGATACAACGGGATCTGATGACTCGATTAATGCAGTCAACATTTGGTTGCCAATATGTACGACTGCGTCATCCCACTTCGCTTCGGCTGGAGAGGGGTTGGCTTTTTTCGGCGGCATGATGGCGTTTTTTTTCCTTTTCTCTTTTCGGGGGTAGTATATTTTGGCAGTGTTTTACGGAATGGCTTCTTCGAGGCGAACGACTCGCTCGCCCCGAGCATTGTAGGACTTTTGTTGCCATCACGGCACAAAGAAGCATGTGTTGCTAGATCTGCGTCCGGTAGTGTCGTGGCTTACGGCTTTGTCCAATTTCCAGGCCGCCCTAAGTATTCTAGAAGTTCTTGAGTAGCTAATATGTTACCTATAATATCTCTTTCAACTACCTCCGTATCCTCCTCTCGAATCCGGTCCTACTCTTTCACATAATCATTTATGTCCGAAAACGGTGGACGGTCTTCTCTAGTTTGGTAAAGCTTTGCGAATAACTAGTGCAGCGAACAATCACCTTTTTCTATTCATTTCAACCTATGGGTACCTACATAGGTAGGTATACAACAGCTAATTTTCAAGGGATTCCCATGATGAGCTTCAAACCAGATATTCGCATAGGTGAGTAGAGACAAAGCCAATTGCGAGGTCGAGTACCGTTCTAATCCTCGGCCTATCTTTGCAGTCTTTGTCCACAGTGCTCTTTGTGCTACCGGGTATGGAGTTGCGTAATGACAGTTCGCTACTGCTATTCTTTTATCCGATGTTTCACTTGACAAGCAACTCTATTTGGTTTTCTTACTTGATTTTATTGGTTAGAATTGGTGAAGTATTGTTGGCTTTTCATATATCGTATAGCTAAGTGGTAACATAGTCGTTTACGCAACTGGGTGTAAGTACTACGTAAATAACAGCCAGTAACAATTCATTCAACCTAACCACAATAATCTGGCAAATCAATTGAACAATTGTAAATCGTAGAAAAACATAATTTTATATCATTGGAATATTCTCGATTTAATGGTTGTTAGTGCGCCCCTGACTGGATAACTTGTTTACTTCGGAGTAGGAGTAGTTACGTCATTGCCGTCATAGAAGTAACTAAACCTGTAACTAAATTAACTCGACTAACTTGTCTTAACTTCGTGTTAACAGCAGTAGAGTAATGCATGTAGAGTCATCCTGATGAGTAAAGTTCCCGCCATGTCTTATTTAACATCCTCGACCAAGACAAACGAATGTCTTGGCTTTTTATATCTCTACCTACCTAATTAACACCGATCACACTACAAGCAATCCTATATTGAGCTCTAAACTCCGATCATCATAAATCATACCTACCATGTCTCTGGCTCATCATGTAAATTTCTATTCACTTACTCACTAATGGTTAGTTGACTAATAGCTTTATAGATCGACCCGGACGAGCTGGTAGAACGTCTTCATGATGCTCACCTCACTGAGAATGGTCGCCAGCTACGGCAGATGATGGCGACATCTCATCTCACACCGTACGGTACTAAATATGCTAGCGAGGTGGACGTACCCAAGTATGAGCTTCCGAAAGAGGGAGCGCCTGCGGATACCGCGTACCAACTCATCCGCGACGAGCTAGATTTAGACGGCAAGCCAAATTTGAATCTTGCTAGGTAAGACTTCACTCTTACATTTACTCCTATCCAAAACCCTATCATACTTTTGTGTGGGCAACACGTGTACGTTATATACTCACAAACATCACAGCTTCGTGGGAACATACATGGAACCCAACGCCACACAACTCATGACCAAGAACCTCGCTAAGAACCTCGCGGACAACGACGAGTACCCAGCAATGATGTCGCTACACGAGCGCTGCGTAAGTATCCTAGCACACCTCTGGGGCGCCAAGAAAAGCGAGCGCGCAATCGGCACCGCGACCACGGGGTCTTCCGAAGCAATCCACCTAGGTGGTCTCGCCATGAAGCGTCGCTGGGTCGAGCACCGACGCGCGCAAGGTCTCGACGCGTCAAACCCAAACATCATCATGGGCGCCAACGCACAAGTGGCTTTAGAAAAATTCGCGCGGTATTTCGATGTCGAGGCGCGCATTCTGCCTGTTTCGAAGGAGAGTAAGTATCGCTTGGACCCGGAGTTGGTGAGGAAGAATGTGGATGAGAATACTATTGGTGTGTTTGTTATTCTGGGAAGTACGTATACGGGACATTTTGAGCCGGTAGAGGAGATTGCGGGGATTTTGGATAAGGTACAGGAGGATACTGGTGTGGATGTGCCGATTCATGTTGATGCGGCTTCGGGAGGGTTTGTGGCGCCGTTTACGCATGCACAAGCTGGGGGGTCGAAGTGGTGAGTTATCCCTTTCATTTCTTGTTGCATTCTTAGTACTCCTTCGTAAATATGTACCTTTCCATTTTTCTTTGTGTTAGATATCCACTTACGCGCGCATCTATCAAGGAACTTCGAACTCCCCCGTGTAAAATCCATCAACGTATCGGGGCACAAATATGGGCTTGTCTACGCCGGCGTAGGCTGGATCGTATGGCGGGACGAATCTTACCTCCCGAACCACCTCATCTTCGAACTGCACTACCTAGGCGGCACCGAGAAGTCCTTCACGCTCAACTTCTCGCGGCCCGGTGCACAAGTCATCGCGCAGTACTACAACCTGATTCACCTGGGGTTCAATGGGTACCGCGAGGTCATGGAGAACTGCCTCCGTAACGCGAGGCTCTTGTCCAAGAGCCTAGAGGCAACGGGATGGTACACATGCGTGTCTGACATCCACCGCCGCGCCGGCACCACCTCAGGCGTCATCGCAGATGCTAAGCACGCTGTCCTTGGCGAAGAGGGCGAGACTTCAGCAGATTACGTCACAGGACTGCCAGTTGTGTCCTTCCGACTAACCGACGATTTCCATAAGGAGTTCCCACACATCAAGCAAGAGTCCGTGTCCCTACTCATGCGCGCTCGGCAATGGATTATTCCAAACTACGCTTTACCACCTAATGAAGACAAGACCGAGATTCTAAGAGTAGTTGTCCGGGAGAGTATGAGTCTGGATTTGATGGATAAGCTCATTGCGGATTTAGTGTCGGTTACTCAGACATTGATTGATAATGATGAAGTCGATCTTTCGATACTACAAAAGCAGAGGCCGGCGGGAGATACGAAGCAGAAAAAGGATGGGAATGGTGTGGATTTGACGAAGGAGAGTGTTGATGTGCTAGAGGGGAAGGCGGCGAGGTTGGCGGATGGAATTCATAGGACTGTGTGTTAATCGAGCGATGACGACGCTGGTGAGGATCGGAATCAGGGGTCTTTTCGTGGGTAATTTCGATGAGGTAACTCGAAGTGCTTAATCGTACGGAAAATTATTCAGGCTGGTTGCATTATTTAACCCGGATTTTCACCAGGTAGCTTATCAGATCAGCAACGTAGGACTTGACGCGCATAGGAGACGTTGTAATAGAGCCTTACGATATACCATGTCGACTTAAGAGGGGTATAAAACTGCCAAGCCCTGTAATTAAAGTGACATTTCCTAAGACAATGACTTGCATACGATCCGTAATTAGCTAGGTAGCAGGAACTGGATCCAGTCCGATTTCATATAACCATCTTTAGCTTTGCGAATAGGCTCGGGTGTGGCCGTAAAGCTCCCAAGAGTGTCTATAGCGCGTGGCTTTTCTTCCATGGTTGATCGTGCCGTCTGTTAGGGAATGATATGCTAGATATGCTAGGTACTAAATTTTTCAACTGCAGACCCCGAAGTACTTGGAACTTATGCCCAGAAAATTGGTTACACATACACAAGGCCATTCGGAGTTGCTTGCTTTTTTGTTGTGGCGTATTTAATAGCATGCAAGTGACTACCTGAGATCTACAGGGTTAGAATAAGCAAAAACATACCACACATAATCTTGCTGGTAAAGATTGCGCGGATGGTAGTAGTGCTCTTCGTGATGGGATTCTAATCTCAAAGGGACCCAAGAAATACATATATTAGCCAGGATGTGAGTATGCTGTGGACTGCCATCGGAAGCCGTGAAGATTCAACAGACGTCATTGATACGGCGGAAACCTACCTAGGCGCCTACTGAGGTACGTCGAGCGCCCAACATCCGAAGCGCCTCTCTTTCGTGGGGAGTGTGGCTTCTGCAACGAGCCTGTTCTGGTAGTATTTATCGAGAAGAGAGGAGATTATCTATGCGCCACGCTGAAAAGTAATTTGCTGTCTGCTGTGATACCTAGGCCTCGCCCGGGCGATCGTAAGAACGAAATATGCCTACCTGGGTACTTACCTACCAGCCTACGTGCTGAATTGAAATTGCCTAAAATGAGACTCTGGCGATCAGCCAACGTCATTTTTACCTCCCTCCGTGACATCTTGCACCAGATGGGTATTTCCATCAATTTCAACCGTCGAAGGATTCCTCTTCATTAAATTCCGATTCTAGCGATACTCTGTTCCCATTTACGGGCTATTCTGGAAGATTTGCGCCCGTAGCTTACACCCTGGCCTCGATATATGGGACACACAGAAGGAATACCATTCGAAACAATATTTTGTGGGTAAAAGAAAAAGATAATTATAAGATGTGGTGCGCCGCAGTAAATTATACGATGATCGTTACTTATAGAAATATAAAAATGACAGCGTCGCATTTGCAACCTACCTAAACCAAAGACCGACGGAACGGGCAATACTGTAGTTGCAACATCGCATCCACCCTCCCGGTTAAACTGAATATATCCCAAGCCAAATTCATTTCTAGATTCACAGATAGCCGTAAGAATTCCCTAGGTTGTAGGTAAGTTATACGTTATACTCGTAGAGCAACGTTGGTTGATTATGGAACGAGAATCTCTTTCTCTTTCCTCTTCGGGAGATATCCCGGCGCGGCGCTATTAATGTCAAACATATTTAGGAGGTGGTTATAGAGAATGAACGAAAGATGAAGTGAGGTCAGAGAAAGTATAGCCGCCTAAGTTCTATTTAAATCCCAATTAAAATCCCCTTGATGCTAGACGAGATGCCAAATAATTTCTATGCCTACCTACCCTGTTACCAAATTATACAACCTCCCACTATAATCCAACTACAAGATCATATAACAAGGCCTAACTCTCAACATGAAGGTAACATTCTTCTCCCTAACCCCCATTCCAATCTCCCTATCGGAAGCCCCGACTAAACATCTACAGTGCACATTCCTCCCACTCATCCTCGCAGCAGCGACCTCCATCTACGCTGCCTCCCTACCCGTCGGCATGAACCACCTCGAGCGCCGCATGACCTGCAGCGCGGGCCTCGACAACCCATGCCAGGACCTATGTTTCTGCTCCTCCGGTAGCGTGGCGTGCCACGAGGACCCCACTAGCCGGTGCGTGCAGATGTGTACTTGCTAGATGGATAGAGGTAGTGGACGATGGCGAGGACAAGAAAGAGGGAAACGGTTGCTGTGTACTATATAGGCTGAAAAAAGGGGGGCGCGTCGAGGATGAAGAGAAAAGGACACGACCAATTGTATAAAACGCTGCCGTTGTATATAAATAAAAAGGAAAATTTCCATGCTATGCTTATAAAACTATTTTTGCCCCCTAAACCGTGCCTATAAAATCCACAAATCAAATATACCACCCAATAGAGCCACTTAGTACCTATAGTAACAACAATCTGCATAATTTTAATACTTTATTGATCCTCGCTTCAGCTGAATTCAAACCATACAGCCCCAAAAGAACCACATGTTCCGCTTCCAAGACATAGAATAACCATAGACGCTTAGGAGAAGTATATGTACTCATACACCATATCCATACACAAGCACTCGCTCATATTCTTCCATCCTCTTCCAAGCTGTTATTTCATCGCCTACTCCCAGGTCCCGGACCCCCAGACTTCTTCCTTAAGGACGTAGTACTCCCCCAATTCCCTGCTGACTTCCTCAATTTATTCCCAAGGCTGATTCTAGCAGCCGACATAGGGTTCTGGGAGATGTGCGGCGGGGCTTGTTGGCCCAGAGGCTTACCCTGGCCATCCGCAAGCGGGATTTGCTTGCCGCTAGCAACTTTCTCCCAGTCATATTTATCGATAGCATTGAGCTTTTCGTCTAGTTCAACGTCTGATGGCTTGCGAATCTTTCCTTGGCGGAGAGCTCCCATCATTGCAGCCCACGTCTCGACTTGCCCGTTACATGCTTCCTCTACGCAATCACATTCATCGCCTGCGGGACAGTCTGTTTCGCCTGCTGCATGCCATTCTGCGATGCAGGCGTCGTGGCTCGCACAGCCACATGATAGACATGGAGGGTATAGCGCGTCGATCGGCTCGTTGCAGAATACACACAGCAATTGTGTCTGTGTGCGCTTGCAGCGATCGCAAGTACCTACTGCGCCTCCAAGCGCCGCGCTGACATGTGTCGACCCTACAGGATCAAGACGAGTCTCATGTACGCGACAGATACCAGTTACATCAATACCACGGTCAGAAGTGATCAGCGATTGTAAGAGTTCCTTTTTCCCTAGAACAATAGGTGAGTTCGCTCCGTGGTGTGAGCGCGAGCCTTGGCTTATATTCTCCGTGCTATGGTACGAGTCGTGGAAACTAGCCGCTCCCGAACTGGTAAAACTCATAGGTTGGTGACCAGAAAGATCCTCCTTGAGAACGTTGAACTTCAGGATCTCAAGACGGGCTAAGGGTTGATCCCACATTTGTAGCATTTCTGCGTACGCATGGCGATAGCTTGCATATATGGCGTAACGAGTTGGCTCGAGAAAAGGGACTCCAAGCCAGCCATCATCATCGAAGATCGACTGATCCTCTAATTCGGTGGATATGCCATAGCATACGAGTGGTAAATTATCGTCGTTCCGTATGTCATCGTCGGAATATGAATTGCGTGCCGTACTTGGCGGTTCAGGCGTGGGGCCGAGAATCGTTGAGCCGCCCCATGTGATATTTGTCGGTGCAAGACCGGAAAGGAACGTCTCTCCAGGACTAGGCCGTTTTCGACTAGGAGGAGACGTTGACGCAACACTTGTGAAAGCCCTAGGAAAACTAGCCAAACCAGCACTTAAAGCGGTATTTGCACGGGTTAGTAATCGATTATCAGGCGACGCAGCTAAGCTCTGAGTTGGATCACCATCTGGTTCTCGTGGCGTAGTTGTAGGTGGCGTCTCCCCGCAGGAATACGAATTAGATTTTGGATCACCACCCCACGTAATCTCCTCGGACCCATAAGAACCGACGAGATTAACAGGTGTGTGTAACGTTTTAGGAGTAGAGATCGCCGAATTTGCTTGGCTTTTATGAGTATGGAGACTGGAATGCCAAAGCGATGCATCTGTAGGGAAATAATCCAATGAGAACGATGGTGCCTTCATAGGTAGTGGCGTTTCCGGTTGAGTGAGATGTGACTCTGCATAAGCGACACTATCCTCGGCCGATGACTCGCTGAATATACATGAAAGCATAGCAAGCATCTGTACATCAGCCATCTTTTCGAAATAATTGAATAGGTCATCAATCAAATCTTTCGCAAGAGGATGGAACCCCCACTTGACCCGACCAGCAAGTGTAGATAACTCCGACTCCGTGGAGATCGGCCCCCCATCGCCGAGAAGGGAAACGGCGTTTCTGGCAACGACCAGTATTGATTCTCCGTTTCGACCGTCCCCTAAGAGTTCTAGGGGGATATCCTTTCGAAGCAATAAGGCCGCGTAATTCCAAACGTCTACCAGGTCCGATCGGCCATACTTCTGTGCTACAGCTGCATTGTGCCGACAAACGTCCGGTCCGTCTCCAAAGATACAATATTCGCGAGCAAATTCTCGTTGGGAGGGCAAATCGTTAGCGATATTATGAATTGATATGATGTTTTTGGGTTTTCCTGGACGACGTCTGCTTGTTCCGGTACCTGTACCCGTGCCAATGCCAGTTCCTCCACCACTCGAGTGCATAGAATAACTCCCGCTGAATGTTTTTCTGAAACGTCGGCCCGGTAAGTACCACATATTGATTTTGTGCATATATGTAGTTTCGGAGTCGCTCGAGCTAGAGGATTCTTCTCCCTCATCTGAATCGGATTGATCATCTGTTGCGGAGGCTTCATCATTTGTGTACCTGTTTCTCGGGGCTGATGACTCTTGCTGGAGTCTACCAAAACCAGCGAAGCTAGGTTCACCTTTAGGGCGCTCCCTGTAGGTATCGGAACCGGGAAAGAAGGAAATCCTAGCCTTTTCTTCCTTAGTAGGGAAGAAACAGACTAATCTTCCGTCATTTGAAAACCGACAACCACACAAACGCGGCATTGGCGGTATAGTAGGCCGATTTGTCGGCGCAAGTGTAGCGTCTAGTTCAGTGCTCGCAGTTAATTCCTGAGACATGATCGCGGAAGCGCCAGTGGGAATATCGTTATCCTCTTCCTCACTTGAGCTTTCATCCGCAAGTCCACCCAAATCATCATCCAGATCTCTAACATTCTTGAAGAGGGAATCGCTACTAGAAAGATCTACCTCTCCAAGTAAGTAGCTAAAAGCCACCCCGAGACAATTTTGTCGCTTTTTTGAATGGCTGCTTACTAGTTGATGAATTTCTCGGTCGAGCTTTTTGAATGTTTGGTCTGTCATCAAAGCTGTCTTCTCGACGATAAATATTGGGGCTCTCGATTTCGGATAATTCCTTGGGATGTCCACTTTGACTTTGATAAAAATGGTATCACCGTCTGCGCCCCATGGGCCTTTGAGGGAAGCTCTTAGAGTTAGAGACTCCATATCGACATCGTCCCATTTGACATTTGGCAGTTGTTGACTGACCCGGACGATCTCTTCCTGCAATGTTTCAGGCTCACCCCAATGCTCGTCATGAAAATTGTGGCCGAACATAGTTGAATCTCTGGATTCCTTTCTTTGAGGTGTGCCTATCATCCCCGACTTCTTACTCATTGTGATGCCCTTCATCCAACCGAGCTGGTCTAGACTCCTTTCGATTATCTTCCCTGGTGTGGATTTTGCTTTCATTGACGGTCCTTTCCAGCTTGGAACTCCACTGCCGGAACGAGGGTAATGTGGTGACATCGTCTGCATTCCCATAGTGAGAGCACTGCGGCGTAACTGGCCTCCTCCACTGCTGGGGCGAGAGTCGCTCATTGTGGCTAACCTCTTTTCTCTATTCGCATGATCGTCAACAGCGCGATAGGTCTTATATGCAGCTCCCTTTCTCGTGATGTTGATGTTCCTTGCCGGGCCGCCTTTGACATGGCCTATAGACTCCAAAGTCTCCGAGTCGACTCTGTGTAGACGTAATTCGTTGTCTTCACCCCATGATACGAGTTGAAATTCTCGATTATCTATCCCATCGGAAATCGTCCCACGACTTCTCCACAAGAATTCTTTTACTTTGTGGTTCCCGTGGCCAGGGAAGATATTTCGTGGATTAATCGTGCTATCAATAGCTTCCCCTTCGTCACGACGACCATCGTATAGATAGAGATTCCCAGGATCATTTTGAGGCATAGCTAATAAGCCATAGCCGAAAGGGGTATGACGAGCACGCCACACGGGGAAATCCGTGTGAATGATTCTTTCCGGTTCATCGGAAACACTATAATCCCAGAACTTAATGCTCTTATCTAAGGAGCAAGTAACAATACTAGTAGCCTTAGAACGATTCCAATCGAGACCGTAAATCTTGGATGTATGCGCGCTAATGGATTTAAGAGGCGCAGAAGGTTTCCTCTCATCCCAGATGTGTAGCCATCTATCATGAGAAGAAGCAAGCACGTTGGGATCTTGTCGGTTATATTTGACTTGGGTAGCTCCGGCGAACCAGTCACTAAATGTAAGGACAGGTTGTTTAGGTCTCCTCAAATCCCAACAATGCACATAACCATCGACAGCGCAGGTGGCGAGGATATCGGGATGGTGAGCAGAGAAATTTACATCTGTGATGGCCCGGCTATGACCTTGGAGAGAGTGCTCAATAGCTCCAGTGGCAGAATCTTCTCTTAGGTTCAAATTCCAAACCAGACAGCGATGATTCGCTGTTGAAGCTACCCAATAGTCTCTGGCGGCGAAAGGCGACCATTGCACATCGACCACCAGCCATGGGAGTCCATGACTACTCAAGCGACGAGGAGGGCTATAGGGAGAATCAAGGTCGATGATGGCTAGTCCATCGGGGCTTTTGAAGTGATAAGCATACACTACATGTTAACTTGGGCATATCTCTACTTACGATGCAAGAGCGATATCGCGACCACATGGTGATATAGTAGCGGATCCCACGAGGCCATCGACATGAATGGTCACGTCGGCATCAAAAGTTTCACTATCGTATGGAGACTTGGGCTTTTCCTTCTTGGAGGAATCCAAGATGTGATCGAAAGTTGAAGGCATGGTTGCTCAATTTTCATGAGCGTTGAGGCTCTCATAGAACATCGAGTTCCCGACGAAATTCTCATGGCGCCACAGCCCATCCTTCATTCGCTCATACGTTTTCTCAACCTTCATTGGCTCTCTCATCGACTATTATCGACTATCGGACGCACCGGTTATGTTCCGAGGTAACGAATAAAAATAGATTATTCAATACATAAATGAAAAGGCATTATTATGGCTCATAAAGAGGCTAAGCTCATCGAGTTATACAACATTTATGTAGGATTTGATGCATTTGTAGGAGTCTTCATCATGCTCTAAGGAATTAATTGATGTAGTTAGTTGGAAGAGATGACCTTGATGGGTACCGAGCGCGCGTGAGAGGTCGCGATTCGCTATCGATAGAATAAGTGGGTATTTAAAGCTCACCTGCATCTAATCTCGATTACGTAAAGAATGAATTTTCCACAAACGGTTAGCTAATATCGGCCGTGCATTAGGTAATACTATGTACATATGCATCGGCACTTCTCATGTCCAGCATAACAATCTGCATATTTTGTGTTTATATTTTTATTTTGATTAAGATAAATAGGAATTGTGAATAATAAATAGCATCAATAGTCAATACAACTTCCATCTGATCCTCTAAAAATTGTGATTGTAGATTACTAAATGCACTACGTCTTAGTAAAAGAAGGTACCCCGGTGTAATGCCCAATGACATCCATGGATGTACCTACTTCAAGGTAAGGTGCTTTGCCCACCGAACCTTCGGCGTGGCATCCCAGCAATGAGGGGCAGCATACATGTATATGGTACAAATCAGGTAGCAGTACAGGTGCCGCCCCATCCTTATCGAAGCATCCCGCCTTCCGCCTCCAGATGTTTGTTTGATTCGCCGGCCTAGTAGTTTCCAACGAAGGTTTCTTTTGTCCGGGGCGCAACAACCTTTCTTTTTACTCCTCAGACTCACTCACAAACAAATCGCATCTTAAGTAATCTTCATCCGACGACAAATTCGGTTCTTAAAGTATTTTCTACTCAGAAAAAAAACACATTTGTCTCACCGTTCTCTATCATCTTTCAAAGACATCAACGGCGAACGACATCATTAAGTGACTTTTCCCCACCATTACAGAGACATACATCCCCACCAAATCACTAGCCCAAGCAGTACCTCGTGAGGTCTGCGGCGTTCTTCAGCCTTCCAACTTCTCAGCTTATAGCCTCTTTTTAAATCTTATTGGCACACCAACCAGGAGGCATCTTCCCCTCCCCCGCGAAGAATTCATTTCGCCGTTTTCTTTCCCCCCACGTTTCTACGGAGTAGTACAAGATGGCGTTGCCAAAGCGCATCGTGAAGGAGACGGAGCGTCTTATGACCGAACCGTAAGATTTAGAGCCCGGAACAATACCGATCGAATATAAGAATTTAAACGGTCTAACTAAATATTTACAGGGTCCCGGGTATCAGCGCCGTTCCCCATGAAGATAACCTCCGATATTTCGATGTAGAGATCCACGGCCCCTCGGGATCGCCGTACGAAGGTGCGCTGTCATGGTTCTCTCTTCAAGCACTGCTGGATGGTCTATTAACTCATTGCTCATTAAACAGGAGGTGTTTTCAAGCTCGAACTATTCTTAACAGATGATTACCCGATGGTTCCGCCCAAGATTCGCTTCTTAACTAAGATTTACCACCCGAACGTCGATAAGCTCGGCCGAATTTGCTTAGATGTGCTTAAGAGTAAGGCGAACATCGCTAATCATATCCAAGTCAACCCACTAACACCTCTGTTCCTAGATAATTGGTCTCCTGCTCTGCAAATCCGAACGATTCTCCTATCGATCCAAGCCCTTCTTGGTGCCCCGAACCCGGACGACCCCTTAGCCGCGGACGTCGCTAAGAGCTGGAAAGAAGACGAGAATAAGGCGATCGCAACAGCCAAGGAGTGGACTAAGACATACGCCACGCCCCAGTCGAAATAGAAGAGTAGACTGCAGAAGACGATCCACGCTGTCGCTAGTCTCACCAAGAGGAAACCCAAACCAACGCATTGTGCCTTAAAACGTCTTCCATTATCGGATACGTCGAGTACAACTAGTTCAACTGAAGTGGCTTTTGGGTCTGAGGCGAGTTTCGAATCAGATTCGTCGGTTTGTATACCCCGGAAACACAAACACAAAAGTCCCCCCAGACATTTTTAGATAGGAGGAATAGTACCTAGGTAGTTGAGGGTCCTCTACCCATACCGACTCACCTGGTCCAGCGATCGACCCGCTATCTCCTTGGCTCTGCACAATGGTTAAGATTTTCCTCATCCCTGGTTCTTTTTTTGATTTTGTTACTAGCATAAGACTACACTAGCGTTACGTGTTGTCTACCGCGATGGTGAAGGAATTATGGGCATGCATGCGGTCACAGCAATAAGTGAAATAGAGAATTTTAACAGCCATTAATTTTGTGAAGCTCAATTCGTGACAGGCTTGTAGGCTTTTCTATCTCAAGCAAGCCTGCCTATTTAAGGGGGCTTCTCTATTCATGAGGCTTAAGTAGCTCGCTTGGTGAGATACTATGAGCGCATCATGTAGACCATAATACCCACCTCAACCATCATTATTACCCGTTCTCAGGTATCCTTAAACATAAATATTCCCTTCCCGCCCCTAAACCCTTGCAGCGTACCTTGCACCGCACCCGTCAACGTGCTAACCTCTGTCTCCCAATTCCAAGTCAGTTCCTGGGTCGGCACATCCTTCAACTTCCCCTCCCTAACCAACCCCAAAATCTCATTCACAGTCCTCTCCTTCTCCGCCGGATCGCGATCAGCCCAGCGACTCAACCAAAACCCGACAAACCGCAGATCTTTAAAAATCAGCAACCCAGTCGGCAACGCAACAGGCTGCCTCGCCATACCCCCATACGTAACCATAGTCCCCCCCGAACCAAGCGTCTTCGCAATCCCCTGCGCGCTCTTCCCCCCTACACAATTCAACCCTAATCTCACACCCTCACGATTCCCTCTCGTCCACTCTGCAAGCCGTTCCCTGAATTCTCTCGCCTGGAATTCTTCCTCCGTAACCACATGCGTAGCACCCAGTTCCTTCAACTCGTCGACAAGAGCCTGCGTTTCCTCAGCCGATTCCCGGGCGCGTATAACATTAATACTCCTGTACCCCCACAACCGTCCAAGTTGAATAGCCGCGCGCCCAACACCGCTATTCGCACCATTCTGCACAAACCAATCCCCTTCCCTAAGCGGCGTAGGGTCTCTAACATAATCCCTCAACATCCTATACGCCGAGCACGGATTCACAGCCACAGTCCCAACCTGGGCAGGCGACAGCCCCTCTTTCTCAATTTTAATTAATTCATCAGCCGGAGCTAGCGCATGTGTGCGCCAAGTGCCGAATTGGGTTTTCTTAGGAATAACCCAATCCCCTTTACTTATACTCGCGGAAGCCGGTGCGGACGAAGAAACGACTTCAAACACCCCCTCGTTACCGGGTATTATAGAGGGTTCGGTTGTGCCAAGTAGCGAGGAAAAGGGTGGGAGCGCGCCGTAGGTGCCTTGGATTGTATTTACGTCGGCGGGATTGATGGGTGCGGCGAGGGTGCGGAGGAGGACGGATGAGGAGGGGAGGTTGGGGGATATGGAGTGTGTGTGTAGTCTGTTGAAAGAAAATATTTTATTAGTATTATTTGAATTGAAATTGAATATTGCTCATGATAAACTCACTTCAATACATCCTTCGGCTCGCCATACTCGCTGAAAACAAGTGCTTTCGCCTGCGTGTATCCATATGGCCCCGACTTATACCGAACCTGAGTCCGCGACGCCGTGCACCATCCCTTCGAGCTAGCTACCGTACATCGAGTCGGACGAATTGATGTTTTTGTGAGTGAACCAACTAGACCATGCGCTCTGAGCGGTTGGAGGCCAGCCATGTTTACCGCAATTTTATTTTTGTAATTGTAGGTTTCATGTTGAGATCTGGATAAAAGATCGATATGATAACGCAAAAAAAGCTGGAGTTCGGAGCTCTGGAAGTTCACCCCCCGGCAATGACGTTATGTCATTATCATAGCATTACCGAGGCGCTTTTTGATTGGTCAAAGCTGCAGCTATGAGCTTACTTAATCATCCTTCCCCTTTTTCCATACCTTGAGCTCAATTTGTTTGATTTCTAATACGTAAGTCCTAGATAATTAAGTCAAAGTTACTTCGTAAAACAGCAGGTGGTAGAAATCTATCACCAATTCGGAGGTAAGATAGACAGAGTATATTGACGTATCTAATCACACCTTAATTCGATTTAGACGAGCGAGCATTAAGGTAAATGTAATGTAGGAAAAAGATTTGATGATGCCCTTCACGCCAGAGATGCACTATTTCACAGCAATATCGATGGTGATGATGATGATGGTGAACCTCTCCAACCAGAAAGCAAGTTATGAACTTCTCCCGCTATCGTGACCCATAAGCACATAGCCGTAAATTGTAAACCGTTAATCAGAAAAAATTGCCCCCCGTAACTTCTTTGCCTTGTCTTCTTTCTACCGACCCGTTCTGTGAACATTTTGCTCTTTCGTTTATTTTGCCCAGGGCGATGGTCTTCCGGGTCGAGTCGAGTCGAATTCGAATTGTTAGGACTGTCTCCTTTTCTCCTCAAACATAATAGGGCCAAAAAATGTACACCCAATGAAATAAGTGGAGGGGACAAAATGGTGAAACACGCAAGACATACAGGAAGCCTTTTTTTCCAGATACTCTTGCTACAACGTACACTTATATGGTGTGTGTACGTGTAAAAAAATTCAAGAAAAAAGAAAGGGATACAAGAAGTTTAAACGAAAATGAAACGATGGAAAAGAATTTGACAAGTAATGTCGATGAATGAGCTCGTGTAAGAGCTGGGTATCTAATGTTCCACCCCAAAAAGCTTTTTCTTAAAGCAACGCCTCCTTTTCCCCGCCTCGAAATAATCGTCGTATCAATGGTGAAATATTAACTTTGCTGTAGGAATATAGCAGCTTAATTTTTTGAAGTTAGTATCCAAGGCCCATGAAATGCCGAAGCGGGCAACCAAGAACATGGCCATAAATGGGATAAGTCGTTTCCCAATTTGTCTCGTGAATTTGAGCTTTATTTGATCCCTTTAAATAGATCGTCCCCTAGATGGGTATCGACTTTGGTCTCGAGAGCACTCAATTCCGGAATCATCGGTGGTGGTGGACCAAGCGGTTTCTTTGCTTCCTCATCGAAGTTTTGACTGGTCCTCTTGGCGGCGGTCTCATTGGACCGTAACCGTCTAAACCAACCGCTGGTACGTTTTGACTTTCTCTCCTCCACGATAGTACTCGCCGTCCGACTCGGAGGTCTGGAGTTCCCTTGGCTAAGAATTGATCCTTGTTCATCGTAAGCGTTGTTCAGTAATGTTCTACTCAATAGGCGCCTCAGGCTTCCACGGCTTGACAGCGTCGGCGATGCGGGACCATCATCTGCTGGGCGCTTTATGCCGACGAGGGCTGGGATGTGGCTAATTTCAGGCTTGTTAGGGGATGTACCATGACCATTGGCGGTGCCATTTGCTTCCTGCTTCTTCTCGACTTCTTCTGGGAGGGGTGTTCTCGGTGGCGTCGGAACCTCTTCTTTTGGAGATGGCAACGGTGGGGGGATATCGGTTCCGTCTGTTAAAGAGCCGAATTTGAATTCCAGGGCCGGAAGCTCGAAACGTTTAGTGGCAGACGTTGCCGGTGCGACGGTGGCGGCACCATTGCTTGCTGCCTTAGCGGTCATGGCTAGAAATTCGACAACGCGATGTCGAAACGGTTTAGAGATAGGGTCGAACGCGATTCGTTATGTCGGCTACGAGTTAACTGGAAGATGACACGAGTCAGGCAAAAGGACAACCAAGAATATGAAACGATCAAGGAAAGACCTAGCGCAAAGATTGATAGGAAAAAAAAAAAAAAAAAAAGTCAATAGTACGAAAGTACGAACCGTAGACGCTCGGGGCTTCGATAAGAATAGTGGCCCCCTAATCCGATCGGCTCGGAGACGATCTCGAATTTCCAATAGGTGAATAGAGGTACAAGTTTGCTTGCTTGCGTGTGGCACGTTTTTGAAGCGAGGGGAAAGGAATTAGAGCATCCCGACGCAACGCGACTTGACAAGACTCAGGTAGGTAGAACAAACTACCAACGACGGTCTGTGTTCGAGCGATTGAGAACGGGAGGAGAAACAGAAACAGAGTCAGTGGCGCGGTGGGCTTCTGATTTCCGGGGTGGAGAGAAGAGTAGGAGAGAAAGGCCAGACCAGGTCTAGGGAATTTGCTGGGATCAAGGGTGTCTCGCGAACGAAGTATTAGAAGTGGTGGCTGGGGTGGCACTCTTTAAAATGAAATGATGTGCTTCAAGACCGTGCACCAAGAACCTAGGATTCGGGATGTGCAAGATAGAATGCAACTTTACGGCGATCCAGTTCAGCTGTCGTAGCCTTTGATTTTGTTGTTGCTGTTGTTGGTAGAGGGGAGTTGAAGAGCCGATGGGGGTTGTATAATGTAGCTTGGAAGTATGTAGGAGTGAGAGAATGGGTGTGGATGTGTGTGTACGCAGCTCAGGGGCTTGAATGAACGATGGTAAGGTACAAGTACCTTAGTCCTTTAAGTCTTGTACCCACTACGGCTTGATGTACCTAATAAACTTAGTGTAGGTACATACCTAGGTACACTTCGCTAGCGCTTCTAGGTAGACTGGACGTTATTTAGGGGTCGAATAGGTCCCTGAAATCCTACGAAGGTTTAAATGCGGACTTTTAGACCAAAAGGCTAAGAACGTTGAATTGGGAACACCGTGCAGCAGCGCCGTGGTAAGATTTACCGACTAAAAAACATGTGGGGATACCCCCGATAAGGAAAAGTCGAGTTGGCCTATTTTGGAAACTTACACGACTTAGTCCTTGTTGGTACGAGGTATTCAGGTACCGTAACTAATAAATTTTATCAGAACCTTGGTACATCGCACATAAAGATCTTACACCACATGTTCGTAGAGTTATCAGGCCATTGATGATGAGGTTTAATATGTATTATAGATATAGGAAGGTTAATAGAGATTTATTATTTGACCAACGATATTAAGGCTTCATATTTTGAACAACACATCTTTAACCCTTACTTATCAAGATGATACGAGACTATACGGAATGCCTACATATAAGTACCGTGACCAGCCCCGCGTTACACTTTATTCTGCATGTACCTAAATAAGTGTACTAAGTACATACCTAGGTACGTGCGTATTCTTTAGTGCTACTTTAGGTTAGACAACTTTTATAGTACGCAGATTTCTACTTCAGACCGGGAAAAAAAGAAGTTGGAGTAAGCCAATCTCTTTGTCTCACATCCCGTATCGAGCCCCATCAATCGTTAACTTTCAAAATATCTGCAACGTGTAGCTACTTTGACGACGCCACATGTCTATAAAATGCTCCAAAATTTAGGGTAACATTTATTGGCGAGAAAAAAAAAAGGCGAAAAAAGGGGGCAAACTAGATAGGAAATGCCAAGACTTCCCATCTCCATAGCGCTGGTTCTCTATTAGGTAGGGCGGTGACGGAACCAATGATGGCTTCTAGAAGCGTTGCTGATAGGCGGGAGACATCTATAGTCCGTACCTAGAAATGTACCTAGGTAGTTCCACAAGAACAACCCGATCTCCGATGCAGTAGTGCCTATCCGCCTCAACTTCTAGGTGCTACTCCGTATATGAAGTAGGTAACTAGCTGACAGCTGCAGCCAAGATGTAGCTGAGGGACACCATCTCTATCTAAGATGATGTATCGATCAAACAGAAGAGTTGTTTCTTTTTCTCACGCCGCGGCTGCAGCATCCCGTTTTCTTGTTTCACTTAATAGACTTGTGTTTCTAGCCGTTTGTATGTGCGTTCGCGTTGGGGTATCTTACATGTATTCTATAACAAGCTGGTAGTACTCGGGATACCTCTGACAGTATTACTGTCATTGTCGTCGTATCCTCTCAAATTAATCCGTAATCCTCAGTTATCACTCATAAGCCAGCCAGCGACTCTAAGGCCTAAACGCCTGCACCCAATCGTGCAGCCGATCAATAACGACAGGCATGATACCATTAAGACTATCCTCCATAATCCCATCTAAATGTCTAATCGCATCTTCCTCGTTCAACTCTAAGTGGAACCGTTCTTTGACCTTGAAAACCGCCTTGTCTGGCTCAATTTTGATATCGGGAATATTGGCATGTACCATGAGGCTGAACAAGTTTAGGATTAGATTCGATGACTTCCGCAGCGCCGCGAAGGCGAGGAAACAGTATTGCTTGAATTGTAGGTAGTGCTCGCTCGGTGGGTTCGAGCCGCCCATAGCATCAGCCATTTCCTTGCTAAGCTTGACCGCTGGCGCAAAGGGTTTGGGGTCTCGACCAAGTATGAACCCGAAATCAGCATGGAAAAAATGACCATCAGGTGTTAGAAGTAGATTGTCGAGATGCCGGTCACCGACCCCTAAAATATAAGTAATTACGCAATAACCCGCACATGATTTGACAAATGTGTCAAGCGTTTCTTTGCGCACACCTAGATACGCCCGCTCATCGGGATTATGCTGTTTGAGGTAAGCAAGAGCAGGGTTGTTGCGGTATTTGTACGAAATAGCTGCAAATGTCTGTGAGGGAATAAATTGAGATGCACCCGCGGTCGTGCTAGTCGCGAGGATCTTGTATGGTGTTAATTTGAGATCCAGGTTCTCCTTCTGAAGTAGTTGGTCCATAAGAGTAATGATTTGGATTACCAGCTGATCCTGGCGTAGGTCGTCGCCTGTCTTGAAGAGAATAGGATACTTGGTACCCGATGTTGTCCTAAACGTTACCATGATAGGCGACAGAGATGACTTAAAGACTCGCGTGTCCTCTGGGATAACTCCGACAACCATAATTGACGGATCTAGAGGCATAGGTATCGGTGGGTCGATCGAAAGGACCTCGCTTTTAGGATCTGCTAAGAAAGATTTGACTTTCTCAACTTTGCGAGCCACTGATTCGTTTGAGGCCTGAATTTCTGCAGAAATCTTGGATAACACCGTGATGAGCTCAGCTTGTCTTCTAATAGTAACTCTCGTCTCGCGACCGCCGGGTCGATCCTCTAGTTCCTTCATAAAGTCATACTGGACTTTAGCGTACATAGTACGCACTTCCTCGCCTTGGTCATTGCTCTTATCGTCGTACTCAACTCCAAGGTACCAATAGAAATAGTTTCCAAGAGTGAAATTTTGAATAGCCCGCGAGATTAAGAAGTTGGCTAGTGAAGATGCCCGCACTGTTGCTTGATTGGAGTCCGCTGGTATATGCTCGAATTTTAGAGCCTGGACTAGCTGCAGTAAATAGAGAAGTAGCTCATGGTCGTCAGCTTTCCTCAGTCGATCTACCGCATATGCTCTGACGGCTCGATTGTCAAAGGTAGGGCCAAGCAACTCAAGAGCGTCGTCTACATCGATATCAGTCCATTTTCCGAGTACCTGTATGGCCTGCTTAGATTCGCTCTGGTCCTGCCAATTAACGGACTTAACGAATTTGGTAAGAGCCCGTTTATCTTTGGTCAAATGGTATCGGAATTTCCACACTAGGTCCTTCTCTTCTGGAGACAAAACATGGGTCGGAGAGTATGACATGATCATGTTAAGTTCATCGCGAACCTTAGCATTTGGCCTCAAATCTTTGTCCAGTATACCGTGGCGGTGTTGACTTCTGACTAGACGTCTATGCTTACTTTCTGCTGGGTTGTCCCTCGCACCAACTTCCGGGTCATATATCCTGACTAATCGTCTGCCCATCCCATTTCCTGCGCTATCGGGGCCGTTGATGCCAGGTCCATATGAAACTTCGGGTGGAGGCTTTAGAATGATATTAGACTGGGAAGCTGAGAGATGCTGGAATGATGAGACGGGCGGTGGCGGATATTCATGATCTGCGAATACAACAGGAAAATCAAACCGGGGTAATTCAATATTCAACATGAATTTGGATGGTCCAGGTATTGGTAGGGCCTCGGACTTATCCTGCTGCCCATCCTGGCCGACCTCTGAGTTCAGTGTTGCCTGGCGTTGGAGTGACTTGACTGAGTTTCTCGCTACTTTTAAGCCACGTTTCTCAGTCCCACGATATACTAGTTGATCAAGCCATTCCACTCGGGGGATCTCGTTCATTTCGTGCTTTTTGAATAGTTTTTCTAAACGTTCGAGCTCTTCGGCTTCCTTATCCACAGGTGTAGTATCTTCCTTTTTAGAGCCACCCCTCTTCTTTGTGACGTTCGATGGTGTAGTTGTGTTGTCATTTCCGTCCGCTTGTTTGTGTCGATGAACTAAGCATTTCTGCCTGCCCTTCTGAAGCTGGTTGTCTTGATCGAAAAGAGGGAGTGTCGTTCCACCGAAGGGAATCGCATGGCCTTGCGCTTGCTTTCCGCCGGTCGGAGATAGATCCCATATTGTTATGGCAATGTATGAGTTTATCGGAAGGGATTTATAGGGTATCGGTATGGTGAGCCATTCGTTCCATCTAAGCGATATCAGTCAACACTTTGAATATACCAAGCAAGATCTCTCGATCCATACCTCCTTTCATTGCGAAATGCCTTATATGATGTTTGTACAGGGACCGTTAATGGCTTCGAACCGGACCATACTTGGACAGTAACGTAGAGATCGGAATGTGGGCTGGTTAAGCTTCCAGATTAGCAACCTGCTCCATTTACATATGGAATTTCCTGGATGATTTCACCTCTGATTGGAGCCAATATGCCTTAGATCGGGCCGTTGAGCTAACGTTGAATACAAATGTGGTGTCTCGTCGCCTTCTAAATTGATTCTATGTATGATGTATTTTATCAGTTGGCTGTTGGTAATTAATTGACGATGACTGCAAGACTCACATGCGCACACTGACTGGATAGTCAAGCGACTCCGAACTACCGAAGGAAAAGGGTTCCATTTTAGAATATTTGCCTCATGATAGTTTTAGATTTGTTTGTAGGAGTCACTACTAATAGCAAGCGAAAGACATAGCGAAGAGATTCATAGATATTTATTCCCTTGCCAAAAGTAATAGGCATTTAGGTTGGGATAAAGACGGTCCTACTATGTAGATGTACAGAGCTTACCTACCTAGGTACTTACGTAGCTTCGTAAAGTCCGAGGTCGATAAGGTGGCTTATCTTAGCTGCTCCGTCGCCCCACCATCTATATTATTGTAGGTAGCTGCGTTGTAACTCCAACCTGGAGCGCTGTTTCCCCAGCCCAGATAAGCACCCCACTACACTTCCAGATCCCTGAAAATACAGCACAAATTCTAGTTTAACTCATAATTTATACATTGGAGACTGTACTGTGAATTTATTTGATCACAGACGCACCTGCTTAGATCAAGTTCCGATACCGGGGTTAGGTACATGTAGAAATCAGCGACCTCGGGGACCTCGAAGTTTCTATTCGTATCAGCCCCAAGCCACAATCATACGCCACGAAATTAATTCGGATATCAATTAAATCGACAGTCGCGTCGAGGCGCGATTCACGTGATCTACGCGTCTCGTTATCGCCGAGGCCTAGCCTTATACAACCAGGGTCGCGAAATATCTAACCAAGAATGCTCACCTCTTTTGACGTCATTCGCACTATCTAAAGGGAATATATTGAAGACAAGAGAATTCCCGGTCGATTACATAAACCCATCTTAGATATGCAATACTCCTGGAGAGTGTGAGGAGGCCAGCCATGTCGTCGATAGCTTCATCACCTGTCCCAGAGTCTCCTAATGGCCGGCATAATTCACTTGTCATTAGAGATAGGGGCATGACACCCGAGGGTTCGTCAAAGAGAAAACGAACCTTAACAAATGGAACAGAACATGTCAAGTCACGTCGCCGCACGCGCGAGCCCGAGGCTGAGGGTGGTATCGCCGAAGAGGATTTCGACCCGGATCAGTCAATGGAAGAGAGGCGCAATTTGCAACGAGGATATCGAGATCTCCTCCGTGATCTTCAGGAGAATGGGGACGAATACTTGAATGCAGATTCCACAGGTTTACACGAAACCCTGAGGAAAGCCAACCAACTCTTATCTAGTGTGAAGCAGACTACAGAGGCTGCTATCGACTCAAAGCTCCTGGTCAGCACTGCTGATGCATCATACCGAAAAACCGTTCGCCTTACTTCAGGAAACATTGCTCAGGGCATTGATGTCGATGAATTTGTCTCAAAATGTATTACATATATGAGACTAGGATCGGGAATTGCGGAGGATGATGCTCCAGAACTTACTGCCACACAACAACACCGACGAAGGCCAGGCCGAAGCAGTCTAGCTAATGATGGAGACGATGATGATGAGATTGGAGATGAGGGCGATATGTTTAACTGGGAACATCTTGGCCGATTCGCTTGTCTTCCGAATATTCGGCGTCCGGCTACCACTGGTTTTCTCCTAGGACCCCTTTCTGCTGAGGTGAAGAAACGCAAAGTCGTGAAGCGTAGCGCGCCTTTCCGACCTAATAATTTGCGAGAGACGCGACCCGAGGTTCTAGACGCAGAAGCAGTACAACGGACCGAGAAAACTGACTTAACTGCTATCTGCTCCAAGATCCTCCAAAGACTGAAGCAAGTACAGAATGAAGCACAGGACGCCGTGGAAGATGCTGTAAACAACGGCGCTAGCGAGGAAGATGCGCAAAGATTGATGGACCGCTGTGGCCTGAGAGATACGGGTGGCATAGATCTCTTGAAGTTCGTTGTGAACCCACATTCCTTCGGGCAAACCGTAGAGAATATGTTCTACGTCAGCTTCCTAATCCGAGACGGACGTATTAAGATCGATTTTGACGAAAACAAGTTACCAACTCTACGTAAGTCTAACCTTGCTATAAAACCCTTTCACAGTTTACTAACATCAATTAAGACCCGGTTGATCGTGAGGATGAGTCAGCCGCGTCCAAGCATCGTGCCCAGAAACAGCAAGCCGTATTCTCCATCGACATGAAAACGTGGCGAGATATTATCAATACGTTCAACATCACCGAGCCCATCATTGAGCACCGCATAGAACAAAGCCATCAAGGACCTGGATCACGAGGATGGTATAACTGATACTCTATCCCATATTGGGTCTGCTATTGCCTTCGGTGCTATCAAGAGACGCCTCTCGACGTCCTGTTCAGGTGCTTAGACACTGAAATGGAATATGCTTGTCCGTTCATGTTTATAAATAGACATTAATTACATGTACAGTTGAGATCCCTTTAAGCTGGTAGGAACACCCAATTCCAACACCAGCAATGTCACGATCAATTGACTATAGATAGCTCCTGGTGGTAGTAAGCGTCAGTTGCTACCACTGAAATTCAGTAATCAATCATCAGAATGCAAAATATTACGGTGACTCGGTTGTAGCATTAAAAACGTGCAAATTTTATATATGTGTAGATGGTACCTGGTAGGACGTCTACCCCCGTGAGAGCGAGAACCCGGACCCCTGCAAAAGACAGGAAAAGGGGCGGCGGGGAGAGTGATGGTAGATGATTCCTGGCTTGAGGTAAGGACTTTACTTACAAAACTTTTTTACAAATTTTTTCGAGGTGCTTGTTCTGTTCTAATGGTCAATGCAGCAGGGAGTACCTTCTAAATCCCTGATGTCCCACTATCACGTCCATGTTGCTATGCCATTTTATAGAGGTAACCACCAAATCCACCAACTGATTATTCCATTCTACGACTACCCAATAGCTACTCCTGCCTAAAAAAAATTTACTGCTCTTTCCTCCTGTCTATCTCTCCGCCTTTGGCAGAATAATTTTTAATTCTCGGAGGTGGTTATTAGAATCTCCCTGAGTCCCAAACCACTGCTCTCTTCCATTCTTTCTTCAACCAGTTCACTTCAGCAAGTTCACTCCGGCAAGTTCACTTCAGTCATCGTCTACGGCACTCAAGTACTTCTTCAGTTTTGTCTACTTTGACCCAACTTGATCACTCTTGATTCTGATTGATTTTTTGATCATTCGATCATCTCTGCACTTCGACTATTTTTTCTTGTACTCTACCTAGGTACTCTCGTCTGTTGTCTGCGCATCACGTCGCCCTTCAGCAAGCAGTTGACTACAACCTGACCTACTACTGACCAGTCTGTCTCGACATTCTTGTCTCTCTATTGACTCCTGTCACCTCTATTCTGATCGACGCTCATTAAATTTTCCTACTACGAATTTTTAATCGAGCCTTCGACTACTATTTGACTCCGGTCATCCTTTAGTGACTACACACTCGCACAACCACCTACTTGCCCTCTCTACTCCTCTACACATCATCCTTCAGTAATTGAGTCGATAACCGTACCGAGTTTTACTCACACTTCAATTACTGTTTGAGATCGATACTACCCCCGACCGTCTATTTTTTTTTCCGGACAATCAGTTGATACCCTTTTTGTCCAAGACACCTAGTCGTCTATTGTAATACTACTGTCACCTTTCCGAAGTTCCTCGACCTTTTACTCGGCTGTACTTTTGTACCATACCTGTACACCATCTTCTTTTCGTCGTTGTCGTCTCGAGAACTACTTGAGCTCGACTTACTTGTACCATTACTTGTACCACCACCTCTTCGTCGATACCGACAGTAACCTCACACCATAACCTACTCTCACTACGACTAGAGTTTAATACTCCCTCCCGACTTACTTGTACTTTGGCCAATCCTTTAGGAAGCCCCTAGACATCGACCAGTTCGTTGTAACAGATCCTATTCGAGATCTTATTTTCCATACTTCTCCCTGTCACCTTTCCAGGAGATATCCGACAGTAACCTTGTATTACTAAATACTCACATAACAACTCTCGAGACTTCCTACCGACTTGTACTATTCGACCAATCCCTTGGCAAGCTCCTCAGTGTTGTCTTGTCTACCGTACCAGAGCTCTTGTTCGAGGTACTATTCATACATTCACTTTCTAATCTCACCACACGACTTCCCATCACTCTCTCCACATACTCTCTAACTTCCTCATTCTTACGTACCTACCATCACGATGTCTTTCAACGGATCTTTCCCCGGAAGCGCCCCTAGCGTTATCCCCTACGATCAGCACCAGATTGAACTCCAGGACCTTCGCGAAGAATACGAGCAGTTCATCGAACAATTCAAGGCAGACCACCAAGACGAGATGGACGCCGTCGAGGCCGGCTTTGAGGATGAGAAGGATAACCTCAAGGAGAGTCATGACGAGCAGAGAGTTGTCATGATGACTTCATTCAATGACAAAATCGCGGCTCTGGAGTCAGCTATCCAGGAAATAAGCGACCAGCCCGACCAGGAGAACGAGGAGTACATCGGCGAGCTGCAAGCTGAACTCCAGCAGAAGGACAACGAGCTCCAGCAAAAGGACATCGCCCTCCTGAATCTCAAACGAGATGCCGACCAGTACGTCGACGAGTTGAACTTGACTCTGAAGGCAAAGGACGAAGAGCTGGCGCACCTCCGCCAAGGTCCCCAGCAACCCGCCAGCGACGACGAGAGTCCCGTTGAGCTATGCGATTGGCTCTGGACCCAATGTGGAGGTGAGACCGAACAGCTCAAAAAGCGAACTGAGCAGCTTGAGCAATACAAGGCCATGTACCGCGAGGATACTCTGTCCTACAAGGCGACGATCGTCGCCCAGACCAACGAGATGAACCGCCTGAAGGCCATAGCTAACAACCGAACCGGAGCGCGTTGTGCCCAGCTAGAAGCAGAACTAGCTAAGGCCAACAAGACCATTGAAGCCTTGAAGGAGGAGAAGGCGAAGTTGCGCACCCCTACGAAAAAGGAGATCATGAGCTCCTTCTACTCGGCCCGCCGCCAGAACCAAAAGGGCGGTTCTCCCAAGCGTCTACGGGAGGCCGGACCAAAAGTCTTCCGCGCGGAAATCAAAGCGGATATCTTTGCTCAATACAAGAGCAAGCTGGCCGAGGAGAAGGAGCTAATGGACAAGAAGAACGAGGCTTACATGGACCAGCAAAAGGCCAAGCTGGCCGAGGTCAATGAGTCCTTGGAGAAGAAGTCCGCAGCTCTCGACAAAAGAAAGGTCGAGGTAGAGGAGAGCTGGAAGAAGAAGTACCACTCGGAGATCAAGAAAATGCAGGATGATATTAACTCCCAAGTGATCGCCAGGCTTCACAAGCCTACTCCCATATCCGGTACCGTGGATATGGAGCAACCTGGCGAGTTTACTACGGGAGAAGTTCTAGAAGCGTCACTTGATTATCATGACCAAGTACGTGAGACTGCTCTCCGAGTATTATGGAACCACCAGTTGGAGGAGGCCGTCGGGAAGTGGGCGGAGTCTCAGGAGACGAGACGAGCCCTCGAGTACGTCAATGGAGAGCTCGCGGAGAGTGCCGCCGCCTCCGGTCCATCTCCTGTCGGCCACAGTGTTAATTCACCTAGTACTAGTCTGTTTTCTTCGTCTCCTGGATCCGCCACCACAGCCACCACCACTACATCCATTGCCTCAACACCCCCTACTCCCATCACACCCATCGCTCTGAGAAAATTAACGAAGATGAAGGCCATTAAGCTGGCTAGGGCAAGGAAGCAGCGCGGCATGAAGAATGTTACTCCACTCCGTTAGAGGGAGTTCCCATCCCCTAATTTCTTCTGCCCCTTTTCGCTCTTCTATCTTTGCTCTCCCTTCCTTTCTTTCCGCCCCTCGCCCAACCGACCCATAGTCGACATACCGAAAACATGAGACGTTTCGCCCTCTGAGTCGACATACTAGGGCACCATCGGGATACACCGAAGGAAGAAAACTTATTCTGTTCTTGTTTTGTCTTTGATTTTTTAAAAGAAAAAAATAACAAAAATAACAAAAAAAGGTGGAAAACACAGATCACAAAAACATAACCCTCGCTTTCTATTACTTAGCAGTTAGCTGCAACTATTGCCTCCAGATTGGTAAGTCTCCTATCCGCTACTCACTCTCACTACCAATTTCTGAAGCTAACATGTCTTTGGCGTACAGTTACAGTTACGCCGAACCTCACTCCCGCCATTGCCGCCGCTGCCATATGCACCCTCTCAACGACCACAGCCCCGGCCGGGAAGGTAAAAGACCGAATGAATTTATAAAACAGAAAACCGCCTAAAAAAAGAAGCAAAATAAAAAAACCCCGAAAAAAAAAAAAGACCACAAGGACATCCCCCACCGTCACGGATCACGGTGGGGGAGTCCGTGTAGATCACATCGTACATATCGTACCTAGTAGGTAGTACGAGAGATCCCCAAAGCGACCCGAGATCCACGAACTCAAGCCACGAAATGAAGGAATGGCAAGAGCCGAAGAACGCAATTCCCTCACCATTCCCTTCATTTCCCGTGGAACAATTCCATGAAGTCGTTGAGCACGCTGCAACTCCTGCTCGACGGCTTCAGCAACCCTCACCTCAATTTACACCTAGTCTGCACGAGACCGAATCGACAAAAAAATCATAAAATTGAAAAGCCACCAAAAAAAATCCCAAAAATCGAAACAGCCAAAAAAAAAAGCCATCACCCCACCCTCAAGAGCAAACCCCCATATGCTCACCACTATTGGGACGAGACAGCCGCACCGGAACGAGACTGCCGCCCACCATTGCGTCCTAGGCAAGATATTAAAGGGCCTCGTCCTGAGCAAAGACGTTAAAAGCCTCTCACCAACAAAGCCGCCCAACAACAACATCCCCGAAGATGCCTAAAGGCATACTAAACCACATCATCCAATATTATCGCCAGATTAGCCCCATATCCTAAGTAAGAAAGATGTTAGAAGCTTACCTACCACCTCCTACACCAGGAGCACCAATGTGTTCATCAGAAATGTAATCGTCTATACCAGTACCGCAATTGCATTCACCACCTACATTAACAAAGTTATTCATCAACGATGTCCATGAGGACGCCCGGAAGTATCCAATGCCGAATTATCCACCATTACCGCCAAATTAGTCCCATATGTCATGGACAAGAAGATATTAACACCCCGTCCTGAGCAAAGACGATAAAAGCCTCGAACCAAATAACCAAGCCATTTGCCTACAATAACCTCGAAGGTGTCTAAATCAACACCATTTAAAAGTTCAAATCAAATCAACTTCACCACCAAAACCGGTCGGTGCTTTGTCCTGGGCATGACCAAAAAGCCCCCCCCCGGGCGCGGACCTAGCACACGCCTAAGCGGGACCGTTTCTATCCGTCCTGAGTAAGAGCGGACGAGAACCCTAATTAAAGATAGTTGGGAGGAGAAGGATACTATGAGTATCATTGGAAAAGGAATAGGAACGATGTGAGAAAGGCTGGGCGATATCCTAATGGATATCATCGAAATATTAGAGAACCACGAAACACATAAAAACAACATAACACTACTTAGGTAGGCCGTAAACTCCTCAAAAAAAAAAAAAAAAAAAAAATCTAATCACCGGCTCCCTTCGTCTAAGTGCTAGCTCTGTCCTATCCTGCCTTCGGGTTTGGTGACACCCATAGGAATGAAGTCTCCTAATTCGTTAGTTCGTATCGTTCGTATATCCAACGCGATGCGGTGGAGCATTCAATGTGACCTTACGGTGTATAGTGACATGACAGCAGTATTCTACAAGAGCCTCTTCAGTTTGGGACTTCCTTAGGTACTTAGACATTAACGGATGATGGTCTTCTTAGAGTGGCATCCACTTACCTCGAAAACACTAGACTAATCTCTTACCAGGCTAGCTAACTACTTGCTAAACCCGATCAAGTCAGACACTATCTCCTACGGCGATTATCTTGATCTAGTGTATGCTCGTAAAGTAGTGACCATTCACCCATTGCTACTGGGTATTACAGTGCTGATGTAAGATGCGTACCCCTGAATACAGAACCCCACAAGTAGGCTATAATAGCACCTATAACGAACAGTCCCACATCGCTTTCTCTTTCACATACATGTGATAGCAAAGTTCTAGAATTCCATATAAGTAACTACGTTCAAAAATCACTCGTAGCTGAAGAATTGTGTAGGGCTGCGAAGATGATATCTATTTTTACCCCACGAGACCGGCGACCAGACCCATGCTGACAAATGGAGCCACTTACGTAGCTAGATGCAGGACGGGAGAGGATACCCCTATCAGTTGGCTCGGAACGCACGTACAGACAGGGATCCCCGCTCGTAGATCCCTCAAGTAGAGGTTAGGTACTAGCAAACCGCTTCCTCTCTAATTAGGATGCAAATCATCGTGCTTATGAAAGCTTGGTAAGAATATAGAATCGTTGGTCAGTTTACCTATAACCAGCTGAGCACCTACCTGAGCTAGCTAGCTGTAAGGAGGAGATATAATAAGTCGGGAGCTTCACAATTCTTCCCTACTCCCGCTGGACATCGTGAGAACCTCGCTTCCCCTCACCAACCGGATCATCGGGTAGCTACCGCAAAATCTCATCACCATGGCATCTTCCGGCTTCATAACGACCCCCGACGGGATCCGCCTCTCGTACACACAAACCGGCCCCGTCTCCGCCCCTAACCTAGTCTTCATAGCGGGTTGGGTGCAAACCGCCTCGATCTTCCACAAGCAAGTCTCTCACTTCTCCTCATCCTACCGCGTAACAACCTACGACCACCGGGGCCACGGAAACTCCGACAAGCCTAATTTCGGATATCGCGTGTACCGTCTAGCCGCGGACTTGGAGTCCCTGCTCACGCAACTAGACATTCAGGATGCGGTATTAGTGGGGCACTCGATGGGGTCCTCGGTGCTATGGGCGCATTGGGATATCTATTCACATGAGAGGGTGAAGAAATTGGTTTTCATTGATGAGGCGAGGACGATTACGATGAACCCGAATTGGACCCCGGAGCAGACCGCGGAAGCAGGCGCGGTAATGCCACCGCAAGCCAAGTTTGACTTGTTAGAGCCGTTACGGGGACCGCATTGGAAGGAGGCTTGGACAGCATGTGAATAATCCACATCTCCCCCCTAAACCCCCTTAAAGAGCACGAATAGACTACTAACTCACCGTACCTTAGTCTCCCGGGGTTTCTTCTCCGACGACATCAACCCAGAAGAACTTAAATTCGCCCTAGACGAATCAATGAAGTCCCCGCCTTCAGTAGCAGCAGCCATGATGAACGACCACGCATCAATCGACTGGGAAGACATATTCCCACGTATCACAGCCCCAACGCTCGTCATCGGCGCCAAGGCGAGTCGCTTCCCCGTTGAGTCGATACAGTGGATCGCGAAGCAGATTCCCAACTCGCGACTCGAGATCTTTGAGAAGGAAGAAGGAGGTAGCCACTTTATGTTCTTCGAGAACCCAGAAAAGTTCAACCGGATACTAGATGAATTCTTGTCTAGTTGAGAAAAGTGGGAGAGCATTGGTTAGCTAGTCGAGGTGGATGCTAGAAGCTTTGGATTCCGAATCAATATACGAGTCGCCAACTAGATATCTAATATTCATAGAGAAGTTATTTACCTTTAGGACAAATAGGTTCATGTCATAATTATACAAAGGTGAAAGGACATGTGAGTTAATAACTAAACGAGTGTGATTTATTATAAAACATCTAATACTAAAAACAAAACGACAAACAGTACTTAACAGCCATTCTTACAAACATACTACGTGTGCGTTGTATCTACCTAGGTACCTAGGAGCTTAGATATATCAGGTAGGGAGTTTTGATCGCCTCAGGCGAGTTCCTCTTCTTGTCTTTATTTCTTCGGGTAGGTGTGTTTGCGCAGGACACTCGTCGGTACATGTTTTTTAGGCATTATATTAGGCTCGAAAGCTCCGCTATCAGGCATCCACACCCACTCGAGATTATTATCTGGCGGGGGCATTTTGAACTCGGCCCTTGCTGCTTCAATTATCGGTTGAAACCACGCAGAATCGATCTCTTTCTCACACGACATAACCAGTGTAAGCAGGCGTGTTTCGATCCCCCCATATTCCATTGGGTTCGATGGCCAACGCGCTCGCCAACGCTGATGCGAGTCCAGGCTACCAAATTTGTACCAATATTCGTTTCGATCGGGCAGTTTCATGTCAATTCCATGGCGAACGTTAATAATAGTAGCAAAAGCTCCAATCAAGATAGGAATGCGGTATCTAGGGTCTAACAGATACGGTCGAATTGGTAGGTCCTTCATTTCCACTGTAGCCCAAGTGTATACTCGCCGTAGGAAATGAGCAATGTGTTGCCACCATTGGGTAACATCTCGGATCCTTTGGAAGGTTGTAGGGTCGAAGTAATCTGCTTCCTCTCGTCCTGTTGCTGTAAGAAAGACTTCAGGCACAGCGTTAAAGGACTTAATTGCGTACTCGAAATCTTTGACCCTAAGAAACTGCTTAGCATGCTTCTTCAACGGGTACCAGCAATCGTAGGCGAATTCATCAAAGGCTATTGTGATGATAGGGGCTTCAAGGAACCCTAAAAGCGCGGCTAAGTCAACCTGGGGTAAGTAAGATGCAAGAGCCAAGCTTGGGTTGGTCCCACGACTCTTCCATGGTTGAACGTGGGTTGACCTAGCCAATGGCAAGTTGTGTAGATCTTCGCCCTTAGGAGATTTAGTAGAACTCATGGTGTAATTTGTAAGAGTATTGTTATATGCCAAGGTACTATTGCGTGAGCGTAATAGTAATACTTTTTGAAGATTACTTAGATTATCCGAAACTTAGATATCTTGGAGTTGTTGGATGCCTCTGAGAGTCTGGAGATAGGTAAGTTATTAGGGAGCTTTTATATATCAAGAGACCATGCCAAACAACGCTAAACGATGATATTATGAACGAACAGGGGGGTTGTTGCGATGATAACTGCTGCTTAGGTTTGTGACAGACAGTCTCAATCTTTTTATACCAAATAGATGTTTCCAATATGAAGGAGGAACAATTAATGACTGCATCATTCATATAGTCCTATTAAGAAAGACTGTGTTAGATCAGACTCGCAGAGATTACATGATTCGATGTTCGCCCTCTCAAAGCTGGATATTGTTACTTTGCACTTAGTCTTTTCTCGAAAATTGATGGTTATTAGTTGATGAGTGGTCCTGCGAGACGGGTCTCCTCACAATGATAATAGTAAAAGATTAACATATATTGAGAAGGGGGTAGATCTGTCTATAAAGAGGTTGTTGTAGATGGGAGAGTTTAGAGTGCCCACATCGATCTTGGAGATAAGTATAGATGTACCCACGTACCTCTGTACTCAGCTACGCTAAAGACTTGGACCAATCAAATGGCTAATCGGACAGCGGGACCATTTAACTGTCCGATCTCCTATTAAAACCGGGGAATGACAAGACAGGGATAGCTTCCTAGGGGAATGGATCCATCTAGACACTAAAAAGATTCCTATTGGCCAATCAGAATCAACTCGAAGACGTAAGACTTTCAAGCCTCTGCTGCAGCTCTACTGTACCTCTACTGTATGTATTTAGGTACCTCCGCTATGCTTCTGCCTCTTAAGTACCTACTAGGCACCTACGTAAGGCGTAAAGGGCAATCAACAATGACGCGAAGACGAGGAGAAATCACCTAGTATGTATCTATACCTCCCTCTGTATCACAAGCTTCAAGCTCGAATGAAATCCTTCTTCTCCGTGGACTGATTGCGTGTAAACCACGCTTTTATTCTGGAGCCTCCTTTGTAACTCCCTCTCTACATTGGCTTGACGTTGACGTCAACGGCCAGAGACTAAGCCCCTGTTTCCTCTGGGTTGAAAAAGGACATCCCATATCCTATCATATTTTATGTACCTAAACCCATAGCCTCTCCCTCCACTCCGTAGATTCCGAGTGCTTTCACAAAACTCGATCTCCAAGTGAGAAAGAGAACCTTGGAACCTACAACACACAAACCATCATAGGATAGGTATCTACATAATATCAATATGAGATACTCAACCGCAATCTTGCCCTTTGTGGCTTCAGCTGCGGCCATCATCATCCCCGACGAAGCCACCGCAAAGCAGCTCATTCTCGAAAACGAGCAGAAGGCGGAGAAGACAGTATCATCATGGTTAGACGACGCTCTCCCCGCCATCGAGGATACTTTCGAGTCCGCCCGCGAGGCCCTTGAAAGACAGACCAGCAGGCTCAGTGGCCTTTTACCTAAAATTGAGGTTGGCACCGAAGGGATTGACGATATCCTCTCACCATCCGACTACAACTCGGATGCGGATAAGTCGGGACCAGGCCGTAGCACAAATCTGACAGTATACCAATCAATCAAGGCCTCGAACTACACCAAACACTTCGCCAAGATCGTCGACGACTTTCCGGATATCGTGGAGAAGCTAAACAGCACCTCGTCTAACATAACACTCTTCGTGCCTACCGAGCACGCCTTCAAGAAACTCCCCAAGCATGTCAAGGAGCACAAGCCACCTCGGGAGTTCGTCGAGAAGATCCTCCAGTACCATGTCGTACCCGACTTGTACCCCGTCGGCCGCGTGCTAGCTCACCACACGCTACCAACAGCTTTCGAGGAAGAAGCTCTCGGCGGACGACCTCAACGACTCCGCGTTAGCGTCAGCCTTTTCGGCATAAAGGTGAACTTCTTCAGCAAGGTCAGCTGGGCCAACCTGGTACGTATCCCCCTTTCTATCCCTTCCATCCAACCCAATACAAACCCATGCTAACACACCCCTCCCACAGAACACCAAGAACGGCGTAGTCCACGGCATCGACAGCATCCTCGTCCCCCCACCCCCAGCCGGCCGCTTGATATCCCTCTTCCCCACCAAATTCTCCACCCTCGAACTCGCCGCGCAAAAAACAGGTTTCTACCGCCGTCCCCACGACAACACCACCTACCCCTCGCTCACCGGCCTCACCGTCTTCGCCCCGACAAACACAGCCTTCAAAAAACTAGGTCCAGCCGTAAACGCATTCCTCTTCAACACGCCCAAGGGGTTACACTACCTCGAAGCCCTTCTCGCGTACCACGTCGTAGCGAACGAGACTTTATACTCGGATGAGTACTACGGCAAACAATCATTCGCCGATTTCTTAGATAGTGATTACATCAACGAAGATGAGATCGAGGCTTTGGGAGGCGAAGTCGAGGGTGAAGAGGGAAAACCTAATGGACATTTCCACCTTGATCTACCGACGCTACTTGATGATGCGCATTTGGCGGTGGATATCGCGCGTTGGTATGGTTTCATTAAGATCAAGGTTAACGGACGTGTGGATGTAGCGATCCAGGATGGACTGGCGAAGGATGGTGTTTTGCAGGTTGTGGATTCGGTGATTATCCCGCCGCATAAGCATAAGAAGGATGCATCCTCGTCGTCGTGGGTTGATGGTGAGATCTCTGTTGAGGAGCTTGTGGAGAGGCTTGATCCCTATATCAAGAGTGAGGAGAGTAAGAAGAAAGGTGAGAGTGAGGTCGAGGTTGGTGAGTTGTAGATGAGATAAGGCGTGGGATGTAGGATGTAACGTCATGAATGATAAGATAAGATGGGATGAGATAGGGGCTTGGATGGGGCGAGTCCCGTGATGATGTAGGTATATGATATGATATGATTTTGGGGAGGGTGTGATATGATACATGAATTGGATTGGCAACAGGACCAGGGCATATGTCTAGCTGTTAAGAACACCACTCTATGCTACACAAAATTAGAAAAAGATGGAAAGGGAGCTCGTTAACGATATAGCATCGCGCCATTCATTAGGTTGGTAGACAGTTTTGCATGGAACACAGGGGAGGTTTCTTGCATTGACTAGATAGCTAGACGGGTATAAGCAATAAGAAGACATTACACCGTGAAACATCCCCGGGTTCATCAAGCTAGAATAGGTACATCATTTAAATAAGATCATAATCCTCGAGGTGGCGGCCCACCAAACCCAGCAGCTAGTCGAACAGGCCCTTTAGGCTTCGTATCCTGCCAACCACCAGGGAACGCATCCACGATTCTCACACCACCCCGTATATCCACAGCACCCCACCGCTGTTCTCTGCTCCTCCTTGTCCATTTCTTATCTCGTTGCATCGTCTTGTCATATATGCCCTTCCCTTTATCTTTACCACCGCTCAAATTTTTCACATCGTCCTCCCACTCCAAGACACCAAGTTCATCGAGCAGGACCTCAACGACCCAGCAATACTTCACCTCGCCGAACCCACCAGCCGTACCTGGCGCAAATAGTACCTCAGCATCTGACCGCATCCTTGGCACTCGAGTGCATAGTACATGCAAATCCAAAAACTGCGCAAACGTAGTGCCGAACGAAGGTTTATTATTATGCCTCCTACCCTCACCTCTCCCTCCCGCATCAGGCGCTGAGTTGAAAATAGAGCAGAGTGTAGGCTCCAAAGGACGCTTCGCCGTCTCCGTTGTTGGATTCGCAGTATTATTCGTACTATTTGTGTTAGTCGCGGGGAAAGAAGCCGTAGTAGTGTTTAGAAGCATAATAAGCGGTCCCGAAGCCGACCGAGCTAGGTATCGTAGATGCGAGGATAGAAGTTGAAGCGTAGTGTGAGCGTCAGCTTTGTCCGCGGAGCGTGTGAAGAGGTTTGTGAGTAAGGATGAGAAGTTCGTTATGAGGATTATGTCTGGGATTTGTGATGTGTCCTCTATATCTGGAGGCTTTGACTCTTCAGTAGGAATCGGTATGCTGGAAATAGCGGGAGGAGGCGAAGGTGACGAGGTCATATTGGGAGGTGGTGGAGAGGGAGATTGCTCTGGCAGTGAAGATAGTGGCGAAGACGAACTGAGTTCTTCATCTTCGTCCTCCTCGCTGTCTCCCACCTCAATCTGTTTCGGCTTTGGGGGTCGTAAAGGAGGAATCCTCGGTTTGGCCTTGTCATCCTTCTCTACGGATCTCTTCGGCGAGTCCTCCCTCTTCGACCTCTCACTAGGAGCGGGTAGCAAAACAGTATCAATAGTCGAATGACCACCCTCCTCCCCTTCACCAGTCGCCGTTACAACAGGAGGCGACGAAGTAGGCGCCTGCGACACCTGCGTCTCCAATTCACTAACAACCTCCCACAAGCCCTCCACATCAAAAACCCGCGACACCGAAATCCTTTCCAGGCACCTCCTCACCTCCGCGTTAACCTCCTCCAACCTATGATTCGCCGCCGGGCCTAACTTAACTAGTACCTGCGCTCTAATAACATCCCTCAACGTAGGAAGCACCGCCGTAGCTGCCAACGTAGTAATAATAGCCGCCCTTGGTTTTCTCCGAGATGTATCTACGCCCCCAGTTTGCTGCTGTTGTTCCTCGTCTGCGAACACCATCGCATGCGCGACAGTCTGCAGCCCAACCTATCCCATCCGTCAGCTCTTCATTCTATCCCCCCACCCTAGGAAAAGGAAGAAAAAGCAAAAACAAACTCACGACCAACCCAACATCCCCCACCTCAGAACTGACCCCAACCACAGCACCACGTTCAAATCCACCCAGCAGCACCGCATCATCGACTTCCTTACATCCGATACGCAGCTTTCCCGTATTCCTACGCCGCCTCGCTACCTCAAGTTCGAACAACGTCGCACCGGATACAGGTTCCAGCAGTGGGAAATGTGAGCTGCTCTGTGAGGGTGGGAGTGCGTCGTCATCGGCGGTGGTCGTGGTGGGGTCCATAATCTTGTATTACCTTGAGTGAGGTTAATGTTTTAGATTAAATGGGAGATAGAAGTGTTTTGGAGGGAAGCCTAGCGGTCCCCCGCCGAGAAAGTTGCTCCCAGTCGGCTTCGCTCAGTCTTGTAGTTTGAAGTCAAATAATAATACCAAATTGAAAGTAATTATCCTTAAAAATACTTATACGAATTCTGAATTATGTAGCTTATTCTGTAGACATACAAAGCGAAGTTTACACGTTATACTCCAAAGTGGAGATCCTACAATTCCCTTACAATTCCGTCATTCCTATCTATACGAGACGAGCAACAACACCAAACACACCTACGGTAGGTCTCAATTCACTGAATTCAATTCAATCTGCATGAATCTCGCCTAGTGACCACAGGCCATATTTCTTCCCTCCTTCCATTTCGCATTCGATACCTCCCCTAGCGATCATGTATGCAGATTGTCTACTACAGACCCTGCTGCCGTTGCTGCCTCCTATTGATTTATCTAAGACTTTCAAAAAGGTATCCTGACACTAAGTTGAGGGAACGAAGTGAGCGTTGACGCAAGATTCCCATCGCCGAACGACTTTCCTTGAACTTTCGTTCCCTCCACCATTCATGTCGATTTTGCACTTTCAAGGAAAAAGAAAGGTGTAAAAGACGTATTCGTCATGAATTCTGTCGCGATAAATATAGCGCCAAACCCGAAGCCTGAAAACACCATATGCTGTTATCGTCCCTAGAGTAATATCGAACCGGGCTCAAACGCGACGCGGTGCTCGGTATTTTCTACCTCACGAGATATAATTCGTAACTATTGTCTCAAGTTTTGCCGTGGCTCAGATAGCCATACCGGGAGCAGGGGGAGGCATGTCCTTGCTGGGCGGTTCCGGTCGTTGTCGTCGCCCTCCCTTCAGGCTCCTGACGCGCGACAAAAATCCATTTCCTCCGTTGGGAGATTCGGCTGTAACCCCGTCGTTGGTAGCTCTACGCTCAAGGCTTGCACCAGGTAGCGGTGGGCTAATAGGAGACATCTGTCCAGAATCCTTGCGCTTCACAGAAATGCGCTCGTCGGTCTTGTCGAACTCGGCAAAGAAAGGGTTCCTCTCTCCATTGCTACCACCGCTGGCTAGATCACCAGTCTTCGGGGTGTAGTATGCATCATCCGGGCTTCTAACTCGGCCTGCGTCGTTGTATTCGCGTGGGGCGCGTTTGATGCTTCGGAAGCGTTGCACTACCGACTTCTTCCTTCCTAATCCTTGCTCTAGGAATTCTTGCGCCGTGTCGGCCTGGTTCTTTTGGATTGCGGAACGAGCTGCCGGGGTACCTTCCAAGAACGTCGAAGATCCGAGTCCCAATGTCTCATCACCAGCAACAAAGTCGCCCCTCTGCTTTGGATCGAAAAAGGTGGCTTCGCTCTTGCTTCCACTCTTCTCCTTAACCCTACCGCCATACATGTTGGATACATCATGTGGCTCTTGTCCCATGAACTGCAAGTGATCGGGTCTCTGGTTTAGGGGGCCGGCACCTCCAATGGAGTTGTTGGCAGAATCCTTAGCAAATGCCTGCATAGGTGCGCGACGGCTTCCCTTTCGGTTTCGGTGTGGGTTGCAGGCGTCGAATGGGCCATCGTGGTGGAATACTGTAATCACTTGTAAGTACTTGAATGATACAAATGAATATTTACCGGCGACTTACGTCCTGTTCCATAAATGCTCGTAGCATCGAGCTGATCAATGATATCGAGTTTTCGTCCTGATTTGGGCTTGTCCTTGCCGTCGCCACGGTGACGTCGTTCGCGTTCCTTACGTCTGAGCTCGCGCGCTTTCTTCTCTTCTTCCGTCAACGGCTTTTCCATCATGGACGAATCACTATTGCGGCGTGGGCGACGCTCCGTAGGTTTCTTTTGGGGCGATGGTCCACCCTTGTCTCCCCCGCTCGAGCTGTGCATGCGACGCGCTTTCAAAGCTTCTTCCTGCGACCGGGTGGGTCTGTGAGATGAGGAAGGCGGTTGACCGCGACCACGGGGAGGGTTGTTTTCGCCGCGAGGAGGGCCACCAGGACGATTTACTGGAGGTCGTCCAGAACTTGAACGAGACTTTGAATCTTTGTCGTCCAGAGAGAGACTTGCCTAGCAATAAAAAATATCAGTAAGCAATCGCAATGCGCCCGAGGCCACGAAATTCGGATCGCTTAAGGTATGCGACTTACGAAGATGTCCTCAGTAGCAGTAGATTTCTGATCCTTAGTCGAGGCCATTTTGTCGGAGGAACTGAAAGAACCTGTGGATGGTTGCTGAGAAGGGTCAAGAAAAGGATTTCTCGAGGTAGGTCGGGGAGGAGGAGGGGGGTCATCAAATGGAGAATGGGGAGGTGAGAAGCTATTGGGCGAAACCGCACGGTTGCGAAAGGGGTTGTTTGACGAGAGATTAAGCGTCAGGCCAGGCGATTGGACGGATGGACCATTATCATTCAGACCTATGCATGGCAAACAGGAAGAATAGATTAGCTAGCCGGACCAGTACAGAATGATTTGTATGATTTGTTGTAATGGGAATGACGACTGTGATAGGCAATTGTGAAACAACAATCTCTGCAAATGAAACAGGCGACTGGTCCTGTTAAGTGGACCGTAGCCGACCACAACCTGGACGGTTTCCCTTATCACTGCTGTACTATCCCGATGGAAATTGGACGAAAAGGGGGCGGCGGAGTTTGGTACTATCTTGCATTTCTTTCTTTCAACTTACCCAGTAGGTCTCCCGATTGTGCGGACATTGTTGTCGGAATTTCTTTGTATTTCCTTGGTTTTTGGTGGAGGCTCTCTGAATCACGCAGGGGTTTTTGCTACCCCCGTAAATGCCTTGACCGTGTGTACCTGAGGATTTCGTGATAGATGTCCTGACAGGTCAACTGATTGACGGGATTCCTAACCCAATCAACCAAATAACCGAGTCAGTTAGTGTTCGAAATTCCCAAACTTGAATGGTTGCGCAGTCGGAGGTCTGTAGCAAGCTCTCGCGTACAACGCAGGCTGTGTTGTGTGTCAGGGGGGGAAAGATGGCCGGACGATCTTCCAGGAGTTGGGAATTATTTGCCAAGTTCCTCCCGTGGCGAACCCGAACTGATGACGTTTGCTACTAATTGGAAACCTGACGCGACACGGCCGTCTCGGAGCGGGATGAAAAAAACGTAGTGATTAAATAAGATACCAATCGAATTGATAGGTAAAGTTAGGTAAGAAATGCGACATTCACACCCGGGGTAGTGAATGTCTGTCGGATGGTGGGATGAAATATGAGTGGATGACCGTGCTGGTTGGCAAATGACGGTAGTGGTTGGTGGTCAGCTCCAGGTCTACTACTCCGTGGCGGTTTCGAGAAAGAATTAGGTGTTAAGGATAGTGGCAGGTAAGTGGTAGAAATTGATTTAGAATGTGTTACGCGTTAGGGCGGTTCTTGTATGCAAGAAACCTGAAATTATGTAGAGAAAGATTGCGACCGATTAAGCAGACTGATTAGTTATAAAAGATGGGTCTCCTCAAGGTCGGGTCGTGAATTCCTCGTTTTTGTTTGTTGTACGAAATCTAGGTAGGTACTAAGTATTAATTTCGTGGCTTCCAGATACCGTCGGTACTTAGTGGAAAATAAGGCCTAGGCGCGCAATTCCGGGCGAAGAAGGCGTACGAAGCAACAAGGACGTGTGCCACCGTTCGGTAAGAGCTAGGTTGATTTTTGATATTTGTCGGGCAACTTCTTTGAGGCAATGAGGTCGGGTGACAAGTTTTTTTTTACCTTCCTTGAATTAGTTATCCTTCAAATTTCTCTTTTTCTAAAAATTCCCTTCTCCTTCTGGGCTGGCGCAGCTTGGTCGTATGGTTCCCCTCAAGAAGAAAACCCCTTATTAACTAAAGAACGGTACTAAAATAAGCGGGAGGATACGCAGTGGACTCTTTTTTAATTGTTTTGAGATGGGGGGGGGTTTCTTGCACTGGGCTCGTTTATATGACAAGACGGGTCCAAGGGGTGGTGCGGATTTCGATGGAGATCGACGAAACAACCGACGACTAACGGCTCCGATTAACAACGCTCTTACAACTGGGTATCCGAATTAATAATAGTAAGTAGTTGTAGAAGAGGCTTTTTCTTCGTTTCGTCAAAAAGTTGAGTGTGTCCAGTTGCGACAAAACTCGGAGGAAAAAAAAAACAAAAGAAACCCATCAATTGAGTTTAAAGACCGAGGTGTGGCTATCCTTTAAATTATTATATGAATATCAAAATTGGGTTAGTGGAAATTCGCAAAGAGTAACAAATGCACAATGCTGGGTATGACCTGGTTGTCTTGGCTTAGATGGTACATATGAAAATACTAAATAGGAATAGCTTCGAGGTTTAATAGAAGGCCGTACCTTACCGCTAGACATGCATATATCAAATGTACACATGGATACATTACATGCATAGGAGTACATAAAATACATAGTGTATTGCGAGGCCGGCAAGGACCTACCCAAAAAAGGGGTGCATCAACTCGTATTAATATTCGCATATTTCATATCCTTTTCTCGCCCGATTCTGCCTTTTTATTCCCGATCCTGCTACGAAACGCATAGAAATATCTCTCATACTTTTCATGTTGTGACCAAGAGCCAAGAGTCTAGGAATACTTAGGGTAAAGGGACAGAGGGACCAAAGGGAGCCCAATAGTTGGGGTTGGTTGGGTAACAGTCGGCGACGGTACCTACATAGAGACATGCAGGCATTTATTATTCTGGTTGCAATATAGACTTCGGTTTAGAGGCTTCCCGGGTTTTCTACCACTCATAATATCTATTATTTTTTTCAGCTGTTTAATATATTAATTCTAGGCTTTCCACTGAATGAGTATGGTTTTTGTTTGTAGTTAGGGACGGTTCGGGTCAGCTGGATCGTCTCCAACAACAGGATCCAAGTTCTCGATCGCCGGCCATTCCTTTTAGTTCCAAAGCCATTATGAATCTCATGATTTCCCAAGTTGGTGTGTAGGCATCTAGATTTCGACAAGTCCAGTCCCCCTCTACTGAAGTGGTATGCATAATGTATGCACTCAATTTCTAACGCTACCGAAAAAAGCCTATTCGTTTTATCCTAACGGCGTTCATCCTGGTAACGATATACCGTAGCACGTGTAACGCTGCGAACTGGGTCGCCGCTCAGTTTGCAGGATGTACTCAATTATCCACCGGTCCACTTCAAATTATACTGGACGAACCAACCCGAACCAACAGGGGTTCTGGGGTTATACTTGCATATATAATGATTGTATACATTAGTTACCTACATATAGCTCTATCTAGCTCAGTAGGCAGTTCAGAGGCACAGATTTAATGACGAGATCTGAGTATCTGGGTAGGATTTTATGATTCCGCGCGGATGTCCCCTCAAAACAATTCTTCTATTGATCATTCTAAATTCTTCATAGGGTGCAGGTGATTACAAATGGATGTGAGTGATAAAATAGAGGTATTATTGCATGTGACCACACGATTTACCTACCCAACCCAGACGAGCTAGATAATACGTGTACATACATGTACCTAGGTACTGAGCTTGGAAGTTCGAGACCCCTTTTTTATTTCTCTTGAGTTTGCGGTGTCAAGCCACTGAGAGCTCGCTCTAATGTAGCCCGTGTAGCCGAAAGGGGGAATACTCCACACAACATTGAACTTAAATATTTCCCCCCTTGGCATCCCTGTGGGGTAATCCATCCATCCTACACCCTGCCTGCCCGCTGTCCGCTGCCCGCGCATCTTTGTTAACTGCTGATCCTCCCCCTACCACTTCCCCTTTTTGTTCCTATCATATTCCATCAGATAACGCCAAAGTTGTGAAGTTTCAGGCTCTATTGAGATCTGCTTACTTACAGGAGTAGGCGAACTGCTAGAGTATTTCAAACATTGGTAATAAGCGAAGAAGAAGCAAGTCATCGTCAACTCTATATCTCATTTGGGTTTGGCCTCAAACTCGCCGAAGTCGAATGTGGACATCTCTCTGTCTACATACATAATTACTAAGTTACTAGGTTGAAGTATGCACAATCGACATCAACCACTATTCATATACTTCGAAATTACCAAGGCAATTTCAACGGCGTCTCGAGGTTCTTCCCTAGCACAGTCTCAGCCATACCAATATCTCCTAAAAAGAATAAATCAGTCAGTAACATTCACAAAAAAGGTCTAGTTCGGGTGTTCGAGGCCTTACGTGGACCACGGGGTGCCCAGTATTCCCCGGACTTGCTAAAATCTAGCTTCTCCGTCCATTCTACGAGACTCTTCGCTGCCGCCTCTGAAGTCACAGCTACAGTAACACATCGGTTAGCATCCCTTGATACCCTAATACAGGTATTTATAGTAGTGCCTTACCTCCACCAGCATCCCAATGCTTATCAAAGCCAACATTCCTCGTCATCTCAGTGCGCATGAAGCCCGGGTGCACAATACTAACAATAACATCTTTCAAATCGATACTAAGCAACTTCCCCGCCATATTGAGCGCAGCTTTACTAGCATGATGCGCATAATTCCCGCCTCCCTCCTTCTCATGCCGTAGCGTGATACTGCCCGCTTCGCTCGAGACCAGGATGACCTTGGAGCCGTGCCCGAGCAAATTGGCATGTGCCAGCCGATGCACGACAAACACCGGCGCGACGGAGCTTATAGTATACATGGCCACCTCCTCATCCCAGTTCGGCCCTTTGTCTGCGGAAAAGTCCTCGGTTGTGAAGCGTCCGGCATTGATGATCTACCCATAGAAAAGCGCGATAAGGTTAGTGACACCAAGTATTTGTGCTACTTACTACAGGTACAAAACCTACCACGACGTCGAGGGGTTTCTCTGATTTGAGCTGCGAGACGAGATTCTCGCCAACGTTGGATTGGGAAAGGTCAATGCCGGTAAGCCATTTGATTTGTTCTGGAAATCCAGTCGGTTTAGTATCCGATCGTGAAGTTCCAAAGATACGTGTTGAAGAATCCGAATTAGAGGCGTATTCTTCCACTAAAGCGGCCCCTAGACCCCTCGTAGCGCCAACGACTAGTATAGAAGACATCATTCACTAGATGATTAAGTAGACGCAGATTTGTACTCGATGGTGACTAGGATGATGGTAGTCTGCGTAGCTTTTTGTACTAAAATCTTGTGTTTTCTTGTCACAAGAAATATCGATTACTTGGTAGCACGCCATTGATGATGAGATAGACGATGACGTCAGCCATTTGAACGTGCGCTGGCATAAAAAGCATATCATAAACTCCTCACAGTACTTCCTGCCTCATCAACATCTACATGTTTTACCAGCGAAGCTTAATGTATTCACAAGATAAGTATTTCAGGTTTTTGGAAAATAGGGATGCTGTAGCTTACCTTCACTATAACTTCAAACCCACTAGAATCGAATAATTTATGGTCTTAAAGGCCACTGCCTCCAGAACAAAACCTCTTAAAGATTCTCCAGGGCTAAAAGGTTCATAAGTCCCAACGAGTAAGTAATATGTACCTAGGTAGGATGTTAATTCGAGATTATTTCGTCACCGAAGCAGACAAGTAGTAGCATTTAAACAACTCAGTCGTCTTTAACAAAACGCAGATATTTATTTTCAGGTCTCGTTTCCATCATGATAACATCAGTAAGCCAGTAAGTTAAGTTACACGCGCACAAAAGCGCCCGTTCCACTGCGCAGTTTCAAGTACTAGTACGCCTTTTTCTTCTCGTCGCCGTCATATAACATTGCAATTGCATTATTCACTACCACTCCCCCCACCTCCAATCTCTGGCCGTAGGGAGCAACCTCACAACTTACTAGCAGGTGCCGCATTCCCCACAGCCGTGATCTCATCATACAACAACGTAGTCAAGAAATCCGCATAATCCTCCCCGGTGACCTGACCCGCGAAATACTGCGATGCAAGACCAAACTTATGACCCTTAGCCGCCTTAGACGCAAGTTGGTCAGTCTGTTCCTTGAGCAAGCGTAACGCGTACGCCTTATCAACACGTTTGCCCTCAGCAGTCGTCACGCCGTGGCGTACCCATTGCCAGAGCTGGGAGCGGGAAACTTCGGCTGTGGCAGCGTCTTCCCTGTTGGGTTGTTAGTGATGTGTGCATTTACGGGAGAGTAAATGGTTAGGATGTATGTAGGGGGTTTATGTAAGTTGGAAGGGGAGAGGAAGGGCGAGGAGTAAGGGGCATTATAAGGGAGGTGAATACGCACATCAAGTAGTTAATCGGGACACATCCGATGCCGCGAATCCAGGCCTCCATGTAGCCTAGACCAATATTCAAGTTCTTCCGGATGCCGTCCTCAGTAATCTTTCCAGGGACGTTCATGTTAAGTAGATCATTCTGGCCAATCTTAACATCCTCGCGTCGTCGGAATAGCTGGTTCGGCGTCGGCATGTGCTTATTGAAAATCTCGGTTGCGATAGGTGCTAGTGCCGGGTGCGCTACCCACGTTCTTCATTAAGAATTAAACATTAGCATATCCTGCTTCCAAGGAAAACTTTGGGGAAGGAGTAGGGATAGAGTGTAATAGACATACCCATCATGGCCAGCCCTAACCTCCCTCAACTTATCCGCGCGTACACCTTCCATCGCGCGATCATTCGCCTCCTTATCATCCTTAATCGGGATCTGCGCCGCCATACCACCCATAGCATGTACACCACGCTTATGACACGTCTGGATCAACAACTTAACATACGCATCCATAAAGGGCACCGTCATCGTAACCGCGCTACGGTCCGGTAGTACGAAATCCGAGTTCTGGCGGAACTTCTTGATGGTACTAAATATGTAATCCCAGCGACCACAGTTAAGACCCGAGCTGTGGTCGCGCAGCTCGTAGATGATCTCATCCATCTCGAAGGCAGCGAGGATCGTTTCAATCAGCACTGTACCGCGGATTGTGCCGCGTGGCATTCCGATGTAGTCCTGTCCCAGGTTGAAGGCGTCGTTCCATAGACGCGCCTCGAGGTGTGATTCCATCTTAGGTAGGTAGAAGTACGGGCCGAAGCCCTGCTTCACGGCTTCGTGCGCATTGTGGAAGAAGTACAGGCCGAAGTCGAATAGCGAGCCGGAGATGGGTTCACCATCTACTGTGACGTGCTTCTCCTCGAGGTGCCAGCCGCGAGGTCGCACGATTAGGGTGGGCAGTACGCGGTCTTTTCGTAGCTTGTACTCCTTGGGACCTTGCTTGAAGTCGACATCACGCCTCACGGCATCGTATAGGTTGACCTGGCCATTGATCATGTTATCCCATGTCGGGGCGCTCGAGTCTATTATTTCTAGTGTTAGTAATTGCAAATTTTCACCTCGTACGACCATAATTGCCGCTGTTGCTCCCGCAGCGGCAGTTATAAGTACTTACCTTCGAAATCGGCCATATACGTCCATACATCCGAGTTCAAAGCATTAACAACCATCTTGCGATCAGTCGGGCCCGTGATCTCAACCCTTCGGTCGACAAGACCAGGAGCGGGCGGTGCACCCTTCCATGTCGGGTTCTCTCGGATGTGCTTTGTCTCGGTGAGGAAGTCAGGTAGGTTTCCCTTATCAAGTTCGGCCTGGCGCAATACACGTCTTTCTAACAGGGCCTTGCGTGTGCCATTGAAAGAGCGATGAAGTAGAGCTAGGAAGGCGAGAGCTTGTGGTGTTAGAATCTTCTTGTGCTCTGGCTGGATCGTGCCGGAGATAGAAACGCCTTGTAGGATAGAGTCGGTGGACGCCATGGTGGCTGGTTGTGTATCCCGAGCGGCGATAAGTTTTACTCCGAGCGTATTCTAGGTAGTGATGTAGGTGGCTATCCCCTTATCTTGACTCTGATGTTGTGAGTGAAATCCAATGGATCCTATGGGGATATCTCGGAAGGTTGAGAATGAAGCTTGTGAAAGATAAGGTAGGAGGAAGAGAATATATGAGGGTCACTACTAGGTATTATATAAGGTTCTTTGTTTAGTTCCGATATTCAGGAGGGATAGGATGGGATGGAACAGGAACAATGCGGCTAGACTGATTAGATAGATAGCGGCGGGTTCCCACGGTTATCAGAAACGTCGTCGACAATGTTCGGGTATAGGTACGTAAAATAGTCCTAGGTAGTAGACAAGCTAAAGTTGCGCGGCTACTTTAAAAGGTGAAGTTCCTTACAAAGAGAATGGGAGAGGGGCTCGGGTTGTCTTAGACTTATGTGTAAGTTGAAGGTAGAGGCGTTACACTACGACATGAGGCAACTTGAAGGTTATTCCCCGTCTTAGCTCGGTTGGAAGGAGAATAGATGACTGGCTACGTGATGTTGATGTAGCCGATGAAGAATGAAAGGAGGGATACCTACCCTTTACTTACCTAGGTATGAAGCTTGTGAAAGTGTGGGGGAATGCTACTAATACATTACTCCATCAATCCTAACTCTATGTACTTGTGAGTTAGAGGCCATCGAGGTTGTTAATCCTAGTAGGGAATACAAAATACGGTGGACGTCGATGTTTGGTGCAGTTTGCTGTTGTATGTACTTTGGATTGAACCCTTCACATGTAAGTTCGGGAGGAGCTCTGGAAAAGAATAGCTGAGGAGCTCCAAGGCTTCTCTAACCCCGGCTCTTTAGAAGTATATCTATACCGTATTATTAGATTCCCCAGCTAATTTCCCCACAATCTACCAATCCAAAACGGTAAACTTAGCTAAATGTTAACTATCATTGGCCATTAGTGCCGTGGAAGTGGAGTCCATCCGTCCGCCGCTCATAAGGAAACCGTTTTTTATCGTAACGTTACGTAACTATTCTCAAGCTGTTGATCATGACGGCATTATTTCTTTCTATCTTATCAAAAATGCCCCTCTAAAAAGTATAATATAGTACAAAATTACAGAAATCAAACATTATACTTGCGATATCGCCGCAAAATTAGACGCCCCGTTCTCGGCTCTCTATCTATTAAGTGCCGTAGAATTTATATAAAAAGTAAGGCATTTTAGATAATAAGGACATAGGCGGGCAGATACGTCGATCCCAAAATAACGGACAACGGCGAAGTACTAAACCCAACCCCAGCAAACAGGTACAAGTACCTAAAGAAGCACCATCTAACGAACATTATTGGGTAATTCCTTTAAGGTTCACCGGCTGCAAGTGACGTAGCCCTAACCTGGAACTCCCGAAATACCGAGACTGCATCTTCCCGGCTGCCGAGGTCGGATGCCCAACCAATTCGAGCATCCTAGAATCGCTTAGGTTACCGAGAATACCCGAACCCCGGTCTTTACTAACTAACACCTTTGCTTGTCTAGTTGCCTTTCAATTATCGTGATGCTCCACGACGATACCTACTAATCTTCACTGTATATCCGATCCCACGAAGACGTGCTTATAAACATGCTGTATGGAAATAACAAAAATAAGGGTCAAAAATGCCTTTTCGATCCTTCTGAGTCACGCCGAATCCGAAATTCGGGCATTATACGTACTCAACGAGGTAGTTGATATCAGTTTACTGTTTATTTTACTTAACTATATACAATCTGTCGTGATCCGTACACGTCCGAGGTCGCCGTCACAATCTGACAAGGCTCTTTCATGACCAGGTGATCACCAACGAGATGCCAAAGGACGCATTAACAAATGCCTAAGTAGGTAAGAACTTAGGAAGAAGATTGGCAGTTTTTGTTATGATATGCCGACGCCTTCTTCTCGATCGCATCAAGCTCGGCTTGTACGAATTGTACGACGGGCTCAACGACATGATGCACCTAACTCCTGTAAGGCTTGGGCCCGATCATAAGCTCCGGCTTGACGAGGGTGTCGAATTCATCCGATGTTAAGGCATTGAGTTCCATTGCACTGTCCTTCAAGTTCAATCCTTTCTTGTAAGCATTCTTGGCTACCTTGGAAGCCATGTCGTAACCGATCTTGGGGTTAAGGCAGGTTACCAGCATAAGCCTAGATATTACACATATTAGTTTGCTTGCCCCTGAATACAACATATATCATATAAACTTACGATTCCTTCATGATGCTGGAGATCTTTTCCTCGTTGGCCTGAAGACCCTCAACGAGATTCTTCTCAAATGAGCGCATTCCATCCGAAAGGAGTCTCACGCTGTGCAACAAGTTTCGAATGATGAGGGGCTTGTACACATTGAGTTCGAATTGACCGTTCATGCCACCAATCGTGGCAGCAACGTGGTTACCCATAACTTGAGCACAGACCATTGTCAAGGCCTCACATTGTGTGGGGTTAACCTTACCAGGCATAATACTGGAACCCGGCTCATTTTCTGGCAAGATCAATTCACCAAGACCGCAACGAGGACCGCTACCAAGGTATCGGATATCCTGAGCAATCTTGGTAAGAGACGTAGCCAGAGTGTTAAGGGAACCAGAAGCCTGGACGATAGCATCATGCGCGGCAAGCGATTCGAACTTATTGGGGGCAGTCTTGAATTCAGTTCCAGTCATCTTGCTTACTTCCTCAGCAATAGCCTCTGCGAAACCTTCAAATGTGTTGATTCCAGTACCAACAGCAGTACCACCTTGTGCAAGTAATCTGAGATCTGGTAGAGAGCTCTCTACTCGCTTGATACCGAAATCTAATTGAGCAACGTATCCCGAGAATTCCTGCGCTAATGTTAGAGGGGTAGCGTCCTGGAGATGAGTTCGTCCAATCTTGATGATGTTCTTGGCTTCGAAATCGTCGACCTTCTTTTGTAGGGCGTCTCGAAGGCTCTTTAGAGAGGGCAATAACTCTCCTTCGATCTCGAGAACGGCGGCGATGTGCATTACGGTGGGGAAAGTATCGTTCGAAGAGGCGGATCGGTTGACGTGGTCGTTAGGGTGAACAGGCTTCTTGGTGCCTTTTGTGCCTCCAAGAATCTCGATAGCTCGGTTGGAAATAACTTCGTTGGCGTTCATGTTGGACTGGGTACCGGAACCGGTTTGCCAAACAACGAGGGGGAAGTGGTCGATGAGCTTGAGGTCGGCCACCTCAGCAGCAGCTTGTTGTATGGCCTTGCCAATCTTCTCATCTATAGTTACATAGTCGGAGCATGTAAGCTAGTATTCCACCGTAATAAGGTAATTTAGGGCATAATGCGCTCCGTAGAGGAGTGTAGCATACCAAGTCCGAATCGCATGTTAACAGTGGCGGCAGCGCCCTTCAAAATACCAAATGCCCTAACAATTGGAGGAGGCATTCGATCTTGGGGCTGGTTGATACGGAAATTGGAGAGAGATCGTTCGGTTTGAGCTCCCCAATACTTGTCGGCAGGGACCTGGATTTCGCCAAAGGCGTCACTCTCGGTTCTCGTGTCGGCCATTCTTATGGATGTCGCATGTAGGTTTCTTTGGAATCGTAGGGAATAGGTTGGTTTGGTAGAGATGTTATTGTAAAAACTACTAAGAGATCTCGAGGTGGCATATGACGAAGTGGAGGATAAAGAAGATGAGGAGGTGTTGCATGTGCAAAGAAGTCGTGGAGCAGTCCTCGGCCCAAGCAAGTTTCTAGCTTGGCCAGCGGCCGCAGGTCCTACCGATCGCAGCATGATCAATTGTGTCAATTGTGTGTCGCGCGCGCAACGCAGTAGCTTCCGCCGAGGATCAATTGTAAGCTAGGAGCTGCCAATTGGCTGTATTTCTATCAGCTGACAAGAAGTTGGGAAGGGATGGCAGATCTTTCTGTACAGACTGACAGATCCGGCTAAACTTTAGGTTTTATAGTGTTTCTAGTGTTTCTAGTGTGGTCGAACGTTCTAACTTAGGAAGTTGGTGAAAATAGTCGAGAAGGAAAAAAAGATGGGTATTAAAATAAAAAAACGCTCAATTCTTTTTTTGATGCTGCTCTAGAAAATAGATTGCTAGCAGGTACAATGTACCTTTAGTATTTGCTAAATGGAGTCAAAAATGCCCTAGCTTTTTTACTATTTGCCGGAGCGTTTGGTTTGTGAAACAGTAAGCCAGCAGGCAGTTTCATTCGACCCTTCATCCCTGCCGTCTATAGAGTGGAAGTTCGGGCCGGGAATACCCGATCCGGACAACAGGATAGTACGTACCTATGTACATAAATGAAGGCATTCATAAATTGTATAACTCAACGTTCAATATCACAATCAGGAGATATTCAAAAGAGACTATTAACGGGTGAACGATTATTAAGGCATACCAACAAACTATCTAGGGAAATTAGGGCAAGTTTCAGCAAAGCTAAAGAACATTAATCGCATCGGCCTACTGGCGGACCATATGCGAACAAGCGTACAAATTAAAGCGTCAAACACATCTCTTGCCGACAGACTAGAGTTGCGAAGACAACCGGGTAGTACGACTTCGTATCCTTCATAGCTGTCAGAAAGGGAACACCCTAAATTACCAGTCAAGCTCATCGTCATCCTGTATAGTCACCCATCTCATCACTCAGCACCTGCTCTTCCTTTTTTGGCCTCCGAAGAGGAGTAAAAACAACATACCAACATCCCGATTTTTCCGACAATCTCAAACGCCTACCAATATGCTGGGCAACACCAACTTCATATCCAGGCTCCTTTCGGTCGCCTATTCCAGAGTGTCGACCACCAACGTGCAAACCATCTTTTAATAGAGGTGAGGTAGTGGGTATCATGAAGAGCAGTCGTCTATCGTTCCGGTCTAGCCTAGTAGCTTCCGCAGAACTATTAAAGTGCTCGTGTCGTGTAGAGTGAGGACTCTCGAGAAAAAGTATTAGTTCATCCGTAAACAATTTCAAGAGTTGAGCGTCTTGATCATCATCTTGATCTTGTACTTGTCAAGAACAAGTAAGCCACGAGAGTTGAAGATCTCATCCATCGTATCAACAACCTTGTGGAAAGTGCTAGCAGCACCACGCTCCTGCGTAAATCGAACAATGCACAGCTGACTACGTCTACCATGCTCGATCACCGTCATAATCTCCGCGGCGAAAGCGGCTTCCTTCATATTGAGGGCTGTAGCACTTAGTTAGCTATCGAATTCATTAAGAATATTTGAGTATGGTCACTTACAATTCTTCTTGCCAACTCGGGCAAAGACAAGGTTACGCTCCTTGTCCACAACAACGTCTTTCATACCATGTCGCCGCCACTCCTTCAACAAGATAGCGATTTCCCGACGAACACGGTTTCGGGGGAAAGAGAAGCAGATGTATCGGGTGGCGGGCTTGACTCGGAATAGGCGAGCAAACCAGTTCTGCTGAGGTTCAATGTTGCGAGTCGCAACTTTGTCGTTCCACTTCTTATAATATGGATGAGAAGGATCATCAAAATCAGGCTCGTCGTCAGAGTCCGATTCATCTATATTCATTATTAGCATTAGTTCATAACATATTGACCAATATAGAAAGACTTGCCTGCGATGGAGAGTTTCATTTCGGGCTCCTTATTGCTACGCCAAAAACTAAAGTTGAAACTTCTCTTCTTCTTTGCTGGAGCGGGTTGTCCAATAGATGAGTTGGACTTCATACGGTTCAAATCACCGGTGCTAGAGCCATCTACCATAGCCTCTTTATCTTTCGAGTTGCGTCTGAACCATGATGATTTCTTCCTGATGTTGAAGGAAGAGGAGCGCTCGCCTACTTGCGCAGACGGCTCCGTGGTAGTGGCTCCTTTTTCATCCGTTTCATACTGCTGGTGGGTATTAAATCCACGTCGAGTCTGAGGTCGCTGCTGGGCTCCCTGAGAAGGTTCCTCGCTGACACTAGGAGATCGGACCGGTTCCCAGTTACGACGACTGGTCGGAGAATTAACAATGCGTATTGTATCACCCTGTTGAGCAAAGTACTCCAAATCCATGCCTTCTTGTGCTTGGAAAGTTTGTGTTGCTGAGGACTCGGCGGGCGCCGAAACGACTCGGTATTTGCTGTCTTCTCTTGGTGTCTCGTGAATGGATGGTAGAGGGATTCTGTCTTTGCCCCATTGCGTACTGTACTGGGAGTAGATGGGTGCGGAAACGACTCTACGCTCTACTTCTACTTTTGGAGGCAACCAGGTAAGTTTAGCGGGTCGGGTGGATGGCGAAACCGCCTCTTCGCCATAGGTTCGCCCGGCTCTCCTTCTTGTCCCCTTAGATCCACGGATACCTGGATCTTTGGGAGGCGGTGGAGGCGGTAAGCTTTGCCCGTCCGATGATGGTGAGTAGATATCTACTTGGCCTAATTCCTGAGTAGATGATTGTCGAGACGGCACGTTAATGCCAGGTAAGAACATCCCCGAGTCCTCTAACACCGATGATTCAAATGTAGCCTCGTCGAGAAGAGAGTGCGCTGAGCTTAGAAGTATGCTATTGAATGCATCATCACAGTCCTTTGCGATGCTACGGCTAAAATGGTGTAACTCTTCGTTCCAGTACAAATGGTCACCTTGGCTTTCGGGCACCTCTACTACAGACTGAGTACCAGAACGAGTCCTCGCAGAGTTCCTAGATAGTCTCATTCTTCTACCAGGACTTGTAGGATACGAGAAGTTGCGATCATAGACCGTACCATCTCCAGCAACGCTAGCGGGGCGACTTCCGCCCTCGGCCTGGCCAACCGATCGCTTGTGAGCATACGAAAAGTTAACTCCTCGCTTGTGTCGCGAAGTCGGTCGTTTATACGAGATTTCTTCGCCGCTTTTGATCGAGTTCAAAGAACGTCGCGAGCCGCGTGTCACAACTGGGGGTTTTCCGCGCTTTCCGCTCCTGGTACGTCGTGTGTGGGTCGAATTGGTTCTCGTTGATCCACTCTGTATGCTGGGGGCTTTTGAGGCTCGGGTAGACGTAGTTCCATTACGGTGAACGACAATCTTCGCCCGACTTGCAAAGACATCCTCCATGACGTGGGAGGACTTATAAGGGTCGTAGCTCTTGATTGTATCGGCACGGTCCGGGACACGGTCGGCAGAAGTTACCTCGAGGGCCTTGCCATCCTCATCGATTGCAACATTCGAGATGACGGTAAATCGGGACATAGTTCGTCCATGTTGCGCAGGAAACTCGAGTGTTGTATACTTCTTTTTCCAGTTCGCGGGCTGCAGATGGTGGTAATCACTAGGAGAGTAGGATAGGTCGGTGCCATAGTTCTCCAGTCTCTTTTCTCTGTAACCACAAAGAAGCCAATAGAAGAGCTTGAAATCGTTGCGCCTGTTCGTTCATGTTAGCAAAAAGGTTTGACTCAACGTTGTATAAATTTAGACTTACTCAGTGGATGTCAACTTCGCCGCTATTTGTTTCTCGGTATATGTATGCCACACGGATTTCAATTGTCTCAGAGCCTGTGCATCGAGTTCATCGGCCGGCACCGGGTCGTACCGGGCATTTTGCCTGTAATCGTGGCGCTTCTCCCCGTCGTTGAAGTTATCCAGGTGATCGTACTTGCGAAGAAGAGGATGCTTCCATATCTCTTTAGAAGGTATGCGCTTGGCCGGATCCATAGTCAACATTCTTCGGATCAAGTCCTTCGCTTCGGGGCTGAAAAATGCGGGCATATGATACTTCCCTGCCTTGACCATACCAAGAAGTGTAGGCACATTCTCATGGTTAAAGGGCAATGCATTGCAGAGGCAGCCGTAAAGGATGATTCCAAGGCTCCAGATGTCCGACTTATCACCTTTATATGCACCCGGACTTAGGAGTTCAGGGGCGGCATAGTGTGGACTTCCGCAAGATGTTCTCAACAGATGGTTCGGGCCTTGGTGCATGGCTGACATACCGAAATCGCTGATCTTGAGTTGGCAATCTTCAGTGACAAGTATGTTCTCCGGCTTGAGGTCACGATGACATATGTTGAATGAATGGACGTAGTCCAAGGCACCAAGCAATTGTCGGAAGAAATACATTGCTTCCACCTCGGATAGGGGGCCGCATTGTCCAAGATAACTATGGAAATCGCCACGCTCTACATATTCGAGAACAAGATAACTGCTTCGGGGTTAGCAACGGTGTTTTGTGAAAGTGACTGCGTAACTTACATTTCCGAGCGATTCTCCCATATGTCGTATAGCTTCACAATGTGTGGATGATCGATGAGCTTCATGATGGCAACCTCCCTCTCGATGGTGAACGGTATGCGGTTCTCCGAGTGGTACTCGGCTCGGGTACGGTCCCATTTGTCGAGTTCCGCTATGCTTCCGGGCTGGGTCATGTTCTCGGTGTGTCTAGAGAGGATCTTCACAGCAGCGAGCTGGCCGGTGATATTGTGTCGCACCAAACGCACGCGGGCGGCCGAACCGGCGCCTAAGGTCTTCCCAAGCTCCCATGGTCCAACATGAGTCTTGCGCCTTTTCGGATCGGGAACGACACCTGGAAGTGGGATTCGCTCGCCATGTTCTAGGATATCTTGAACTGCTAAAGCTTGCTGAGCGGCATGGGATGTGTGGGCATGAGTAGCATTGGGTTTGACAGTAGTACTCGCATCGGAATCAACATTGCGGCGCGTGGTGTTGGTAGGATGGGATCGTAGAGGATTAGGTTGAGTGTCTTGAGCTCGACTGGATTTGGTGGGCCTTTTCGAAGCTGTGTTGTTTACCCTAGCTGTCGCATCTCCAAGCGGAGCGCGCAAGGCTTGGGGTTTTTTCCCGCGACGGTCGGCCATGTCCAATTCTAACGTAGCTATGCTCAAAACATAATCGATTGGATCCTTAGATAGTCGATTGGAAAAGGGTGTGACGTAGGAAAAAAAAGTGACCAACCAATTAAGAGTACAGGTTTTGATGATGTAGAGAGTAAACAAAAGGTAGGAGTGATAGAGCACCTGGGGTAGGTAGCTAGGCAGGTAGGGTATTATGGTAAGATGATCAATAATCACGACCACATAGAATACCTACCTACCCACTTGTTTGGGTAGAAAATTGACTCTTGAAGAAAAATAACAAACTTGTAGTATGCTACCAGTCAGGAAGGTGAGGAGGGTAGAGGGTGATAGCCCTGTCAAGGTGAAGTGGAAGTGGGATGGGGGCTTTGGTTCTACCTTCTCAAAAACAGTTGGTAGCTACAAAACAAAAAAACAAACGGAAGTAACACGTGAAGAAAGGTAGAAATCAAGGGCGTTTAATCGAGAAATGAATTAAACTGAGGATTGCCAGTCTAGATTGTTGTTCAAGTGGTGTCTTGGAAGAATGCAATGTTTTACCTTAGACGTGTTGGAGGAAGGGGTTGGATTTTTGTAAGGGAAAATAAGATTGCAAGACAAGGGCACTGGAATAAATGATTTTTGATTTTTAATTTTTGAATTGTGTGCAGTAGGTATCGTGGGATAGACGCATGCTTATGCGTGTTCTCTCGTGAGGGTTGTCGTCGGTCCCGTACCTAGTCGACGGCGAGCATTCACCACACACGAACCCTCGTTATTACTGGATCTCCACAATCAAAATAAGAATACCTGGTCCTGGATGCTCAATTAGTACATTATTAGGGCAATCAGAGTTCTACGTCCAATTGGCCGAAAGTCTCGTCGGGATGAATCGTGTTCTTAACTTCACGATGTTAAGGAGGCATGGAATAAGCGATGGGCTTGTTTTTCAATTGACAGAGTAACATTGTTGGATAACTAATTAGTGAGTCGGATATTCCGTATACAATATAATTCATATAGTATTTTGGAGTATTGTGTATCCCTCGTTTATGATACGCATCTGTGTTTGCATCTGAGTATAATGTTGATTGTTGAATGTTGACTTGAAGTTCCGTGATCAAGGAGATGAAGTCGGAAGTTGCTGTGCAACCTCGGGACGGCGGCCGGAATTAAGTCCCGGCGCTCCGAGACACTGCCGTGTACTTAAGTATCTCCTAATTAGGAAATAATAGATAGCAATAATACCCCACCTCTAAACGCGTCCCATTTGACAGGCACATATTGGAACACTGTACCGCGTCTTTACATCGTGGGAGCTCCTGCTTTTACATGGATTAACATATTTGCCCACTTTCTGTCTTAGGCAAACTTAACTGAAACTAAAATCAATGTGGCACATTAGAGGAATTCTTTTCTATCCCTTTAAACCTTCACCTTGATACTTGATCCATCCGGAACTTCATCCGAGCTTATCACCGATCGTCTCTTTACTTCCGAATCATGTCGTCTTTACAACCCCGCCGTCGGTCGAGGGCTAGATTTGAAGAAGAAGATGGCGAAGCATCTTCAGAAACAGATTCATCAAAAAGACAAAGACAATTCAGAAGTGGTACACTGAAAGAGGAGGATGAAAACGATGAAGAAAACCAAAACCACCAAAATACTTCACGAAGAAACGCCTCACGAACGCTGCATGGTCAGAATATCGAAGAATTTCAGACGGGTGCCATTGTACGAGTTCTAGTCGAAAACTTTGTTACATACGAACATGCCGAATTCAATCCCGGTCCCAATCTCAATATGGTCATTGGCCCAAATGGTACTGGCAAGAGTTCGCTAGTCTGCGCCATTTGTCTAGGCTTGGGGTTCCACCCGAGGCATCTCGGTCGAGCTAGCAACGTTGGAGAATTCGTGAAGCATGGAAAGGATACCGCTACAGTCGAGATTGAATTACAAAGCCCACCGAACCACCGAGTGAACCACGTCATCCGTATGCAGATTCGAAAAGAAGATAACAAAACGAAATGGTGGGTCAACGGGAAGGACAGCACTCATCAAGCCGTGAAGAGCCTCACGAATGATCTGCACATCCAAATCGATAATCTTTGCCAGTTTCTACCCCAAGATAGGGTTGCCGAGTTTGCTGGTCTTACCCCCGTCCAACTTCTTCACGAAACACTTCGAGCGGCCGCCCCCGAACAGATGACCGAGTGGCATAATCTGCTGAAAGAGCTCCACAGAAAACAAAAGGAGGTGAAGGATAGACTTGACGCGTGTGCTGAGACCCTTAAGGGACACGAATCACGTCAGCAGGGGTCTCAAGCCGATGTTGATAGGCTCCGTGAGAGAGAGGCAATCCAGGAAAAGATCCAAGACCTCCAATGCGCCCGCGCTATTGCTGAGTACAATACGCTTCGTCGCGAGATGGGTGAAGCGAAGCAGAGGAGGTCGGATTTTACGAAGAAGTTACAGGAACTGGAACATGCCTGTGGGCCTGCTTTGGAAGCGGTCAATCGAAAGCAGGAATACCGAAGTGAAATCCAAAGAGTCGTTTCAGAGCGCAAGCAAAGGTTGGTCCAGGCCGTGACGGCATGCCAACAATCACTGAGGGCGGTTGAGACCCAAGAGGAGCGAATAAAGCATCTTCAAAACAAGAGGAATGCGGAGGAGACTTCTCATACTTCCAAACGGGCCGATATTGCGCGGATACGCAGAACAGTTACAGAGCTTGAAGCCAAGCTTCAGAATAAGCCTAACGAGTTCATTGGCGCTGAATGGAACCAAAAGATTGTAAGTAACACAATTTTATTTAACCCTCCCTCTAGCTCTCTGACACTGACGTAAGTGAATCTAGCGTGAACAAGAGCACATGTTACGCGACAATGAGGCAGAAAAGCGTACGCTCCGTGGCCAGTTTGATGAATTGAAAGAACTGAACAGAAGGAAAAACGAAGAGAAGAATCAGTTCATGCGTGATCTAACGGCCCTCGACTCCCAAGAAGGCCAAAAATTTGCTTTTCTGAAAAGGACCAATCCGGACGCTGCGAAGGGCTGGGAATGGCTTCAGGAACACCAAGATGAGTTTGAAAAAGAGGTATTTGGCCCACCAATGTTGAACTGTTCGATCACGGATCAGCGGTACTCGGACCAAATCCAATCACTCTTGGCAGTGGACGATTTCCTCTGCTTTTCTTGCCAGACTGCAAATGATCACAAGAAGCTAAGCACGAAATTTTTCAAGGATTTAGGAATATCTGTGAGTATCAGGACGTGTGGGAATGCTTTCGCTTCGTTCCGGCCAGCAGTTCCCAAAGAAGAATTGCGCCAAATGGGTCTTGATGGATATGCTATCGAGTATATCGAAGGTCCAGAGCCTGTCCTTGCAATGCTCTGCTCGGAGAAGAGGTTACATGCTTCCGCGGTCGCTCTTAGAGAAATCAGCAATGATCAATACGAACGCATAATAGGAAGCGAGAAGATCCCTAGCTTTGCCATAGGCAAATCAATATATCGTGTTACAAGACGCAGGGAATATGGCAGCGGCGCGGTCTCCACCAGTACAAGAAGGATCAACCAAGGTCGCTTCTGGACCGATCAGCCCGTTGACAACGCCGATAGGGTTCGATTACAGAGACGGGTCAATGAAATCGAAGATGAAATCCAGGAAATTGGGGGCCAGGGACGGGAACTCAAGACTCGTATCTCTGAGATCGAGGCCGCCTATCGCCCGATCTACGATAAAATAGTAAGTAATCGTAACGCTCATTGTAATATTCCACAGTTCTAACGAGGTTAAAGGAAGCATTGAGAAAAGATAAGAATGAGCTGCAAAGAGCTGCAACCCAATACGCAACACTCGGGGACAAAATCGGTAAGTTAGCATGATTAGGCGAGTGGAGTCAGTCTAACAAGTTACAGCGACCGAGAAGAGGATGCTAGAAGAAATGCAGAACGCGCTTGTTGAATGCAGGGAGAGGATATTTGAGTATAGCGCTCAAGAAGATAGCGCTATCGTCGAGAAGGCTAGATGCGTTCTACAGTACAAGGAAACACTAACCCAGATCCGAGATGCCAACCAAGCCTTGCTAGAGGGGCGAATTCGCTTCATCGAAGCAGACTCGGATGTGAAAGGACTGGAAGAGCACAACTTCAACATCAAACAACAGCTTGACGAGGCAAAAGCAGACATTCAGACAGTTAGAGCCGAAATAGAGCGGCTTAAGAGCACTGCTAGCACCACTAAGCGTAGAGTAGAAGAAACCGTCGGCCCAGGCGGTGGTGAACGACTTCACTACTTGAACGGGCTCATTGGGGACAAATCTCCCGAGGATGTCGATAACGATATCAGTGCCGAGTCTACCAAACTTGAACTTATTCACGGAGTTGACCCCATGATTATGCGGCAATACGAGAAGCGTGCACAGGAGATTCAAACCCTGACTCAGAAGAAGAACGAGATGAACGCTAAACTCGAATCGTATGCCCGGAAGATGGGACAAATACGAGAGCAATGGGAACCTGCTCTCGAGGAAGTTGTCGGAAAGATCAACGATGCCTTCGGATACAACTTCGAGCAGATCAATTGTGCGGGTGAGGTTGGTATTCATAAGGACGAGGACTTTGAACAGTGGGCTATCGAGATCAAAGTCAAGTTCCGGTACGTTTTCTAGTCTGATCTCATACCAATACCTTAGGCGTCTACTAACTTCATAATAGCGAAAACGAAACCCTCCAACAACTCAACCAACACCGTCAATCCGGTGGTGAGCGCGCCGTATCCACTATCTTTTACCTGATGGCCCTGCAATCGATGGCACAAGCTCCCTTCCGCGTTGTCGACGAGATTAATCAGGGTATGGATCCGCGCAACGAGCGCATGGTGCACGAACGCATGGTCGAGATCGCGTGTCGCGAGCACACGAGTCAATACTTCCTGATTACACCCAAGTTGCTTACGGGCCTACGATACGACGAGCGCATGCGTGTTCTGTGTATTGTGTCCGGCGAGCATATGCCGCCTGCAGAAGATGCGAGAAGACTAGATTTCGGAAATATTGTTAAGATCCAGAGAAGCCTGGCTATAGCTTCGGCTGCATAAGTGCGAGAGCTGAAGTTTCAGCTCTAGAATGGTTAAGATGACGAGGCGCATCTACCTGCTGTTTTCGGTTCTGTGCCTTTTTCTGATTTCTTTCGGGTCCGTAGCCCATCAGTGTGTATGTGTATGAATAGAGGCGCAAATGACGTTCTAAGAGTTACGGAGGATTGTAATAGGGAACGCATAGCCTATATGCTCAAGGAGTCTGGCCAAAGGAAAAGGAGCAATAAAGGTCATGGAACGGATATAGGGATTACGGCAACTAGGCGTAGGAAGAGCAGGATTGCGACTTGCTTTTATGTACGAATGAGTTCCACGAACGAATTCTTCTTAATTATTTGTAGGAAAACTGGCGATACATGCTATAGTACTATAACACGACAATTTTCTGAACTTGATGTGTGCTATTCAGTGAGTAATATGTGCCATTAATATTAAATATACACTTGGGTATCGAAGTATTATATATAGTCGATCTATCGCTCTGCTACACCAATATAATGAGCGAATAGATATAACCCCTTCATAAACAAATATTTACCATTCTCCCCTACCCATTCTTAACAACATCCACAACCCCACTCCCCTTCCCCGCAAGATTCAACGCATACCCAATCCTCACCACCCCCCTAGTAAACCTCCACCCGCGCTCCTGGCTTGGGACAGGGTATCTAGCGGGCGGGGGAATCGCGGTCCTAATACCAAGCCATCCGAACCGGTCCTCACACACACTCTTCGGATTACATAACCCGCGTAATCCTTCCTCACCTGCGAAGCGGCCGTATCCGGATCCGCCCACGCCGCCGAAGGGTAGTTGAACGGCGTAGAATACGGCGAAGTCATTTATAGCTACGCCGCCGGCGCGTATGCCGTGGACTACTTCGCGCAGGATGGGATCGGAGTCGCGCCCGTAGACGGAGGCGCCGAGACCGAAGGATGGTGCGTTGGCTAGGGTTAGGAGGGAGGATGCTGTGGAGGAGGGGGAGCGGAGGAGGGTCATTACGGGACCGAAGCATTCTTCGTTTGCTATGGCCATATTGGGGGTTACGTCTACGAGTAGGGTTGGGCTGAAGTAGAAACCGCTCGGGTGCGAGGGGTGGATGTATCGTTTGCCGCCCGCGAGGAGGCGGGCTCCCTTTGAGACGGCGTCTTCGACTAGGCCCTCGAGTCGCGCGAAAGAGGCGTCGGAGACCATGGCGCCGACGTCTTTGTCGAGACCGAGACGTAGATCCTTGACGCGGGGCTCGAGCATGGTGACGAGCTTGTCGTAGACACCGGGCGCGGCGATAATACGCTCGATGCCGATGCAATTCTGTCCTGAGGCTTGGAAAGTACCGCGCATTAGGATCTCCACAATGCGCTTGAGGTCGGATGCCGCTGAGTCGAGGATGACGGCAGCGTCTTTACCGCCGAGTTCGGCGACCACGGGAATAAGAGTCTTGGATGCGCTTTCAGCGACTTTGTGGCATACGGGTCGGCTACCAATGAATGTGAGATGGCTGATACCGGGATGGCTTGTTAGGTATCCTGCGGTCTGAGGCCAACAAACGAGGGATTGTACTAGTTGAGGGTCTTGGCCGTGTGCGACGAGGGCACCCCTTGCAATACTTGTGTAGTAGGCGGCACTCCAACACGTTTGTTCGCTCACTTTGACCACGATACCATTGCCCGCGAAAATAGCACTGATAATAGGACCTATCAGATTATGAAAGGGGTAATTCCAACTAACCAACGCCGCCACGACACCCAAAGGTTCATAATATACCGTATTCTTCTTATACGACATGAGTAGATTCGTCGGGCGTCTACTCGGACGCAATGCCTTCTCGCCATGCTTAATAGTCCATTCAAGCTTCTCAGCCGTAACTAGAATTTCTCCTAGCTGAGCGTCTATCATTGTTTTCCCCGAGTCCATGGAGCTCACTCGACAGATTTGCTCTTGATTATCGAGGACATATTGTAACATGGTACGTAAAACCTTTCTTCGTTCACTGAAACTTGTCTTGGCCCATTTCTCCTGCGCCGTAGCCGCTTGAGCTATGGCGCGATCGATACCGGCGGGTGTAGAAGGGTTCACGAAGCCGAGGAGCTGGCTAGTAGCCGGGTTATAACATTGTATGGCTGAAGAGCCCTCGGCTTTGACGCTCGGTTTATCGAGGATATTCACATATTCGGGATAATGAGGAGCTGGTACCGTGTATCGCTTCGGTTTGTCCCAGTAGTCGGTATGGGTGTAGTAGAGTATAATACCACCCACGACGGTACAGACGAGAGGGTATACGAGGAAGGCGAAGTCTTTGATTCTGCATTTGAGTACATATATAAGAGTACTGCCATAGTAGAGTCATTTTACTTAAGGAGTGTAAACATACGGAAACTCTCGCGCCAAATCACTAAACTTGTCGACCCATTGCACGAGATCTTCGACCGCCATCTTAAGCAATGAGGTTCTCCGGTCGACTATTTCGAGCTTGTTTTTAGGAATTGATTTCCCTTACTAGAATTGAAATGTCACCTAGTCGGTATGAAACTAAATCTGACTATTTTCCACATGATCCCCGGAAATAAGAGGGTTCAATTGCAAGTCATAGAAGTTGTCGCGATAGTTGATCATGCCACCGATTTTATGAAGTACCTAGGTAACTCCGGAGCTCATTTTATGAATTCTTATCGATAGATTAGATAGCTATCATTTATCGATAAGCTATGGATATAGAGTGGGTCACATGACTGGCGTAATAACCCCACGTAAGGTACAGGTACATTGTACCTAGGTAGCTTCGATTGAGTCACCCCTCCTCAGTCGCTCTTTTTTTTTTTCTTTTCGGGCTATAAACTTGTACCAACGCGGGGCACCCAAGCAATGCTGCGTGCTCTCACCAGAAGCAACAGGCTAATATTATCTTCCTATTTCAAACAATCCCCTTTACCAAGATATCCCTTTCCTTTCTTTTCTGGACGTCCATCCTCTTCCCAATTTGGTGATATTGAAGATATGGCTTCTAAAGAAGCCAAGATGGCTTTGAAGGCCCCTAAAGGCACACGCGACTGGGCTGGTGCCGATATACTTCTACGAGATTACGTCTTGTATGTTTCGTCTGGTTTCGTACCATACCTAGGTGACCCCTATTAATATAGAATTATATAAAGCGACAAGATTAGCAATATCTTCAAACTCCACGGCGGTACACCTCTTGACACCCCTGTGTTCGAATTAAAAGACATCCTAGCGGGTAAATATGGCGAAGACGCGCGCCTAATATACAACCTCGAAGACCAAGGCGGCGAACTCTGCGCCCTACGATACGATTTAACAGTCCCCTTCGCCCGTTGGCTAGCCATGAAGAACATCCAACAGATCAAGCGCTACCAAATCGCTAAAGTCTACCGTCGCGACCAACCTGCCATTGCCCGTGGCCGCATGCGCGAGTTCTACCAGTGCGATCTCGACATCGCCGGCGTCTACGACCCCATGATCCCCGATGCCGAGATCCTACGAGTTATCTGCGAAGTCTTCGAAGCCCTCGAACAACCAATTACCATTAAGATCAACCACCGCCGTATCCTCGATGGTTTCTTCGCCGTCGCAGGTGTTCCCGCCGAGAAAATAAGACCGATCAGCTCAGCGGTAGACAAGTTAGATAAAGAGCCATGGGACGTAGTCAAGAAAGAGATGGTCGAGCAAAAGGGTCTTCCCGAGGAAGTCGCCGACAAGATTGGTACATACGTATTACACCGTGGCACAATCGACGAGATGATACAATTCATCAAGGCCGACGAGGCTCTATCCGCCAACGAGGAGATTAAAGCTGGAATCAGCGATATGGAGCTCCTATCGACCTACTCTAAAGAATTAAATACCTACAACCAAGTCTCCTTCGACCTTTCCCTCGCCCGTGGTCTCGACTACTACACTGGCCTAATCTTCGAAGTCATTCAAAAGCCGCAAGACGCGAAAGACGCCGACGGCACAAGGTACCCGGAGAAGTCGTCCAAAAACCAAGATGCGTCCGCAGTCGGTAGTATTGCGGCTGGTGGTCGGTACGATAATCTCGTCGGCATGTACGGCAAGAAACAGATTCCATGCGTGGGTATTTCCTTCGGCGTCGACCGTATCTTCACAATCCTAAAAGCGAGACGCGGTGACGAGCAAGAACGTGAGCGTCAAATCGATGTCTACGTCATGGCCTTCGGTGGCAAGGAGTTCGATGGTTTACTACCCCAACGCATGTCCGTCGCGCGCCAGCTATGGGAAGCTGGTATCCGCGCCGAGTTCTCGCAAAAGGTAAAGCCGAGGCCTCAACAACAGTTCAAGGCCGCCGAGGGCGTACCACTGGGTGTGATATTGGGCCAAGATGAGTTGGCAGAGGGTAAGGTTAGGGTTAAGGTGTTGGGAACAGGGAGACCGGGTGAGGAGGACGATAAGGATAAGGAGAAGGACCAAGGACAGTTAATTAAGAGGGAGGATTTGGTCGCTGAGGTTAAGAAGTTGTTGCAGGCGCAGACGAGTACACTACCGATACGGTAAACGGGGATGGTCTTAGTTGATGAAAAATAACCAACTTATGATATGAGACGTTAACGTAAAATAGAAATAGTCTAGGCCATCTAGGGATTAAGGCCCAGGACGGATGGATGACTCGGAAAATGAGATACCTATGAAGAACTACTCTGAGCCCAGCCTAACTTAAGGAGGCAAGTACTTTTATAGCAAGTTCAACGTGATAAGAGGAAACTCATCCTGTTAAAACCGATGGGATAGACGGATGATGTCCCAGAAGGCTTCCAGACTTGGTCATACTGGGATAGTCAGCTCCACTACATTATTCTCGACAAAGAAGGCAACGGTTTTCATTTGATGTCAAAACATTGAATATCTTAACGCACTTATAAAACCACTCTGAGTACTAGGTATCTAAAAACGCGCCATCCATCTCCCAACTCCTAAGATGATAATTGACTTCCTCTACCTATCCTTATGTATACGCCAATTCCCTGTCTGTGTACTCCTGTATAAATATGTACATCAAATAATATTGTCATATACACCCCATCCCAACACTATATATCCACATCATATATCGTAACAATTCGTTATCGTAAATCCCGCATATACCCCTTCGACAAGGTTGTCGAACTCGGGTATTGTAATCCGCCTCTTAAAGAATGGCATGACGCAAGGTCAGAATATTACACATTCGTGCTCTTTCGCAATGTCTTTTTTTTATTTTATTGCCGTGTATAGCGAGTGTTTGCTTCAAGCCGAAGGAGGTGGAAGTTTCGTTTGTGACGAGGGGGCCGGCTCGGACGAGGAATGTGTGACTGAGGGACCGAGAGGAGTAACCTCTTCCGCGGGAGGACTTATATCGGGATCGGGGGATATTACAATGGCAGGGGAACCCTGATCATTGGTTATCGTGGTGGTAACTGGCATGGCTGTGGAGGTAGAGGGTGTATGTCGTGGAGAATTGTGATGACCCGATCCGGGTACCTCGAGCGTATCTCGTCTTCGCGGCGGTCTTCCTCTATTCGATTCAGTAGATGGGTCTTGTACGTTAGACGGCTTTTGCTCGACCGGCAAGGTACTAGCGTGTCGCACCCCAAAAATCGAAGATGAGGGTGAAGGTGATCGCGACGGTGGATGTGGAACTGAAAATGCTCTCGATATCATCGGACTACCCTCCATGCTCGCCACACTCCCCGCATAGCTACCTGCTCTTGACGGGCGTGTGCTTGTTCCGAAATGATTTTCATCATCACTATGATGGTTATTGTATGCTTCCCGGACTCGAGGTAAGTCGGGATTACGCATTTCTTCCGCAGGAACTTCGGGAAAATCGAGCGCTTTTCCATGTTTGAAGTCGGAGTCGTCGAATCGATCTCGCGATGCAGTACCGAGGTAATCACTCACTACCATCAGCGCTTTAGCTACTTTGCGTCTGCCACCTATGTCAGAGTCCGGTGTCCGACCCGTCGTAGGTACTACTTCGGGTGGGGATCCTCTCCCGCTACTGAGAGAGCCCGGTCGTACATGTGCAGCGTCGGGTGCCGCGATAGAGTGAGACGACCCCGCAAAAAAGCCGTCGTCGACTCCGTGTATAACCGGAAAATTGCTTGTGACTCGTTCCACATGTTCGTAATCACCTTCGTGCGCGCTTTCGGTATCGGTGCTGCCCCGGGGAGAATGCCGAGCGCTTTCAAAGTGATGATGATGCGCGCAGGTGCAATGATGGATGGAGGCCTTTTCGCTCGCTTCTTCCTCTGCAGCCTTCAAATCGACCGCCAAAAGCACGTAGAGAGATCCTAATGCAGCCAGTCCAGTACCAACAACTGGTGCCCACTATCACAGACAATCATATTTAGCAATCCTCCTAGCAATTTTGAGATATATGGGAAGCTTCTCGGGAAAAGGGGCACGCCTGGGATAGTTACTAGTAAAGATGGAATACTAACCTGTCCTAGAGAGCATCACGTTAGCATTTTAGAACCCACTATGCACAGATAGCGACACTTACCTATGCTAGTCATCGGCTCCGTTTGATATCTAACTTGGCTGCTCCAGAAATTTTTCTCGCCAATAACGATGATAGTGAGTACTGCGGCGCTGAAAAGTGGGACTTCCACGGTACTTAAGAACAGCCTGACCACTATAACATTGAACGTCAGTAATTATTATTCATTTGAATAGCTCTCAGCCCTTGAAGAAGTGACTCGGAAGCAAAAATTAACTTATCGGGCGAGAATAGGCAAATTTTCGCTCGAAACAAGTCAAAATGGGTAGTGGCTTTTAGAAATTACTTACTAGTGTTGACCTTACTCATCCCTGCCGCAGTCGCGCCGTTTGTTCTATAACAAGTAGGATCAGTTTTTGATGGTTTCAGAATATCACGAGTGGAATGAACGGTGTTGACTTCGAAATGGGAGTTAGGATGAATGATGGGGAAGTAGAATAGACTTACCCTTCGATTGGCTGATTTTCGTCTCCTAAACCAAATCTCGTCTTCCAGTTAATCTCGAGGATTTTATTCCACGTTGACGCAAGCGAGAGGACGGCAGGGATGCAGCAGGCAGCTGCAAGAAGAGTAGCTGCGTTGAAGGCAAGGGCACTAGGGGCTGGTATGATGAATATTTCATTCGTCGAGTCCTGTCGCAGAGGAGAGTAAGGACCCTGGTCGACATCGCAGGTAATAGAACAGTTGAAATTTCCATACGTATTGATGTCGTTAGGATTGACGGAATTTCCATTATTGCCGTTTGGACAAGCCGACGGCGCGACTCGGAAGAATTCAACCGTTAAGCTCACCAGGCCTGCTTTCCTATAAGTAGAGCATTCAAGTACTTGAAAACAGGAGACTTACCAGCAAGAACAAGCCCGGTCCATACGAATATTATATTTCGGCCAGGATCATAGAAATATGTTCGAGATATTCTGACTGTCAATGGAGCTGCTAAGATTCCTATCGAACAAAACTGAAAAGCACCGTACACGTCCATATCGATAGCGTCTGAAACATGCAGAAATCAGTTCCAAGGCTCTAGACTTTGGCGTACGGGACACTTACTGTCGACATGTACAGCGGTGAGAACGATGCCGTGAAGAGCAGCAACGGCTGGGAATACCACTGCGGTGTCTCAAATTAGTCGCTATCGTCAATTCATCTAGATAATCTGAGTCGAAATGACGCTTGATATGTAAATAGGCGGAGCCTATACCCCAAAACCAGGACTAGAAAGGGGGCTTGTGAATGCAAGTAGCTGTAAAAAATGCTTACATGCAGCTGCTAAACAAGCATTCCTGAGCCATTCTGCCTTTCGAGCAAAGACACAGGCCGCTACAAGACAATAGTATCTGTATAGAAATGGCAATTAGTTCCATGGTTCAAGATTGCAGTTTAGCCTTGTCTCTTTCGAAAGATCCACTAGATGATGATCGTTACGTGCATGAGTGGGATAGCTTACAGATACCTCGAGCCAGGGCCGTACTGGCCTGACACAGGCCAGGCACACACGACTTGAATGGCATTCTCGACGCCCGTACCATTAGATGTTACAGTAGAGTCGATTGACAAGTTTCGTTCAGCAAGAGTACTTAGTAGCAAGGCCGGAGTAAGAGCTGGCATGACCTAGGAGAGATGAACAACGAGGGGGGCTGATATGTGTATCATTAGGTGTGCATTTTCCGCGGAGAGAATATGAAGAAAAGTTGTTTCATATCGATCAGTGAATGGATTTTAAGCAGCTTTGATCTGTATGTGTTGTCTGTAAGTATCTATGTAGGTAGGTATGTGCGTATGTACGTAAGCATGAAAGTAGAGCTTCGAGCAGACGGAAAAGGCAACAATCAAATGCCTCGAACGCCCCGTTGTTTCAACGTGTAAGTAGGGCTGGCGAGTTGGTAAGATTACACGCGGGTGACGATCTCGCAAAAGCATCGACAAGAGTTTGGGAGAATCAGCTGAAGGGGGGAGACCCATCGTATCAGCACCGCCCCGGACCCTGGTGGGCCATTGAAAGCGAAGATATTCAGCCTCATAATTTATTAGAAAGGAAACTTGTTCCAAAGTTAGCTTAGTCGATTGCCCAGGTGGCGGTCGTAAACTTGTCGAATACGATACTGGGATGGCCGAGATGGCAAGCATGGTTAATACATAAAAATGCCAATGTGGTTAAGGCTTAGGATCGCTTAGACGGTGAGACACCTGACCGTGGAGTGACGCACCCCCAATACCGAACTACGAATTAGGTATAAGAAGAAGAATAAGAAGGCGGGATGAGTTCCCGGGGACCCACGGGTAAGCAGCACTAGGATCTTCTCCGCGTCCTACCTTCTTTAGAAGATGAGGAAATTATACAGAACTTTCTGCGTTACACAGCATTAGAATGAGCTTTATGGCCCCCAGAGCATGACCGAGGTGATTTCCCAACCAATCAAATCCAAGGGTTTCAATTCGACCCACTAGGGTATCCCGATCCTTTGCACGGGTATCGAGAACAAACGCCCTAACCTGGTTAGGTAGCACATGTACTTCCAAGGGTTAGCAGTAACACAGCCACCTGTAGGTGATCGAAAAAACTTGAATCGGAACCTTACAAACTTAATGTACTACGCCAGATATGTATGGGTTAGGTAGTCAGCTGTAGCTTCCATAAGTGATTAGGATTGTTTTAATTCCCTCTTTCATTTTTAGCTTAAAAAATACGCCTTATTCATTTTAATCAGAAACAATGCGTCTATTAAATAACCATTGAGACTGCAGATGCATGTGTTGGGGTTCATCTCGTCTGCCGTCTCTTGGCCTATCTCAGCCTTACTCTGGCATCCAACGATATCTTGGGTACCGTCAGAAACCCCACCCCACGAAGAAACGAAGACATCTAAGTCAAACGCTGCACTCTCACCGTTTCTCTTCACTTACATTGTTAATCACGAGATGTACGCGTCGTTGATCTTAATTGTCTGAAGACATTTGAAGATATTGCTTTTTTTTTTTTTTTTTTCTTTAGATAAACTATACCTATGGAGGAGAATCTCTACTTTCTAGATAGCAATGATCCTCGTTGATGTCGCGATATACCTTCTTAAAGCCTCCCTCCTCGAGAATCTCGAAATTCACTCATAAAACCCAATTGGCACGAAGAAAAGAGGAGTATCAAAATGTCCGAAGTCCTCGGGGATATTGATATCGAACTAAATACGGACATCATCCGCGAATGGCGATCAATTGTGACCCTTATCGTCTTCGTTCTCACCAGTAAGTGTAACATGACTCTCACCCAGAATATTGGGGGTTTTTACCCAATTAACTTCCAATTGCAGACATTGTTGTCCTCTTCCCTTTTCATATCCCATTCTACATCCCTAGGCCATTTAAAAACGCCATATTGGATGGTCTAAGCGCCCTACGGGTCATAGGGCCACGGCAAGATGCTTCCCTGTATGAACCAGGCTCTACCGATGCCCAAAGCGGTGAGGGGGGCAGCGGAAATAAGTACTTTGTACGACTCGAATTTCCCATGAACTTCGTAACTGCTCCTCTGATAGCAGACCTGTTTTTGCTGGCCATTCTAGCGATTGGTCGAGATGAAGTATACGGCGGCACCATTGGTGCCAACAATATCTCTCCTATTGATATTATGGCTTTCTTCATCACACTATCGTACATTGCTATATCGATAGACGCTTCTGGCCTCATCCGATATCTTGCATTCAAAGTACTTCAAAGGGGAGGGAAGTTTGGCCACCGGCTCTTCTTCTATCTGTACGCCTTCTTCTTTGCCTTGGGTAGCTTCATCGGGAATGATCCCATCATCTTGTCTGGGACGGCTTTCCTCGCATACATGACGCGGGTCAGCTCCAACATTATACATCCTAGGGCATGGATTTTCGCCCAATTCGCCGTGGCAAATATCGCTTCAGCCATCCTTGTATCCTCTAACCCTACCAACCTTGTGTTGTCGGGCGCCTTTGGTATCAAGTTCATCATCTACACTGCCAACATGATAGTTCCTGTAATTGTTACGGCAATTGTCCTCTTCCCCTTCCTACTCTACATTGTCTTCGCAGACGAGTCTCTCATCCCGCTCTCCATTCAGATGCATGAACTTTCAGAGGAAGCGAAGGCCAAGAAACCCGTCAATCCTAACATTCCCAACGCGCGAGGAAATGCCGAAGAAGAGGAGAACGACCCGGCAAATGGAGAGCAAAGCAAGCAATTGTCTCTCGAGGAGATCATGAACCCATTTCTAGACAAGGGTGGTGCAGGCTTCGGGGCTCTTATTATGGCCGCAACGCTTATTACGCTTCTTGTGCTTAATGCTGCAAGTCGGAATACTGGGCAATATCCTGTATTCTATGTCACTGTCCCAGCTGCATTCGTCATGTTCTGTTGGGATGTAACATTCGGGTGGATTCATCGCGAGGAAACTCGTAGAATTGCTCTTGCCGGCCGAAAAGAGGTTGAACGAGCTCGAGAAGCACGAGAAGAGGAATTGAGGCAACTTGCAATAGCTCAAGAACAGGCAACCGTATCCGAACCCCTCATGATAGATGATCATACCCGGGATATCAATTCTAATAATGAGACCGGTATCGTTAGTGGGGTTAATGGCCAAGATACTCGCCCTTCAACTAGCGGTATCAGCACTCTCAACGAGAAACAGGAATCACATCCCACAAATGCGCCCAAGTCGTCAGAAGGAAATATCACACCATCTAGTGCTCCAGAAGAGAAGAGTCAAGCGTCATCCGACCAAGAGACCGACATCGAGAAACAGATTGATCGTGACCTAACAAAAGATGGTAAACCGACGCTTGTATTCATAGTCAAGAACCGTTACAGGTGGGCGCAAGAAACATTCCCGACTGCAGCAGCAGTCATTGGTCACCTACCTTTCGCGCTTGTTCCCTTTGCCTTCTCAATGTTTGTCCTGGTGCAAGCGTTGGTTACCAAAGGCTGGGTGCCAGTTTTTGCTTATGGTTGGGATCATTGGGTAAACAAGACAGGCACAGTAGGTAGCATCGGTGGCATGGGCTTCCTCTCTGTGATACTCTGCAATGTAAATTACCCTTGCCCCTTAAATTGTAAAGCTGATTCGCTGACCTTGAGATCTAACTTAGTTTGCGGGTACGAATATCGGTACCACCATCCTCTTGTCCCGCGTCATTCAGGCGTGGCAGAAGATCCATCTGGTGAATGGTACACCAATCTCTAACCGAACATTTTGGGCAACGGTTTATAGGTACGTGCTTACCCCACGAAATATTCATATTGTTTCATCGGTTCTTCACCGTGTTCATATTTATACACCTATGATTTTTATTCGTTGGTTTTATTATGTTATTACGTTATAGTCGATAACTAACATATACTGAAGCATGGCGCTCGGAGTCAATTACGGCGCATTTAGCACTGCATTTAGCGCATCTTTAGCCGGTCTCTTATGGCGCGATATCTTAGCAAGAAAACATATCCGTGTCCGAAGACTCGACTTCGCCCGCGTGAACCTTCCAATCATCACCATTGCTATGGTTGTAGGTTGCGCTATCTTGACCGGCGAAGTGTACATTATGAGGGATGATTCTCCTTACGACAAACAATGATGATCATGAAAAGCATTAGAGCGTTATAGATTTACGATTTACGATATCCCATCGAATTGAATATAAATGATATTTATAAAAATTTAACTATATATTGATTTCAAAGTATGATGTGCCGTTGTGCAATGGAAGAAGCCAAATAAGACAGTCTTCCTGATGAACAGTGCTTAACCTGTGCCGCGGTTGATGAGCCAACCCATCTGGACCGTAAACTACCCTCACTTGGCAAAATAGGTAAAGATTTCGAACGAAGTAACAAGTAAATACCACAAGACTACGGCTTAGACACACTTCACCTCCGTCAAACTTATCTCCTCTTCCGACTCAAACCAACAATTCAAACTTTCTAACGTCCTCGGCGCCGAAGTATCAATCAAACCCAACCTCTCGTAAGCTCCCGGAACCCGACTCGAAAGTCCTAGAACCATAACCTCACGCACCAAACCGTCCTTCGATCGCAGAAGGCTTAGACACCATACAGGTACATCGCGGAACGCGGGTCGTACGCCATCTGCTGCTGTGGCTCTCCTAACTCTATCTCTTGAACCTGTTCCCCTTGAATCAGATGAATTAGGTGCTTCGAGAGAATCAAGGGCGAGAGGTAAATCAGGTGTGAACGAAACAGCAGCATCGCATCGCTTGAGGATATACGACCCATAGTTCCGCCGTAACGGGCGCGTGGATATTCGGACTTCGACCAGTGGCCCTTTGAGCAAAGCATACCCGTCGGAGACCCGACCGAACGGGTTTAGACCGTTGATTGTACATTGTGCGTCGATGACTTCGGTTTCGATTATGATATCGGTTTGTAAAGGAGGGGAGCGGAAGGCGATCGGGCAGTCGATGGATACCCAGGAGAACGTCGGCGCGCGGTAGTCTTTTACGAATCCGATCGGAACCCGGGTTTTCAGTTTCGACTTTGAGGGTAAGGCGGAGGGGATGTCGAGGGCTAGGAGATTGGTATGGGCGGCGATTTTGGTGAGTTTCTTGGTGTAGCAGACTCCTAGGTCGGGAGCATCGGGGAGGTTTTCGGAGGGGATGGATAGACCGGGCTTCCATTTTGCGGTGTCGCAGTTGATATAGCGATCGCTTTGCTCCGGGTCAAGGCTTCTATGACCAGCAGGGTGCCATAGAAGGTCGAGGACGAAGTGATCTCGCCATAGGCCGGCTAGGTATGTTGATTTGGTGATTGCGTGACATATTGTGGCTAAACCAGCTAGGGCGGGTAGTTTGTCGGATGCGAATGTTATGTTACGCTGTGAATACTCGGAGACGCGGTTTTGCCAGGCTAGGAATGGGTCTAAATGGGGTGGTAACTGGTGAAGCCTGTCTGCCGAGTTACCTTCTGAACCTGTGGTATTATTGATTGCAGCAGCTAACCCGTGAAGTGGTGGAAGTTGTGGTGGTTCAAGGGAATTATTATAGGCAGCGCCGTGCATATCACATTCACACGCAATACCTCGACGACACTCAAAACTCAATTCCGTCTCAGAGAAACGCAAGATCCGGCTCGATAGCTTTTCTTCCTGGAACGTCCACGCCCGATCGCTCAAGGGACCGGACGTCGTGTGGACGGCAAGTGGCCGAATTCCTAGTGCAAAAATGGGCTCGGTATTGACATCTGGCGCAACAATACCTAGCTCCTCAGCCGAGAGTTGCTGCTCTGTGCGCGAGAGCCCTAGGAGTAGAAGCTGTTCCTGATACACTTTATTCCGCGGCTTGAGAAAATGTTCGTCCGAGGAAGATGACGAGACAGCTGCGACGGTGACGCTGGCATCGCGGTATACGGCCGCCATTCGCGAGGACTCGATTTCCCAATCTGAAGCGCTGTCTTGAATGATGCATAGTGAGTCGATCCATAGGTACCGTATCCCAAGACACCGCGTCACAGTTACGGCGTCTTGGAAGGTGGGAGGTAGGTCGGGCCATGGTATTGAGGACTTGAAATCCTCGAGGCGTGCTTGTTTGGTCTCGAGACGTTTGGCGTTGGCTCCCCAGCAGTGGCTTAGTGCTACGTATTGTGCTCGGGTGCCTGGTGCTGGTTCGAGGAGTTTGATAGAGGAGTCGTTTTCGCCTAGGTCGAGGACACGGGTTGGTAGGATGGGATTGGTATCGGACTGGCCACAGTCGTGGTGTTTTTGAATACATTGGTCGAGTGCTGCTTTGGCGAATGACATACATTTTATCGAATGGGCGGTGCTAGCGACGGGTGAGCCGAATCCGATACTATCGAATGCGGAAAGGGACTGGGGGCGGCGGGTGGCGTCTATGAGATCATCACACAAATAAGCATCTGCTCAATTACTCTACAGCATCGTCTCTCCTCTCCTCTAATCAACTTCCAATCCCAAGATATCCCCAAGAAGATAAATAGATTGGGGAGGATGGTACTAACTAGTTTGAAAGTAAACCTGATACTTTGCGAACACGGGTTCATAGACCTCCCCAACCATCACGGTCGCTACACATATATCCAATATCGCTGGGGAATCTCGACGTATTTCTAACCGAAAGGGGTGCGATACTTGGTATGGCTCGCGCGTGATGGCTACGATAATCTGGTGCAGAGCGTCGCAGAGACGACACCCTCGGCTCATACCACTTTTGAGGTCCCCGACTACGCCTGTGAAGTGTCCGTCGCGTGGGCGGTGGCAGATAGCGCATTCTTCGGTGGGGAGTTCCGGACTCTCGGTTGGGCCAGGAAGGGGTTGAACACGACGGTCGGGCTGTACCTCAAAGAGCCCGTGGCCGATTTTGTGATCGAGATACTCCATTGCCCAATACTCGGGGCGAGTTCCCACCATCGAGATGGCTGGATCCGAGGAGCTCGCCATCATTTGGCTATTCTGTGTACTAGTTGATACTCTACAGGTCTATATACGTTTGATTCTTTCGGTATGCAGTATGCACGACCTGTCGCTCGACGGGCAGGCCCGAGGCCTACCCGCCTTAAGTATAGGGAAGTGATATAGCCATTTCGCCTTAGCCATATCGACGCTATTCAGAAGTAGGTTACCGTCATTTATTCTTCCAGGCTTATTTTGAAATTCTTTGCGTACAATTTAGACGAGTTGAGGGAATTGTTCAGCTGCGGCTGATGCTAAAAGGCCTGCCTAGAACGCCACCATAACGTCACGAGGGCCTACATTGTCCTTGACAAACGCATCACACCTTCAGTTCTCCCATCTAAACATGCGAAAGTTTGTCCTTATTATCTTCCAAAGAGCAAGAATATCATTGGATTTAAGTGTAGTTTCGACATGGCCAAAATACAATGACGATAACGTATGGGTCTCGAAGCTATTCACCTCGGTGTTGAAATTAATCCGAAGAACCTATAGAAACGCCAACGCCACCTACGCCGCCAGTGTAAGAAGTCCGACGTCCGAGTCTAAACTCGGCTATACACTGAATCAGCATCACCATCTATAACCGCACTACTGCACATAAATGGCACAAAATTTATTGTCTATACGGAAGGATTGCACGATGGATATAACAATTGTTGGTTATAAAGCCCCCCTGGGACTTTCGGTTTTCGCCTTCCGTAAAATCCGGCTATCTCTTGTCTGAACAACTGGGTATAAATAAGTTAGTGAAGACTTGAGGATACGGGCAGAGAGATTATACTGATACCGGTATAATTCGCTATGATGTCACCGCAGTTTATATTCGGCACCGCCGGGTTCGGCATGGACCGAACCGAATACAGCGATGCGGCTTCGGTTAAAACCGCACTCGAAACGGTGCGATCTCTCGGCATCCGCCGTCTCGACTCAGGAGCACGATACCCGCCTCTTAACCCGGGCCGTTCCGAAGCCCTAATCGGCGAGGCAAGGGAGATTAGCACTGAGTTCGAGGTTGACACTAAGGTGTACACAGACACCAAGACAGATGGAAGCGGGGACTTAACACGTGAGGCTATACAGAAGTCTATTGAGGGCAGTTTAGAGAGGTTGAAGAGGCCTGAGGGTGTTAATGTCTTGCATATACACCGCGCGGACCCATCAACGCCACTCGAGGAGCAGGTCCGGGCTTTTAATGAGCAGATCGAATTAGGACATTGTAAAGCTGTAAGCCTTTTCTTTTACTCTCAAACCCATATTCTCCCTTACAGAATCTAAAACGACTCATTCACTTACCTCTTACCAGTGGGGTGTATCCAACGTACCCGTAGACACACTCGAGAAGATCCTAGCGCTGTGCTCAGAACACGGATTGCGTAAACCTGTGTGCTACCAAGGCGAGTACAGTCTGATATCACGAGGTGCGGAGACAAAGCTCTTCCCGCTCCTCCGAGCGCACGGGATTCGTTTCAACTCGTTTCGTTCCTTTGCCTCGGGCCTACTGACGGGAAACGCCGTTAATGGCAAAGCTGAGGGTACGCGCTTTGGCGCTGATAACCCGCTTGGTGGTGCAAGTATGTAAACTCTCCTTCTCTTTTCTTTTTATCTTAAGTAAATAGGCAGGCCTAAACCTCCTCGCTTGGTCTTCCCAAATATGAAGTGGATAATTGTGAAAAGGAAGTATTGCTAATTCGTCTAACCATAGTGCAACGCGTTTTCGGCGCTCAAGACTTACAAGACGCGGTGAAGAAATTCGACACAGAAACGAGAGCTAGGGGCATCAGTAAGCCGCTCGAAGTCGCTGTCCGCTGGATTGTGCATCACTCAGCACTTGACGAAGGGGATGGTGTCGTCTTAGGTTCAAGTCGAGTCTCACAAGTCATCGAGACAGTCGAATTCGCGCGCAAGGGCCCGTTGCCGGATGAATTGCTGAAGGTGACAGAGGATTTGTGGGATGCTCTGAAGGAAACGCGTGGTAATATCATTTAAGCAGATCTCACTGATAGAAAATCGTCTTTGATTTTGATTGATGATGTGGTCATCCTGGTCTGGTTGAAGAGACCATACGCGACCGATTCTATAGTATTGCATCATATCAATGATGATATCAACCAAAATATCTCCTACGCTCTACCGTAGGAGAGGGAACCGCCCAATCTAAATAGATACGCCATATCCACGCCGTCCATTACTTGTAATCGAAGTAACGGATGCCCATAATATACTATGTCGGTAGGTATACATGTACATATGCATGTTGAACATACGAATATTTCTAGTACCTTACGCACTTTCACCCTTCAACGCGCCCTCCATAGCGATCGTCTCGCCCAACTTCCCCTGGACGCCCCTCGCTATTCCCTTCTCACCAGCGCGCTTCTTGAGAACATTCTCAATGAAGTCCTCGCCTGCCTTGTAGCTACTTCGGACTAGGGGTCCACTCGCCACATACAAGAACCCCATATCGAGCGCGCGCTGTCGCCACATCTCGAACTCCTCAGGAGTAACGTACTTCTCGACCTTAAGATGGCGCTTCGTGGGTCGCATATACTGACCAAACGTTACCACATCCACACCAATCTTCCGTAACTCCCTCAACGCATCTGTGACCTCGTCCTCCTGCTCGCCAAGGCCAAGCATAAGACTAGTCTTCGTGATAATACCCTGATCACCACGGACCTGCTTAACATGCTCCAGCACACGCAAACTCAATCTAAACGTCGCTCTCCGATCCCGTACATACGGTGTAAGCCCCTCAACCGTCTCCAGATTATGCGCATACACATCGAGTCCACTATTCGCAACAACCTCCACCATATCCATATCCCCGGCGAAATCCCCCGTAAGCGCCTCAACAAGCAGTCCCGGTTTCTTAGCCTTAATCCTGCGAATCGTCTCCGCGAAATGATGCGCGCCCCCATCGGCCAAATCATCGCGATCGACATTCGTCAGGACCACGTACCCTAACCCCCACCTCGCAAGTGCTTCCGCGACATGTTCGGGTTCATGCGGATCGAGAGGAGGAGGTTTACGATTCGTTTTCACGCTGCAGAAGCGGCAGCCGCGGGTACACGTATCACCCATAAGCATAATGGTCGCCGTCGCCGCGTTTTTATTATTCCCCCCCCAGCATTCCGATATATTCGGACACCGCGCCTCCTCGCATACCGTGTGTAAGCCCAACCCTCGTAAGTCTTGCTTTATTTTTTTGTAGTTGTCGTTTCCGGCTGGGATAGGCGTCTTGAGCCATTCTGGCAACCGGGTTATGGTGCGTCGGTTTGAGGCCGGTCCGACTTCGGCTGTGCGCAGTTGGTAGGCTTCGGTTGAGGATAAGGAGGTGGATTGTGGAGAGGAGCCGGGGAGAAAGTCGTCTAGGGTGGCTATGGTTGTGTCTTTGAAGTAGGTAGGCCGACGGTTTGTCTTGCCCGTTGGTGGTTCCGGACCGCTTGTTGGGATGGTGGCGTAGGTCCGGGTTGTTGTGAAAGAGGTGTTTGTCAAAGCACGTCGGACCGGTGCGCTTATTCGGTGAAGGGATATAGAAGGGGACGCCATGGTGGGCAGTTAATTGTTCACTATTGAACAATTAAGAATTGACCATGGGATTGAGGTTATTCGTAATAAAATTGAAGGTAAGGATTAGAGATGATGGAGGGATTGCTGACAATTAAGATTCCCCCAACTTTTTTTCGGCGCCCCGCTATTGGCTACAAAGCAGCCGGAACGGTTAGAACCGGAGGTTTTGGCCACTATTAATAACGGTCCAGCTGCTGTCAGTTGGTACGCTCTATTACGCCATAGATATTAGGCCAATCAATTGCAGCGTCACTCACTGATCAGGAAACGGAAACTTTAAGAATAACCGTCGAAATTGAGTTTAGAGTTATCCATCATAATAATTCACATTTTAATCTTCGACTAACATACCTAATCTAGTTTACATAAAGGCCCCAAGGTTTTTATGAGTGAAAGGACAACTGTAATTTACGGTAAAACAGTAAACGTTGTTGAAGAGATACGGAGTTATTCACCGGAGTTGACTTACAGCATCTTCCACGGGGTAAGCACTTTGAATTATCATCATTCAAACCCCATTGCAGTAGAAAATTACCATCTTCACCAATGAGTATATACCCTCATACAGATCCCTTCGGTGTTTGGAAATAGTTAATAAATTATTGGCTACTGGCTAAAAGGGAGAAGCCTGGTCCCAAGGCTGTGTACCCTCAGCAGCTCAGCCACCAGATAGAAGCATTAGGATTCTGCGTAGGATCGTGTTTGCGCTGTTAATAGGATATTTCACCGAAATGTGGATATCATGAGGCTTGCGTGATGTTTGCTTTCAACCTTTCTAAATGGCCAGGATAGTGCCTTGTAGGAGCCCAGCTGGCATGGCAGGGCGATAATACGGGTATCTGGCTTCAGTTGAGCTCCGACATACTAGGTAGGCTCGTTAATACTCCAGGTTTCGTTTTCGCATGTCATTCATAATACATATCACAATTATTGAACACTGAATTTACAGAACTTCGAAAACTCAATTGAGCTAGCTTTTATGTATGATTTTCTCCTTCGCACAAATGTACCAAGCCAGTCGACTTCCCTTTTCCGTTTCCAAGCAGTTGGACGGAAATCCAGAAGCGACTAAATGCAGAAGCTGAAAGCAGATAGATAAATTTGGTTTTGATAAAATGAACAGTCAAAAACCAGCAGACGCCTCACCCTAAAGATGAGTCTTACATGACAGATAATTTTCGGTATGAAGTTGGTAAAGTTTGGTTTGTTTGTTTCCCTTCCATAAATTTCAACCTCAGACCGTCCTCGCTCGGCGAGAGATCAACAACGGGGTATCTCAACACAGGTACGAAGGCAGATGAAAGTAAATAATGAAGAATAAAAAAACGCAAAGGGTATGAAAGATGCCTTCGTTGGGTTCTATCTCGTCGCTCATCACCGAACTCCGCGATAGAATGCAGAAAAAATTGGAGGTTCGTATTCGAGAAGTGAAGATTGAAGTCCAGCCAGCAACGTACTCTTCATGTCGAACAGGCCCTCTTATTCCCAGCCCACATCTAAGAACGGCAGATAGGCATATTTCAGATCTTGCAGAACAATAACCAGCCCCAAGGCTGACGGGGTATCGGAAGTGGATGATGTCGTTAAGAATGAATGCGAAGAAAGAAGGATAAATTCAGATCCTTGGGGGCTCGCAAGTTATCTGCTTGGGAAAAGAGAGCGCACTATGATGGCGACCGTAACCAATGCCACCCTTAGTGAGCTGTACGACACGAGTTATTTGATCAAATGTGTACGTTGCCGATTTAGTGAGACATTAAGGGTGAATTGTGAAGAAAAAATGAATAAACACCAAACGCTCAACACCAGAAGAAAGGTCGAGGGAGAAATGGTTGTGGTTGGGATAAGTATGATGTTTCGTTCAGGGGCAATTGCGAGGTGTGAGGTTTGCAAATGCCAGAATATTTTGAGATGAGGTTCAAGTTGGTAAAGATGATTGATGATGTCTGTCGATGGTAATGTCGTAGATCATTCGTATCGTCGCATGTAATGTAACCGGACAGCGCTGAAAACGAAAGAAGGCTGGTTTTTGACAAAAGAAATGAAGTAGGTAATGTTCGTATCGAGAAAGTATTTAATATGCCCGACGAGTATAATTCCTCATCGCGACTATATTTGCCGTTTAAACGGCTGTAAGTTGCGCAGAACGGCGCAACCTTACATCAACGCTGCGACAGCTACACCAACAAGCCCAGCGAGTGCGACGTGCGCCGAACCGAGAGCCACACCACTGTTGTTAATGGTAGGGCTGACAGTAGGCGCAACAGTCGTAGGTGTGCCATCAGAACCAGTCGTCGTAACCGGAGCGAGGACGCCTGAAGAAGAGATAGTGCCGGTGGGCGCGTAGAATGAAGTCGAGTTTGCGCTGTATACACTTGAAGTAGAGACCTTCGAGATGGTGATATACTTGGTCATCGTCATGGTCGATGTGGTAGTAGAGGTTTCTGCTACTGCCAACAGGGGCAGAAGCGCAACCGCGACAATGGACGATATCTGCATCTTGATGCGCGTTGTCTTAAGATTCGAGGTTGTATGGTAGGTAGATAAGTTTATAGTAGTATATGCGACAATATATGTTGTCGCAAAGATCGATATTCGAAGGGAATGCCTGTAATAGGAATTGATTGCTCTCTCCTAATTTTCTAAGTCTTCTTTTCCTAATCTCTTTTTTGATCCCGATATGCTCAACGCGTGTCTCGTGAGGTAGATAGATCGATATGAATATCAAGGTGACGATGTAGTTTGCGTGGCGCAAAGAATGTTAAGATTGAATACTCGGTACTCAAGGTCTGTTATGACTGTTTCTTCGTAATGTCGTGAGATGGACTCTGCCAACGAAGCCCTGTGAGTGGAAGAATGAGTGTATGTGAGGAATAAAAATGAGTGTGAAAGGAAGGAGAGTGAGGGTATCAAGTTGGTTTAATGAAGGAGCGAGGAAAAAGCGCTATGGGGTCGCTATTGGGGGGGGGATGTGTCAGAGAGGGTCAGAGAGAGGAAGCGGGTGGGAAGCCACGATCAAGCTCTGGGGTGGTACCCTTGCACGCAAATAACCAGCTAAATGGCGAACGGGGAATCAAAGGCAGGGTTGAAATTAGCGTTGCACCTATTATTTCTTGCACTAGGCCTGACTAGTCGGCTACTTTGGTACCTTGATACCTGACTAGGTTACCTGGCAGCCTGGGTAGGGGCGCCTGGGGATTCTAGGACCGACGAGGCGTCAATTTGAACCAATCAGCAATACCGGCCGATCTCTATTATTCCCATTGTGTAGTCGCTTACTCCGCTCAGGCTTTCATCTAATATAAAAAAGACTACACCTGGACAAACTTTAAGTGACAACATATAGGTAGGTACTTGTATACTTTACAAAGGCTTTACAACCCTTATAGAAGAGTCTTTATTACGTTCCTGAGTAAAAAGGAGGTCTAGACACGAACAGTTAGAATTTAGAATTCAATTCCCCTATTCAAAGGGGACAAAAGTATAGCCCGTGATAACCAATACATTAGAGACACATCAGGGGAATACACGATAATACTCGTGTATACCTTACCTAGATACTTCCTATATCGGTATATATAGAAGGTTGTGTTGTACCAATTCGGAGTCTCACTGCTGCCGCTTACGGATTGCATCCTCCGATTGCACAGGGCAACGGAAATTACTCCATGTGTAGGTGCGTAGGGTACTTAGGTACATTGGCACCGCACAGAGACACCAGAGAAGAATATGGGATGGTTCGGGTACCTTACAGGGCCAAGTGGCAATTGCCCCAACCCAGAGCTGCTTTAGTTAATGCGTCCCTTGTCAAAAGAAGTAGGAATTTTCATTAGCTATCGTTCTTTCATCTTCGAGATGTTCTGGGCGTAATGTTATTCTTGTTATTGTCGGTAATGCCTATACTTAGTAACTTAGACTATACTTAAAATCCTTTAATGAGATCTTTTTTTTTTATCTGACAATGCCTCATTGTCTTATTCCTTTGGTAGTATTTTTGAGTAGTAGGCAAACCTTATTCCCTCAGGAACTTCTAAGCCTTCACACACATTTCACCGTTGTACCGTTGCACCTCCCATCCAACGTCCGCTCGGGTATTCATAAAAATACCACATCAAGATTGCATAATTTCTACCCGACCAGGGTCGATGTCAGATGCATGATACGTGATTGGTAGTATCGGTTCCTGCAGATTTTAGTTTCCTGTTCCTGACTAAACCCGAATGGGTCGCTTCCATTTTTTTTGGTCTGGATACCTAGGTACTTATTTCTACCCTATCAAAAAAATCAAATCGAATCAAATTTCCCCCAGATTGGTCCGAGTGGTGGCTTCCACTCTTTCACTTCGGGAGGGCGCGCTATTTAAAATTTTCAACTAGAGAATTTAGCTTTGCGGAGAAGATCTACTCTAGATAGGGAAGTAGCGAAATCAATCCATTTAACAATTAATGACACCATCAACGCCTATTGTACTTGACAATTGTACCTGATGTATCTATTGTCTCTTTTACATTAATCAAAAATCAAAAATGACTTGCACTCGGCTACTTACTTACACCAACTATCGTATCTATCGTATCTGACCCGACATTCAACTCAGAACTAACAACGGCAGTTGGAGTATAAGGCAACAAATGCAGGTCGCCTTGAATACTACTTTGGTCCACGATTATTCCCACAGTCTGATCGCGTCACCGCGTTTTTGCTGTCGATCAGTTATATGTAGGTACGTAAAGGATTGGTTTGTTGCCATGTGTCACAATCAACAGTATAACACGTTTGCCCAGATCGTCATTGAGGTTTTTTCTTCTTTTTTTCTCGGTTGGAAGGGATATCCTATCATTGCCGTCCACGCGGCGCTGACTGTGGGACGCGATGGGATTCCAATATGTCGGCTACTATCACATTATGGTACTTGGGTACATGTTCAAGTCACACCGACATCATCTCAAGGAAGCCGGCGAATTACCGGACTGTTGGAGTTCAAATTCTCTGTCGACCTATTTACGTAAGCTTGAAAGCCGCCTGGTCGGCTACTCCCTTGGCAGCGGTCGCACCATCGAAGCGGGTGATCCTAGTTTAGCTGCAGACTTTCACGACGGCCTCAACTGAATTTCTTTTTAACTGGCGGGATAGTATGATTACTAGTGGTTTTATTCAGGGGTTTAGAACATTGATGCTTCTTATCCAAATTCGTATCGAGTTGCCATGCCTACTATGACGGCAACTTACGATCCCGTTACAAGTGGTCGTGGAGGTTGCCGGATAGAGCATCTCGAAAAGATGAGGGTATTTAGAAACATGAATAATCCCTGTGAGACAAGTGCAGTTTCCACACTTTCATGGGCTTCCGATTGTCAAACCCGCTAACACACCAAATGAAATTATTGAGGAGTTTATACTAATAGTTTGCTAGCTGTCGCACACTCGATGCAAGGATATACAGGCTAAACGTTGTTACGCGCAATTGTAGCAATTATAGGCGATGACGTGGAATCGACTATCTGAATGTTTATAAATTGCAATCAGAAAAAAAAAACGTCGGCTTTCAGACCTTGGTTTTGCGGGTCAACAATTGCGCCCGATGTAATGGACCTTATCTATTGATCGTCGATACGTCAACAACCTTGGGCTGTCAAAATGTTGATCGTTCTACTACTCAGTGCGGCTCATCGCAGATCACCATGATCATCGGAATGTGGACTGTTCTAGTGAACCTAGTCGCACGCTTTTTTTCAACGTCTTCTTATTTTCTTAAATTCGAATATATTTATCAACGACCTCATCCCTGAGCTATGAATTTCTATCTTACGATGGACTCAGGGGTGGCTGGAGAGACGAGTACCCTAGCTTCGGAAGAGGGATTGCAGAAAAAGGTGCTCATCTATGGCACCCTAGGGCAACATCCGAACGGACGATTCTCAGTCAAGCTCCAGAGCCACATTTAGATGCGAGCCGTGTCTACATATTGGATGACGAAGTGGCGTTCTTGCTCGGACCTTACGTCGCCTAGTCATAAGAATAATTCCAAGAGCATCCGCCCATTTCCGGATCATTGCGTGTAGCCGTTGAGCCAACGGTCTGTCGACGTTCGTGTCCGGTAATATCCTGGACTGACCATGGCGGGCAACCCTAAGCGCTGAAGATGCGGTCACGGGCCACAGTGACCAAGGCCAGCTTTCCTCGATGAGAGTTTTCAGCCGTCGATTCATTTCTTCACGACCATATTTTCATACTAGCACTAATTTATCAAGCATCAATTTGCATCTTAGGACCCAGTAATGAAAGGAAGAGCAGGAAGAATATAGGGGAGTCTTAGGTAAGGCCACCAAGACACCATGACAATTGATGATACCCCGCAGTTAAGTGTCACCTCCTATTGATCTGTTTAGCGACGTCACACAGCAAAATCATTCGCTACCGGTGAAGAATGATAAGGCAGGCTACGGCTAGGCATGATCCTCTACCCGCCCACCTTCGATTGCGACATACGGTTGTCTTATTTCTTTCGTCAGCTCCGCCATCTTATCTCATCTCATTTCATATGCCACTACAAGTTCCCTATAGCGGTGCAATTTGATGTTTTCGATCGAAATAGCAGACTTTTGATAAACTCGATATATGACCAGTAACAACTCACAATACATAATTCAACCTAGTATATTCGGTTCAAACAATCTCTTTTGCGCTCAAAATATGGTTCAATGTACAGGCATGCATCTCAACAGCGACCAATCAGGCGACCAATCGTCATGAGACTTTGTCCGACGTCGAAGAGGGGAAGAAGTGACAGCATGCAGGCTACCGTTCGCCGAATCTGACTGATGGTAGACTTGAGACAATTAGATTGATAACTTCTCTCCTATCAAGAATATGAATGGGCATATGACTAGAAATGACATCCGAACATTTGCACATCCTTAGGTACCACCTCAAACGTTGACCCGACACCCAACCTGAACACGGATATGACAACTAAAGCACGCCACGGCCCCGGTATAATATGTGCTGAGAGTATCGCAGCCTTGCACTTTCTTCATGATATTCCCGTCCTACCATCTTCCAACACAGTAACAGATCTTCAAAGCCGATCGGCAGGCTATACCTTATCTTTCGAGAAAGAGCGTAGCCTTGCCGGGACGCTCGCTTTTCTCGCATACCCAAAGGATGACGTCGATCGCATACCAGCCGTATGTATCGAAGAAGGTCCCAATGCGACATATTTGAACGCCTTGCTCGCTATAAATAAGGCCAACTCGAGTAGTGGAGCGGGGACCCTATTAGAGTTAAAAAGGGGGTTCGAGGGAATTTTCTCTCTCCTTGGGCAACTAGACCGTACGACATTTGTCTTAACTCACGCACCCTTTATATCTATTGCTAATACCTGACTAGATGGCGCTTGCAACGTAGAGAATGATGTCTTCAAAGCCATCGTCGCCATGTGTTCGAGGCGTATTCTCCACCGTTTACGTCTCGTCCGAAATCGTGGCAAGCAATCGATCAAAGAAGTTCTTCCAATAGCGTTAGATCACTTCAGACACATCAAACGGAGTAGCGTCAAGACGGAACTTCTGCCCGTATCGACTGAGTTTGTTAAGGGGGCAAGAGAGCTACTGAAACTCGTAAACTCATGGGTCCAATATCAAACAGATTCTCGATTAGAGGAATTAGTCGAAGGTATTCGTCGCCTTCGGCAGGCCGGAGATCTACGTGCCCTATTCGATACTATGTCTAACTATGACATGGCTCCAACTCTGAGAAGCCACCTTCTAAATATGATAAGCAAAGTCGCAAGATACCGCGAGTCGGCTAGATTCCTATATCGCATAGCTAAAAAGGTTCCCCTAGCCCGAAAGATGCATATTATCATCGCCCAATTTCCCGACAAAGCATTTGAGAGGGCGTTGATCAATGATTATACTCCCAAGCTTCAAACTACCGTCTCTTCAATCGAAGGACTAGAAACGCACGAGAACAACCTTACGCATATATTCCGCTCGTTGAACAAAGGCGAAAAACAGACAAACCGCCATATGAATCAGAAAAAAGCAGATAATCTATTTACCGAGCAAGCACTCAGGACGCTCCAAGATGCGAAAGTCCATGCTGAGATCCAGCTCATTTACTACTGCGAACTCCATATACCTCAGAACAGGCTACCTCGAGTTATATGTTCTAGTAAGGATGCATGTTGGCTTTGCAATGAGTTCATTCTCATGTACGAGAAGATGCACATGCCGAAGTCTCACGGGAAGCTATATCCCCAATGGCGCCTCCCTGCGCTCGCGAATCCTGAGTTTGATACTCTAGCGAGAGGATATAATAAGAGGCTCAAGGATGCGTTGAAAAGTAGTCTGAAGACGCTATTCGTGAGGCAGGGGAGGACTGTGTATCCTTCCCCGAACGAGAGTAACTTACTCACGTTGATCTTGTCTGACTCAACGTTATCAACCGTTTCACTTCCTTTATCAGATAGTAAGAGGGAGAAGTTGCGAGAGGTTGTGCAAAAGGTAGCTGCTACCCCCGCTACCGTCCCCGAGGCTGTGTCTAAGGTTACCCCTGAGGCCACCCCTGAGAAGCCATCGTCACACGAATCCGCCCTCGCCGACGACGAAGAAAGCGAGGAAACCCTCGCACCAGCAGAAGAAGTACCACTAGAGGAAACTTCTTCAAGAAGCAGCGAACCCATCAGCGATATGCCAGAATGTCCAAGTATCGCAGGATCATCCGAAACCTTGAGCTCCGTCAACAGCAATCCGAGGCTCGAGCGCGGTGAAGTCCGATCTAAGGGCGTTAGGATAGGGAAATCTTCTCCATTATACTCTACGGATAATATCGAGATACAGATCGAGTACGCCGGGACTCCGACCGCAGGGGTATCGGATAGGCTCCAGAAGAAACTGTCTTGCGCGATTGAATGGTTAAACCCTGATGACGCGCGGAAGTTACGAGACCGGGGGGAGGTTCCCATCAGGCTGGAAGCACTTGATGGTGAGATGGATTATAATGTGGGTGAGTATGGATATGTATACTTATCGAACGGCGATGCCGTGTTAAAGCTCTTCATGCAGCCAGTTGCTGCGAGCGAGCTTTAGACTTATAAGGGCGAGGTTGCATGTACGTATGCTACTCTTTAATTAGCGAAATAATTGGTCTATAAACTACGATATAAGATGTTGGAATTTAATAATTCACGGACGAGCTAGCCAATTAAAAAGGGTGAGTGAGATGAGGGTGGTCAGGTGACCAATGATGTTGGTCTTACAACCCCACCGCACATCTATCTATCTACGTCCCTAACTCCTTACCTACCTACCTATAACTATCTTTCATCTACCCTTCATATCCAAACAAATAAAAAGCAACCCTTATCCCCATCCATATCACCATGTCAACAGCCCAAGACCCCGCATTCCACCTCTTCCCCAACCTCCCCACCGAACTCCGCCTCCTGATCTGGCGTTTCTGTCTCCCAAACCGAGTCATCGAACTGGACCATCCCCACCCAGATCCAATCTTCGACTTCAAGCGTCCGGCACCATGTACTTTGGCTAAAACCACAGTTCTGAACAATCGTCCTCCACTAATCGCGGGGGTATGTCATGAAGCGCGTACCGTCGCTTCCGAGTCCAGTTTGAGTATCAATCTATCCACCCAACCAGACTCCTCTTGCAATGAATCCCATCCTTCGACAGGGCAGGGACACGACATAAACGGGGAAGCAGAAGAAGACATACCCATCCATCTCAACCCCCACCACGACGTCGTACATCTCCACCACGAACCCGTCTACGAATCCGACCAAAGCGCCGGGAACCCGCTACGACACATCATATCCATCGCAACACAAACGACCCCAAACCAAGCCTCCCTAAGCCTCGGCCTCCTCTTAGTCGGCCGCACACAGGACTGGCCCCAACTCCCATTCCTCCTATCCCAACGCCCATGGTGGCTCGTCGTAATCCACGTAGTCCCTATCCACATGTCCCTGCACGCCGGTTCCTTAACCGGTTTATTCGGATTACTAGGCGATGCGCCCGTACAAATCGTGGATTTACGGGATAAACATCGACTCGGTGCTTATTACGACTTGGCCGCGGTGACTCAGCACAGAAGGGGAGATGGAGAACTCACGGTTGAGGATGAGAAGTTAGTCATGATGGTCGATGTAGAGACGAAGAGGTGTAGGTCAGAAAGCGCGGTGAGGTGGATTTATAAACTTGCGGCGGAACCGGCACCGGCGATGTATCCAGCTATTATGTTTAGACTATGCCCTGAAGAGTGCGATCGATTGGGTGAATAGGGCCGTCCAGACTGTGAGGCGTGGTTTTCATTCCCAGTTAAACACCATTCTTACGATAAAAAAAATATAAATCAGCTGAAGTCAACACGTCTTCGATAAATTCATCGCCATATTTTCCTCCAAACCTATCCATAGGTCAAGTAAATACACCACTACCCAGCCATCTAGCCCAGTTAAGGGGGCCAGAGGTCAATCCCGAGTTTTATGTAGTTGAATATATCGCCGAAATGGCATCATATGTCCCACCATATACAGTAACCATCATCCATATTGTTGAATGGTACCCTCTAACGCCTTTGCTCTCTAGAAGAGTTGGTGAAACTCTATGCAGCTCTTGCTCTATGATGATAATGTAGTTGTTGAAGAACACCAATTAGTGTATCCGGTACGCCTTTACCTTCCATAATGTTGAAAATTGGATATATCCATCGCTGCGCCGGAAATAATGCAAAGGGTTTTAGTCTCATTAGGTGGTGTCCTCAACCGGAGGGCACGTGCAGAAAAGATTCAGATCGCCGTAAGCTGAGCATTAATTAGCATCTCCTTTCCAAATTAAAATAGATGTTAAGAGTGAGGAACTTACTGTCATCTATCCTGGTGACGGTAGGCCAGAACTTCTTCTCCCTGAGCCAAGGCAGCGGGTACGCCGCCTTCTCACGCGAGTAGACTCTCTCCCACTTGCCTCCTTCGCCACCATCACCTGCGATCAGGTCCTGCATGGTGTGCGGTGCCATCTTCAGGACATTACCTTCACGTGGCGTCTTACCCTCTTCAATCTCACAGATTTCTTCACGGATGCTAATTAGCGCATCAATGAAGCGGTCAAGCTCTTCCTTGCTCTCACTCTCCGTCGGTTCAATCATCAGAGTGTTTGCGACAGGCCAGCTCATGGTTGGGGCGTGGAAACCATAGTCTTGTAGACGCTTGGCGATATCGATAGCCTCGATACCGGCGGATTTACCGAAGGGTCGGGCGTCTAGAATGAACTCGTGCGCACATCGCCCGTGCTCGTTCACGTACAGGATCTGGTAGTGGGGCTTTAAGCGAGAGAGAATGTAGTTGGCGTTGAGAAGTGTGATCTTAGTGGCGTGAGTGAGGCCATCAGAGCCCATAAGCGTGTTGTAAGCCCAGCTAATGAGGTTGATGCTAGCGCTACCGTTATTCGCGCTGCTCACTGCGTAACCACCGCTAGTCGCCTTCGCCGCGGGGTTGGGATCACGAGGTAGGAAGGGTTGAAGACGTTGCTTAACGCAAATGGGTCCGACACCAGGGCCACCTCCACCATGGGGAATGCAGAAAGTCTTATGAAGGTTAAGATGGCACACATCAGCGCCAATCTCTCCTGGAGAGCAAAGACCAATCTGGGCATTCATGTTCGCGCCATCCATGTAGACCAATCCACCATGATCGTGAACAATCTGGCAAACCTTCTTGATCTCGGGCTCAAATACACCGAAGGTGCTAGGATAAGTGACCATAATAGCTCCGAGCTCATCTTGGTGTTTTTTGCACTTAGCCTCAAGATCTGCCAAATCGAGGTTACCGGTAGTCGTATCGCACTTAATTGGCACTACTCGCATACCAGCCATAGAAGCAGAGGCAGGGTTAGTACCGTGGGCAGAAACCGGGATCAAGCAAATATCCCGTTTCTTTCCGCCATTCCCGCGCGCCTCATGATATCCTCGAATCGCTCGCAGTCCAGCAAATTCGCCTTGAGCTCCTGAGTTAGGCTGAAGAGAGACAGCATCCATTCCAGTGATATTACGTAATTGCTCCCTGAACATCTCCAGAAGGTTATTATACCCTGGAACCATCATCGGTGGGGTATGCGGGTGGATCTGAGAAAATTCAGGAAGGGTAATGAGTGACATCTCGGTGGTTCCATTAAGCTTCATGGTGCACGAGCCAAGCGGAATCATGGAATGAACAAGTGAGAGGTCCTTAGACTGCAAAAGGTAGATGTATCGCAACAACTCCGTTTCGGAATGGTGCGAATTGAAGACAGGATGTGTCAAGTAGCTTGATGTTCGTCGGAAAGCTTCGGGAATGTCCAAGGAATCGGCCTGTTTCCGAAGTATCTGTTGAACGTAGCCCTCGGCGACATCATAGGGGTATACCTTAGAATCATCAACGGTCGTCGCAAACACCTGGAAGACCTTGACTAGGTCATCAAGTGATGTTGTCTCGTCGGCTGAGATACTAATTTGCTGTTCGCCAATTTGACGGACGTACATCCCATGCTTGTGTGCTACCCTCACGCAATGGCTCTGATTTTCATTAGATCCAACGTCAATGATAACTGTGTCGAAAATAACACCACCGTCATTAGACCATTTACTCTTCTGTGTAGCGAATCTATGCTCTTCGGCAATAGCTTGCACAACTCTTGCGCCGCGGACGACACGTTCAGCAATCGCTTTGAGACCTTCGGGGCCGTGGTAAATCGCGTATAGGGCATTCATGTTCGCTAGCAATGCCTGCGACGTACAAACGTTACTAGTCGCCTTTTCTCTTCGGATATGCTGTTCTCGAGTTTGCAGGGCCAATCGGTACGCTTTGCCACCCAATCGATCTTTAGAAAGGCCGACCAATCGTCCAGGCATTTTTCTCTTGTGCTTCTCCTGGACAGCAAAAAACGCAGCATGGGGGCCCCCGAATCCCATCGGTACACCGAATCTTTGCGCGCTTCCAAACGCAATGTCGGCGCCCCATTCTCCGGGAGGCTTGAGCATGGTTAGAGCTAGGAGATCCGTCGCAACACTAAGAAGAGCGCCCTGCTTGTGTACCAACTCAGCGAGGGGTTCGTAGTTATCGACGTGGCCATAGGTGTCGGGGTATTGAACCATAACACCAACTAGATCTTCGCCTATATTTTCGATTTCGGCGCGGGCTTCAGTCTTTGTGAGGTCTAACTCCAAAATTTTGATGCCGAAACCATCTGCACGACCACGTAGGACAGAGATCGTCTGTGGGTGTAAAGAAGTGGAGACAACGAACGTCTTGCCTTCTCTCTTAGCTCTGGAAGATGACAACGTATTCATCGAGAGAGTCATAGCTTCGGAGGCAGCGGTACCCTCATCTAGAAGACTAGCATTGGCTATGGGTAGCGCTGTAAGGTCTGTAATCATCGTCTGGAAGTTCAGTAAAGACTCTAGGCGGCCTTGACTGATTTCCGGCTGATAAGGAGTGTAACTCGTGTACCAAGCTGGGTTCTCGAGCACATTTCGTTGGATAACGGGTGGCGTATGAGTTCCATAGTATCCTTGACCAAGAAAACTCTTTTTCACAATGATATTGGACTGATACTCCTTCACTTTTGCCATTAAACTCGATTCGCTCTGCGCTCCATCATGTGGAGGGATATCGAGTCTTCTCTTGGACAAGATGTTTGGCGGAATGACTTGCCTAACAAACTCATCTAGGTTCTCGAGGGGCGGCGATAAAGCTTTAAGCATCTCAGCTGTATCAGCTTCATCGGGGCCGATGTGGCGACGGGGGAAAGTGTCCAAATCAGCATACTGGGCTTTGTCGGCACTTTTCGCCGCATCTGCTCGATCAATGGTTGTGAGAGACCTTTGCTGTGTACCTGTAGCTGTAGCTACAGCTTTATAAGCGCATCGATGGCATACCCAAGGAGCTTGACGTTGTAGCCGAGAACTCAGCGAAGAGGAAACTCGTAACTGAGCTGCTGTTTGCCCTAATCGGCGGGGTATAGCTCTTGCGAAGGAGGCCATTTTCAATGGATTATTTTTTTGTTCCTCTCAACTCACAAATCGCTGCGCCAAATACCTAGAGCAGAAGAAGGAGCTTAAGGGTAATATCTAAGCTCATGCAGTCATACTGCTATCAATGGATAACTATCTATAGCTAGGTAAGCTTTAAAAGAGCCAATTGAAAAAAAGATGTGAGATAAGTAATAAGTAACAATGAAAGAAAAGCGAAATTCTACTCCGAAGAACGATTTTACTACCGAGACATGTACCAAGGGTACTAAAGAGAAGCGGCAAAGTAGAAACCGAGGAAGCAATCAGGCGATTACCTAAGTACGGTAGACAATTAGATCAAATACAAACTCCATTACACCTGCGATATCTAATATTTATTACCCGTGGACCTTTCTAAAACTAGAAGGGAAACCGCCGTCATCGGTCTAACGAATTGGTACCTTTTAGCACATAATATGGTAAAGATAACAAAGTTCCGGTTCTTTCCGGAGGGCAAGAGGTACATATACCGTAGTCCGATAGCGTTTCGCTTCGGACTTTTACTTTTTTTTAATTCTAATCTTTTTTTGTCGAGTAATTCCTATGTACCTCCCAGATTTAAACTACAATCAGGCAATCTGTAGTGGCGGGGCTCCACCTACCTACATAAAAACCCAGCGGTGTGATAGGCACGGTACATAACGATAGATAGATTTGCTGCAGGTGCTTTTTTGGAATGGGACGATACACGCTGCAAGTTTATGTAATACAAAGAGAGAAAATGGCCGGGGTTCCAGGGTTCCAAGGTTTCGGCTTTGGAGCGCCGCTTATCGATAATATCGATAAAGAAACTAACCAGCCAAATGGCTCCAAGATAGGTGGATACGTACAAGGGTTATAGTTTATTAAGCGGCTCAAAACGGGGCCGTGCGAGTGGAGAGCTTTCTTTCTTTTCAGCTGCTTGTCAGTCGTCACCGATAAAGGATAAAGAAAAAAATTAATGTAAAATTACGGTGGTGGCATCGTCAATTAGTACTACTCCGTACCTCGCTATTCAGAGTCCCCCGCAACGCCAAAATTTGACAATTATTCTAAGACAAAATGTTTGGAGGATGTAAGCAAAAAAGCAAATTCTATTATGTTATATCGTAATGCAGTAGACAGCTAACAATATTTATCAGTCGCACCGCCCCAGTTCTCCAAGGAGGAGCTCGAACAGCACGAGGCCGAAGCTGCATTCACCGTCCAACAGTTCCTCGCTGCGGCTGTTGCTCTCTACTTTGGTACGCTTCAGCCCCGAATCGCATTGTCGTTTTCGAACACCTCATTAACAAGCTATTGTCTAGCTCCCTTCGCCGTCGATGCCGTATCTAGCATATTCTAAATTACCTTGGTGGGCGCGTGCCTTCTGTACGACTACGAGATGGGAAATACATACGTCTTCGCGTAATGGGACGTAGGGGATATATGAAGCGGGGAATACGCTGCCACAAGAACATATTACATCCGACTTATCTTAAGGAGGGTCGGTCTTTGCATTTATGAATGATGCGTTAGGCATGTTCCAACGCGGCGTCCCCAATGTGTATATATAGATGGAGAGGGTGGACTGGGTTTGTTGCATCTTTATATAAGGCATGAAGTCTAGTCAACTATGGACTTCCATCTTCCCTCACGAATATAAAGAATTACAACCAAACCGCATATCACAAAGGCCACCCCAAATTTGAAGAGTGCAGCGCATGAGAATTGGCCATCCGGGTTTATGAGGGTATTCAGAAAGTAAAAAAAGGCGACTCAGAATGCTGTTGTCTAATATCAGAAGCAGATATCCCTTAACGCCGAGCTTTTTATGCGGTTCCTACACCGAGCTCCTCCCTATGGATGACATGCCACCTGAAAGTTTCTGACACAATCCTGAAGTCCGTTCCCATTAAGGCGTCATCTCATCCTGATATTACGGCTTTCTCGGTTGCATTATTTCCCCCCTTTCGTACTACCAAGATTTACTTCTTCGGAGGTGGGTTTGCCTCGATCCATTCCTCGTAGTCCTTCTGAACCTGCTTAACTGAGGCTGTGAGTGATTGTAGTTGCTTGTCGAACTTGTCCAAGATCTAGAATTCCATACGTTAGCTGTATTACTCGTAGAAACCATGATGAATTACCTACCTCCTTAGCTTGCGCTTCATTCTCCTCTCCTATACCCTCCTGAACCTCTGCTCCCCGAGTATTGATCTCGTTCTGCAGACTATCCGCATATCCCCTCAACATAATCAACCGACTCCACAGCTCCTCCGTCCTTGCACTCAGAGCCGGATCCGTTACCGTCCGATCAAGAGTCTCCAACTTCGTCTTCAATTCATCTTCCTCCTTATCCAAGGAATAACCCCTATTACGTAGAACCTGCACCTTAGTAGCAAGCGCAAGACATCTCTGTCTCAAAATCGCATGCTTCCGTCGGGCATTCGCAGTTCGCACCGTAGTCTCTAGGTCGTGTTGGGAGAGGATCGCGTCCAGACTCGAGTTGATAGCATGTAGCGCCTGACGGAAGTTACCGAGAGCCTGCTTCTGCATCATGAGTCGTTCACTAACAGCCTTGAATCCAGTAGCGAAGGCCGGCATATAACCAGGGCCTGGCTTATCGTGGACGGCTTGTTCCCATTCCCGTGGATCTTCGGCGGGAGAGGGTTGGTAGAACGGGACGCGCGCTTGGTCGACCTTGTTGTAGAAGTAGTACTTGAAGACGGTGCTGGGGTGTTCGGGATGCCATTTTGCGAGCATACCCTCGATCTGTTCGGTAACGGGTTTGTGGACTAATATTAGGGTAATGGTTAGCTTGATGGGCGCGAGCTGGGGTCAGATTATAGTTGACTTACTTAATGACTCTCGACCTGGTTCCCAGATCAAGCTGGAGCGTGCTTGTGCCTGGCTCGCATTAAGAAAACCAGACTGCTGCTGTGGCTGTTGCTGTTGTTGCGCCTGCGACTGACCCAGAATACTCCCACCAAAGGCATTGTTCTGCTGTTGTTGGGGTTGCTGCTGCTGCTGCGGTTGGCCGAGTATGCTTCCAAACCCACTCGGTTGTTGTTGTTGTTGTTGTTGCTGTTGCGGCTGCTGATTTGGCGTTTGTGTCTGGTTCGCAGCTTGGTTAAATAAGCTAGGAGTACTGGTGGACTGGCCAAGGACACTTTGGCCGCCTCCGAAGGGCGATTGTTGTGCTCTACTAAAAATCGACATTTCGACGAATGATATGGGGTTTAATTAAGTTGAAGGGGGTGGCGATGGCGACGAGGTTTCGGGAGGAAAGGTGGTTTGATCGAGAAATGTGTCGCGGGAGTGCGAGTCGCGTTCGGAATAGTAGATTGAAAGAATGTTTGTGTCGGGTATCAGCTCATGTCGATAGTCTTCTTTGAGGGTGATGTGGTGAAAAAATTAAATTTTGTCGGATATATTGGATACGGAAATAATTATTTCCTTTCGATTCTGAGTATCTCTGTCCCTTATCCACTTCACTGGCGTGGTGGTGTTTACATGTATTCGCGTTGCTGGACGACTACGGATATAAATTCCATCGCAGCAAACAAATAAATCCTAGCTTCAGATCTCCAATTAGCTCCATGGCCCAGCCTTAGAAAAAGAACAGTGGCTCAAAGCTTAGACCTGTCACACAGAGTTACCTACTAGCAAGTTGATTGGCTCGGTAGACACTAGCACCCCACCAATATATCTAAATTCAGCCATATGTGGCTAGAACCAATCAGCATTTCCAATTTGCTAACCTTGAATCTATCTCGGGTTACTTTCCAACTGCTCCATTTCCGAAGCTTGCTTTAATTTATATAATCCATACGAATAACATCGCGACATTTCGAGGGGAACCTCGTCCACATAACAGCCATGGCGGCCCGGAAACCTCAGTATGTTTAACTGTCTACATTTTAATCAATAAGAAACCAATTGGCCTACTCCGGAACTTCACTTATGAGCCAATTCCGGATCTCACGAGCACCATCGCTGACCCGATTCACAGATTCAACTCCCACGTTCTCTACGATACCACCCCTCTCCCCGACTCAATCCCCGCAGTTAAGGAAGTCGGCGCTACCTCCGCGCCTTTACTATCTGCCTCTTTCTTTATCGGTGCCCGGTGCCGTCCCTACAACGATGACTTCATGCAATGCAAAACTGAGAACAATGCCAACGGCGAGTTCGACTGTTTGAAGGAAGGTCGTAGGGTGACCCGATGCGCCGCTAGTGTGATCGACGATATCAACAAATCCTGCCTGGATGAGTTCCGCAAGCACTGGCAATGCCTAGACAACAACAACCACCAGCTATGGCAGTGCCGGAAGGACGAGTGGAAATTAAACAAATGCGTATTCGACAACCTAGTATGCCCCCTTGACCTTCTCGTTTGAGGGGGTTTTGTAGCTAATATGAGTGAATAGAAACTTGAGAAGACTATCCCCGATACCCCCAAGAACCAGATTCCCGTCCACCTACGGACGACACAGATCTACGCCCACTACCCTATTCTAAGAGATCGCGGCCAACCACCGCTAGGAAAGGCTATCGACCCGCCCTCAGCACAAGCCCAAGCCAATGCGCCGGCTTCGTGAGATACTTGAGAGAAATGGGGGTTTGAAATATTTTTATGATAGCCGTGTAAATAAAACAGGGAATACAATCAGATGACCAATTCATTTTACAGTCTTCGACCAGGAAGAAACTCTTATAACCATGCGTACCATGCGCTGTACTAAGGCAGTCGTTTCTGGCGATTTATCATGAGGGTCGGTTAAACTCTTGTCCATACGCTCAGAGTCGCTATTTACATTTGTAGTATATAGGGCATCGAAAGGATCACCGAGTCCATATACTGATGCCTATAGGCCTAAAATCCAGCACCACTGAACCCTATTAGAAAAGATTACGGAAATTATAATATTTTCGCGTCTTCCACTACAGTCCACTCTAGAATGATGATTATAGGGGTACAAACGAATCTTACGAGACGTCATCCGGTCCAGGGCCATTAACGGAACATTAGTCTAACAGGAGATAGTCTTGCTCTTCCGACGAAGTTAGTTAATTACGCTGAATACATCTCGTAGACATCAACTGTGTAAGGTTTCAGCGAGAACCATAGAACCATGCCGCGGCACTCCATCATGTAGTTATTCTGCTCGGTTAACTTCGAGTCTTATGAAATATGGCAAGCCATAACCGTGGTAGCGGCTGCGGTGGTGTATCGTAGCCGATAGCCTCAAGTTGTGTTTGCCTAGGTATTTCTCCACGCTTACCTAGAAATACGTTGTCATGCTGCCACCAAGCAGGCTAACCCTTGGACACTCGCTTCATCTTAACTTCTAATAGCGTGTAGGAGGTACCGTATAATAAAATATGTTTTGAAGGGGCGACCTTAATTAGCGTATAAGGTTGTCTGGTGGATCAGAAGATGAGTACGCAGGTCTTCATGCAGGTCAACAACCAAGTTCATCACGAGTTACATATCAGTCTTGAGTATAAGCCGATGCCTACAACCTACCGATGTCGTGGCTACCACAGTAACTACGACGCTCGTATTGTCTGGTTCACGGGTGGGCTGTGTAAGTGGACGCAACTTTAAAACCCAGCCGAATAGTGAGCTGTCAAGCCAACCGAGTATGGAGACAATTGTAGTAAACATTAAGCCCACGAGGAAAGGTATATTAACGTAAGCGAGAAGGTTTACTATGGACGAATAAAATCGCCGTGCGATAGTCTGTATTACTCAATATAACTGCATGTTGTGTAGAACTTACCAGTCTATATCCCAAGCGTAAGATGGGAAGTGAGTATAGCTAATCGTATACATAGTTGATATCAAATATAAATTAGCATAAGTTGGGCAGGTAAGACGACCTATACACACGAGCATGATTTCATAGTATAGTAACAGTAACATCGCAGCAGACGAGAAGGTTCGTCCCCCGTGTTCAACGTCGGCTATCTTGTCCATCTACGTCTTCTTACCAGAGCTTGGGATTGATTAAGCTACGCTTTTCCACATGCAAGAACCTGAGTAGGCACTTCTCGATAAGCTCATGTAGATATCCTATTGTTCACGAGTACCGGACTAGAACTCATGTAGTATTCGCGCATATGTATACCTAATTCATGAGAAGGTCGTGTAGGTATGTCGTGCCTGTTCCATTCATGCTAAACGGCTTCCTGACAGCTCGCTAGTAAACTTTCCGACGGTATTTAAGAGGGGTACATAAACTCCGCGTCTGGCAGAATGCCTGTTCTGCACTTCATACCGGTGGGAATTGTCTTCCCTGCTCATTCATGCGTTAGGCACGTATATTTATTACCTACTGCCACTGATGAGCACAAGTTAATCTAGAGTTATAGAGTGCGACTTAGATCTCCCACGGCGCAACCGCGGACATATGTAGCTGTCCGACAGCCACAAAGCCTCTTCATCTGAATACGGCCACGTACTGAGGCGAGTGACCTACGCCTCTGCGGGGTAGGCAGCACATGCTCGAGAAGATGTTGAGAAGATATGAAGTTCAATGAACTTCGATGGTGGTTTATGGGTAACAAGAAGCTTACGAAATGCTTACCCAGGCGTACAGCGACAGCATGTCCCACGTCTTGATACAGAATGCCGTATTAGGATGTGAGGATGTCTTGGTGCTATGGAAAGGTTTCGCCTGTCGGGAGACACCACAGTTGAAAGGACAACTTGTCATGTCTTGTAGCTGGGTTGAGTCGCCGCGCGTTATTTGAGGAGTGACGATCTTCCAAGGTATAGGTTCGTTGATCTCTGCACAACACTACCCAAAGCAGGTTGATTTTCACTCGGTTTGTTGAGCTGGGCGTAATATTTGATCGTAGGAGTTGTGTAGAGAAGTTACACAAGTCGATGAGATTGTCCTCCAACCCCGCACACGGTAGCTAAGGTGTTAGATGGGGGGTGACATGACTTACCGGCAGCTATAATCTATTCACAACAGCACGTAGCAAAGCCCAAAACAAGTATGCTTAATGTCGCCAGGCAATCATGCATTGCTTGCGGTTAGCAGCATGAAAAAACGCAGGGAATGGGACCGTGTAATATATGTTGGGCGAGCTATGGCTGGCTGGAAAGACGTCATAGAAATAGACATTCAAGACTCATAATTGGTGCGTATAGTATGTGGCTGGCGAACTACGGAGCCCGTAGTACGCCATCGAGGGACATGAGAGATAAACTACCGTTCGCATTTTAAGTCCGGGAGTTAATCTTGTCTCAGTCCGGACCTATAGAGCGGAGAGACACTTTTTGTAAGCTCAGAAGTGTTGGGGACACGGCGGCCGACAGGTTCAAAGAAGCAAGGCACAGTCCCTAGCGTTGAGTAAGAGAAGAGCCTCACGCAAAGCAGGGTTGATTCTTGACGATGAAGTGTCCACCGTGGAAACCCCCCCCTCACGGAGTAACAAAAAGCGCATGTATCCACTAAGACAAAGTGTCACGATGAAACCCGACGTAGCTTCGGCCTCCGTGTCGGGATTTACGGGTGACAGCCGCTGTGGTATCGAAACACTGTTCATCCCTTAGACATCGGGACGTCATACTGACTCTAGAGAACCGGTCTAACGCTAGCTTTTGTGCGGCTTCAAAACGTAGAGCTTCCGCTAGTACTGTGACGGCGGGATACAAGGACACCCACTCTATGATCGAAGGATAGTCACTAGAAAAAATTAGCAGGTGGGCGATGGGATGATGGTGCCTCCACGGAGACGGCGGTCTTAACCAACGCCCCTCCACCGCCTAGGTATAGGCTATGTTAGAGCGGATGTATTGAAGCGTGGCGTGAACATCTGCCGTGGATATGTACCTAAGGGCGGCTAGGTACATATCCGATGGAAGCGGCCGAGCGTTGTTTGTGAAAGGATGGTAATTAATCACCCCCGCGGGGTTGTATGGAATAAATCATAAAATTCCAAGGTTATTAGATGAGGCTCTAATTGAGATTCACGATGATCCAATACAGCGATATAGGAAACATATTGTTGAATTTATGCGCGATTTTTTCTTTTCTTTTTCGGGTTGGCGACTAAATCAGCCGGCCATGATGATCGCGATCGACCATTATACTTGTGGTTCCACGCAAGGTACGTAAGCCACGGTCGAGATCTAACAAAGTATCCCCATAGGCTAACATTAGCCTACTTCGTGAATAGACTATGTTCGTGACGCCGCGCGTTGTTGAAATCGTCGCAGGATCAAAATTCGAGAGACAAAGAAGCGGTCCCTGTCAGAACTCGATGGCCCTTTGAAGGTTGGACATAGTGTCAGTTTCACCTTACGCTCAATTTAACACAATCATAGAGATGTGTAAAACAAAGGGATATAAATGTGTGTCCAGTATCAAAGGTTCGGAGATCACTTCTGATACGGTCGATTTCCAAATTGTTTTCATCGTGTTCACGTGTTTGATTGCTACACCGTTGATACGGGCATGTAAGGGGTGAAATTTTTTGCTGCCGATACTCGATATTGGTAACATCCCGCAGGTACCGTACCAGCCCTTTGGGAAGACTGATTTGAAGAATCTGACGGGAGCCACCGTGTCGTACAGAGTTACATAAGTACCATAAGCAACTTGGAAGGTCACCCAATGTGGCTGCGGCCCGGACGTTTCATCTTTATTTTGTTGTGGCCTGTGGTTGAATCGTCAGAACAAGAATAATCCTTCTACCAGCTACATCTGCTCCGGTCAACGGCTCGGTCAATTTTCCCCCATTTGTGTTTCAAACCTTCAAACAGATAGATCGTCGACTGTGATCCAGTAGCATACGTCTTCGTTTGCTTAGTTGAGTCGGGCTAATCCACTTTTTGGACTTCTCAAGTTGAGGCGGTTAATAATTTCGAGATCACTAGTGGTATTAATGCACCTCGAACGAGACCTTCTAGAAAACAAACGTTGTGGGTGTTGATTTGCATATAGTGCCGTAGTAGGTATTCGGTAAAGAGGATTGAAGATTTTCAATTATAAATCATCAATCTCAAAAGAGGTAAATTAGGTGAATTGGATAAATGAAATGCATCCACCACGTGTATGGTTCGGTTTGTTGCGACCTAACAAACAAAGCAAGCTGAGCTACAGGGCATAGGCAAGGCGAGTTCAGTTCGTCTGATGTTGTTCTCACTTTGGGTTGATCATTCTAAGGATTCTAGGCGCTTCCAAGGTTTCATGAAAAAAGAAAGGCCTGGGGGGCACTGGCCAAACAAACGAGATCGGGCTGACCCCAGGATTCGTTAAGGGGCTAGGTAGTACTTTGCGGGTGTAAATGCAATAAGGAAGAGGGGTGAATGATACATCCAATACGTATGTAGGTAGGTAGCGCGAGAGTCCAAAAGAAACTTTCTTTTGAACGAATCATAGGCGTTCCCGGTTGCCGCTTTAGGGTGCGTTTTTTTCTTTACTAGCCCCGCGCTTGTGAGTTCCGTTCTCGCGCTGTGAACAGCGGGAACTCAATGAAAATCTGCAAGGTACCAGATTTACTACAGGGGTTGGAAACAGACTAGGGGCTTCGTCTGATCTTACAACATGGGGAGGAAAGGTTAACTTTGGTAGAAGAGCAGGCATCAGGGTGCTAAGGAAGGATTAACCTTAAGTACCAATACCTTGAATACGAAATGGCAATAATTGAAGCAATGGGAATTGTCGTATAACATTGCGGCGAAGAAAAAATAAAAGTGGTGGGAAGAGGAAGAGAGATCTTCGAATATGTTAGCTTACGTGAGGAAGGTAAAAGTAAATGACGTGTTGGTACAAGTACAATGTACAATAAATTAGCCCGGGAACCCCACATTAAACCCTGAATGTACCTGCTTAATAGAGAGTAGCGTTGGGTATATCACCCGGGCACCTTCTATTGCAGTTTTGATAGGCGGCACAGTTAAACAAGCAGACTGGCAGAACAAGATGAGCATCGGCTTGCCGATCAACACCCAACTCACAGGTTACGAAGTCACAGTCTTGGCAGCGCTTTAGGGTTCTCTCTTCTCGTTTTCTTGCTGGGTTGTGTTACTTCGGTACTTAGATAGTCCTGTGGTTGTAATGTACCTGCATCCATCTGTCACCGGGAAAATCGTAGTTGATGGCTGGAGACTTGGATCTGCGTTTTTTTGTACCTACGTGTCCGCATATCATTCCTTCTCTTTTTTTCCAAGGCTGACATACAGGTCTGTAAATACCAACATACACGTAATTAAATGTGAATTGGATTGAATTTCATAAATTTGTTGTGTTTGTATTGAGGCCTAGGCTAGCAGCACAGAAAAGAATAGAGATAATAATGCCAAGGGCTATTAGTATAATTACTTTCATGCTACATACCTAATATACTACACGTAAGCCGTCACCATCGCAGTGGCATGCACATAAGTACCTACCTAAGCAGGGTTTGAGCATTTAAGGTTACAACTTCTTACCCGTCAAAAAAAGCAGTTCCAGGTTTCCGGTACCATTAGGTATGTATCGTAATAAATCCAATCCAGAGATAATATACTCGGATGAACTGCAATTTTTTCACGGCAATCCAACGATTTGCATAAAGGCGGATACATTCGTACCTAGTGAAAGTACCTAAATACCGTACCCCCTTTTTAAGCACGAGTCATTAACGGAAGCTGCTAGGTGAAATGACGCTAGGATCGACGACTTGCATCCTACCTTGTCTGGTGCGGCAGCGGCCTAGCCACTCAGCTCCTCGGGGTACCTAGCTTATTTCAGTACGTACCCCCCCTTGTCCCACAAAATTGAATTCAGGTACCCAGCAAACGGCGGTCCCTTTCATCTTGCCTTCCCACTTGTTCCCATTTGTTCTCTACAGGCATCTTGCTGGCTCTTGCAGGCTTAGGTCAAGACCCGGCCGTTTTTTTGATACATCACTCTCCTTATTTCCCACCATCGACTTCCACTCTTTTTTCTTGTCCTTCTCTCTAGGTTTGGCCTTTACTCCGAATTCAACCACGCGTTCGTGAGACCCCAATTCTCACCAACCAACTACACTCTTTCTTATACGCCTAGGCGTACTTTCATTCCTTCAAATACTCACGACGACCCGTCTCAACGGCCTGACCAAGTTTTACCCCGTTGTTCTGAACGACCCAGCTGATGATCGATTAGTCGATTCACTCACTACTACATTCACTTCATATTCATAGTCATTCCTTAAACTCGGACGCCAGTCGCCCATCCATTGTTGATCGATCTGCTCACGGAAGCACTCACACTCTAGAACTCACGAACTCGTCCGACAAAGTCGTACTGTTGTCTAACCACACCAGCTCGACTTGAACTTGAAATACCTTCGTGGTTTTTTCAAGTATTATTAAGTTGCCTGCCTTCGTTGCCAGCTGGATCTGAAAAAAAGTCCATCCTTCGTTCTCCGATCTTGTTTATTATAGACCTCGAGTCTTAGACTTCTGGAGTACAAAACCCAAAGGTGTGTTACTTATAAATTCATTGTCTTTGAGTTCTTGGAGTGAATCCCAGATATTCTGTCATTGGCCTATGCCTAGTTTATCCCAGCTTTGTTTGTTACTCGAGAGCAAAAATAGCCCTTCATATTACATTATTTACAAAGCCCAAATCTTGAATAAAGCAGCTCTGCCAGATTCAAGGCCGTGTAGACCATGTTATTGGCATGTCTACAACAAACACGATATCTCATTAAAACCATGGCCAAATGTCCTCAGGCTATGCATTGTCCTTCCTCTTTTCTGTGTCATAAATCTTCGTCACTCCTTGAAGAGCACCATTAGATGATGCAACAGACACTCATTTCACTTTCCATTTATACATTCACTTGATCTTGGATGCCAATAAGCATAATACTTACGTCCCACAGATTTTTTGTTTTCCGCTTTTAACGAAATCGAGCAAAATGAGGTCCTCGATTCTAGTAACTGTTGGCGCTGCGGCGCTCACTATGGGTAGCCCCTTGGAGAAGCGCAAGATGGAAACCTCTTGGGTTATGGAGTATTACACTGTTACCGTTACTGGCACCGAGACCGAGACACCCAAGCCAACCGTCTTCCTCGGCCAAAAGCAGCGACCCACTGAGACTTCTATCCCAGTTGTCGTCGTTACAGAGACTCCTTCTGCGCCTGCTCCCCCGCCGCCAGCACCAACCACATCCGTACCGCAACCTTCCTACGTGGTCGTTACCCAAACAGCAGAGGCGCCAAAGCCCACTACTGAGGAACCCACCCAGCAGGCACCTACATCAGCATCGTCTGCTTCCCCTCCCACTGGAAGTGGCTACCCTGCTGTTGCCGTCGAACACCACAACCTTCACCGCTCGAACCACTCTGCCCCTGATGTCGCGTGGAACAGCACCCTCGCTAGCTGGGCTGCCAACACCGCCGCTACTTGTGTATTCAAGCACGATATGTACGTTATCCAAGAATTTGCGGGTATTCAATTACTAACAGTCGTTTAGGGCCCAGGGTGACAAGCACTACGGCCAGAACTTAGCTAACTTCGGTTTGAGCTCGGGTGCTGACAAGATTGGGGACGCCGGTGCTCTCAAGATGGCCATTACCAATGCGTGGTACGATGGTGAATTCAACAACTACAAGAGCTCCTTCTACGGCCTGGCAACCCCACCCATGGACCAATTTGAGTCTTGGGGTCACCTTTCCCAGCTACTTTGGAAGGGTTCTGACCAGGTCGGCTGCGCAACCCAGTTCTGCCCTAAGGGAACCATGTACAGTGGTTTCGAGACCTGGTACACCGTGTGCAACTACGGACCAGCAGGTATGATTTATACTCTATCGGTGAGATTTGCATGCTAATATCAAATAGGTAACATTGGTGGTGCTTACGGAGCGAATGTGCTCCCACCTCTAGGCAAGGCTATTATCACTGCGTAAGTCAACTATGGGTCGACGCTGTTATGATTTTATTGGCGCCTCGCTAGTGAAATCGCAGCCGGCTATGGAACAAACACTTCGATTCTTACAGTGTATTATACGTACACACAACCATTATCAACACCTTTTTATGTTGGATTTGAGTTCAATTCCTAGCATACCGTCAATGCTTATTAGGCAACTTCTACGTGCAAATCCAACAATCGCAGTATGATGATCGATGATAGGTGTGAAACCGGCGTGATGGGGATAGGAAAAGGGTCGTTTCCTACGTTTTCGGCATTATTCACTTCGATTCCGGGCTTTGAGCCATTGCGTTTTTTCGGTCAGATTTGTTGTTCCTCAGAACATGGTATTGCATTCATACGATGCATTCACCAACCAAGCCTGGCCCATTTTAAGCAACCCAATTCGTTTTCGATTTTTTCTTGTATCTAGTCTTCACATTGCATCGACTTTCCAACAAAGGACCATGAAATGGTCGGAAGTCATACTCAATCGTCAGTGCGAGTTTGCGAAAAAGACTTCAAGTCTGTTCGCACTCACGCTATCTTGTATGTACATTAGGGTCTTCAATGCCAATGACGACTTATGAAATGAACCATCTGTTGTGTTCCCAACGAATTATCGTGAACCAACCACCTTTTTCAGTGTGGTTGGGTAAATGTACTTCATCTCACCGTTAGAGAGGCGCAAGTAGCCTAAGCCCCAGAAAGTAGAGGTGAAGGGCTCGTATTGGGACTCGGTACGTAAATGTAATGAGTTGTACGGACGACATGGGTAGAATAGGCTACTCCGATACGATACCTAGGTCATTCCATGGACAGCGCGAAAAAGGGCATGAAGCTTGGCGGGATTAGTAACCCGGATTAGGTAGGTACCATTTCTTGGGCTTTCTCTTTTAATTACCTTTTTGACGACGTCCTATAGAATTGGGATGGGTGTGGTAGGTAATTAGGTAAGTCATTGGCTACTGGGGTTTAAATGAGTTTGGGAAGATGAAGTCGGTTTAGACTTGGACTGGACTTGGGCTTGGTCGCTTTTTTATTCCTGTTCTATCGTGTTGCTAGTAGCCTATGACCCCATAAGGGTACAGCGCGGGTGGTTGGTTAGGCGGGCGGGATCAACAAGCTGAATGGGGAGGAATGGGATGGGTTTGGTAAGATCGGTGTGCATAGGTAGGATTTAAGGGATGGTTATAGGATTCTGGCTTTGGTCGAGCAATTTAAATATTACATTAGGAAGCGGTATTCTAATTGAAGTCGTAAACCTGCGGTGAATCGTCAAAGGCTACTCTAAACTTTCCCTTGGGATGGCTTCAATGGGAGTAGTCTTGGCGGACCTAGTATTATAGGTTCGTTCCCCTTATGAATGAAAGCTTGGCCAATTGCATACAAGACATTTCTACGGTAGTAACTCTTCATAATGGATCAAAATGCACCTGGATCATATCGGCTGCAAAAATTGACTAGCCTTCAAGCGCTTGAACAACCTGTGCCCAATCCTCATCGATATACGCACCAGGGACTTTCTCACCATCAAACAAACTCGCCTGGATAACCCGATCGGACTGCTCACCCTCCCACGGCTGCCGCCCGTGCTGCGCGATAATATTATCATAAACCAGCACATCACCACGCTGCCACTTATGCAGGACACGAATCTCATCCGTGATCCTCGCCAGCGCCGCGAGGTACTTCTCGGGGATGGGCGTGCCGTCGCCGAAGAGCTGCTGCGTGACATTTCTGCCCTTACCGTTGACCTGGATGTTTTTATAATACGCCGCTAATCCGGTAAACAGCGTCGGTAGATCGGTCCCCGGTTGCGTCCGGATCGCCGGTAGTTTGTGCGTTAACACAATACCATCGTCGGCCCATTCCCAAGTTGTGTACTTGCCCCTTCCATACCTCGCGATCTGCGCCTCAATCTTAGCGCGCTTCGTCGCTTCATCATCGCCTTCTTGGATTTCCTTTCCGAAGGCTTGTTTCAAGGTTGACCCTCCGGCGTACTGTTTGTCTACTTTGTAAGTGACTCTACTAAGGATACCCTTTTCCGCGAGTTCGTTGATGAATTCCGGGATTTCTTGTTGCGCGCGGTGGAATAGTTCGAGGGATGAGGACATTGGTGATTCCCCGCCCTTTTCTGGGACTCGGTGCCCGTAGAAGAATATGTACTCGGGGGCGTGTGGGACTTGTGGGGATTCGTTGTGGTTGTATATCAATACTTCTTTTGGTGATTCGTTGGCGGGAGCTACGTTAGGCGCGAGAAGTGGCCGGTTTACGACTATGCCGATGATTTCATCTGGGCTAGGTTAATATCATGCGCGCCCAACGCAAGTTTGACTATGCTAATATTTCATCTTCTTAGGGGCAAGAGCAGCGAGACTTGGTAAGACATACTAGGAAGAAATTAGTATTCATTACTGGTTATAGGGACATGGTTTTACGTACCGTGGTTTGTACCCAAAGGCGTGAGCAAATCTACTGAAATCATTCGCATCGTGAATTGGCAGGCCTCGGAACAGGAGTGTTCCATGGACGGCCAACTTCTTAGTGAGAATGCCTCCCTGTGCTTGAAGCTGCTTGACTGTTTCAATGACGGTGTCAAGGTTAGGCTCAGCATCGCCAGGACTTGATGGGCGTAGCGCAAGAGGAATAGTAGTTCCCTCTGGGTGAGGGGCCCCAAGTAAGCGCTGATTAGTTGATGGGAGATCGAATTGCTCGAAGGTTAGCGATGGTAATGCTAACCTTCCAGCCTCGAACGGTTGTATTGTTTCTTGCTTCAATGTAGCAGCCATGACGACAGATGCTTACTTCGCAGTTTGAGGACTATACCAACAAAATTAATTCATAAAATTACAAGTGGATATCAGGGTTGAGCCACGGTGGTTCATGATACCAACGATCACATAAACATATAGACATCGTCGCCGATAGCATCCGAGGCTATCGTGCCATACTACCCTGGCACGAACCCCGTCGACTTCCGGGCTAAAATCACGTCATTCCTTTGGGGCCGTGAACCCTCCCACATTTAACTGATAAGTAACCCCGCGTTTCCTCGCAACCTCTTTTAGGTGTTTGATACGGCGAAGATGATCTCTGATTGGAGGCTCCTCACGCTATATGCCATGCCTATCGGAGAGCACGTCAGAGGCTTAGGATCTTACGTATACTTATACCCTGTGCGACTAGAGAATTATTATTCAATAGTTATCGACCGACGACGCGTCCTGTCATATAAGATGTGCGGCGTATATCTAGCAATATGAATATAGAATGAGTGCCTGACGACTTATAAGTAACACTTAGCTTTAAAATAGACACTTTCATGTTCATGGGTTAAATCTAAAACATATCATTGATCAATACTAACCGCAATGTCGGGGGAGCCGGTCGTCACGAAAGATGGCCTTGACGTAGCAACGCCCAGTTCCATTACAGTCGCAAACGCAGACAATATTCCCCAGCGACCGGACAATGTTTCTTTCTATCGGAGTACACTTTTTCAAATTCTAGTTGTCGGAATATGCGCCTTTTCAGCACCCGGAATATGGAGCGCTATGAATGGTCTCGGAGTTGGTGGATCGCAAAGTCCGGATCTCGTCAACGCCGCCAACGCATTGCTATATGCATTCATGACAATTACTTGTTTTATTTCTCCGTGGTTGACAAATGCAATTGGATTTCGGTGGACGCTGTCACTAGGAACGCTTGGTTATCCTCTATATGCGGCTGGTCTCTACGTCAATAATCGATTTGGAAGTACATGGTTCGTGTACGTCGGTGCGGTTGCTTGCGGTATTAGTGCTGGGTTCTTTTGGGGTGTTGAGGGTGCGATTGCGACTGGATATCCTGAGCAGCATAAGAGGGGGCGTTACATTGCGACTTGGTTTACTTTCCGCAATTTCGGAAATATTATTGGTGGTGCTATCTCGCTGGCTCTCAATATCAACGTTAATCATCGTGGTCAAGTTGGATACCAGACATATCTGGGTTTTATCGCTATTCAATGCCTTGGCTGCGTGTTTGCTTTACTTCTTTCGAACCCAGAGAAGGTGCAGCGTGATGATGGAACTCGTATCGAAGCGCCAAGGGGGATCCACTGGCGCACCGAGCTTCGCGAAATGTGGAGGTTGGCGAGGAGCAAATCGATTTTGCTTTTGACGCCCCTTTTCTGGTACTTCGGCTGGACTCAAGCGTATCCGGGTACTTATCTGGCTACATATTTCACAGTGCGATCCAGAGCTCTCGGTAGCTTCATGGCCGCCATCGTCGGCACGATAGCGACTTGGTTAAGTGGCATATTGGTCGATATCCAGTGGACTAAGAAGAGACAGAACCGCGCGGTTACCACGTTTGTCATAATCGCACTACTCAACAGTGCGACATGGATCTGGGCTGTGTTCATTCAAAACGAATACCGACATACACTTCCCGTCTTAGATTGGGGCAATCAAGCCACGTTCGGTCGTGGCTTCGGAGTTTATATGGTCGAACGAATCAGCGTCGGGATGATTGAAAACTACATATATTGGTGCATTAGCAACCTATCGGACTCGCCTGGCGACCAAATCAGATACAGCTCCTTGCTTCGGGGTATCGAGACAGCGGGTGTTTGTATAGGATTCGGAGTTCAGGCTGTCCCGACTGCGCTCATTGCTACTGCTAGCATAAATCTTGGGCTTTGGTTCTTTGCACTACCGTTTAGTTACTATGCTACGGTGAGGGTAGTCAGAAAGTTCAACATAATAACGAAGGCAGACGATGAAGATTCTCAGGTTGAGACAGCAAATCCGTAATGCCGCATGTATTTAAACTGCACTTAAAACAGATCATGTTGGATCTCTTTGCAGACCGAGGCACCCTCGGAGATAAGATCATCCAATAGGACATAGTGTTGGGGAAATAAGATAGTGGCGTACGCCTCCATCCTTATCCTGTCCTACTTCAATTACCAAATACAGAGACACCTAATTTCTAGTGACTCTCGAGCTTCCTCGTTCTCTGTCCTAGGCAATTCCACGCTCGAGTGAAATGTCCCCCCAGACGCAGTGCATCCATCCTTTTCAGCATCACTATCAAAGAACTTTAGGATTAAGACTTCTTCAGGGGTCTGTCTGTCTATCCAGCACCACTTGTGGCTTTCGGAGTATCTCGCTACGAGACCTTCGGCAAGATGCGATTCATTCGTCCCAAGGCCCAGACATGGGGTCTTTATGTCCACAGGTATATAGTCCTCTTCGTTAATCGTTCTGTAGTCAATTACTGCTAGCGGGTCTCTCTTGACAGTTTTCAGGGGCCTCCAGATAGAGTACAGTGCCCATCGCGGTCCGCCACTGTCTTTGTAAGACTCTTTCAGACTCTTCCCGGCCGCCAACAGCTCGTCTTCATGGTGTATGATATCAGCTGCAGCTTTGGCAGTATCCGGATGGAACTTCCGAATGTGAGTTCGTGCGCCATTTGGTGAGTAGTCCAAATGTATCTTGGATGCTGGGCTCGCGCCACCGTACGTTGGGTTGAACCCGATGAATTGCGGGAAACTGGTCTCCAACTCGGATGCCTCCGTTGCATTTTCCCCGTGAGTTACAAGAGAATCAGTCTCAGTCCAGACGGATGTCCTTAGTAAGAACGCTTCGGTGGAGACGGTTTTGCAACCCGTTAGCTGCTTCATCATCTCAGCTATGTCAGGAATGAGAAATTCCTTGAGAAGCTGAGGGTTCTTGAACGATTGAGCGCCTTGGGGTAACGCATGTAGAGGAGTGGTGTGCCGAATCGCAGTAAATCCATGAGTATCTAACTGAGCGTGGTCAATGCGACCAGGCAGGTCTGAGACCGTAGGAATGGGCCGCAAGCTATGAAGCGGGAGGAAACGTTCATCACCAAACTCGGTCAGAGCGGGGAGGTGAAAGTGATGAGGGCTTGCCTGAGGGACATGCTCAGTCGCAACATAACGCAATTTCCCCAACGGCTCCGTATCACGGGTCTTTCTCGTTTGCGTGATTGTTGTCGTCGACATTGTGTACAGGTGCGAGTTAGTGTTTGTTACACCAAGTTATTCACGAGCGAAGGGATACGGACTATAAAGAAAGCAATTTGTATTAGAAGCCCCGCAGATTGGCACGTCAGTCGATATATTGGGGACTATACGGGATTAACCGATCCTTATCTCTATACCTTTCTCTTACGTAGTTTGGATGCAGGTCTTGAAGAGAAGAAGATAAGTCGATCCCTACTACGCTGACTTACTTTAAACAGTCTAGGCTCGAAGGCGAAACTAGATTTTAGAGGTTTGGGCAATTCTTTGCCCGTCCATCTTAGGATGTTTCCGATGTGAAGAGAATACTTGATTATACGTCTTCGGAATGTTCATGGGGATCCCCACTTTGCGTTAATCCTGTCGATTTACTAATATATATGGACATTATAACAGGAGTTAAGAGCCGGAGTATATTATATTTCTGGCCCGTCCACTTAGACCCAGGAGCTGCGAATAGCGGCTGTTCGGATCAGTCTTGATCGCCATAGTGCTCATAAAACATGATACTAAGAAATTCGACATCCATAGATTGATGCATGCATCCATGAGGCTTTGTAATTCGAGGGAACGTAATGCTGATTATTGTGTTCCTGGCGTTTGCCCATTGCGAACCCAGCCGATAACGTTTTCCCACCATTCATCTAGGTCTTCCATCTCACTATCTACTAGAAACACAGAGAGTCTAGGCTCCTCCTGAGCCGCGGCCTTGTTTCTTGTAGGTCCCATGCAACCGGCGAAATAATACTCGACATTACCATCTGGATCTGCTGCAAGTGCCTCCTGTAGAAGATCACGCAGCCCTGCCACATATGTGTGAACTTCAGTGACGAATTGGCCAAGAGTTATGACCCCGCCATCCCTGCCTTCAAGGATCAGGGGCACTGGTTTCTGTTGCGACGCCTCAGGTCAGCGATGGGAGGAATCATCAGCAAAAGAGTAGACTCACCTCATTTTGAAGTTCAGCATCTTGCCAGTATTCCCAGGATTCGACAGGATCTAGGACAACGGCGAGGCGGGCACGATGCGGATCCGTCACGGGTTCCGATGCGATGACGTGCTGCTGTCCGGGCGCATTGCCGAAAAGGGGTGTCCAGTGTGGTTCCTCGGCATCGTCGAAGTCAAGGACTTGAATATTAGAAAGAGGTTGAAAGAATTGCCATTTCAGACGAAGGAATAAGCGGTCAGCAAAAAGGGAGACCTGTTGATCTAGTGAATTTGAAGTTTCCGGATTTGTAGTATCTTGCGACGATGCCATGCTCTCTTCGGATGCTGACTCTGTTCAATTTGTAGATTTATGTGTATAGAGGGATGAGAATGAATGCTTGAATATGACTTAGTTGGGATGCTACATATAATACTTGTGTTGAGTTGCGTTCGCCCGGTCGCCCTATAGCGCCAAAATAGGAAACATGATATTCTTCAGCTGTTGCGCCCTCCTCGTTTTATAAAATTTTAAACCAGATGACTTAGAACATCCTAAGACTCACACTATAGTCTAACGTAATACTATATTTATGAATAACATTCTCTTCAATGATTGGGCAATGGATTGTTTATACCTTGTACTACATAGCCCCCCTAATCATGAACGCCGTAGATGTAGATGTTAATCCTACCGCAGATCTATCTCGGCGTAAGTCGTCGCTGTATATTAAATCATGTATATAATGAAGCTGGCGATGCTCGAAATCCAATTGCAGAATCTTCTAAGCTCCTTGATGTTTGTAGCCTTTGAAGGCTTCTCCAATAGAAATCATGGGGAACAATATGGCCCTCCATACTCGTTTTGCTATTCTTGCCTTCTTATATTCACTTATACCTATTACATTGGGACAATTTATACAAGATTATCAATGGGTTAATGGTAGACGTGAGTAGTTCGGTTCTTTGAATGAGATGTCATTTTAACAGTTTAATATAGCTCAATGGCGAAGGGACACAACACTTCAGCTCGAAGATGTTTTGATTCCTCAGAACATGGTTATACTCGAGTATAACTGTGACTACATGCCAGCAATTTGTCAAAATGCGCAAAACTGGTTAAATGGTCCTCGGGGGGCCAACAGAGCTCTAATGACCAACCGAATAACGGGCGTGGTCATACCCCCGAACAGCGAACTATTCTCATACGACTTCGGCCCTCATTCTGATAGCCGAGGCGCTAGAATGTGCCCTGGTAATTGGAGGAATAATCACCCATGTCCCGAACCGAACCAACCCCCTATTATGCCCGGGCCCTGGTATAGCACCGCCCGTGAGAACGTGAGGGCGTTGCAGGCGAACGAGATTAGAGCAGACCGGAGGACCCCCGGCCGGGAGATACGAAGCGGCCGTTACTACACTTGCGATGAATTTCCACCCCGAAGGTGATTCAAATAGTCCCCTAGTCTATCATATCAGAACCCCTAAAACCAAGCAGGAGCTGACCGCATGCCCGTTACCTAGTTTTGTCGAGGGAGGAAATGGTACCCCGAACCAGAATGTGATGCCCGAAGGTGATGGCGGTAGAGGGACGACCTATTGCGCTCCTCAGAGATTAGCTTGTACTCCAAGACAAGTCTTTCAACCTTATGTCCGCTCAGAACAAGGTAAATTCCTAATAATTGATTTGGGCTTCGTCTAGACTTTTCCCTTTTCTAACCCTTCTAGATTGGCAAGCATCTGCACACACCAAGTTACGAGGAAAGCTCTGGACAGAATCGAAGAAAGCGAATGGCGGAATCACCACCGGTTTTGAAAACCGAGCAGCTCTTTTCGCCTTTAGGCTTGCCAATAGGGGCACAACAAACGGCCGATACGCAAGAGTATTATGGGGGCCAAATCAGGGAAAGATCATACCTGTCGTTCACAAACGTGATGGTCAGGAAGACATGGACTTCGATGATGAGGGCTGGTCTTCCGTGGATTTGCACGTCAACGGAACCGAGTCTGTTACGCGAGCTCGCAAAAGGAAAGCAGATCCATCATCGAGTAGCTTACCCTTAAGCCGCCGGTGTGATCCTTCAAATAGCACTTGCGATGTAACTCCATCTTGCAATGGAGACTCAGCCGCGAATCGTCGGCTTGCTTATTACCAAGGCCATAATAGCGTGAATCGGAACTGCAACCCCGTAAAACCCGGTGCTATTAACACGACAGGGCTAACACATCTCATCTTTTCACACGTGGACTTCGACAATTCAACATTTCAGGTCACACCTGGTTCCGATACGTCCCTCCTTCGCAACTTCACCTCCCTAGCCCGCAACAATTTGCAGACTTGGATTGCCATCAATGGAGATGACACAGCGTGGAGTACCATGGCCTCGGCGGAAGGTAACCGAAAGAAATTCATTCAATCTCTCGACGACTTCATTAAAAAGTATGGGTTTCAGGGGGTCGACTTGATGTGGGAAAATCCTGGGGATAAGTCCCAAGGAGGTAGATCTCAAGACGGTGAAAACTTCGCCGCTCTCGTCCGTGAGATCAACAGCACCTTCGATGGACGTTATGGGCTAAGCGTAACTCTACCATCGGACCCTGATACTCTTGGCAAGTTCCAGCTCAGGGAAATGGACCCCTATTTGACCTTTTTCGGGTTTAAGGCTTTTGACCTTCATGGTCCATGGGAATGTAATAAAGACGGTAAGAAATCCTGCTTTTTGCCAATACATCAATGTCCATATTCGGGGTTCTAACATTGCTATAGGGGTCGGGATCCAGCCACACACCGACGTTACCACTTTAGACAAGGATATGCGACCTTTATGGGTTGCTGGTGTGAGTCCGAAGAAAGTCAACTTGGGCGTCGCTTCTTATGGTCGATCTTACAAGCTTCGGAATGAGTCTTGCACAACACCTGGTTGCGCATGTAGCGGTCCTGGCGATGCAGGACACTGCACTGCTGATAAAGGGGTCCTATCTAGCTGGGAGATCCAAGATATGATCTCAGACAAGAAGTAAGCGCATTAATCTGCAACTTTAGGGTATATTTTACTGACATGTTTTATAGGTATGAGCCTCAGTTCAATCAGACGGCAATGGTCAAATACTTGACATACGGTGATAATAGTTGGGTCAGCTATGACGATAAGGAGACACTCGTAAGGACCCAGTCCTAACCTCTATTTATCCACTAACATAATGCAGGATCTGAAAGATAAATTTGCCAGCTCTCGGTGCATAGGGGGTCTCATAGATTCCTCCATCGACTTACAACCTCAAGATGGCACAGGTGCCTTCGGTGGTGTGCCCAGCAGTAACAACACCAACAACACAGACTCAATCTGGGTATCGCCAGCAATATGGAATAATACGCATCCCGAGGTCGTGTGCTCATACCCGTGCACCCTTGTACTGCCTCCCTGGACAAAAACGACATCAACCATCGACTATCCTGTAGTGACGTATACAAGCAGTTCGTTGACTACGACCGTCACTCCGCCACCACTGACAGTTTCGGTGTGGTGGATCTCGACAATCATTGTCGGGGAAGATATCACGACTCCTCCTTCGTCGGGTGAAAGTGTGACAGCTAATGTCACTATGTTCCAAACCACTGCTTGGCCGCCAATCACTATTACGGACGACGATGGGAAGGAACACACAACGCAGGCTGCGGGTGCTCCCCCTGTTATACCTCCAGGCGCAATCCCTGTTCCCCCAATTGTCGTGCCATTCGGGTTACCACCGGGGCCGACGGCGGCTGTCCCCTTTCCAACACCTTGTATTGCGGCTTTCGGCCTTTGTAGCCCGGGCGACACTGGGGATGGAGGTGACGGGGGTGATGAAGGTGAAAACAATTGCCCCGACCTACAATGTGATCCGTCAAGTGACGACGGCGACGGTGACGATGGTGGGGGCGACGGTGATGACGGAGATGGCGATGACGATGGTGATGATGGGGACGAGGATGGGGACGTTTGCTCTTACGTACCTCCCATAAGCAGTACGCTCAGCACGAGTTCCACATCGAGCACAACTTCATCTTCGTCTTCCACAACTACGACATCGTTATCTTCTTCTTCTACCACCTCGCATTCATCAACTAGGTCCCGCACGACGACCTCTAGTTCTAGCAGAACAACCTCGCGATCAACCAGTTCACGCTCGACAAGCTCTCGTTCAAGGACGACTAGTTCCCGCAGTTCCCGCACAACCAGCTCTCGTACAAGTCATTCACGCACGACAACATCCCACACCTCATCTCGCAGCACAAGCACTCGTTCCCGCACCACTTCCCACACAACCACCACATCAGCAGCAGCTTCAACACCGACCTCTTGCAGCGGATCCAAATTCCCTGCCGCGCTAATCTACGCATGGTCCGACTACAAAAACAACAAGTTCTCGTTCCGAGGTATCGACTACTGCGCGTCATCCAGCTCAAAGCCCTACCCTGACTCTGCCTGCGACGCAGACTGGGCCTGGACGCAGAATCTCCCGAACTCCGACTCGCAATCCCAAATCGCGTCCGATCTAAAAGATATCTCGGTATTCGGAGATACGTGCAATTTCAAGAAAGACGACGGCGGGCCGGGATCTTCTGGTCGGTATACGGGAAAACTGAAGTGTGGGAAGTGGAAGACGGCTTCGTGCACTTCGTCCGATACGAATAACCATGAGGAACATCCTTGTGATTCGGATCAGAAGGTCTGGTGGAATTTTGAGTGGTCGTGTGTCTGGGGTTCGTAGGGTCGGAATGCTCGGTTTGGTTCGATATCGATCCGAAGATTTCAACACGATATCAGTAGTCAGCTTACTTGTACTGAAGGGTTATTCACTTATCTTACTTCCTCCGACTTCATATATTCACCCAAATATCATTTTTTTTTTCACTCCCCAGTAGCCGCACCAAATAACGAAGATATTCGTATATATTCAAAGGTATAGTATAATAATTACAACACCATATTTCTAAGGAGTGTACGATAAGAATGCGAATGATCCCCCAATGCTATATATAAATATATCTTTTTTTCTACCACCGATTAAAAATGCCCTGACAATCCAAACTCGCTGTAATCCCAAATATCAACAACTCGTAACCGTCATGCTAAGTATGATCGATCGATCGCCGTGAAGCTAGCTAGCCCTTCGTCTCGAGATGTGGTCGAAAAGCGAACTTAGGCGTTGAGGCTGGGGCAGAAGATCTGCCACGAACCCCAGGAGGTAGCGGGGGAGACGACGTCGTTGCAGACATCGACGGAGAGGGCGCGGCGACCGGCACCGCAGTTGGTGTCGGTGTAGATGAAGACTGTTTATCGCCGTTCAATTAGTTCACTTATTCACTTCTGTCCGAAATCAGGGGTAGACTTACAGCTGCAGCCGTTGGCGGCGGGGAAGTTCATCGACTCAAGGTTGAGGGAGACGACACCGGGAGGAGTGGGAACGTTGATGAAGGTCTTGCAGGTGTTGGCGTCGCTCTCGTCGACGGTGAAGAAACCTTGGTTTAGGTCGCCGCAGCCATCAGCGCCGTAGACGCGGAATTGGGCGAGGCGGGCACCATCGCGGGGAGCGACGGCGGCAGCGTTAGCGCCCATGGCGAGGGCGGCGGCGGCGGCGAAGAAGCTGGTGAACTGCATTTTGGCGGTAGTGGTTTATTAAGTTTTAGATTAGATCTAAGAGTTGAGTTGGAAATGAAGTTGGAGTTGTGAAGAGTGGCTGGTGGCTGTAATTATTGATTGTTGTCTGAGACTGGTTGATTTGAATCTGGAGATTGCAGTCGGGCGTCTCTGTCTTTTATAATAACGTGAGGTCTCTTTCTCGCTCCATCGTATCGTCTTTCTCATCCCCCATCCCATGGCTCCGGTACGTACGCAGTGAGAGGGGCTTCGCATAGGTATCTTGCCATTCTCGTCTGTTGATTTCGTGAACACGATGTTTTGGCCCATATCATCATGCAGGCGAAGACGCAAGGAGTGCACGGTGAACCGTGACCAGAGGATGCCTCCTAGTTGACAAGCCACAGCTCGGTAGGCTATTCAACTACGCAGCTGAGGGCAGAGCAGCCAATCAAAATTGACGGGGCTGCTGAAGATCTTACCGAAGTGGGAATTACCGTCTTATGCCAAGCAGATTTCATCGCCACCGGCACTCGTGGGAGCTAAGCAATAGTGAGTGTAACGTCTTAAGTTAGTCAAGCTTATTACGAAGGGAGGACAGCGAGAGGTCGGCTCTTAATGGAGAACAACTAAAAATGGAAAACATTCACCATGTGTAGACCTACCCGATGATCCCCTCGTATGCATCACCTCAGCACCACGAAAGCCGTGCAACCACCGACAGCCGAAGTGCGTGTTCAGTTACATTTTCCCCAGCAAGCATCAACGTGTCTTACGAAATACTAGAGCAAATAAAACCAATACAACCAGGGAAGGAATTTTCCGATTGGATCTTATTTACAGAATCTAATACATAATAGAGACCCCATGGCCTGCGTCAGCCGCTTTCCCCAAGAAACCGAGACCTGTGTTTGGGTGGATCGAATACAATGTAACCACAATATGGCGCCCCATCTATATCCCCGGAACTCCGTTTGCTTCTTCATAGGTAGTACAGGCATCAGAACAGGTAGGTAAATAGGATATTAAACTCACCAACTATCATACAGTATATGGTCGGCGACAATGTCTCATCGCTGCTTAATACCTAAAACGTCTCGAATAGAAGAATTGATAGATCGTAATGAGGACCGTGTTGAGTTACTGTTATTAATTTGTTTCCTCGTATCGAATCGTTGCCGACAGCCACGCGTTCATGCGATCGAAAGACAAATCACCATTGGGTATTATGTAAATGCCCATTAATGCGGCGCAGCCGACTGCAGATTCCCTTGAGTCTTGCCACAGCACCCGACGATGGGATGAAGGGCGTGCCGATATCCTACGATCGAGCTCACATACGAGAGATCTAGACTTCAAGTACAACCAACCCCTGCTAGGATTGTGGTACTGCGTGATATGAAATAACAAGACCAATGTGTGTTTCCGTGATTGCTTTTGTGGATAGTTACTATTATCTGAACTAGTAGAATAAGTACGAACAAGAAGCTCTAATTGTTTGTCTTAATTCTAAATTTGGTCTTATACATATCACAGACTTACATGTAGCTATTCCCTAACGCCGAGCGCCTCTAATCCACTGTCTCCGCCCCTGACGGAATTGCTGACATACATATTTTCTCAGACAATACAACGTCAAGGATCTCCAGGTATAGCTATCCCATAGCCTTTAGCATTCAATATTAGTTTAATAATATCAAGATGTCGCTTAAATCAAGCGCCTATAGTAACGCGACAAGACTTGTGAAGTAAAACTTTGCTTCAACCAAACGACACATCACTTACACTTGTGTTACCTTACCTAGATACCTAACCTAAAGGCTATCAAAGTCGCAGTATAGCTACCAATCTTAGTAAGTTCGTTGCAGATACCAAGTTTACGGTGAAGATATCCCAGACTTCACACAACCTAATGACCAAACCTAAGATATGAGAGGAACAATAATCATGCAAAAACCACAACTCTTCTCCCAATAATTGCGAAACTCGGCTATCCTCGCGAGAAAAGGGTACGCAAAAAAACAAGCCACCAACGTCACCACATGGACCGTGCGAATGCGAGGGAATGGCCCAGCGTTCCATCTGTTTCTAAGAGGAAGAATGATCATTCTAAACTATCTAGCTAGCCAACTGCATTAGACGGCAAGGCAAGCATGGGATAGCTTCACCGCTACTCCATACTTGTAGAATACGATTTCGCTCCCTCGATGCTACTCTAAATTTTACTATCACAGCCATCCAACTCTCGAATCACGCCCTTAGCTTCCGCCGAGCGACGCGGCCGAGGATGGAAGCCTCGGCATAGAAGCCTCCTCGGTCTTATGAGGAATGCCGAACAATAATGGTTTGGCCTTGAACGGCCTGGAGCTCTTTCGTCGAACAGAGTTAAATAGAATTCTACCCCCAAAACATAATGAAGAAACTGAATCGGATCGGACATCGATGAGTTAAATATGGTAGAAGACTCGGGTGCGCTGGAAGAATCTACATAAGTATCTACATCGATATACATGACTACAATAGGAGGCGAGGCACATAAGCAACGGCGGGAGCAGCAACCAGAGCCGATTGCTTCGCCTGTTCGCCGCCATCTTCACTTTTGGACAACGTCCAGGGCTGGGCAACTTGAAGGGGCTGTCGTCCCACTACCCCCCGCCAGAAGTATGACAGGAAAACATAATTGGAATTATCGCATCGAAATTGTCGTCATGCTTTCTCTATTTCGTGGTATCCTCACCGACGTCTTTAAAACGAATACTACTCTCTACAAACTCCCATTTGTGTACCCGATGACGGGGTCTTCGGCGTTGATAACGTTGAAGACTGTTTCATCGAATTAGAGTCGCGGGCTAGTTGGCAACTTGCGCCTATTCTGCGTTATCTTGGCGTTCCAGTTCTCAAGTGGAACCGATCGGATGTGCTGTTTGTGTTCAAAATTCCCTGGTAAGTATCGGTATTTCGCTGAGCGATATAACTTCTGCCCAGAACTCAGGGCATGGTACTCCCGGGCGGGACTCGACCATCTCGTTCTGGGGTCCTGGTTGTAACCTCCGACTGGGATATGCTTGTCGTAGATGGTGCTTCGCAACTCAGTGAAAAACTAAGGAAGTGAAAAGCATGGATCGTAGCTTAGAGATATCTGACGGAAAGACGATATGGGTGGTTGATAAGAAAGAAGAACGATGATATTAACTCAGCCACTTTGTGCTCGACAGAAGGTTCTTAGGCTTGGGTGATCTAGTGGGTAGTGAAGCTTGGTATTGAGAGACTAAGTACATCAATTGAAGTGTGTCTGAATCCCCCTCGGCGGTTGCTCATACTATCCAGTTGCTCATGTCACGACGTCGTTTCTTTGTCGGCCCCGAGGAGATGCGCTTCAACCATTTTCGAGGACCTTGATACGACGGCGTAGATCTGCGATCGTATCTTTCTGATCCTTGACCTCGTTGTGTTGTATCTCTAGTATATGCTGCATCCCCTCGACCTGTTGGGAGACTACGCGTGAGAGATTGAGTTCGTCAGAGATCCTGGTCTTTGCTACTCTAAGCTCTTCCTCTAGAGCCACGACCTCCTGAGCTCGCACCTTTTCCTTTTGGATAGCATTTGCCGTTGCGTTCTCACTGACTTCAAGAGCGACTGCAATTTCATGATGGGACTCGACATCACACCTCAGATCTGACTTCATTTCGCATAGCACGTCGAATAGAGCCTGTGCGGCTTCGCAAGCTTGCTTCTGTTTCGTAGCCTCATGTTCCCTTCGGACCTCGCTTTCTTCCAAGGCCACTCGAAGGCGAGCTATCTTTCGAAGCAGTACCACTACAATGTTCTCGGCCGCGTGAGAGCTAGAGTTCAGGGCATCTTCGAGTCTTCGGACGTTGTCCTTCTCTTTCTGAAGTTGTTCTCCTAGATCGGCTATGACGGTAGCGCTATCCGTGGACTGCATCTGGTGTCTCTCGTATGGGGGAACAGGTTGACGAGCTTCGTATCGTTGTGGCAGTGTCTGGTTCGAAGGAATCATCGGTATTTCTGAATCACTGGTTTCGTCTCGCTCAAATAGGCTGAAGTAGAATGGATGCATATTGACCTCTTGGGTTGAAGAATGATGATGATGGAAGTGGAGGTAGAGTAGATGACAATGTTTTTGAAGAGCTGCTTGATATAGGGCTTCTGTTGGAAGATATAGCGTACGATTTGTAGATTTCTTGTGTTGGATGGTGTAGCAGATGTGTGAATCGAAGGGGGAGAAGTCCGGTATTTATACCTATTCCTAGAGAGTACCTTGACCCTGCTCGAACGACTTTGAGTTTTCTATCAGAGGAGTAGTTGCTCTCTTGGAACAGGCACAAACTCAAATATCCTGCCTTTGATTAATATGAAGTCAGTGGCCCCTGAGCTAGAGAGTTAGAAAAGGCATATCTCTAAGGAATTAGATTTGATCATCTGAGACTATCGTCCTTTTGAGTTCAGGGGATGATCCCGTGGTCATGTCTATGGTTCACCGATAGAACCACTTAGAGTTTTTGTTGTCTCAATGAAGCTTATGGGCCTCGGTTTCTAAAGGTACTGGGTTGTAACGACTTGCTATTCAGGGCAGTGCAAACTATATAATAGGGTCACCCTTGTAGTGACTTGGTGGCCGTTACTGTTCTTATTCGACTAGTGAGCGGATATGATCGGGTAAGAGACACTCTCAGGCGGGATAATTTCCAAAGTTAACTGTATTCAGAAACGAACCGGTTGAAGAGAAGGGGTTCACCGACGAAGGGTTAAAGTTACATCTTTGGAATAAATCTACTGATCTTTGAACTTCTGTTATCTGAGCATGCAGGACGGGGTTGCTTGAAACGTCGGAGATTTGGCGGGCAGCGAAACCGGAACTATGTTATCGACTGGTCACCATAAATCAACGGACCAAAGGAGGGTTAACGTGAAAAAGGGGTATGATTACTGAATCTCAAATCTATATATACCGAGTCGGAGCACATAATCCTTCCTCTCGCTGCCCTTCAGCGCGCTATAGTAGTGTTACACAGACACCGCCCCAAGATCAAACCATCATATGAACAAAACTTCAAAGAAGATTGCCGCGCCAAACTTTTGTGTTCATGACTATCCGACACCCTCAGCATAAGTACTCCTAGTAATGAGCATAATAACCCCTCGCGGTCACCATAAGGAAGGGACCTGCCAATTACCATGGCCATATACCGCGAAGCATTTGATGATGTTAATCTATCAGTCAACCTGCTTCTCACAGCCAATGCGACCGAGCAACTCCTTACGATCGCTGTGGCCTGGTAGACTGACCCCAGAAGACGATGCGCCCCTTTTGAGGCCTGTTCGACGTTCCCATCCCTTTAAATCAATAGCTTCAACACCAACTTCTTCCTCGAGTGGCTGTGCCACTTCATATTCGGACTCTTCCTCCTCCTCTCCTTCATCATCACTCCTGGTGTCATCAGCGCCATCCCCCTTAATAACGCGGATAGCAACCCGAATGATCATGAAGAACCAGAATATTGTAATGACTTGAAGACCAAGCAAGCAGTATAGGAATGCCCATCTTATAGAGTCAGAGAAGCATACTGTGCCCTGGAAATCTCTGAATGGTTCGATGAAATGATTCCATCCGTCAGGGACGGGGAATGGCCCTGTCAAATTGGAATCGGGACCTTGGAAGCAAGCCGGGGGGATTATTTCCGGCACGTCCTTATAAATGCTGTAGCATGTCTTCAGGTAAAATACGTGTCGAGCCACAAACCACGAGACCATGAATACGACGAATGTCGCGTCGCATAATTTCGAATAGCCCAGATATTTTAAGCATTTTGCAAGCTATTTAACTGTTAACAACCATGAAAAAAAGGCAGCCTTAGCCAAACCGTGGGGAATATCTTGACGTACCGGAAGGAATAAATCGACCACATCCATCAGAACGAGGATTAAGTTGCCAACGCGAGTTTGGTGGTAAAAGTAAGATCCGGAAATCAATGTGATGGTGATGAAATGGTGAGTAAGCATCTGCCAATGGTCCTTGCGACGTTCCTCGATATGAATGACGAGAACTTGCTGAAGCCAGAAGGCCCACTGTGCTAATAGATAAGCCTTCATGAGCCCATCGAGTTCTCTGTTTGGCCAATTGGTCCATAGCTCTCTCATGTTCAAATAGTATGGCGAATTGGCGTACAAGTACTGTTCAATTGTTAGTATTCTTGCGAGGGAGTGACATGGGTAATTGTGTATCACTAGCGCTTGAGACGACTGGCGACACTTCAAAGGGGCTTTCATACCAAACCAAGGGACCAGAAAATGCAGTAGTAGATCAACATCCAAGCTTGTTCTGAGAACCTAGTTATCTCTTTCCTCTTGGAAATTCCCCATTGTCTGGCTAAGGGAGCCAATACATGTTCCATCAAACCAGCGCGAAGTCCCGTGAAGAGGATTATGCAGAACGCGATGAAGTTGTAGTCATTGAATCCGATAGCATATTTGCCCGATGCCGGATTGTAATACGATAAGGTGAAGAATTTAGAGGTGTGAGGGCGAGCTTTCGGTATGAATAGGTGGGCGAGGAATACAAGAGTAATGAGGTTAAACGAGAGGCCTGGAACATGATACAAAGGTTAGCGGTGGTTTGGAGTATACGGGAAGTTACTAGCAATGTAGTGATGCTTCTGTCGTGGAACAGAACGCCTGGCGAGACCCTGAAGCGTCCCTTGGAAGAAGACAGACTAGGGGTAGTCATCGAATCGTTCTGGAGGGAGTTAAGACATACCTGTTTGATTGTCGAGAAACCAGCGCGCTAAGCTTCTCATAGGTCCATCCCCTTTCCGCTTCACTCTCCGAATTAAGACCTTATTGTTACTCGTTTGCATGTATAAGGGGCCGTTCATGGAGCTGCGCGATTGTACCGAAGGCCTCACTATAGTTGTTTTGGGCCTTTCGACTTTATGTTCGGGTTCAGATTCAACCACGGATTCAACCACAGGTTCGACTAAGACTTCGACTTGAGGTTCCATAGTTGGGGTAGATATTATTATATCGCCCGTTTCCGTCGTAGCGGCGGCATTGACTATAGGTTCGCTCATATTTAATTCGAAATATCAATAAAAAAAAAAAAAAAAAGCCCGGTTACAATAGGCGAAGAGCTCTCAGCTCTAAGCTGGTCGCGGATATGTCGGTGGTCGCAGATGATTGGTTGGGGAGGGGAGGGGGGGGGGGGGGGGGTTTATTCGCAAAAACCAACGATATACGGGTAACGAATGCTTTACACCTCAGTGGTCGGCGACTGAAGGTGGGCAGAATCCAAGAGTAGAGGAGAAAATAAATCATCAATTGCGCTCTTCCCCTCAGACGAACGAACGTATGTATGTAAATAACAAAGTCCCCAAGCAAACATATGGGGAACAATCGACTCTTGACCAGATCCAGTAGGAAACTGAACAAGACTGGCTGGTCAAAAGAGGAAGTGTTTTGAAGATGTTGAACTGAAGGTGGGTCCCCCACTGCAAGTTTTTGATAGAGCCCTGGAAAGCCAAGGTTCGATTTTCAAGGATGGGCGGTCAGAGCGGTGAAAGGGAAAAAAAATAGGAGGAGGGGTTGGGCCTAGGTAGCGCTGGGTAGGTACTTACTTAGAACTGTACTCAGTGGAAGGGTAGGGGTCTCTTCCGGCAGGGGGTTATAGTGGAGATTCACGCTACCGTTGCGCTACCCTAGGTACCATGTGGATGAAATCTAATCAGTTTTAGTGATCGCTACCTCCTATAAAATTAGGGGACTCCTCTCCTCTTATAAGAAACAAAGTATTCCAAGGTTGCATGTATGATTTGTATGGTATGCCTTAACTTACACGCATCTATATAGCGTGTTCAGATGTTTCCAAACCTGCCACTTTTTGGGTAGATGATCAAGTACCTAGTCAAAAACAGGATCATGCTATGGTATAGATCAGCGATCAACATGCATATGGAATTACATGACCTAGGTTGCTTTTATTTTAATATAGTAGTATTCAACCTCGAGCCGCCTGGGCTGTTTTTTTTGTTGAGACCCTCTCTGTCTCTGGTGGTTCTTCATTGCTTGAAGTGGGTTACACAACTGCTAGCCTGCATTGCTAGATGTATGTAGGTAGATAGGTAATCTTGAAACAATCCAAAGTATAAGATTGATACTCTACGCTTGCCCCTTTCTTCACGCATATTTCGAAGTAAACCACACGCTTGCGTAGAGTTTAGATCTTGTAGCGTGTTAAACCTCGTTTCACTAGATGAGCTATATAACCTACTACGTAGCTCATGTAGGTACTTTCCTTGTACGGATACCGGTACTCAAGGTAAAGACACCTGGAAAGGTCATGTTATCTGTCACATCACTTCCCATGCTCCTCCTTCCCCGCCGTCAGTTACCTACCTTCGATGTGACCTACCGTACCTAGTATTTAATGTTGTGGACATGTGCTACCCGTACCTAGGTAGTTTTATATCCAATAGGAGAGTAAGCTCCTGATAGCTTGCCGTTTTCTTTCACTTACCCACATGAGGTTCTGGCGAATAAGACTTTTCGAATACCGCACAACTGCATGTCCGACGTTCTCGTAACTTGTTCGTCTAATTCCCCAAGGCTTTGTTAGTTTGAGAGCGGGGAATCCATGCGGACTTTACTGAAGGAGTTTCTCCCCCATACGTAGAAAGGTCCAATGTCAACCCGAGGAATGTAGAGCTCAAAAAGGGTAGCGTCAATTCTTAATTCCCCTAATTGTAAGAAATAGAAGATATGCCACGCGTCTTGAAGCGCTAGCATTTAGACAATACTTTAATACGTTAGACTTCAATGATTGGACATTATAAGTGAAAAGTAAAGAAATTCCATCCAAGGTCTGGACCTACGAAGACTTAGCTAGATACCGCCCCGCACTTTAAAGTTAGTTTATGCCACATTCAATCTCCAGCCACACGTGTAACCTCGGAGTCACTACTACAAGCCAATCAAAGTCATAGAAATAATGACTAAGGTTAGAGCCTACCAGAAGCACCTGGGCAGCGCGGACCCACTACTTTGCTTCTATGATGGCACAGCCTTCTCAGCAGGCCCGTCACCTGTCTTACCTTCGCGCCCCGCGATTCGCCATCCTCTTCTTACCTACCTCCCACCTAAACGATCCATTTCCGTTCATCAACACCAGGCACCAGTAGATCATTACTGCATTCTATTTCTTTTGTCCCATCAACTTCGCGAAACCTTCTATTCATCGACCGAACGAAAGAAACGATGGCGGCCAACACAAAATACCAACCCGCGCCCACGCAAGACCCCGACGCAGGCACCTGGTCGCAAGCGCCGCCCTCCTACCAACAAGCCGAAACCAACACCTCCACCGGCATCTTCGACGCCGCGCCGCGCAGCAGCGAAGACAACATCCCCGATGACTTTAAATTCGGCGGGTCGGTCGCCGAAGCCACGATCGACATCCGCAACCAGTTCATCCGAAAAGTATACACGATCCTAACCGCACAACTCATCGCCACAGCCGTCGTCAGCGGTTTCAGTTTCTGGAGCGAGGGGTACAAGACCTGGATCCAGTCGCACTCTGCTTTAGTCTGGGTTTCTCTCGTCGGATCGATCGTATTTATGCTCTTGACCTACTGGAAGCGCAAGTCGTACCCCACGAACCTACTCTTCTTATCCGGTTTCACGCTCCTTGAGGCTTATACTATCTCGGTTATCGTTTCGTTCTACCAGACGCAGATCGTGCTCAACGCTGTTATTCTTACCGGTGGAATCTTTGTCTTCTTGACTCTGTTCGCTTGCCAGACTAAGTACGACTTCACATCCTGGATGCCTTACCTTTTCGGCGCGCTTTGGGGTCTCTTGTTATTCGGCTTCATGATGGTCTTCCTACCCGCTAGCAGCACCGGCGAACTTATCTACGGTGGTCTCGCTGCCCTTATCTTCTCGGGATACATCCTAGTCGACACCCAACTCGTCCTCCGCAAGCACCACGTCGAAGAGGAAATTGCCGCTGCGATCAGCCTGTACTTGGACATCATCAACCTATTCCTAGCCATCCTACGTATCCTAAACAGCCAGAGTAACAATTAGGCAGTTATAGAGGATTGATAGAGGGTTTTAGGGTGTCGGGAAATGAGATTTTAACCATGGATTATGGACTTTCTTTCACACGGGAAAAATGGTCAACTCCTTGATGGAAAATTGATTTGCCTTACAACCTTTGCAGGACTCGTATTGATTTCCTAATTTTCCTTGAGTATGTATGATTCTAGGGAGCGGCGTTAAATTGGAGGAATTATTGGACCTTGATTTTTAGAGGTGGTTCGTGTTGGTGGTCAGTGAGGTTTATAGCAAGATTACCCAGGTAGTTGTATTCATGAAATCCGACTGCGATACAACAAGCGAGAATAAAGTAGCCTAATCAACAAACTCGTTTCCTAATACTGAAGGGGCTAAATGAATGTTTATAATTAAATCCTTGATGTAATGCCTGTAGCTCTAGAAATTATTGATGAGGGAATATGTCTTCGAGTGCATTATATAACCTTACTATGCTAAATCTCACATAATGATATCTCTATCCAAGGGCAAACATACAATGAAAAGCAATATGTATTCATTAGCTCATAGCAATTATAACTGAATGCCAATCTCAATATTAGTAGACATCAAAGAAAATTCATATTGATATCTGCATTAGAAGGCACTAATACTAGGAGAAAAGGGGGCGCGAAAATAGAAAAAAAGCTACGCAGTTTGCAACTAGTAAAACGGACATCGACTCGCAAAAGATACAAAGGCAGCTATCTCCTCTACCGCCTTCGTGTTGTCCATAGGATGTGTCGGCAAATATGAAAAATTGGGTAAGACAAGGCTGTTTTTCTTTCCCATTGTACCATCGTCCTTTTTTCCGAAAACTGGGCATGCAATAAGTAATAGTGGATATCAACTTCCGCCCGGGTTTTATTCCTGACAAGTTCACCAAACCCTCAGTGATTCGCGCATACCATGCAACCATTAGCTTTTTCTGGATTTTCGTATAACGTGTCGTCTCAAACGGTCTTTGTTAAGAGGGATTCAGGGACTAGGGGATATCAAACACCCAACGCCACAATCCGTACTGCTGTCTGGCTGCCGATATACCAGAAGTAGGAGATAGAAAAGATGTCGTTTTAGGCCACTTAGTTGCCATCGTCGCCATTCGCCTCGGGCGTGCCAGAGGCAGCAGCGGCTTCTCGTGCCATCCTTGCCTCGATCTCGCGAAGTTGAGATTCGCGGGCCAAAAGTTCTTGTCGCTTCTCGTTGATCTCGCGCTGGACCTTGACTTCGATCTCGCGGAGCTTCTCCTCTTCTCGGCGGAGTTGTTCCTCCTTTAGGCGGACGGACTGGGAGGCCAGGTCTTCGGGGTTCATAGATGAGTCACTGTGAATATTATGTTAGCATCCGATAGCCATAATAACAATTCGAATGGCGACTTACACTCCAGCACCTCCTTCAACGCTCTTACTAAGCTTCTCGGTACGGTAGTTCTCGTAAAGGAAATCGTGGGTAATTTCCTTAAGGTCGGCAAGATGGCTGTGGAGCAGGGCGGATCGGATAGCTAGGAAGTCGGAGTGACGAGGGTTGTCAACCTCGACGACACCCCAAGGATATTGACGAGCTCGGACTTTTCGACCACCAATCTCGATAACCTCCTCAGAACCAACTATGGCAAAGGGCATAAGACCTCGGAGCTCGGCATTTTCCTCCACAGTATCTTCGTCATCCTCCTCAATATCGTAGGGGAAGTTGTAGACAGGGATTCGGTAATGCTCGATGTCCTCCATAACGAGTTTCTTCGACTCAGCAAGCTCGGCGGGAGTCAGAGAGTCGGCTCGGCCAATAACGGGAATAACGTTGACACGGGGGGCAAGGCGCTTCATCAATTCGATATCGAGTTCACGGAGACTACTCAAGTTGTAAGCAAGGGGCAGAGTGGGAGGCTAGCAGAAATCACGCACCCATGACCAGTAGGGGTAATGAAGTACAACATAGCGTGTACTCGGTTGTCCCTGAATCTGGGGTTTCGCTTGATACGCGACTCCTCGGCCAAGATGTCGTCATATTGTCTCTCGAGATACCCAACAATCTCTGAGAAGCTGTAGATAGAAGCATTAGTAGCTATAGATAACATTATTAGGACGTGTTGTATCATACCTAGCTTCGTTGTCGATCTGGTCGCCGAAGCCGGGGGTGTCAACAATGGTCAAGGAGATGCGGGTACCCTCCTCGTCCAATTCAAGCTCTAAAATAGACAATTAGAATCAATGGTGCTTCTAAACCTAGTAGATAAACTAACCAACGGTAATGGGCTTGATTTTGACACCATCCTCGACGTGAGCGGCGCTAGCATCATCGGAGTCCTTGTGGTTCAATACACTCTTGCTGCAGAGAGTGTTGACGAAGGTTGTTCTGCCTATAGGATGATGGCCGGGGTTAGCATATTGAATAGAAAGGAATAGCCTCGAATCTGGTGTCTAGGTAGGGATGGCATGTCGGACGCGTCGAAAAGTCGGAGGGTGGTTATACCTGTTCCTGAAGCACCACAGACCATCAGACAAAACTGAATTCCCTTCTTGACATTCTTCTTCCGGCGCATCATCTTCTGTGAACGCATCATGGCAGATTAGCAGGTATACCGACAGTATGTACAGGGTGCACAAAAGATAAATGTAAATGTCTATAGCTGAATAGTAGAAATACGGGTAATAAGGCAGAATGCAGATGCAAAAAGCGAAGCAATTGGGTGGTAGCGTGATAAGGGGAGGCTCACCGCTGGGGACGACATATTATTAGGCTAAGGCTTGGGGATTCGCAATGGGGTGACGAGGTTCCGCTAACAGAGGGAATTTGAAATTAACAAATGATTGACGATGACAGGTGTGTAATCGTCAAACGAAACGGGATCTTCGCAAATGGGGGTATCTCAAAACGGGTGATATGTGAAAGGGGGGGATCACAGCTGGGTGTGTGTTGATGAAGGGAAACCGAAAAGATTTGAAAAATGTTCGGGTTTTCGCTTCACGCCAAAGCTGTTGATGGCTCTGGGCTCTCTCCTTCCTCTCCTCTCTCCAAAAAAAAGTGCAATTTCAACACCACAAAATGGTTGCCGCAGACGGGGACCGGACAGGGGCTATGGGACCACTAGAAAGGCACCAAATCAGAGCACGGATCACCTTTGTTCTCCCCTAAATTCAGGGGCTTAAGCTTGATAGCACCAAAACTTAATAAAAAATACAAGTATACAAGTGTACGTACATTTAATTGGACAAGGCAGGGTTGTCTGGAAGTAATTCAACGCTACTTCCCCGTGCCCAAATTAACACGAGGCTGGAGATACAAAATGGCAAGATCCATTCAATCCATCTATTGTAATGACGAAGGAACGAACTATTAGTATCATTTAATCCAAGGTAGCTTTCACCGTTACTTCCAGCTATAATACATCACATATTACCTCAAAAGTCTATATCGGCAGTTTATACACAGCCACATCTCTTAATTAACCTTCTTACGAAACGCCACTGACTCGAATGACAATAATAGCTGGATGGTTTGACAAGTCTCCTACCCCAAAAGAGTAATCGGGTCCTACAACAAACCAAACAAGGTTTACCACTATAAATGGCCCGTGCACCGACATCTCCATCAATTGAGCTGGATTGAATCTCCATACCACCTCAATGTACCCATGGAACATTCACGTATACTGTACCTACGCAACATATTACAATCCACCTTCAAGCAACATTTGAACGTCCAGACCACAAGCTTGCGATAGTTTAATCTACAGCTAAATGCCGTCTTTCTTTTCACTACTTGTTTAGAATCTTATATTTGATCCTCTTCAATTTATCAACGTCTCATTCGTTTTATCTTTCCATCCGTCTTCAATCGCTTCTGCTTTGTTGGCCAAGTATCCCCGAAGCTCAGGCGGGCCAGCGCTTATTATTACGTATATCACGTATATCCACCATCAATGAATTGACCCATTCCAGGCAGCCTAGACGGGATAGTTTCACGAATGTGCCATACAGCTATGATCTGGGACACCAAGACGCATCCCGAACTATCTGGTTCCCTTTGATGCACAGCATCTTCAATTCATTCACTTCGTCCGCTATTGTCGTCATCACTTTATATCATTCTTTACATTGATTGCCATCGTCAGCTTAGCTTACCAATAAGCAATCATGAATACCCGTCCAGTTATCGAAACTCCCAGCGAGCATGCTGCTCTTTCTGTCACCTTCAACAGCGACGCAAGTCGATTTGTTGTTGGTTTAGATTCTGGATTTTGCAGTATGCTTCACCATAGTGACTCATTCTACCCTTACATTCCATACTGACACATGATTTTAGTTTTCCTATCTAATTCTAGCCAAATACAAACCGCAAGAGGTATGACAATATTCGGATACAGCTCAAGAAGAATGAGTCTAATTGAGTACAGTTTTCAATGCGGGCCTCGGACTTGTCCAAATGATGGGGAATGCTAATTACCTTGCTCTCGTGGGTGGAGGCCGTTCACCCAAATTCCCACAGAACAAAGTCATAATATGGGATGATAGCAAGGGTAAAATAGCTCTTGAGTTGGCGACTCTTACTGCTGTTCGCGGTGTCCAAATCTCTAAGTCGAGAATTGCCGTGGTCCTGCAGAACAGCGTGCGTGTATATGCTTTTCAAAAGCCACCTCAGCCACTCGCGAGATATGAGACGGCAGACAATTTCCTCGGACTTTGCTGTCTAACCGAGAAATATCTTGTTTTCCCCGGTAGGACAGCCGGCCAGGTTCAAGTCGTACAGCTAGCGACAGACAGTGTCAGCATTATCCCCGCACATTCTTCCAGCTTGAGGGCGCTGCAGCTAAGTTCGGATGGGGAATTATTAGCCACAGCAAGCGAGAAGGTACATAAATCCGATGTCTCATGTGTTCTATTAAACTAATTGTATGTAGGGCACGATTGTTCGCATTTTCTCCACAAGTAGTTGTGCAAAGCTCGGAGAGCGACGGCGCGGCAGCGAGTTTGCTACTATATATTCGTTACGTTTCAGCCCATCCGGAAACATGCTGGCTTGTACCTCGGACAAGGGGAGCTTACATATTTTCGACGTCCCTAATCCACGCAAAACTAGGCCAGTGTCACCAGCACCAAGCAGCGGCAGTTCCAGCGAGGCTAAGAATAAATGGGGTATTTTAAGCAATATTCCATTTGGCCCCTTTTCCGATGTCTACTCATTCACCTCTGCACCGTTCGAGACGGGTGAAGAGCCCCTCCTCCCTAGCCCCGCAAGCGCGATAGCTCGAGGAGACAACACTGTATTAGGCACTAGTAGGCCAATGAAAGGTGTCATCGGCTGGGTAGATGAGGGGACCCTTGTGGTTGTCGGTGCTGGACAGGACGCAAGATGGGAAAAATTCGTACTCAAGGAGGAAGACGGTCGTACCGTTGTCGTTAGGGAAGGATGGAAGAAATATCTCGGGAATTAGGACGAGCTCAGGGAATATTACGAGCAGCCCGTAGAATCATGGTTGGTAGATCCACAGAGTCGCGTTGGGGGTATTGATTCGAATCGGCATGGGAATTCAGCACGGAGTATATGGTATGGGATCTGGCGTTTATCTGGTTGGGGGGCGGTACCATAACTTTGCACTAGGATAGGTGCTTACAAAGGCCATTTAAACAGCGTTGGCTTCAAGGGGGGGGTATCTCTATTCAGCGACTAGACAGCATCGTCAATCCCTATATGATCGAGGAGATCTGCTTCTGCTTCTCCGTCGACTTTTGCGATCTCTATCTCTATCCCTGTCCTCATCTACGTAGCGTCTAGACCGTTTTTCGTGCCTGCCTCTATCATCACGATCTTTTCTTCGATCTCTGTCGTGATGCCTATCATGATCAACGTCACGTCTCCTCCGCGCGCGATCTGTAGAAACATCTCTTCGCCTTGGAGGAGTCTCATCACGCTCTCGGCTACCCCTATCCTTCGCAATTGGGGTTACATCCCTCTTTAGTCTTTCCTTCGCGGGAGGCGTTTCATCCCTTCTAGACCTCCTGTGGCGGTCGCGCTCCTCACTATCTTTATCCTCCCTCCTAGAACGGTGACTTCGATGGTGATGGTGTCTGTGCTTATCCTTATCCTTCTTATCTCTCTTCTCTTTCTGCTCGCCCTCCTTCCTCAACGCGCGTTCGACTTCTTTCTTTTTCTCCTCGATCAAGAAGCCCTTCATCGGATCATCCTCATCATGATCCTCAATCAGCTTCGCCAGCTCTATTTCCTCCCTAATCATCGGCCGTCTCTCCTCCTCTTCCTCACTAGTCACATCCTGCATATCCACATCCTCCCCATTCGCCTTCTTTTCACGACGCACGATATCCTCCCAGCTAACCTTAAACTCCTCAGGATCCTCATCGTCGCGGGGTTTATATCGCGCGTGGTCAACCCGTACCAACCTCCCCGCGATCTCAGCACCACCTAGATTATCCACAGCGAGGTCGGTGCTTCGTTGGTCCTCGTACTTGAGCCATCCGAAGCCTTTGCTCTTGCCGGATTCCTTGTCGCGCGCTAGTTTGAGGAATACCGGTTCGCCGAATTGCGAGAATATTGTTATGATGTCGCCTTCGGAGAGTTCGTAGGGCAGGCCGCCGAAGTTGATGAAGGCGGTGTCGCGGTAGTCGGTGTGCCAGGACGCTTCTGGGGGTCTAGGAAGAGAAGTCGTTAATTGGATTTCGAGACAAGTTACAAAGAGAATTGGGGGGTGACTGACACTCCGTTTTCGATTTCGCGCTTGTTGAGCGCTTGGATGGCTCGTATTTGATTCATCGCGCCGCGAAGAGGTGTCACCTGTCGTAATGACAACTCATGAATAAATAATCAGGAGCTTAAGAAGGCTATGAATTGTTTAAGAAAAATGACGAACTAAGCTGCAAGGCTGCAGAAGCTATACCGAGATTAGGAGGTTGGTGTTGTCATAGCTAAACCAAAAATCCACTATAAGCTCCGAACGTTAAGGTACCGTGCTCCGCATATAGGTACCTGTACCTTGACATTTAGGTACCCCGCGAACCCCTGTACTGCTTGTCCACTGGGGAAACGTCGGACCGTAGACACCTAAAGATCCACTAAATCCCAGCGATCCAGGCCTTAATCAAATGCCCAGGTTTGGTTGGAAGCTTCAAGGGGAACGAAAATGATAGATGGTTTTTTAATTTTATAATGCTGAAAGGGAAAAATCTAAATCGCCCATGAAACTAGAGAACATACCGACTTCCCAATATCCACCAAGCTCTTTTTCCACTTTTGAAACTTCTTTGTTCTATTGTCTAAGTCACATCTCTTTCTTTTTACCTACCCCTAGCTCTTAAATTATTTTACTAAATTAGGAAAAAGGAGGGAAAAGAGAAGAAAGAGAAGAATAAGGGTCCAGCAATAGATCGTCATTCCCTACGCGTTTCGGTTATAAATTTAACCCTTAAGACGCGTTCTAAGGGTCTGACAATTAGTCGCAACCCGATTACGCACGCTTGGACTTCCACATAAGCGCATACTTAACTTCCCTCCCCGATGCTACCAATCGACCGAAATCAAACATGACGGCCAATTCGAACCGGTTCTCTACGTATACGAGTGCCTCAGTAGGTACCAGCTCGGAGGGAAAGAAGGATGATCAGAAAAAGGACATGTGGAGCTCTATGCTCGACTCTGTCGCCAGCGGCAAGAGGTTACCTGAGAAGAATTTGCTAGTCCTTGGTACGAACAACCCGTATCCCCCGAATCGCTGGACCTAGGCGACTGACGAGATGTAAATAATAGGGGGTTCCGTGGAATCGCAACGAGATTTCCTCGAAGCTTTATCGAGTAACGACGGGCGAAAGAATATAGATCGAAATAATCATAAGGTCCCACCGATAGCGAATAACTTTGCTCTTGGATACACTTATTATAACGTCTTAGACGCAGATCAAGAGGGTTAGTCGAATACCGTTCTGACTAGTAACGACGAAGGTTAGAATATTACCGGTGCTGACCAGTACTAGATATCTTAGCACGAATATCGCTCTATCTACTCACCAGTCCTGCGCCCTCCTTTACCTCGCTCATTCAACCGCTTTTGACACCGCAATCTATCTCCAACACATTAATAGTAATATTACTCGACTGGTCGCAACCGTGGTTGTGGATGCGACAATTACGAGAATGGCTCCTGTTACTACGAACCGTCATTATGTCCCTTAGCGTGGAATGCAAAGAGACGATGGAAGAAGTCATGATTAGCTGGAGGGAACGTGGACGAACAGGCGGATCCGTGAACTTAGATGGCACAGGCGCAGTGGCGGCAGAAGGAGACGTTGCGCTACCCCTTGGGCCCGGGGAGTGGGAGGATGCTCTAGGCTTACCGCTCTGCGTCGTATGCCAGAATGTGAGCTTTCCTAGATCAACCCCCATATTTGCAATACTGACACCCACGTCCTAGTCCGAGCGGATAAACGAACTAGAAAAAACTCAAAGTTGGAAAGAAGAGAAGTTCGATCTCGTGCTTCAATATTTACGAACAGTCTTATTAAGGCGTATGTCATAATTCTAGTATCCATGACCGTTATTTGCTAACTCGCAACTAGACGGAGCTTCTCTAATTTACACGACGCCCTCTATACCATCGCCCTTACAAAGTCTCATTCACGCCAGTCTCGGAATACATTCATTATTAAAACGCGCCTCATTAAAAGCGAACGTTATCGACCGAGATAAAATTTTGGTGCCCCCGAACTGGGACTCATGGGGCAAGATTCGAGTCCTACGCGATGGTTTCGACGTCGAGCAAGTTAGTGAAGGGTGGTCAATAGATCTTGACAAACCCTTCCCAACGTCCAAGATAGAAGCCACAAACGACGTCAAGCACCAAATGCTAGGAGATACCGAATTTACGGACGAGTCCGAAGGATCGGCCGTGCTACTTTACGAAGAGCAAGTTCAAGATACAAGTCTTGACGCTTTACAATTAGCTCAAGGAAACCAGGACACAAGCAAGTTAGAGGTCACTTCAGCCGACACACAAGCCTTCCTCGCGAGTCAGTTGGAGCGACTTGAGCAAGCGAAGAAGGCCGACGAGAAAGCCGGCAAGGATAATACGTTTGCGCAAGGCGCCACTGATGATATGATTAGTGACCACATCGGTCCAGTCCAGTTCAACATGGGAGGCATTCAAGTGGATGCCGACGACATGGTCCAGCGGCTGAAGGTAAATCACTCCAATCCAATCAATACTGAACAAAAGCTAACCCAATAATAGGACCGACAAGCCTATGGACAATCTCCCGAACCGCATCTGGACGATGAGTCGCAACTTGAAGAGGGAGCACCACCAGTGGATACAGATACGCTGGCTAAGTTTTTCGGAAACTTGATGAATAGGAAACCTACGGCTGGGGGCAGCGTAACGAAGACGTGATAGGAGGAGTGTTGACGATGCTATGGATGCGATATGAAGGTCGGATTCATGATCAATTTATACGCGCCTAGGAGGACGTGGATGAGAACTACGAGAAGTAGGCTCAGACGATCGAACCAAATACTTCCAACTCACGGGTACCCAACGTTTCATTTCGTTTGTACAACCACAACCTACGGAAAGCATCTCCACATCAATGTCGGGAGTAGAGAAAGGAAGGACAAGGAAGGAAGGAAAGGGGAAGAGGGCGAGCAGCGAAAGCGAAGGAACTTGCCAGGGTTTCCCTTTATCCGGCGAAAGAGAAGACAAAAATTCAAAATACTCGCATTAGCACTTGGAGTTATCGGCTGTTCCGTCTTGTCTGTCCACCTTTTTTCTGAGTAGGGAGAAGAAAGAGGTGACACTGATTACAATCACCACCTCCTGCGTCTATGGTTCAAGACTGTAGAATAGGTAGATACCCCCTTTTAAATGATACTGTATGAAAAGAGAAGATAGTTGAATATGTGTTTATGCTTTTGGTGATGGTGATCGTGGCGTTGTACGAATCCAGTAACATGACTCATCTAAATACCCAGATACACCACGCGAACTCATTGAAGTTAAGTCACCAGGAACATAGAAAAAACGAGTTAGAATTACCATTGAGAATTGCGATTTTATTCTTTTCTTTTCTTTCCACCACAGTACATATAACCCCTAAACATCACCAATCGTTTCGTTCAACATACAAATTTCATCTAAACATTTCAGGTCGTAGTGGTCGTCTAGGTACTTATGCAAATCGCCAAGCAATGCAGAAGAACAGAAAGAACTTATAAGAGTACATCATCTTCCCCCCTAAACACCCCCCTTTGAAAAATAAAAGCCATAGACGCCTCCCTTCTGGTTGGTATCTACCTTTCAAATCCGTCCGACCCCGTTACTTTGAAAACAATGGTTGAAATTAATGTGGATCGTAAACTACCGAGAACACTACCGTGTGCGATACCCAATGCTGACCAGGACCCAGACCAACGCCCCGCGAGTCATCCTAGGGTTGAGGGGTTGGTGGGTGAGACGAATGGGATGAGTGGGGTGCGTAGAATGCGTCGACTTGGAGTAGATCATTGTCGCCTAGCCTGCGATATGTGCCATCCGTAGTGAGTGTGTAAAAGCCTGGTTCCTTCGGGAAAGTTGTGGCTCTCGGGTCTCGCTTGCTTAACCACGAACCTGATTTCTCGGGGGCGTGGTAACGGAGCGTGAATAATGCAGCTCGGGCCGCCTTGTGATACACAGACAATGGTGCAGAAGCGGGGTTATCGCCAACTGCGATCCAGTGTCGACCGCCTAGTTTCCAGGGGATAATACCGCATAGCAGACCAGGGAAAAGATTCGGGTGTTCTAACATTTCGACACCAAAGGCGTTGACGCTCTCCTTTGCTAGGTATATGTACTTCTTGTCGCCTAATAGTCCGCCTAGTCTAAACAAGTTCGACACTGACACCGCATTGACAGACGGCTGCGACGTATCCATCGCATCCTTGATGCGGAGCAGCGTATACGGTGCACCTAGAACCGTAGAATAGAAGGCTCCGCATCTAGCGTTGGCTGTCGTGGGAGTAGGCGTAGGGTTATCGTAGAAGAGTTGGATTTGGAGTGTTTGTAACTCATCCGCCCACTCAAGCCAAGACTCCTCGGTAGTGGCTTCGTAAAGCTCAATTAGGCCCTCGATTAGTAACGCATAGTCTTCGGCGAACCCTTCAATGTCGGTACGACCCTCAGAGTATACTCGGTAGAGAATTTTCTTTCCGTTATCCCACAGTTCGTTTTTAACGAACAAAGCCGCCTTCTTGGCTACTTCCAAGTACTTCTGTGCTCTTCCTGATTCTTCGGTACCCGTATGTAGTAATGCTAGGGCCGTTCTTGTTAACCCAGCAATGGCCATGCCGTTGTATGCCGTGACCATTTTAGTGTCCACGTCTGGATGAACACGTTCCTTTTCTCGATGTGCACGCAGCTTCTCTTTTGCAGCTGCAATTCGTTGCCTCACTTCGTCCTCCGGGATGCCTAGATGCTTACTCAATCTCGCGGAGTTTTTAGCGATGCATAAAACATTCTGGTTAAGAAACTCGTCGTGGGGATCGTATTCGCGATCCACGTTACCATGCTCATGGACATTCCAATATGCAGCAGCAATCTCGCTATCTTGTTCATCGCCTACGATAGCGTCAAACTCCTTTCTCGTCCACAGGTAATAAGCACCATTGAGCATGACTTTGTCGCCCTTTCGGGTGTATGAGTCTGCTGCTTCGCTGGTGAAGAAACCACCTTTTGGTGAAAGAAGCCTGTCACTGACAATGTAATCGGCAATCTCGGTTACCACGTCTGCAAATTCATCATACTTGGTACCTCCGGACAAGAGCCAGGCGTCTAGGAAAAGACCAAGGAGTAAGACATTGTCAATCAGCATCTTCTCAAATGCAGGTAGAGACCAGTCTCTTGTGATGGAGTATCGGTGGAAACCACCCCCTATGTGATCATGAACGGCGCCATTGGCGATTCTTCGTAGAGTGTGAAGACCCATGCCACTTATGTAGACGCACTCATTAGGTCCGACTACATCTTGAACAACTTTGGGAAATCGCGTAGCTCTCAGGAGTAATGAAAGTTTCGCAGGGGTAAGGAACTTATCCTCAAGACCAAACCCACCAAACATGGGATCGAAAGTTTTCGTGATTCGCTCATAAGCTTCCTCGATCTGATCCAAGTCAACTTCGCCGTAGACTTCTTTGTAGTAGTCAACAGTCGTAGTGGAAGGCTCTGTTTGAGCAGGATGTTGGTGAGGCTGCAGGAAGTCGGTTCCTGCGTGATTCAAGGTCCCCTCTGCTGAGATGTGGCTCAATTCAACCACCATATTCTTAGCCTCTTCGCGCACACGAGGTTCTTCATCCACCCATGAAGCGAGGACTTTCTTGATTACGACGAGCCAATCTAGAGGCTTCTCAACTCCATCATTTTCCGCCGCGACATCATCCTGAACACCGGGCGCCGCCCAATACGTTCCACTGAAGACAGGCTCTAGCTCGGGAGTAAGGAAAACATTCAATGGCCAACCTCCAGTTCCGCTGAGAGATTGATTGTAGCTCATGTATATGTTGTCGATGTCGGGTCGCTCCTCGCGATCGATGAGGATAGGGATGAAGTTCTCATTGAGTAGTGATGCGACTTTGGGGTTAGAGAATGACTCTTGTCTAGTAAGATAACAGTCTGGGAGGAAGAGTTAGTATTGATGAATTATGTGAGTCTGTCATATTTACTTACAATGAGAGGCAAGGAACCCAATGCTGAGGAATATGAGCTTGTTCTCCTTCTTGGCTCTGGAGACCGCATTGTCGTCTAGAAGTTGCCATGCTACAAGACTGTCGGCATGCGCTCGTACAAAGGGACTTTTGCTGTGTCCCGCACGATTTCGTAGGGGTTCGAGTTCGACGGACCCTGGTAATGTTTCGGCTCCGGTGGGAACAGTTGTGTTATTCGTGTGGTTCTGGGATGCTGACAACTGAGCTCCAGCCTGCGCAGGCTGCTGGAGCTGTGCTGACATCATCTTGTTCTGGGGATTGACTTGTGGGATCACGCGCGAATCTACGTCAGGTCTTTATTGAGGGGATAATGACAAAATAAGAGCTAGGCGGCAGCTCCCGCCGTTGAATTGACCAACGTTCCTCCAATGTCTTGTATTCGGGAAATAATTGTCGTCTCTGGGGCCATTCGCCGTGAGAAAAAAAAAAATAATAGGTAGCTTTGTGAAGCTTATGCTACCTACGATGTTATGACGGCGGGGTTTGGTGGGTAAGGCTGCGGCGTCCAATGGCGCTTCTTATAATTGCTTTCGGGATTGAGATGTACCTTAATAATGCACGGAATGTCGTCGTCCTATTTAATGAGCATAACACAGGGTAGGACAGGAATATAGACAAGATTATCGTGAAGACGGAAGAAAATGGAGAATATGGTGAGGGAAATGACGGGTAAAGCTACACAACGCCGCGATAAAGTACCAAGGTAAGGTGGAGGTAGTGGGTGAGTGGTGGTGGGTGGTGAACTAAACAGTGGAAGGCAACCCCAAAATCGAGCCCCACCATCGAAATTCTTCAGCTAACGCCGCTGCAACGCAAACGCCAGTCAGGTGGAAGGTAAGCTCTGAGGTATCTACAGGGCTACGGTACCTAGGTAATATAAGCTAATAAACATGATGTAAGTGGGCAGGAAGCGTGGGTCGCCGTGGGGTAAACTTTTTTATTTTTTCCACGCATGAGCTCTCTAGCAACAAGCCACTCCCGAAACAAAACTCCACTGTATGTACCTAAGACTTAGCGTAAACTCTCCTTGTACATCGGATTTGTGAAATGTGATAGGTTTCTTCGACTTTCCTTTTATGTCTTGCCGTCCTCTCACCTGTTACGAAGAAAAAGCAAAATAAAAATAAAAACATCACACGACAATTTGGATTTTTATAGGGTTATATTACAGGGACAATAGGAAAATTACTAACAAAGGAACTAACCAAAACTATCCTACACAATCTAATATATCCCAATATGAATATAGTATACAAAAAAGTCTTATCCTACAAACAAACACCAAAAACAGAAACTGTCTACAATCTAGCCCTCTACCCCTGAGCTACAACAGGCTTTGAAGTCACACCGGCACTCACCGGTCCAACAGCCGTGGAACTAGTCTCGGTAACCGCATCCATAGCCACTCTATCAATCCACACCTCATTCGTCTCCGCCTTATCCCCCAGCGCAAACGAGAACACGAGCTGAAGCATGCGCTCGTTGCTCGCAGTCAGGTACGGGACTTTTACATGAGTCCAGTTTCCACCAGTATCAACGCTTGTGGCGTCTACACGGTGTGCTACAGCTCCGTTGGCGTACAAATTGACGTAGGAGCCGTCGCTAGCATCGTAGTTTTCGGTGAAGTTGGTAAAAGAGCCGGTTCCAAAGCGCACCCAGAATGAAACCACCCACTTCGATCCGGGTGGTTGCGGCGGCGCGATTAATGGGCTGACGAGTCGTAGATTTGCGCGCAAGTCATCCGTCTGTAGGTTCCGCCTCATATCAACACGGAATGCGCCGCAGGACCCATCGGCGCCGGGACCTGTGACCTTGTAGCTTGTTGATACAATATCGACTAAGTCAACGCTCCAGGGCGAGAGTCCGGTCTCAAAGTCCCCGTTCTCGACTGTGGAGTCAATTGCAGGGGCTGAAGTGCAAGAGGGGTCGCTGTTGGACGAGGTCGAGATTGGTGATCCAAATGTGGACGTAGATTTGCTAAAGGTGTGGTTGAGTGCAGAAGATGGGAACGGGAACGGAACGCCGGTGGAGAGGTACCCACTACCGCTGCCGCCGGGCAGGGGGGTTGGGGTGACTTCGTGAATGGTGGAGTTGGGGAAATAGTGGAATGAGCTGCCGGTCGGAGTTTCGACGCATGTTGTGTCACTTGGGGTGATTCCGCTTACAGTGATGGGCGTAACTGGAGTGGGATCAGATGAGGATCCTGAAGAGGTGAGTAATGATCCAGCCGACGTTGTTGTTGAGTTGATTACAATAATGCCCGAAGATGTCAATGGTGAGGCCGATGTGGGAGCAGTCGGATTCAACATGGTTGATGAGCCCGTGGTCTGTCCATTGGCCGGGTTGGTTGATGTCGATTCCGAAATACACGTCGAGTTTGTCCAACGCGCAGAGCTACTGGACATCGGGTTCCCTGATGGAATTGTAGCCGAGCCGGAAATAGTCGAAGTGGTGAATGTTGACAACAATATTGAAGACGATCTTCCGGATACATGCGAGCCTGTGGTCGACAAAATGCTAGAGGTATTCGAGGGAACAGAGACCGGAATATCTGAAGTCACAATTGTGGATATCGTACCCGTCGTTGTTGATACTGAAGTCGTAACTGAGAGGGTAAGTGATGATCCCCGGCCCGAAGTTGTTGTTTCTATAGTCGAGGCAGATTCCGACGAGTGCGAGGCTTGCCCGGTACCACTGAGAATAGTAGTCGCGGAAGTAGTCGTCGTTGGTACAGATATGGTTTCCGAAACCGAAGATCTGACGCTTAAGGTACTTGATATCGTCGAGTTGGATGTTAAAGAAGCAGATGTTGAACCGGAAACGGAAACAGAAACGGACGCAGAAGTCAGGGCAGATGTGGGAGCGGAAACGGATGCGGAGGCTGAGATAGAGGCAGAAGTAGAAGCAGAAACAGAGGCAGAGGCAGAGGTAGAGTCAGTAGTGGGAGTGCTACTTGTCGATGGGACCAAGGTAAGAGACCCGGGTGACGACTGACCATTACCCCCTCCTACCGTAGTTGAGGTAGTGAGCGTGGTTGGAATTGTTTCAACGATGGTAGTGGAAGACGAAGTCGCGGTGGGCGAAAAGGAAGGGCACGCAACGCCACAAGCACAAGCAGAGATATATGCTCGCTTGTCCGTGTTGCCACACTACCGAATTTCCAGTCAGCAATTACCTCTTCGACTCAAATGGTTATGAACTAGTTTGGTTTATACTAACAGCAGCTGTTGCGCGAGCTGGATAGTTGGTGGCGCCGTAGTGGCCCACGGTTGAGCAGTAGTTCACGGCTTCAGCGAGACCAAGTATATTGTCGCAAGGGAAAAGCGCATTGTAACATCTATCAAGCAATCAGATACTCGGCCTCTTATATCAGTTTGTCGCCATGTGTGAGACTCACTCGTCTCGATTGCAACCGGACTGCGCGCGAACGGCCAATACGAAAAAGCATAGGGTCCAGCTAGCTAGCTGGGTTGGCGTGATGGAAACCATCTTTAGTAAGGAACTAAGCGAGTGTTTTCTTGATAACTATTCGATGTATGGAGTAAAGGCGATGCACATATGAGTATCAAGAGCTCCACTGAGACGAGAGCCCTATGGGTTATATACAACTTGACTGTCAAAGGTCCTTGCGGCTCCTCATCTTGTCGTCACACATATAACAAGATTTGCAAGTAATAAGTCGCGAGACATACTTCCTAATAATCGCACAATTCCACGATTATACCAGGCCTTGCTTTCAGCTGGCTGCCTGGAAAAATGATCCAAAGAATGATATCTGTAACATAGGCCAGAAACATTCTGCACAACCGTTTTGTGTCAAATGCGCACCGCATCAAGGTACGCGTAGGACAACAATGCAATCGAATAGCCTCATCCAAGACAGGAATCTCCGCATGTGCTATCGTAACGAGCGCGTGTCCCCCGACGCTTGAGGGAGCCTAATTTATGGTTATTCTCCCCCATGTAACCTGTCTCGTCTATATTCCAAAAGATCTGGTCTGGCCGAGACACGATATTTCCGGGATCGTAACATCTTACCAAGTTTTAAACTGACGTTCGCATATTGTTATGTCTTTCAACCCCTACGCGTAGGCTGAAGCTATTCGAGGCTTAGCTATCGCCCCTGGAATTGTGATCATCGAAATTAGACATACCTTCTTTATCATCGCTGAATAAGGGGGACTCATGTTCACATGTGATCACTAACGGATGGATTATCGCAACGTCTTGGGGAGAGAAGGCCTCCGGTTATGCACCATCGAGGTTCCAACAATCATGTTATCTAAGATCTATCGAGGCGGTCATGATGGCGAAGCAGTCTATAATGTCTCTATTTACCGTACCAGAAGCTGGCTCGGTCATGATTCTACCTAGGTGTTTATCAATGCGTGTACACTCCTACCCAGGTACTTAATGGAAACTACACATGTATTCAACTTCAACAGCTATTTCTTAATATGATATTCAATAACACTATGATTATTTACTATTATGGCCCCTCAATGCGCGTCTAACAGCCATACACTTCAATCGAGTACGACCCACGGTGACGTGCCTCGAGTTTCCCATTTTCATTAGTAACCCCTTTTCTTCACTTGAACGAGGCATATCTAAGGATAGAAACTTCCAACTCCTAGACTTGAATGCTATTGAAACTCATCCTGACTCGAACGCTGAGCTAATGCCCAAGTGGCGAATTCTTTTGCATAAACCGCCTTACACCCTATAGCCGCCTAAAGCAGCGACTCCTATACCCCAACATGCGGCATTACAAAATGTAGTTCTCCGGGGCTAGCCCTTAATCCCATACCCAGGTAGCTCGCTATTCCAGCTCTAAACTCTAAACCCGAAGGCCATAGTAACATCACCATAGGTGTATAATCCAAGCATGTCTATACCCATCTCCATCTTCGTTCTCCGCCGACGGCTTTCTACTCTATACCCACATAGCCAGCTAGCTATGTAACCCCTATAGGTCTCGTGCCGCAACAACGCCATCCAATAAATCTCGGGAATAGGGCCAACGCAGCGGCACGTAAGACCGACCCATCATGCATAAACTCCTACCTTGGGTGGACGCGGTGTCTATCTACCCTATATCCTATATATGGAGGATCAGACATTTCCCCCCGGCCGGATTGATGTGCCCACGGCAACCCCTGATTTCGGAGATAGGGATTAACCGGGCCACGGCGCTGCGTCAATTGGTGTAGGTAATGTACTTTGTTATAGGGCTGCCCATACCTACTTGGGCATCTGGATGAATGAATGAATGAATATCTGTATATCTGCTTACATAGCACACCTCTACCACGCCGCGCGCGGCAGCGGCAGGGCTGAGGCAAAGCTATTAGGTACGGTCCTCGGACTCTCCTCCCCCAGAAAAGCACGCACGGTCAGCATGCCCCTTGGTCTTGGGAATTGCCTACCATTCGGTGTTTAAACGAAACGAAAGGACCCTGCACACATAACCACAACCTTGGTAGTTATCGGTACTCGGCACCCGATGAATCCCAACGATGCGATGTTTTCCAACGGCATATGGCGCTGTTGTGCCGCGGACGGAGTATGATTACAATCTTTGCTTATAGATCCGGCCGAGCGAGCGAGCTAGGTAGGGGAGAGTAAAATCGGTCGGTAGCTTGGATCCTCTTGGCGCGTAGTGTCAGGGCCAGATCTTTCTTAGAACCATTCTAGGGTTCGGGTTCGCATCAATTTGTAATAATCGGCTTATGTTAGATATCTCAGGCACGCTAGTGTCTGGTCTGGGGGGCAGACAGGCAGAAGGAAGAGACGAAACGAAAGATTTCATATTTCACATGCGTTAATCGATCTGGCCATCGACCCCTGCACGATTGATTGATTGATGGGGATAGGAGGACACCGCTAATTACAGACGGATGAGATGAGTAGATCAATTGGTCCAGCTACCTATGCTAAGAATGCATTAGAAACGAGGTCCGAGTAAGAGTACGAAACAAGTTATGTAGACTATGGTATGTTGGTACTTACCTCTACCCACCAATGTAGACCGCAACGACGCTGATTCAGTCAATCCGAAAGTGTCCCAAGTTTGAAGCACCCCCAGACTTTACCAATGGGATGGGTTCCCCGGAGGCGGTCCGTTACTAATGGCGACATTTACCGTATGCGTGGAATTATTCATGATTATTAACCTGGCGGCCTATTTTGTCCGCCCGCTGGGTAGAAAGTCCGCTAGTTTGTACGCCTATAGGATAGGTGTTGATATAATAATACCATGATAAGCACTGACAAACTAGGGAAATCTCCTTTGGGAATATAATATTCCTAGTTCGGTTAAGTCGCTGTGGAATTTACACATTAGTCAGGGCAATTTCCACTATAGGCTTGGCTAGCTTGGGTATTATCTTTTTTTTCTTCCTCTTTTTGTTGTCGTTTTATCCCGTTCGATTTTTCTTATTCACCTTACCCACAGCAATTCCCACATACATACCAGTACCATGGAGTACTTTCATACTCAACATAGGAAGTATCATCATGACTCCACTAACCGAGGCACGAGGACCTTCACACAAAGTCGACAACGTGGCGGTAGGAACTCCGTATACCCTATGCGCCACTGATACTGAGAGCGACTATTTTCCTGTCAGGGTAAGACACCTCCGTACCGGTTCCGCAGAGTGGGGGGTAAAGGTGAAGAAAGCCGTTCCCGGCTCCTTTCCAGTTTTCGAGCAGGGGAGCTTTCAATGATTCATTAGATAGGATTAAGGTAGGTAGATCGGGTTAACATCAAGTAAAGTACATCTATACGAAATTATGGAAATAGGGCTGTGTTCCTCTGGTAGGTACTAAGAAGCATATGTATGTACTTTTGAGTACCTATCTTCTACTTCTAGCATCCTTGATATCATAACCTATCTGACGCGCGCGCTTCGACATCGATAACCCTCACTAAAATGCGCTTTGCCTCACTTTCATGAAGCTCCTAAGGTGTCTTTAGATTCGGAAGTGGAACCGAGGCCAATATATTTTAAATATGGGGTTCACCGCACATGGGCACCTGGGCATGGGGGATAAGTTACATAGTGACCTCAAATGGTTATGCGATCGACGTAAGGGGCTGATAAATGTACAGATTTAATGTGGGAAGTTCAAGTCATAAGGCGCGCCATCGGCATAACTCGCGCATAAAACGGGATAGCGATAGAAGCGAGCTTCCTTTTCCCTTTCATATCTTCTATCTTTATTATGTTTGCATCTATCACGAATGTATTACTACAGTGTAGAATGAACTTGCGCATGTTTGTAGACTTACATAGCTATTAAAAATTACCTTGATGAGATCGCATTAGGTGTTCTGTAGTTTCTAATCGGGATCGGACTATTATAGAAATGTATCCTGGTCCTGGATTCTTCTCACCTTCTTCTCTCGGGCTTTTGAACAACGCCGGCAGTGAAGAGAAATATATAGGTACGGTAGAGTGTTCGGGTCCGAAGTTAGCCCTGCGTCCCGAGATTACTATAATATGCTACTATCTTAGCTGTACTTTCGATACTTCGGGGACGCTCAGCCTAGAAATTAGCATGAAGTGGCCTTGGCGTCGTATGTATCTCGTAGTCTTATGTATATGGGGTATAGAATGGAAAACTTCTCGGAAGGTTCTTTGGCTTAGCCTTTTTTTATATGGGTTATGAATGGAAGATTTTAAACGAAGAATGAATTCCCTGTCATCTAAGATACACAAAAAGAATAGCAAGAAAAGAAAGGGAAAATACAAAAATAATGTCACCGGGGAACGGAACGTTTCTCAATTCCGCACCCCGGTTGTCCTCGGACCCCGAATCCGCAAAATAACAAAAAATCAACAGCGAGATCAATAGCAATAGGCTGCGTAGATTGAATACCGGAGCGTTTGTTCCTTTCCTTGCGGAATCCGTGCCTGACCGACTCAATTACCTGCATAACTCGCACCCACGTGGGTAAGAATATGTATCCGAAGCTGATGCTTAGGATAGCTTTTTAGGTACCTAAGTAGGTATCATCACGCTTCCTATTTCCGTTAATGCAACCCCTGCACTTATTGGGGAGCATCATATACAGGGTATAAATGTCAATCTGTCAAAAGGTGTGGACATTCATGATATGTATATCGTTTCTGGGGGAGGGGAGGGGAGGGTTAGACGACTTGCATATTCTATCTGGGGACAGGTAGGATAGGTATCTGAATTAAGGATCAGGATAAGATGATTATCATGGCAAATGATGACGAATTTTATGGCGGGTGCCGCTGTGACGGTACGATACTGTGCTAGGTATTGCTGGCTATTGCCGTCTTCCGTGAACTTGACCCAAAGTTCATCGTCCCCTGGCGTGCGTGTAGGGCAGGAAAACGGTCAGACGGTGGATGTATTATGTAAATCAGTCTTGTGTTCATTTGCCCAAGTAATATCTGATATAGCTTCCCATGGAATAGGCACAAATACGCACAAATACGCAGACACGTAACACGGGAAACGATATGCAGTGGTCGTCTGCGTCGACTAACGGGGGGGAGGAGCTTGGGTTTATTTCGCATTCCAACCATACATACACCTATATTAGAGGATTAGGCAATTAATTAGTTGGGTAACAAATGAGGAACGAATACGACGGAATTTGCTGTCGTAAACATATTGGTTTAATTTCGCGGCGTTGTGCTGTTGCGGTGGCTGAGTACAAGCGAGCGCCATCATTACTTACGACGACTTTGAATACCTACCTACACCCATAAACGCGAGCCCTACCCCAGGTACCAACCTTAGATCCTTACTAGGTAGTTATTCTCCGTAAGGCAAGCAAGGGTATGTGTGTTTATGTAGGTATATGCTGTGTATGTTTGTGTGATAGGTGTGTGTGAGATAGGTATTGAAGCAGCGAGGATTCATCGTGTAACTTATCCCGGGGCGCATTTTATGCTTACGTAGGCTCATTCATGGTATTATTACTCAATTAGGAATCCGAATTGACGGTGACGATTTGGAATCCCCTACCTTAGGTACTTTAACTATAGTAGGAAACAATCTGGGGAAATCAGTAGGGAAACAAGTATAGACCGAGGATGGGCTGGTGAGATGCGCGGCACACGGCGTTTATCCTCGCGCCGAGAATATTGAAATACGCAAAACCATACGGGGAATTGTTTCTTTGTTGGCTCGTTGGTAGGTATGTTGGTTAGTAGAAGGTCAGCTTCGCCTCAAATATCATTTCTTGAAATAACTAAATGCCTCCCTAGATTTGAAATAATTCTATCTAGGTACCTTATACTTGTCGCCACAAGGGTACTGTGCCGCAGGTTAACTCCCCGCTCGGCGTGCACGAGCTTGCAGTCTGCAGATAAACGAAATGCTAGGTGCTAAGTCAGGTAGGGAAAGGTACCCAGGCTGCCAGGTAGGTAAGCTAAGAAGTATGGTACCTGTAAGCAATAAGCGAAAGAGAACTGAGAAGAATAAATGCGAGAGACGGTGAATCCTAGGTCCCTGAAACGGGAGGATTTTTCAAATCTGGATCATATGGACTCGTAGGGCTTGTAAGATAGGAATACCACTCAAAGGAGGATTATCAAAACGGGATTCAGGAATTTCACCGAAATATGGCTCGATTCAAACAATTCACGATTGGGAAATAAATGATTAATGGTAACGTAAGGTAGTAGTAAAAAGTCGTGAATATGGTCCCATTGGATTTAATTATTGTAATTCGTAACTCGTAGCCCGCCGCGACCCGAAGGTGGGTTCGCTCACGAGATGAACGAGGGATAGAGAGGAAAAAAAGGAACCACCCCTCAGCTAAGGCAAGGTAAGGTCAAAAGGTATGTAACATCAAGGAGGGGCAAATAATGGAGTTATGAGTTATGGACATAACGCTGGAAATAAGACCACCAACGCCGCAGATGCATTCCTTCTCCTGTCTGTCTCGTCTCGTCTCTGTTTCTACCGCCCAACTTGTTGGTAATACAACGATGGTTCGTGATAGCTCTCTCTTCTTTCAGTGACCATCAATTATCCCCGAAGTTCGTCTATAGTTGTAGCTTGGAAAATTCGACCGCTTGATTTTCGCTCCCTAGCTCTTCTTTTAAGAACCAGGTTTGCGCGCATGTTGATTCCCTTCAGCCAAGAAAATGAAAACCGATGAACGCCGTGCAATTATGTGTATGAAGCAACATTGCAAACCACCACCAACCTTTTGCCCACTCCTAATGCTCCGAGTTGAATCCATTAATATCCCCCCATGCATGTATCTCGTTAAGATCGTAAGGACTCCATATTGTAACCAGAGTAGATCATCGGATCTCCGACTCCCAACATGACTTCAGGATTTGCGCATTGGATCATATGCGGCTTGATTGTTCCAAATTCCGATCCGACAAGTCCTTGGCTTAGCATCATCTCGGCCATATCCATATCCATCCCTTGCATGAACTGTGGTGGTATGTCCATGGAGCTTGGCCTGCTCATATTCCAAGTCGGGAATGACGTGGGGGCTGAGGGCGATTGGACGGCGAATAAACCCCTCGAGGAATCCATTTCGGGCTGCATGGCTTTCGAATCTAAATCGTAAGACGTGAAGCTTTGCGGCGACATGGTTTGCATGTTTTGGCCACCTAAGACTTTCCTATAATCTTGCTCAAAATCTGAGTGGTCAAGCTCCGATGAGCTTGCGCGGTCTGTCCTCGTGCAATTGGACTCGGTCTCCGATCGATGTTCCGTAGCATGCGCTTCCCTATCTCTTTCTCTTTGTTGAACATCTAATTCAGCTGCTAGCTTTGCGAGGCCAGCTTCGTCTTCGGGGAATATTGAGTGAGGTGGTAGATCGGCGTCCGCATTGGGTCGTATGCACCCGAGCTTCGTTGCGATGTTGTGAATAACCGGTTGCCCCCTATCGTTAAGCTCTGGCTCTCCTAGGTCCCACGATTGGCCATTCCTGACCATGGCATATAGCTTGTGGACGGTGGCTATCAGTGCGAATTGAGTGTTTTCTAATACTTCGGCATATCTAGTGACCAAGTTAGTCTTTTGGTCATATTATAATAAAGGGGGAGCTTGCTATACCCTCTAGGCAATTGCTTGTATTCGGTCTTCTTTCGTGTTCCAGCTGTGCATACTAATCCGTCATCCTTACACCTCTTGCATGGAAACTCTCCATCACACTATAACAGTGTCAGTAACAACAGTGCCTATGCCGAATTGGCTATCTGCTGACCTTTGTCTTCTTCATCCTACACCTCTCACAAGCTTTCCATACTCTCTTATGCCTGTTATCCATAGCATGGGGTGAGAGGGGTGGTGGGTGATCATGAGTAGGAGAATGCGTGATGTGATTGGACGCTCGCTTCCCAGGTCGATGTATCGGCTTAACTGATTTGTTACCAGAAGCTGTATTCCTCCTCGACGACGACGATGTGGATGTTTTCATATTGTCCTCTACGGGAGGCGTTGGCATCCCACTTTCCATTTTGGGTGGTCCGACTTCCACGGAAGGTAACTTATGTAATACCAGGGTTGGGTTAAGTTATGTGTGTAAGTGGGAGTGGGTGGATGGGTGGGTAGGTGTGAGTTATAAGTAAGTGTAAGTGTGTAAGTGGACTTGAGATCCTGTGGTGGCCAAGTACTACAGGTATCTAATTGTGAGATCTTAAAAAAAGACTAGAGTCCAGATCCAGGAACAGATATCAATTAAGAAGAGGGAGAGGGAAAAGAAAGATTATTCGAGGAATCTGGTCGATAAAATGTGACTCTTCCACAGGAGATTAATAATGCAGGCAGATGAACCGAGCTTTAAAGGGCGTGACGATTATGTGATGTTGCCCGTTTAGATCCGGCAACTTTATTCTGGAATCCCAGCGGATGAGACTAAAAATCGACCAGGGGGAAGGTCTTTAAATCGGCCGGGCTTTATGTCCGAATGTGCGGGCTAGGTGGGTTAGCGACTTGCTGACTGGTCGATTTTGGTAGTTGTAAGTCTTAGATGGAACCTGGGAAACCCATACGGTTATGGGTTATGTTACGCCCCCGGAGGAATTGCAAAGCCTTGTGTCAGGATGATGTATACCTCTCTGCAGTTTGTTGTAACAATCATCGAAATTCGGGGTGAGTCGTAGACGTATTTCTTTGTGCCGAGTCTCCTCGGAGCTGTTGATATGAGGAGAGGGAAGTTGAGGCAGAACAAAGGACTGGAAGCTGAAGTTATGTATTATGCCGTGCCGTAGATAGGTATTTCTACTAATCGGTTCAACGGGATAAATATTGCAACAAGGGTTAGGTAGAGGAACTAGAAGGTAGCACAAAACAGGACCAAGACGATGGTGACCTTTATCTTATATTCGGGATGCGAGATGCGTCTACTACTACCTAGGTATATACGTATATATAAGTGTGTCTCTCTGCAGGAGGTTTGTATTCCCGCATAGGCGGTGGCCTATAATGGTCCCGTCCCACCACGGCTATGAGCGAGCGAGATATGTATAGTGAATAATGATGATGAGTGAGTGAGCGAGGAAGTGACCTTTAGCGAAGGATCAGCCCAGCCCAGACACAAGGAACAAAAAAAAGTGACATATAGATACATCCGTCTACATGACGATCGGGGTCGAAAGTCGCGAAAAGTGACCGACTTATGGAGGTGGCTCAGTAAGCCCGTGCTATGAGTACAACCAGAACAGGGCTAACGTTAGTAAACAAATTCGGAGTTATGCTTAGTTAGTTGTGCAAAGCCTGCAAGCCTGCAAGTGCAGCATAAACCCTGGCTGAACCCTGCCGCTGGTTTAATGGTCAAATAATAGTCGAATCGGGACACACACTTCCTGACGTTTGCACAAACCTGCATAGCGGAATGCAACAGCTCCACCACTAATGACCGCTAATGTACATACATAGTATAATGTATGTTACTTACGGTATTAAGCTCTATTCTCAGTCCCGTCCCGCCGTCTACACCACCCATATCCTTGCGTACATACCTGGTAGGTATCCCTGTTAGGTCGATACAATATACGTACACCCATCTGTAGTATGTAGATCTCTTAGTGGGTAAACTGCTAACTCCGAGTTGCCAGGTTGCTAATGATATCAATTCAATGTAAGCGTATCTGTAAGCAAGGGAGAGTTGTAGGCCTAATATCTAGCCGATATAGCAATTGCTCAAGCTGATACACAGCTTGAACTTTTGTTTCAGTCCTTGTGAGGCGTATTACGATGTTATTTTGTTCGAGTCCACAATTCGTTATTTCGATCAGGGCTTCTGTGCCTCTTTGTCCTCCGCGAGAAATTATTGGATCAGATCCCGAATTCGAAACGGCATTTGGGATCCATAAAAATCTCCAGTTCATAGTTCTTTCGAATCTTCCAGGAGTGTCAAGTTATGAATTGCATAGCTTTAGGATCTAGGAGAAAGGATGATACTTCTCCCGTGTCTAGCGCAAGCCACTAATAGGAATTGTGACTTGTCCCCTATTCATGCTAGATATTTCTTGGTATTCTTGGTATTCTTAGTATTCTTGGTACCTATCATAACTGCGGCTCTGCCAATGCGCGCTAATGGCAGCTAGAAAATTGCCACGGCCGGTTTGGATTTATGTTGATTAATGTAGGAATCATAATGATGACAATGATACTCATGTCATACATGCTTAGATTGTTGTTGCTATGTTTATTCTTCTCGAGATCCTTTTTGAGTTCGAATTCTTCCTGTTCTACGATGTATTTCTCCCAAAGTGGACACGATCAAATTAAGTCTTGGCTCTCCGAGTCGATCACCGATGCACGGTAACATGTTCCTCAGGATAGATCCTCTGTGGAACACGAACGGGTTCGAGGTTCGTCCCTTATTTAGCGTATTCCCAATGGGTAGGTTTGGTAGATCTGGAGAGAATCCTCTTAGGATTTTATGCATGTGGTCTTCCCACGGAGAGATAATTGTTTACTTGTCTTGCTTCATTCGTATAGATAGGCGAGCTATTACTGTATCGTGAGATTACGATAGCTACAGTAAAAAGCCTACACAGGAATCGTACAGCGTAAGGAGTACTTGGTTACTTAGGCCAAGGCGATGTGGTCGTACAAATTACAGTAATCATTTTGCGCATACGCGGTCGATCGTACCTATAAGTGTGGTGTATGTGCTGGAAATAGTTACAACTAAAAATTACATACATTGAGGGCGTTCCACCGCTTCCAAGGTGATACCTTCGCATGCTCATAGCATTGAATGGCGCATGTACACTAACTAATCAACGAGAATCGATGACAACTTCAATCAGAAAGCGGAGTGGGGAATTCAAGCCACTCCGCGGTTTGTCGTACTTTCGATTTGTGAGCTGAAGCTCATTCTAGAAAAGGGAATGCTACTTAGATATGATTGGCCAAAGAGAGAGGTGGGGTTAGGAAGAGATGATCGTCGCTGGGATCCCATATTGAGCTTTTTCTTATTGTAGACCGGAACGGTATGAAAATGCCGTTGTCGGCTCCGATTTTTATGTTATACACCCGAATCCGAAGGGTTAAGGGTTTAGGAGTACATTGATATTTAATGTTGAGAATGGTAAAAAGGGGGATAGATAGTATTCCGTTCTAGGTAAGTCCGCATTCTATATGATACATGATGGTGTCGTTGAAGAAACTCTTATGCATAAAAATTATCCTGGACCCGAGAATCTGGGTAAAGGGGTGGTTGGGCCAAGAAGATCGACAAAAAAGCACACGCCATCAAAGTTATCAATCAAATTAGCATCGAAATTTTTTATTTTCCATGTGAGCATACACATACAGATATCCATACATGCTCACTTCCGGATCAAGGCCAGGGTAAGGGTAGAAATTACCTAGTGTAGAAGAAGAAAAAACTCCAAAAAAAAAACGATCACGAGAACGAGCACTTTACAGCGGACCTGGTCGATCGGTGCTCGGCCGCGACTTGGGCGGGTCAAGTCTCGCTCTCCGAAACGCCCCCATAACCGAGAAATGTTAGGGGAATCCTACTCTTCAAACCCTTCCTTTTTCAACTAGGACTAGGTGATGCCACGAGGTTACCTGCCTTAACTAGGGTTCTAATGGCTCCAGTACGGGAATTGACTCAAATTTCGTATATTATGTAAGAAAAGAGAAAAACGGTACTTGCACATAACGACGACAAGGAATAAGTCCCTCATCCCTCGCTTCCAAGAAAAACCAAAATTTCGTCAGACCGGCAGACAAATATATCAACATATCGACAAACCCTGCATTAGGATCTACCCCCAAATGAATTTCTGCAGCCCTGTCTAGCCCTGCCTACCTCTTTGCCTGCCCCGTGTGTCACGAGTGGTCTGTTCTCATTCTCATCTCTTCTTCGTGCAAAGCCCGTACGTTTCGTCCGTAATCCTCCGCAGGGAGAATGGGGAAGAAGCTATCGCTCATGTTCATGTAAGTGAGGCAATAAGACGCTAGGTTTATTTACCTCACATTACAGGGATTTGAGGCGGGAATAAGAGTAGCGAATACATCGTACACAGAGCAACCCATAATATTTTTTTCTGGGCTCATCGGGGACTGTCTTGTTAACGCCGCCCCGAGCATGATACTACCCTGGTTAATGTATTTTGCAAAAAAAGGGACCTGATGACTTGGTTATGGGTATCACTGCATATAACATATTTTTTACGTCTAACCCACGTATGTACAAACCTATCTAGATGGACAAAATGTCTTCCGCGATGATAGGACATAAACCAAGTTCTAGGTAGTTTCTTAAAGGTACTTGAGAGACATCGAGTTACATTCATTACCAGCTGGGTGGGTTTCAACTCCGTTCTCCGAAACCCGGTTGCATTAGAGGACTTAAGATGAAATAGACTACTCACACACGACACTAGCTACCTAGACGCTAAATAGCTACATTATACATTACCGAGGCGTCAATAGAGGACCCATAACCAGCTAATCCTCGGGCGGTCGGTCGTGTCAACCCTCCGTGTTGTTGTATACATCTTTACATCCATCCCATTGTTAAATTTTATAGCACTAATCTAACCCGGCTTGGCAATAACTGAATCAGCGCGCTATGTTACTTAGATGTTACTGAATGTATAACTTTAGAATGTCTAAGCCGACCCGACAGCGCGGAGTGCTACCAACGAAGAAAAAGAAGGCTATATGAATTATGTGTACTTATTCACACATAGATATCCCGAAAGAGAATACGAAAAAGACATGCAATCGTCATCATCACATTGCTGTCACCGAGCTGTACAACTTTACACTTAACATAGCCTACGAGGAAGGGAGGGTTTCCCGATCACCGCCCCTTTATTTCTGTAAGTTGGTCCTACGATTTTAGGACAATACATCAAAAGCAAAATCGATGTTTTAGATGTGCCATGCCCCTGCCACGTGGAGTATGCTGCGGACCTACTTCTCACGGGTGGATGCAGTAAACTACCTAGATAGAGTACTTTGAGTACCTGTAGTGACCTTTACATAAGGGATCGAAAACCCATCGGCCCGTCTCCTAACTGGACGAAGCTAATAGAGGCTGAAAATCGAGTAAGGCGGCCGCAGGGCTAGGTCATCTACTAGAGTTTAAGATTGCTCATGCATACAATAGCTGGGAATAAAATACAAAATTAGAGGGAATAAGACGAAGAAAAAGTTTGACAGCTTCTACGGAGCTTCTTCCGATCATAATGTGGGGAATTCGAGAATCAGAATGAGTGATTTTTACATCATATTACCGAGTTTTCTCCTTCAACGTTTCCGGCCCCGGCATCGTACGAGTTAGATCAAATATCCACGACTTCTACCGGGCAGAGGCTGGAGGAGGAAGAAAAAAAGATTAAGGGTCTGATATTGGCCGAACGCGATACCGAAACACGCGAGGCCGGCTACCGGAAGACGCGAACGAGTAAAAAGGCTTTTAAACCAATTCCCTTTGGCCGCCGTCATACCCTCGGCTTTCTTCCCTTCGAATGAATTATTTCTCCCCGGAGTTGGCTTATCGGAACCGCTATCTTACGAGATATATCGGTATGGTATCGGAGATGACCTACGGCGCATTGCCCTCGAAACCATGAAGTCATCTACGGCGCTGTCCGACTCTATACCTAGTCAATCGCATTGACTTTTAATCTTCTCTTGTCATTATTATCATCATATGGCATGTTTTAATACAGAGAAAAGGGGCACGTAAACTCTTAAGTCTAACATGTGAATTTTGAAGAGGTATATTGTGGATATCATTTCGTGATAATATCTTTTAACCCCCTGTCTATCTTGCTACGGCACGCTATTCCTGACTACCTACCCAACTTAGCTTCATCATGTCGTCGTCTTCATCACACAAACCACTCGTTTCAACTTCAACTCCGGGACCGATCAATCCTCAAACGTACGATATTTCTCGTCGGCACTCCTCCGTGCCTGATATATCCTTGTCGTAGATCCGCATCTAGGCTATTTGGTTAGAAGTTACTGAGTTCAAACGTTCATGTTGTATCCCACATGCATCCCACATGTGACCCCCATACCTAGGTACTGCGCTACCTAGGAACAGATACTCCGTATACTGATGCTTACAATTCAGAAACGCCCCATTACCAACTGTTACGTGCCCCCAATATGCGTAATGATGTACGTTATCCAGCGCTAGTCGCAAGTAACGGCCGAAAGGCGTCAACACGGGCTTACATAACACATGGGATTTGAATCGAAATATCAAACTTCAAAGTGTTACCTACGGGCCACAAAGCAGATCCCGATGCGATATGAAATATACAAACTGGTATTACGTTCTATAGGTATGAATCTCAAAATAGTCTATCTAAATTTGCAAACAATTCTTATGTACGACTTCTCCGACCATCGCCGATATACCCGAGCCGGTAAACCCCTATCAAGACAAAAGTTCCCAAGTCGTGTACCCATCAACACCTGTGCCGCTGCCGCTTCCGTTGTTGGCAGGTCTAATACTACATCCGCGTAACCCCTTCTAGGTAACCATGCGACGCCCCGGTCTATCTATCATAGCTTCGCTTTCTCCGTTTCTGGCTCGTCCTGCTTTAACCTTACGACGCCCTGCGTGGATAGCATGAATTAGCCAAATTCCATCCTTGCTTCTCAACAAATCCTCATTCAAACCTCGGGATCAGAAGTAGGGTAGGACCAACGATGATGAAAACATGAAGGCATGAAGACATAGCGATACGCGGATATACGTAAGACTACAAGCCGAAACTCGTCGCATCTCATTGCGTCCCATCTCAATGAAAAGGGGCGTGAAAAGAGAAAAAAATAGGGAAATATAATAGAAAAAACTCACCTCCTGAAAAGCCGTAGCAAGCAAAGTACCGTCCTTACTATAAATCCTCTGCATAACAACACCCCTCCCATCCCCGGCCCAAGGACTATCCATCTCTGTAAACATCCACTCATCCGCCTTCACCTTCTTCGAATTATGAAAATAAATCGAATGATCAAGTGAAACCATCATCCCCACGGCCGGCCGTCCCTTATACGATTCAAGCGAACCACCAAACCCCTCCCACTCATTCTCCTTTTCCAAAAACTCACGTACATCCGGTTCTAACTTCGGCAAATCCTCAACGCGAACGGGATACCGCCATAAACGATGGATCCGGGGGATCGTCCCGATGAAATAGGAGTCAGATATATACGCCAACGCGCTAAGATGCGCGCGATGTCCGCCCTCCTCGCTGATTTTCCCACGGGCGCGGACCCAGAGTTGTACGCGTTTATTCTCGGGCCTATCCCCCTCCCCCCCCTTTCCCTCTCCGTCCTCAGTCCCACACCGATAAGTCTCAAACGGATCATCCCTCTTCCTCCGGGCCAAGAACTCCGGCTCAGCATACCCCTCATCAGGTGGTGCCCGTTCCCTCACGCCTTTCGGCATAGGTTTTGCGTGTTCAGCGCTGACCTTCCCTCCACTGCCATCACGCACAAATGAACACGTAACAGTGAAAATCGCATGTCCGCGTTGACGCGCTTGGACTGTACGCGTGCAGAACGAGCGGCCCTCGCGGACTCGCTCGACGTGGTACAAGATCGGCACTGCCGAGTCACCGGCTAGAACGAAGAAGCAGTGGTACGAGTGTACCACGAAGTTCTCTGGTACCGTGCGCTGGGCAGCCTGTAGAAAGGAGGTAAGTGGATGTTGAGTTACATAGCCAAGCTACATTAGATAGATAGAGAAGGCTGGGATAGATGGATTAGGTAAGGTAAGGTTAGGGGCTGTAGTGTAGTGTAGGTTAGGTAACGTAGATAGAGGGATTAGTAGATAGTTAATCATCATCGTCAGCTGATGATGTGCATATTAGGTGCTAAGTATTTCCGGTATACTTGTGTATACATGTACACGTGTGCATGTAGGTACGTAAGTATACTCGGATAGGGTAGTGTATAATTTCACTTGAACAGTTTTCACCCCGTCTTGTCCCGTCTATGCATATGCGCGTAAGAAACGAAACCTATCGAAGTTGTGCAACGCAGAGAGGGCGGCCACTAAGCTAGGGTTTCTAGAAAAGCAGGCATAGAGACGCGAGAGTGGATCAGGCAAAGTAGGGTAAGAAAAGCGTATTAGGAAGGGGAAGCTCGACGCGCCGAGACGAAAGACGAGAGACAGATCCGAAACCCGCGATACAGGTTCGGCTCAAAGCGACGCTCCGTCCGAATCTCCGCTCGGAGGGACGGACGGACGAAGCGAAATCCATCCAACGCAATGAAACGAAAACTTGGAACTACTCCTAAGATAGGTGAACTAATGTACCTACGTAGGACAAGGGGTCGGGGCAAACTGCGCTAAACAGGAATTTTTATGTATTATGCAGATGACGCTAGATGTAACAGTAGTACAAGATGGCGGCGGTCGGTGGGGGGAAATGGAGTTAAGATAAAAAAAGCAGTGGGAAGAAAAAAAAGTAAAAGGTCACGATATGTAAAATAGTAGAGTACATACAGCTAACGTCTGGGCGATCACGGCGCCTCCATAGATACCTCTCGCACCAGGAGGATGCCAAAGTTCTCGGGTATTGGTGAAAATATCCTACGAAACGGAAGAATAATATGAGTCAGCGTTACATACAATACAATATAAGCTCATTGTCAGAACAAAAAGAACAAGGGCAAGATGAGGTCAGGTAGGTGTTCTCATGCAATGCGGGAAGGAGTTAAGGTAGGTCCTAGCTGGAGGTATGGGTATGAGATGGGTGCGGATGGGTATAATCTCACAGGTCCGATGATGCTGAGGTCAGTTAGCTCGAGGGCGTTCTCGATTGGCGCCTTGGATTCGTCTACCGGAGGCGGTCTGACCAGCGTTGGCCGGTGTTCGCCCATCTTGATTTCTTTCTATTATCCGTCTTTCGTTGGGATCTGCTCTTTTTGTTTCTTGTTTTCCTTTTCCTCCCTTAGATACCTAGGTACCTAACTTCTTCCCTTGGTACTTTCCAAGCTCTGGGCCTATATCGGTCGGGTAGCAAGAAAAGATCACCAAATTCGGAGTTTCTGATACCAATTCGGGCTGTCGGGTTGTACAAAAAAGAAGCCCGCGATATGTAACTCTAGGACCCCAAGACTTCCAATTCGAGGTCGACCGATTCAGTAATACTGAGTAAGATCAATCTTCCAAACGCGCTAAACAAAAGAACAGTGAAGAATAAGCATCGATATTCCAATTCCAATGCGCTACAATATTAGTCTTATCTATGACCACAGCTCGTCAAACCAAGCTTCAAAGCCCCTGAATTATTGAAAGCCGTAGCCGACAGTTTGGGAATAAGATGTGACCTTATTGGTTGAATGAGAAACAATGTTTCGGATGATGAAATTTAGAATTGGATTCCTACCAACTTTTTACCGAGGCTCGGTTTTACAACCTAACCAGGCACTTAATCTTAGACATAATGAAAGTGGGTCGCTACGGCCCGTAGCCGATGCCAAGACTTAGTTGTATACCGGCTGATGATAGATCATTTACTAGCACTAATATATTGCCTTGCGAGCCTCGCTCCATCGTATCGATAACCATACAGAATGCCATGGTACATCTTCAACGGACAAAGTCAGCCCGGGTTATCAAACGTTGGCACATGTCTAGTTTCTACATGCAGGTAATTGCACATGTGTGGGATGACATTTCGCTTCTCACTTCTTGATTTGGATATCATCTGCCTTGTCAGAACCGTAGATATCATCAAGAGGTCAAGGCGGATTTTGAATTTTTAATGTCTGCCTAGAGGGATTGACATAGTGGAGTTCGTGGAAAATTCATACGTTTAAAATCACCGTCAAGGTAGTGGTGCTGTATTGTTTCTTTATACATACTCGGTTTACAGCTTTGTGTACAGGTTCAAATCTTGTTTCTTCAACGCGGTATATCGCCACTACTTATTACGGGAGGTTGGCAGATGTTCCTTCTACTCGGAAGAATAAATCGGCTCCAAACCATCCCATGCGTGAGGATCCCCACTGCCGAACTTTTCTCGTTGTGTCCAATATTTGCCTGTGAATTTCCAGTACTCCACGCCCGTGATTTCACACGTTGCCTTTTCAAACCACGCAGGTGTGAATTCCTTACCCGTCATCTGTCTTACTTTCCGTCGAGCTCGTTGCCCTTCTTCAAGTCGGTTCTTTTCAGTGGCTGCGAAGTCGTACTCGCCGTCTTCCATGGCCCTCTGATCGGGACGATATCTTGAGTCTGTGGGAGCAATCCATTCCCGGAGATTTTTATCCAGGTGGTTAAACGTGAGCACGAATGGTGTGAGGTTGAAGGGAATGCCCTCGGGCCGAGGATTTGCCTCCCATACGATAAAAGCTCTGCTAGGATCGCTAATACTTCCCCGTGTATCCTGTGGCTCTTCGACGCTGGCTTCGAAGCCAGGCGTGAGACGGGCGTACAATTTGGAATTCCACCGACCACCTAAACTCACGCGTGGTCGACCATCCGAGTCAAGGATCTTTCCTGAGAGTTGGTATGCGCTCGATGCCTTCCAACCTCGCTGCTTGAAATCCAGTAGACAGGTTTCTCCTGTTGTCCAGTTCTTGATTTCCACCAATCCATAGTTATCTACGACGGGGTTACCTGTGATGATACCAACGACCTGCGACTTCGGTTTCTTCCAGGTGTAAAAGTCTTCCTTACCTCCAGCCGTAGGGCGCAATCTTAAGAACCAGGTACCTAGGTGGTAAATATCGAACGATTTGCCCAAAAATCTTGAATCGACCTTGGCTTCACCCCAGTAGGTCCATTGCGCAGATTCTGCATGCGCTGCTCCGATGGGTGGATGATGGCTGACTTGTTCAATAAAGAAGCGATAGCCTTTGTCCGGTCTTGCATACTCGAAAGTCTCACCGAGAAGCGGGTTAAAAGGCTTGGCTACGCGGCCGATAGTAGACGCGAATTCACTTGACGCGAAAGCCGCGACGTACAGCATGCGCTCAATGGAATCTGACCGATCTGCTGCCATGTTTAACAAATCAGCGTATTCCATGTCTTCACCGGTCCGGTAAAGTAAAGATGTTGGCTCGTTGAATGATACCGGAAGCGTCATTTTCGTCATGTCCTTGCCAATCATCGACTTCAAAATACCCTGAAATGGTTGTTAGTGGCTGACGTCTGACGAGTATGCGTTCATTGTCTTACCCATAGACCAATCCTTGGTCGGTTGTCCTCATCCAACTTGAGTCTTGTTCTGAAACCATTTTCATAACCTTTGAAGGCACTGCTGACATCAATTCCTGAAACCACGACTTCTTGTTTTCCATCTTTGGATGGTATAATATCGGACGGTGGCATTGGTTCCACATCTACTTCCCCAGCGTCAACTGCATCAAAGAACTCCTCTTGCTCAGACTCGGAATCACTAGAGATCTCGATAGCGTGAGAGCGCGTGGTCGATTTACGACCTAGACTCTTCATCGAAGGCGAGTGGAGTCCCGCAGCGACTTGATCCTCAGCGCTGGCTGGCTCTTCATATACAGTGAAACTATCGCTGCTCATCGGTCGGCTTTCGCTGGTACTTCCTATGACTTCGCGAAGCGCACGTTTAGCCATCTTTCGCTTAGTCTCCGCCTCGCTAACTCTTGCCTCTAGGACCTCTTGTTCTGCGGCTACCTTGGCCATGCTCTCTTCCCACATTCGTCGCATCTCGGTTTCTTGCTCGAGGCGATATTGCCAATGCGCATCGCGATCCTTGGATATCCTAAGGAGGTCGCCCATAAGGCCCTTCAGACTCCGAATTGCTGCATCGTAAGTTGCTAAAGCTTGCGCTGCCTTTGGGTCTACAAGCGATAAAGAAGGGTTCTTATGAGCTTCTGCCTGCAAGGCAGCACTCACAGATGCCAACGTGTCCAATTGGAGTCTTGCTGATTGCGCAGTGATATTAAAGGCATCCTTAGTTGCCGTTGAAGATTCGCCACGGCTTGAGTGATCCACATATTCATCGTCATCGTCATCGTCCACCTCGCCCGGAATTGTGGGTGCTCCATTGCTTTGCGCTTTCGTTTCGGGACTACCAGCGTCGGCAAAATCCTCATCCGCACTACCCGCGGTACTAACACGGGAAATCCCGACACGCGGAACAGACGCTCTGGCTGAAGGAAGACGGGACAGTTGAGTACTACTCCTGGGCTCAGCAGTGATTCCAAGTTCGCTATGGGAGTCATTAATCGACTCCGGTGGTTTGGTGAGGCTATCCCTCGCCTGTCGTAGCATTTCAGCACTCTGCGCCTTCTGTCGTTCGTCTTGCTTCGCCTGGTCCTTCATCCACTGAATCGCATTGTTCAAAGCCCAGAACCACCTCTTAGCTTCAACCTCATGGTTGGCTTTCAAGGTGTACTTGACAGATGATTTTCCTATAATCTCAAATTTCGTCTTTTCTTCCGGGCTCATGTATAACCGGGCAATGCGCATGCTGATGGCTCCGCGACAGGCGTTTTCCGCATCGTCTTGGTGCTTGTAATAACTTAAAACACCATTTTCAAGCACGAACCAACGTAACTGGTAGCCTTTACGGTAATTTGTCCACTTCTTGAGATAACCCTTCATCTGAGGTTGGTGGCCAGCTAATGGATCGCCAGTGACAGCTGATCCAGGTCCAGCTTGCGAAGTCGCATGTCCCAAAACTGCTTTCTCCTGAATACCTCGCTGAGCGGCCACCGCAGCAGGTGATCTCTTGAGCATCGCCTTCGTAACGTCATCATTCGTAACTTGTTGAGGAAGTTTGCCTTTGCGGTCTCGTTGGAATGGGTCTGCGCCGTGAAGGAGGAGGGCTTGGATAAGTTTCGTATCTCTCTTTCGGGCGGCTTCGTGTAGTAATGTTCCGCCAGCTTGAACGGTTATCGGATCACAGGGTAGTTCAATACTATTGATATCGAGAATCGTCTTAACGCGGGGTTCCTCAAGAATTTGACCCAATGTGTCGTAGGCGCCTTGTCGCACAAGATCCTGAACTTGCTTTACCTTATCCTGGACAAATAATGTTCTTGCGAGTTGGAGCTGTTGGAAAATCTCGGGATTTCGTGCCACATCTAAAGGCAATTTTCCTTGATTGTTCGCGACAGCATCATTGATATCTTTTTGCTCGAGTAATAATCGGACTATTGGGCTGCGTCCCTGAGAAGCAGCGATATGTAGGGGCACATTTCCATCTTTATCTCGAGCGTTTACATCGATATATCCAGCACCATCAGATAGTACGTATTCTACAACATCGTATTCGGCGCATTGAATAGCAAGGTGAAGAACCGTCGTATCGTCTAGGGGTACGATATGTGCACCGTTCATAGATGATGTGCTTGCGCGAGGTCCATTTTCTGATGTTTCTCTAATCGCTTTAGATATAGCGGCCGTATTACCGCTTCGAAGGGCTTCTACAATTCGAAATTTGCGGACGGATTGTTCAAGACTCGATCCTTTTTCGACAGCGGAATTGTTGGATCGGCTGGGCGTCAAGCCGGGTTCGCGCGAGGGGATTCGGCCTAGCGACATTCTTTGGTTATGACCCTTGGAGGTACTGTATTGATGGGTAGGAATGGCGGGGGCGGAAGCAGTCGTAGTTGGATGTGAAGCTAGACCAGAGGTTTGCGAACCCTCTTCGGAGGTAGCGTCGTCATCATGACGGTTTTCTCTATCCTTGCGACGAAGTAAAGAGAGGGCGGCAGACTTGGACCTCTTGTGCTGACTGTAATTATCCGAGCGAGTCAGCTATCTGTCGTACAACCGCACACCGTCGCGATTTGAATTGAACTCAATTAAAAGATGGAGTATTTATTTATGGAGAATACTTATTAAAACTAATTACTTACCTATCTCCAGCATCCGACATGTTGAATTAAGACGGTTGCTATCTAGCACCGCTTTGGCACTAGATGACAGATTGACGGAATCGAGTTCGTTAAGGTAAGGAGTGAAAGTCGGCGGCGAAGGGAAATTCGACGGGGTCGAGTCGAGTGTTAGTACATCTTGTCTATCTTAGTCTAATTGATTGAACGGCGGTCAGAAACGAAGATTCATTGGCGAAACAGAATTGAATTAGTATTGGATGTTATCTTGTAGGTTAATAATAGTTCATAAATTTAGGAATGTCAACGATGAAGTTTCGACAAAGAGAACAGAAGAGACAGGCATTATTTTCCCCCCTCGATAATTCTAAAAAATGACGTTTTTAAATCCAAGTTGTGCTAGTGCTAAATCAATTGAAATGTTGCAGCTTCCTCCCTAATCCTAGAAACTCGAACGACGCCAATCCCAGTATGGACATTCCCCACCAATCAAGCCACCACTAAAGATTTAAGTCGAGACACACAGACAGTATGACGTATAGTGTACATACAGTGATTCTACTGTCTATACTTATACGCCGTAATAGTAATCACTTCACGTATTAAATTATAAATAAGCCACATATAATATTAGGTTCTCATCATTTCCTTCTATTCCCTCTTTTATTAGACGTGATTCCAAATTATTTAACTCAACAAAGGTGTTGTAGTGACACTGGAGTGTGTCACAAGTTTCAACGTTGTGTCAAAACTTCAATGAAGAAAAGCAATGACAGAAGAGCAAACACAACAATATTCACAGGCCTAAACCAAAATATCGCCTAATCTGAAAATGGTGGCGAAATGACGAGGTCACAGCTTACACACAACTTTAGGACCATAGAAAACAATCATACCACATCTTAAAATCCTCATCATGATAGGTGATTAGACTAGATCTGTATTTCATTAACATCACCACGAACTCGGAATGCTACTAGGATGCCGTGTTCGGTAGGATGTCGCGAAGATCATCTGGCGCATATTGCCGTCACTCTGCAGGAGTTGGGTGCGGTGCGATGCGACCCTTGCCCTCCCTTTCTCCCCTCTCTCCAACAATGTAAGGACGAAAAAAAAGCAAGTCAACAACACACCATCTTCGTAGCCTCAGGTTGTAGGTTTTGGTGGGTAGCTACTCTATGTACGTAGCTAATAAATAAAGAAAGAAAATATATGATCTAATGACCACTGAGACTCATTATGTTGAATAAGTCAAAAGTATACGCCTACTTCGTACACCAACATACCCATCCACTCATACCTAAATAAACCAGTTGAAGATTCACCACCGAAGTGCATGCACCCACTCAAGATCAAGACAGTAAAGTCCATCAAGTACTCATCCTAGCCTCCGCATCACTAAGAATCTTATCCATCGTCAAAAACTCATACGGTCCCAACTCCCACCCCAGCGCATCCTCCTTCTTCTCAGGCGTCCTAACCGCCGAACAAGTCATAAAATCCGGGCCCAGAGACCTGAGGCAAATATTCGCATCATCAATCTTCTTCCCCTTAAACCAAACCTCATGCTCGCGAATAACCTCCTCCACATACGCATCGCCATCCGTCTGCACAAACCCCTCCCCAGGTTGCGGCGCGCGAAAATTCCTAAACTCCAGGTCTTCTAGCCAGGGCGCGAGTAAAGCTTCTCCGGTCATCTTAACATACGCCTCACGGAGACACCAAAGCGTATAAAACGCACGCAACTTAAAATCCACAATCTCCTCTCCGCGCGCCAACTGCGGGAGTCCAGGTTGGCTCTGCGAACTCAATAAATCACCCTTCAAATACCCCGCCTCCGAGCGACCGAACACATCGGCATGCATATCAACAAACTTCCCCCAACCCTCCGTATCAACGACCCGGTGATCGCGAGTACGCCGCTCACTCGTGCACACGATATCCGTTCCAACATCAACTTGCCCATCATACCCAGCCGCAGCAACAAGACTAACAAGACCAGCCTGATGACTCACATTAAAAAAGACAGGCTGTTTCCCCGTCGCCGGGTCCACATACACCGGCTTCGTTTTCGCATCTCTAGTCAACTTAGTCTCGGGCCATGGCACGTTCGCGTATACGCTGACGACCCGGTGCTTTAGCAAGTGCGAAGTTAGCGACATCTTCGCGTCGGCGACGAAATAGTATCGCAATACAGCGGCCTTTTCATCTTCCGTGAGTAACGCTAATGCTCGCGAAGCCTGGACTAGCGTCAGTTTGCTTTTTCCCTTTCCTCTCTTTTATCGTCTGTGTGTTGAGGTGGACAGGACAGGACAGGACAGGACAGGGACAGGTCAGGGCGGGGTACTCGTGGGGTTTTGCGCATACCTCACTTTCAAGGTCTTTAGTTTTAGCCGCCCCTGGCCATAAGCCCCGCGTATCCACAAGGTATTGTATGATTTTCACGTTGCCTGATCCCATGGTGCTTATGTATACGGATAGTTTGTTTTGTTGAGTTGAATAAGGCGAGAATTAATGGGAGGATTGAGAATTGTAAAGTGAGAGCTAGGTATGTCGGATAGGTCCCCAAAAGTATGCCTCTCAAGTAGATTGAACCCGACCCGGAAAGTGGGAAAAGGGCACCGGTCCGATGGATTTGTCTTACCCTCACCTCGAACGGGTAATGATGTTATTATAAATGCTGCACGAAGCTTCCTTTTTTCTTTTGACAGTTCATCATTGGTCGTAGAGAGGGTATAGTATGCAGGGTAAGATGATAGGCGTTTAGGTATTCGGTACGGCACCAGTGGACACCTGTTGTGCACGTAGTATAGCGGCGGCAGCAGCCGGTCCTAGCACCGGAGTCCGCTAAATAGACTTTCCCTTTCGCCTAACTCGACCCACTAAATGCTCATCAATCAATTTTTATTAGGGATCAATCCAGATTCCCGGGTCTAAAACTCGCCAAAAACATCAAATGTTGCACCAAGTCTTAACGAACCATTGCAAAGATGAACTGAAGAGCAATGAATAAGGCTAGGTACCTAGATAGGCAGTCACCAATACAATTTGACTATTGACAGAACCCCTTATCTTCAAAGCTACCTAGGTAGTAATGATCACACGGCGCGACATCAGTATTCTTCCTCCCCCTTCTCCCCTAAACTTCTCAAACTCAAGGTCGCCTAATGTGCTATTATCCGTCACCATTGAAGCAGTTGTCGATCGTACGAGTGGTATAAATACCATCACACCGACGATAATCAGTACCTAAAGCCTGCCCCAGCACCCTTCGCTCTCTCCATCGTTCCAGGACGGTCGACAACAGCTCTCAGTCGCTAATTGGTAAATTGATTGCTGTCCATTGACGAGCCATTCTCAGATACATTGACTCAACGCTGACACAGCACCGCAAATGGAAACCGCACGGGTTCGAATACCGCAGCTCTCGGCAAGCGTACCTGACGTTTGATTGAATCATGAGTAATGCGGTTCACCACCACAGCTCATAAGACGCACGGCGAAGGCTGCCGATGTGCTGGCTTCGAGGACGGCGGTTTGAATAAGTTGATATTCTCGCCCCTATGTAAGATGCCTAAGCCCACGAATTCGTACTCTCAATTGGACATCTCCCTATCATATATATCTGAGAGGTTCGGAGGAGCGTCCGCGAATCGGATGGTCGGGTAAGATTTCGCGCCCGCTATTCGAGTTGGTTCGTAACAAGGGCCTGAGTAACGCTGTTCTGACGGCGTATTTCGCCACATTGAAGAGATAGTATATCGATGTGGTATCGCTCTCGCGCGTTAATCCCTTCCCCCATCACTCAGACCATCCACAAAATACCTGATCACCATCCTGATGGCATTTTGTTCAATGAGCGGCAGGCTACCAGCACTTGAAGCAATCATGGACGTGTCGGAATCACGAGGCACATCAGTCCCACCAGCCGCCCGGAGCGCCAACTGTGCACGCTTGAAATATGTCACCAAGTCTTCATCATCCTCCTGCTTGAGTGTAGACACGGTCAAGTAGCCATCAACATCTGTGTCATCCGTGAGAGCGGGAGGGAACCTGAACTTCAGTGCTTTCTCCACAGCAGCAACCATGAGTTGAAAGTTTGGTCGCGAGCGACCAAAGTCTCGTATAATGCGCTTCATGGTCCCGGGATTGGCCCTTATAGCATCTTGTGATCTGAATCTCGCGTCGCTAAAATGTCTCTCTTGGAGATACTGAGTGTTAAGTCTAGTTGAAGCGATCGGTCATACTTGAAGACGATCGTGGCGATACCGGATAAGTAGCTTTGCTGGAAATGAAACTATGAGAGAGATAGATAACAATATTAGTTCTGTTGATGGGGTCTTGAGGGGGAAGAAGAGAAGAGGAGGAGATGAGACAGAGAGAGGGGTATTTATAAACGAATATATCGTCGAGACTGCCATTACCATCACTATTGCCCCCCCTGCTTCTCTTGTTTTCAATATTTAAATGCTAAACTCTGGGTAATGTGCTCATATGACGGAACGAAAGTTTAGAAGCGCAGATCCTTTGCGCAGATTACGGTTGTGAGGCAGGCACACTCTTCTCTTTCCTAACCCACAACTGAATTTTAGTTGGGCTTAGATAAATCTAACAGTCATACAACTTGTAACATCCTCCTAGTTCATCTTAATTAAGGGGTAAAGCTAAGTTGGCGCATTAATTGGGTTAAGGTTGACATATACCTATGTAGCTGAATCAACCTTCAATCTTTCTTGAAGAGAAACTCGCAATTTAGCCCCGTTTGGGTATGTTGCGTCCAGGTATTTGCTGTGTGATGCTTACATAGTATGTTGAAACAGGTCGTGAATGTGCCTACATAAGCTAAAGTCAATAGCATCTGCATCTCTTAGTTGTCACTTGAATCCCATACTTCCATGAGCATGTTTCACTTGAAGCAACTTCAACTTAATATCACCCCATGGCCTTGGTGACTTCCGATGTAGTAGAAAATGACTCAGTGGGCGTAGAGCTGCCGATAGGATGCCATGTCAACAACTCAATTTATATACATCTTTGAGGATATACCATACTGACGATAGCTTCCTTAGGGCATTAGTTTGAGGCGATGGCTGAATGTGTCGGTGAATCTAGCTAGGAGGTTCGGAACTTCCCGCGGGGAATGGTGGTCAATCCGTTAGCTTCACGATACATTCATACTCTGACTGCAAGAACTTATTTGATATTACGCTGAGCTTGCCACTCTTCGCTGAACTAAGTCTAATCTACCATCTAACCAGCAGAATGCCCTAACCCTTCAAGCGAATTAATGCGACCACCTCTATCAAGCGTAACTCATCCCCATTTATGAATCCGCACTCCTCTTAGGAGGCGGGGCTTCGATTGAGAAGAGGAAGACGGGATATCCACCGTCCTTTTTCTTAAATTCGAGCTTGCGCTCAGGCTCTGTGTGATTCCCGTCAGGCTTTTTCTCATCTGCTTGGCCCGCCGAAGAGGTGTCTTTGTTAGATGATTTGCCATCAGTTAGAGTCTTCTGTTCTTCCTTGCTCTTATCATCACTCTTCCCGTCCTTCTTGTCGCTGATAACATCAATGACGTTTCCATTCCCATCGACTTGCACGATGGTATCTGTAGTGTCTAGTTTGCCATCCTCGGTGTAGGTCCACATCTCACGAAGCTCCCCTCTTACTAATCCTGTAAACCAAACTGCGCACACAACGCCGGGGACAAGGTATAGCAATGCCGGTTGCGCATGGCGAAAGACGAAAAGCATTGCTAGGGTCGCAATCATAGCAAAGAAGTATCCAACCATGGCGGCGTAGAAATACGTCTTGGGAAATGCCGAGGCCTTCAACGCGGGCGTAGCATCCGGCGAAAATGTCTTGCGAAGACTTGTGCTCCAGAACCGATCGCCCCACTGTCCTTGAGGATTGACATAATCCGGTTTCACTACCATACGCTGCGTTTCGGTATTCGTAACAAGTTGGCCCGAAGATTCGTCCTCAGATTTTAGCTCCACTGGGACGAGTTTGCGTTGCTTGTGGTAATATAGGTAATGATCGAAGCGAAGACATAGTGCGATGAAGATACCGGGGAGAACAATGTCGCCCAAACCAAGCATACTACCCTTCTTGGGCCCTTCGAAGACCAGTTTTATCGGAACGTCAAGCTTTGTCGCGACTGTTACCATATAAGGACTATATCATCCGTTAGTAGAGTGGACGAAAGGCATGTGAAAATAGACTTACGTGTAAAAGACCATGTAAATGTCGTAGAGGAACAGCCCGAAAAGGAGGCCGGTGCCGGTAGTGAAGGTGGTCGGGGACATCAGGATGATACCAGTGTATGAGAAGGAGTAGCCCATGATATTCGATAGAAGAGTCGAGTTTGTCGTGTAGTAGATTACATTCGCTACAACAGCAAGCACAATGCCAAGGATATCGTTGAACTTGACTTTGACCGTCTCGTGCATAATGCCGTGGATTGCGGTACGGACAGTCCATTGCTCCCGGAGTAGATGGCGTACCTCCCACAGTAGAGAGTTCTTCGCATCGGATATGCTTGATTCGGACCAGCGACCTGGAAAGGGGGTTCTTTTCTTATCATCCCACACTTGTTCTAAAGAATCGCTAGTTTTAGACCAATGGCTTCTTTTCGCAGAGTCGATATGCCAAATCTTGCCATCCTTAGCAACCCATACCGTAGGAAAGACGAAGGATGTCAAGGAATGTAGTGTATCGGCAAAGAGCTTTCCTGAACTCGCTAGCGAAAGGGCGGAAAAATAAAATCGGAGGATCTTATTGAGAATGTCCGGATCCTCAAGCCACTTGATCAAATAGTAGAGTCCCACGAGGACCACACCAGCCATTAGAGGCATGAGGATGGCATCGGAAGGTTCTAGGCCATGGATAATCTGATCCTCTTCATCTTGGTCTTCCTTCCGGGCTCCCTTTTTGCCTTTCTTGGGAGATTGAGCGGACGGAGGTCGACGAAGAGAGGCATAAGATGCAATGTAAATGCATGTCATTGCAGCAAATATGATGCGTCCTTCGAGAACGAACATGTCGCTGTTCTCCCATAGGACGGTTGGTAAAGTGGCGAGTTTCTCCGAGAAGGTTAAATCGGCTTCTGAAAACTCGATCATATTGGTGGCGGAAATCTCGCTGGCTGCGAGAAGAGTTGAATTGTTGCTCGCCATGGTTCCTCACATGTGTATGTGAAGACTGGAAGGAAATTTCAAGATGCAGGGTGTTAGATATATACCTAGGTAGGTATCAAAAGACTGGCTCTTGAATCGCAGTTGCGCAATAATACCGTTGTGAAGCAAACCCAATAATTTTTTTGGCAGTGCTTGCTGATAATGCCAAATAGATTATCGAATTTTCATAGATAGTAGAGAGCTGCCTGGCAATCAACCATTAATTGCTGAACGGGATGAGTGCGCAAGCTCTAAAATACCATTCGTGAATGTGGTATCCAGTGAATGGAGGTCAGTGGTTTTAGACGTGTCCACCTCATCTACGTCTAGATGAAACGTCGGATGTCGTCTAGTAGCTAGGCTATTGCCATCAAAAAGAAGGAATATTGGATGTTTCCCAACTCATACACTGACTTATAAAAATGGTATTCGTGACGGATGTAGATGTATTGTTTAGACTGGGTTAGGTTCAGTACGTGGAAGCCTCTTACAAGTTTCGATGTGGCTTATGCACATGACGGGGCATATCTTAAGAAATACTGGTAATTACATGTTAGATAGTATCGCAATCTCGAGTTGTTGCCCCTCCAACTTCGAAATTTACAGGGAGCTTTAGAGCTTCAATACTGCTGTAGACACCAACCTAGGTACTTCAATAGCTTCAATTGAGATCATTCCCATACCTCAGCGAAGCGCTTGTAATCAATTGCCCAAGATGACGACAAATGTAGCCTTAGAGACCTCCATGGTATATCCTCCCCACCCCCCTCCCTCAATCTGTTCCCTCGAATGCCTTCAAATTAACACTTCCCAGGGCGTAATAACAGTCGAACTCTACACAACCCACGCCCCCCAAACCTGCACCAACTTCCGCACCCTCGCGCAGCGCGGGTACTACGACAACTGTCCCTTCCACCGAATAATCCCCAACTTCATGGTACAAACCGGGGACCCAACCGGTACCGGACGCGGCGGGTCCTCCATCTACGGCGATACATTCGCCGACGAGATCGCACCCGATTTACGCCACACAGGAGCCGGTATCCTATCAATGGCAAACGCGGGAAAGGATACAAACGGATCGCAGTTTTTCCTAACACTAGCGCCGACACCTTGGTTGGATGGAAAACATACTATTTTTGGACGCGTGAGGAGTGGGTTGGCGGTGTTGAAGCGTATGGGGATGGTGAAGACGGGGCCGGGGGATAAGCCGGTGGAGGAGGTTAAGATTATTAAGGCGAGGGTGTTTGAGGATGATGAAACGGCTTGATACTTAGGTATTTCTAATTGGCCAAGGTGGTAGGCATCTAGGAGGCATGTCACGAGGGTGATGTTTCCGCTACCACGAGAGGGGATGGTATTTGCATGGGCCGGCGTTGGGGGACTTAAAAAGGCACAATGGTTTACATATAGATACCAAATCACACGTCACTTTCATAAAATAGATGATGCCAAATGTACGCCCTGGCATTGCTATCGAAGGGCCATGTATTACATATGTGCAAAAGAAGCGCTCTCTAAAGATACACAGTTTGATAATTGCTGATGACATTGCTCATCGAGTTTTCCTGTTGACGCCCAGATGCAAAACTTGATGCAGCCTAGAATCCCCTGTTGCTGGCAAGATAGCCCCGGAACACCTTTTGAATGCAAAGCCGTGATCATCGTTGCGACGTACTGCGAAATTTGCAAGTCGGTGGGTGGTGAATGAAGACTGACCGTTCGGACTTCTGGGCAGTCGGTTAGAATTTGTGGTACTTTGCCACGGAAAAGGGTATCGTTATTTCTCTAATTTTTCGACCATAAACCATTACTTGTTCATACATTAACGGGCGGCGAAGACAAGGTCCCCGAGCTCTCGGACTCGCGGTCATCATCTCCTCCGCCACTAGGAGCTGATGTCTTTCCATTGCTTTTAGACATCGGTGATGAGAGCAGCGGTTTTGAAGCACCCAGCTTCAACTTCTTCGCTGGACTCGGAACTTTTGTGACCTTTTTCTTAGGCGCAACTTCAACCGTAGATCCCTCGGCATCATCGTCGTCCACTTTTTGTTCCACGACGAGCGAGGAGCCTGTCTTCACCTTCTCCTTCTTAGTGCCTGACGCGCCCTTCTGCTTAAGAATGAGCTTCTTGTTAGCTGCATTCGCGGCCGTGGGCTTCAATTTCTTCTTCTTGTGCGAGTCGTTATCGGTCTCATCATCATCGTCCATCTCGTCGCCGTCTCTCTTCTTATTGGGACTGCTTGCTCTTGAACTCGGGTGGGGAGTGCCCTTCTGACTCGACGGTGGAGTTCCATCCGCGCTTCCGTTCGCGTTGTTACCGTTACTGATCTTCTGCGCAGCAGCACGGCTTGCATTGCGTCCGCTATTTCCAATGCACGAACCCATGTGGTTGTTTAGCCGGGTGACCAGGATGCACCTCTTACACTTGCTACATGTAGCAGACGGGAAAGACAGCATGTTCGGAGGTCGTGAAGCAGCACCTCCACCGCCAGTTCCTCCTTCGGGTGTAGGTGTCTGTGAATCTGAATTCTGTTCCAGCTTCTTCTCCATATCCTTCTTCTTTTTGCCTCTTCCTGGCCCCTGTGCAACCCACGTCTGACCGTAAATATCGTAGCCGGGCTTTTCGATGTACGGATGCTTTTTGCAGTATATTATGCTCGGATCGGGTTTTCGGGCTCCCTTGCCATCTGTAGGGTATAGTAATCTCGGAAGGTGGCATCTCGGGCAGACTATGTCTTTTGTGGTGGCTAACGGGTTTCCCTTCAATAATACCTTTCCTTCGTCGTAGATTGCTGCGTCTGTCTCGACTTTTACGTCCGGTCGGGCGTCGGGGGCAGAAGAATCTGAAGTATCGGCGGCCAACTTTTCGACTCGAATGGCGGCTGTTGCTGCACGGGCGATCTTCTCGTCTCGATGTGTCTTCATTAATAGGTCGTGCACTATGTTGTAGAGTAGATCATCAAGTACGGCATGCGCCTGTAAGATCACATGGTCAGCTGAATGAATTCGTTGAGCTTTGTTACAGCTGAACTAGAACATGAAATCATAAGTCAAGTATACTGGCGACTTACGAGCTTGTCCATGCTACCAGCATCTTCGGAAGCTTTGATAACTCCAGCCTTGCCGTTGGTGGTGGAGGCCATGGTGAATGCTCACTATAGCCGTCTGTAGAGAATCTCGATGTGGTTGATTGGTAACAACAAGACGATGAATTAAAAAGTGATATCTGTGATCTGATGAATTATGCGAATAGGAAATTTAAAAGGAGTGAATGGAAATGATGGATTGAGGATTGGAAATATTAAAAAAAGTAAGAGGTAGGGAGAAGTTCAAGGTAAGTTCGAAGTAAACTCGGTATCCACTCCTTAAGATAGCTGGTGGAATAGCTGGAATAGGTACTGAAAACCCCTAAATTTGTTGGAGTTTAGAGTTTGTTGGATTCCCTCTTGCTTCCGACTAGGTAGGAACATTTAATCTTCAATAATGATTATTGTTCGGTCGGCGTTTAAATATAAATATACCGAAGTCGCTTATTGAACAATTTCTTTAACTTTGAAATTATTATTTTTCGCTTCTCCCTTTCCTTTTCCCTTCGAGATCTCGTAATCACGATTCACTCGCAGGGGCGGGAATGAGAAATCAGGAGAATGTTCCCTTCTGGATGGTAATACCATCTGTACCTAACCGGAGGCTGAATTTTTGACCGGTAAGCCTGATAAGCGTCGTACAGGCTACCTAAACTTAGCCGCAATAGCGAATCAATCCACTGGAGAGACCATGCATTAGTGGATAGGAAGGGTCCCGGATCTTTTTTTCAGGTGCGCTACGTAATACCACGCGGTACCTGAGCACGTACCTTTAAATATTTACATTTGGTGGATACTTAGAGATTGGAACTAATAGATGAGGCTGTTAGTTTTGAGATAATTAATTATTCTACTAGTAGAATTCATGTTGTTCCTTTTTTACTATCTACTTGCAGCTTTATTATGACGTGATAATCTGTAATTTGCTCTTTTCTACATGTAGCCTGGAGATAAAAATGACTTAACTCCTTATAAAATTAAGTAATTGGATGAGGTATAATAGTTGGTTAGGTTACATACAGCGCTGGTTGTACCTGAAATTAGAGGTGCAAATTGTCCATAGTGGGGCTATCGATAATCGCCAAGCCCCATGTTTAATTCTTTTTTTGCCCTTTTCTTTTTTTTCTCGTTGGGTGGAACAAGATGTATCTATCCTAAGTAAGTTAGAATGCTCTGTACATGTACATACCTGCATCCATCACGCGAGGTACTTAACGCGGTCCGGCATCGACCTACCTAAAATGGATCCATTGCCATTGGACACCGAACCTTGGAATTTCCAAACTTAATTCGTTTACTTCTTTATACTATATACGTGGTCTCATGGGAATATCAGATGGCAAGACTCTTCTCTTCTAGCTGACAACAGGAATCATAGTTACAAAAACGTATTAACTTGATGGAAAAACAAATCATGTCTCTCCCTTCGGCAAACATAAAGGCGCAACAGTCTTCAATTCGGAATTTCTTCCAGCCCAAATCGCCAACTTACGCTCCACCCCCCGCAGCGTTTCGAACACAAGCTGCTGCCACTCCTCCCGCACCACTTCCGCCAGCAGCTACAACGACTGAACAAAATGGGCCACCACCGCCAATATCTTCACCAAGACCGTCCTCCCTCCACCCACAAGCGACAATATCCCCCATCCTACCCGAACACATCCCCGCCCTCCGCCGCATAACCGCCCTACTCCTCCCAGTCAACTACCCAGACTCCTTCTACGCGCGGCTCTCCGACCCCCTCTCCTCCGGCGCCTTCAGCCGCGTACTCCTCTGGACCGACGACAATTCAACCGCCGCGCCAAAAGTAATAGGGGGTCTAGTCTGCCGTCCCGAACCCTCTCCTTTCCACCCAACCTCCCGCAAACCCAACGAGCCCACAAGTCCCGGCGCTCAACCCAATGCGCTGTACATCCAATCCCTAGTCCTACTCTCTCCATACCGCCGCTTAGGTCTCGCAGCAGCATTATTGGATGAAGTCGCAGCACTAGCAGCAGCAAGCCCGTTCGCATGTAGCGACGTGTATGCACATGTGTGGACTGATAACGCGGATGGACTGCGCTGGTATCTAGCGCGCGGGTTCGCGAAGCATGGCGGTGCGGTGCCGGGGTATTATTTCAAGTTGCGGCCGGATAGTGCGTGGATTGTAAGGCGGCAGATCGATCCCAACTCCTCCACCGCTACCACCGCTACCGACCTCAACGGTATAGCTTCAACGACTTCTATACCCCCAAGCACAACGGCAGCAGCAGCGAATCTCCCCACACCACCGGTCTTAGCGACTACGAGCACGGCTCCGCCGCCTAGGAGTAATGGACCCTCACCACTGTCTCCTCTTCGCAGTCCGGGGATGTCGTTCCAGAACGCGCGGCCGGAGACTGAGTGGAATGATCTACCGGCTGATATGCATGCGGGTGTATTGGGAGGAGGTCCGCCTAGTGGTGCGAGTTCGCGGAGTAGTAGCTCTGCGCCGCGGAAGAAGAGGGATCGGGCTTACCCGGCTGCGGCATTTGGGAAGTAAGGGTTGAGTGCGTAGGCGCCTGAGAACATCGAGAGTACGAAAAATTCGAATCCTGAGATACGGAAACGAGACGATACGGCAAGGCAAGGCAAAGGAGCCGGGATTATATGTAAATATTTACGGGTATGGTTTGGATCGCCATTATACGGAGGAATTAAGTAGAGCTAAGTCGTAGTATGTCTATAGAGCTGATAGTATTATCATAGATGGGAGGGAAGCCTGGTGGTCCAGTGATAATGAATAATTAGACAAAACAACATTATTTTATCATATATAAAGTTTTCTTTTATTGAACATATTTATATTCGTTGTAGTTATAGATATTGGTACCAACAGGTCCCGGTAGTTCGGAATAGACTACTAACAGTCAAATAGTCCAATGAACGCTTCTCTAGACCTTGATACTTGATCCGAACCTACCCCACAACTGCCCACCACTCAATATCAATAAAGATGGGTAGGGTACATGGGATGAGTGGTCATAATATCTATTGCATTAGGTCATGATTGTAATAGGTTACATCAATACGTTTCGTTTATTTCTTTCACTTCCTTTCATCTCGTCATATTATCGTAGTTGCCTCCCCATTCCCGGGAATCGCATTCGCGACCTTCTGCACGATACCATTCTTGAAATGGTTCAAGTAGTCAACAACACCCTTCTTCTCCATATTCGCCGCAACAAGCGCGATCAAAGCGGCGCCAACACCGCTACCATCCTTAGCAATACCGATGCGGATCCGCTTAGCACCCTCTGGTCCGATACCTTCGATCGCACCAAGGGCCTCGTAGATCATGTCCCGGAAGAACGGGTAGTGTTCTACGAGACTGCCGTCGACACCAATGTCGATCGGCTCATCGGTTGATTTGTTAAGCTCGCCGCTTTGGAGGACGATCGCACCGAGGGCTACGGCGGACAATCTGGCGGCCCGGCGCCCGACGGCGTATGCCACACTCTTGAACGCTAGCGCATCTTCTAGCGAAGCCGCGTATATACGTAGTTGCTTCTCAAGTTCTTGGCGAAGAGGGGAAAAGTCTGGCGTGTTGTCGGCCGCTGCAATCGACATTATTGAACTGTCAAGACCCCATTGCTTGAATAGACCGGATTCCGGGTCGATGGTAGTTGTTGATACCCAGTCGTTATGGCTGGAGTTTTCGTCGCGGAATAGCGAGATGTCAGTGTTCTTGAGCATATCGACAATTACCAGACGAACGATTTCGCCAAGGAACATGCCGGATACTCGCTTCTCGAACATCTGGACACCCGGGTTCACACTCTTCTTATCCAATTCTATGTCGTAAGAGGTGTTGGGTAATATGTTGAGTTGGTTGTCAAAGGAACCCCACTCGGTATTTATGACCATCAGCCCTGTTGACTTGTCGTAGTCGCCATTGACAGGCTTCTTTATGTTGGTAACCTTCTCGACGTAGGCGCCATTGGTACCCGTTCCAAAAATGGCACCTAGAAGAGTGGCTGTCTTTCCCGGCGAAGTGTAAGAACGAGCCATGAGCGTGCCGACAGTATCATTCACCAGAGCAGCCACTTTCACGGGGAGGTGGAGTCTATCGATCTCTTGTTGGAGCAAGGCACACACGTCCTTGCCAATCGCATCCGGAATGTCAAAACCCTTCGTCCACCTCATTAAAGTACCCTTATTGATGCCAAACTGCTGCACTGGGAAACTAAAAGTGAAACCCAGTCGGAATATTTGTTCGTCTCGGTAGCCTTCTGGGGTGCTAACAGTCTGCCGCCGGCGAACGTGCGCTTCGAAATGGTCTTCATGATGTGTCCTGAGGAATAGTTCGATCTGCTTAGCTAGGAATCCGAATAGGTCGCTAGCTTGTTCTGCAACCATTAATTCCTTCGGGATTGCAACTTTGCTGTATGTGAGGTTAAAGGTAGTGTCGCCGTTCAAGTGGATAGAGCAGACGCGAAAGTTCGTCCCTCCAAGGTCGACTGCTAAGTATAACCCCTATTTTCATGTAAGTTAAGTGATTGGTAAATATTTGTTGCTCAACGTACTTTCTCGGTACCATTAGGGACACCAGTGACGTAGGTAGGGATTTGGCTTAAACTCGTGCCATCCTGTTCTAATCCCTCATCTGTGCGCGGGTTAGTCAAGGTTTGGAATTTTGTCTAGTGCAGAACCATACTCATTTGGCGGAGGAACTCTTGCACTCCTCTGTTTACATCTTCGTCCGTATATTCGAATTGCGCAGCGATGCGCTTCGTCTCTTCGGCGAGCGCCATTGTAGGTGCGCGTGATACGGGCGGAGCAGTGGGGAAAGGTTGAGGAGACTCGCAGATAGGTTCTTGTATTACAACAGCAGGAGGTGAAGAGATGATGCGAGAGAAAGGAGGAGATGTAAGGATACGAGAGTATTGAGATTTGACGTTTGTGAGAAAAAGTTGCGCGGTCTATAAGTTCGGAGGGGCAGACGAGTTAAGTTAGCAAAAGATCAAAACCAATTGCGTCAAAAATTCAATTGATGCGGGGCCCGGGGATGCGTATACGTTGTATGGACGTAAAGATGTAAAGACGTAAGGCGACGCAACCTAGGCAAGGTACCCCCCGAAGATAATAGGGCCGTTGGTACTACCTAGTAGGTACTGTATGTATAGCCCGTGGGGCTATAAGGAAAGAGAAAAAAAAAAATCAACATGCGCTCACTCCGAAGAGAAACTTACCAGTACAAGGATGAGAAAGACTACCGAGAAAACACGGATAAGTGTAAGTGAAGGTTGACCTGTCGCCTTATCGCTTTGTCGGCCCTTCTTGGTTTCAGAAGAAGTATTATCGTCGTCGTTGTCGCTTTTATCTGTATGCGATGCTGCAGCGTAGATCGACGGGGGATCATCTTCAGCTCTGGCGCTGAAGCGCCAGGCTTTAAAGGTGTCGGACAACGTGAACGCCACGGCGAGTCTCGCGGGGCTTTAGTGGGGTTAGGGGTGATTGTCTGGAGACTCGGGAAGACAAGAGAAAGTCGTCATACAACGCTTTGCGGTCTACCCCGGAGGCGCTATAGCGCTATACACCGCGCGACGGGCCACAAACCCCAGTATTCTTGAGAACGGCCGGTTGATGGGTGATTGGGGGTTTCAATGGATTCAACGAACAAATAATAACGCAGATGGGAGGCTTGGTTTTATTGGTAACCGGGCCGTATGTGCAGCACCTGCAGATGGTCAGGTTGCTTGGGACGGGTCCGATGAATGCGATGATATCATGAGCGATCCACCCATGCAGGAAACCAGTCTAGAACTCCTCGTTAGGCTTGGTGCTGGTCCTGGACTTTTTAGCCTGGCTCGTCTGGTGGGATTTTAATCTTATCCCGTGAACAAAATAAAACCGGGGCAAAAAAAAGAGAGGACCTAGCGGAATCTAGCGAACTCTCCTCCTCTCCTCCTCAGTGCCCCCAGATGTCTCCCGTTTGTCCCGGTAATCTGGTTGGCAATTTGTATTCCAGGAAGATGATTGACTCTCAAGATAAGATTCCAATCTCAAGAAGCATGTGGGTGAGAATGATGAGGGGTATTCAATCTCAGATATATACGCTGCAAAGGAACACTGAATCTCGGAATGAAGCACTGTAGAAGGATCCGGTCGGCTTATTGAAATTAGAGATACGACGAATTCAGCCAATTGAATGTTGATTTTTAAGTGACGGATATATTATTGCAGGTAACCTCGAGAAGCACAAAGAACGAGGATTTGGTATAGGTAAAAAGCAATGACAGCAACGCGCAAAGGTGAGTGAAGCTACATTTCCCGACTTGACAGATAAACGAGATAAATACAATCGATAAATGTTGAGGGTATGAAGAAATTCTTAAGATTGCGGTGAAAGCACAGGAACTTCCAATTACCTAGGTACCCTAACCACCCCTGTTTCACGATCCCTTATTTGGGAAGTAGCCCTTTCCATCTGTAGACAACGTGCTAAGCAGCATTGTCCGACATCCGACATCCGTACTACCTAAGATATTAATTCCATTTCCATTTCAATTTCAGTTCCCCGCCGGCATTCAAATTCTAGCCTCCATCGTAACTCCTATCAGGTAGGTAGCAACGATTAAGGTTATTAAATAGGTGGCCAATGGTTACATCTATTGAAGAGGCCAGCTTTCCAATAGATACATAGTATTTCTATTCCTCATAATTCAATGTTCAATCTTTTCGAAGAGTATTAACTCGCTATTGGTCGGATGGATTCATGGCTTTATTGCTTTTTCTTTCCCGCATATGAAAACGCCACAGAAATATGTTCAGCGGACAGCTACCTAAGGGGTGGTTAGATACACGTATCGCCCTTCTTAGATTATTCTAGAGACTACTAATTTTCTTAAGTGAGAGTTAGATCTGAAAAACAAGAATTATTACCTACCGTACTTATCAGCACCGCTTGGTAGGTTCGACTAGATTAACGCCTCTATTAGAAAACTCGAACAATGTCATTGTGGTTTTCGCACAACCTCGAGCGACCGACGAGTGTGCATCCTCATTCTACTAGCAAATAACTCCCGCATATCGGCGCAAAGTGCATAAGAATAGGCGTGGCTATATTCGCAGTTGTCGCGGATGGATTCCGTGTCAGAACCGTACGAGAGGGGCATTGAACTATAGGCGCGGACAGGGGCCGTCCGGTAAGCCATAGACATGCAGCAACCCGAGAGCGACGAACATGGCGGAGAAGATGTAGCCAGTCGTATATTATAAGTACAGGTACGCAGCACAGTATGGCAGATCCTTTCATTTCCGGGTATTGATCCGAGCTTAATAGTAAAAAAGAGCTGCATATAACTGCAAGCCACCCCATCATTTAACCCTGACAATTATCGTTTGGTTTCTACACCATGTTCAACCTGCGCTTCTCTACATCCTTCCTTCCCAATCAACTAGGAAGAGTAAAAGAGTGCGATGGGGTCAAAATTGGCCAAATATCAGCCCGAGCGAACCGAGCCTAAGTTCGTCTAAATAATCAGATATCATAAAATGTTCGGCCATCTACATTCTCTGAAACAGTGGCTTTTATGCAATCACCATATTGAGGGAAGGCGGCGAGTCGATTCAACCATCCATCGATCAGATACCTATCTACCTGTTTGTGCATCAAACCGCAGCTCGCGAGATAGTCGGCTAGCCCTTGACAGGCTGAGGAGTGGCCTTCCAACCTAGGATGTGTGTTTACTCAATAGATTTTCGTACCACGCGACGAGAAATCGACCCATGCCAATGCATTGATACTTTACTGAGCATATGTAAGTATATACGGGCTGACAGGATCACATCAATAACACGGGCACCTAGGTAGTTACACCACGTGGGCGAGGCGCTCAAGATGCTTGAGAACAGCCAATACTGCGAGCTTTGGCTACTGTTCCAAGTATATCAAATCTCTTCTGCCCACTTAAGTTTAAGGAGTGACTAGATCAGTTAAACGCCGCCGTGGTGTATACCGACTGATCAATAGTAGAAGGCAGGACGCGTTAGCCCCGTCGCACCCCAGCATTACAATAACGACCAGCCCTGCAACCTCTACACGCCTACTGGTAGGCGAAGTCAGCCTGTTGCTTTGATATTACCAGTTACATACCGGTATATCAGTTCTATTTTACCTAGAGTCACCTAGAGAGTGGTAATTTAGGTGGATTGAGGGATTTTCGCTATCATATATGGCCTAGAATGGGGTTGGAGGATGCCACATGAAGCTTATGAGCGAACCAACGCCGCCATCACCATCTTTACAGCCATAGTCGTAGGCGTATTGAAGATTGCTCGTCCAGACACCTCAAATTGACGCCGAGATATCCAATTTCTAAAGGCATTTATGTTCAATACAGTATGCCTTCCTTATTTTCTAGGGGTTTCGCGGAATTAGGTACGCAATACTTAGTAACATGTTGATTTTTAAGACTGCAAAGTTACACGAGGGGTTGCCTCTTTAGGCAGGCCGCTAACCATTCACGAAATATCATTGGTCTATCACCCTAACTGTATTTGAAGCGACACAAGAAAATCAATCAGTAGAATACACATTCTACCGCTCGAAACAAAACATCGAGGATTTACCCAGCGATATCTTATATATCTCTCACTGAGCGATTTCATTAGTTGTTCCTATGGCCCTTGCCTGCTTGCGCAATTTTGACCAGCCTTGCGAACGAAAACCAAGCCAACCAATGCAACGAGAAGATGCGAGACTAGAAGGTTATATGCTTAATGCTAACCAGTCCATATATAAGTGCGCCTAATAAATATCGCCGACGAATAGATTGAGAAACACTCAAACCAGGCCCCCTTCTTGAGTGTCCGAACTGACGGCATACGTTTCCTAGCTCGTACATGTATAACTGCTGATAGCTACACCTAGCCAGTTTCCAGTTGCAGAAGCATCCAGAATCTCGATGGGCTGCATGACGAAAAGGGTTTGTAACCGAAGTTGGAGAAATGGCAAGGGTCTTCCCCGACCACCCTTCGCGTTTTATTGACGTCTTAGATGGCATGGAGGGGTGAAGTGGAAAAACCTATCATCCAAGACAATTAGTTGAAGCGATACCCAAGAATGGCGTGGCCCCTTACCTAGTACCAGCAAACTACTTACGTGGGACTTGACACTATGCCTCCCGATACCGAATGTTAGTTTTCCTAACTGACATCGGCTGCTCCTCCACGGTGGCATGTTATGATATGATAATCATGTATCACCACCTCCAACTTAGCCCATTCAAAACGATCGACCAATTGTAGGTTCTGCTTAGCGATGCCGCTTCCATGGATGTTACCTGCATCACTCTCGAGGTTAGGGTGTCAGGGAAAATAGGGGTATGGGAAGGGATGTTATAAGCCTGGTGAGTTTTTCCCGATTGCCAATTTCGCTTATCACTGCATCAAAAAGGCATCTTGTAGGCTCTTTTTATGTGTAGCTGCATGTTATATACCGATGAGTTGTAAGCGGGCAGTTATATTCGGCGATGTTCATTCGACTAGAGTGTCCTGCAGGGGGGGTTTGTCTTGGTATGCTTGAGTTGGAGGCTTCAAAAGAGCCTCATAGCCTGGGCGCCGGGTTTAAGGGGAGCTCAATCTATATCCCGGACTGTGTACTTTGGGGTAGGGAGACTTTGCGGCTCAAATTGAGGCTCTTCGGAAGCGACTCCAAACTGACCTCAGACAGCCAGAAAGACTTCTTATAAATGCTAGCCATTTCCCGTCAGATATTCAAAGTGTGATCGATACTCTCCATGGAACAAATGGCACCTCTCAAATCAATCCAAACACAATTTATCATCCCTTCAATCAAGACACATGCTTCAAGATACTCATTCGCCAATTGTTGCTCGAATGCGCGGTTCAATTATCTTTTCACCAAATTTTGATGATTCAAGACTGCCAAGTATATAAAACGTAGGTTCTTTTTTCTTTTCACGAATAAATCAGTATTGGACTAATTTTCTAAGTCATTAGATATGTCTCTTCTCATCTATTAGCATAGTTCAATGTTTCTATGATCCGCCGCCCAAAATAGTGGGCCCTTCAGTCCGCGGTTGAGGAGGACAATATCCATTCCGTTAACTAGAGCGATCGATAAAAGTATGGTTTTCTGTTTCTTGCCGAGTTTCATCAGAATTTCGGTGAATGGGCGACGTTTTATATTCACCGACGTAACGTTGTATGCCAAGTGGGTTGTGGTTTTTACATTTGTTGCTCACCAAAATGCAGAGCGGATCAATTCAGCAAATTCGCCTAGCGAGGGCTATGGTAAATTTATTATAGCCATTGCCTTTCCATGTTTGTCCGGATTGTCCTCCTTCAACGACGTTCGTTCGTTAAATTATTATTATTATTTTTCCTATTCCTCGCTTGGTAGTCGGCAACCCGCGCGACTCCGCCACTAAGTACTTAGGTGCTTAGCTTGGTATTAGCAACACCATGTTGAAATGCGAACAAAGGCCACGCGCTCCAAATTATAATTATACGATCCACAATCAAAGTCACAGATGAGTGAAGAAGTTCTCATTAAAAGCCTGGACTGCCTCGGATTTGGCCGAGTTGGTAACTGAGGGGCAGGTAGACACAGCATACAGGGCATTTTACCCCTAGTGCCTCCGAATGTGTGGCTATGTATACTTGATCATCTATCGGGAAAAGAAAATCCATGTCATCGAAGGGGGAATAGGGAATTTACATTCGGAGTGTTGCGCGTCGGAGAATAGATAATGCAAGGCGAATGAGTCTTATCGAATCAATGCTGTCTCTTACCCAATGCACTAGGTAATTTTCCTCTGCATGTGATTTTTATTTTCTACAAACTTTACTCGTTAAGGTACGTTCGTCGTCCTTGACTCTTCTCTCTAGTGATTAATTTTAATATATCACTTAGGTCACGTTTGTCTGGGGCCGAGCCGTATGCCTAGTTATGCCTATGCTGCCTATGCTGTCCATTACACAGAACCGGCTGGTATCTATCCTGGGTTTGATGATGGCCACACGGTTACTCCATGGTTTAACAAGACATTTCACGCCGACAAAATACATTGGGCAATTCTTGTATCAGCACAGGCAGATATATGGCGGCAATATGGCGAAGTTGTCAGCAGATATGAATCAATACCTAGATAGGGACGAGTGTCATTCACCACGTAGTGGCGCTGTCCTTGATGGTGTTCAAGTTTGGCTTTACCGAATGGTTGAAGTCTCAAATAATTGGTACCTACGACCGCCATTGTTTCAACTCTGGGTTGTCCTACTCTATAATAGAACTGCCACGCTCTACACAAAATGACCACCTCGATTTCTACTTAGGCGCTCAGATTGGCCATCAAGTGAGCCTCCGGCTGTGTTGATGGGCGTGACTTTTGAGGATGCCCTGAATTACGTTAAGAGAATTCGCATAGGGGAAAATAGAGTACTATAAAATCTTTAGAAGATCGTAGTGTAAAGGCGTATGCAACACTCATCGCACTCACACAATATATAAACGACATCTACCTTCCCATCAACTCAGAGTCTTCATAGATCACCTAGATACCATCCGCAAGCATCCTCAAGACATCCGCCGACAATTCAAAAAATGCCGACTTCTCAAGAGATCTCAACCTCGAGCAAACACAGCTCAAAGCCAACATCTCCGCCACCACCTCCCCAGTTTTGGTATTGTTGCTCATGCCGTTATGGGCCAATGACCATCATTTTAACGCCGGCATGTGTTCATTGTAACGATCACTACCGGTGCGGCAATTGCAAACTCGAGTAAGGTAAATTGCATATTATATTTAGAGATTTTAAGGCTGATTATCTAACGAGTCCTCAGGCCTTGATGAGCTTCTACTACTCTTTAAAGTTTGCGGTAACCTACGATGTTCGACGGCACATCTACGTATATAATGTACAAGTCAATCGAATTTCCTCGACTGTTTTTGGATTTTCCCGGGTGGCTATAGACTTGCTTTACCTCTTGGCGGCAATTCATGCCGAAATACACAGTTAGAAATAGAAGACCACCCGGTCATTGTTGGCGCCGGCGGCATCTTCTTTTGGCAGGAGAGTGGAATATAGAAAAGTTCTAAAAATAGGATATTAAAAAAAGGGGAAAATAGGAAAAGTTTGAAAAAAAAAGGAGGCATTCTGTTATTGGGACGGTCATTTTTTCTTGATTATACCTTGCCGCAGTTTTGGTTGTTTTATTAAGTGTAGGAATAGTGTTTGCTGTACTGTTTTGTTTCTAGCTAGTTTCCTTGTAATCGAATTTCCTTGAGTCTTACGTGATCTCAGCTTCCACTAAGTGATTCCGCCTAGCCACCTAACTAATTATTATTCGTTGTCCTTGCACCACCGTATAAAGTTGTTATGTGACTTTTCAAATACAAACACAAAAAGTGGATTGTGTACGATGAGTTTTTACAATTTCTTCTAGAACACTTGATTATTCTGGTTGGATTTGGTAACTCTCACCTGAGAATTGCACTTGCTATAGGCTATTGGCGTTTCAATTAGGTGGACGTCGTACAAACTCCATGTAATATGTGAAGTAATAAGCTTGTGGCTGCGGCTATGTTGCAGGCAGGATCAAAACTTTAAAGGAACTTCTCACTTAGTATGCGTAAGAACGGACTAGATTGGCAATTGTAATAATGTTAGTTTCATCTAAATAGGCTATCAAATCTTGAGGCTGAAGTGAGGCGAATCGCATGTTGTGATTGATCTGAGATTAGGTAACTTAGGTATTGACCAGTCGGATAGGCCAATTAATGGATGAATAAATTGGTTATTGTCACGTGAGGCGCACATCATCTTGAAACATATAAAATTCAAGGGACGCTGACGGATATTCATCGCATGCATTAACATATGGTCTCGTGCGTAATACATGTATTGACAAAAGTGCGCTTGCATAAAATGCAGTAGCAGGCGGGTGATCGTATGGACTATTGGAAGGACACAGGGCTGTGCAGCTTTATAACAATCTAATAGTTGACGTAGGGCATTAGGCTCAAATTGGAGGCTCAACTGGGGTTTGTTGGGCATCCATACAATACTATCATGTCCTTCAATAAGGGCAAATAGCCAAGCCATCGGTCATCCCGCCCTATGTAATCATTCTTGAAAGCATATCAGTATTTGCCTAAGCTGAATCAGTCAGTATCGGCCCTTATACCACTGACAATATGCACATTGTAGATAGTATCCTAAATACTATGTTCGTCCTAATGATATTGTCCTCGGTGGTATAGGGAGCACTGCCTATATACTGGATATGTATACGATGTACCTAGGTATTAGGGGTTAATACATATACCTACCTAAGGTACTCTGTTGGAACTCTCATGTCTTATATGTGCTTGATTGGTCCGAGGGGTGGTCCTGAAATTGGCCGAACCTACACGGATGATCAATCAGCACGTATGAAATGCGCCACGGTCTCTTTGTTGCATGGTAAATCTGTACTTATTAATCATCTGATAGAGGATTTAATTAAAAAAATAAAAATAAAAAACAAGTTTTGATTTTACGCAGTCCCTTTACGTAGAAAAATGACGTCTTGAAGCGCGCAGCCCCTTTGGTAAAGAGTTCCCACGATGGTATTCCAATAAGACCATACTTTTCCTATGTAAGGCAGAAAAAATACGAGTCACTGTATGGGATAGAACCAACAGACATAAAGAAGCAACTCTAGTCTCAACGCGAGGCGCAAACTCCAAGTCGGCTGCTACATTGAAGTTTGATTCCACATGCGAGATGATCGATGAACAAGTAGTACCCGAGGAAGATATGACAACAACTGTATTTGTGTAACGGAACAAAGCGATCGGTGAACTCGAGTATGTGTCACGTTGGTCGCATTCGGTACGACCTATTTACCATTATTAATCTCGAAGGCGTCGCTTCGGCTTGGAATTCGACGCGAGCGATGCTCTGATTTCTCGTTTTTCTGTTCCGTGTCCGATGATACGCAACACATTTGCTCATCGTGCGTAACCGCTCGACCGGTTGAATTGGAGATTGGAGGCCGTCGTGATAGAAAACAAAAGGATACGGGGGAGAGGAAAGAAGAACCAACCACGAGGTCTAAATGACAAACATATTTTTTTGAGCTACTACCCTAGGTAGCTAGGATCTAGCTCGCCCGGTCTTCTCGGTTCGGTTTCCCATTCCTGGGTCGGAGTTGAGCTCGGAGTTAATCGTAAAGCGGGCCGTATAGGGGGGAATCTCTACCTAGGTATAACCTTGTCTCCAAATTGGAAATGTAACGGGGATGATTGGAGAAAGATGGAACAGATGGAACTATTAATTGACCAACGTGACGAAACCTTCTCCGCATTTCTTCTTCTCCGTTCCCCCTTTTGCCCCTCTTTTTCCCATCCCTAGCTTTGTTTCCCCCACATCTAACATTTCTAATTGACGATACACGATACACGACTCTCTCCAAAAAGAAAATAGGGCCTTAGTAAATCATGACTACTGAAACTATATCATGCGTTTATTCTTTGTAATACAGGTCATACAGCGTTTTTGTGGCGTTTGATTGTACTTGCATGTCTGTTGGAGCTCGTCATGATTGGAGTAAGTTTTCAATTCCAGAAGCGGAAGAAAGTACTTGTGTTCAGCTTGATCATGCTAGCCAAGTAGAATCTGGAAAGGCCTCGAGGTATAGCTACCTATGTAGCTAGTGGCATGATGCTACTTGGATGTTGTTTAGATTGTTTAGGTTGTTTAGGGTCAATCTTCTCCCCACCAACAACCGTTTTACCTACCCAGTATCCCGGTCATTAACTGCCGGAAACCGAGACTCCTCAATACTACAAAGCGGTACTTGCTGATGACTGAGAATTACATAAAAAATCGGTGACGAGTTCTTGAGATCTCGAGCACCTTTGTTTAGAGTATAAGGGTATAATGATTTCGAATTCAAATATTCGTCAATTTCTCTTCTCATAGATACCCTCCAGTTCAGACTTTTAACCAACTAAGACACTTCCACTCTGTACCTCAAGTTTTCATCTGATAAATCACCATGGGTTCTGCGCCACCACAGCTACCTTCTATCGAGGGCTTGACCCTCGAGAACATCACAGAGACCACAAAACTGATCAACTCACAATGTCCAAATCCTCGCCTTAGGTATATCATGGAGCGATTGGTGCAACACGTGCACGACTTCGCTCGTGAGACGCGACTGAGCTCAGAAGAGTGGATGATAGGCCTCAATTTCCTCGTGCAGACCGGACAAATCAGCAGCGATGTGCGCCACGTATGTACGCCTTTATCTAGCGTCGAGAAAAGAACCAATCCACTAACACAATTCAGGAATTCATTTTACTCTCCGATACGCTAGGTCTTTCCATGCTGGTAGACGGCATAAACCACCCGAAGCCACCAAATTCTACCGAGGGGTCACTCCTCGGGCCCTTCCACACCCACGACGCGCCCACGCTGGATATTGGCGCCAATATGTCGAATGATCCTCAGGGAGAACCCCTGCTTTGCATATGCACAGTCAAAGACACCAAGGGAAATCCGGTTCCTGGCGTCAAGATCGATATCTGGGAGACGGATAGCTCCGGCCACTATGATGTGCAGCATGCCGATCGCGATGGGCCGAGTGAGCGGTGTGTTATGATTAGCGACGAAAAGGGCCGCTTCTGGTTCAAGGGTATTCGACCCGTTAGCTACCCGATTCCCCACGACGGCCCCGTGGGTAAGTTACTGGAGAAGATGGGAAGGCATTGCTGGAGACCCGCACATCTGCACTTTATTTTCCAAAAGGATGGGTGGGATAACTTAGTTACGTAAGTCGTGTACCCCCCTTTGTCTGCTCATCTTTCAATTTCTGGGGAAGATCTCTATTGTGTTGCTGCTCTTTGACGGGGGTGTGGCATGTCTCTCCACTCTGTGCTACCTACAGCTAAAACTAACGTACCCGACAAATTAGGGCACTCTACGTACGTGGTGATAAGTATGAGAAGTCGGACGCTGTATTTGGTGCTAAAGAGGCGCTTACTATCGACTTCACCACCGCCGACGCGGCGATCGCGAAGGAATATGACTATCCAGAAGGAGGCTTGTTATTGGTACAAGATTTCATTTTGACGACACAAGCTCAGACGGATAAGCTGAGGGATGACCTTGCGGTGAAGGCTATTAAGCAGCTAGGATTAAACTTGAAGCTGGTTGACCATCTTCCCGTCCCCGATGTGGACTAGGTGAAACTGAGGAAAATGAAAATTCGGCGTTAGGTTAGGTCAGTGTGTACGCGTATGTATGTTTTAAGTAGTAACATGACGATCTTGATTTTTGCTTCGAAAGATGGACGTCTTGCTTTTGGGTGATACAAACCCATGCGGATGACGAGTCATCTTTCTGCCGTATTTCTGCATTTCCAGATAAGCGAATATGGTGCGACTAATGCCTTTGTGCTTCCTGCCGATGAGAAGCGCCTATACCCATACTCTCTTCTTTGCCCCGGCCTGGTGACACCCTCATTGTGACATTAGCAGCTACCCCCGCAGAATTAGGTATATACCGGGCCTTAAGATTATGGGCAAATATCACCTTGGGGCTAATACATTGAACCGGGGACGAGCGCCCTACCTCAACTACCCTCGAGTCGCAAGTATACGGCGCGAGAACCCAGAGCCATTGCATGGGTGACTAGCTCTCAGGACGCCCCTTCCAACCCTTTCTCGTAGTACACACAGCTAGAACCGATGGCCGCTCAGAAGTCCTGAACCCCCGTCTCTCCTTCAAGCTCCCTCTGTCCCACGAACTTATCTCCTCCTCCTTGGTCCCCAGCAGAATCACTAGCCCAACCGGGATCCTCATCATCAAACCACGCATCCTCCTGCTCACGCCGCTCCATTACATCTAGATCATCATTCTCATCTATAGTCTGGTAATCAAAATCATCATCGCGCCCAAGCACAAACCGCCTTCTCAAAAAATCATCCCATCTTTCCCGACCCTCCTCCTTCGTCTCAGGGTGTCGGGGCAATCCTTTAATCCCCGATCCCTCACAACTCCTCTTACTTCCCCCATCCCCAAGTCCATCACCGCCGATAGCGTATTCCCGAATAAACGGGTCCGCGTCCTCGGTCGCTGACTTCGGGATCCAAGACTGTGATTGCCCTTCCCCTGTTGCTGAGGGTTCTGATTGCCTGGGAACGTTGATTGAGGAGGCGAAAGATGCGGATGTGAGTTGCGCGAGCTTGGCTTCGCCGCGGAGGAGGTCCACTTCGAGGACCCGGGAGTACCCCTTAACGCGTCCTTCTTTTTCGCGCTCTTCGGGCGATTGAAAACGCCGTATTAATGCGTCGTAGAGGAGTGGATCTAGAGTGTGTTAGCTGTATGGAATCAACGGAATAGAAATAAAAATGGATTAAGATAAAACTATGCATCGAGATAATAAATGGGAGTGAATATATATACGCGCATCCGGATAAGCTGAAATGAGAAATGAAACAAAAACAGCGCCTTTAGGTAAATTGACAGATTGAATGAAGACTCACCTGCAAGCTCATGTTCGAGCGATTCAAAATACTTAGGATTTCGCTCAAGATACTCGCGTCGCCGGTTCTGCACACGGATTTGCGCTGAGTGCGCTGGCGATTTTGGTGGTCGAGGCTGGGGTTTCACATACGTCGCTGTTGGTGACGGTGATGACGACAGCGGTGGCGAAGGCGGGGCTTGCGGAGGCATGGGGGATGCGACATTTGCATCGTCTAGATTGTCCGCCATTGCGGGATTAACTTGTAAAGGGGAGTTAGGTGGTATTGGATTAATTTACTATCGTGGACTTTAGGTGTGTTGAAATCAATTGCTGCGTTATGAACAAGCGCTAGGAAGGATAAATCTTGTTTTTGTGGGCATTTTAACGTGCTATATATGTCTAAATTCCGATAAAAATTTTCGTTCGGGTAAGCCGAAAGGTAAGAAAGGCACTGGTGGTTTAGTGGTAAAATCCATCGTTGCCATCGATGGGCCCCGCGTTCGATTCGCGGTCAGTGCACATTTATCTTCTTCTTCTTTTTATTGCATCTTACTGGATAGTATTACCGTAATTTCTCTTCTACGTCGCGTTGAATTCACTATGGTCCCCGGAGAGTTCTAGTGTCCCCATCTTGAAATATTCTATACCCGTAATATCTACCTAAATACATATTCTTCAAGCTCCCGATATGCCCATTCAAGGTCATCATTGACAACGATGATGTCAAAAATATCTAGAGTATTAGCATATTTTAATTCAACTTTTGCGCGCACCAACCTCTTCAGCACATCTTCTTCCCTTTCCGTTCCACGACTCCTGAGCCTTGCCTCGAGCTTCTCAAAACTTGGAGGCTTAATAAAAACATAGCGCGCATCAATGTCGGGGCTCGCTTTCACTTGCTTGACGCCTTGCACATCTATATCCAACACGATTACTAATCCTTTTGCCGTCTGGTCCGCAATGGTCTGCTTGCTCGTGCCGTAGTAATGACCGCTAAAACAAGCGTGGGAGAGATGTAGAAGTAAGTTACACCATCGACTTCACCGACTCGTGGCTTGCGAGTTGTATGTGATATGGTTGTTGTGAAGGTGTCAGGGTGTGCATGGAACAATTTCTGAATTGGCGTCCCTTTGCCGACGCCTGAGGGCCCTGAAATCACGATCGGTCGGCGGTCTTGAGGTGGCGCTTCAGTGGGGGGATGTTAGTGTCTCAAGCCCTGGGCTGTCGGGAGTAGGCGTACGTACGTACTAGGGGCCATCGTGCTTCTACTGATACGTCTTATAACTGAGAAATTTATATTAATACTTGAGATTTCTTAAATTATTATGATGTTGTTGTTGTTTTTTTTGAAGTTTTTCATTCATTTATATTTTATATGTAATATCAATTAGTCATCGAAGTGGCTTTAGTTATTATCTTCTTTCACCGCTTCAATGCCGTCTTTTTTAACTGTTTGGCCGTCCTCGGCGTCTCCATAGTCCGAATCGGCCTCCGCGTCTTCTAGATACGGAAGGGTCTGATGTATTTGCTTCGAAGGACTAGCTTCGTTGTCAACCGAATTGACAACTGGCCTAGTAACCATCGAGGTGTGCTTCTTACTGACAGATGCCTTGGGAGACCCAGCCCTTTTACGGGACGAAGCCGTCGCGGTTCCTTTTTTCGGCTCAAGATAACGCGGGGGGCCCTTCTTCGCTTCTTTTATTAATTTTTTCATTTGATTTTTCCTTTCTCCTACCCCCCAATCGTGAATTGCGCGAATGTACTCCCTACATTCAATAAACGGTTCTTTCTCTTTTAAAGAGAACATTTTGAGGTTTCCAAAATAATATTTGGCCTCACCATTGTCGAGCGTCCTCCACGCTACAGAAAGTTGCGCCCTAGTAGGTAAAAGAGTGAGACCGAAGACAACGAACTCTTCTTCTTGTGGGAATGCGAAGTGTAACGCCGCTAAGGTAGTAGAACAGCCGACGACGCACTGCTTTTCTGCCTCACTTTCGCTTCCACCGTCGGGTTTCGCTTCTACTATCAAATAGGGACAACAGATACGAAGTGCCCCCGACATTTGACAATACAACTGATATATCTCTGTTGAGGCTCCTCGCCAGATTTTTGGTATGAACGGCTCGCCGTCGAGGAACTCTGTCGTGGAGTATCCAAAATATAGGTCCGGTCTAGGGCAAGTAAGTTGTTCACCTTCCGGAAAATGTTCAAGGAACACGCGTTTGAACGATTTGTTAGACGCTGACTCCATAGCATTATCGCATGTATCACACTTAGCTTCGTCTAAGGCCAGCGCGGCGTATACGAATGCTCCAACGCCGTCCTCTGATGATGCATCTACAAGATCACTCTTTTTATCGAAGATTTCAAATTTCTTTGCCGATTCCTCGTATTCATCTTTAGGATACCACGTTGGATGATTTTGTCGGCGACGAGCCTTGTTCTCGGCGTTACTGGGGTTAAGCTTCTTGAGAAGCTCTTTAATAAAATCCGGGGCGAGTTTTTGGTAATTAGCATGCCTAAGCTCTTTAATGCAATTAGCATCGAGGATGTTGAGATAAAGCTTGTCTTTAGGGCCAACTTTGGCCATTTCTGAACCGGAGTTGCTTTCGGTATGACTGTCGCTTTCGGTGTAGTTGATTTGGCGTTGCTTATTTTCCAAGTGATGCAGGTCTTCGCTTCGATGTAATTGACGTATTAATTGCAGGTAATCAAGTACAAAATTCGGGTTATCGGGAGGAAATCTGACTTGGTCAAATATGAAGCGTTGAAGTTGTGTTAGTTCGAGTTGAAGAAATTGCTTTATTGGCGACGCTGTCTGCTTTATTAAACATTAGCTTCTTAATAATTTAAGAAGATACATTAACATGTTTAGTTAACTTACATGTTGCTGCGCGTTTGATATTTCTTCAGGACGAAGTTGACGGAGACGGATGTTCTTTTTTGGTTTCTTCGAAGAGCTCCTATTAGAGTCTGAACTTCTACGACGTCGTTTCTTAGCTGACCTCGTCACTGGGTTTAGGAGGTCGTTCTCATCCGCTGCTGGTATATTTTCGACTCCCTTATCGACGTTATAAGCAACAGTAGAAGAGCAAGAAGCCATGCGTGAAGGTGAAGGGGGAGAGGGCAACCCCTCATGATGTTGTCGACGGCAGTCCATAGTGTGTTACGGATGACATAGATACTTGAAAGAGTGTATAGGGATATTTCGATATGATTAATCATATATAGGATTTTTTTATATGGGATTTCCGATTAAAAGTCAATAAAAGCCTGTACTTATGTAAGTTTAACAAAAAAACAAAGAGGTAGATTCTGGAGAAGGTTGAACACGAAACATACGGTGGTAGGCGACGTATTTAATACTAAATAAGGTGCATAGTCCTAGTAAAGATCACATATTGACTTATAATTGGTTCAATTAATAAATCTGGCCACCTTTGCTTTACCTTAATAGCCTCACCGATGTATCTCATAACAGTGCTTTTGATAATAAAATAGATAGAAAGGGAGGGTTCGAAAAATGTAAAGACTTATATAATACCTGGCTGCTATTCTCAAAGGGATAGGTCTTTATATCTATTAAACCGGTTTCGATTTTCGATCGCGTTTTTTGTTCAGTCCTTTGTTTACAAAAATCTTATCTCGGTAAACTCAGATTAATCCTCTTTATGCGGTGGGCTACGCCCATTCTATGCTAATTTATCTTACCCCTTACTGATACCGCACAAATGATGCCCAAAAGATGATAGAAGCACCAAAAATCATACGAAATTGGTAATTCCGAACATATTTCTGGTGCGTTGATAATATCCCGAGACGGCTTGTTTACATGTAGTTGCGACTACATGGTCCATGTACACCGCGGCAACAGAGAATACTCAGCATTGCGCAAATGTTGGTTATTAGCGAATACACTTTTCCCGTAGATATGTCGAATCCATCAACGCACTTAAGTCATGATGTGATTCGAGTGCGACAGGAAAGCAGCAAGGAAGACTACGCTTCGCTGGAACTGAATATGGCGTCAGTGGCTTACTATGCAACGTCGTCGAATATTCGAAAATGGGATCTTCATATACCTACCCTATCACCGGTATCAAGACTGCCGAAATCAAGCGCAACTTCGACATTCCTATTCGAAAAAATGCCGACTATTGGCGCTTAGAGCAGACGGGGAAAAAGCCTAGAGATGAGAACAAATCTAAGACGGGGACGGTCCCAAAGACTTTGACATGTAGGTACCTAGGTGGATATTCGAATGCGGGCTAAAACAGCCAACAGCCCCGAGGTTACACGAGGAAAAGGGCGTTAGGTGGTTGGTGTGTACGGCGACGCCCTCGTCTCATAAAGGGCTAGGTAAGGTACATATATGTACATCAAGTAGGCGCGGAGTCGGGAGTATTAATCGCTCCATGCACCACAAAGGATATATACCTGGCGGTCACGAGTGCATATTTCATCACCCGTAGACACGTAGACAGCAGGGTAAATCAAATTGAAACCCCCTATTTCCCTCCAATTACCTGCCTACCTACCGCCTACCTAGGGGTCCTATGGCGTTATGGCCTCGAAGAAAATAGGCCAAATTAACCTTTCATTTCAAGACGCAATCCACGTCACTAGGCACATTTTCATAATGTTGCTTTCCTCTGGGCTACACAACATGAAGACAATACGACAGCGGGGGTTGCATCTGGTAACTGAAACTTCCATATAGATATCAATGATAACACAGACTGACACTCACATATAGTTTGGGAATCTTCAAAAGACCAAAAGGAGTGGGAGGACTCTCTAGAGGGCCAAGAAGCCACTACCACGATCAACGAACTCGCGACGGGTCCCGTTTACGAAGATACTGTCGATTTCTCCGAAAACCCTCAACCTGCACTGGGTGCTAAGGTTGTAGAGCTTGTCTCCTGGGTTTATTCCGTCGACAATATTACGGATGAGAAGAAAGCAGAGATTGATTCTGGCTTTAAGAAGTTCCAGAAGGCAATTACAACTGAAGCTCCCGAGTCCGATGGCGGGATTGTGGCTGGTTGGGGTTCAGCTGAATTTGATTTCGAAGGGGTACCCAGCAAGCGTTACACACTCCTGATCGGATGGAAAAGTGTCCAAGCGCATTACAAGTGCAAGACCACTCCCCCGTTCACTGATAACATCCACTGGTTGATGGACAATGGCCACAGCAAGGTAGAGATGGTCCATTTTCCTTATAGCCAATCTATTAAAGATTAGAATTTTCATAGACGCTTTGAGCGGGGCAATGGGAGTTGGTTCGACCCTTGGGGTTTTTTTCCTTCAGACCTACCCCTCCCAAGTGCTGGGAGTTCTAAATCACTCGCTTGATAGGGCTTGATGTTTTTTCCCTGATATGAGCCAATGGCCTAGATTTTGGTAATAGCTAATACACTTGATATAAACCTTGGAATATTCTGATCGGTTGAAGAATGTCCGTATTGTGAAGTGATTACAGTAGGTTAACAAGGATCTCGGGACTATCGGAGATTGCCGGTTTCCGATAAACGTTTTCGGACATACCTAAATAGGCAATGAAGCTCAATTTAACTAGCCAATTTTAGTTAGACAGTAACCTTAAGGAACGTGGCCTCGGGGCATGTACCCCAATCCAAACCACCAACGCTGAGTTAAAATAATTCTAAAATGAACAACAATCTTTCAATAAACCCCTTAAATGACTGGATAGCTAGTCTCTCGCACATCTATATTAAGAATGCGACATCTGGAACTGAAGTTGAGCCGCAGCCAAAGCGATCTGCACAATAGACAAGATAATCGAGAGAACCCCCACAACTAACAAAGTCCAATAAGCCATCCACTCCCTCCGCCCGGTTAGTCCGATCGCGCCAACGATCCCGTATGGTAGTTGTTTTGTGAGACTACGAACGATTGTAATTTCCACAATTTCTCCCCAAACGATGCGAAATTACCGGTGTAGGTCTGCTTTTCGGTAAGTCCGAAGTTCGTCATCATTTCGCTTGGCGGTTTCTTAGAACCGCAGAGTTGATCTAGGAGAGGATCGAGGAAATCGTCTTGCTTTGCGCGACATCGCTCTCGTCTATTGAAAATACAACGGGAGGCTTTGACCTGTCCGAAAATAATGCGAAATGATAATAATACTTCTCGGTAAAAATCGGCGTTTCTTTCGGTCACAGCTTGCAGAGGATATTGGCGGTCATCCGTGATCCTAGGCAGGCAACAATTAGTGGCTGATTAGAATGTTGTGTCACAGGTTGTGTCACAACTCACGCATCAAACAAGCTAGACTCTTTCGTTTTTGAAAAGTACAAGGCGCATATCGACGGGTAACGGAATAAGTATAAAGTCCTCGAATCTTCGTCAAAGTCTAGGTGGGTTCTGAGATCATCAACCCATTGGATTTTAATCCGTCGACCCTCAACGTTGGTCGTTAACGATGAAGCATTAAGCAATAAGACATTGAACTGCTTTCCATTGGTCGGAGACTTGTCTGAGTTAGAGGGAACTGATATTTCCATAGACTTCATCATCGAAAGGATCGGGCGACTCGCTATTCCAATGTCTTTGTTAGGGATAGTCCTCCCTTCATTATCGCGTACTTCGATGTAAAAGTGCTGACGATCTGGGAGCACTGTTGCTGTATAGAGACCCGAGAAACATCCTACAAGCGCGAAGGTGGTTTGTCGCAATAGGCCTTGGAAATTACCGATGTGCGCACCGGGGCCATTAATATCGTATTTAGGTACTAAGCGGGCTATGATATTGTCGAGGCTGATTGATCGCTCTTCGAAAGTTCGTATGATATTTGCTACGGCACATAGGAAATCAGTGAGTTCCTCTGCTTGAATATCTTGGCCAAATTGCTGTAACAGACGCGCGGAGTCGTAAAGTATGTCACAGGGTATTGCGTTTAACCTTGCTCTAAGAATCCCAACCGCAACAGGCGAAGCACTCAAGGCCGCCTATTGCGGAGGGAGAAAAATTAAAGACTGATTCCGCAAGTTTGTCGATACGTATGTTAGCCCCCGACTTTGTCAAGGAGCTGAGCGGTATGTTTGACATAGTAGAGCATAGTGCATTCGGTCATCGAATTTGTATCGTTAGAATATATTATTCGAATAGGAAAAAGAAGCGATCCTCGGTCTGTTTTGTGCTGGCTGTCGGGATTCGGAAAGTCCTACTAGGTATTTCAAAAGGGCAACTTCGCACTAGTATGGTCCAATGACAGTTCTAGATAGCCGCCCAACCTGCTTCTTAATCTGGCCTACATATGTAAAGTACTTTTATACCTTTCCCGAGAAGCCTATCTTCGTCGATATTCTTGCTCCGTGTTGCTCCGCCCGTATGCGGTTTGGGTCTCATTGCAGGTAGAATTTTGTCCTTTCTAAAACGCCTGCTTATTTACCCATCTAGGCATGGTAGGCGAGATCTCCGATCTGGATCTCACAGCCGTAGGCCACCCTTGTCCTTGTTCTCACAGTATTGCCCATCATTCAAAGAACGCACGCCGACCTTTTTCTAGGTCCTCGCTCATCCTTCTTCCACGATTTCTATCTAAACTCGGCCTTGCCCAAGGCGCCGTTGCATTTGCATTAGCGTTTGCGTTTCCACTGCTGAAGCTGACCTTTCTCTGCCTTGAAACGGGCGATAATCGCGCCGTCGCATAGTACCCATCACCGCTGCGGTCGCGGCTGTGATGGGGCCGCAGCCGAGGTGATAGATCATCTATTTGTTGTGGGTGGTGGTGGTATTGGTCATAATGATGATGGTTGTCTCTGCTAGCTATTGGGCGCTCGCGTTGAGAACCCATTGAGTATTTTGAAGTCATGAGATGCGTTTGTTCCTCTAATATGTCCTTTTCGTACTTATCATTAGTATTAGATGCAGTTTGTCTGCCTTTTCTTCTCTTCGCCTTAGAATGAAGCCACTGCTTCCATCCACCGAAGAAACCCCTCGTCGCGTCTGAAATGTCCGTAATGGCGAAGGCCATAGTAATAAGCGGGATACTGATACCGAGCCCGATACCGAACATGTATTTACTCACGTATGGTATTGTAAGTGGCTCACTCCCAATATCGGTGTTCCACTCTTTGAGGTTGATCGCAAAAAAAGCGGCAATAACTGGATGAGATGTGTTAGCGATTTGGTGCCTTATTCATACCCAAGAAAGTTTATACATACAGCTCATGGGTAAGAAAATAATAGTCACAATAGTGAATACCATAATAGTCTGTCCCTGCTTAGCGGCAATGACAGCCTGGTCTCCAGCAAACCGCGCTTCGAGCGCATTTGAGTGTTTCTGCTTGAGGTCAAGTAGATCCGCCAAATTCATATACAACGACTGTGCCTGTCGGTCCATACGTTCCACATCTTTTTTACGGATCTCAAGACTGCGCAGCTGCTCGTGAGAACGCTTGCGGATTTCCGCCACAGCGGTGTCAACAGCACGGCGATTATTGGGTCCCTCAGCGCCGCGCAATTCCTCGGTGATGTCAAACTCGAAGTCGGCAAGTGTCGCTAGTTGCGCATCTAGGATAACTGTGATAATACTCAACTCATCGCGAATGTCTTTGATCTCGGCAAGAAGAGACGTTTCGACGCCGATGTCGAGAAGAGAGTCGGGGAATTGATCCATAACGTTCTCTTCCTGATCGGCGGATCCGAATGAAGGTAAGCCGCTGTTACGTCTGCGTCGATGACTGTGGAGCCACTCAGCAGATTTCGCAGAAGCGCGATTGAAACGGCTGAACAATTGGCTTTCCCGATCCGTAACAAGACCGATTGAACTCTCGAACATATCGAAAAATTGGAAGTCTTGGTCGTCAAGCCGGTGCCGATCAAATGTGCCGGAACATCGACTAGTTATGAGCATCGCGAGGTCATCTAGTGGATGTTAGTATCCGACACAGGTGAAAATGTCATTCTCAATCCGTATACAACATGAAACTGAACTAAAGGTACAGTCGAAGGAAGGTTTTGTTACATACTACGAGTAGGGTTAGTAGCTCATTCTATCAAAGTAGAGTTGTCAGAATAACATACCACACTGATCCAATTGGCGGTCGGGTTTTCGCATTCGTCTCTTCAATGATACCATCGAGGACATTCAACGGGTCCTGTTTCGGCTGGTCCCATCGTTGTGGAAAGCATGTAATGATGAGATCTAAGACGAGTAAGCCTCTTCCCCCGTTAACAATCCAAGGAGCCATATTCACCTTTCCCAATAATCCAAAGCCAAAGTTGATCAACCATGAACACCTTAGGCTCCACATCCTGCCTCTTGCAAAATCGGTACACAACTTGATCCGTATCTCTAGCAGACGTGTCGATACCATGGTAGAAGAATTGGTCAAGAGTCCTTCGTGGATGGAGCGGCGGCGTACTATTCAAATACGCATTGACGATTAAAGAATCTCTCGAGGCGTTGTTCACGAGTTGTCGCTCTTCGCGCACCTTCTGTATCGCACTGCTCATTTTTCGTCGTCGCTCGTCGGTCTCATAGTGTAGGAATGGCATCTTGGCAAGTTAGCATTTGTGTCCAATTCATACAGCAAGAAGTTCTTACGAATAACATCATTTTCCCACTCGAAGCCGCGAATTTCGGTATTTCCCAGGCCAAGGGAGCCTGGCTTTTAAAACTTGACCCGCTTGCAGCACTATCTTGCCTCTGAGGCGGATTGCCAGGAGGGCCCTTAGCTCGCTTGTGTTTTTTAGGGTGTCGCTCAGCGAGCTGCTCCGACTTGCTCTTCTTCTTGGTAGGCGTTTCGTCGTCTACATGATCACTCTGCTTCCTTGGGGTTGAATCCCCGCCAGTTTGGCTTGGAGGTACGCTCACATCTGACGATTCTTCAGATAGTGGTGCTAAAGATGATTTTTCTTCCTTTCTATCATAAAGGCCAACCCGAGGCGAGGTAATGCGATGGCAGAATGTTCTCATAAAATGAGCATGTGCAAGCGGTCCGCGATGTTCCTGATCGAAGCATTTTTCGAGAGCCTTAAAGGATTCGATATCCCGGTGTCCCGCCTCGATGAAGGATTTGGCGAGGAGGGTCTAATGAAAGGTGAGCCAATGAAGGGGTTACATAACAAAAGGGATTCAAATACCTCAACCCAGGCAATCTATGATATCATGTTAGTTCTTGTTTCATAATCGGAAAGCTTGGTCATCTCATTACATTATTGGCTGGAAGATGAATCCACCTGAAGTCTGGCTTATACTTGATGTGCTTGGTCAAAGTAGGTATCTTCGGCTTATCGTACTCATGATCCCACCCATATAAGAGTTCATACACGGAATATTTAGAAACAAGCTGTTTCTTTTCAAATTCACCAAAGTCAACAACGGTGGCCTCGAAGGATTGGCAAGCTTGTCGCGCTATCGGCGATAGGCGATCGGCAGCTCGTGCAGGTGAAAGCAATTGAACAATTTCGGGGTGATTCTTCTCGGCGGCACAAAGCATAGCAGTTCGATTGAAGCTATCCTTGATAGCTAAATTGACGTCCGGCCTAGTCAAAATGAGCCGCACTATTTCTTCAAAACCGTTAAATGCGGCCCAATGTAAGGGCGTCATTCCGTTCGAAAGTTCCGCATTTACGTTGGCATTGGCTTGTAACAACAACACAACAATAGGCGCATAGCCACTCTGAGCAGCATTATGAAGAGGAGTCCACCCACCATCACTGGCAGTACAAGGATCAGCACCATGGTTAAGAAGAAGTTTTACCATCTCTTCATGTTGTTCCTTGTGATTGCTCTCAGCCGCAAGATGTAAAGCAGTTCGCCCGCGATTATTCGTCGCACCAACATTGGCATGACTCTCTAGGAGCACGCAAGCAAGTTCAACGTTACCATTGGTAGCAGCCCACAGAAGCGGTGTTCGGCCAATCTGATCTTTTACTTCAAGGTGAGCTCCATTATTCAGGAGTAACCTCAAGGTATCAATTGTCCACTTGCTTTTCCCCGGCTTCTCTGACGCAAGGCATAGCAAAGGAGACCGACCTTCCTTATCTTGCGTCTCAATACTCGCGTGCCCTTCCAATAACGTCTCAACCACTTTGTTATACCCCTTCAAACACGCACTAAACAACGCGGTTTGTCCATTTCGGTTGCGCCCGTTTGGATCAGCACCGCGCTTCAGCAATTCGGTCACAACGTCGGCATGTCCTCCCTCAGCAGCTTTCACAAGAGCGGGTATTTCGTTCTCTCGTCTCGAATTCACCTCGGCGCCGTAATCAAGGAGGAGTCGTACGAGAGAGAGCTTACCGCGCGCGGCAGCTTTCTGTAGGGCTTGTCGGAGCGCATCGTTATCGGTACTCGAGGTCCAAGGCGGATCCTCAGCCAAAATATCCCGGACTCTGACTTCGTTCGCCTGGGCTGAAGCTGCGATAAGCCTTAATTGTCGTGGATCGGGTTGACTGCTCGCGACGCTAGCTTGGCTAGCCATTCCAAGATGGTCGGCGTGTAGAAAAGGAGAGGATAGGATAGAGTAAGACGGAACGGGACGGAGTTCGGTGAAACTATCGCAAATAGAACGCCATGATTTGATATTATATGATTAATAATTAGCCAAGATCTACAACAGTAATATTTCAATCGTGTATCCCGATCTAGTTTCACAAATTAACATAATATGTTCGTGTACGCTCTCAAAATGATACGACAATGACGTTCCAGAAGGCGAATCGGATATTCGAATTGATTGATGTACGGTAAAGGGGCGGAGAGGAATGGTCGCACGACTTTTTTTGTGGAGGTTAATCAATCAATCCCGTTTCTGTGCATCTGGAGATGGGGATGTCGCGATCGATGTCGCGGTATCATCCCGCCGCGTTTGCAGGTAAGGTTGGCCCTGCCATTCTGTGCTCCTAGCCAAGCTTCTTGTCAGGTGCCAGACAAGGGTAGTGTGGGTTGGAGTGCAGATTGGGGTTAGGAAATTCTGGAGGCAAGTAAGGACCTGGCAGCTGGTAAAAGGGGAAGAAAAAATTTCAAAGCTTAAAATCTTAGCAATGTCACCAACAGCATGGTAAATCTCGGCAATCGCAATAGGCGGCGCCAGCACTTCCACGCTCGCTAAAATACCTTATTTGATCTGTAGTACCCCAAGTCAAACTCAATTTGTGTAGCACGGAAACTAATCTAGGTACAAGACTTTCTTAGTTGCGGCTATGATTGGGGAATCCCACGTTTTGCTCAAGCTTTGCGTTACAAATCGATTTTACTTTGAATACAAAACTAAAGTACATATGTAGTACTAGATTCAATTAGAAGGGCCTGTTAGACGTCTTAGGCAATGAGCTACAACCCCGTACCGTGAAACTGTACAGATTGGCTCGTACTAATGCATCTTGTTATACGGTACCGAATCGGGAAGGAACGACTCAAAAATGAACCCTCTCTCGGGTAATGGCTATTAGGTACATACGTAGTCTACATAGTATTCTGTGTATAGTAACAGTAATGAGGCCGTAACTTCATACGGGCAACACTATTAGAAAAAGTTGCCCAGTTGTCTAAGACAAAGAACCCGCTTGTCCGTTTATTAGAAGAGCATCTTGGGATGCCGTCTTAACCTGGTATCTTTCGGGCCCTTTTCTTGCTTCTCTTCCTTCGGCTTAGCTAGTTCGGCCAACATTCTCTCTATTTCCTTTTGTTCCGCGGCTGCCGTCGCGTTGTCCATCCGTCGCTTCTCGTTTAGCCATTTCATGTATTCTTCATCCTTTCGCTCCTCGTCGCCGTCGTCAAGAATACCTCTGACGGGCTCTGGGGGTTGTAGGAAGCCTCTGGCATCCGCCTCGACGATTGCTTGGTACATCTTTGTGGCCATCATTTCATAGCCAGCGGTACCGGGGTGCATACCATCAGAAGCGAGGTTACCATCTTGAATTCCGTCCGGGCCTTGCAACTCAGCAAGGACCACAGGCAATTCTTGCGACTTGTATATTTGTGCTAATCTTCGGATCTGAGGGTTCACCCTCCAAACATCCTCTCTACCATTAAATCGTGTATCCCAAGTAGGTAGGATCGTGCAAATGATTACAGTAGACCTCGGTGAGGCATCGAGGAGATACCGGACCAAAGCATCGTATCGCTTGTAGAAGTTGTCGATATCGACATGCTGGAAACAATCGTTGGAACCAGCGTTGACGAGGAATACGTTAGGCTTCGACTTAGGAACGGCCTTCTTCGCATTTCCGTGAATAGTCGCGGTGACGACACCAGGATAGGCTTCGATGTCGTTATCCGTCATATTTCCCAGACGTTGCGTGCCGACATAGTTCACCTTATTTCCGATGGTCGTCAGCTTCTCACGGAGAGGGCGTCGGAAACCATTGTTGTCAATACCCTCCTCCGGGCTGTCGCCACGGGTGGTAGAGGCGCCAAGCGCCATGATTCGGAGTGGTATTCCATTAGCCAGTGGCAGCTCGAAACCTGGTCGAGCATACGGTTTAGTTCTGACGGTAGAGCTGGTGGCGCCGTTAGACAGCTCGCTAGGGAAAGGATTGAATGATGACGAGTTGGCGGGAGCATCGGTCGAAGGATAAGAAATTTGGACGGTCCCATTTCCTGTTACATAACTAACGCCAGCTTTGAAGTTGTCGCCTATACTATCTAGCTTGTGACCCCATTCGTTGTCGACGTTGACAGTACCAGAGAATAGTAAGGCTATAAAATGAATTAGTTAGTTGCACAGGCTTGTGAAACATGTACCTATAAAGTAGACAAAGGCAATAGAATAAATTAAAAAGGCAAACAAACCTATAAGGAATAGCGGCAAGCCCAACAATATGAGCGAGCGCCGTCGTGCCAAGACCATCGAAACGTATGGGTTAGCAACAAGTTGGCGAGGGAATTTGTCCATATTCAAACCCGTCGTCACACTTGATTGCGTGTTGTTGCGCGCGCGGGCGCGAAAGATTAATCGTCAAAGAGAGGAAAAAAGAAAAAAAAATCAATCCAATCCGCCGCTACCCCACAATGCGATTAGCACCGTTGTAATGGACGCGTAAGCTCCCGTCTCAAATCGATCAAAAAAGGAGAGCCAGGAGCGAAGCGAAGAAGAAATAATAAAAAGAGGATTTCTTAAATAAAACGGCCAAATGAGGGAAACGAATGAATTATAACGAACGAGGGGGGTGATAGTTATCGCGAAGTCACACACAAGCACAAGCAATAGCACTACCAAAGCCCATCGTTTCGTATAGTTGACATTAGTGGAGGAAGAAAAACAAGGGCAGATGCTTTAGAAGACAAGCGACCAGCAGGAGTAGGAGGGGGAAGAAACATTAAACATTTCAAAGGGAAGAAAGGCCCCTATTTTTATCTAGGTAAAGTAAAAGATGCAACATGATGCCGTTTTTTCCGTCGTTTTGCCAAGAATGATGCCAAGAGCATTCGTGTCCCAGAGCCAAGATCGACATATTTCACTTGCCAAGACGGCGGACTGTTGGATGGTGATAGGCTTGATACATAAGGTTGTCGTTTTGGCCGTTTTGGTCTTTTTGGGGCTCCCGGTCGTTTAGTCGTTTAGTCGTTATTAATTTTTTTATCTTTTTTTTTCGCCTTATGTATCAGACAGGTAGGTGGATAGATAATCATCTTCATTAATTGTAGGGAGCCCCGGTCGCGTCATGTCAGGGGTTAGTTGACACTTAGACTGAACTTAAACTGATAGATAGATAGGATTGAAGTAGACAAATAAACATGTACCATTATACCATGTGCGCTTGCCCTGATGCTCCAAACTTTCAATCTCCTGCCAACCTTATTTTATATTACCCGATCCGTATACCGGTACACTGGGAAATCTCGACATTGATGTTTCAGACGGCTTTACCTACCTAGGAAGCCCGCCGCTGTTGCCCGTGCTGTTCTCCGCACTGAAGTAGCAGTCGCAATGGGAGTCAAGTCGCATACACACACCTATTGGAAGTCACTAATGTTTAAGTACCTAGTCTCCCTTTATCGAATGGCATTATACCTTCTAGATTTCATTCTTCATTGGTTAAAAAATCCCCCAACCTTGGAAAGGTTATCGATGACACTTACATATGCGCCACTAACTAATTTGACCGAGAGCCGCCACCACCACTACTGCACTGGTACCCAGGTACAACCCACCGGCTTGGTATCCACTTTTACCCCCAGGTCGCCCTGTCAGCTGAACCATCGTCGACGCCGGCAAGGTATATTATCTGCGATGCCTAATCCGTAAAGAACCTTGGACCCCCCCTATCTTCTTTTGTCTTCATTCCCTAATCCCTATCTATCTCCTCATCTCCCCAACATTCAATTGGATACCCATGACCGGCCGAATCTCATACCTCGGACTCGGGTCTGCAGGATAGTCTATGGGGCTCATCCATATGGATATCGAATCCATCCCGCTCGCATTCAACACGAGTTGCCTGCCCATTTTGATGACCGCCAAGATGATGACTGCTGGAGTGCGAAAAATATGGCTGCATCCATCAGTACAACATTTATGTATTCTTGTCTTACACCGCTCTCATTCGATCCGAAGTCCGCTGTGCCTGTGCCTGTGCCTAATCATGCATGAACCTCTTCCTCAGTCCAACACTGAGGCGCGATATTTCGTTGCTTATCATCATACAAGGCCGATCATGGTATCAGAAGTAAATGAAATTACGACTCTTACATTTCATACAATTCATAATATAAATGTATCTATGCGGCAACTATAAAGTCTGGTTAATTTCGTATTCTAGTAGCCTTTGTCTTTTTTCACTCTTCTGTGGGGGATCCTCCTCTTGGCGCTTCCTTATTATTTGTGTATATGGACGATTAGGTAAAGGTACGATGTGACAGTCATCATATTTAGACGTAAATTCAGCGAATCACTATAAGGTGATGTGTCTAGGGATTAATACGAAAGGATCAGACGATAATAACGGTAGGTGCATGATATGATAACTCGGATTATTGATACACTATGCTCTAGTGGTTTATATTCTGCGACCAAGATGAAATGCACCTTTTTAAGCTAATGCGAGGAAATAAAGGTACTATTTGTACTAAGTACGGGGTAAAATAAAGGGGCTGGATTCCTTGACAACGCTCAGGGAGGATATCAAAGAACACAAGTCGGAGAACTCGATAAGAGGAGAAAGTAAGAGCTATGAAATTAGGGGGATCAGTTCATATCTTGGTAACATAATAACGAAAGGTGAAGAACTTCAAGGGCCCATAATTGCCGTTGTCATCGGTATACTACTGCGATTTTTCACAAGTACAGGTGATATAAATACATTGGTAGATGTAAAGCTTGGCATGTAGCTAAGGACAGCCCCTCCTTCTCCCCGAGTTCGATCAGGCGATTTCTGACCCTTCTACCCGATAAAAAAGGACTAGACATGTTGTTTTGACAGCTTCATACGCCATATCGAGCATGGGGAGTCTAGTTGATCAGTCAAAACTCATATACAAGTATCTTAGCATGTGGGAGGTTGGTAGTGAGCAGCATCTAATAATTTCCAAACTCCTCGCGATGCGTCTATATGGTGTCCTTAATCTACGCTACCAAAAGCCATGTTAATCTCGGTTTGAAATTGCGTCTTAACATCATTTTCATTCCTGTTACCACCCGTGCTATTAAGAAAAAGCATATTAGGTACGTAACTTTCGCGTGCTAAATGATACGGTATATGAGCTGTACATCTGATGTATTGACTACTGTGCTAACTGTTGAATCTATGGAGGAAATCCCGATACCCCATGGGCATATTCCCACCACTGAAGTCACCATGCACAGTACCTTGTACAGCACCTGAAGACAGTCCCTTGGCTTTACTTAACATTGCGCAGCTAAATATCAACGAACGATCGCGCATCTTCTGACACAGTACTTTTCCGAAAGAATTTCCTGTCTACTGAGGTATGACAACCATATCAGTAGTCAATGCCACGCTTGAGTATCTTATGTCTCCAACCTTCCTTCGCATTCACAAGCCACTCCTCGATCTTTTTCAAACCAATCTCGTCGTTAGCCGCGCATGATTCTTCCTTGTATCCACCATGCCAACCGCTTAGTCCATGGTATCTTCTCTCTTCTCCGAATGGTTGACAAGAAGTCATGTCGGTGATTACTGGTCTGTACTCTTCATCGATCAAGATGTGGACAGGATCTAAACTGTTATGAGCAAGGCCCATTGAGTGCAAATGGTGCACACCAGATCGAATCCCTTCCATGAAGGAGTTCACCTCAATATCATCTAGGTGGTCCTCTTCCGCTGGTTTCCGTTCCGCCAGACGGTAAAGGTCGGTCGGGCAGCGCTTGAATAGCAACCTTACTACCCGGCCATCTTTCTCCAAGCATCCCTTGAACTCGACTAGGTTTGGGTGTGGATTCTTCTGGATGAGCTGATTGACCCGAATTTGCGCAACAAATTCATCGGCAATCCCACACGGGTTTGAATACTCGCCAGAGCGGTAGTATCCCGGTTCCTTGGGCCAGAAGTCACCTGCGACGTAGTCCTTAATTGAAATAACTGGCCAGTCTGGGGCGACCTTTGGATAGATGTGTTCGTCGGGAATACGTAGGCAGAGGCAGTCACGGGCCTCTTGTAGGGTGGCCTGTCCCCGGCGACCGGGGCAATCTACTTCGCCCTTCCAAGTCGCGTAGCTGTCCTTGTCAACCATCACAAATTGGCTTCGTTCCAAAATAGGACTTCCATCTTCATTCTCCCTAGTCTTTTCGTCCTACATGGAGGCAAAGCTAGCAAACGACTCCGCGAATGGTGGCTTTTCTACTGCAGTTGTCATGGTTGCTGGGTTGAATGATGTGATTGATCGTATCAATTCTCAGAGAAAAAAAACTATGTGGAAGGATCTGTCTTGTCGAGAACCAGAAAAATTTGCGGGAGGCGGGAGACGAGACTTAAAACCCAGAGTGTCGATGTTTGGGATGTTGCTGCCTAGGAGAGTTGTCACACAGGAGATAGGAAATCATGTCATCTCCACCTCCCATTATCTAGGCGTTCCGTCGATAGCCTGCGCAAAGCCTGTCATCTATCCGACACTCTATCACAGTATCCGTATTTCTAGGCTCGACTTTTAACGGGGAATGACAACGGGTGGGGGGCACGACCTTTTCCCCAGCATGAATTATTCCAAACCGTATCATAACAATCCACCGGGCTTGGGTTGAATAGAAACACCAGTCTCATCAGCAATTTTTTCGTCGGTGAGAGAACAGTGTAGGATTCAATGCATCTACCCTCGCCTCGCCGCTTTTAAACATGTGTTTATGAGCGATCGAAGAGGGGAAGATGTGATGTACCGTCTGTACTGAGCCTGTTCTAGATACTACCTAATATGCAAGCCGCCGCACACCGAATTGGAAATGGAGATCATATATATATCACACCAAAAGAGTAACTGACTCTATTGAGCGATTATATCTCACCGGGCTCGCCGGAGTGAAACAGCATATATTAGACATCGCGGCAGGCAATCGGATCAATGAAATTTATTCGTAGACCACGTTAACTTATTTGCGCATTTATCCAATTACATGAACCGGTATACCGGGTAAAGGTTGGCTGGCTAGATCCGACTTAACTTTCCAACATTGATTCAATCGCCGGATCGCGGGGAAGTGGATATCCGTGGTCGATGTAGGTAGGTTGCGTGCTCCGGTTTGCATGCATGTCGATGCGTCTATACATCGGACGCAAGTACGCGACAGGACAAGATTGGGTAGATTGAATGACGACAATATATTAAGTCTTCGATGCCTTGAACGCCTCCAATAACTGGCATGGAAGAACCCTAGAAACGATCGGATCATAGGCCCCTCGGCAACTAGCCGCTGGAATACAAGGGCCGGGTTGTTTTGGCTCGGACCTCCTTCACTTTCTTCTCGCCGTGCCACAGCGCGCGGTGACCGACCGGTCCCAGCTTGCACCACTCATGTGTTGATGATATGGAAGATGTTTGTAGGCCAGAAGCATCCCCACCTCCCTGACGCCCGGCCCCAATGAAACGGCAGCCTACAAGGTACCTAGGTAGTTTTGAACCGGGTATAGCCGAGCACTGTCTTCCAATACGTCTTAGAATCGTCGTCATCGTCTGCCTCTACCCTACTATGCTTACGTAGCAATAGCAAGGTCGTCATCAAGATCCTCTTGCTTCAAGCTGTTTATGCGACTCCGTTCGTGATCCCCACTAGTTTAATGTGTCGGCCTTTACGGTATCTCATAAACCTTTATCAATGTGTCGCACTGCGACATATGGTACTACCTACCTAGGTAGGTATTACTGGCCCTAGATAGTCTTGTTAATGTAGATATGAGCTTTGGCAGTATCTTGTTTCTTATATTTTTATTCCAGGCGCTAGCTAGGGGGTTCCCGGCGTCGTGCGCTTGCAATACCTGACCTGGAAACGGGCTGCGTGCCTAGGAGTAAAGGAAACGGGTCTATCCCTTGGAATTGTATTCTCCTAGGGCTTCGATTTGAGCTGTTCGAAATTGTCTTGAGCTAATCCAATGGATATGAAAAAATCTTTTAGGCCCTCTTGCGAGTTGCAGTAACTGTCGTTATAATTGGAACGTCCCCTGTTAGCAACACATCCCTTTCTAAAGGATCCGGCAGCAAGTATTGCGACTGGTCATTCATAAATATGCTACTAACGTCATAGTACCTAGGTGGTTATATTGGCTCGAGAATTATCCTCCCTTACTTGATGTTCTGCTTCGGCGTAGTTAAATCTATGGCACAAAGACCAACAAAAGGCGTATGCGTAGATTGAGAGGCGGTGGAGTAAGGGTATCTATGCGCATGTTGGTAATAAAAAAACTTGACATGTCCCCTTTGTGCAGCAACATATGTAACTCCTCGTACATTTAATGTGATATCGAGTAGCTCGACGTCGAGGCAATCCTAGGTATTGATGGGACTCTAGTATGGCAGTATTTGCATTTTCCTCTTTTATAGACTACTTTAGCGAGTAACTACTCTCAGCACCTCAACCCTACCTCAAAATTAAGATTGAATGATGGATGACCCATTCAAGTCATTTTGCACCAGCGTAGGCCTGGAAGACTCTCAGTCACAAGCCGTGGCGGACATGAATCCGAAGCAACGACTAGAACTATCCTGTTCGGCAGTCCAGAGTTGCATTGGGACAGAAAACGTAGGCGTCGCACCTCTAAATCAGGCTGTCATCAATGAGAACTGGTAACTTAAGATCATGTTTTGGATAGCTATCCACGCTAATGTCCTTGAAGGTCACAGTCTTGTGTCGCTCAACCATATTGTGTTGTCCAACCTGCAGACGCGAAACACGTAGGACAGGTTGTCAAAATAATCAAATATTTTGGAGTGAAATTTGCTGTTCGGAGTGGAGGCCACTCACCTAACCCTGGCTGGTCGGGTACAGAAGGGGGGATTCTTATTGATTTGCAGAAAATCAACCAAGTTGCCCTGAGCAATGACAAGAAAATTTCTAGCATTGGCCTTGGACGCCGAAGGGACCTCCGTTATTGGGGGCCGAATCCCAGCTGTTGGGGTCGGGGGGCTGATTCTTGGCGGTATGTTGTAACTGAAGATTCGCGAAGCTTAGACTGACTTTTGCTGTAGGTGAGTTTTTCCACTTTTCAGGTGAATTTGGCATGGCCGCAGACAACGTAAAGAATTTTGAAGTAAGTGCAGAGTCCACTTAAGATACTTAGCATCTCTAACCGGCGTTGTAGATTGTGCTGGCGGACGGCAACATTACGAACGCTAATACGAATGAGAACACCGACCTTTTCTGGGCCCTAAAAGGCGGAGGATCAAATTTCGGTATAGTCACAAGGTATGATCTATACACTATCCCCGTAAGAGATATCTGGTACAGGTGGGATATGTATGCCGTTGACCAGGCTCCGGCTGTTCTTGACGCTATGGTGAAGTGGCAAAACGAGGGCGCATCTGATCTGAAATCGACTGTCGCTCTTATCATAGGACTCGACGGTGTTGTGGTTGGCTTGATCTACTCGGCCCCGGCCAACCAGCCAAGTGCCTTTGCTCCTTTCCACGAGCTACCGACCCCCGTTGCAGCTATTGTGCCTCCGTTGAATGGGACGGTTAAGACATTGACCGATTTCCTAAGCAATACGTTCAGCGATCAGCCTCTACGGTATGTCCAACGATGAAGACTGAATTTGGAGTTGCTAACATACTCTAGACATGACTATCGCGGCGTTAGCACGCGAATAGATGGGCAACTGTATCAAGATGTTTACAAATTGTGGCGACAGCGAGCTCTTGCTACCCGGGAGGCAACCGGCGCCAACCAGACTTTCACCATTCAGCCAATTCCGAAGAATTTAGCCGAGCAGGGAATCGCGAAGGGCGGAAACCCTATGGGAATTCCACAAGAAGACCACCAGTGTAAGTTTCAAGAACCTAAAAGGCTTTTATCGGTTGAATTGACTCAGGACAGGGTGGACCACAGTTGTTGATTGGGCGAATGCGAGCGATGATGATGCGGTACGGTCGGTTTCTATCGATACAACTGAGGTGTGGAATACGCTTGCGCGAGAACGTGGATTGGATCTCCCATTCATATTCGCAAATGACGCGTCAAGAGACCAGAACCCTCTTGCTTCATATGGAAAGGAGAATGTGAGCAAGCTCAAGCAGGTCTCTCTAAAATATGACGAGAGCCAGTTCTTCCAGAAACAACAAAATGGTGGCTTCCTACCGTCAAAGGTATAGACAGCAGATTTGGGCAGAACCTAGACGCTCGAGCAGAATAAGAAACGCCACAAATCGCGCCCCACAAGACCAGAGGCATGGACCACTTCATGGCGTAGCACATTAAGCTCGCTGATGTATTATGCCCAACTTCTCCGACCCGAGACACGAGCGAGCGGAGTTTTTCTCCTCGTGAGCCGTCCCGTCCTCCAACACCTTCTTCTATGGGTTTCATAGACCATAGGCATCATAAATGAGTATGTAATGCCAAATGATATTTCTGAGCGTCTACATACAGAAAAGCGAGTTTCCAGTTATATAAAGAAGCACTAGGGTATTGATAAAGAACCGTATTCCTCAACTCCCAAAACACCATTCCCCATATTGTTACATACCTAGGTGGGTACGGAGTTACGGAGTTTCAATAACCCCGACCCATTCTATTCAACGCCGTCGACGCAATGCATCTAGATAGCCCCTATTCTTCTTTATCATCCACATTATCATCTATGCTACCAATGAACATATCAGGTACGTGATCTTTATGCGACTTGGTATCGACAATGTCCCTAGACACAGTCAGAGCTGTGACCTCGAACGTGGCGGACTAGGGCAGTCCCCAAGAGGAGGAATGAGAAAAGGGGAGATCATTAGGTACGTACCAGTCAATATATTTACCGAAATCATCTAAGTACTAAGACGTTCGCCCTCATCTCCAAATCGGATGGACTGTATAGCTACAGCAGTTCTGCCTCATCTACGTAATTTGACTTTGTCAATGAGTCTCGTAATCTCCTTCTCGACATTTGAAATGGACGCTGCCCCGTTGCCCCATAACCTGTTAGTGAAAACGAAGAGTGTAATCCTAGGTCGCTCCAGATTTAACCAGTTACAAATAACAGGTAACCCGTTAATATCACATGTGGATTTGGCAGCTTCGTGACTATATAGTCAATCACATGGCTCATGCTACTCTCCATGCCACATATGCTGCTGGGGGATATATTGAAGGTCTGTTGTACCTCCCAAGAAGTTTCGATGTTCGGCGATGATGGTTTCTTTTGCTTGGCTGGGATGTTAAGAATAAATCGATATCATCATCGTCAATCTTCTTTGCTAGGAAGGGGGGATGGAATTGGCTGCTGGGGTACGTTTGTTGGTCGGATATGACCATCTTTTCGTGCTTTATCATATGCATCTTGGAGGATTATCTTCGGTAGTTAGAGACTCTGGGATACAGTAGATGAATGGTGGAGACCCTCGGAACCCCTAAATAGAAGATATATTAGGGTTGACCCAGTCATGTCCTCGCATTCGCAACTAAGGTAATAACCAATTCCTAGCAGGTACCGATGATTTCCCCTTAATTCATTTATCACACGTTCGTTCGAACCTCATCCAACACCTCATAATGTTCAGAATCTTCGGACTCGTTCCCATCATTAACACAACAATGAATACCAAACATATAATGAACCTCAACTACATCTCGTGTCATCGTAGATAACACATGCTGACGTTGTTATAGTGACGAAGTCTCCTGGCTTTCTAGTTGAATGTATATCTGTGTAGCCGTGACATATGATTCCCGGTATCCGAACCAGGGGAAGCCACTCATTCACACGCTGGCTTAATTCTACACATGGCGAAGAAACAATCAAAAAAACATCGAAACCGACTTAAATTTCCTAGGGTAGGAGAGAAGCAAGGCACCTAGGTACCTAGGTCGGTAAGGATCCACTCTTCACCTTCCATGCTGAAGGTACGCCTGTCGCGAACTCATCGCTCTTGCCTTCTAAATGCACCTTCCCCTTCCCCCTCAAACAGAACCTTGGTTTTATAATTTCTACTCGCAGAGTGAATCAACATGAAATCCAGGAGATTTAGGGGCTCGTAGTTCAGTGGTAGAACGTTCGCTTAGCATCCTTCCAAGGTTGCTTCTAATGTGCGAGAGGTCCGGGGTTCGATTCCCCGTGAGTCCAAACTTTTTCACTTCTTTTTTCTTCGTCTACCTATACACTCCCAATTCGAAATAAATAATTAATTATGCCGAGTGAGTGCACCTCATATAGGTATGAATGGTATCACTCCTAGAAAATAGTCGATTCAATTGGTACCCATTACCACTTTCTAATTTTTATTGATGCATGGATCCCTTACTACCAGATAGTCTTTCCGTCATCAGGTAACTGATCCACCAACTCACTCACAGTCGCTCCGGTGACCAAACGCCGCAAGTTCTCTCGCACGCTAAATCTTATATACGGGGTTCCTGTGCCTTTCGCATACCCACCGCCTTGCCCTTGAATATCGGATGCACCACCCTTGGCATAATGATGACTGAATAGGGGCGGCTGCACTGTCAGGCAGATCGGAGGCTTCTCTTGTTGTCTGACCACGCGTGCACCTTCGCTATCTGGTTCTGAACCTGATTGCGGCTTCTCCTTGGGGATATAACCCCCTTCACACCACTTCTGTAACATCAAATCCCACTGCTTATCATAGTTCCTCTCGAATTCTGAGAGAAGCTTGCGCGCGCCTTGAAAGCTAACAGCGTATGCCAGGCTGCACACATTCCCACTCGACGCATGCACGACGCGAGTATGCGGCGGGTATATCTCGCCTAGCTTGTCCTTTAAGGCAAACGGGTGAGGTTTAAGGTGTTTTGGGGATGGTACTGTCTCGTCTCCTAGGATCGCAACTCTTAGGGGCGAAACCTGGGCTTGAGCATCGGGAAGATCGGCACCGCAGTGGCCTAGCCATAACACATCCCAGTCATCGCCGTAAACGCTTTCGTGGGGTTTATTATCAATTCTGGCGCTAGGGTTTAATCGTATCGTATTCTCGTCGGAATCTATTGCCATTGTGGTGCTATCTCCTTTCTTCAGCAGCGAGGGTGGGACGTAATCGAGCAACTCTTGGCGTTTATCGAATTTCGACTCCTTCAACCAAGTCCTCGAAGCAGATGCGAAGGTCTGAAGTTGCGATTTAATACGTATATCCCAATCTATATCGTCTTCTACAACAAGCGCGCTTCTTATGTCGTCGCTTACGATGGTTCGAAGAGCGTTCATGTGGGATCTCCACGACCCCTTTGCCCCGGAAGAGCGCCCCTTACCACCGGTCGCCTGTTCGCCTGATACCCCGCCAATCCACGTAAACGTGAGATTGCTAACAGCACCCGATAATGCCATCGCATCTCGGCGATCTGTTCGCGACGGGAGGTTTATGACAAATATTTTAGAGAACTTCAGGTGGTATTAGATTGCGTTATAATTGAAAGATAGAAAAGCGAAAGCGATCTTACACTTAGCGTGTTATTAAAGACATCCTCCGTAGGAGATCTGCCCCTAAAGATGCCTACTGCATCAGGGGTCGTCAATTTTCGCCAGTAGATGTAGAGGAGAGGGGTGAAGACACATATTGCCGCGAAAACTCTATGGTAAAGCTGCATCACGGGCGGGTATCTCATTCATGATACCATGGCGTACCTAGGTATTCTAATCCGCTTGTCAGGTAAATCCTTCAAATATCAGCTAGTGCAAAAAATCTGAATTGAGTCTTAGAATCTTCAATGTGGTCTTGTCTATCTTGCGGCTCGCACAATTAAGGGTTGCTGACTCGCGGATAAAGAATCCGGGTAAATTTTAATTGAACAGCACATGATTTCTCGGATTAGAACGTTTGGGGCTTCTTGAGGATGTATCTCTGAAATGCAACCTAGATATGATATAGGACAAAATGTTAAGTGTCATGCCAGATTGACATTATTGAAAATGAGGTTGGCTGATGAAGATTAGAATTTTATGTAAGAATAAAAAGAAATGCTGAAAAAGCAAAAAGGAAATTGCCCACTACTGGAGTCGAACCAGTCATCTCCTCATAGCTTCCTCAGTAGGAACACTGTATAGTGTAGGTACTAGTGAGGCGCATTACCGCTGTGCCAAGCGGGCCTAGGGGAGCTCTCAACCACATGAAGAGGTTGAGAGAAGGTTGGAAACTTGATTCAAAATAAGCCACTATATAGTAGGCAGCCGAGCTCCCCGCACTTAGCTAGTTTGTTGGAACAGTGCTATAAATACTATAACGACTGTGAGGGGTATGTTACCCCAAATGGGAATCCACCCAACTCGAAGAACTCAACTAATACAACATCATTTTTATCAGTGACCTGCAATTGCAACAAAAGTACAGTAACAGGAGAAGCTATGGAGAATTGATGTTGATCGAGCCGAGCGACTCAAAATCCTCCTTTTTAACCCAAGCCGCCCTTGAGGTCCTTCCAACTGCGAGGACCTCCGGTACGATATCGTCACGTTCTTCGAAATCTTTCCACCATGGAAGTTGTTTAAACCTCCCATACCAACTATCTAGACGAGCCAGTCTAGCATCACTCAACATATAAAATCCAAATACTGCCTCGATAAATCTAATATGCGCAGCCAGGACCACATCGCCTAGACCTGGACCATTTACGCCTGGAGTGATCCACCCAGTCTTCTCCAACCCGTTCTGCTCTGCCCATTCCTGTACCTTGAGAAGGCCTTTAGTTTCGTGATACTTTGCATTTAGGGCGGTCGCACGACTTAGATCCTCGGCCTTCAGTCCCGATGCAGCGCCATACTCCGGAGTGATGTGCCGAATGATATAGTTTGTGTCGATTACCGCAATGTTGACTTTGCTAACTAGATCCATCGTCCTCGCTCGCTCGAGTGCGGAACTTGACCATAATGGGTGCTCTGGATATAAATCCTCGAGATATAGAACAATTGCTTCACTCTCGTGGACGTAGGTTGACCTCCCCGTCGTCAAATCGGTCGTTTGCATGCACGGATTCGTCGACCCCTTTGGCTGTGGGTCAGATGGGTCGCCATATATCCAGCCTTCCTTAACGCTATAATCGACGGTGTTGATACGCAGATTGGACCGTGTCGTCTTTCCCTGGAGAAGGTCCGAAGCCGAAGAGACTAGTCCTTTGACCAATACGGAGTACATAACTCTCCGAGAGGTTGCACCTTTGGTCCATAGCCACAGAGTATGTTCAAGATTCGAAGCCATATTTGATGAGTATTTCGGCAATTGGTGCGAACGACTTAACGATAAATGAACGTTTAATTACGAATTTAATTGATAACTTCAAAATATCATCGATTTCACCTTTTTTTACGCTGGAAATAAATAATTCATATCTACCTCATGGTCAAAACCAAATCAATTCAATCATGCTCCACGGACTCCGAGAAGATCGTCGATTATTAAGATGCGGCTTATTTGTTATACCGGCATTTGATAATGAGTGGGGGACAAGGATGATTTAATTTCACCGTCGTCGCATCTCATCTATTGAGATTTAACTCTGCAGTGATAATATTCGTTACCTTTTCAGTCATACATAACGCCATATTCTGAAAATCTGAAAGTTTGCGCTGTTATTAGTCGGCGTGATACACAGGCCGATCACTTTCAGGCGCTCAACGTCACATACGTTGGGTGTGAGATCTAATGCATCCCTTTTCGCGACGCGAAGAAGTAAGTCTCCGCGGAAGTGAAAAGGGGTAATAGCAGGACTTCACACGACACTATGCGACAATTCGGTGTCAACTTGTACCTATTTACGGCATCAAAAGATTCTTAGTCGTCAAGCTTGATTCATATATATAGCATCATCCGTTCTTCTTCGTATCTATGATTTCTACTAGAGTTGCTGACGACTAACGGCACGTCCACACGCCCAACTTCCCAGTACTTAATACGCCAGGTTTCTCCGGGATGAGTGGCGTTCTCATAGCTCCGCAACTCACATCAATGGGCATTCGAGCTCGATCGCTCGTATCAAATTCTCGACGCCTCTTTGGGAATATCTTAACGTTTTCCCGGCTTCGGACAAGATGTGCCGCTCCAATTTCTATCATCATGCGAAAGTCTCCGTGCTGCCTACCTCGGAGTTTTTGTATGGAGGTGTCCGTGTGGTGTCCTGCCGCGAATCCCTGCGTCACTGTTTGTGTGGCGCCATTGGTGTGATCTAACTCTGCCGTGTCTTAGGTTTCCAGCCACCCAAGTTAGCTGGCTGACTTCATATGGCACCTAGAAGTTGTACTTGAGCGGATTCTGGGTAGAGTATCGATGAAAGCCGCTTTCCATCTTCAAACCCGGCAATGATGCAAGCGGGATCGGTACTCAAGCAAGTACCTGCATACGCTATCAACTCTAACTTGCTTCTGCCCCTTTCTCTTAGCTACATACAATTCCCACTGCATTAGTGGATTGCCAGAGTGCTTACAGTATAGAGATTATAGAAAGCATATAGATAAACGGCCTCCTTCTCAAACACGGCATAAAGTCGCCCAAAGCAGCTAGCCAGCTCGGTCAACTATTTTAATGAGAAGTCCAATAAAACCAACGGACGGCACGATCTGGGTAACACAATTCGGGCCATATGCTTCAGAATCGTATGTGAATCGTACACAAACCAAAGATCCAGCCTCGCGCTTCAGTGACGATTCTCGGTGAAGTGGAAAGATCGACGATTTGAATCCTCAAGAATCCTTCGATCTCCTTTTGGGCTATATTCCGTGCTAGTTATTTTCATTGATTCGCGGCTGAAGGTCATCGATGAATTTGAGGCTAGGTCCTATCCCAGACGAGCATCATTAGCTAAGCAAGGATATCAACAAAAACTGCCGGCCAATGTAACGATCCTTAATAAGTATCATTCCCCGAGCTTTAGATAAATCGACATACCGTAGCAGCGCATTAGATACGCTGGGGTGCATTGTTACCATACTTCCCATTCTATCAAAAAGATGCGACATGCTTTTCCATGTCTTTAATGTTGAGAATCAAGACATTACCAGAGTCGTTTACATCACTATAGTACGAATGCCGCGTTTGCTGACCTAAAATATTATGTAGATCCGGAGTTGGGGGCCAAATATTGCGTGGAGTAAGCTGAGATACATCGGCATCTTGACCTGTTCTGAACCATGTATATCGACCCAACGACTTCTTAAGGATTGCTCGGACCGAAGAAACCACGTGTGATAGTTCCCACGTAACCACACGAAACTGGGTCCCTTAAGACATGGGTCTTGGCTCTTTTCTGCAGCTAGTATAGCTTACACATCCGTCCAAATTTAGATACCGTCCGCCTCTTGTATCTGTACGGACAGTCAACACGGCACGATCCTCAAATAGGCGATGTCAAAATTCGTTCAACAAACAAGAAATAGAATGCAGATAAACAAATTCTCGGGCCCGAATGAAAGCAGATAATACTGATCTTCTGCTGAATAAACAGTATATACCGTTACTCCGACGTCGCATTGGGTCACCATTATATCTGAATGCGTTGGTTCCACGAAGTAGGGCTGCATTCTATGCATTCTATAACTTAGCAATAGTTTCTCTGTTACCTACCACCTATCAAATAAGGCAATAGTTTTCGAGCTCTTATGGTCGCTTAGACTTGAGAAAGACCCTAGGCCCCCAATTACCACCCACCTACGTCGCTTCTTATGCGCTGGGGATATGCAGCCATAATCCTAACCGTTGCATTCTAGGTCAGATTTGCGCAGCGAACTAGGGTGGCTCAGGTCTTCTTACCGGGATGACTACTGGTTTTCGCTGAACACAAGAGAATTATATACAACACCATGATATCTTGATAATAGGTTCCACCTCCTGGCCTCGTTTATCGCTGTTTGCGAATTTCCTTCGTCTTGATGCCTTTATGGCGTAAAGAGGCTCGTGATTCTTAGCCAAACATTATCTGGGTTTAGGTATTCAATTGACCATCACCATGTCGGACGGCGAGGGTGGCTTCCGCGCATATGTCATCGTCCTCATAATCCAAAGTGTAGTTGTAATAGCGCTACGCTTCTACTCCCGAACCCTCACTTCATCATTAAGCGATGTACGTCGTTTCTGGTGGGACGATTGGGCGGCGCTGGCGGCAGGAGTAATTAAACCCTCAACCTCAACGTCTCACTAGAATTATCCTAACTCTGAATTCTAGGTGCTTCTTGTAGCGGAGTTGTCGGTAGAACTGGTGATGGCTAGGAGCTTAGGTCAACATATTCGGGCCATACCACCGGAGGATGCAGTACTGTTCTTGAAGCTCTTCTTCATCAGCGATCTACTCTTCGATTTCTCCCTCTTCCTGACCAAGGTTTCCGCACTACTGTTCTTCACTCGCATATTCCCGCTCTACACAACTTCAAGACGATACAACGTCGTACTCTGGATCATCCACGGCCTCAATATTGCTTGGGTTATCGCCGTATTATTACTGACCGTATTGTCCTGCACACCTGTCCGTAAGGTCTGGCTTCCGACAACGTCTGGATACTGTCAACCTTTGACTCCGGCTTATCTGGGAAGCGCTACTGGGAGCGTGTTTATTGATCTACTGCTTCTTATTCTGCCTTTACCTCGAATCTGGAGTCTACAGACAAGCCTTGCGCGAAAATTCGGTATAACACTGGTCTTCGTACTTGGATGCGCGTGAGTTTGCATTCACTTAGTCATAATACCGTAATTGAAATGCTGACTTACTGCCATTTCAGCGTGGTCGTTGTATCACTCGGTCGCATGATAACCCTTATCGTCTCCAAAGAAGCTTTAGACACCGATCCCACATGTAAGCCAAACCAAGCCACCCCGATCTTTGCCTACGAAAAACATAATACTCACCACCCAAACAGTCCTCGGAGTAACTCTCTTCTACTGGTTCTCCGCCGAAGTCCCCATCTCCATCCTCTGCATCTGCCTCCCGGCCATGCTTCCCCTAGGCCACCACCTAAACAACAGATTCATCCAACCGCTAACCGACCGACTCCCCTCATTCTCCATCTCATCCTCCAGCCACCGCTCAAACCGGCGTTTATCACGAGATCACCGGGAACTCTACGAATCAAGCAAAGGCGCTCGCGCGATTCGTCTGGATTCAAATACGCATGTCCCATATGAACGCCGAGGGGATGTCGAAGCGCAAAGGAGTGGTTCGGAGGATAGTAGAAAGGCCATATTGAATTTCGCGATATGCCCTGATAACCACCACACTGCTGAGGTGCAGAGGGGTAATCTCACAACTCCGCGCACGCACAGCCGTCCTGACGGGATCTGGGTGGAAGATGACGTCCGCGTGAGCAGCCACACGAAGTAATGTTTGTATGTAATGATTTCAAATACCCAAATGTTGTGAGAAAATTCATCGAGAAAGAAAAAAAAAAATCGTCAAGAGACTTGGAAAGGTGTGGGGGCGGGGCCTCCCGGCTAAGCTGAGGCGCACGCATTTCGCGGTTCATGCCATAGTCTATTATTCATCGTCTATCTCTCTGGCCAGGTAAAGCTCTGCAATTACGAAGCCCTGATTCTATCATGCCATTCCGTAAGCCCTTCTATATAAACGCCTGTGCAAAATCTCCTTATGCGTCATCCGTGATGATACCAATCTACCAAGTATCCGCCATTTTCATGATGGCCTCATCCACAAGGAACCAAACCCTAGAGGGAACAGAACAGAAAATCATCATCCGCTGAATGGGTATGCGCACTAAACTTGTTGAAATAATTCCTGAAGTAGAACAAATTTGCCCTTACTCCTCGTCGTCGGTATCCGGTGGGTGCGGGGTACCCTTGGGACTGTTGAGCCATTCAATATGGCGCAGTCTTCTTCGGACCTCTTGCTCCTTCAATTCCTTCTTGGTCTTCTTTCTCTTCTTCTTAGCCTTAAACTTCAGGGGTGTGTTATCTTCAACGCCACTGTTGACGGCACTGCTCACGGCGCTGCTAGCTGCTGTGCTAGTGACTCCACTTGTGATGCCGCTCGTAATACCGCTTCCGGGTCTGCTATCCTCGAAGCGATCCGTGAGGATTGAAGCGTTACCCTTCAAGACCATCTTCCCATCGTTGATGTGCCATTGTTCGTTAGCAAGGGCACCGACAAACTCTTCGTTGTGGGAAATCATGACCACACCGCCCTTGAAGTCTCGGATTGCAACCGCGAGACCACCGAGGGAATCTCGGTCCAAGAAGTTAGTAGGTTCGTCCAGAACAAGCAAATGTGGGTTGTTCCACATAGCACCAGCGATGACGACCTTGACTTTCTGACCTCCAGACAGACTTCCGATTTCATTGTGGTTGGCGATTTCGGGATCGAGGCCGAGGTCCTCAAAGTGCTTAGAGATGACCGTGGGTTGAAGCTCTCGGTAACCTAGACCTTCACGAGATGCTTCGTGGTCGTCAAACTCCTGTACCAGCTTCTCGAAACCCCATTCAATGAGAGTTTCTCGTGACACTTGCGAGTTGTACTTGGGAAGCCATGCCCTCCATTTACTACGTATTATTAGCGAACCATCCATGTCATAATTTCAATGATGCACTTACACTTCATATTGGAATGTTTTCTTCCACTTCTGTCGACCGACAAGAGCTTCGACTTGTCGCATGCCCTTTCCATCGCCGAGATCAATTTGCTTGTCCATCTGTTCTTTGTCCTTGTCGGAAAGAATGCGGGTCTGCTTCAAGAACACCTCTCTGTCGTCCCCATTGGCGTACCGCCACTGTAGGTACTGATTGGGGGTCTTCTCAAGGTGCATTTCGACGTGCTCTAAAGCGTGTTGCTTGATGTAACCAATTCGCAGATTAGGATGCTTTTCAACTCTTCCGCTGGTTGGAATTACTTCACCCGTCAAGAGCTTGATCAGAGTCGACTTTCCGGCACCATTGGGACCAATGACGGCGACACGGGAAGAAAGAGACAACTGGCAAGAAACATCCGAGAGTGACGGTTTTGGCGCTTTAGGATATTGGTAGGAGACGCCAGTCATTCTGATGATAGCTCGCGTTTGTGACTTAACACCACTCAAGATACCTGGAGGTGGAAACTTGAACTGAACATTGGAGGCGGAAAGGGTATAGTAAGCCTTGGCTTCTGGGCGGACCTTGACAAAATCCGAGAGGTTGCCTTTGAAGTGGCCAAGTTTCTTTCCTGGCTCATAGTGGTAAATGTCGGTCGTTACATTGTCCAAGAAGCCAGAGTCGTGGGAAACGATCAGACTGGTGATATCCGTGTGGCTCTTCAGGTAGTTTTCGAGCCAGGCAATATTGGCGACATCCAAGTGATTGGTAGGTTCGTCAAGCAGGAGAACATCGGCCTTTTGAAGCATAGCTCGAGCAAGAGCGAGCTTCATTTTCCATCCACCCGATAGAGAGCCGACCTTTTGAGATTGCCTACCCTCGGGACCAGACGTGAAGCCGAACTCGGCCAAGACTTCAGAAATTCTCTCTCTGCCTTCAGACGCAATTGTAGGGTCCTTAACCATGAAGTCCAAGATACTGATATCAGCATCTTCTCCTTGATTATGCTCGACGTAGCAGGTACGAAGTACGTCTTGGGGCGGGAACCCTTCTAATTTGCCGCCAGCAATACTCTTCATGAGCGTAGACTTGCCAGCACCATTACGACCACATAAACCGTAGCGGTGTCCCTTCAGTAACCGAAGGTTAGTGTGAGATAGTAGAAGCATACCACCATAGGCAAGGGAGAAATCTGCGTTGACGATTTCGATCTCTCCATCGTCCTCCTTCTCTGGCACACCGTACTTGCGCTCATCCTCAGCGACGTAGAATTCGTGGACACCGGATGCGACAGCATCACTAGCGCCCGACTGGTGCATCAGATCCTTTAGATAAGGAGCGATTCTGGCGGGGATTCGAGCGACATGGCGATGGTTGGCATCCTCGGCTACCATCTCGCAGATGTAAGGACGAGCTAGCTTGTAGAAATCCAGGTCGCCTGAGAGCCCCCCATTCTTCTTAATTTCTGAGTCAAGAACCTTGGCTACATCATCTGCGGAGATTCTCTCCACCACCGCTTGGTCGTTGCCCATAGCTTTATCCATAACATCCAACGCTCTAGTAGCCAACTCACGGACCTCGGGTAACGGCGCGCGATCGACAACGTTTTTGATACCAGGCTGGAGCTTTGGCAAGAACGTACGCGCCTCGATGGGATCATGAACCAATTTGGTCAAGTTCTCAGTGATAACAACGGTCTGGCGCAGTACTTCCTGAGCGGTAGAAGGATTGTTAAGGGTTCGCTCGAGGAAAGGAGTAAGGAGCGCGAGGACAGGAGACGTTACTTCGGCGACGAAGGTCGTTTGTGAAAGAGCGTGGATTGCTTTTTGGAGGGTTTGGGTTGAGGGGTGGTGCATAGTGTCGACGAGTAGAGGAATTCTAGGAGCGACATCATCGTTAGACAACAGGCTTGTAAGAGACTGCATTGTAACAAGAGCCTGCTTCTCGACCTCCGACTTAAGATCGTGCATGTTGCCTTCGACAATGGGGATTAAACTGGCGAGTTTCGCACCCATAGCCTCTCGGAGAATATCCTTCTCTTGAGCCTGCTCTTTGGTGCAGCCAATCTCCAATTTTGCTTTGTCAGCCATCCTCTGCATCAGCTTCAGAGCCCCAACGGTGCCCTGCCATTTTCCAGTCTTCTTCGAGAGGTAGGTAACGAGAGCGGGTAACAAGCCGACAACCATGGCTTCAGCACTTAAATGACCGAAAAGCGCATCGAGACCATATTGTGCGGCGTCGCGAACCACAGTACCCTTGTCGGCCAAAGCGTCCAAAGCGCAAGAAACCAGACCGCCATCTTGAACTAGGAAGACTACTTCGCTCAAAGGCTGTCGGGGAGGGAATTTTTCGAAAAGAGCGCCAAGAAGGTTCTGAGCACTCTCACGTCGTAAACCACTCTTCTTATCCGCAGCGGCCTTTTTAACCTCAGCTACTACACCATATTCATGTAAACCTCGGGCGCCGACGGTATTAAGAAAGACTTCGCATAGACCATAACTGGCATCGATGGAGGCAGCTGATGTCTTTGCTGTAAAAATGGTATTGAGGATGGACGAAATGTCTTGTTGCGATGGCGGGGGAGGGGCATCGGAGGATTTGGCCACCATTAGTGGCGGCGAAACTTGGTGAGGCATCGTGGCCTGTCGGTGACGACGGATTGGGAGGAAGGAAAGGAAAGACAACAATCCAATCTATTAAAAATAATTAATGAATTTCGATGAGGGATTTAAAAGGGGCCAGTAAAACTGCCCAAAATGCCCTCAATCGTGGGCGCGAAGAAGTCTGACGGTGAGCCCAGCGTCTTTGATTTTTTTTTTGGTTCTGGAGTTGTGAAAGTGGAAGTGAGATTTCTAAACGCGGCGCATACTAGAAAAAAAAAATTAATGGCTTAGCCTTATCGGTGAACCGGTACCCCTCGAAATTTTCTCCCTTTATCAGTAAGAACCTACAATACGGTGACAGGAGTGGGTCTATTGGTACGTATCTTTAGGCACGTTTTAATACTGCCATCTCTTAGTGGAACCAATCTAGATCTACATATTAAATTTCCCTACGCCAACATTTTATCCCGAAACCTTCTTCTGCAAGCTTTCCATATCACGCATCTTTATTCAGCAATAGTAGTGAATCTCTGCATCACCTCTAAATCATGCAGAATAGAGAGTGTTTTTTATTTCTAAAAGAAGTATTTTACACCTTTTTTTCTTTTGTCGTCAAATGTAATTCAAAGGACATTGTTGGGATGAGAAATAAGGTTGTCTTATTAAGTTTAGGTTAAGTTCGTCGATAAGCTTCGGAAGTGAGTGAGACATTAATAACTCCAACCCTTTAGCCGAGTGGCTTGAGATGACTAAGAAAACGTAATTCACGGGGTTGGCGCCTAACTCTCTTCGGGCTTCTCCAAGTAAACTTTCCTTTCTCACAACAAACGTCAACGCGTTAAGCTAACGATATTGACACGGTAATCCCGCTGATCCGGGACGTCTTTGACGATTGTAAAACAGACGGTCGACTATTCACTACACTTGCTTAGCCATATTTATATCTATCAAACCTAATCTAGCGGAAGCCTTGTCAGTAACATGAGAGGATTAAGTCATACCCGACGAGAATATCACGCACCCATGGATATTTCATCGTCTCGTAAAACAGAATAACGAACATTTACTTACCTAGGTAGGTGTAATGGCGACTATAAATGGTTTCAAGCTGTCTGAGTGCCAACCAAAAACTCAGGGTATATAGCGCCGTCCCAATCAAATGGTGAGCATCCTTCATCCAAGTAGACAAGATGTTATATTTGTCTGGTTTGGCCGAAACGTCTCCCCTATAATCCCCATTTGCTTGACTTCCAGTATCAGGACGCCAGGTAGAGTCACGCGCCACAGATTTAATATGATGGGAAGCTGGAGTCTAACCCTTGCCAGACGTTGCGTACCATTTGATTTTGACAAGCCCCTAGTGGCGGATACTTCCGTAATACCAACAGAACCACCGCTGGCCCCCTATTTTCTCCACCAGGGTCTTGAGGGCCGCCTGCCCGGGTCCGACCTACGACCGCCGGCCCATATTCGCCCACGATTAGAAAGATTTCGCGAAAATCGAAAAATTGTGCGGTCCCACAGGGCTATGTAGCACTACACGGTCGCAGAGCCATGGATACTATCCTCGGGTCGTATCGGATCCGGTCGACAATATGAATGTCACTCAATCCCAACGGAACTGACGACGATGATAATGACGATGTTCATTCTAGGGACGTGTTCTCATGTGAAGTTGGGGGTAGGCTAGCTGGGTGATGAAGCAACACTCATGCAAGGACTGCTAGAGGAGACGCAGGACGATACACAATAGTGACAGTATAGGAGAATCTAAGAACGGAAATAGGAGGCGAGCTAAGAACATTCCCCGTCGCTTTCCCGGGACATTCCCATCAAGGTTGACAGGGATCGATGGGACGAGACCCCGACCGCCACGATGTTGCTTGCCCGGAGCAAACATGAAGAAGCCGCAAAGTCAATCCACAATCTCAACTTATAGTAGGCCTATTAAGGATGTGATCCAGCGATGCCACCAACTGGCATCATGTCGAGTGATCTAGGCCATTGCATTAGCTAACCCGAATTGCTAGTTCAAGACGTCATTTGCAGCTCAATCATCAAGAGGAAGACTGAAATGAGGTGGGAAAAGGGTTGGTTAAAGGCATTAAAGATACCCTCAATACCGGGGTCAAACGTAACGTCGTCTCAGGATGCAAATCTCGTGCCACTCAGCACGATCTTCAACCATTAACTTTTCATTTCGCAGGTAAAATAAAAAAAGAATGGGAGATTAATGACCCGAACTAAAAGATTTGCACATAGCCCCCGCGCTCAGCATTCATGATTTGCCGAGTTGTAACTTATCAACCACAATCGGGGAATATGCGACGAAGCACAGACATCATTAGTGCTGTCATGATGTACCTGTCAAGATCCAGGTCCAGAGTCGCCGCCGTACTGGGTCCTGCTACGGAGCGCACAGACCAGAACAGACAAATGATCCACGAGGCTCAACAAAAATGAAATGGGAACACGTCGTCTTCTTTTGTAGAGAGATGAGCTCTATGATTATGACGATAGTCGAGATGAATACTTCTCAAACTAGTAGGTCGATATTCATAATATCATAGTATTAGCGCAACCAAGTACCCACTAAGAAAGGCCTGGCGATGAAATTGGAAGAAAAAAATCCCCTCACATCCAATTCCTTTCTCCGGAGATGTAAGATCATTATGCTCGAGGCGAGCCATCGGGATGTGACCTCATGGGAAATGTTTTAGGTAGCGGCTATTAGATCCGGTGGCATGGCGACGTGTATCGAGAATGACAGTGAGAGGTGTGTGTGGGAAGAAGCGAGATCCAGACTGTTCACATTGTAAATATTGGCCGAATGGAATCATTTGATCCGCTTTGACCGGAAATTTTTGGCCGAATCACACGAATGATTTCGCGTGCCCACCATGTCTCCATATCCCCATAGCCAAGAAAGAACATGATCTTACGTAGAATCTTACTAACAGGCTGTTGTTGAGTTGGTTGAGGCAGTGGTAAAAGTGGTAGTAGTAGGTAGTGTTAGCTTGCTGACCGGCCCATTGTGATATGGGCCAAGAACGAAAGTGAGCACATAATTTGATATTGTCGATAGGAAGAACAGCGCTGTTGCTTCTGTATGGAGGAAAGTCTGGGTTGCAGTAAAAGGAAATATCACGGGAGAGCAATAGAACGCTAAGCAATGCCAAGACTCGCTGAATTTCCTATTTGGGAGAATGAGGCCCCCTGTCGAGGGGGCCGGGATGATTGCACATTATCGGCCGGTACATGGTCGTTGAAGTTAGGTCCACTTGCATGTCGATATGTCGGTAAGGGCATGGAGGGAAGATCACGCTGTTACCTGGAATTCGGAACTGTCATCAGACGAACTTGCATATCGAAAAGCTCCGCCACCCTGAGCTACGTATCGACTAACGAGGAGAAAAAAAAAAGCTTGCAGGCGATCATTCACGATGTAGCATTGTCATACACTCTTCGGTACACATACACACTCTCTTAACAGTTACAGCCTCCAACAATCAGCTATTTTGATTCATCATGCACTATGCGATTGGGTTTTTATTTTATGCTATTATTATTGTAGTCCACAGTTTGAATACTAATTGATATCTTAGAACTATCGTCAAGCTCATGTATGACATCCCGGGATTGAGGAGAAAAAACCCCCAAATTGATAAACCGGGTCGATTCAAGCAATTCGCTAAAGCTCCACCCCAGACTAGGTGCAGGTACCAATAAACAAGGGTAGTCGTCTACGCGGGATTTGCCGGGGGATGGATGGATGGTGGTGCGCTTGCATGCTAAGCTGGGGAAGAACGGAAAATTACAGTAGCTTCAGGGGTTCCATGATCCGTCCCCCGGCGCTACGATTTTCGTTGGAGCTTACTGTTTGCAGTCTCGGTTGCAACAAGGTTGTTGATAGTTATTGGGTCAAGTGGGCAAGGGGCGGAGCGGAATTTTGTTCTCATATATATCATAGCACAATTTTTTTTCGTTCTTAAATTCATATAAGATGATGGTGATAAGTTGCTTCTAGATGGTCCAGAGCTCACACGACTCATTTCGTATCACTCACATCGACTGTATTTCTCATTTGTTCTTTCTCGGATACCCAATTTCATCGATATTTGCCACCTGAGCATGCTGTTATGTAAGGCTACCCCAATAGCATATATCTTATAGGATATGATATTTACAAGTCTTCTAGTAATTCCATCGCCATCTAGCCTAATTAATTTAAGAGAAGTCGGCTATATCTAAATAACTTCAAAGTCACTATTATATCTTACCTACTACAAAATGGGGCCAACCGCGAACACAGGGTTCCAATTCATCACCTCTATCAATACCGTGGCACGCGATGAGGAAACACGGCGCAAAGTGCGGTCCCACGCGCGACGGCAAAAGCTGCCCAAGGAGTCAAACCAGCCAGCAGAGCAACAGCCTTCGAAAAAGGCAAAATCGCAAAAAGAGCACACGTCTAAGTTCAGGCTCAAGCCCGCGGGTTCGTCCGACGGCAAGCAGGAAGTCGTTTCTCGACACGATAGGAAGCTAAAGAAAACCAACTGGCTTGCTGTAAGCGTCGCTATGGAACTTCCGAATTTCACACTGCTACACATTGAGAAGACCCCGTTGACGGAGACCCTTATGAAATACTGCATGGCTGTGTGCTTATCGCCGCAGGAAAACGCCGTAGAGAAGTGGTTCGATCGCACGGGTGCGCCAACATACTTGAATACATGTGAGCCAGACCGACCATTTTAGGAATAGCAGGTTTTTGACTAAGGGCAGATTATAGCGGTTTCCTCGCTAACGCATTCGCGATGAATCCGGAAGGGACCTGGGTTCAAGCTGTGAGTGACTATTCAAATTGATCGCGTGACCCAATGTTAACATAAACGACAGCTTCAACTTGATAAAGCTGCTACACATGCATTCATTGCTATGATAGCGGCCATGCACAACTCGCTGGCGAGGTGGGCTGATACGAGCACGATCGACTTCCACCGATTTCAGGCCGTTAAGAGTATCAACGAGAGGCTGAACCTAGAAGGCAAGGATGATAGCAAGCCTATCTCGGATGGTCTTGTCGTCGCTGTTGCTCTACTTGTTAATATCGAGGTGAGTTGGAATGGCGGAAGCTAGTAACTCGCGATACTGACGTTTTGCAGGCTTTTATCGGTTCGCTGGCGGCCGCTGCGGCGCATATGAGTGGCTTAAAAAGGATGGTCGATCTTCGAGGCGGCATCGTTGAGGGTTTTCAGCATAGCACTATCCTTCAACGATCAATCTCATGGTTAGTAAAACACCGTTAATATATTCGTTACCAACTAATCAACCGTCATAGGGCCGACTATTCCTACGCCACCGCCGCGCATAAGCCGGTGGTCTTCCCCTTTATACCGCAACTCGCATCGTCCCTCGCCCTACATGATCGGTTCACAAGTCGCTCGATGTTGGCAAACATGGAACCTCTCGGTTATAAGGACCTTACTGTCTCGAACCGCGAAGCAGTCGAGCTCTTCGAGCTTATATACTCGATCACCGAGTGCATCAACAACTTCGATTACGCAAGCCTCGAAGACACGTACGGACAGCGAATCCAAGTCAGCGATTCCATTTATATGGTCGAGTGGCGGCTGTGTCAGCTGGAAGAGTACTCCCGATCGCGCCAGTCTTGGAAAAGAGCAGGCTCTGTTCCATTACTGCCATCGATTGAAGGGGGTGGTGATCCGCACGTTCACTCGGCGACCGATTTATCAGACGTGCTCATCTATGCTGCTCATTTGTTCTTACACCTTGCCATCCGAGGCCAGCCTCCGTCGGCTCAAAGACATCGCGCGTTGACAGAAGCGCTTATGTCATCTCTTTTCGACCCCGTCTTGGCTCTCGATATTATGTCACCACCGAAGACTTACGAGGGCCCTGGAACACAAGTTAGTAGGGGTAGTGCGGGGCCAAGTACCACTGGAAACCCATACGTCTCAACATCGGAGATATCGCACGTCAACACTTCGAAGTCGCCACAGAGAGACGAGCTACATGCCAACATCCTCCTCTGGGCGTTGTTCGTAGGATCTTGTGTTCGAATCCCGGTTGCGCTAGGCGAGACGGCACTACTGCTCAACGACCACCACGAGTTCTTCATCAACGCACTGAAGAATTATTGTCGGATGAGAGGGATCTTCGACAGGGACACGTTCGTGGAGAAGTTGAAGGATATTATGTGGTTATACAGTTGGTGTGAGCATCAGCTCTCGCTCGTGTGGATGGAGATTGGCGGTGATCTTAGGCCTTGGGTAACGGCGGAGAATCAAGGGGATATTGATGCGAGAGTGAGTCACGATCAACGAGCGCAATGATTTCGAAATATTGGAATAAAAGGACGAGTAATAATGTCTAATATTGTAATAGTAATAGGCCGCAAGGTGATAATGTACGTAAGATAGTCTCGACTCTAGTGTCAGTAGTGTAATATTAATTTACTTACCATCATTCACATCATGTAATTTCCTATTACCTTCAGCTTCTTAATATAGCTGTGTTCGAAACCAAGAGTTGAATTCGCAGCAAGCATTTCCTAGTTTTTAGCGTCATACAACACCAAGAAGCATCATCAACGATATCGTGTCGGGTTTTCATGATGGCCCCACCTAAGACCCCCAACGACAATAAGGGCAAGGGACACAAACCTCCCAAGCCGCGCCCAAGCCAACCTAGTGAACAGGATAAAAGGGAACGAGCGAGACAGCCGGGAGCGCCACCCCAGGGTATTCGTCGACCTCCCAAAGGATCAAACGCTCATACCGGTCGATTACCATAGTCATCCCACTACAAAGCAATATATTCGGCTGTCGGAAGACGTGGTAATGCGGTCATGAATTAGCATCGTCGTCCTTTGTTGTCTTCACCTATGTACACACCGCCAGCCAGCAAGCGAGGTGGGATATATCTAACGGCCGGAGCTCGGAAACATAGAAACGGCGTAGCGGAGTAGGTTATGTCATGGAATGCTTGTGAGGGGAGGTTTGAGATTAGCGCATCTTAACCCGTCAGCAGATTACCACGTCTTGAAAGAGGGGTTTCGGCGAGTAAATGATTTATCTAGCAGTACCTAATGATAATTGAATGCATATCAGTCATTAGAGGGAAACGCTCAGTGATGTTCGTCCGTCTTATTAGTGAAACGGCAGCTATCGGGCTTTAGGATCGGACTTAAGAAGTAAAGTAAAGAGGGGGCCATAAACTAAACTCCATTAATCATGTTCAAGAATGAGCATGTAGCCAAGCATGGCGCTCTTAGTTGCAGCAACCCGTTTGAATATAACCTTGGAGGTTACAGTGTCCTCCTCATTTCCGTCTACTTCCACGGAGGTGATCGGCCATGGTAGTGCCGCTCCGTAATAGAATGGCGATCTTCCGCATAAGCAGCGGTGATTCGATGACAATCCGAATCGCCGTGGATGCAATTCAACTCGTACAAATACTATGTTGGAAGTAGGCTACATTCGCCGGGCGCTTATCCCGTCGTAGCCATTTGTCTCCCTTCGGAGGATCTAGATTCGGCGTAATTACTACACCTTCGCGGCTTGACTTTCATCCGACTCGTAACACTGAATAATAATCGCACCAATTCACCAGCTAAGATCGATGTATTTCATGTTCATTAATCGGATTTTCTCATGTCACCGAGCGCGGGACCGAGAAAAAAAAAATCGAAGGGAAAAATAGGAAGGTGTAAGTAGGTAGGTTATATCGTTTTAAATCGTTTCTCATTGTCCGCTCCTCGGGCAGTTAATTGTTATTTTCGCATTTGAATTCTTTCCGAGTTGATCTCCAATGGGCTCCTGGGTAGTGATGGCGATCCCAAGTAATGTATACCAACAACCCAAATTAGGACACTCCGCACAATTATCGCCGCAGATGGCCGGCCTGGGCGAAGCCTCGGACTGGGACACGACCATTCTGGTGACAGATGACTGGATGAAGGTTGCGTCGATGAAAGTGGCTTCAGAGAGGAGGCACAGCGGATGGGAATCAGTAGAGAAAAAATGGTCGGAGAATGCACCAGCACCTCAGCGTGCTGGCCTAAAGCCGCCAAGGTAATTACAAAAATGGCCATTTGTTGCTATTGTATCTGACAGAGTCGCAAGTGAATCCACGAAGAAAGCCGACGAGGCTATGGCCCGATTTCCTTACCCGCATATCCCCATCCCAACTCCGCAGTTGGATTTTGATTTCCGAATGAAAGTTCTTTTGAATTCTCAAAGTGCTTCCGTAGCTGTTGGAGATAGTTTCAAGAAGTTATCTACGCTTTCCGAAGGTACTTGGTCAGGACGTTTTGGATATGGTTTAGTTGTCGTGGGTTATCCATCAGTCCCTGAACCATGGTTGCGCGACAAGCTGACGCCATGCAGAACGGGGGACAAGAGAGCCAAGATGTTGTTCAAGAGAATTTGACAGCAACCCAGGTGGAAGCTACTCATCGACTACAAACTGGAGATGAAGTACCAGCATAGTAAGTTGGTCATCCTTGATCGCGGATAGAGGTTAACCTAGGTGACAGCATTGAGTGCAAGATACGAGGAAATATGATTGGACAACCGGAGTTAGTGAAGGCGCTTCAAGACCCTGGAAGATCGGGAGTGGACCCCAGATCCTGCCGATTCAGGGTATTCATCACTATGAAAACCTCCGACGAACGATACGCGAATAAGTTGAATGCTGGCATGTGGGTCGGAAGTTGCCTCTGGAAAGGCCTTGAAATCATATATGAGTAAGTTTCCTTATACTTCTCTTAATTAGTTCTCAACTAAAGATTGCCTTCGTGTAGCGTATATAGAATAAGTTGACGAAATCACAGCATTAAAATGCAGAAGAATGAATGTTCAAGGGTTAGGAAAGGGCTGGGAACGGAGGCAAATTGCTCGCATCGGACTTCGGAGTTTGGCGTTTTCGATTCAGCCAAGAAAATTCAGTATATTCCCACACGGCATCGCACTCGTCGTTGCTACCTAGGTGTCGCCAGATTGATTGTCGATAAGTAATTGAGAAATCCGGATTTCAATAATATACTAAAGATGCAAGGGACACAATTTGTACATAGTGTCCAAGTTCCGGTTCATCTTAAGCCCTGCAATAAGCAACGCAATCGAGATAACATTGGAAGGGTCCTGCATGCATGATGAGGTAAATCTTTGGTGTTTGCCAAGGCTGTATTTGATCAATCAGGTTGTATCGAGCCCATCGGATTGGAACGTTTGTGGGTATAGGTTTTAGATATCTGGGTAAGGTATCCATGCTTCATATTCCATATCGGGTGAATTCTCTCATGTTCCATGCGGATGCGGGAAGGTGATCAGGGTTTCCATGGAACTTGACGTTTTGTCGGAGAATTTGGAGAAAAGACTAGGAAAGAAAGGTACAGGCGGACAGGTATGATGGCATTTAGAGAAAACCTGGGTAGGATAGGTACGTACCCCATACACTAGAGTTTCCCTTAGCGTGACTAAGCTGGTCCCTGCATTTTCTAAAGATTTCAAGGGTCCTTCATAGGTCCACTTTCGTCACAGCCTTTGAATGATTGGCTCATTCTCTTAAACATGCCAATTGATTGGTTACCCACCTCACCTTCGTACGTCATACTAGGGATCTGCTATCTTATACATCACCATCGACGGATTGTAGAAACAGGTTTGCGTCACGCTCATCGAGATGATATACACAGTATTTCGAAATGTAGAAATAGAGGACAACTCCGCCGTTGGATTCTCAGATTTCTCTTACCCTTACTGTATATTCTAAAACTTTGCATCCTTCACATCAAGCAATTAATCATCGGCCTCCTAAATACCGAATAACAAATCATAAAAGACTTATACTCGAATTAATAACGTCCTCAAAATGCCTCTGTTTTCCAGCCGCCGACCTGAAGAGGAAGTTGTCGAGGAGCCTGTCCCCGAGAAGAAGCAATCACACGGTCTCTTCGGCTCCCGTCACCGCTCTCCCTCACCTCCAGTCAGTACCCGCACGAGTACAACAAACAGTTCTCATCGCTCAGGTATGGTCTATCAAACCCTCCGCTAACGCAACCAATAAAAATACTAACGTGTGGAACAATAGACGGAACCTCACCATCGCGTCACCGCAGCGTGTTGCAGCGTACCTTTGGGCATGGCAACTCCTCGAACCCGGACATCGACCCATCTATTGTCCAGGCCCGTGAGCGTGTCATGCAAGCCGAGTCAGCGGAACGTGATGCCGACAGGGCTCTCGAGGGAGCTCGCATGCGTGTCCGTGAAGCCCGGGCTGAAGTCAAGCGTCTAGAACTTGAAGCTGCCGAGGAAGCTCGTCGTGCCAAGATCAAGCAGTACCACGCTCGGGAGGTCTCGAAGCGTGGCAAGCAACTCGGACGTAAGTGTCTCCCATAAGTGTCACCTTTACATAACGACATCGATGCTAATAGCAATGCAGGCCACGACGTCTAAACTTTCAATACACAAATGTTACTTAAGTAATGCTATGAAATCATTCCGATTTAAGTAACCAACTTATGTGTTTCTTTTGTTATTAAAATCGCTAAACATAATATTGGCTACGAATCTCACGATCTAAAAATCAATGCTCGACGGTGGAGGCGATACCTATTCCTTCTTGTACCAACATCATATACTCAGCGTGGCGCTGTACGATGTACGAATACCTATGTAATTGCTGTTATTCCAGATCTGAAAGAATTTAAGATATTTCTCTGTTAACTTGACTTATTACACGAAGGACTGTGTTAAAACGATTGTGCTTACTTGCCATGTAACACAAACTGCGGTAACAAGCTAGGCAAGTAACAACTTCATGTTACACCACAACAATGGTATACCAACGCTACTTGTTCCGCTCACTTATCGTATGAGAAAAGTATTGATGTGAATCACGCACACCTAATACTATTGTTTCTAGAGCGTAATGTTAGCCTCATGTTCATTTTATGGAGGGGAGCGTAGGTATTCATTAAATATATCCCCCCTTACAATCTCGTCAGGTATCAAGTATTACCAACGCCAACCTTTCTTTTTCTAATGAGACAAATGATGTCAGTTCCCGTCCCGCGCAAAGACAAACCGGCTTAGTATTTTGATAGGAAATACACTTGTGCAACGAAGCCACAAATATTCATGGATGTCCCATTTCAATATTTACCCCTCACGCCTGTACGTGTACATCTACCTAGGTATTCCATACGTGGCCTTCAGTGACTGATAACGACGATTAGATGTTACCATAATTATAGAGGACAATGTTGAAATTCGGTCCTATTTTTTGGTACGACATTGCGAAATCTTCATTCGTCATCTCGTTACTAACTTAGACTTAGTCATGCCTTTCAAAGGATGTTATTCGATTACTATGAATTACTAGTAATGGTTTTTCAGAAGACCTTCCTAATTGAATGACAAAGAGGATAAGCAATCGAGTTCGACTCACGTAGGAATCCAATGTTTGATATGTATCGCTTGTTAGTGAATCAGTCATTATAGGATCATGAAAGTCGGTAGATGAAAATTCATTAATATGAATATGAAAAGTGAGTTACATCTAGAGGATAAAGTCACGTTGAATCCAATTGAGAGAGGGCTGAGAAATGTGGATGATGAAACCGCTAAGCCACATAAAGTCGTAACGGGCCACGAAGCTAAGGATAAAATGGGGTGTAGATATGCATTTGCTAGGATGACGGATTAGATACCTAGATATCTACACCAATCCCGCACTGTCGGGGCTAAAGCCAAGAAAGTGACGAGTCTATAAAAGGGGGGGGGGGGGGGGGGGGGTAAATTCAGCGCAGTCAAGCGTAAGTTACGGAGTACGTAACCCTTGAAACCCCGAATAAGCCAAGACTTTAATCACAAGCAGAGCCAGGAACCGTGATTTCCTTGCCTACAACTACCTAACCTAATCTGTTTTCTAATTTTTACAAACTTTCGAAAGCTTCGAAAGTTGTTGTTGGCCTCGAGCCACGTTTTTTAATCCCCTACTCAATCGATAACTAACAAACAATATTGGGAAACTCATGGGACGGCCTAATTAATTACACACGTCCTTTTCCTTATCCCGCCCTCGGGGTTTTCCTCTGACATCTCCAACACCTATCAATTGCTTATCCGAGATTTCCCGCATGCCTGGCCTTTGAAGTTCAATTGATCTTCTTCACGGGCTCTTGTAGTCTTACCGCACCTCCCGTCGCACGCGATATTCCCCCTGAAACGAGCTAAGATGGCCAACCGCAAGATGCTCTCTTTTAAGAGAGCTATTATTTTCGCAGCTTTCCTCCTAACAGCATTCATACTCCTTAGACGGTCGCATACGAACGCTAGCGAACCCGAACCATTTCGCAAGCCTCCCCCGAAGCCAGCAGATGCAAGTAGTGAACATACCGGAGCGAAACATGACCCATCCACGACCTCCTATACTAAGGAAGCGGACTCGGCTGCGAAAGAACCAGCTGTCCCTGCTCAAAAGGCCATTCAGGACATGACAAAGATGTCCCTGTACGACAAGCTAGCATATCAATATCCTTACGATGTCGAGACCAAGTTCCCTGCCTACATTTGGCAGACATGGAAATATACACCGGCGAGTGGAGAATTCAACTTCCGAGACGAAGAAGCGTCGTGGACTATGCAACACCCCGGATTCGTTCACGAAGTTATTACTGACCAAGTCGCCGTCCATCTACTAAAGTTGCTCTACGCCCCCATTCCCGAAGTTCTCGAAGCGTACAACGCCCTACCCGAACCCGTTCTAAAGGCCGATTTCTTCCGCTACCTGATCTTACTCGCTCGTGGTGGAATTTACTCCGATATAGACACGTTTGCAATCAGAAGTGCTTTGGATTGGATACCAGATTCCGTGCCTAAAGAAAGCATCGGATTGGTTATCGGTATTGAGGCAGATCCCGATCGACCCGACTGGGAGGATTGGTACAGCCGACGCATCCAATTCTGTCAATGGACCATCCAGGCAAAACCAGGCCATCCTGTACTACGCGACATTGTTTCGCGAATTACTCGAGAGACACTAAAACGTAAGCGCGAAGGAGGTCCGTTCGTGTCAAAGAGCAAGAGTGTCGTAGAGTTTACCGGTCCCGCTGTCTGGACAGACACTATTTTCGACTACTTTAATGATGCACGGTATTTCGACACGGCTCATAGCCAAGGCAACATCTCGTACCTAAACTTCACGGGAATAGTGAAACCGAAAAAGGTCGGCGATGTTGTAGTGCTTCCAATTACTAGCTTCTCGCCCGGTGTCCAGCAGATGGGAGCAGGTGATTATGACGACCCAATGGCCTTTGTTAAGCACGATTTTGAAGGTATGATTTCTGCTTTGTCACTGTTGCTGTCTTTTTGCTAATTTTCTTAGGCACCTGGAAACCCGAAAGCGAACGACACATTGGCGAAAACTAGAAGCCTAATTGCATCTTAATTACCCTAGATTATGTTCGGGACACCGCCGCTGCCTCATCGCCCTACGGAGAGCCACTCTTCAATTCCAAAACCTGTTTCAATCAGCCGTTGGAAAATGTCGGCTCCCCAGTCTGATATCTCAAACCCGACAATAGTATGAAAGGGTTTGTACTATTATTACGAAGTAACGACCCGTCTCGCATGATATAACATGTGCCAGTCTTTCGTTAGGATTTTGTGCGAAAATCGTCAAAAGTCACCCGTTCAGCCTACCTTAGGAAAACTCAACAAATTGTGGGCACAGTGTGGAAAATGCGAATTCCTACCCCTACCATTTCGCCTTCTTGTACCCGGTCCCCTATCGTTTTGTTTTCGAGAACAGTTATCGGCGCCCGGTGCGGACACTATAGGGGCACATAAGAGGTATAGAATACACAAGGCTGTGTTTGGCGCGACAAAAAAAGGAAAAATGTGTTCGGGATGTCGCCAAAGCCAGGGAAGGATTAGTTGTATATACCCGACATGCATGGACATCGGCGTTGAGGTGGTCATTTGATTACTGAGCTTTTGCTTTTACAGAACTTGGCCCACGGCCATCAATGAGGATAGGCTATTCGCCCTTCGATTAACTTAATTTTCTGCAAGCCTCTTTAATGTGCATGGTTCCCCCTACAATGGTGTGCCGTGGAAAGAAACAAATCCATGGTATTTCCGTCCCGTTCAGATAGACCGATCACCGTACCGACGAATTCCAATAGTTAGGTACCTAGGTATGTTCCCCCGCTTCCCCCCCTTATTGTCTACCATGGCGTAACCCCACTCCCCACGATTTAGCTTGCTTTAGATCGGCGTATACCTGTGGAGATCGATGTCTGTAAACAATCCCATTTCGTACATATACCGCGGATAGTCTCACACCGAACATTCAATTCTTTAGATGTTAAAGAATTGATCCCTGGGAGTGGGAACGTAGGTGTTGTCGGCTGCGTCATTATCCATTCTAATTGACATTAAATAAGCAGTGCTCCCTTATGCTGTAAGTTGAAGCATATTCGACCGAACAAGGCTTAGGAAATACGTATCTAACTTGAATCGAGTCCTGAGTTAAATCCCCACGATGGAATTGTCATTTCGGCCATTGGCGCTTGATATCCTACGTGGAAGCCGTCAGGTTCCCCGATGTTTCTTACATCGCAGGTTGGCTCAAAGCCGAATGGCTTCCAGAGTCACACGACACTCGGCATGGAACTATTCGGTACAGCGAAGAGGAATCGCGACATCCAATTTAAGCTATTTTGAGGGTCCTCGAGAGGTGAGTTATTTTCGTTTAGCCAGGGGTGTCTGCATAGAACGATCTGAGTGCTACGCCATCTCTTCTGCAAGGGAAAAGATCCCAGCAACAGCGATATTCTGCTTCGGGGTCTTAGGGTTCATATACATATACGAAAACTAAATTCGTTTCACAATTCTACAACTTCATTATTTATTCAAATATTATGCTTCGGTAATCAAATTATATTAATAATTATTAGCCACCATTGCTCCCTCACACGATACCAGAGCACTTCTCACTCATAGTATCGCAATATGGCGACCAGCCAGCCGTGTTGTTTCGGTCCCCCACACCCATGGATACAACCTCATCAATTACTATAAAGCCCGAAACAACTACCCTAACATACGAGGCCCTCGACGCTCAGTCCAACAGCCTCGCACACTCCCTCCGGTCTCTAGGCGTGAAGAAAGGAGACCGAGTCGCCGTTAGTCTGGGTAATGTCGACGAGCATGTCGTCACGGCATACGCACTCTTCAAACTAGGCGCCATCCTAGTACCGCTAAACCCGACGTTTAACTCTCTTCAACTAAGCAATGCGCTCTCCCGCCTCGAGGTGGAAGTTCTCATCATAGGGGCCGTTACAGACTTAGCTTATAAACCCTGCCGTGGTCGCAGTAATTTCGATCTCCTTAAGGCACTCGTCCCAGATCTTACCACCAGTAAGGTCGCATCACCGACGGTTCCATCGCTCAAGTCTATTGTAGTCATAGACAACACGCCTTCACACCCACAATCCGGCTTCCCACCCCTCGAGAACCTCCGCGCACTAATACCCTTCTCCACACTCCTCCCACCCACCCTCACCCTCTCCACCTCATCCTCGCGCTCAATAGTCCCCGACACACCCCTCTCCGCGGACGAAATTATCAATATCCAATTCACATCCGGCACAACTTCACTCCCAAAAGCAGCCATGCTAAGCCACACCAGCATCCTCAATAATGGATACCTAATCGCGAAGCGCATGGGTCTTGACCCAAGCGACCGCATAGTCTGTCCACCCCCACTATTCCACTGCTTCGGCATCGTCCTCGGCCTCCAAGCAACAGCAACAACAGGCGCAGCCCTACTCTTCCCATCCCCAGCCTTCGACCCCGCAGCCGCGCTCCACATGGCCGCCGAGCAGGGCGCCAGTGGATTATACGGTGTCCCCACTATGTTCGCCGCGGAACTAGAACTTCTCTCCAATCCCCAATTTGCCTCCACTTTACCCAGTGGCAAGGGCCAGGGATTGGGAAATTTGAGGAAGGGAATTGCGGCTGGGAGTTCGGTGCCGGAACCGTTGATGAAGAAGTTGAATAGCAGATTGGGGTTGCAGGATTTGGTTATTTGTTACGGGATGACGGAGACTAGTCCTGTTAGTTGTATGACGGCCCCCGGGGATCCGCCGGAGAAGAGGGCTGGGAGTATAGGGAGGGCTATGCCGCATACGAAGGTTAAAGTTGTGGAAAGTGGTGATAGGAGTAAGATTCTGCCAAGAGGGGAGAGAGGCGAGTTGGCGGTTTCTGGGTACTTGCTTATGGAGGGGTATTTTAATGATGCCGAGCGTACGGCGGAGGATTTGTTGGTTGAGGATGGGGGGGTTAGGTGGATGTATACTGGGGATGAGGCGAGAATGGATGAGCTGGGGTTTGTGGAGGTTACGGGACGGATTAAGGATTTAATTATTAGGGCGGGTGAGAATATTCATCCACTTGAGGTCGAAGTCGTGCTTATGCGACACCCGCTTATTCGTGAGGCGAGTGTTGTGGGTGTTCCGGATGAAAGGTATGGAGAGATTGTCGGGGCCTTTGTTGCGCCCCATGCCGGGATAAAGACGGTCGATGGTGGGGCGGGATCGGGGACAAGTGGGGATATAGAGGCAGGGGTGGCAACGGGAGGATCCGGCAGTGGAGTCAGGGATAAAAAGGCAGTGCTTTCAAAGGATGACGCGAAGGATTGGGTAAGGGGACAGCTTTCGGGTCACCTGGTTCCGAAGTATGTATTTTGGATTGACGAGTTTCCGAAGACTGCGAGTGGTAAGATTCAGAAGTATAAGTTAAGGGAGCTGGCTAAGGAGTTGAGCGGTTCGACATCACGATGAGTTAGATAGGGATGTGGGATATGTTTAGAATCAATGGCTCACGGTTATTGGGTATTGCTGCGGCTGAGTCTTCATTTCCCGGAGAAGCTAATGCATGGTAACGCTTCATGACTTTTTAAAGTGCTGATCAACGAGCACCCCTGATTTTAGAATAGCGGAATAATGAATCCTGTCATCATATCAAGCCAGCCGCATCCTTGGTTTCCGCCAAGTAATTCATTCTCACGTTATAAGAACCGGAAAAGACATAATGATGATCGTTAGAGTTTAGGCAACTAGGTAGTATTTTGATATCCTAATGTTGACTAATAGGCTAGGGTGAATACACCAAAAACTGAAACTTCTAGACGCCTTTGAGCGAGGGTATCGAGGAACGCCTTATGCAATGAAGACGACTTCGGGATCCAATCCTTTGGATCCTTCCGCCGCCACTGAAACGAAGAAACTCCAAATTTGCGAAAACCGAAGGCTTTAAGCCCCCTCCAACACCGTGAACACCCCCAGTCCAATCTCATGCAAATCGTTATGTTCGTTGTTAATCATGCTGCCAGAACACAATCGTATCGATTGTGTTTGGTGTCCATCTCCTTCAGGAATAAATCCTTTTTCCTACTCTCGCTCCTCAACTCCTAAACTCTTTCCGCCTACCCGCTATACCATTTTTTCAAAGCTCCACATGTCGTGATATGTCCAAGGTAAAGGTCCACACGAGACTGCCAGTTGAGATATCCTGTTCACGGCGCACAAGACTCCATAATCGGTGAAATATTTGCTCTGCGCATCATTTCCCCTATGATGAAATGACGCCGTAATGCTTCAAGTGGGAATGGTACTGGTAGACGCACATTCAACCTTTCCATGTTTTCGGCCCCCACTTCCAAGCCAACGCCACTTTTCACTTCTCACCAACACCTTCCAACCGAACAGATGAGCCATGCGCAGATTGCTCATCAACTGAGTGTTGGTAATCATGGTATCTGCGAGTTTGTGGCAGCACCTAACGTCTCAGCCAGCGACGTTATTCCTGCCTGCGATACTGATAGCGCTCCATGGCTCTTGGGGAAGAGGTTTGAGACGGCACTGCTCGCGCCACCCTCTCTTGTGACATAGACGGATGCGTATCGTATGAGTAGAAAGACGTTGCGCTGGGTATAAAGGATAGCGGCAAAGGAGATGACGCTGAATAAGAAACAGAAGATAGACCAGAAGACGACCTTCTCCATAGGAGTGAAGACGTAAACCCCGTATGTGACTTCAATGCGGTACTTCTTTAGGCGGGCCCACCGGGTGAAAGCTTCGATCATGGAAAGTTTCGACATTGTGTTGACGTTGATATAGTTTGGTGTTGTAGGTGTTCGTTGGTAGTATTACTTAATATGCTGACTAGGTTCACGAGAATAACGATAACGGCGATGATGACGATGCCTAGCGTCCCTAGCTATAGCTAGCTATATAGGTAGACCTCCAAGGAAAAGGACAAAAGAAAAACAACACACCATGAGAGGGAAGTCAATAATCGTAGGGAGATATGTATTAATGATATATGCAGTTCGGCATTCAGGTTGAGTGACAACATTCCTCGGGCCTTGGCACATATATATAAAAATAAAATATGCCCCAGAGCTTCCCCCAGCCCAGCCTTCCCGAACCGGGACGGGGGAAAATAGTAGAAGGCAGAAGTTACATTACCTTAGGTATATCGGTACATAGTGTTAGATACATGTGTAAGTACATGTATAAACAAGCGACGGCGTGTATGTAAGCAGAATAAAAAAGAAGCAACAATTATATCAAATGGAAGGAATTGTCAGTGTGCAAATGACCGCCGGGAAGCTCGGAATTGCCCAATTCGCCCGATGCGGCAGTGGCCTGGTGGGCTGGATCCTTGTCTGTTGCCCACAGGATTTTCGCAAGATTCCCATCTCACTTTCCTATGTGACGATACCCGCATGTTGTAATAGGACCAGGATGTACATGTCTGTAATATGGTATTTACAATACATTAGCTTGGTACCTTTTTAAGTATCATGATACAAACGAGAGGAGAGGAAGAGGAAGGAGAAAAGGAGATGGCAGGAAAGAGAGCCTCAGCCCGAGTGCCGAATAGGCGAGAAAGTTAAAAAGATTATTTCGGTTGGGTAACAACGATGGTAACAAAGTTAGCGCTTGCGGAACTCCGATGACCTGGTCCCCATCTTTTTTTTCTCCCCCTTCATCTCTTTTTTCTTTTTATGGCCTTATTTTCATCTTATTTCCAGTAGCACCGACGAGGTTGGCGAACGGTTCCCCCCTCCTTGCCTCGCCCCCAGACCGACTATATCATTCCTCCCATACCTTAGCTTTTAGCGAACTTTGTTATTACTCAGTTCAGCCAATCATGAGGCAATTCCGACCCCACCATTATCACCGGAAATCCGAGGTTAGGCAACAAATTACACCAAAGAATAGCATTGATAAGCAACAATTCCTTATTTAATGTAGTATTCGACAAAGGTGATGAATCAGCAGCAAATGGGGCTCATGACATGTCCCTGGTTTGGGATCATCCATTGGAGCCGTTACCTATTACGGAAGAGCCTATCCTCTCGACTCTTCCATATCGAGTTTAATGCAGCTCGGGTAGCATCAAGCATCCAACGTTAGCCGAAGGGACGTCAACAACAAACGGCAGGGCTGACACCATACAAGCTTTAGAGTCCCAACTGCCAGCACAACTCAAGTTAGTCCGCCAAGATTCTTCGCAGGGATTTTCTTCTCTGAACCATGTTTGTGCTTATTGACGACCGGAGAATTCGGATACCCTGGTACTGCTATGCTAGTATGCCTACCATACTGCCATCCGCTTGCAGGATTTCGGTAACAAATCTTTCAGCTTTGCCTCGCGGAATATTAGACATGTCATATATGATAATACTACAATGAAAATACATATAAACATACTATAATCTAACTTGGTATAAAAAACACCGTGGAACAAACAGTAACACTACGGAAAAAGCGGCACGGGCAACACACTATCGAATTTGTTACACGGTGTTAGGAGAAAATCCACCATGCAGCTATGTAAGCGCAAAAGCCGCTGTGCCTCTCGTCTACAGTTCCCAGCTCGGCAGATGACTGCCTACCTAGGCAGGGGAGGATTCGGAGAAGTCGGCCCTCGTCGGCGGTCATATCGTTTCTACTTGTCCCATCGCCCTTGAAACATCAGATAGGTAAGGTCACGATGTCGGATGAAAGTAAAAAAGAACCTTCTAGTTCGAACCCCATCACGCCAGATCTGGTCATGTGTAAACTGAATGCGGTTTATTCCATTGTGTGAGCCGAAAGGACGTCTCCGAGAATATAGAAGAAAACGCCCACATCCGACACCGCCGGAGCTTTTCCGCCGAGATCTAACGATATAATTCTTAATACGCATTAGCCGCATCTGATGCCAGATAACAAAACCAATCTCGAAACTATGCACTGAGATCTTCTGCGCGACGGATCGGGCGGCTCCTGGCACAGCATCGAGAGTATCCGACGAACGAGAGCGCGCGATGAGTAGGGGCGGAAAGCTGCATCTTCCCGCCAACCTGCAGCATACATAGGACAAGGATTTAGTATATCCTATTTCCACGGTCAAATCGCGAGCACTTCCTACACACAAGATTTGAGAGAATCATTGCAATTCTCATATCTCAACTCAATATTACGCGATATCACATGCAAGAAATATTTAGGTAATGTAAGTGAGTAGGTAAGAGGGAATTACATGCATTCGTTTTGCATACCATCGTAAGGTCACGTTGACCAAGGACCCCACGCTACCTAGGTAGTAACACTGCATCTACTAGCTAACCCCTTATGTAGCGAGGACCGCCAGCTCGGAAGTCACGGAGTAACAGCGTTACTCTCCATCGAAATACATTGTCAAGGTTGTGCCTTCTACCTGGATTTATCGGCCGGAGGATCGGATGTGCGGATTATGGAAATCTCGGTTGACAAGTTGCCCAGCCTGCGATATTTTACTTCATGATTGAAGCCTTTGAACCATCTTGAACTATTTTTACGGAATCTATCTCTTGCGACCGTGATCATCAGGAAAGTAAGGGATTATCACTGTGCCCGGAAGGTGCCGGCTCGGGTAGCTCTTGCCGAGTCAGACTCTAAAGTTACCCCGGACGGCGATCCCCGGCTTCGCGAGAGGGCCGGAACGTGCATATGTATGAGTGTAAAGCTTAAAAGTTAGAGTTGCATGGTCATGTGCAGCCACACCACTGGATGTATCAAGACCAGATATGAGGAAAGAGGTGTTAAGCGTAAATAGACGACGAAACTAACCTTGCGTACCACACCATTGGTACTTAGCCACATTTTCAGACAAAGAACTGGACACAATAAGAGTATTGGTTCATTTTACAATTCATTCTTAATTTAACAGCATGCGCAACTAGGCAGTTACATACTCATCGGCCGTGGCCTCACTTGTAAAAGTGGCTCTGCGACTAAGCTCCTGCCACCATCGATCTCTTTATCCCTTTACTAGCTCGTCATTTAACGAGTTAGCTTAAATATACGCCTAAAATACAGGTGCCTTGCTGTTCGGCGACTTGAGTGTCTCAGAATTGCGTAAATGTACTCATGAATAGTGAGACATGTCACAAAAACAACCGCCTATTATACAAGGGCTCATAAGCCCTCCGCCAGAAATCGCGTTGTGGTACATATACGTCATCGAGTTGGTAGATGCGAGTTTTAGTACAAGAACTTTAGAAAAGCCCCCATTTTCGCCGTACTGAATTAGCAATCAGTTCAAGCCATGGTTTGACTAGTGTTGCCGGGATCGATATTCGTGGATATAATAACACGATGAATATCTTGAAATGTCGAGTTCTGTTGGCACATATCGGGTTGAGGGTGTACCTCATTCGCGCTGAGCCGTCACTATGGCTCACCTCACGACCGTGCCGGGGAGCCTCTGTCCAGGTATCATTCCACTCGGCACGCACTTCCAAGAGCACCCCCATCGCAAGAAAGGAATGGCTTGTTCATTCTCACCCGTGCCAGCTACGCTCTTGAAACTATCCTCACCAGGAGCACATTGCCTGACCTCCCACCATTCTATCCATTGAACCATGGGGACCGTAACGCGTCGTCCGCATACCGAACAGGGTAAGTCGCCACAGTTACCACCTTCCTCGCTTTGCTGGGCAATTCTTTCTAGTATCTCTAATAAATGCGATGGCGCATTGTGCGGGAGGTATGATGGTAAGTCACGAAGTTGTCCGCTTTTGGCGCAAGACTGGAGAGCGAGTTCTAGCAATGAGGGCACACGGCTTGGATTGCTTGTTGAGCTGAATTGGCTGCGACTAGGAGGTGGGGGTGCTGGTGCTGAACATATATCTTCGGTTGGTAAGACCGTGTCCAGGTGCTCGGACGGGCTTTCTGAGCCAGTTGACTTTTGTCGGGATAATCTGAAAGTGGAAACTACGAAACCTCGGACGTCATTGTATTGGACTGGGGTTCGTGCGAGCGCATATGCTTGCCAATACATCGCATTGTGTTTTGCGGCGTCGGGTTTTAAGCATGCGGAGTCGATGGGTATATCATCTGACATGTTCAACATGTACGGTCTGCCCGGTTCCGGAAGAGGTATAAGTTCATCAGGCGTGGTTTGGTGCATCCAGTTCTTTTCGCAGGCACCGCCGAGGAGAGTAGAGTCCAACTCATCTGGTTGGTAGAAAGGGTTAGGGTGTATATTTAGGGTCCGAAGCTTACTAGGGAACTTTAATAAATCTGTAAGTTCCCAAGGTAGATATCGGAGGCGAGTAAGAGAGACGTTCAATGTGTCTAGGTTACGCAAATTCCGAATACTGGAAGGGAGCTCGGTGATCTTAGTATTGCGAAGGCTAAGAACTGTTAAATTCTCTAAGTTGAAGAGAGCTCCAGGAACACGGATAAGTGGGTTACTGGCGAGGTAAACTTCGATAGACGGCTGTTTTCGTTCGATTGGGAAGGTTTCGGTCATGAGGGGTATAGTATCGAAAAGGGAGATCTGTGATATTGTTGCATTGGAAATCGTCTCGATATTGAAAGAACTGCAGCTGATTAGATTCTATCATCCCACTGATGGTTCGCAGATAGGCGCAAACTTACGTGAGGTTGACGACCTGAGTTCCTTTGTCGATTGCATCTTGAATCACTTGCCGAGCATTTGCTTCGGTGGAGGAAATGGTCGTAGTAGCTCGAACATGTCCAAGTTGTAACAACTTAGACTCGACAGGCGTTTTAACGTCTGTAACTGAGTCTTCTTCCATATCAACAGAATTGTCACTTCCCAACCAAACACCACTGTCAAATTGACGTCGAAAAGTTCTTCTAGTCTTAGGTAGTGGTTGCTGGACAATTTCGGAAAATGTCGAGTCGGAAGAAGTGGGGTGCTGTTGAAACCAGGAGCCAACATATCTTTTCTTTCGACGCTGGTTTTGAGTATAGTTCTCCAGGCTGGGATCATCATCGCTAGAAAATATAGCTGGATCACTCGAGTTGTTAAAAGTCGGCAGTGCGAGCGATTGATCACGGGCGCGTTTTCGCGTATTGGTGAATGTCTGCGTATCGGAATCCCAAGAAACTGCGGGCAGTTTGGGAAGGGTCGGTTCTTCCTCCATTGCGAGTGAAATTGAATTACAAAGCAGGTGCTTATGTGTAGATATGTGTAGATTTCGACAGTTTTGAAAAAGTAGATCGCGATTGTTCAACTCAGTTGGTGATACAAGTTTGGAAGAGAGTTGAAAAGAGGTTGACTTTGAATTGGAATAAACATTAGCGTCACGCCTCGAATTTCAACTTAAGTCGCGTCACGTCACGAAATAAAAAAAAAAGACCCACCTTCCCCAATAAGTAACTTTAGGTGTGCAACCGACAGACCGGACCCGACTTTCTGGCTCCGTTCTATTTGATTGGCTCATTTTCTCATAAGTACTTTATTAGTTCCGCGGTGAGAAAGATACTCAGGGTCCATCCAATAACCCCTTAAAGATAGGTACGCGGATACCTTTATGAACGTATATAATGCTGAATCTCCTCATCTATTCAAGGCTTAGGTTCACTAGTTAAGTGGCTTAGTAGATGGTATCGATACAGAAATACCTACATACCTAAGCATTGACCCTCCTTGAAACCGAAATACTTAAGTGTCAGTTATACATGTAAGTTATACATGTACTTAAGTCGTACGGCGAAGCTGGTTTTATTCGATTATGGGAAAGCCGAGATTTTTTGAATCGAAAGATAAAACTAGATGGAATTGCTAGCTTTCCCTTGAGATTGGCTTATTTTTGTGGGCCTAGACGGAAAGTGTATGCCGATGAATGATAGATAATGGGTATATCTGAACCTGTGGGCATTCTCAGTCCCAGTCGTCGTCGTCATCGTCTACGGCGGATGCGTGTCGCAAGTTCCCACTCTTAATACCTTTGCCCATCAGTTGCTCTTCTTTCGCGTCTTCCGCGTCTCTTTTCCTCTTCACAACCCTCATATCTTTCTCGCTAACCGCGCCGACTTCGACCAACAAGTCGTCGATATGTAGCATACTCATTCGCACACCTCCTACCGTAACAAGCGTAACTATTTGCTTCACAATGTCACCATTCTTATATACTAAAATAGTGGGACAATTGCGATCGGGATAATTCTCAATCGCCTTGTCGGCTCTGATCTCACAGAACTTGATGTCACCATATTCTTTCGCTGCTTGACCCCACAACTCCGACAAAACTCTTGACTCGACGTTGGTGCCTAGCGACGAGGTAAGGTTGACAAATACGGGTCCGTGTTGAGACGCATCTGTGACCTCGCGCGAATATTCCGGTTTCGATATCGGGTAAACTGAACCATGTATTGACTTCTTGGACAATTTATTTAGTTCTTGCATTCGTTTCTGCCGGTATTGTTCTAAGAAAGCCTCATCTTCGTCGTCTTCTAATTCGTCCAACTCGTCAAGCTCTTTCCCCTCTAATCTATTTTCGTGTGCTATTCGGCGGCCTTCCAGGATAGCTTCTTCGATCATGGGTGTAGGGGATGGGGGCTTCTCGGGTATAACGCCGTGTTTCCGTAATATGTCATTCCTATTTTAATTGTTAGGCTGGTGCTCCAAAGAACGAAGGAACTTGGTGTGTAAGGATCATACCATTCGGTATCTGCATTTGGATCATCAATAGGGACAGCTATCCGCTGTTCTGTCGGCGCTGCCATTTTGTGTGAGTTTATTATTGCTTGCGACGATAATTGAAAGAGAATCAAGTTAATTCTTGCGAATTTAAAAGAAGGTTGTCTTGGAATTTAAATTTAGATGTTTTGATTGTTGCCTGACGTAGTGTTGCGTGGAATTCAAGGTTCGCCGACCCCTCTATCGTAATCAGTAATGATAAGAAGGAGCATCCCACTTCGGCGGACAGCTGGCTTGAAAGGTGCAACCAGCTGTTTGTAGAGTGGGCCTCGGTTTTTCGGAAGAGAAACTTCAGGCTCCAACGGAAATTATGGGTCCAAGAGTGAAAAGCCCTAGCCCTCTTCAACGCTAAACTTTATTAGGCCATACCATAAGGGTCCTAGTAAATTTCGCCTCTTGCCCACCAGAGCGAATCTGTCCAACCAAAATCCGCATCCCCCGAAATTTACTAAACGAATTTTTTAATCTCGACTACCTACTCTACACACGACCTTCCCCTCAGTTTTTAACCATTGTCACCCGCAAGCCCAAACCAAAATCTGCAACATCGAACACCCTTCAGATTTCGACAAGTCAATCTAAGCTTGCTCAATCCATCTCTCAGGACACTCTAAGTGACAATCAGACAAGATGGTGAGTTATACCGACCTTGTTTTCTTATTCACGCCGTCGATCAAATCATCAACCGAGTCACCGTCAACTTCCGCGTCGTCAATCGTCAATATTTTCATCAGCCTAAACAATCTCGGCGACTTTCACAATAGTCTTCCTTAGAACCGTTTACGCCGCTAGAGATTAGGTTCATATTTTATCGGATGATTGAAACGGCGAAACAATTGATGATCGATTGGGCTTCTATTTTCAAATGGGATTGTTGTGCTGACAAAATTTTCAATTAGGTTCTCGCCGTTGATCTACTCAACCCCAGCCCGGCTGCCGAGGCTAAGAAGCACAAGCTGAAGGTATGATATAAATAAACCATCGCAATCGTCCTAAAGGCTAGATAATGATGATGCTAATGAATTTATTAATTATTATAGACTCTCGTCCCCAGCCCCCGGTCCTTCTTCATGGATGTCAAGTGCCCCGGTTGCTTCACCATCACCACTGTCTTCTCCCACGCGCAGACCGTCGTCATCTGCCAGGGATGCACGACCGTTCTTTGCCAACCTACCGGTGGTAAGGCCAGATTAACTGAGGGCTGCTCTTTCCGAAGAAAGTAGAGGATTTCGTCTCGCATTTTCTTCGTTCTTGGGCATTGGTCACGACTTCATGGTGTGGTTCGGATATCTGCAAGGGACACTCTTGACGGAAATGGGCGCATGAAAAAATTATGGCATTTGTCTCCCGGACATCCTCGACATCTTTTACGAACCTCTACGTCATTGCAGATAGACGACGGATACCAAAAGAGAACCTTAATACAAAAGGGGCGTTTGGGGTCCTGATATCTTGCATTCTCCGTTTATTTTTCCGCGAATGCTTCTTTCCGTTTTTATTCGCCTTGTGTATTACGAAGTCGTCACATCACTTAAAAGACTTCAGGCAGGATGGTATTAACTGCATGGGTGGATAGTTGGAAATGACTTTCCACATGAGCATCATCTGAGATCCAACTCGCAAGGGATGGATTCTCCTAGATGTGAGGACGTGGAACGTTGATTGAGGATCGCTACATACCCGATTGCAGTGGTCGTTATTTTCACACTGCATTAGGCGAATTCACAGGGTTCCACTGAAGCTTCCATCTTTACCAATTGTGATAACGTAGTTTTTGATTCGTCTAAGTGACTTGCCACTATTTTTGACGTCGTTCTAGTATGGCACCCTGGTGATCAATTTGATTGCATAATATCCAAACCTCCATTTTTAATGAAATGATAACCTAATGTACGTCACCAATATCCACCTGATATAACGTACTTCGCACGTCTTGTAGAACCTTTGTGAGCCCATCAACGTGCTTCCACCTGGGTGCTTGAGGTAACTGTAAAGGGAGTATGGTGAATGTTTATGATAATGTCAAACTTATAAGCATTAAAGGATATAAGCCTAGGGGTTTCTGGACACGTTGCGGAGAATTTATGACGTGCCCGTGGTTCATATTTCACTCGATATATAGAAATCTGATCGGTGATACGACGCCAACGTATGCACAGAAGATTGATACCCTCTAGTACAGCACATAATGAGACAATTCCCAGTACTTATTGGCACCATCTTGAACTACAAATATGGCACCTAAAGATATTAAATATACAACAAATACTTAATCATGGTAATCCATGGGAAAACGAAGTTAAAACTCTTCGAGACGGCGTCGATTCTGAGATCTCGAACTCCACATATATGTTGTATGTACATGTATGTACATAGATACCTTGGTACCTAGCTTAGATATCAAAGTGCACTTAATGGGTGGATTGTCCGCCAAGGCACTCAATTAACGCGTAAAAACACGCCAATTACGCGGGTTGCGCGCATCCCCCACCTTCTAAGCTACAGTGCATCGTCCGATCAGCCGCCCCCCAGATTGGAGCCATCCAGCCAGCCTCCTTTTTTGACAAGAAATCTTGTTTTTTCCCCCAATCCTCTTTTCATCATCATTCAGAACAGCATAGCACAAACGCATTGACAGGCTCGAGCTTGTTTCATTTTCGCACCAACAATCATTACATAGCTTTAGCTTTCATTTTTTTCCCAGCTTTGACTGACTAAAGCTTACGACCTTTTTAAATAGTCGACCTAATTGGGCTTTTTTTCTACCTAGGGTTGCAGGTTTCACGACAGTCATTTAGGCGTTGACTCCCAGAGCCCAATTGCGAATTCCATCATCACAATCGTAAGAACCACCAAAATCCACAATCACAACCTCGGATCTACGATCCCCTCATTTAGATCTGAGGAAACTCGGACCAGGCCAAGTGGGCCGCACTCGCATTCGACACGTAATCCGGATATTTACCTACATATCTCCTCATCCATCCATCCCATCTATCTCTCAATCATGTCGACGCCACGAATCAAGCGCCAATTCGCCGGCGCAGCAAGTGATCCCGCGCAACGACAAATCACCTCGTTCTTCAGCAGCAACGGGAACAATACATCATCCCCCGCCGCACGAACATACGACTCCGCTACAATCCCCACACTCCCCGCGTCCGTGCAGGCGAACCTTCTCTCCGTAGGCTTAAGAGTGCGTAAATCTGTGCCTGAGGGCTATAAGACGGGCACATACGCCGTGAAAGCACTTTGGGACGAACCTACCGGCTCTACCTCTTACACCACCGCGGCGTCAGCAGCAGCCATGGGTGAAGGCCGCTCGCGCGCCAACGCCATCTCCACACCACGAGAACTCCTCCCTTTCTGCGGGATCAACAAAGTCGGTGGTCTATCCACACAACCCGAAACCGACACCTCATCCACATCTACCTACCAACCACTCACCATTGCCGATTCCATGATCGACGACTACGACGACGTCCCCGGGTTAACGAGTAGTCAAGACACAATCTCCAGCACAGACCCGCATTCCTTTTCCACTCCCTCCAAGACACGCAAGCGTTCATATACCGAGGATGAAGATGATCGACCCGAGACACCGGATCGACGGTTAAATCTCAACATGAATTTTAACGTGTGGCGCGATAACTACGATGACGAAGTAAGCCCCAGAAGTCTAGGACCTACGAGTTGGAGCCCGAATAACGGTGGTGCTGGAAATGGCCGTGTTATGGCTGTCCCGCGCAAAGCGAAGACGCGTGGTGGGAGTAAATTAGCGACGGTCGCGCCAAGAGTCCTGGATCAGGAGAACTTTATGGTTGTTGATGCTGATGGAGGTTCCGCTGGAGATTTCGGAGAGGCAGATTTCCTGGTTGAATACGGAGACGGTAGACGAAGTTGGGAGGTTGAGATGAGTGATGCTTGACCAGAAAGGTGAATAAGATCGGATGAGGATTGGTTTTTATGGGATACCCCGAGGAGAAGCGGACTATCGAGGGAAAGTAATGGAGTATGGGAAGACATAGCAGCTGGAGCTATTGTCGCATGCGATTGATTTAGGTTGGTATGGCAGGTTGGGAAGCGGGAAGCAGAGCAAACACTTTCCATGGGGGGTAGGTGACTGGCGCAAGGGAGTTCCGTGCTCGCGTTACACAGGGATTGTATCACCATTGTATACCATTATTCAGGATCACGTCTGGGGACGATGGTGCTGGGTAAATAGATTGACTTCGTCAATTCGTCCTTTCTAGAACGATAGTTCATAGTGCTACATAAAGAATGATTTTCATTATAGGTACCTCCTCATTGGTATTGATTGCGTCTACGTTTACTAAGCATATGTTACGATGACCACGGGAAAGATTTTCGTCTCATTAAAAAGATTTTAAAAATTATCTATCTTGAATATCATCGGATACAATATACGCGGTACCTACTCAATCTGGAATCCTCCAAACGGATCCCGAAACTCGAGAAGGTCTCGTTGCCCATAGAACTCACCGGCTACAGTAAGAATCATATTCAGGGTGGCTAGTTCGTTGACCTTGGCTCTATGCGCTTTTGCTTGGTTCTTTTCTTCTTCTTCTGCATCAAGAGCAGCAAAAGCTTTTTCTTCGAGGGTCATAGTGGGGGGTTCTGTGGGGTTTTGTTCTGACGGGGCGTTGTCGACCTCGATACAATGCTGTTGGAGAAGGCGGATTTTGGCCGCTTCTATGTCAGCTTCTGTTTCTTGCTGCTGGGGCGTGTCAGATACTTCCCCATCCTCCGAGTCTGACTCAATTTGCATTTCGACGTCTGACAAATCTTCTGCTTTTTCGGATTGAACCGCCGGCTCAGTCCGATTGACCTCATTATCGACTTTATCGATTTTATCGCCATTGGTTGTAGGCTTAGTATCAGAATTCATCGTGTCCCCATTTTTCGCGATAGAAGAGCTAGTCTCTGATGTCTTACCACCCTGAGATTGGTCAAACTTCCGTTTGTGGGCTTCTGGATCGTTGCTATCCGTGTCGATGTACTCAAAGTCGCAACATTCTTCCGGGCTTGACTCATCGACACCTTCACCGACGTCGAATTCACCTTCGTCTTGGCTTCCAAAGCTGCTATCCCCGACCTCGTAGTGTTCTTGTAGGATTTCCACCTCGGCCAGGCTCACCATTAGCAAAACGGCCCTCTTGCCTAACTCGCGTATCCAGCCGATTTCCTGGTAGTCGAGCTCACCCCTTTCAGGTAGCCGTGCAAGGAGCGCCCATATCCATCTACTAGTACGCTCACGAAGGACCTGTTGCTTGCGAAGGAACTTACCCCCAAGGAGAATGCGCAACAAGCGGAAGACAGCGTCTTTATGCATTCCTGCGATCTGTACTGGAAGTGGGTCCGTACCCCGAAGCCGACCAGACCACTGAGGAAATGTGCCTGAGCGAGGACCAAATCCACCGACTTCAATTGGATTCGACCATGGAAGGGAAGATAATAATTCCTTTGGAGGTTCCTTTTGTAGAATTTGGCGAAGGCCTAGGTATTGGTTTATGATGGATGTGAAATACGCCTCGCGAATCTCGTCCGAATTACTGTTGTGTGGACGGCCTTCACTAGATTCAGGGCTGTCTTCATCATAGTATTCCAGGTCTGGAAATTCTTCGCCTTCATTACCTTCCTCACCCTCTTCGTATTTATTTTCTTCGTTTTCGTAGTCCATTTCTTCTTGTACATCTTCCTCCTCTTCGTATTCTTCGTCATCGTCATCGTCATCGTCGTCGTCGTCGAAGTAGTCGGGCGGATATGCGACGTACGCACCGTCTTCATAATATCCTCTAAAATCGCCTCGGCCGTCTTCATAGATACCCCGGTCGGCAACGTCTTCGTCTTCATCTTGCTGTTCGTCTGCAGATTGTGAAATGGCTTGTGGGGGTGGCTGTGGACCAGCTTTACTTGCAACCATAACATGTGGGAGCGCGGACGCCTGGACTCTACACTCACCATATCAGTATTATTAATCACCTAGAAGGGGAAGGAGAATCGGTTTAGCCTTGCAGGTCTTCAAGAAAGAAATAGGTGTCAAGAAAGGTTAGCTTACCGTACAGACTTGAGGTATGCCAGTGCTTCGGTATCATCTTCACATTCCAGGTCGCTATCACCGGTCGGCACGGTGGTAGGACATGCGAAGTCGCCAAATGCTGATCGTTGTCCGTAGTTATTATCCATTGTTGTGGCCGACCTAACGGATCCTGAATATCGCTTGCGACGAGCTCTGTGATTTAATCCGTCGCTCTCATCTTCGGCGGGGCGTTTCTTTGGTCCCATTTTCATCGGCGAGTTTGGTTTCGAAATGAACAGAAGTGGGATGAAAAGAGGAAAAATAAAGTTGCAAGTGTGATGTTCTGCCTAACGACGAATTGCGCGTGATGGATGTTAGAATAAGTTTGGGTGGATCCCTCTAAGACTACCTAAACTTTAACTGTATTTGGATTGTTCAATAAAATGAATGGTTGCATATTTGTCTCCGTTTAATGTATAAAAGAAGTTATTACAGGGTATTTAGAATTAACCGATAATCAAGAAGCATTCAACTTACAACTCATGATAATAATTATCCCCTGCTGACCTAGTTAGGTAAGCAGGCATATGTTACTCTTTATGGGATATAAGTAAGTCACCCGTTAGGTGTAGTACTTTGTTCAAGTATCTCAGTTTCTTGAAACAGGGTCAAAGATCTGCTACGAGTACGCCTTGAAGAAAGCCCCTCGAAGGAAAGCTTTTAGGATAACTGTAAGGCTATAGAATGGACTTTATAACGCCCATTATGGGTCATACACGTGTATATATGCTACCATGGTTGTATTACGTTAGGCTATATGCAGGCGAGCCATCCCTTGCGTATACCTAGGTAGGTAATACCACACATGCAGCCCGTGATAACTAAGCCTAGCCTGCTTCTACATCGTCTTCCTGCCCAGTGAGTCTGGGCGGAAAACCGCTGTGGCACTTTGGGATAGGGATATATGCTACGACAAGATTACAAATCACACAAGGATCCCAACGTCCAAAGTAAGCTTCCGTGTAAAATCCTTTATGGTGGTATTTCTCTTCACTAATAAGAGCCTTGTAAGTTATCATGGTACTAGCTTAGAGTGGTGGTAAGGGCTGAAGACTTTCAGCTGTCATGTAGACCATGCCTATAATCTTGGCCGTGCTATAGCCCCCTAGCGAAAGATACACTGGCGGCCGAATGGTTGGCAAGTAGGTGGTTTCAGGTATCACCTGCTCGGGTTTGAACTATCTTTATATCCTCAACTGTTGTCTGAGGCGCCCGCTTCGACTATCAGAGCCTTGCAGATAGACCCCAAATCGATCGACATCGAGATGGAAGCATTCAGCTTATTAACATGTATATCGATCGGGTGTTCCCGCCGAGGAGACGGCGCAGCTAGTGGTCGGGCGATATGCAATTTGCGTGGCTGTTCGACAGTTTCTGACTAGCGAGCTAACGCACATAGGATAGCTTGGGTCCCGATCGGCGGTCGAACGCCCCATGGGCGAGTGATTCTAATAAGTTCAATACTCGGCATTGCTTAGATAGCAAAAGGGCAGAGCGAGCTTCGTATTTCAAGTACCTAGGTAGTAGCCGTCCTACCCCGAAGCCTAGAAAGGATCGCCAAGGGGGTACTTCATTTATCTCCTGATCACTGCTGGGATCATTTCCGTGCAGAATTCCTATCCCATCGGAGTCTAGGCCTCGGGAAAACATTGAATCGAGTTGAAGAGCTTAATTAGACGTCTTCAGTCTCTTATCCTCTATCTCCTCTCGAGACCTCCGATAGTTGTAGTGCAACGCATCCCCCAGTCAACCTAGGTCTTTTCCCACGCGTCATTTTGCCCTCCTATAATGCATGTATGATTCGATAATCGGATCGAAGAGGATTCTCGTAGTTTTCGCGCGTTTTATATATATCTATCTTCTCTGAGGGCTTGGATGCTGATCATCGGGGATCTTGGAGCACACTGCCTATGATATGCGGTCGCACAATCTTCTGATCGGGGGAATGCCACGGCATTTGCCAAAGAACATTATTCAAAGAACAGCCGGTTTTGCCGTTGATTTATCATTCGATATCAAAGAGGTATTTTTATTTCGAAGCTGAGCTTGGGCTTGATCGTCCTTCACCGGCGTCGATTGATGAGTAGCAACCGGTGAGGTTTTGAATACTACCTAACACTGTAGGTAGGGGCTGTACGTACCGTGCGTTGAAATTTAGCGAGTTTAGTGGCGTTATGGCTTACACAGCTTGGCGATAAATCTTTACCGTGGGAAGAAATTACAACTTGCCTTTTCCATGATCATTCAAGAAGCGAGATTTCTTAGATCGATCTGCCACAAAAGCTTCAGATGCCCACATATACGCCCAACGTTGGCTATTCGTCACCTGTCGCCGGTCATAGGAGATTTGAGACCGGTGAAATTGGGTTCGCATGTACTTCCAAAGGCATTGGAACACAAGCCAGCTGCACAATTGTTCGTAATGGAGCAGCTATGCTTATATCTATGAGTTCAATAAGTGCTTACTATGGGGTTGGGGAAAAAAAAACTATTGGTCTTGTATAGATTATTGGTTCTGGTGAAGCGTCTCGAACGAGAGGTACCCTGGCATCTCTAGGTATTTGAAGGATCTAGAGCGACTTCATCGGACTGGCCACGTGGTGTATAACAAGTAGTGGCAAGATGGCAGACCCGCGTTAAGACTTAGCTCGTAATGGCGGTGGCTGTAGTCGGACTTATCAATATTTGCTTGTTGAAAATGTCTACTGAACGAATCTAATAACGGCTCTCCTCTATTACAAGTCATATCCTGTCTAGGAAGCCCAACTGGTTTAACTAAACTGCAACGCCACCAAGCCTACTAGTTAAAGCAACGTCCCCCTTCGAGAATGACGATATTATACCAGACTAGTATACCCGTCATACTATTCCAGCTTTTAGCAGCCTATCATTATCGCCGTTCACGGAAAGAAATTGTTGGTAGAATCGTTTCGTGAATGGAAGTCTAAAACGCTCCATGGGTGTTCACGTTCCATGTAGTCTTCAATGCTTCTCTCCCTAAATTCCTCGTTGCGAGGAGGAGTCTGGCCGTCACTGTCTTGTGGTGGTGTATTCCCTTGAATTGTCGCGTCGACCAAGTTGCTTTGAGAGGTCAGTCAATATTCATGTCAAAGTACGATCCAACTTACACGGCGGAACCTGTATTATTATGGGTCGACCATCGTCTTCCATATCGTTGGTCGTTACCCGCCGCTGACTGATATCCGACTTGGCCCTGAAACCCATGGCCTACTACTTGTATGTTGTTCTCATTATCTAACGCTCCCATACTTGATGGAGACGACATTGTTGGTGCATCGTAGGCGACTTGGCTTCCATCATCGTGATGGGTATAATATGCTAGTTGGGCATACGGAGTCATGTCGCTACGCTGCATAGTTGCGGTTGAAGGAGTATAGGCGGGGGATGAAGTAGCGACAAGGCTTAAAGCAGTCATGGCAGGGTATGATAACGAGGTTTGGAAACTCGGATCGGATGGAACATCTCTACCATAGTCGCCAAGAGTTGCATTATGCGCTGTACTATAGGCGTCGCTACTCCCTTGTGGGACATCTGACAGTGGAGCTGATGGATCGAGGGAGGGATGTGTATCGGGACAAGGGTCGGGATTGTATGTTGGAGAGTTCGTCATATTCGTGTCACCCTGTGTGTCTACTGTGTCGGCGTCGCCAGTATCGTACGAAGTTGTGGAATGGGCGTTATAGTATTCGAAACCCCCAGCCTCGCCTTCTAGAACGGTACTAGGAACTCGACGTTCATGCCGACGGGGACGGGCGTTCCTGCTATAGTGGTTGGGGTTTGGCCGGTTACGACGCCCGGACTCGCGCGCTCGATCGTTGTCTGTCATGTTTCAAATGTTTCAGATGGACTTCCTAAGAATCAAAAGTTAATACAATGCCTATCCCCATTAATGGTGGTAAGGCAAGAACGGAGCTTGTGAGCTTTTAAACCGATCAAAAGGGGCTTGGAGGCTAGAAGGATCAACAGTATCGGGCGCGATCCACATTGCCTTCTGCCTTATTTCTTTGAAAATGGAAGTCTCTCATCCAAGAATTAGAAACCTTACCCCAATCACCTTCTCACATAGCCCTACCTATGTGCCTTGGTTGTGTGGGGCGCGGCACGACCGAGGGTAGAGTCAAGAATGGAAACCAAGGACCGAACCGGGTAATCGTCTACAGCTAAGGAGATAATAGGAATTAACTCACAGAGTCGCTGCATACATGTAGCTGTGATGTACGGTGGCGCCCTTCGATCGTGTGCGATCTTTACAAAGGCTTGCCACCGACCCCACTGCCGGTAAGAAGCCATTCAGGTATCATGGAGCTCAAAGCTGTTAGTAGAAACGAAAGGAAAATGCGGTCAGCCTAACGCATTAGGCAATGGCCGGGCGAGAGGTACGGCATGTACTAGAGGAGCTTTATTGTAGTCAATGAAACAGGAAGCTCATGAGTACCTATCCTATCAGATCCTCGTTGGCCGTATGTTGGAAAGGTCGATCCTCTGGGCTGAGTAGTAGCTGAACAATGGTTGCATTCCATGAGTTACTTCGCAGTTATTTGGCTGAAGGACAAGCAGGTTCGGTAACGGCTGCGAACTATAGGCTTCTCGGGGTTGGAGAACATGTGGCTGCATGATTGATGTAGGGGGGGCTGGCTACTACGTGGAGACGACAGAATGGAAGCTCGACAACTTTTTACCGCAATACCTTCAAGGGATTGACCGATGAATATTGGAACCGCGGTTGAGCTATTGCTTTTACCTTATGAATGAGAGCTGTTGAAGGTCGGGTTTTCAAACCGAGTACAGAGAAGGCAAGGTCAGGCTACACAAGCATGGGGGTTATCCATCAGGGCAGTAATGTAAGCTAAGGGCATTTCCACCCATTCACATGTTCCGAATTACCTTTATCCTTATTCGTGAATCCGAGACGGGCGAACCCCCAGGATTAGTTCATCGATATTCTCCAGTGGAGAGTGGATTCTGGGACATCCTAGGAGATGTATAAGATCGCTCCATGCAAGTTACGTATTCTGTCGTATTATCATCCAATATCGAAGAGAATACCTGATTCGCCTATATGACTGCATGATGGCTTCATTAGTTCTCGGTCTTTTGGGCGGACATGGGCAACGGTTCCGGGCTAGTTGGTATCGTACCTAACTCCACTGCCATTCACACTTACACTATAGCGCAAACCAGAGGAGCGCACTACAAGAATTAGATACCTACCATTTGGCGGGGGTACCCGCCAATTGCTTCTTGCCCTAATGCGAACTACGTACTTAGGCTACTGTAGCTGCTGCAACAGCTCCCATGAGGCTTGCCGTGGCGCTTCAGGGGATAGTAGAACCGTGTTCAACCGCGTTCCTCTCGGTCTAAATAATGATCGTGCCGTAACGAATAGGACGAATTGCAGATGGTATTGCAAGATTTAGCTTAGAGGTGGATTGTCTAGGAGGCTTTAGTGTGAATGACAATGATGATGATATTGCTGTTTCGTCTAAAAGGGGTAATCGGTATCGTTCCCCTGGTTCGATGTCAATTGAGCGAAAAGTACCTAGGTAGGTTGTCAGCATGCAACGTTCACAATGCTTGAACTATCTAGGCAATTGCTGATGATTCCGCTACGGAAGTCCCGGACCGACGATGTTGATTTCCGTCGCATAGGCCTTCTCTTCAACCATGTTGACCCACGGCTACCGGGCGTCCGTCCGTGCTCTTTGGAATGCTGCCCGACAAATATTGCGATTGATTTCTCCCTACAGCCTAATGCGGCTCAAATTATGTGTTACTTTCGGTCAACGTCATGGTTCTTGCTCTATTGAACGGTAAAGACTTGGCAGTGCTCCGTGAACGGGGGGTTCTCAACTCGACTCTAAAATATCGCACACACTTCCTAAATGTAATTTACTAGCTATTGGAGGGGTTCATATTCAGACGATTAAATAGTAGCTTGACGTATTTTCGTCTAGTCTTGGCAGGGACTGTGGGTATCATGTGGTCGCCGTCCGATCATGCAGCAACTAACCGAATCGGAAAGCATATCACACGCCTACCTAGGTAGGTAGGGGATATGTAGAAGTGCTGTTTGAGATTGTGCCTACTAATATACAATCTAATCTTGAGGCTACGTCTAGGGCCAAGCCCCACTGCCTTTAGAAGAGCCTCTGGCGGGTTTACTGTTGTATTAGTTCATTGTGACAGGGTATTGGATGTGACTTACTACTCTCTTGCCGATACGACGATTGACTATCCTCACTTAAATCACTGATCAATAGCGACCGACGTGGCCTGCCGAATCTAATACCCTGGTTACATTATACCGCCTACAGCCGCTTTTTTATATATCGTTTTACGTTTGTCAGCCCATAGTTTAAAGTCAAGGCACGTATCAATCACTAGATTTTTCTTTCTGCGGTGGGGAAATGGAATGGTGCCCAACCGACAACCTAGGTAGCCATCACACATTTAGCGATCCTCTCTTATGTCAGCTTTTGGTGCTACCCAAGGTCCATCCGGGAACAGCTAACCGGCATTGATACCTAGGTAGCTTACAATATGATGGTTCCAAGGTAAGCAGTTTGAGCCTCATATACATGGGTACATTTTACGCGTCATCTAGAAGACCCCACGGGCTCCAGCAATAAAGATCGCTCGTCACTACTTTGGGATGATGGTCAGGGGTCGTTAGACTATCGAAGGCATTGTTCGAGAGGAGCAACAAGTCCGAAACTTGGGTATGATTGAGTTTGTGTTTTTAATAGGAACATTAGCCAAGATGATTAGAAGGATTGATAACTTAGCAACGCGCCATATCAATAACTTGTGAACCATATAATTAATAAACGGCGGTGTAGGACTAAGAGACAGCTACCAAGTATGAATAGGTCAGCTCAAAATGCCGTTCAGTATTGTATTCGCGCAGCTTTTAGGGGTGGTATTGAAAATTTCTAGTGTATCCAAGGCCCGAGCTTGATGGAGAGAGAAGATGAGGCCATTTTGAAAAGTCACCTAATCATACGCTCTTCCGGAGGTTACATCCCTTGTTGGGGGGCTAGACTTTCGGCTTTCCCGTCCTACTTTCGTTCCCTTGCCGCACAACACAGAAGGCTACAATTATGGCGGGGAACCGGCGGGTGATGGCTTCTGAGTATGTTGCGGTAATGTGACCGGGCGGGTCGAGAAGCAAAGTAATCCCGCTTATCAGATCTAGATTTCACCCATAGCGTAAGAAAGGCGCCCTGCGTACCGCGATCGTGTGAGGGCTGGTGAGGATGGTTGGAGATCACCTCCCTTTCTAGGAGATTGGTGTGTATTAGCAACGCAGTAGCGGGAGATTCAAATATATTCTATTGATGCAGGAATTGAAACCGGCGAAAACGCAACAAATGCGTAGTGGGCAACAAAATCGCGACGCAATAGTTTGCTTGCGAAACGACCATGCTGACAATGAACCCTCGCTGATAATAAATAATTTTATTAAGGACAGGGTACCCTTTTGATACGTCAGGACATACCTAGGTACCTAAGGTATGCCCCGTCTTGGGTAATAAGTAAACACCCTAATGCGGCTCCTTGTAGTACTATCCCCAGCTCTTGCTGTATGTGGTAGTCTTTCATCTACTTACCCGCTGTTGCACAGCATTAAAATAGCATATTTCTATAGCTCTACCTCCTAGCTATTTATCAAAACAGTCTTTGCTCTACTATCATCTCTGTCACTATCCTCTCTCCCGTCACCTAAGACACATCCTTTTGGAGGCATACAAACGGCCAGTCATTCTACTTTACAGACAGCGCATCTATTCTATTTGCTTATTTCGCCTATACCTTGTTTAGCGACCATAGTTTGGTATTATAGGTACCTAGCTCTATGTCTTACTATTTAAGGCGGCCCTCCTTATCATCCCACATTATACCTCCTTTTCCCAAAGAGTTGTATTTTAGGATCGGCGAACTGTACCTCATGTCAACCATAATAATTAATCAAGCTAGTCCAAACCATTGTACGTGTCCGGAAACCCCTTTTGCCACCCATCGCAACCATGTCCGAGCCACTTGCCACATCTAGAGGTACGTACATATACATAGAGATGTTCGAGCGGGGTTCTATGATCATGTCGACTCTCTCCATAAATTGCAACTAATACACGTTTTCATGGTCTTATTGAGCTCTATTCTGATTAAATCCCCTGCTCTACTTTATATTCACCCAAGTACTCATGGACAGTAGGCAGATAAGCATTCGACGACAATATTTTTACCGCTTTTAGGTTCGGATCCGAGATGGTACATCCGCGGTGTGGGTGGCGTGCGATACTCGTTGCATGGGTGGTCAAATCGTTGGCACGGCACGCTGTTGTGTATCCTATCAAATTACCCTACGTTATATCTCGGGAGTGGGTATTCGGATGTGTGTAATCAGCATTATACACATAACTAAATTGCGAGCCCCATCAGTTGTCTTATTTTATGCCCTAGCTAATCTGACAGTTCGCAGTCCATCCTAGGAGATGATATGTGAGCATCGCTATCATTTGTTTATTGTGTCCGGAAGGTACCTAGGTAGGTAGTTATAAAGACATCACGCTCGGCTTTCAATCAAGGAAATGCTCGCATTCCCCGCAAGCCTAACCCCATGCGTGAAATATGGCGTATGAAGCGTTGTGCCGAAGGGGAGAGATTGGCGTCACAGATCTCTTATGTAACCTCGGGATTGAAATCTGTTGGTGACACGAAATATTCATTGGTTTGGTTCATGCATGGCAACGCTGGCCCGATTTCCCCGGATTGCGAATATTAACGCTATTACAGCTTAGAAGTGCTGACAGCAACGGGACCTTGTCAAGGTAACGAGCTAGAACTGCTT